AAAGCATACAGCGTGCATAGCGTATAGTATATAGTGTATATAGTGTGTACAGCACACAGCGTGCAGCACAGCACATGGGCATATAGTGCATATAATATATCCGCTGTACATGCACTCTGCGGTGTATGCACTACGACTATGCTGCTGTGCATAACTGTGCATACACACTGCACACCTACGGCGACTGCTGACACAGTGCACCGTAAGCATTAGTGCATGCTGTATGTATGCACAGTGCATATATATACATATATATAGACATATACATACGTATATGCACATACACACAGACATACACATACATACTATGCACTGCACACTGTACATACACACACATACTATATGCATACCATGGTTATACTGCATTATGTGTACTATACATATACATACACATACTATACACTATATACACTATAATATGTGTATAGTGCACAGTGTATACTATACACTACAGGCCACACAGTCGCAGTGTGCTGCATAAGCTGTGCTATCCACGTGCTGTGCACACTACATTTATACAGAATATCCACTCTGCCACTGACACTGCACGCTACACTGCACACTGGAAACTGTGTGCACACTTAGCCATGCCATACGCACCGTGTTCTGTGAGTATATCTTGCACTGCACTACACTATACTTTGCACTACACTATACTTTGCACTACACTATACAGTACATTATACTATACAGTATACTTTGCACTATGCTATACAGTATACACTGCTGTATGCACTGCTGTATGCGCTATACATATAGCATAAGTGTATACTGTGCAGCAGAGTATATGCACAGCGTGCATTGTATACATTTATAGTATATGTATTATATATATTATATATATAATACAGCACGCTCTGCTGTATATTTGTACTGTACATTCCATTGCTGACTACGCTATACAGCTATACACGCTATACTATATACAACTATACATGCTATATATTATACAACTATACATACTATACACTATACAACTAGAGATGTTATATACTATACAACTACACACTGTATATACCGGCTTGCGGCAGCAGTGGCAGTCCGGTCTGGTGCAGAGTGGGAGTCGTTAAGAGGTACAAGGATATTAAAGCGTAAAAAGCGTCAGAGCACGGGAAAAGGCGTTGCATGTAAGGGTGCAGCTTGGATGCAGCGGAAGAGTAGCACCGAGAAGGCTATGGAGCATAAGACAGAACACTGTGCGCAACAACAGACCCGTAAAAACAAGTATAAGCGCACGTAAGGCTCCACAGTCAAAAAGAACTGTATTGTCAGCAAAAATACCACAAACACAGAGACAACTCTTGATTGCCTGGAGATTACTGTAGAGTACAACCCATTCGATGATATAGAAGGCCGCTGGAGATTCATGTGGCCAGATAAACATAAAGACAGCAAGAAAGCGGATGCTAGAGGAAACAAGAATGGCGCAAAACAGCATATTGGGCCTGTAAATAGTTAAAAATACGTGTAGAACTGCCTGCATATGAATAGAACCGTTTCCAGCCGAGCCAATAGCGTGCAAGTATCCAGGGTCCGCTGTGGAACGAGAGATTTTGGACAAGAGAAAGTCCAAGAAAGTAGAGTGCAAGAAGGAGTCCTGCAAGGGCAGAATCTGGTGCTATACGTATAGAATCGTGTGTAGAATTGTGTGTTGCACTAATCCAAATGAAAGCTGTAGATCAGAGAGTGTTACAAGAGACAGAAAGATGTGAACAGTGTTGGAGGCTCACCGGCATCAAAAAGAATCAGAAAAAGCCAAAAACGGGCTACATAAGGCTAAAACGTCAGCAGGTAATGCAGCACAGAGACATACACTAAAACATGTATTTTCAACGGCCAATTGGTTAAAGAGGAGGTGTCTGTAGACCTGCATAAAGATTAGCAGAGATCATCAAAGATCCAATGGGATCAAAGAGTTATTTCCAGGTATTTCCAGGAATTATAGTGGATTGTAGGAAAAACCATTGTAGCAAAAGACCTACCTGAGGCTTGATGAGGATAAGGTCAATAGTGAGGATGACGTAATCGAATTCAACGTATTTGTCGGCAAAGCGTTTGCACCGAGGCTGACAAGTGAGCAGGGCGGTGCAGCAGGAAGCATACGCATTGTGTGAGGCGGAAGATGTTCTTTGAATACTCTGTATAGAGAGATGCGACAGGCTGTGCACACTCAACACACAGAAACATTGGAGTCGCAGCACTTGATGGTTATGGTTGAAGTGGTTGTCACGACGTTGCCAGAGTATAGTGTTGCTAGGGGGTTGCTAAGGTATCGACTATATGAATTTGAATATTCAGGAAAAGGGCTTTATAGGCCACTAATGGCTTAAGATGAAGCAAAAAAGAAGATGAAAATGTTCTTTTTACATAGAAATATGGGAATATAGCAAAAAGAGCGGTTTTTTCTTTTTAACTGATGAGGAAAAAAAGAGACTGTATTTGGGGACATGAGTGTGGTTTGTGAGAGGGCATCAGAGTGTACATGAGTATTTAATGGGATGATATATACGTATGAGCATTCTAAATAATGAAAATGTGTAAAAAAATGGAAAAGTTACATACTTTATGTGTTATGGTTGAAAAATCGTGTAGACTGGTGATTAGACACTGATTGAGAGGAATTGCTCGAATTTAGGGCCCAATTCTGGTTATTTTGGTTCTGAGCCAATAATAATAGAAGGAATATTGTGTTTAAGTGAATGGAATCTGAAGAATAGTGATTTAAAGGTGTTTGAGTTTTGAAATGACAAAAGGCGAATCAAATTGGCTTGAATGGGCATAGAGACGTAAAGTTTTGCCTCTGAGTATTTTGAAATGGTCTTTTAAGCGTCTCCATATACATTTATGTTATCACCAGTAGGTAGAAGATATTGATTATATGATTTCTGCTACACGGATAACTGGAGATACAAGAAAGAGCCTTTTTGGAAAAGTTGACATTCTGGTGATAACACGGGAATTCTTGGTATTGCATTATTCATAATTGTGATAAATACCACAATGTAGGTAACAGTGATAGACAAAAGTGGTGACAAAAGAAAATAAAGGATGTCTATAAATCTATTATGATGTTTTTTGTGTTTTGGTTGTATTATACAATATATAAAGTGATTTTAAAAGTGAGGCGAGATAATAAGTAAATTCGTGCATCAATAGAACATAAGACAATATAAAACAATACAGGGTAAACGATAGCATAAAACAACACAAGGTAAATGGTAACACAAAATGCAAGAAAAGTAATAATATAAAATGGAAAATAAAGGATAGGATAAAAGATACTTTAAATACCCTGTTGGATCACTTTTTGATACAACTAGTGATAAATACAAAAAACACAAGGATACAAGTATATATTATAAATTTTCAGTAAGTCACCCAAAATAACAGTAATCATTGCGGAAATAAATACAACAGTCCAGAAAATTGTGATGTTTTTGAGGCAATTAGATATATTTAAGCTTGGTTTTTATGGTTTTTGCATTATTGTGTTGTATACTAATTAGCTTTTTATATAACAAATAGTAAAGTGTGGTTGTTATATAAAGAGTTTTCTATGGTATTCCTGTTGATGTATTTAAAAATAAAATTAAGAGTATTGTATCTACAGTTGTCACAAAAAATGCTTTTTGTTATTACTATGTTTTCCAATGATGGATTTTCTTCTAGTTTTATATATATTCATATGGATGAAAAATTTTTTATTAATATTTTCATCTTCTGTTGCATCTGTATTTTGTGTAATTATATCACTTGGATTTTTAATCTTTTAAAAGTAAACTTCAAGTTATATTCGATATTGAATCAAAAATTATTGAAAGATTTAAAAATCAAATAAATCATGTTAAACGGATTACCCGAAGGATATCTTCCTAAATGGAATCTCATTGTTTCAGTAATAGCTTTCTTCAATACAATGCAAACTTATGTTAATTTGAAATTGACTCGACGTTTATATAATACTTCTGATCAAGGTACTATTTTTGTTGTGGAATAACCATTATTTACAATTATACAGTAAACGCTCTTGGAGCAAGACTTTTTGGGACTTGGACACTGGTCTCTGCAGTTGTAAGATTTTATGCAGCTTATCATATTTCTAATTCTGTGTAAAAACATGATAATACTTTATGAAAATAATTTACATAAATTAGTGTTTACGAAATAACATTATGGACATATTATATCGCGGCATTCCATTTCATTAGTGAATGGCTTGTATTTAAAAGCAGTAAATTTGGTGCACCACTTGCAGGACCACTTGTTGTTTCTAGTAATATTTAAACGGAACTACAGTCAATCTTAACGTTAATAGCCCTAACTATTATTTGGATGAACATATCTCGTGACAATTACATAAATTAGTAAATATTTGTGTTAAAATATTGGCCAAAAGTAAAAATTATTAAATTTTTATGGATAAATATATTGGTCTTATTTTTAACCATTTATACTCGATAATTTATATCCAATTTCTCTAGCTGTTCGTTCAGTGTTTTTTCTTTAATTTGTGGTATTTCTTTTATACGAAATAAGATATTGGCACCTTCATTACGCCGACAATTTACAAATTTTTTGGCGTTTATTAAAAGTACATTTGAAAGTTCTTTTAAATCTTCATATAATGAAATAGTATGTCTATATATAATATTAGTAATATTAAAATAATATTGTTGTCAAGTTTTACAAAATTTCGGATTTTATATTACAATATTTTTTATATATCTCTTTGAAATCATTTGAAATATTTGTATTTGTTTCATTCATTTTAGTCCATTTTTGACCAGGCGACTTTGATGAAATATGTTGTAAATCTTCAAAAACTGATAATAAATTTTGAAGTATCTGATCTTGATGATAAATAGTTTCACTAAGTCTGGTTTCATGATGTTTATATTTTTCAAGTTCTGAGGAAAAAAATTGTTTTTCTGCATTTGGTTTTATTTTTTTTAAAATTAGTATATTTGAAATATCATCATTGGAAATCTAAATATATAAATTTAGCTAATACTTCATATTAAAAAATGTAAAACCTTTTCTTTTAAATCTTTTAGAGTTGTTTGCCGCTCTCTTTTGATGATGCTTAATTTTTTTAGCATATTTTCTATTTCATTTACTTTATTTTGTATATCATTAAAATCATCAATATCTAAAAGGTTTTTATTAAAATTTTCGTGAATAACTTTTTTAATTTCTTGTTCATAGAAATTTTTGATAGTTTTTTCTCCTTCAATCAATATATTCATTTTTTGCGCAAAAGATTGATATTCAGATATCAAGCGAGAATCCGATTTAGTATATGAAGCAAAATTTTCTTTGTAGAGAACTAATTCTTTTCTCATTAATTGGGTTAATGAGCTAGATGAAGATTGGGTCCATCTATGCATATATTTTTTCTAATACATGTCAACAATTCATTAAAAGATAATATAAATATTACTCTCATTGTTTCAGATTCTCGTTCTTCTTCTTCTAAAATGAATTCTGTTTCATTTAAGTTTCTACTTATTTTTTCTTTTAAGTTTGAAAGATTATTAAAAAGATGTGAAATTTTAAATTCATTTTCTTGGTGAAATAATATTTCTGATAATTCGATAATTTCTTCTGGTATTTTTGACAATTCTTCAAACATAGTACAATCATCATATTTATATTGCTTCAAAGCCTTAGGTAATTTTAAACGATCTAGTGTTGTAATTAATTTTGACTCTGCATTTTCGCATTTTTCCAGTTCCTTTCTAATCAACTTAGCTTTTTCCTCGGAATATAAAGAAACACTTTCATGAATAGATAAAGGTATAAATTTGTGGAAAATATCTTGCCCAATTAATTCTTGTATATTCTGATTGGTATATATTTCTTGAATAGGGGTTGCTTTCACCATTGAAAGCTTTTCAAGGGGTTTAAGACATTTTTCATTAACAATAGGCTGATGATATATATAATCATTATCATGAGTTAATCTATTTTCCTTCTCTTGTATTTGTATATAAAAACTTTTGATTATATTATCAAAGTATGACATTGAATCAATTTTTAGCTTATCAGAATTTGGTATTGATAAAAGTAAAGAAGAAGAAAGTTTAGAAGCTTCATGAGATTGTTTTTTCGCTATTGCTAAATGTGTCAATGCTTCGCCATACATATCATTTTCTTCATTCACTAAGGCTTTATTTAAATGTGCTATAGATTTGTAGAATTTTTTCTTTATCTAATATCATTAATATTCTACTAGTATAAAGTAAAAAATGTACTTCAAAAAGTTGTAACCAATATTTTTTAAAAATTCTTTTCTGAACATTTACAGAAATTCTACTTATAATATTTTCGTAATACCAGGATGTTTGTGCAGAAAGCTTAGATATCATATTAGGCTTTTTTGATTTATTAATTTGTTTTTCACAAAGGATTTCTTGAGCCTGAGCAAGCATGATTTCGTATAAAGATTGGATTGTATCTTTTTCCAAATCGACACTTGGTGCATGTAAAAAATTAGTATTTATATATTCAAATACACCTGCTGATGATTGAAAAGAATGATATGCTTTTTTGAGACCATCCTCTTCTGACCTATCTTGTGTTGCTCCAATTGCAGAAAGCGTAGCTGCGATATTAAACATGACACATGCTTTTTCATATGCTAAAGAATACTGGGATATAGGTTTATTTGTAAATGCACAATACCTTTATGATTATGTAATATAAAAGAAAGTGGTTAATTATTACCATTTGAATAAAACTCGAACATTTTTTTCATCTATAGGGAATCTAAGACCTAAAAGCTCAAGCTGTCCATAATATCTAAAGGTATATATTAGTGGTACAGTGTAAATTGTACATTCAAATATACTTATAAAGCATATCTCGACTCGTTAAATCCATACTTGTTTCTTGTATATCTTGCCGTAATTTATTGAGAATAAAACATTCCTAGATATAAATATGTTTTTTAACTAAAAAAAGATAATGTCACATTAGTATATTGGTTTTCATCAGTGGATGTAGTTTTAATGAATTGTTTTAATGGCTGAATCCAATCAAGATCATCTGTTCGTTTTTTTGGAAAACTACAAATAAATTAGATATTTATGGTATTTTGAAAACTTTTAAAAATTATAATATTTACTGTATGAGTGGAATTTGAGGCATTTTAAAATTATTTTTAAAACTTGTTTTAAACGAAATATCTTTTAATTTTCGAAATACTAAAATGACCTTAATACAATATTTGTAGATACAAATTTAATGATATTTCATTTATTTTGTGTAGTGTTAGTATATATTTTTGTTTTTGTTATATAATTAATGTTAATTAATATTTTTAAAAAATTAACTATGAAAAATCTTCAAATAAATTAATGGATTGGATAGCTTTTAGAAATTCTTATATTTTCATTAATTTAGTGATTTTATTGAACTTTATATTAGGTATTTTTTTATTTATAAGGTTTTAATAATTTTTTAAAATTTAAGATTTACAAATTTAAATATGTAAAATTTCTAAAAAATTATATTTCTTAAAAATATATATATAATTATTTACAAATATTTGAATTTTAATATAATTTTCATGATTTTCTTAATGGTAGAAATTCCTCATAAGTTTATATTTAAAAATTAGTCAGGAAAGCAATATGTATAAATACTAAAAAGTCAATTTATATAATTATGAACAAACATATTCACGTTTTAATTTTAATTGTTTATATAGAATAGACAATATATTAAAAGATGTAAAAATCAAAATATTTATAAAAAAAAATGAAATTATTTGTTTATTTAAAATATAAATATGATACTTCCTCATAAAAAAAATATGCTTTTTTTCATATTATTCCATTAATCTAATATTTTATAAACATTATATTAACTTCATGTTTCAAATCCGACTACTTTTTATTATCGATTGTTTTAAAGTTCGACAAAAATTATTTTTAAGATTGTTGTAGTTTTTTATTATGTTTTGTTTATTTTTGTGAAATGTATTTATATTTTAAGATATAATGCTTTTTCATTAATTAGGCTTTTTTCGTATTTTAATAGACTTTTAAATAATGTAATTGTTCCTGAAATTTTGAACGGTATTAGATTTTGACCCTTTTTATAATATTATACAAAGATAGATTAAGGAAAAATACTTTTTGGATAATAGAAAAGGTTAAAGTATTTTAGAGCCTTAATTTATTTAGGCTGAAATTTTTACTGTTTTTTGAATTCTTTTATTACATAATTTTAAAAATATGTTAGCGACACCTTGGACTCATACACGCTTTTATTTGTCCTTTATTAGATGTCGTAAAGATAAGTGTTTAGTTGCATCATCTTTATTATCTGTCAATGTTGTAATTTCCGCTGTTTTTTTGTTTTTAAGTCAAAAATGTTATTATGGCAGAGGGTTAAAAATGCATTATGTATATTTAAAAAAAAATACTCTTTTACCTTTAGGAATTCATGATATTCATTTTTCATCATCATATCAGCAGCCTTTGCGTCAAATTTCTGATTTTTTTAGGGATTTAAATTATAAGGAATTTTGTAAAAATGAAAAACTTAAAAAAAAGAATATTATGTTAAGAAAATATACTATAAGGGAAAGAATTTTTAGAATATGCTTTCCTGAATTTAGGGTCTATGGATGCAGACAATTTTCAACTTTAAGCTCTCTTTTAAAGTCTAGTGGAAGTGGTGGAAACCATGGAAAAGGGAAATTCAATGGTAAAAATCAAGAACATGGTCTTCAAAAGCCTGTTGTTCCGGAAGTATATCCTCGAATGATGGCATTACCTATTGTTCGAAGACCTTTATTTCCAGGTAGAACTAATTTATATGTTTTTCACTTTCTAATATTTATAGGTTTCTACAGTATGTATAGAATTTTTTAAAATTTCTATTTTTGGTTTATTTTTTATAGAAGCAGTTGTAATAAAAAATCCTTCTGTTACAGAAGCTATTAAAGAGATGATAAAAAGAGGTCAACCATATATTGGTGCATTTCTTCTTAAAGAAGATGTAGATACAGATACTATTACTAATATTAATCAAATATATAATGTAGGCGTTTTTTCTCAAATTACAAGCGTATTTCCAGCAAATAATACCGGGGATGAGAATGCTCTTACTGTAGTATTATATCCACATAGACGGATTAAAATTGTCAACCTGATAGGACCTCAAGTTAATGCAGATGGAGTTGAGAATTCTGAAGAACTAATAAATAACAATGATAATACAAAATCCGAGAATTTTGATTCTATAGAATGTATAGAAGAACAAAATGTAGAAAATAATTGTTTTAACAAAGAAACAACTAACGAACCTTCTATAGACGGTATTTTTAAAATTTTGACTCGTGTTTATTGTTAAATGAGTTTAGATGATAGTCATTATGCAACTTCTTTTTTAAATACTTATGATGTATCGTTAGTTAATGTAGAAAATTTAGTTGATGAAGATTTTGATCCGAAAAATAATATTATTAAAGCAGTTACATCTGAAATAGTAAGCGTTTTTAAAGATATTGCAACTTTTAATCCATTATTTCGAGATCAAATTGCGAATTTTTCTATGTCTCAGTCTATAGGAAATGTATTTGAAGAGCCTGCAAAGCTTGCTGATTTTGCGGCTGCTGTATCTACTGGAGAAGTAGCAGAATTGCAAGATATTTTAGAAACATTATCTATAGAAGCTAGATTACAGAAGTCATTATTAGTTCTAAAAAAAGAACTTATGAATGCTCAGCTTCAGAGTAAAATTAGTAAAGATGTTGAATCAAAAATTCAAAAAAGACAAAGAGAATATTATTTAATTGAACAAATGAAAGGTATAAAAAGGGAATTAGGATTAGAGAGTGATGGAAAAGACAAGCTAGTTGAAAAATTTAAAGATAAAGCATCTAAACTTTCTATGCCAGAAAATGTAAAAAAAACATTTGATGAAGTATATTTTTAGATATTTTTTATTACGTATTTAATTTGGAATAGGAATTAAATAAACTTATTCATCTAGAGCCGTCTGCTTCAGAGTTTAATGTAACGCGGAATTATTTAGATTGGTTAACTCAAATACCATGGGGACAGCAATCTGCAGAAAATTATGATATCAATCATGCTATGAAAGTTTTAGATGAAGATCATTATGGATTAAAGGATATAAAAGATCGAATTTTGGAATTTATAGCAGTTGGTAAGCTTAGAGGATCTGTTGAAGGCAAAATTTTGTGTTTTGTTGGACCTCCTGGTATATTTTTAATAATGTTGCCATTGTTCTGATTTTTTAAGGTGTTGGAAAAACATCTATTGGAAAATCGATTGCAAGAGCATTAGATCGTCAATTTTATCGTTTTAGTGTTGGAGGCCTTTCTGATGTTGCCGAAATAAAAGGTCATAGAAGAACATATGTTGGTGCAATGCCTGGAAAAATTATTCAAAGTTTAAAGAAAGTTCAAACGGAAAATCCATTAATACTTATTGATGAAGTTGACAAAATCGGCCGAGGACATCAAGGAGATCCTTCTAGTGCTTTACTTGAACTTTTAGATCCTGAGCAAAATTCATCTTTCCTCGATCACTATCTTGATCTTCCTGTTGATCTTTCTAAGGTTTTATTTGTTTGTACTGCAAATATTATAGATACTATTCCAGGACCACTTTTGGATAGAATGGAAATTATACACATATCAGGTTATGTGGCTGATGAAAAAATGGCAATTGCAAAAAATTATCTTGCTCCAGAAGCTAAAGAGCTTGCTGGTTTAAAGGATATTGATGTTAATCTAACTGATGATGCAATTGAATCTCTTATTAAGTATTATTGTCGTGAAAGTGGGGTACGAAATTTAAAAAAACATATAAATAAAGTACATATTTTTAATATAGTAAATTTTTGTGACTGTTTTAGGTATACCGTAAATCTACTCTAGATATTGTTAAAGGTCTTGAAGAAACAGTTGAAGAGCCATTAATTGATGAAAAAAAAGATCAAAAAGAAAATGATCAAGATGACTTTAAAGCATGTTTTTCAAAGACTACTAAAAAAACATGGAAACCTTTGAAGGTTCCGGATTCTGTTTCTATAACAATAGATTCTTCAAATTTAAAGAATTATGTTGGTCCTCCTATTTTTACTACTGATAGACTTTATGATATAGCACCTCCTGGTGTTGTTATGGGTTTAGCTTGGACAAGCCAAGGTTCATAATTCGTGTGAATACATAGAAGTTTTTTAATATTTACAGGTGGTGCTGTTTTATATGTCGAATCCATTTTAGAAAATGTTATGTCAGCAACATCTAAACCTAATTTTATTTGTACTGGTCAATTAGGAGATGTTATGAAAGAATCATCAAGTATAGCATATTCTTATTCAAAAAGTTATATTTCTCAAAATTATCCTGATAATAAATTCTTTGAAAGAGCTCGAATTCATCTTCATTGTCCAGAAGGTGCCGTTCCAAAAGATGGTAATACATTTTTAAATAATAAGAAAAGCATTAATTTTTTAGGTCCTTCTGCTGGAATCACAATGACAACATCAATATTATCGTTAGCTTTAAACTATCCTGTACCACCATCTATAGCAATGACTGGAGAAATTACTTTAACTGGAAAAGTATTAAGAATAGGCGGTTTAAGAGAAAAAGTAGTTGCTGCCAAAAGATCTGGGGTAGATACTATTATTTATCCTGAGGCTAATCAAGCAGACTGGGATATATTACCCGATAACATTAAAAAAGGACTGATAGGTGTACCCGTTAATTGGTATTTTGATGTTTTTGGTGTAGTTTTTAAAGACATAGACAATTCCAAGGTTTCTATGTTATGGAAAAATGATGTTAATGGAAATGTTAGCAAAGCAATTTCGTAAAATTTATTTTTGATTTTTTTCTGCATTTCAACTTTTATTTTTGTATACATAAAATAATGTTTAAAGTTTATATATATGCATTTATATGTTTTTGTATATAGTAAAACTAATATAATTTTACATTATCTTAATTATAAATAAATATTAAAATGAATATGTTTTTTAAAATATTAAATATTTTTAGATTTTTTCATTGAATTTTTAATATATAATTTCTGTCTATATAAATTGTATTGCTTTATACTAATTTATTTAATAATGATTTTTTTAATTGTTTTTATCTTTTAAAACTCTGCTTAAGTTCTAGTTCGATAACTATTATATAAACGCATTGCGTAATATCAATTTCGTTACCTAAAATTCTCTAAATATAAACAGAAACTGAGATTTATTAAATATTTATTGTAGATTTGTATATGTACTCTTGATTACTAGTTACTGCAAAGCAATACTTTATCAGTATACAATTTTTTGAAGATGAGTACACAAGCAGGCCAATCTATAAATTCTATAGATGAACATGATGTTGATTTAAAGGATTGGATTATTAGAGTTAAAAAGCTTCAAGAAGAGCGTGATAGAGAAGATGAAGAACGTAACAAGAAACTTGAAGAAGTACGATTTAAATTAGATACTTTCTAGAATTTAATTATGTAATAATAGGAAATTTTGGCTGAAAGACGTGCTAGACATGAACGAAGAGCGCGTAATTTTAAAATATATACTTATGAATTAAATTGAATTTCTTAGAACGTGAGCTTTCCCTATCTCCTGATAGATTAAGTCATGTCTCTTCACCTGTATCTCGGCATTCTGAATCTTCTTTTTCTACTCTATTTAAAGAAAAAGATCCTGTTGATCGGAATTTGCTAAATTCACCTTCTCCTAAACGTAGTTCGACGAAAAATGTTAATGTATACACTTTCTCTTTTATTCATGAAATAAATTATTATAGGAACATTTAAAGAATGTTCACGATATATTGGAGCAAAAATATGTTTTAGATAGAACATGTAAAAAGACAAATGATATTCTATCGGTACAAGAGATGTCTTTGGGTAATGGTATTAGATAATATAAAATAAATTGTCTTTTATAGCATCGTTAGATAATACTCGGATGTATTCTCATAATACCATTTCTTTTCGAGACAAAAAGGATTGTTTTTCTACATCTTTTTTGCGCTCTAAAAATAATTCATATATTTCCTCATCATTAGAGGCTGAAAGATTAACTAAAATGGATTCTGGCAGTCTAGGAAATAATCAAACATCTCCGCATAATCTTTCTAATAATTATTCTTCTGAAGATGCTAGTGTTTCTGGGACAGTAACATCTGTTAGAAATCCTATTTATAAGTTATTTGTATTAATGTTTAAAGAATATTCCTTTGGAATCTAGTTCAAAATCTTTATATTCTGATACTTTAGTTTCAAATAAATTACTTGGAAGTGATATGCCATCATCATTATCGTCTAATAAAAATTTATCTTTAATAATGAGTGATATCTCTAGAAACCAGTTTAAAGGAAGTTTTGTGCAAAGCGCAATTATGAAAAATAATGATTCTCATAAATCACCATCTAAATTGTCTAGAAATAGTTCTGTTTCTTCACAGAAAGAATTAAGAACGGGTACAGAATCACTAATTAAAACTCCTATTCCTCAAAAAATATCAAATTTAAACAAAGAAACGAGTTCTTTGGAAGGTAATATAGCATTTTCTGAGGAAAAGGAGAATGTTTTTTCAAAAGCTAGTTCTAAATTGGATTTAGAAAAATCACATTATAGTGTTTTGGAAAATGCTAAAACAAGTATTGAAAATAAGGTATTTTAGTTTAATTCCAGGAAAAGATATTTATTTTCTTAAGACACTTTTAAAGAATCATGACGATTTAACATTTTTAAAAAATGCAGATTATGATAATTCTCCTTTAAAACCTATATCTTTAGAAATTGAGAAGTTAAATGTTTCTCCTGCTTCATGTCATGAATTTCAAAATACATTTAATAAATCAAAAAATAATTTTTTAGATCATTTTTCTACGCCTGATTCTATATCTACTAGAGATATTTTAAGTTCTAGTTCTTATAAAGAAAAATTTGGATCTTCGTTTTCTAATTCTTCAAAAATGGATTCTTTTAAAGCAGGAATACTTGACGTTAAAAACAATTTAAGACCTTCTTCTAGGATATTATCTCCTAAGCATGATCCTTTTAAAGACGGAATTTTGAATGCAAAAGAATCACTTAGACCTCTCTCTGCATCACCGCGAGAAAAAATAGATGTTTTCAGAGAACGTCTTTTAACTGCAAAATCTTCTTTAGGAAAATTAGGAAATAATAATTGTCGAATTCCTATTAATGATTTTTCTCCTTTAGGGGCTAGAAAATTAAGTATAGTGTCTTTTTTTCTAAAATTTTCTTATTTTAATAGATCATATAAATAATACATCTTCAAATGCTTCCAATGCAACTGTGGCTTCTTTACTTAAAAAAGGATGTTCCAAACAATTTTTAGACTCTCAGCATAATTTTCATGAGAGTAGTACGAATTTAAGGAAAAGTTTTCCACTTTCTCAAGATTATAGCTCATTATCTCATTTATCTATGGAATCGCACACTATCATAAAAGATGACAACAATAAATTGACACATGTTTGATATTCTTTTGTCTTTTTATTTTGTTTATTTTATTTAGATTCCTAAAAATCATATTAAAAGTCATCAAAAAAAAAATTCTATAAATTCAGTAAAAGCAGTAAGATCTCTTTTTTTTTTGTTAAATATTAATCTTAAAGTTTGATATGAGTACTTCTTTTCAGGATCCGACTTCTAAACAAATTTATCAAGATAACAATAAAATAGATGATATAAAATGGTCAAATTTAAATTTTAGTAGTACTTCGTTAAAAGAAGTCCAGCAATATTTTGATGACAAAATTGATGATATTGGACCTTCTAACAAAAATAGTATTCAATCTAATTTGGATTCTGAATTATTAACTATATCATTTAAAGATGATATAAATAATAATTTTTTTAATGAAAAAACTGATACGGCATCTACAGATACACTTATAGCGGCTTGGACTCAGGCTCTTAGTAAAGAAAAGTCTAAACGTTCTAAGCCGTCAATTCAAGAAGTCTGGAGTGATAATAAAAATATTGCAAAACAATCCAATGAAATTGATGTTAATTTAAGAAATTATGTAACTACGGGTATTTCTAGTTTCTTAAATAGTTTAATAAGATTGAATAATAATAAATATATAGATTCTAATTACGATATAATGAAATCAGGTTCAGATTTTATGGTTAATAATTCAAAAATAAAATCTTAAATAATTTGGTTTTGGGTACTAATACATTTAGAAGCTATAAAAATGTTTATAATTTTGTAGGACATTTTACTTCAGATTACTTTAATAAACTATTTAATCTATTTAAATTATTATCTTTAAAAAAATATATTTTAAGTTCTTTTTAAGTTTTTAAAGTTAGTAGCAATATTAATATTTTTTTTAATTTTCTTTAGAAAAAAATAGTATTTTTTATATTATATTATTTGATTATTTTAAATGAATATAATTTTGATATTCAGAAAATTCATTTTATGGGATTAATAGATATGGTCGATTAAAATAATTGATTGGATCTAAGTTACCCGAGATGACTATATTTTTAATGAGATATATAGTTTATAATATAAAAATATCAGTGTATTTGAGCATCTATAGGAATTTGGATAGACATCAGTAGTTCTGTTTTTATGATTGCAGAACATAATACTTTCTAAGAAAAATATTTGAATTTTTAAAAAAATTATATCTGATTATTTACAAATTATTATTTATAGGCTTTATATTAAATTTCAGATTAATATTTATGGATTCTTCGATAAGAATGCTTTATTTATATATGCTTTAAGCATTATAATTTTATCCAAGAATAATTAAAAAATTATTTCAATAAAATAGCTCTATTCAGTTTATTCGATTCGTTATAAGAGAACATTACAATTGATCTGATGAGATTGATATGGTATTTATTTTTATTGAGAATAATAATTTATAGAATTAACTCTTCTAGATGTAATAATTTTTTATTGACAAAAAGGTTATTTAAAATATAATGCCTTTATAATTAAAATCTCTTATACTGTTTATATTTGGATGAAAAAAACATATTTTTAAAGAATATTTTATTATGAAAATCGTAGTACAAAAATTTTATTTAATCAGGTTGATTATAAAATTTAAAAAAAAAGAACTTTATAAATTCTATAGTATTATTCTGTGGAAAGATTATATTTTTGTTTCATGTTGATTTTTAAAATTATTATATTATTTGAATCATACTCGATTAGAGTTTTCAAATTTTAAGGGAAAAGGATGTTTGCATTTTTAAGTAATGATTATTTTTAGTCTTTAGAAAATAATAGAAATGTTTTTATTGTTATTTTTATTATAATAAATTTTTTATTATAAATATATTTTTTTAGATTATGTTATTGAATACTATGAAGAAACTTTACAATAATTTAAAAACATGTTTAATTTTATGCAAAATATATTTACATTATATTTATATATATTATCACATTAAAAAGACTTTTATTTTATTGTTATAAGTTTACTTTTTAACTATCTAGAGAATTTAAAGTTTTATTTAACGTCACGAAAATATGTTAATTTATTTGAAATTAAATATAATTAAAATTCGAATACTAAATAAATGTAATAAAGATTTTAAATAAATCTAGTTTTTTAATGAGTTTCAAAGTTGTATAACAATTATATTATTAATTTATATTTTTATAATTTACCTACAATAAATCAATCTTTTATTAATAAATATTATAAATATATTTATTTTTATATTTTTTATAAAAAAATAAAATTTTAATTTTTCTATTCTAATTATATATGTTCTATATTTCTGTTATATATATATACATATATCGTATTTATATTTTAATATACTATTGATTATAATAAAATATTTTTTATAATGAGCATTAATATAAACTTTTTATTTATGTTGATTTTACTTTCTCAAACACATAAGATATACAACCTTTGTCTATTTCATTGTTTTCTTGAGATATTTTCCGTAATATATTATCTTTTATATTATTATAATAATCATTATTTTTCGATATTTCAATATGAGAATATTCATTAATTCTATGAAGATGTTTTTTCTTTATATAATTTGACTATAAAAAAATGAATAAAATATAATATATTATAATTGTTTTACCATTTTTATTTTAGATTCTAGAATTTCACTAGATTTTACCCAACCGCCTAAATTAATTTCATCATCAGAAAACTCTTCATAATCGATCTTTTCGACATTCAACCCATTCCCCTGACACTGACAACTTAAAAGTTCATGAGTTTGACATGATGTATCTTGATAAAAAAAAAGAGATTTCAATTCTTCTTGCGTAAAGGAATCTTTAATCAATGACATTTTGGAATCCTAAGAAAACATTTAAATATACCGATATTTCAATTTTTAAATTATTACTATAAATGTATCTGAAAGACCTTGTTTTGTTATTTGTCTTTGATATATTTTTTCGTCAATCATTCCAGATCTTCAACAATTAATTTTATAAATATAGTTATTAGATACTTTACATAAGAAAACGATAAACAAATGTTCTTTTTCGTTGACCTAAATAATAAACATTTAGAAAATAGAATAAATAAATACTAAAAATTATTACCGTCACGACGTATACGAGCCATAGTTTGAAGATCCACACTTATAATTAATATATTTTTGAATATTTTAATTTCTTTTACCTAGGATTCCAGTCTATGTCAAATAAAACTAATCTAGATGCCCCGATTAAGTTTAATCCATATCCCCCTGATTTTGCTGATAGTAAAAATGCAACTAAAAATATTAAGTTCATATATATATATATATATATATATATAATACATATTTCACTAGAGTCAGATGAGTTAAATTTATCTACATATTCTTGTCTCTTAATATTAGCTGTTTGTCCATCTAAACGAAGATATGATAAAGATTTAGAAATTAATAAATTTTCTAAAATTTGAAGAGTCTTATAGAATAAGAAAATAGTGCTTGATCTATTTTTAAAAATACCTGTGTATAATGTGAAACAATAACAACTTTTTCATCTGTAGCTTTTAGTGCTTCTAAAAATTTATCAAAAACTAAAAGTTTTCCTGAATCCTTTGGACACCTGGAAGAAAATTTATGTTTTATATTTGTATGAAATAAATCAAAGTCTTGTTCCTTTTAAGAATTAGTTAAAAATTTAAAAAATATAAAATAACTAACAATTTTTTTTTTATGAAACAAAAGTGTAGGAGAATTGCAAACTTTTTTCAAATAAGTTAAAGCTCGTAAATGAACTGCTATATTAGTATTTCCTGCATTTAAACTTGACATTGATATATTTATTAATTCGCGGTATATATCTACTTGTAATGATGTTGGTTTGCAAAATACTATATATTCAACTTTACATATAAGTAATATAAGTAGCTGAAGTTTTTAAGATACCTGTAGGAGGAAGATATTCATCAAGAATTTCTGAAGTTCTTCGAAGAACAAACATTTTTGTTAAAGATGCAAGCTAATAAAATTATCTTATGAATAGATTATTCTATAAAACCTACCTGTTCAGAACGTGCCCTCCCTTTTTCTTTGTCTTTCTTCATACACCCTGCTTGTCTGCTTTTAATAATTGGATTTTCAAATTCTTTTTTAAATGTAGCATAATTTTCCAATAAACCTGGATTTACAAAATCAACCATTACATAAAATTCACCTAAATCTAAACATAATTTAATACTAATTGAATAATAATAATAATAATAATTGCCATTTTGAATCGGAGTTCCACTTAAAATTATTCTTCTGCGAGTTTTAATTGATTTAATAGCTTGTGCTAATTTATTTGTAGATTTTAAACGATGCCCTAGTATTTATTATAAAATTAATGTTGATTATAAATAAAATACCTTCATCGCATATAATAATATCTATATTTGCATCTTCTAATTGATCAAATATATTTCTGAGCTTTTCAAATAAGTTAAAGATAATTTAAAATTTTAAAATTACTCTTTCATAACCAATTATCATAACTGAATAAACGTTTCCTACGGAGAAATTTTTAATATTAGAATTTGAATCAACAACAAATAATCCAATTTTCTCATTTCCACCTATCCATTTTCGAAATTCTTTTTTCCAATTCTAATAACAATGTAAAGATGTCTTTTTAATAATAAAATATTTAAACATACATTAATAAGTGTGACTGGACAAACTATTAGTGCACGTTTAATGATTGATTTAATTCCATAATATGGACTTTGTTCTAAAAATGTTTAGAAATAAAAAATGTAGAAATTAATAAACTTAATAATGTCCATAAGAGTGTAATAATCTGAAGAGATTTTCCAAGACCCATCTAGACTAATAAATTTAAAAAAAATTACGATTATTTAGTTACTTCATCGGCTAATATAGCACCTTGACCTTCAAATTCTCTCATTTTCATAACACATTCATAAAGAAATTTAACACCTTCGCGTTGATGGGGTCGAAGATGTTTAGATAATGATGGATCAACAACTACATCTATTATTTGAACGTTTTTCCTAATGTATTGGTATGCTTTTAGAAAACGAAAATAGCTATTTACCCTTGATAGCTTTCAACTTTTGGCCTTGGAAATACTAATGCTCCTGGCTCATTAGGATCATGACGTGCCTGTGGTAATTTAGAAGTTTGAATATGCATTATATTAGATGTTAAAAGAGGTGTTTTAAATTTTTTTGTATGTATATTAAGCATTGGGTAAACTGTTTTTGGATTATTTGGTAACTGTGTAAATGGTTTTCCGGATAAATAATCTTCTTTATTTAATATACTATCAATCTTTGATTATTAATAAAAATAAAATATAGCTAAAGAAATACCTCTACTTCTTTATCGCCTATCACCAATTGATCTCCTACTGATAATAAAGAGAAATTATGGCGACATTTTGCTAAGCTTAATTATGTTATTTAATTGTTACTCTAAAATTAGCTTACTTGTTTCCATCTAAATCCTTAAGAAAGTACATATTATTAATAAACGATAAAACGCCATCTCCTTGCCATGATTTATTTTTCTTAGTTGTTTGTTTTCTCCTAAAAACTTTAAATTGAACATTTAATATTAATAACATACCATAAGACATTATAATGTCTTTCTTCATGTGAAGATATTTGTTTCTCTTTTACCTCAACATTGCCACCATTTTTAATATTAATAAAAGAACAGTTTAAGTTAATATTTTATTTACTTTTTAAAACAATAGTTTTATTTATTGAATAATTATTGGGACAATTATTTTGGCTTACTTTCAACCGTTTTTGTACAGCTTCCAAATTATCGTATGATAATACGTTATTATTATCTTTATCATTAATATCAGGTAGTTTTCTTAATAATGGAGAAACAAATCTTGAAGGGCTCATGAATTTTATATGTCGTTTAGACGCGTTGAAGGATTAAAATGATATAAATACTTTAATAATAATAATAACAGTAAATACATAATTCAATAGATAAATTTTAATATTTTATAATTATTTATTTGATAACAAAATTCTAATAATTTATTCATCATCACTTTCATCACTTTCATCACTTTCATCATCACTAATAAAGAATTAATATTAAAAAATTAAGTTTAACAAAGATAATATTTACCCTGATTTTTCTTCATTTTCACGTTCCATACGTTGCATTAACGCTTGCAGTTCCAATTCATCTACTTCACTAACTGCTTTCGGCTAAAATAATAAGTTAAGTTTAGATAATTATAAAAAATACCCTCATTTTTACGGTGAACTCTCCACCGGACGAAACGATGCTTTTTTCTATTTCTTCTAATGCCTCTTCTAAGGTCTGAATGCCCAATTTTTTATCCAATGTATTTGTAGTAACGACATATAAAGGAGGTGCAACAAGTTTGACTTTAATAAGGACATCTTTAGAGTTTTTTGCTTCTGCTGCCTTAAGTGCTTGTTTAACAGCATTAATTCCATCGTATCCAAAACATGTTACTTCTACATCTGCTCTTATTTTAACTGCTTGAGGAGTTAATCTGCGAGTAATTTGAAGAATAAGATCTTGTATAACTTGAGGATTTGAATGATATAATCCTTCAAATACAGATTCAGAGTTTCTATAAATGTATTTTAAAATTTTAAAAAAAAAAAAATTAAAATATCTTACATAATTGCAAATTTGAATGCATCATATGCATGACCATATTTTCGATACAAAGGCCACCCAATTAATGTGTATAACTCTTCTAGAGGAATGTTGTGTTTTTCTGCAACATTTCTTAGGATAGAATGAACAGCTTTCGATTTATTGAATCTATCTTCGCACTTAATAATATCTTCTGGACTCACTCTACGTTTAGATAAATCAATATAGCCTACATTTTTAGAATATGGTAATGTTTTATTGATCTGAACTTGTACCTTTTTCTTTGTCTACTCGAAGAACCACTACGACTTCGTTTCGGCCTATACGAATCAATTTTTGTATAGATCTAATCCGTCTGCGTGATAGTTCTGATAGCAAAATCATTCCTTCTATATTATTGTATTCCAATAATTGTACATATGCCCCCATTTCTTGTATTTGTTTTACTAAAAATATTGGATTTTTAAAGCAAATAATATAATTATTTACCATTAACCATTACTAAATCATCAACATCTGGATATTTGCTTTCATAAAAGCGACAACTTGTTGTTGACATTTTGTATATCTTTTTTTAAAGTTAAAGTTTGTTATTTTTTGATTTTTTTAAAAGATATTTGATTTTTGATTCTTCGATAAGTTACGTTTTCAATATTGTAAAATATATATGTAAAAAAGAAATTAAAAAATGTAAGAATAATTTGATATTAATTTTATTGAAACAAAGTTTTGTAAAAATGGAAAACATATTTAAATAAAATTATGTAAAAAAAATAATTTTGAAAGTTATACTTAAAATTGCATGACATAAAAATATAAGTAATAGAATAAGCTTTTTAGTATTTGGCTCTATATGACTCATTGCAGGATTGAATTCTTTAAAAAGAAACAAACTAGAGACTTTAAACCCGATTATAGTAAAAGTCCAACGAATTATAGTAGAAAGAAATTTGAGATTAAATATTTCAAAGACAGGTATATTTATAATCTTAAAATATATAAGACCAGTGATATGAAAAGATTTTTTTACCGCTACAGGGATCCATATAGACATAGCGTAGCCATAAAGACAAAAGTATTCATTAAACTTTAGTTTGCATTTATAATATAGTAATAAACCCCATACACCTATAGGAATAATTGTATTGTAACCATAAATAAGAGAACATGCTTTTGTAAAAGTTGAAAAATCATAGTTATAAGTTGTTCTAGATAAATGAGCCTTAATCCATTCACTTAAAGTTGATGAAAAAAAAAAAGCAAAAATAGTAGTTGTAGTAATCCAAAATGGCCCTTTTTAAGTTTAGTTTTAAAAATAAATAAGTTTTATCTTAAAACTTACCATAAAAATCTAAGTTTCCTTCTATAGAGTCTAAGAAATTCTTCTTAGCAAATAAAGCATATGTAAATCTTTTTATAACTTGGTCTGAATCGATATTAAAGAACTTTGAATAAAACTCAATTGACCAGATTGGCTGTTTCTTTGAATAAACGTCTTGATATATATTATCTGTATTAAATTTGTCTGATTTTATAAGTTATTTTGGTTAATATAATTAAGAAAATACTTTGAACATTAGAGGTATTATCATTTATGTGAAAATCTAAAAATTGTAAGAAAATTTATTTTGAATGTTAAAGCTTAATAGAAACTTTGAAATTCTAGGTCAAGATCTATTGGATTATCTGTATCCTATAAAATATTAGAAAGCAATGAAGATAATAATTTTTACTATAGAAAGTCTATCTCTATTGATAATGTCATAATCTTGAGGCATTGATAGAATTATTTAAAGTTTGATAAAAGATTTAATGAAATTCTTAATAATATCTCATATAATTATAGTTTTAAAGATTATATCGGTGAATGTATAGATTTATTTACTAATATATATTAAATAAAAAATATTAGCTTATAAAATTTTTGGAAATTATTCTTTTTTTTTTTTATTCTTATGAAAATATAATAATCATGTCTTTTTTTTAATAATTCATCATGAATAAATGAATGAATTGAGTTGCATTTATTGAATAAGTTATTATTTATGAAATAATATTTTGTGTTTAAAAATTCTTAGAATGTGTATTATTTTGACATAGTTAATTTTTGTATATGAACATATTATAATATTTAATGTTTAATTAAAAGTTATTATTTTTTATCAGTTTTTTATTAATAAATAATTACATTTCTTTATTATTACTTGGTATTTCAGAATTACATGTATTTGTTATTGTTGTGATCAAAAATAGAGAAAAAAGTAAAAAAACTTTTGAATATATATTTTTAAAAAAATTATATATTTATATTTTAGATTTTTTAAAATATCTTTGAAGTGATTTTTGCTAATTTAAAAAAAATTAATAATTTAAAAAAAATAATATTTTTAAAATAAACTATTTATTTTTTATAATATTTTTTAAAGAAATTTATTATCTTTATAATCTTACTTTCCTTTTGTTTAATTATCTGTTTATTAACATAAAAACAATTATAAAACTAAAGCATTATCGAAATTTAAAAAACATATGAAATTTAAAAGAAAAGAATGTCTTATTCATAAAATTAAGCAAAATCCTGTAAATGCAAAACGTGCTCATGAATATTCTTATCAAGGGAAATCTGAAAAAAATAGAAAAAAGAAAATATATATAGCTCGATTAAAGAGAAATTATCAGCGTTCTTTGAAAGAATATGAACAGGGAAATATAAGGAAAAGATTCTGGATATCAGAAGATAATTCAGGTTCTTCTTTGAGTTTAAATACAAAACATTCTCCGTCTTTAAGTACTCATGATAACGATGAGTTGCAAAATAAAAATGATCTATCTTTGAAAAAAAAACAGCCGAAAAAAATATCTCGTTATTTAAAAGAAGAAAAGAAGGCAAATGCTATTCGTTTGGAAAAAGAGTCTCTAATTATGCAAAAAAAATATAAAGAGGAAGAAAAACAACGGAGAATTGGGGAACGGATAAAGAAATATAAAATTATGACACAAGTAACAAAGAAAGGACAGCCGAAGCTTAATAAAAGAATTGGTCTTCTTTTAGACAAAGTTAAAGAGATTATGAAGAAATAATGTTTAAAATTGCCCAGAATGACTAAAGTTTTATGATTTGAAGTTTTAAAAATCTTTATTCAAAATATGTATATAAAGTTTAAAAAAGTTATAAATAAACAATATGTATAATTGTATTCTATAACAAATTTTAAATATTATATTAAAAATCATTATAATATTCAAAATGATCATTTAAAAATATAAAATATATTATTTAATGAAGTTTAAAGTTTTTTATTTTCCTAAAAAGTTTTTGAAGAACCCTCGTTTGCTAGTAGTTAATTGTTTTATATTTTCTTTATAATCTATATAATTGTATGCTATATCGAAAAAAATAGGTTTACAAAATAAAAGTTCCAGTTTTGAGGGAAGATCTATAAGTCTAGATAAATCAAGTTTCTGAGAATAACTATCCATCATTTCTATTAAAGTAGGTGCCTATTTTGTTAGAAATAATAATACAAAATTATTTATAATAACCTTTAAGGATGTATCTTTTTCATTGCTAATTTCTTCCATAGTTAAACATAAAAATGCACGAAATTGGTTTATCTTTATATCTATATTTTTCCTTAAATTTATTAATTTAGTTTCATTTATAAATATTATTTCTTTATTATTTGCAATAGAAATTTTTGATAAATAATCATAGCTGTGTATTGCTAGTGTTAAAGCAGATCTATAATCCGAAAGCAGGAAATATGATTCTGCAATTATAAGACAGCGCTGAGACCTAAAATAATATTTTTCTTGCTCAATTCTTTGAAGAAAACACATGTCGTTTGAAATACCTGGAAGGTCTGACATGACATTAAGATTCTATAAAAACTAAACATATTAAATAACAACTTTTTAGAATCTTACCTGCAAAATATCGTCATACAATTTAATTATTTTACAAAGAATGTATTGTTTAGGATTCTTATCTAAAGAATTGGAATTTAATTCAAAAATCAATAATAGATTATATTTTATTTGTTCTAGAATATGGTTGTATGCAACATATGTATATAAAATATATAGATTCTGTGTTTTATCATGAGTCCCAGAACGCTTTTTAGATTATTAGAATTTTTTAAAATTTAAAGAAAAATTATTACCTCAAACTCTTCAATTGCTTTTTTTATTATATTTTCGGTTTTCGAGTACATCTGTAATAGTTCATCATATTTTTCGTTCTTTTCTTTTAAAGTACTTGTTTCTTCACTATTCATTGATTGATAAGCATCTTGAATAGATGACAATGCAATAGCTATGTTTACATCTGTTATAGGTGCAACACGCCCTTGCCATTCTATTTGAGATACTATTGATAAATGAAGTTTATTTTTAGGTTTTAGTATCTCGGGACTAATACTTGTTAAAAGAGATGCTAATGATTGATTATTTAAGATATTTTTCTGAGAAAGACCAAAAATATCATTAGAGGGTATTTTTTGTTGATATGCACAATATCGAATATTTTGTTCAATAGATGATATTAATTCTTTTATATGTTGGCACCCATTGTTTTCATAGATTACTTCTAGTATAATTCTTGCTTCTAAAAAATTTGTAAGGGATTGCTCCCATTGGTGACATTCAAACATTAGCTGCCCTCTCCTTGCTGATATATATTCAAGTGCCTGTAATCGAAATATAGGTAATTCTTGATTCATCAGTTCATTTAAACGAGATGCATATTGATATGCCCTTAATAAACGACGGACAACCCTTTGGTGATTTATAGTAGGCTTTTTATGATTTCTATTTTTTGTTTTAAGTTCCATTGCATATGCCCAGGCTCTTTCACTGTTGATGATTAAAAAATCATGATATCTAGATTAATAAATAAATAATTAAAAGACATTAATTTTTTTTACTTTGGGTTACTTTTCAGAGAAGGTATTTCATTTTCTGCATATTTTTTATTAATTTGCTGAATTCCTAATAATTTAGATAAACGGTGTAATTTCTTGCTGCAATATTTGCGATAACGAGTGTAATCTTTGACAGGAATTCCATGTTCATTTTGTGCTTTGATTGACAAAAAAACGGCACCAATATTTGCCATTTAGTATTAATTTTTTGTATTTAATATTACTAATTTTTGGTTCGGGTTGTAAATAGTGTTCCGTTATTAAAAGATAAAGATTTAATATGATAAATATTTGATAATATATAATAAAACAAAAGCATAAAAACATGTTTCTTAAAAATAAGTAAATTTACATTTTAGATTTTAGTATATTTCTTTTTTTTTTCAAAGTTTATGTACTTAAATTTAAAACGTAAGCAAAATATAAATTATAGTATATATACTTTGTTTAAATTTTTATCAATTCTTTTTTGCTTTTTTTTTTTTTTGTATTGTCTTTTAAGGATGTTTTTAATGGAGTTTGAAAAAAAGTATAATATGTTTGAAATTTTTTTCGGATATAATAAAAATAGAAGTATTTATAAGATGATGACTTTTTGTTTTGTTTACTTCTTTAAATGGAACGAATATTATTCAAGAATTTTTGGTATTAAAAAGTATTTTTTGAATTATTTAATACTATTATACTATTAATTTTATATATATAAAATGATTTATATACAACAAATTTGATAAATTAGAATGAAAAGTGAACTTACACTATTAAATCCTTATTTTTAAAAATTGGTTTTATGAATTTGGAAAATTTTAATATACATGTTAATAAGATTAAAAAAATATAAAAACATACATTTTAAAAGTAAAAGATGCATGTTATTATAAATATATATTAGTATTAGTTTTTCTAAAAACTTTAATATTTTTGATATATCATAAAATTATTTAAACTCTTATATTTTCAAATTAAAAAAATATTAAAATATATAATATTAATATTCTAAAAATAATCAGATCTAAATATTTTCAAAGCATTTTTGAAATATATATATATTTAATATATATAATAAAAATTATTAAAATTCATTTTTTAATAATTTTTGATTTTAATTTAAAGATTCAATTTTTTTATTTTATAATTTCAACAAGCATAAAATTCAGTGTTAAAATGTATGTATATATATTTAACCCTAAAAAATAGATTGAGAAAATACAGAACGTAATAATTTTATCATTTTTAATATATGATTTTTCTTTGAATTATCGTCAAGATAATCCAAAACAGTAGTAGATAAAATCGGTATACAATTATCCCAATTATGTAAGACAATTGTTTTTAAAAAATCACCATCAAGACAATTTTTTCCAAGTATTGAAAATTTTTCTTTATCTATAATATTCAATGCTATATTTTTTAATATAATTGATTTTTACCCATAAATGAATTGTTATTTGAAAATTGCAACCAATAAGATATTAATGCTTGATAAATTTCAAAATCTTCTTTTGGACATGACATTATTGAATAAAAGGAACCGTCAATACCACTTCCAATAATAAACGGATAATAATATTTTTTTCCAAATACTATTTATATTAATTTTAAAAAATAATATAAAAAGATATACTTTTTTGGAATTTAGAAACAGAATTTGGTAGTTTTATTAAAAAATCCAAATAAAAGTTTTTATTTTTTTGAAAATGGTCTAACAAGTTTAAAGTAGTAGTAACAATTATAAAAAATATACCTTTAGTTAAACAAATAAGTCCCCTTTCTTTATCCGAACAAAACACATTGTTTTCGATTACAAAATTATCTAAGGATAATCGTGGTGTTGCATCGCTTAATTTTTAATAAAACTTATGTTAATGAATGTTTACATACTTCATAACTGGTTTTAATGAATTTTCTACTGGATCGTAATTTAACATAGTAATAGAATCCTTTTGGCATAATGCATATATAGTGTTATTTTTTACTTTTATTGAAATAACGGAAGACTCAAGTTCATATTTTACTGAGAGTTCTTTGAACCTAGCTACATTATTATTATCTTATAAGTAAAAAAATACATACTTTTTTGTTTCTATATCAAATTGCTTTATAAAAATACTATTACCAGATGAAAATGCGAGACCACTAGAATAATATTAGTTTTTGTTTTGATACTTAACATAAATTACTATTTTCCAATAAGTGAAATAGAATATATTGGATAATCCAATAATATTTTATTTATTCTTTTTACGTCAACTTTTTCAGATTTATAAGAAATTACAAGAATATGTAAATTCCCTTTAGAAACTCCAGAAAAACTATTTATGGATGTTCCAACGACTATATAATGATAAGATTTATTTTTGTCAAATATAGTCCAATCTAGAGTTTTAAAAATTATATAAAAAGTATTTACTAATATACCTGATAAAGCGTATATAGTTTCTTGTGCATCAAAAATGTATTCTTTAGTTTTATCATCGAATAATGGGTTATTAGAAATTATAGTTCCTCTATTTTTCATCAGATTACAAAAATGATAAAATTTATATACGTTGTTAAATTTATAAACTTGAGATCGCAGCTATTTTGAAACTTTTTATTTAAAAAAGAATCATGTATTGTTAATGCTGATAAATCACAAGCAACAATCAGAAGTTTTAAATTATTGTCATATAATATTCTTCGAGGGTTCTATAACCTACATCAATTTCATATATATTTAGGAAATATCTTTACCTCTTTAATATCAATATATTCTACACATGTAGATTCTTTGCTGTCTAAATCTGCTATTAAAAATGCTTCTTTAGATATACAAGCAACAGATTTCGTTTTAGATTCCCGTAAAGGATCATTAAATGGTAATATCAAGGTTATGCGAGTCTTATATAATTTAATACATTTCTGAAACTATTTTCTATACAAACTTTAATTTGATAATTTAGTATAATTTCTTTTATCTCGATTGTATTATTATATAAATTTATCATCCAAATTCCTTCTCCTACTATATATGCCGTTAATAATTGAGAATCTGATATACATTTTAATGGTAAAGAGCCAAAAGCATTAAGATCTACAAATTTTAATTGAATATTTCCTAGAATATCTATTTAGGTCATTATATCAAAAAATATTTAAATACCGTTAACGTGATTAACTGTCCATCTAAGTAATAAACCATTTCTTAACCCAACTAAAAGCACTAAACTAGTAGAATCTTTTATTAAACATGAAGATTCAGGAATAGAATCAGGTAAATTAGTAAATTTTTCTAAATTAATATTAAATTTTAAATAATTCACTTAGTTTAAATACCTAAAGGAATATCGGAAAAAGAAATATAATTAGTAGATAATATTTCAAATATGATAAAAGACGGTTTATGGGTACCAATAAGCAATAATATTGACGAATTTTTATCGGTAGAAGCCAAATGAATATTTGAATTAGAATATTCAGAGTTAATATCAAAAATAATCGCATTCATGGTTGATGGTTCATCTGTAATTTTAATAGGTTCTCTTATTTGAGTTAAGTCAATTATACTATTTTTTTGTTATTTTCATATTTCTAAATGTGTTTAAAAATTAAAAATTTACCTTTGTTCTGTAATATTTAATTTTATTAAATATATTATTACAGAATCCTTAGTTTTTACTAACATAGTTATAATAGAATTATGTATAGACGATGATATAATAATCTGTGTATCATCTAACCAATGTACTTTGGAATTTAAATCTTTAAAATCAGGTAGTGGAAATATTTCTATTTTTTTTTGAGTTACTTGAACAATATATACATCATTAAATAACCCTGCTGAAATTGTTGATGTTTCTTGTTTTAATTGAGTATCATCACTTCTATCATATAATTCTCCCTTTTCAGTTAATTCCAATAATTGTGTTTGCCATGGAAATGATACAATTATATAAATAGAATTAAATTTACTGCTTCGTAGTATCCAAAAGTTTTCTATTCTATTATAACATAAACTTATTTAAATTTAAAACAAATTAAAATACCCATTAAAATCTTGTACTTGCAAAGTTATTCTTGCTTTAATACCAGTTTTTAATTCTGCTATTTTCCCCTCTGGAGCTCTTCCTGAACATAGAAAAAGTTTGTCTTTTTTATTTTGTATTTGCGTTTCATTTAATGAAAAATTTGTATCCTTTTCTATAATCTTAAAATCACAGACAGGAGACCAATTTGAAAAACTTTGAATCAAAACTGGATTTATATTTTTATCAATTTCAATATGTATATTTTCGTCTGTTTCGGATTCAGAATGGACTAGATAAATTCCATTATCACACATATCTCCAGAAATAAAAATTAAATGAGTTGCCACATCTAAAGAATTTATTATTTCCATTACTTTTCCAATAGGCTTAACCGATCCAATATTTATATAATTTATTTTTTTATTTTTAATAGTTACATAAATTAAATCACCAGTATCTGTTCCAAGATATAAAATATTTGTAATATTTTTTCCATATACATTTTTATCAATAGCATACGCAGTAATTATTCCTAAATACCATTTAATCAATATATAACAATTATGCTATACCTTTATGTTTTATATCAAAATATTCAAAATTTGAGTCTTCAGAAAAAAATTGCAAAATAGATATATATATTATTTTATCATTCTGTACAAAATTAGCATGTTCTTTTTTGTTTTAGTTATTACAAATATAATAGAAAAATCTCCTGCAGTATTAAAGAAGGGAACTAGATATACAGGTATAGATAAATCTTGATTCTTAGAAATACTAAATTAGTATATATAATATTTACCTGGAAGTAAAGGTAATGATATTAAAGATGAAAAATCAATAGAAGCTAATGATTCTTCACTATTCCATTTACATAGCGCAATATACGGCTTTTTTCGATAACTTTAATTTTATTAATAAAAAAATTAAGTTTTGTAAAACAATGTACTTAATTATATAAAAAATCAAGTAACAAAACTTTTCGTTTTCCAAAAACTTAATAAAATCCATGAGAAGTATTGTACCAGAAAGATTACCTTTAATTCTCTATTATTGTAAATATATAAAATATTTAAGAAAATAGATTAACCTCTAAAATAAGATTCTTACTTTTCTTATTAAAAGAGTCTAAACGGAATATTTCTACAGTATCCAAGGCATCTCTCACTGCAATAGAACGCATTCTATATAATGTAAGTTTATATTTATAAATTTAAAATATACAATGGATCCAGTGCAATTTTATATCCTAAATTTTTTAAATTGTAACCATAACTTGATATCTTTATTTCTTCAATAATATAAAATCTATTTTGAATATTTAAGTGTTGAAATATAATGTTTTCAGAATTTTGATTAGTATATTCATCTTTTTTAAAATTAAAGTTATAGATAGAAAACGATAAATAACCATTTTCATTTGTAGTAACTAATAAATCTACGTCTACAACATCGTCATTCTCTAAATAAGATATCTTTTTATTGGTTTTAAAAACTTTTGCATCTCGAATTTTACTAAAAAGAGGCTGATTACTAATACATGTAGTTAGACCATTCTCTGAAAGTGCATGCAACTCAATGGAATCTTCCTTTTAGCTTTTTCAGTTTTGAAACAATGATTTTTCGTTTTTATATACTTTAATCAGTAGTATATCATTTATAAAAGGTTTTCGGAAAGCTCCACAAAATACAAAGTTTACAATAGGCGAATGTATAATTGTATGTATAATATAGTTATTTTCTTTGTTCATATACTTTAATAAAATTCGTTGTTATTCCAGTTCATGATTATTTTTTAGAAAATGTAGTCTCGAAATTATTCACCTTCATATGTTTTAACATATTTTAAAATAATTTAAAATGATTCAAAATATGAATTAAATCTTTGACCATATGTCTTATAAATTATTAGTTTTATTATGATCAATGCTATTTTTATTTGTAAGTTGATGCTTTTATGAAATATATTTATAAAATTAAGTTAATAATCACGGGAAGCCAAGATTGGTAAAATTTTATTCACAAATAGTAATTGTTTGTTTAGTTTCTTCTTAATTTAATTATTTTAGGATATTTCTCGGCAGAAAACTATTGTTGATGATATTTATAAACTTATATTTTCTCGGCCCTCTACTGCATGTAATTTTCTTGAAGGAAGTTGTATTATTGATGACAAAGATCTTAAAATAGTATATAGAAGCTATGCAACACTTTATTTTGTTTTTATTATTGATCAAGCAGAAAATGAATTAATGATATTGGATCTTATTCAGGTTAATTAAAAATATTTTTTAATTTATTAAAATATTTAAGATATTTGTCGAAGTATTAGACAGATGTTATGAGAACGTGTGTGAACTTGATCTGGTTTGTTGCAATCTTATGTTTATATTGTTCCTGATTAATTTAGATTTTTAATTTTGAAAATATTCATGCAATTTTATCTGAAATAGTATCTGGAGGAATGGTCTTAGAGACTAATGTTCAAAATATACTTTCGTCTATAAATCATTTCGACAAAAATAAGTAATAATTCTACTAATAAGTATTATGAATTAAAAATGATTTGATATTTTTATATACTAAGCATTTAAATTATATGTTTAAAGAAATAATGTATGAAATGTTTTTTATATTAATAAATGTCTCTATTTTTATTTCTTGATAAAAAAAATAAATATTAAGTGTCATTGTAATAACTATAAGTATATTTTTTATTTTAAAAAATTTCAATAGTTTTTAATTTTTTTTAGAAAATTAAATTTATTTGTTCGTATTTACGTTTAATTTTTATTAATATTTCTGATTGTATTTTAAAAAAAAATTATTATATTTTTCAAGTTTAAATTAGTGTAAATACTTTGTTTTTTTGTTTATTAGTCATAATAAAATCATATTAATAAATTACATAAATTATTCAAAAAACTAATTTAAAAATAATTATAAATATTTAGAATTAATTATTTAGAATTAATATTTACATATTGAAAGATTTTAATACATACTTATACTTAATTCTAGAAAAATATAATTTTATGATATTAGTCTTTTTAGGTTTAATATTTTTTAATGATTTTTTATAAAATAATGTACGATTTGTTTTCAATGATTATAAAAAATATTAAAATTGATATTTTAGGACTTTAAAATGAAGAAAGGCAATAAAAAGTCTTTAAATGATGACATATGGGATGAGTTAGGAGAAGACATAGTTCCACAAAATATAAATCAAAATAATCATAACGAATTGCAAAATGATTCAGTTAACTCTAATACAAATTTCAATGATTTGACAGAAGACTTTGACGGATTTATGTCAACATTGAAAGCATCATCAAAAAATAAGTCTATAAAAAAGGAAAATGGGTCTTCAATTCAAAATTCAAAAATACATAATAAAAATTTATCAAAACAAAATTTATCTTTAAATCAAAATAATTTATGTGAAAATAATAATAAAATTGGTAATTATATGTTTTTAGATAATAATTTCCTGATCATGAATATTAAGGAAATCAAAAGTTTGAAGAAGTACCTGAAATTAGATTAAAAACTAAAAGAGAAAAAGAGAAAGAAAAAAAGGAAAGAGAAAAACTCAAGAAGGTTTTGATTTTCATTATATTTCTTTTTAAGCCATTAATATGAATAGTCTGAAATGAAAAATAGTGTAAATAAGTTAGATCTGGAAAAAGAAAAAACAAAAGCCTCTGAAATTGTTAAAACAAAAAAACAAGTAAATGGGCCTACAATGGTTACAAATACTTCTCACGAACCAACGTATGTTATTGTTTTTTAAATATTCTTGTCTTATATTTCTTAAAGTTCTGCGAAAAAAACTAAAGCTAGAGCAATTAATATAGCAGCACTACAAAAGCAAATTGAACTACGTATGCAAATAGAAGAAGAAAGAAAAAGACAGGAAGAGGAAGAAAAGAGGATGATAGAAGAAGAAGAAAGGAAAATACAAGAAGAAGAGCAAAAGAAACGTGAAGCAAAAGCTAGAAAAAAGGAAAAAGAAAAAGCGAAAAAAGAAGAATTGAAAAGTCAAGGGAAATTTTTAACAAAAAAACAAAAAGAACAGCAACAAATGGCTCAAATAAAGATCCAACAACTTTTGGCAGCTGGTGTAAAAATTGAAGGGCTTACAAATAATATGAATTCCGAGCTTCCTGATAAATCGAATCGTTTAGTTTATGATTTTAAAAGAAAAAAGTCCAGGAATAATATCAAAAGTCTAAATAATATGAATAATGAGATTGGTCTTAATGTTGAACTTAATAATGATATATCCGAAAATAATGGTACTACAGAATTGTCTATTCAGAAAGATGATTTAGATCAAGAAACTTTAGTATCAGATTTTGAAAATGATATAGTAGACGATTGGGAAAAAACTCTGGAAGATGAAGACAATATATTAGATAGTTGGGAAGATGCTTTTGATTATGATGATAAAGATTCGTGTAAAATTGATACTAAAGATACTAATTTTAGGTTATCTGATCAATGTTGGTATTGTATAATTAATATGTATTTTTTAATTTAATTTTTAGATTTAAAAATTCAACCACTTGAAATAAATAATAATAATTGTATTGAAAAAACTAATGATGTGAATTATTCAGGAACTGAGCATGTAAATGAGCATGTAAATGCGAAAGTTGGACATGCAAGTATAAGAAAAAAAGAAACAATACAGGATTCTTGTATAAAGGAAAATAAAATTTTGTCATCTAAAAAGGTAATCTTATTTTTCAAGTTTATTTTATATCTAAAAGAATATATTAGAATTCTAAAAACATAGAAAGCAATTTGAGGTCTCCAATATGTTGTATTCTTGGCCATGTTGATACTGGAAAAACAAAAATTTTAGATAAAATTAGACAAACTAATGTACAAGAAGGTGAAGCTGGCGGTATAACACAACAAATAGGTGCTACATATTTTCCTATGGATTCTATAAAACAAAAAGTTTCTGTTCTGGATAAAGTATTTAATTTTTTATGATTTTATTATTATTTATTTGCATTAGAATGAAAAACTTGAATATAAAGTACCTGGGCTTCTTGTTATTGATACGCCAGGACATGAGTCTTTTACAAATTTACGATCTAGAGGTTCTAGTTTGTGCGATATTGCAATTTTGGTTGTAGATATTATGCACGGTTTAGAGCGACAAACTCTTGAATCACTACGTTTATTAAAAGAACGAAAAACACCTTTTATTGTTGCATTAAATAAAGTAATATTATTTTTAGAATAGCTCTAGTTTTATTAAGTTCTAGATTGACCGAATATATGGGTGGGACTCTATACCAGATGGCGCATTCCAAGAATCATTATCAAAACAGAAGAAATCAGTTCAAAGAGAATATCATGATCGATATACAAAAATTGTTACGGAGTTCTCAGAACAGGTATAGAATATATTAAATAAAAATGTTCACTTAATTATTGCGAAAGGGATTAAATGCAGTTGCATATTATGATAATAAGAATTTTGCAAAAAATGTCTCAATTGTCCCTACATCAGCATTAACCGGGGAAGGCATACCTGATATGTTAATGCTTTTAGTAAATTTAACTCAGCAACGTATGAGTAATAAATTAATGTATTTGTCAAAACTTGAGGCTACAGTATTAGAAGTAAAAGTTATTGAAGGTCTTGGAACTACTATTGATGTTATTTTATCGAATGGCGTTTTAAAAGAAGGTGATCGTATTGTTTTATGTGGATTAAATGGTGCAATTGCAACAAATATACGCGCTCTTTTAACTCCTCAACCTTTAAAAGAGTTAAGAATTAAGGTAATTTAGCTTTAAAGTATTAGTTTATACTAAAAATTGTAGTCTACATATCTGCATAATAAAGAAGTAAAGGCTGCATCAGGTGTAAAAATTTCTGCAAATGATTTGGATAAGGCTATTGCGGGTTCAAGATTGATGGTTGTTGGTCCGAATGATAATGAAGAAGAAATGAAGGAAGAAGTTATGGAAGATTTGCATGGTTTATTAAATTTCATTGATACCAGTGGTATTGGTGTTTCTGTTCAGGCTTCTACTCTTGGGTCTCTTGAAGCTTTACTTGAATTCTTAAAACAAAATAAAATTCCCGTAATATTTTTTATCTTGGAATGATTGTTTTTTAATAATTATATAGGTTTCTAGTATAAATATTGGTCCTGTTCATAAAAAAGATGTTATGAAATGCAGTGCTATGATTGAAAGAGCTAAAGAGTATTTTTTTATGTTTAAAGTGTTTTTATTTAAATTATAATTAGGTATACAGTAATGTTGTGTTTTGATGTAAAAATTGATAAGGATGCTGAAGAATTAGCAGAGCAGCTTGGTGTAAAAATTTTTATTGCTGATATTATATATCACCTTTTTGATTCTTTTACTGAATATCAAGCCGTTTGTTTATTTTTTGCATTATGACTATACTGATATTTATATAGAAAATTATGGAATTAAAGCGTCAAGAAAGCGCGCCTGAAGCAGTGTTTCCTTGTATACTAAAAACTATTGCTGTTTTTAATAAAAAAGATCCTATACTTCTTGGTGTTGATATAGTAGAAGGAGTAATTAGAGTTGGAACACCTATATGTGCTATAAAGATTAGTCCTAATACACAAGAACGTCACATTGTAGATTTAGGAAGAATGTAAATATTATCTTACGATTATCTTTAATTTGACTTATTTTTGTAGAGCAAGTATAGAAAAAGATCATAAAGTTATGAATATAGTTAAAAAGGAACAAGCTAGTAAAGGTGTCGCTATTAGAATTGAATCTGCTTCCCAGATACTTTTTGGTCGTCAAGTTGATGAAAAAGATATTCTTTATTCTCATATATCGCGAAAGTCAATTGATGTATTAAAAGGTATTTTTCGTGATGAAGTTTCTAAAGAAGAATGGAATCTTATACGGAAACTTAAAACTGTAATTTTTTTTTTCTTTTATGATTCATATTTATGATTCTAGACATTTAATATTGTCTAACTTTTTGATTGGTTAAATTTAAAATGCTGGATTTTATATTATTTTAAAAATATTTTTACTTAGCATTTGTGCATTTGCAAGATTTAATGCATTAAAAATTTAGATTTTATGTAAAATTTCTTCAAATCCTAAAATTAAAATTTTCATATATTCTTAATATTATAAAGTTGTTTATAAGAAAGAGAAAACAGTATAGCACTTCTGCTGTGCTTATTAATGTTATTTTTTATAAAATATATTTGTGTATAATCCACTATCAAAACTATGAAACATAATAATATTTATTACAAAAAAATTATCTATTGCTTTTAGCGACTCGTTCTAATTCATCCTTTTTCTTAATTGCATAAGAATTAGATGATCCTTTTGCTGCATTAATCAACTCTTCTGCTAAACATTCTGCGATAGTTTTAATATTGCGAAATGCTGCTTCTCTAGCCTATTTATAACTAAGCTAAACACAAAAATTTTCTTTAAAGAAATACCCCGATTGTAATCAAGGCAATAGCTTGATTAACTCTACGTAACGGAGAAACGTCAACTGCCTGTCGTCGAACTGTGCCTGCTGATCCAATCCTAGTAGAATCTTCACGAACACCACAGTTTACAATAGCATCAACAACTACTTGAATCGGATTTTGATCCGTTAATAAATGGATTATTTCAAATGCATGTTTAACCTAGTAGTTCTAAACCGATATACTAAATGAAAATTCAAAATATACAATACGAATAGCCATAAGTTTTTTCCCGTTATTCCTTCCATTCATCATAAGAGAATTTGTTAATCTCTCAATAATAGGACACTGTGCTTTACGAAAACGCTTCACCTGGTACCGACCTGCCGTATGATTAAGATATGTTGGCTGACGGATCTGAATATAATCTGTCAAAGAAATATCTTTAACTTCCACATCTTCATAGCTCCATTTATTAAAAAGCTTAATTTGCCCTATTTCTTCTATAAAACAAAATCCTATTAATAAAATATATAAAATTTAACTTTTCTAACCCATAATATCATTTGGCAAAACTGTTTGAACTCTTACTGGTGTTTCAACTGCTTTTTCTATTTAGTATTTATCCTTAAAAACTTAAATATTTATACCTAAAGCTGCCATATTTAAATTTTATTTTTTTGTAGTTATAGATATTTTTTCTTGACTGTTAAGCGAGAAGAGGTGTCCATATGTTGTTGCTATAGTAACTAGGTGAAGGATGTATATTTGAAAAAAGTATATATTTGGAAGATAAAAGATGAAAATTGAAGAATTTGTGTATTTTTAATTAGTAATTATTTATTTTTCATGTTTTTGAATGTTTTGTAGAAACTAGAAAACAAAAGTTTTTTGGTTATTTATTTTCCTATGTCTTTAGGATTTTTGGAGAGACTGAGTAATCTAGAATAATTGAATAGTTTCTTAGAGTTTTAGTGTCTTAGATAAAACAACTAGTATCAGCAGTAGTAGGTGGAGAAAGAACAATAGCGGGTATTTCTTTAGTACCAAAAAACAGTACTTCAGGGCTTCGTTTTATGTGAAATCTACAAAAATAAGTATAAATGTATGTAAAATATTTTAGATATATATTAACCCGCATAAAAAGAGTTTTCGTTTTTTGTATTTGTTATGCTTCGATTTACACAATTTATTATGTAAAAGTCGTTCCAAACACATTAGAATTAAAAAATAATGTTAAATTTTAAAATAAAAATCTGTTAGAAATAGGAATAAAGTATTCCTTTATGTTATTTTTATATTAATTTAATAAAATTTGGAAAAATATTTATATTATAGCTTGCTTATCGTAATCAACGATAAGTATTTCATATAAATTATATAAAAAAATATGGAAATAAATAAAAAATTATACATTTTTAAATGATAGATTAGATGATTGGAACCCATTTTTCTATAATTTATTTATTATTTTTTAGGTTTTTTACTTCTAAGAAATAATTTTTATAATCTATGCGCTGACTTTTTTATAAGTATTTCTATATAGTTTTTGGGCCTATGTTTTTTGGCTTCTGTTTCTCTTTTAGTATTTATAAATGATGTATTTTAATGTGTTATAAATATTTTAAACTTATATAAAAATATTGATTTTTAAATGCATTTTATCTTTATGTATAAAACCATGTTCTTGGTAATCTTGACTTTATTTCTTTTTCATGCTTTATAAGGTTTTTACTTTTTTGTAATTCCATTTCTGCTTGAAGTAACTAAGAAAAAATATTAGAAATAACTATTTAAAAATGATATATTACTTCTTTTTCTTCTTTTTCTTCCTTCAAAACATTTTGCACTGCATTTTCTAAGTTTTGTAATTTAGTATTATAAGTATTTATTAAATTAGGAGGAAAAGTTCTGTTTCGTATTATATTACCGTGTTTCTCTGCAATTTTTGTAGCCATTTTCATTATTCTTCTGTCTCCTTCTCCTATTAAAGTAACAGCGACTCCATCACACCCTCCGCGTGCTGTACGACCAATTCTATGAAGATATATATTGAACGAGCTAGGTGCTTCATAATTAATTATATATTTTACACCTTTTATATCAAGGCCACGAGACGCTAAATCGGTTGCGAGTAAGAAGTTTGTTCTTCCTCGTCTAAATAATTCTAATGATTCGATTCTCTGTTTTTTATAAATTATACAATAAATATTATAATTTATAATAACCTGTTCCTGTGATAAATTTCCATGTAATTCTCGAGCATTTAAATGTAATAAACCAAAAATTATTCTTATTTTATGAGCAAATGATTTGCTATCAAAAAATATTATTGTTTTTGTTTTAAAAACATCAGAGCAAAGATAAAGCAGTATAGCCGTACGAAGATGCTCTTTGTGTGATCTAATACGTATAAATTCTTGAATGAGAGATTTTACTGTAGAATTTTTTGGATCAACAAATAATCGGACAGGTTTATTAAGTGAAAGTCTAATGAGTTGATCAACCTTATTAAAAATTTTAGTAAATTCTTAAATTTAAGTTTTTTTACTTTATCTGTCATTGTTGCAGAAAATAAGATAGTTTGCCTAGATTTTGGGCATATTTTTATTATTTCATTTAACTCATCTTGAAATCCTTCATCAAGTATCCTATCTGCTTCATCAATGACTATAATTTCTATACTATTTGGGGAAAATCCATATGAATTTCTAACATGATCAATAAATCTTCCAGGTGTAGCAATAACAATGTCTGGTCGCTTTCGTAGCTCAGCTTCTTGAATTTTTAAAGATAATCCTCCTATAAAAAATTGAGTAATTATCAATAGTTTTAACATTTTAATGCACCAGTACATATACATGTTTTGATGTCAGTATATGTTGCCAACTTTTTTGTTACATTGTAACACTGAATAGCTAATTCTCTTGTTGGGCAAAGAATAAGTACTCTCGTAACTGCAATCTTTTTTGGCCGATAAAGTAATCTTTCAAGAACAGGTATTACAAATGCTGCTGTTTTTCCACTCCCTGTTACAGCACTTCCTACTATGTCCTTCCCCAAAAGTGCTATTGGGATTGCTTTTGATTGAATAGTTGTTGGTTTATCAAAGCCAATTGATTCAAGTGCTTTTAAAATAGGGCGTGATAAATTAAGCTGTGAAAATGATAAAACATGTTCTTGCATATTTATGTCATTTTTCTCAAAAAAACGTTTCTTTTTCTTTATTTCTTCTATAGTCTCTTCTTCTGTCATTTCTGAATCTGAATATGAAAGCTGTTCATTTTCTGATGCTTCATTGAAAGATTCTACATTATTTTTATTAAAAAGATACAACTTTTTTGATTATTACCTAGATTTTCATCTTTTTTAAATTCACATGCACTATCTTCCTCATTTTCATTTGAAAACTCTTCCTGTTTTTGTGTTTCATTGCTTTTATCTTTAGTTTTGATCGATTGTCTTTGAATAATTTTTTCAATATTTACTCCTCTTTTGTATGAACGTGCAACAATATCTTCTTTTTCTATATCATAATCTTCATAATCTGCTGAATCTTGGTATCCTTCTTCTTCTACATGAAATATAAATGATGGATTTATTTTTTCTGCTTTTTTGATTTTATTTAAATAAAAATCTGAATTTTTTTCTGTAAATTCAGAATCAGGATAATCAGAGACCCTTTCTTCATCTGATTCAACTGAATCAGATGAAGAAAGGGTCATTATAAACTCTGTTTTCATGTAATTTTGGATTTTTATAGGTCTATGAAATATCGACGTATGATATCCAACGTCAACTTTTTAATATTTTATATCAGGGCTTAAATGGCAAATAAAAAAGCAGATATTGCAGATGATTTTGATATTCCTATTGTTATTATTGAAGATTCTCCAGAATGTGAAAAATTGTATTCAATTTCTTCAAAAAAAAGTGAAGTAATGTTTTTATATATTATTTAATTTATATTTATTAAAAAATAGAAAAAGAAAGGCAATTGTTATGAAAAAGACACGTCTTCAGTTATGGGAAATGATTCTCAAATTGACTTAGAAAGAATAAAATCAGATGAAAATGAACAGTCGATTATTGATATTTCTTCATCTTCAATTAGTTTTACAGATGAACACGATGAAATAAGAAATTTAGATTCTGAAGATGCTGTTGAGGAAGAAATCCTAGATTCAAAACGCTATTCACCTCATACATCATCTATTTTATCTACAGTAGATGAGTTTTTATTAAATATAATGAAATCAACATCAGCAATGGACTCGGAAGCTTGCCCAGAGTATTTAGGCACTTCCAGTAATTCAAAGTCAAAGGTGTATTTGTTTTTTCAAATTTATGGCATTTCTAATTTTCTAAAGAATAATTACGATCCAAAAAATGTTACAATAATTGATCAAAAAGTGTTAAAAAATGTAGGTTTATTTAGAAATATTGGATTTATTTTTTTAACAAGAATAGACACGAAAAAATTTTGAAAAAAAACGACTATCTGCTTTAAGAAATGTAAATAAACTTAAATCTAAAAAAGAATGTATAAAAGAGATAATTGTTGATATAGATAAAAATATTTTATCCTCTCCTTTAGGTTCTATATTATCTGATCTTTTGAAGAAATCTGAATGTGAATTTAATGAATGGTCAAGCCCAATTCCAAATTTAATATTTTGGAAAAGGAAAGTTGTTGCAGAATATGATGAGAAACTTGGTTATTTTGTTCCTATTCCAGAAGTCATTCGACCAGAACAACATGTTCTTATTTATATGAAGGCTTCTGAATTATTGAAAATTGAATCCGATTCTTCTATGGATGAATTGATTCAACGATTAATGAAAGAATTTCCAAAGTCAAAAATATTATTTATGATTGAATCTATTGATGCTTTGTTAAAAAAGATTAAAAATGATAGAAATCGACGTTATGCTGATGTTATAAGAGCTAATATAGAACTAAATAATTTAGAAAAAAATAATTTGGAAACTATTTTAATGCCGTCAGAAGAGATTGATGAAAAAATAGAAAATATGATGCTTCGTTTGCAATTAGTACATAATACTTTTATTGTAAATACTTCAAGCGTAGAGAATAGTGCAGAATGGATCTATGTTCTTACAGGTGATATTTCAACTATACCTTACAAGTTGTACTTTTTTTAACTATTTTGTTCTAAATTTTTATAGAAAAATGAAATTACAGTTGTCATCATCTTTTTGTATGGAATCTGGACAAATAAAAACAGGTGTTGATCCTAAAGATACATATTTTAAGCTACTTCAAATGATTTATAAAGTAACACCACAAATAGCTAATGTTATAATTGAAAAATATCCTAAGATATCGTATTTAGTTTCTGCTTTTCGTGAAAACGGGCCAGAAGCTTTATCGAATTTAATGGTTAATATTTTAATTTCTTAATAAATCTATATTGAATTTTTTTAGATTGGAAATTTAATGAAACGTAAAATTGGACCAGTTCTATCAAAAAGAATATTTCATGCATTTATGACTTCAGACAGCACTGCATATGTTATTTAGGACAATATTTTAATTTTTAAGTATATCTAAAAATAATAATTTAATATTATTTTACAAAATGTATTAAATATTTTTTTTAATATCTATAAATTACTAGATTGTTTCATCACTGCTTATGTCCTGCGGGAGCTTTATTAAGGGGGAATGAGTCATTTCTTGGTTATTTTCTGTAATTTCTAAATCTACAAAAATTCTAAATTCTCTTTCAATCATAGTATTATAGAGTTTTGTTAACTCTTCTGAATTAAACTGTGATCGTAAATCCTTAAATGCAAAAAACATGAGATCTATAGCTATTTAGTGGGAAAAAATTATAGATACAAATTACTTTTTGACCATGGACAATCTCTAATCGCTCTATAAAAAATTGCTTTTCCTTTATCTAATGTTCCGTACTGTATTTCGAATTGAATATATAATCTCCATATTATTAAATCGGATCTTGTTCTAAAAATATGTAAGAAATTATAATTAATATAGAGATTTTACGCTTGATTTTCTACTGCTCTTTCAAATAAATTTCTTATTGGATACATGTTAATTTTATAAGGATTAATATATAGTTCTGCCCAGATTGCAGAAAGGAAAACAATAAAAGAAGGTTCTTCGGCTTTAAATATATTTTTTTCAAAATAATGATAAATTTTTGTTTTGAGTAATGATTTTGCTTCTACCCATAAAAATATTGACAAAAATATACAATTGTTAGGAAATTTAGATAACGCATTTTCTACTCTATTTTGAATAATTGAAATTTTAAATGTTTTAACTGTTTGTGAAGAATAATAAAGTAATTTCAGTTCTGAAATTAAAAGTTGCTCATATTCAATAGAATCTGAATTAGTATAATCATTAAAATCATTTTTTGCTTGACAATATACTTTTAATGCACTGTCTAGTGATTTAACTAAATAAATTAGCAATGCATAACATTCTGTATATAAACGGAGCATTTTATAATTTTTAAAAGATAAAGCCAATCTATTTAAATGTTGAAAAGACTATAAAATAAGTTTTTTAAAAAAAAAAAGAATTTAAACTAGAGATACCTTTTGAGCTTTTAATAATATAGAATTTGAGTATGTTTTTCCATTATTAGACAATATAGTTTTAACTTGAATATATTTTACACAGATATATAATTTAAGATATGCTAACTTACTGTTTACTTCATTCTCTACCATAGAAATAAGTATTTTTATTGAATTGTTAATTTCATTATTTTTCATTTCTATTTCTGCCCATAATTTATAAGCGACAACATAATCATGAAATTTTTCAGTATGATCTGGTTTAATATTTTCTAATACATTTAAGAAAATTTTTCTCGTTTCTTGTATATTTCCATTAAGATATTCTAGTTGAGCATATGCACACCATAATTTTATATTTGATGGCTTTTTTTTGAGAATAGATTTAGCTAATTTTCGAACACTAAAAATTATTAATTAATTTTAATAAATTATTAAACTTGCTCTGATGGAGAATAATAGTTTTGAAATAAAAGATGCAATATTGAAAATGTATCATCATTTACTATATTTTCTAATTGTTCAAAATATCTTTTTATAAAATCTTTTTGAAATTCTTCAAAATTAAAATTTTGATACCAGGTTTTATCTATTGAAAAAAGAGTATCGATAGTTATTGGCCAGTTTTTTAATTTAAATTGTATAGGGTTTCCTGAACGTTTTAGTATATAATTAGAATTAGTAGTATTTTCGTTAGATAATTCGGATGATCTATAATTGTTTAACCAGAGCCAATCGAATGAATTAATGAATGAAAAATCATGTACAAATGAATCCAAAAGAAGTGGGTCACTAGATGTTTTGTTCATTCTATATAGTGAGAATCCTAAAAAGTGAAGAGAAAAATAAATTAAATTTAAACGTATTTTATCCGATGTAAAAAAGTATAGTAATTGTTCGATATCAGAAAATAAAATTACTGAATATGGGTCATTTTTGTCACTTGTATCAGTCGACTTTTTTGGATTCATCGACAAACTTTTATATATTTCTTGTTTACACCATAAAACATATTTATCTTCAATGTTTTCGTATATATTTTCATCATTAGAAAATAAGATAGAATCGTTTTTAGGTAAAATTATATTTTGAGAAGTATTATAATAGTTTTTCCATCCTTTGGCTTCATTTTCTCCAAATCTAGGAGTTTCCATTTCCCAAAACTCTTCAAATTCTCGTAAATAATCAGTGTAGCAAGTATCATATGAAAATGTATCTGGTCTAAAAAAATTAAATTCAATTAATGCTTGAATAGAAGCAATAGAATTTTCTGCATATCCTGCTTCTTTCATATAAAACCATAAACGAACAAGAATATATAATATGATTTTTTCTATATTTTCTGTTTTTTTAATAATAATAATAATAAAAAAATATTTATAATACCTTTTTTTAAAGGGCATTTTTCGTTTTTTGATGCTTCTTTAAGAGTCTGAAGGCTATTTTGAAATCTTTCGAGGCATTTATTATATGCGAAAGATATTGAATTGGTTTGAAAAAAATTTAAGTATTTTTTCCAAAGAGATAAACTTAAGGTTTTTTTCAAAATTTCATCCCATTTAGCTTCTACTTTTTTAGGCCTAATAAAATCAGCTTATTTTACTTCTTTTGAAAAAAATTACTCCCAAATTAAAGTTATTATAGAAATATATTTTAAAAGAAGATCTTCGTTATCAGGAGAATATGATAATGCCTTTTCTAATATTTTAACTTTAACATCACCAATAGATATTTTTTCTGCCTTAGAATTTTTATTTTGATCCATCTGCAATGCTTTATCTTGCTTATCAACTAATTCTAACCATAATTTATAATCCAATGGTGATGCTTCGATTTTTTTCGAAAGCTCTTTTATTTCTAATTGAGGATCACCCTCTTTCCATATGTTCAATGTATCTTGTGCATCATTTATTATTTGAGTAGAGTCAGAGTCTACGTAGTTTAAATTTATTTCTGAATTCTTTGTGATAGTAGTATCCGAAGTTTTTATATCAAAAGGAATATAGTTTTCTTGGTCTTTTATTTCGTTGAAGAGTAAAGATTTTTCATTTCCTTCTTCTGATTCAATGTTTTGATCTGGTACTAAAATAATCTCTTTCTGATATTTATTGTAGTTTAAAAATGAAAATAAAACAATTTCATTAGGATTTTCTGGACAAACACGCAATCTTATGTGTTCTTCACATCCAATAACACGCCCATCTCCTGATCTTCGATAGTATGGTATAGAATACCGATCATTCTTGCCATATATTACATTATTAATATCTCCCGACAAATCACTAATAAAAAGTTTGTTTTTTTCTGTTTTTGTCTTTTTATGTTTTGTTTCATAAAGATTAATTTCATTATTCTCATCTTCACTGAATAATTCCTTATGTTTTAACTCATCTAATAATATCCGTTTCTCGTACTTTTTACGTAGAACATCCTGTGCCTTTCGTAGATGTGCTTTAAAACTACTAAACTTGGGTATTTTTTTTGATTCATCCTATTCTACTAATAAATCTTTGAAATACAACCCGTTTTATTTATACTTTGTTTTCTTTTATTTGATTCATCAAATCTTAATATAATTTATGACTTTTATAGGTTTTTAAAGAATTCTTTGTAGTTCTCACTTTGCCGAAAACCACGTAGTTAAAGTATCAGAAATATATTTGTAAAAAGGCTTTATATCTTTAAGAAATATGGGTCTTCATACAATTATAAAAAAGCAAAAGCGAAAAGAAAAAGAAATTCGTATTTTGATGCTGTAAACCTGTATTTTTGTATAAATATTCTGAAACTAACAATTAAGTGGCTTAGATAACGCTGGAAAATCAACAATTGTAAAGAAAATATCTGGAGAAGATGTCTTTTTTGCTGTTATTTTATACTTGTTAACGTATATAAGGTTATGACAATTTCGCCGACCGTTGGGTTTAATATTAAAACGCTAATATGGGGCCCTTTTAAGTTGAATATTTGTAATTAAAACATAAATTTGAATTTTTATTAAGAAAAACTAGGGGATATAGGAGGTCAAAGGGTTTTAAGAGGATATTGGAGAAATTACTTTGAATATACAGATGCAATTGTCTGGACAGTGGATCTAACTGATCGTATAAGACTTAGTGAAGGATGTAGTGCTTTAAAGCAATTATTAAAAGAAGATGTATGTTTTATGTTAAAATTTGGAATAATTGATTATTTTAGAGGCTTCTTGGAACAATTTTATTAATTTTAGGGAATAAATGTGATATTGAGTCAGCAATGGAGATCGAAGAGCTGAAATTAGTAAGTTGAAAATGATAAAATATAATGTATGTTAAAGGGAATGAAGTATCTTGAAGTGGAGAAAATTACATCTCATAAATATAATGTTTTTAAAATATCAGCAATGTCAGGAATAATGGTATATGAAGCATTTAAATGGCTTATTGAAGAAATAGAAAATAAAAAATATAGAATGTTAAGTTGGAAATAAACTGAATATATATTATAATATATAAAATAAATAAATAAATAGATAAATAGATAAATAAATAAATAACTGTATATTCTGATATATATTAAATAAAATTAAAATTACCTTTATTCCCTAATTCAATGGTTTTTGTTTTGGATTAAAGTTTTGCATTAGTTACTGTTATTATGAATATCATAGTAAGTGGCTTTACTAGAACCCATGCGCATTTAGATAAATAAACTGGAAAATTGTTTTAACTGTCATGAGCTCTTGATACGTTAACTTCTTGTTCACGAATAATAAATTTATCTAGTATTTTTCTAAATAGGGTTAATTATGTTTAGAAAACATGTAATATTTATTACGTTTTTTTCGTTAACCATGATGATAAAATTTTTCCGCGCTGCTTTTCTCCTGTTTTAGATCTGGGGAAATCGCCTTTAGCAGTAAATACAATAATGTCTACTATAATTTGATGTTCGCTTAAAATTGTATTTACAACTACAGGAACTATAGATGGTGTATGTGCTTTATGATCGACTTCAATAAGTATGATAACTGAGCCACCTGCTTGAAATATAGCACTAGATTTGATGTTAAATATGCTATTCCAAAAAAAAAAGTTACTAACCTTCCACCTGGTGTAATATTTTTGTGACATCTTTCAACAGATGACTCAATGTCTACTGGGAAATAAAGTAACCCATCAATTTCAAATGTATTCCCAATACTTCCTAAAACGAACAATGACTGCACTTCAATAAGTAGTCCTCCTGGCCCTAATGGTCTTTGTATGTTGTATAAAAATCCTAAGTCGCCTGTACGAACATAAACATCGTTTGGATTGCCTTTTGCTAGAACTCCTTGGAATCTTTCTATATCTGTTTTATCTTTTGATCCATAAAATGATTTAACATTCGCTTCCGATGAGACCCAAATTTCTCCATATTCCCCAACACAACACAATTCGCATGTTTCCGGATTAACAATAGCGATATGGGTAGATACAGGAATCTTTTATTAGTCAATTATAATATTTCAAACGGCAAACAATACCATCCCAGAATCATACAAAAGAAGTGATAAAGGGTCTTGAGTCATATCAACAGTTTCAACAATTCCCCGTCGTAAGCTTTTAATATTTAAATATAAATGTACAGGCTCTATAGACATGTATGATCTTGTTGTTATCATGGGGTTTAAAGCACTGGAATATACATTATTTAAAGAGTTAGGATCCAGTATTGATTTTGAAATATTGTTTTTTAATCTTTGAGCTAGTAATCATAAATATTAATACATATAATTAAAGGGTATGCTTACAATAATCAAATTGGGGTCGGTTATTGAAAGGTATCATTAAATTCTTTAATTCATGCAAACATATACCTTTTTCTTGGGTAACTGATAATGCATATTCTAAAGCCTCAGGGGGTATATATGTATCTCTTATCTTAAATTTGGAAATAGAGCGAAACAAAACCATAGGATTATTAGTGAAATCTTTTGGCGACACTAGATATGTAACTGCTCCTAAAGTACTATTAAGCATTATATAAAATATATAATAGAATTACCAATAAAGATTCCCAAGACGTATGAATGAATAAACCCTATTCCTGTTGCACCATGTACAGATCCTAGAACGGGATAAGAACTAGACATCTGGCATGTTTCTTTTTGAATTTTGCAGCAAGACATAATAGTATCATGTCCTAATTCTACTGCTGTATATCGTTGATCTGAAGACCAATATAACCATACTAAAGCGGGAATTTTCGGTGCTACAGAATCATGATCTAACAAAAACCCTGAATCTACGCATCCTTGTGTTTGTTTGGGCGACTTTGTTATATTTACTATATTAGGAAGAACTACTTTCATTGTAGATGAATAATGTTTGATGTTATAAGAAACATGTTTGCTTTTAAGTAATGAATATGCTTCATTATCAACAAGAATAGCTTTGATTCTAAAATCTGAAACTACACCTAGAATAGAAGGAATATCTTCTGAAAGTCGAGATGTATCGAATAGAGGTATTGGAATTGCAACAACTCCTAGACAGAAACATGCATGTACTGTATATAAAAAATTTTCAGGTTGTGTACACATCAAAATAGAATGATCTCCTGATTGAAGTTTAACTTTAAATCTAAGATAATTTGCAATATCCGCTATTTTAAAATCTAAATCTTCCCATGTAACTGTTTTTTCATCTTTGAGTTTATTATTAACTATACAAAGAGCTATTTCATTGCTTTGACATGCTGCTCTCCATTGTAAAATGTCAACTATACTTCTAAAATCAAGCAAATTCACTAAAGTTTTATCATCTATTGACAATGTTCGCTCATCTTTGACACTATACTGTTTTTTTTCTGAAAATAATAACTCTTGACGTTTTTGTGTCGCTATTTCTGACCAGATACCTCCAATAGGATCTTCACCAACAGGTAAATTAAGTATTACTTTTTTAACTGAAAATTTAATATAATTACATGGTAATGTGCCCTGTTCAAACTGTTTCCTGCAAAGCATGTTGCTGATTTCTTTATGTCCATTTTTAATTAGTCTTGGTAACCTATTCGAAGAAGCTATCATTACGCAATACACATTGATATTGTGTACTTCTACAAGTGACTCTTTGCATTTTTCCGAAATAGAATCTAATAAAAGATTATTTGAAGTAGATAGCTGTCCTAATGAATCCATAGGAATAAGTGATGGTGGTAATTCGAGAACAACAATAGGAAGATACTCATTGTTAATAGAAATATCAAATAATGAGCTTTAAATGTTATTATTATATGAAATGTATATATATATGTATATACCAGTCAAATACATGGGGAACTTTTCTCATAATAGTTTGAACTAAATGAGAAACATAATGATATCTAGAGAATGTTAATCTCAATATATTTGTATAATATTAATACCCATATTCCACTGAGTCTTGTCCATTCCCTGTCTGTTCAATTCGTTGACGAAGTCTGTCTTCATATAATCCAAGCACTAATATACGACCATCAATTATAGCACCAAGTAACCCAGTTCTTAAGAACTCTTGATCATACGCTACTGGCTTTAAAGTTTCTGTGTCAATTACATAAGCTTTAGCATGAAATATAGCATCTGTATCTTCTTGTAAATCCCAAAACCCTCCACTTAAACTAGGGCTATCAACCCAAATTTCTCCAACAACATTTGGACCACAGAATGTTAACAATTCAGGATCTACAATTGCTATTGTAGCATCTACTAATGGATACCAGAATGTTCCAAATCGGGCTGTAGTTGAATTTTCTGAATCTTCTTTTATACCTCTTTCCTCCGTAATTAATGATATTTTATTAGTTTTCAAAGCTTCTTTATCTAGCAATATTTGAGTTAATTCATTTTTTGCAGGTATATTGAAAGTATTTGAAGAATCCGCAAACATTTGTTCTTGTCTACCAAGCCAATCCCTTGCTGAAATAATCATACCCCCATGTTCTGGGAGACAAAGTATAGGTGATATAATATCACGCCCTCCTGAATTTCCGAGAGGTTTTAACCATCTATCTGAAAATATTTCATGAAATTCCGAATCAATAGAGATACAGTCTATTAAACAAAGACGGATACTAGAAAAATCAATAGGATATTTTCTTGCAAATTTACGAGTTGTCATTGGATCTTATTATTGTTAATAGAAATTTTAAAAAGAAAAAAAATTACCATCCTGATAATTGAATGTTACTGTTTTTAGTCCAGGATAATCTGCAAGAATTATAGTAGCTTTATATTTAGTGATAAGAGTTGCCCAGAGACCAGGAACAAGAATAGCTCTCTGAGGACACCAGACAGTTGTATCTCCGTTATAAATAGAAAATAAAATACTAAAAATTAGCCCTATTGTTTGTCTTGGATCCAAATATGTGATAATAACTTGGTCATTTCTGATTGGTACATGTTTTTTGGAATTTTTTTTTGAATTATGATTTTTTTTTGTACTTTTAGGGACAGTTGAAACAATAGCGTTTAAACATGTCATTTGATTCATAATGGCACGATGAGATAAAACTACTCCACGGAGTTCTCCAACTGGTGAGCGTGAATATTCAATATAAGCTAAATCATCTGTTCTTAAAGGCTAAATAAATTTAAGACTTAAAAAATATAAAAATTGAGGATAAACATACAGGAATATCTTCATCTTTTTTAGGGTAGAATCCTCCAATGTTATCTGTTGTCCATGTTTCTATATTAGGGGGCCATTGAAATTCTTTATTTACTAGATCCTTTTGGAAATTTTTTAAGGTTGCTTGAGTAGTTAAGATAATCCGACATTGTGTTAACGTTAGGATTTCATTTAACTCTTCAATATTATCGTGATTATTGATAGGAACTGCAACCATTCCCGCAATAAAACATCCAAATAAAGAAATCGTAAAGTCAATAATTTCAGAAGTTTCATATACAAGGGCTATTCTATCTCCTTGAAGCAGCTCAGGTTTGTTTCTAATCATAAGTGCTATTTTTTCTGCATGTGATGTAAGTTTACTATATGTTATTTTGGTTACTTCTTTTGTTTTATCATTAGCGACAATCAAAACTTTTTTCCTTGGCCACTCCCTGTTTCTATAACGTAAAACAGATGCGATATCATCGAATCTATTGGTTTTAATTGGTATATAGATAAATTAATAAATCTTTACCTAGTCATTAGGATACTCGGATTATATTGATCATAAACTGAAAACGGTATACCCCTAGGCTTAAAAGGCAGTTGCTGTTTTCCCGCTTGTTCCGCCCATATTGATGAATATTTCTCCTCCGAAATACAACTGATTTGATCATATGATAAAGAGCCACTTCTGTAACGGTATGGACTTGCTATATTTATAAAATTACAATCCGAATAATAAATTTTAAAGTTTCTTACAATATACATGGTTATATGGATGTTCATCTTTTGGTTTTAAATTAACACCGTTTTTGTTATCTAGTAATTTAAATAAGATTGCTGAACAACTATTCTCTTTAAACCTTTACCTTTAGTAATAAGACTCTGGCTTTTATTTGCATTTTCGTTTCCTTGAAAGATTCCGTTACTTGCATTCCCATGTTCCTGAAAAATATTTAATATAAATACTGATATTTGTTTATTTTTTACTTCATTTGGCCTTCCATATTCTTCATATTTTGCTAATATTTTTTTTTTTCTTTTTTCATAACCTTTTTGCGTTATTTCTCCATCTTCAAATTCTTTTTTTAGTGTTTCAAGTTGCTCAAAAACGATCTGAGGTATCTGTAGTTGGCCCACTAATTCTGTCATCAGGAGCCCTTCTTAAAGTAAATATAAAATATCTATCTTTTAATTGATATTTTATATATTATAAAGAATATTTATGATATTTTAAATATTTTCGTTTTTTTAATTTTTATCGCACTAAGAATATTTGAATATTAAAGGAGAAAAAAATATATTTTATTGATTAAAAAAATTAATATTTATTTCAAAATCATGTTTTTATGATTTTTAATAGATACTTTATATTGAAAATGCTTATATTTTATAAATTTAATTTTTTTGGAAAGATACTAATATTTTATTAGATCATCTAATATAATATTTTGTAAGTATATACAATAAATATATATTGAATATTTTAAATACTCTTAGCTGTGTTAAAAAGTATGAAAAAATTCTGTTTTGATAAAAATATTTTGTATAAGTTTGAAGCACTCCTTTATGTCTGTATTTTATTTAACTAAATTATGTGTTATGTGCTCATGGTTTATTGTTTTAATGTTTCTAAAGAGGTTTTAAAGTTTATTATTTTGATCTTATTGTAATCTAAATTTAAAATATAAAAGACTGTTTTTTAAAAAGTATATCCGCTGAAACAAGTGATATTAAATTATTAGCTTATTAAGTTTTTAATTTATTTAAATTTGATTAATGGCTATATAGTTTCTTATTATTTAATTTTAACAATTTTAACAATTTTAATAATTTTAATAATTTTAATAATTTTGATTTTAATTTTTAACTGAAATTTTTAATCGTTCTTTTAAATAAAAAAAAAAATAAAAAATATATATAATTGCTTTTAATTTTTAAATAAGCATGTTTAAAGAAATATTGAATATTTCTGAACTTTTAAGTATATCTTGATAAATATGTCTTTATATTTTTATAAATATTTTTTATATGGGATTAATATATGAAATTAATGTTTTTTTTTTTTGAAAAAAATAATATTAATAAAAAAAAGAGTCATTTTCTAACATATAAATAAGAAAAAAGATATTGTGAAGAGTTTAAGATAAATTTAGATATAATAATTAAATAGATTGTAGATATATTTTTATGAATATATAAAATATCTAAATTTTTAGTAATACTATTTAGGTGATTAGTAGCAAAAGATGTGTCTATTATAATTATAAATAAAGTATTTATAAACAAAATATCTTTTTACCGTTTTAAATGAAACGTATTAAAAGAATATATTAAAATTAAAAAATAATTAGAGTTAATATTTGAGCTAGATTTTAAGTTTAATTTATTGTAGTATTAGATGAATAAATTTCTTCATTGCTACAAAGTATTGAAAGCTTTTCTATTTCTTCTTCACAAGTTTTTAAAAGATTAATAGAAGGATACATAAAGTGTTTTATTTTTGGTAGTAAATTTGGTAGTTCTGAGTTAGGGTATATTGCATTATGAGAAATTGCTTGATTAAGACGATATATTGCCATATTATGTATATATTTTGATTCTAATAAATTTGTTTTTTGACTATATAAAAGTTAACAATATTATAAATTTTAAGTTTTTAATACATATATGTATCTGAAACAGTATTAGATAAATCCATTTTAGTAACATATTTTTCCATTAGACTATCAATATTTTCAATAGAAGAATTTGTTTCTATATTAGAAATTTGGTATTTTTTCATAGATGGAAACTTGAAATTTCTACAATCTTCAGCAAAAGGTAACTTAAACGTAAATAAAAACTAGATAATAAAAATAATACTTACAGGAAGCTCTATTAAACACTCAAATTCATTTTCAATAGATGGTGCTATCATGATCATTTCAGGACATTTATCTGTTTTTGTAACAATTTTTGCTAATGCTAAAGTATTAGTTTTTAACATTCCATGTATTAAAGAAGACAATGAAATTTTTGAATTTAAATTCGTTTTAGCTGGAACAATTATATTTGATTCTCCTATGGCCATAAACCGAGGGAACTGCCAGTTAATTTTATACACTATAAATATAGAAATTACTTACTGATTTGTTTTTTATAAATCCTAGTATTGTTAATTGAATATTTGTTTTGTATTTTAATTCATCAACTATAATACTAGTTGGAATTATTGTTTTTCCATAAACATATCCTAATTCAAGATCTTCTTTAGATATTTCTTTTTCTGAGCCATTTTCTTCTATCTTATAGTTTTTTGTAGTTAAAATTTCACTGAAATATTCATTTTTATTATCATTATTTGAATTAGTACTTGTCTGTGTTAATTGCTCAGTATAATTAGTAGGTTTAGGTGATTTTTTTAAAACATTATATCTATGTGCACTAGGCATTTTTGCTAATCTAGTACGAGGATACCTTTGAATCATAATTTCAACAACATCAGGATAATTTTGAGGGTCTCCTATAGTTAATGTTCCATTAAATAATGATACAGGATGAACTTTTCTAAAATTAGATGTATTAAGAGAATTTATAACTTCAATCATTGAAGCAAAAGTTCCATTGCAAATATTTGCAAACTTTAAGAGTTCTTTTTCATTATTCATCTATAGTAAATATTAATAATTTTATCTTATAGTGTATATAAGTACTTTTATAATGCTTTTGAAATCTTCTTTATACCCATATGAATAACTGTCAAAGTCAATGCCACTATTTTTGTTAATTTATTTCTAGAATGGATGTTACTTTGAATATTTTACAAAATTGAAATATTTATAGACATATGTTTAACTTGGTATGCAATTTTTTCCGAGTCTGAAAAATCCATATATGACATTCCATTTGTAATAAGTATAAGATTTTTAATATATTTGAGATTTCCACAGTATTTTGATATCAGATCAATGCCAATAATTATACCTGAAATAGCTGAAGAATTAATACTAAAAAGTTATATATAATAGATTTCACCATCACCAATATTCGTATTGCTAGGGACTAATTGCTTTTTTAATTCTTTTATTTGTTTTATTGTGATTCTAAATAGAATTATAAAGAATTAAAAAATCTAATTTTTGTACTGTTGAATAGGACATAAAACAGAAATATTTTTATAAAATTCATCATCTTCCATGTCATTGTTCGTTTCTGTTTTTTATATAAAGAACTATTATTCATATTTTTCTATCAAACCATTTGTTTTAAACCCAATCACCCCTACACAATCTGTTTTTCGCCCAGAAAATATCTTTTATACTAAAAAATAGCCATGAATACATGTATATACATACTTTTGACGAAATTTTATCCCAAAAATAACTAAGTGCCCATTCAAGATCACATTGTTCTCGTCCTTCTTGAAAATCGCCCTTTTATTTATTAACTATATATTTAATAGGCACAAAAATATACCATTTGATGTCCTAAATCAATAACAAATACAGTTACTTCTTTATTAGCCATATTTTTGTATTTTTTGTCAAAAATACTAGTTTTTTTAAATAATCTTAATCTATAAATATTTTGTTAAATTCATTAAGTACTTATAGCAATTAACGACATTTGTATATTCAGATAATTTTAGATAAAAGAATAGAAAAAAATATATGTTTTTTCATAAAAACAGTGGAAAATGTCAGAAAAGATTTTAGATGAAAAAATAGAAGTAAAATATTTTAAAGAACTTCATACAAAAATATCTAAAGAATCTCCGTTTTATATTTCTATGTTAAGAGGATTGGATAAAGATACATCTGATTATGTTAAAAGATATAGTGACAAGTATAAGCCAGCGCCAAAAACATCACAGTCTTTATTTTGTCTGAGGTTAGAGTCATGTTTTTTTCCAGAAGAACTTTTTAATGTATTTTTGAATGAATATAAAGATCAGCCATGTAAAAAACGAAAAATGTTAGATCCTTATGTTTTTATGCAATTTCCTCAAGACTTATCTATGGTATCTGATGAGGAAATGCAAAATTCTCATGATCAAGGTTCAGATACAGTAGATGATCATGAAAGTAGGAAAGAAGGAAATGATCAGGAAGATGATTTTGGAGATGACGATAACAATGATTATGGAGGTTTAAAGTTGCTTTATTTTTATATTTTATTTAAAAAATTAGATAACTATTTTGATCCAGGAGATGAAGATTATGAAGATGGTACATTTTTTAGAGATAATATTGATGATTATCTTTAAGTAAAATTCAAAATTAATTTAAATTTTACAAAAATACTCTTTGAATATTCATTCAATATTTAATGTCAATAATAATGAAAACATTTATATATAAAAAAATACATTTTTCATCAACATATAATAAATTGATTGTTAGTAAAATAAATAAAACAATAAATTTAATTTTATTATGTTTTACTAAATCTATAAGGGGTTATATTTAAACGGATATTTTATTAAATCTTTAGTCAATATGTATAAGAAATAGTAAATTAATAATTTATTTTAATGTAATTTTAAAATACAATTGTTTGTATTTTTTGAATTAGATTATTTATATTATTTATGTTTTTTAATATTTTCTAATGGGTTTTTGTTTTAAAATATTTAATTTTATTATTATATTTACCATCGATATAAAATTTAATTTGTTATATATACATATATTTATTTATTTAAAAAGTTCCAGAATTGTTTTTTGATAAGTTATTTTTTAATATTTAAGGCTATTTATGATTAATTTGAATGCTGAGTTTTGCAAAGCTAGGTGTTATTATGTACTATTTCTAAATTAAAATATTGTCCTGTATTCAAAAAATCAAAAGATATGTATAAAATTATACATATTTTTATAAATTGGTTAATTTTTTATAAAATATTAATTCATTTCGTTTTGTAAAAAAGTCCATATAAATATGGTATAGTTACTAAATATCACATAATTTCATCAATGTCTCTATAATTTGAAGTAATATGTTAAGAAGTATTTTTTCAAAATCTTAAATGTTAATAAATTTTAAATTCTGAATATCTGTTCTTGACAATCCTAAAAAATGATTTTTTACGAAATCAAGATTTAATACAAGGATAAAAACTACTATAAAATAAATGAATTTTTCTAAATTATTTAACTTTATCTGGACTTAAGAACGAAGATTTTTCTCTTTTTCAAGAAGATCTTTTGCTTGATTTACTTTACTTGCTATGTATGGGCTTCCTCCTCTATCCGGATGATTCAAAAGCATAATTTTCCTGTGTGCATCCTTTAATTTAGATCTAGACAGTGTAGATTCACTGGAATCATATTAGTACTCATAAAAATTTTTTCAAAGGAAAAAGCATAGTTTGCCCTTTTTACCCAAAAAACTTACTTTAAAGACAAAATCAAAAATGCTTCTTTAATAGACATCTCTTTATCAAATCCCCCTTTATAAATATTTTGGAAAGATGATCCTCTTGGAAGCAGCTTGTATCTCTGAAATGCCCGCAGCCCCAAACCTGTCTAAAACCGTCAATTTTTCACCTTTTTTTTTCATTTAAAAAGTATTACCAGTGTTGCAACTGCTGCTATGCTTATAGATCCAATAAGAATGCCTATTGACATTACTAATTACCTTTTTTTAAACTTTTTTTTTTTTTTTAAAATTATGACGTTGAACATCGATAAAAAATAAGAAACGCTCGATTAACCTCTGTTAAGCACATCTCATAAGTGCTGACCAGTTTTTAGTAGAAATGACCACGTTAAAGCAGTTTATTAAGTCAGTTCGAGCATCAAAAACAGCTGCTGATGAACGGGCAATTATTCAGAAAGAATCTGCAGCGATTCGTGCGTCTTTTCGTGAAGAATCTAACAATCATTATCATCGTCGAAATAATCTGTCAAAATTGCGTAAGTTGATGGTTTATAGTGGGAGTTTTCTGGAAATAATTGACATGTTTTACAAGTTTATCTGTATATACTTGGAGAATGTACTCATTTTGGGCAAATTGAATGTCTTAGATTATTAGCAAGCCCAAAATTTGCAGACAAACGTCTCGGATATCTTGGAGCAATGCTTTTGTTAGATGAAAACCAAGAAGTGTTGATGCTGGTGACAAATTCTCTTAAGAAGTTGAATTCAAAGGCTATATTATCGTTTTTATTAATATATAAAGTGATCTGAATCATCCCAATCCATATATTGTTGGAATGGCACTTTGTACATTAGGAAATATTTCATCACCGGAGACTGCACGAGATTTGTTTTCAGAAATTGAAAAATTAATGAATTCTACGAATTCATATATTCGTAAAAAAGTATGTAGGGGTATTAATAGTGTTTATTATGGTAACATGTTTTTTCCGAATAGGCAGCATTATGTGCTATGAAAATTATACGAAAAGTTCCTGATTTGCAAGAAAATTTTATAGAGCGTTCGAAATCTCTTTTGAATGATAAAAATCATGGTGTTTTGTTGTGTACATTAACCCTTATTATTGATATGTGTACTCGTAATCCAAATATTATAAAATATTATCGCCCGGTAAGATTTTATTTTTATAAGGCCAATATTAACTTAATTGTAGCTTACTCCTCATATTTTGAGGTATTTGAAATTACTCATCAGCTCTGGATTTTCCATTGAACATGATGTTTCGGGAATTGCTGATCCATTTTTGCAAATAAAATTTTTAAGGCTGTTAAGGGTTTTAGGACATGGGGATACAGGAATTACTGAACAAATAAGTGATGTATTAACACAAGTAAATATTTTTTCGTAATATTGTATATCGGATTAAAACCATTAGATTGCTACTAATACTGAGTCTTCAAAAAACGTTGGTAATTCTATTTTATATGAAACAGTTCTTACTATTTTGGGAATTGAGGCAAATAAAGGTTTACGGGTTCTTGGTGTTAATATTCTTGGTAAATTTTTATCAGATAACGATAATAATATAAGGAAAGTTTTGAATTTTTTTTTAAATATTTAATATTGTATTCAGATATGTTGCATTAAATACACTTAACAAGGTTATTTCTATAGAACCAGCTGCTGTACAAAGACATAGAAACACAGTGTTAAAATGTCTTCGTGATCCTGATATATCAATACGTAGAAGAGCTTTAGATTTATCTTTTGCATTAATTAACGAAAGCAATGTTCGAGTATTAGTGAGAGAGATACTAGTGTTTTTAGAAACTTCTGATAATGAATTTAAATTAAATATAACAACCCAAATATCTATTGCAGCTAATAATTTTGCACCAAATAAAAGGTGGCATATTGATACTATGCTCAGAAGCTTAAAACTGGTAATCTTGTTTTTGTTAGACTCGATTTGATATTTATATAATAAAAAAGGCAGGAAATTATATTAAAGAACAAGTATTTTCTAATTTTATTCAACTTGTTATTACCACTCCAGAACTTCAAGCATATACTATTCGAAAACTATTTTTTGCTTTAAAAAAAGATATAACACAAGAAGCTCTTACACTTTCTGGAGTATGGATGATAGGAGAGTATGGCAAACTTCTATTGCAACCATATCAGTCATCTGAAGAAAAAATTAATGGAGATATTAAAGAATCTGACATTATCGAGCTTCTGGAAAATATTTTCAATTCAACATATTGTACTAAAACGGTTATGGAGTATCTTTCAACTGCTTTAATAAAACTTACAGTTCGTATTAAGGATCAATTCCAAATTGAAAAAATTTATGATTTATTAACTAGACATTCAACAGCTTTAGACATAGAAATACAACAAAGATGTATAGAATATGAAAGGCTTTTTCATTTTGATGAGATTCGTAAAGGAGTTTTAGAAAAAATGCCAGTGCCTGCACTCAAAAATGCTAAAATGTTTGATTTTTCTATAGAAAAATCTGAAAATATGGAAAAGGATAATAAAGATGTAAATATTTGTTTATTTAATGTTTATTAATCAGTATTAGCCTTTACTTGATTTTCTTGAGGCTGATTTTTTTTCGAAAAAAGATACAAATGATGTAAATAACAATAAAAGCGCAGTTTTAGATATTTTTAATGCATTGAATATCCAAGAATTCACAGCTCATGAGACGAAAAAAGACGATTCTCGTAATATTTTTTTTTTTTTTAATTTAAATAATTTTTAATATAGATTTTCAATTATTTCAAAATTCTATTTTGTCTACTGAAAATTCCAATTCATCTGCATATAAATTTAATAATAAGGTTGAGAATGATGTTTATAGTATGTCTTTTCTTATTTTCGTTTATTTCCTAATATACAAATAGGTGTATATGAAAAAAATGGACTTAAATTTACCTTACAAATCGATTCATTGGATATTTCAGAAACTTCTACAATAATTATTATTAATAGGTTCAAAAATATTGGTTCTTCTCGTATCTCAGGAATCAGTTTACAAGCAGCAGTAATAAAATCCCAAAAATTAGATATGTATCCTTTGTCAGGAACATTCGTAGATCCCGGTGAAGAGCTTATACAAAAAATGAAAATAACTGCTGCAAAAGAAGTAATTGTGCAAAGTATACATTTTTCTTTACTTAACCAATACCTTTAGTCTTTATTGCGACTTCGTTTTAAAATTTCATATAACTGCTACGGATTAAATGATGTTATCGAACAAATTGATTTTAATCAATTCCCTCGTGATTTACTCTTTTAAGAAAAAATGCATATGTGCTACTATTTATTTGTTTGTATATTCATTCTTTTTCTATTTATCATTAAATATTTATCTTCTTATAATCACGTGCTTTTTGTATTTTAACGTTCGCGCTACATATTAACTACCGTCATTCACGTTAAACTGAAACGTTTATAAAAAGGTATTTTTAGAAGAATAAATTGTGTTTTAATAGTTTGCAGCCTTTTCTTTGTTTTTCTTTTGTCAATCTCTCAGTTAATTTGGATTTCTTATTCGTTTTTATTATTTTTTACGCGTAATCAAATGCGAGGATACCTAAAGAAAACTTAAAGTGTTGATGAATTAGAGTTTATCCGTTGTTTTTTCTATTTTCTAGTGTTTTGTGTTCTTTTGTGATATGCAGACGCTTCAGACTGCATCTTCTCGTCGCGTTCTTTCTGAATTGACTCCTTCAAGAACAAATGTTTTACAACTCTCTTTTCTTAAGCGTAGACGAGCTTCTTCTATTAGTCATGGCACAGAGATATCCCCTCAGAAGGAAGTTCTTTCTGAAAAGCAGCTTAAACGTTTTAAAGAGTCCGATCTTGATTTATCATGTTCAGATTCTGAATCAATTTCTTGTGATTATATTGATACATTATCACCTCATGCTAAACACTATGAAAAACAAGTGGATATGGAACCTAATATTTTGTTGGAAGATGACTGTGCTAATGTACATACTGATTGTGTTTTAAAAAATGAGGTATTGGAAATTCTGATCAGTAATAACCACGTATCTTCTAAACTACGTAGAAATGTAGCGATAAACTTGAGTTACCTGATTCTTATTTTTCATATATTAATAAAAGGATGCTTCTTGAACCATTTTTCATATCAAAAGAGCAAATTAGAAAGGTAGGAGAGTTGCAAAAAGTATATATATTAAAAAAACAGTATGCACATATTTTGAAACTTCGGTTGCGTCTTGCTTATTACAAGCTACAAATTAATCAGCCGCATTCAGAATTCTCGGCGCTTCCTCTTTCTTTAATTCCAAAACGAATCAAAAAAAATTCACCAATAAAAACATCAAAAACAATTTTATCAAAAACAGTTGTATCGGATGCGCAACTTCCTTCGCCTATAAGTTCTCAAACGCATGAAACTGCTTCATTATGTTCATATAGTAATGAATGTCTAGTTCATAATACATTTGATTATTTTAAATACAATATTGAGCTGAAGTCTCCTCCATTGAGTGAAGAACGGTACCACAAAAATATTTTTTCTTCTGAATTTACTAAGGATGTATCTAAATAAACAAAAAATGCTCAAAATGTTCAAAACAATGTTCAAAAAATTGTTAATATTCTGAGTAGTCTATTAGGAATTGTCGATTTTAGGGTCGTCGATTTGAATTTTCCTTTCAAAGATACAGTAATTAGTTCTACTATTTAGATTATAGATTTCGTATATTATATATTAGTATAAAGGATTCTTGTTTTTTCAGAGTAATTGGTCTTGTTTTTTACTGTGAATTAATATAATTTGTCTGAGCTTCTATTCAAAGACCAGCATACACCATACTCTAATTCTTTGATTTCCCAATCTTGGGCTGTTTTTATTTCCCTTTTGTCATTATCTAATATTTCTTTTGTAATAGGATTTTTCTTACTAATATCGTTATTATCATGTTGTCTTTGATGATTTATGACATACGGATTTCCTAACCATTTATCTTTTTCATTAAATATATTTTCAATAATCTCAAAAGAATGAAACGTATCAAAAAGATATGGCATATTAGCTACCATATTATCCTCATACATAAAAAACTCGGGATTTCTTAACTTCTTCAAACTTAAATCATCTAAATGGCCTATATTGTTAAAAAACACTCATGTATTTCTCTAAAATCTTACGCATACTTTTTTCTTGATTCATATTATTATGTTTTGACATCAAGTCTGCAATTCCATAAAACATTTGCTTTTTTTGAGGTGGGTTACTATAAATGCGTTAAAATCAAAAGCTTGATTATATAACAAAATATACATTATATAATTTGTACTCCCTCCAATCTGTTCCATTGAAATACTAATCTAAACTACTAAATATACACAATATGCCGTCAATAACACATACTCTGAGTAATGAATTAACTTTGCTGTTTTGAAGTAAATAACATTCTGTCTCCTTTGACAACCCTGCATATTCTGCAAGATTGATATCAACTTTCCCAAGAACCAATTGATGACTAGCACCGCTCAATTCCTATAAAAAGCTCAATCTATCTTTCTACGGCATAAATACACTGAACTTTCCTGGTTAACCTCAAAAATAATCCAGCTTTCTGACAAATGTTGATGTTTATCAATTTTCATAGAAAGAAAGCATGAAAATTCGTAATTCCAGATAACTTTATGATTTTTAATTGGAACTTTTGGTGATTTTCCACGTGCCCTCATATGTACAGAGTCTTTTAAGTGCCATTTTATAAATACTTGTCCAGATACAAGTGGGACGTTGTTTAAATGATGAATTATCATTTTTACATGGAATTTTGGCCGAGAAGCTGGAATTAACTTTTTAAACACTTCTTTATGCTTTTTTACTAATATTTCCCGTATATATGCATCTCTTACCTCCCCATCTAAAGCCTGGAGCCACTAATGCATACAATGCATTCAACCGAGTCAATCCTGATAAACGGCGTATGCCGTGCAATGGATGTGCACTTCCAGAGTGCATAGATGAATGATATAGTAAACGACGACGCATTTAAGCGTTTTTTCTGCTAATTAAAGCCTTTTGGCTGACCAAAACTTTACCAAAATAATGATGAAATATCGATGAAATATTTGTAATTAAATATCAATTAAATATCGAAAAGGTTTATCGATACTCCGATAAGCTAATTTGCATATATTCTGTTATTTGTAGAGATAATGTGTTTTTGAGCGCATATATTAAGTTTTTGAACGCATATATTAGGTTTTCAAGTGCATATGTTGTGTTTTGCTGTATATATAGCCTATTTTTTACTTATTAACCACTATCTATAGTGTTTGCTTTGTTATCGATATTAATAACGTCTAATTCGTTGGCGTATATATTTAATATAGTGTTTCTATACACTGCTTTATTGCTGTCTGAACAGTGCTTGTAAAGCATGTTATAGAGCCAAATAATGGGTATATGCGCTTTAAACTCCAGAAAAGCCTATTTAGTTGTATATTGGATCTATCTGAGCATATTCACTATATATATGCGTGCTTAAACCTATCTGTTGTTTCCTTTTGCCTGTTTTTTGCATGCATTGTATTGGCTCCACATCAGTGTGTGGTTATATGCAGAGCATATATAAGGCATATGCAAAAATGGATTGAGTAATACATAATATATGTATTGAAAGATATGTATATGCATTAAACAGACTGTATACAGTGTATACTGTTGCATATACAATGCATATTATGCATATAGTACATATTGCAGGAACATACAGTGTATATAATACATAGTATAATGTATACTATGTATATAATGTGTGTATACTGTGTATAGTGTATACGTAGAGGGTATATGTGTAGTGTATGCATAGTATATATAGTGTGTATAGCACGCATAGTGCACCCGTATAGGTATGTGTATACTATACGTATAGTATATGTATAGTATATGTATAGTATATGTATAGTATATGTATATATATGTATAGCGTGTTATAGAGTATATACAATGTATACCGCGTTTATAGTATGTGTAGTGTGTATATAATGCATATAGAGCAATGCAGTATATAGTGTGTGCACAATGTACACGTCTCTGCAAAGACACTGTATTACGTATACAGGGTACATAGCATAATATATAACATAATACATACACATATGTTATAGAAGACACATACTATAGGAGCGCTCTGGATATATGATGTATACAATATGTATATACAATGTAGAGTGTATACGGTGTATATATACTGTAATATGCCGTGCATACATAGCGTTGAGTGCAAGCAGTGTCCATACAGTGCATATTGTGCATATACTATGTATACAACATCTATGTTATGTATATCTTACAAATATGCTGTATATATTACACATACACTATACATACACTATGCGTATGCTGTGTATATATTATATATATTGTATATACTGTATACATAGTATACATATATGCTATACACTACATGCTTACGTTACAGGTATATGGCATATAATGCGTTGTAGCGTGCACAGACTGCACATATATTGTGGAGTACATAGTGTATACTGTATAACGTATATTGTATATAGCAGCATGTGTTAAGCTAGCGGATGGTGTGTGGAAAAGACAGGACACAGGGTTTTCCGGCGCATATAGTCCGGTTAGATGTGGTTTAGAGCACATATATCGCAGCTCCGGTGCATATATGCCGTGTCTGAGCATATTTAGGCAACTTACATATCAGATGATGCTTGGGCGTTAGTATTAAGCCGTTGTTAAGGCGTTGCTAGGTAGTCGGTATCTCGTATGAGCATTGACGAGTCTGCCGCAGAGCTCCGGCGTTTCGAACAAGAGCTTGAATTTATACAGTGTCTGGCAAGTCCGTGGTATCTAAACTGTATATTATGATAATACTAGTGCGTGCTGTGCTTATTGCTGTAGTTCTTGCGCAAAACAACTATCTCAAATCTCCCGAGTTCCTCAACTATCTCGAATATCTATCGTATTGGAGACTTCCGGAATACGCACAGTTTCTCACGTAAGTATCACGTGATATTCACGTGATGTAAAGTCACGTGCAGTTTGAAGTGCAAGTACACTGTATGTTGCACGGTTTATGTGACCTGCACGACTTATACAGTGGATCGGTGTGATTTGCATTGCTGACAACACTGTAGATATCCTGCGTGTCTGCACCATCTGACACTACTTGAGTCTGCGCGCTTTCGCTCAGAGATTTCGAGAGCTGACGTTGCACGCAAACTCAACGACGAACTTTACTATGAATGGCTCGACGGGCGCCACAAGAGGTCACGTGACTCTTGATGGTGACATGTGATATTTGTGGAAGATCACGTGACTATGTCTGTGAGAGTCACGTGACACATAGCTGTAGAGCGAGATGGATACAGCGTGCACGTATTTTGGAAGGATATTGTGTGTTAAAGTGTGTATTTACACCGGTTTTTGTCAATTTCCTGCTGCTTTTTTCGGGAGCTGAGCAGACCTGGAGGGCGATGTATGGGCCCTGGAAAAACGAAGAGTGTGTCTTTGAGTTGTGTCCAGAAAGCAACCTGCAAAAGGATTATTTTATTCAGACATGTTTCTGATAGCATAAATGATGATTTAGCTTCTGCTGCAAAAAAAGGTCATTGGAGGAAAAAAAGCACTTGAAATGGAAAAAAGCAGTTTTAGAGGTATTCCTGAATACACTGGACAGAATAGAGAACAATGTATGAGGGTGTGGTTTTGTGTGTTCTTTGTGTTTTTTGTGCTGTTTTTTGTATTTTGGATATTTTTATGTACCTGATGTGGAAAATACAACTATTGTTTAAAAATGTTTTAAGTATGAGACTTTGTCTAAACGGTGCTGCTTTCTAGAGAAAAGTTGTTTCCACCATTGCATTCCCATCCTGAAAGCACATTTCGTAAATCTTGCTTAACTTGTTTTCGTTGTTCAGCAATTAGTCCATTTTTCTTAAGATCACTATATTGACAGACATTTAAGCGAGATGCTTTGAGCATTTCATATTTACAAATCATACTATGTGAGTTTTTCGAAAAGTATTTGGCTCCTTGCTTTATACCGCGACATAATACTTGTTCATACGTATTAATGATGACTAATGATAATGGACAAGGCTTTGTACGTATATAGGACCGTTTATGACAAAAGTCTAGTGTTGTTGGATAGACACAAAAAGGTTTGAATGAATATCCGCCCTCCCATTTTTTGTTGTGAAGCATGTTGACTCTAGAATAAAATGCACGTTTAATTGCTGGTGCAACAATTTGTGGTTCTGGCAAAATAATAGCGTCAATATAGAATTTCTTTGGGCAAAAAAATTGGATAGTAACTGCGTTTAACAGTGATAAAATTTCTTTTGATAGGAGTTTATCGCTGCAACTCTTTGAATTTGTTGGTATAGAATTATTTTTTCCTGAAAAGTTAGTCATTATTTAAAGAATACCTTTTATTAACCAGGTTTTGTGCGTACTACTTTTACTTGAGAAAAATACATTCTTCCTCTTTGTATTTTTATTTCTTTATCTTGAGATGACCATGGTTTTGAATCACTTAAAGATGATGTAACAAGTTCCATACTGGCATCGCCACCTGCTATTATATGAGATGTATATCAATAGTGTTTATTGGATTTTATGACATGGTGCAACTGTACTATATAAATATATCTTAACATTATCTTGTAAAGTCCACTGTTGTGGTATATTTTCAGATTTTTCATTGTTTTCGCGCTGTTTGATCCATTTAAAAGATCCTATGAACATTTCTTGCAAAAGAAACCTTTTTTTCTTTAAAATAGTTCTTTATATCTTTAAAATATATATCTACATGTTAAATGCTCTAATGCAGAGGATTTCTGCATGACAATCATGTAAAATTCGTCCGTTTGCAAGTAAAACTTGATCTTTAGAAAGACATTTCATTCCAGTGCTTAAAAACATTATATTTTTTATATATTTTCTCTTTATCTTACGCTAAACTGACACAATCTATTTCTGTTTCTAAATATATTAATATTTTTTTATTTTTCAAATTATAAAAACTTTTTTGTAATACAATACCAGACAAAACTGTCCATTCATGTTCATTGGGTTTTCCTGATCTCTTTGCTGTATTATATTTATCTAAAACACATTTTGCTATACTATTTGGATCTACGTTTAACATTAAATGAGTTTGCTATAATTAATTGATGAAATATTTTTTTTTAATTTATTAAAAAAGACGAATTATAATTAACATTTTACAATATTTATTGAAAGTAGAGAAAAGATGTATCTTTTAACAATGATTATGAAATCTTCTAAAAAATTTAAATTAAATTGGCAGCAACAGTCAATAATAATATTAAAAGAATAATTACAGAGAACAGCCGATAAACGTTTTTAGAATAAATACTCAAAATATTAATTCGTATGTTTTAAAGTTTATGAATAAACCATTATTTCTAGAGTCTGAGATCTTGGTATTAAAAAATGCTTAAATAAAATATGCTGCTATTGAGTTTAGTATTTCTGGATATTTGATTCTGTATTTTGGAAAAATCATGTTGGATTTTGTAGAAAAATGATAGTATTTATTGAAAAAAAAAAACAATAACCCTTTTTCAATACTTTTTAATGCGAAAATGTGTTTTATACTGGTTATATTTTAGGTACAATTGCGGATAATACTAGGTGATTTTTTTGTTATGCAAATGATTCAAAAATTTCTTGTGTTTCGTTTGGAATATTGTAATTATTTATATTGTTTTCTCCATAAGTTTCTTCTAATGCCAAATGCTGGAATTGAGTTCTAATTTTAGCTTCTTTTGTTAAATTGTTTAAATGATTTCGTAATTTAGTTACACCAGATCCACTAAAAACACAGCTAATTTTTTCAATATATAAAATATAAGAAATCTGTAAAACTTACAATACGGCTTGCTGGTGAGGATTAAAATCTTTTTTCTTTAGCAAAGTTATTTACTATAAGAATGCCTTACCTCTAGGTGATGGTCGACAAAATTGCGTAAATTCTGGCTGCAAAAATTGCGAAACACCTGTTAAACTTAAATGTGTAAGCTTTTTACATGTATTTAATAATTCAAGAATAGCCTAATAAAAAATAGTTAGATAATAAAAATACAAAAGAATAACAAACGTGTAATGTAAGATTGACACAATATGAAAGGTGAATACGTTCTAATGCATTTTCAGTTGTTTTATGGTTAGCAAGAGCAAAAATTGACAAATCTGTTATATTTGCACATTTAACAAGTCCGATTCTTTTTAATTTAGGTAAAGATGCTAATTCACAAATTGAGAGATCTGTAAGTTGAATACAACATGCTAAATCAAGATAACGTAGTCGAGAACAATACCGACTAAGATATATAATGCTACGATCTGTGATAGCACTGCAATGGCCTAGGTGTAGAAAATGGATATTTTTTCCCAATCTAGCGATATACATTACACCTCTGTCTGTAATGTTGGAACATTTTGCAAGGATTAGATTCCTGAGTTTTGGAATTGCAACAGAAATATGATAAATACAGTCGTCTGTAATTCGTGTACAAGAGGTTAAATCTAATATACGTAAATGCTCATATCTTTCATTTCCCATGTTTAGGAAAAGTTCATTAGTTATCGATGTGCACTGTGCAAGTCTTAATTCCCTTAAATAATTTAATCTAGTAAATGCAGCTTCTACTGATTGATTTGTAATCTCGAAACAGTTATCAAGGTCCATTTCAAGTAAAGATGGACATCTGGATGCTAATGATAATATTGAAAGGTCAGTTATTAAATGGCACCCATTTAGCTTAATTCTGCGTAAATTAGAACAAGAATGTGCTATTGCTATGATTGATTCGTCTGTGATATTTTTGCAATTCGTAAGATTAAGGCCTTGCAAATTCTTCTGATACTTTGCAATACAAAACAGTGTTTTATTTGTAATGAGTTCCAATCCAGTAAAATCTAATGCAAGAAGATTTGGATTTCTGGATAAAATGTCACAAATGCCCTTATCTGTAACTCGTTTACAACCAATAAGCGTTAACCTTTCAAGCAGTGTGCATTTATCAAGCTTCGAAAGATACTGATCCGAAACATAATCGCATACATAGCTTAAATTAAGTCGGCGGATAAGTTGTGCGTAATTAAATGATAAGTTTTTTCGACATAATGTATTGCAAAACTTTATGAGACTAGACGACTGATACAAAAATGGCCTGTACCAAAGGCTTTCAATACTACAGTGGCACCATGACCAGCATACAAGAAGACATGACTGCATATCTGTTCCTGACGAAATATACTTGAAAATTGACAAAATAAGCTCTGAAGGAAGTCGTTCTGCTGCAGAAACTGCCCGTTTTCCCTTAGATGCACTCATTTTCTTTGATTTTTGTCCTATTTTCCCTGAAACATGGATGATTCCCTCATCTTCTGATGTTCTTTCAAAATCCATAGATTTTGTTGTTTTGTTCGATGAAAGCCTAGACCAACTTTTAAATCGAAAATCCACTCCATTCTGTCTCATATCATGACTATATAATCTCGTTTTATTCTTTCTTTTTGTTAAAAAAAACTGATTTTTTATGATATGGTTGTTGATGAATATGATGCAAACGTTGACTTTCGACGATTTGAATCGAAGGGGTTTTAAAGATTTAAAGATAGCAAATGAAGTTTTAAAGAGAAAAAAGCGTGTTTTTAAAAATAATAAGGATGAGAAAGTGTTTTTTGTATTTTAAAGAGATATTTTTGTTTTTTTTTTATGTAAAACTGTATATACTGATTACCAAGATATTTTGGTCAAATGGTGGAAATGGAGTATAGTTATGTATTGAGGAAGAATAATTTAGAATTGTTTTTAAAATATATTTCTATGTGTATTTTTGTTTATAGTTTCTGCAGAAAAAATAAGTTAGTCTGATAATTCTATGGACATATGCATATATTATTGTATATAATGTATACACAAAAAGACTTGTTTGCTACTAATTTTTTGAATATAATGTGGTTATGTGTGTTTCAGTAGTATATTGGCACAATTTATGTATAAACAAAGAAAAGAAGTGAATGTTCATAATTTTTGTGTTTGTAAGATTGAATATAGTATAGTGAAACAAGCACAAAAAAAAAAAACTAAAAGAAAACAAGATTTCTATATATTTTTATGTATGAAAAGTATATATGTTTTTTTAGAATTGCTTGATTTTTGTATTTTTATTTGAATTTGTCCTTCAGATTTATTGTTTATTCCAATCTTGAGTAATTTTTATTTTAAAAAAATTCAATTTAAAATTTAATAATGTTTATTTTCTACTATTATTTGTGCTTTAAAGTTTTTAAGGTTTCGGATATCTTATGAAATTTAACAATTATCTAAAGTACAAATAAAAATATTTTTGATCTCATTTAATTCATAAAAATAATATTTTTATAAATTTTATCAAGTGTGTTCGTATAATCTTATAGGATTTATTTTCATATATTTAATATTAACATCAAATTAATTTACTGAAAAACTTATATAACTTTGTTTTTACATTAGATGTTATAAATCTTAAATAACAGGTTTTTATATTTTCCTTTTTGCTATTTTTATTCAATTATTACTTGTTTGTAAATACAGTTTTTCTTAGTCGAGGGTGCCTATAAACTCTTTTAACGATTTACGACCGCAATATGACCGCAATATATATCAATTATATCCAACTGAAATACGAATGAAAAGACCAAATAAGACGAATTATTAGCCGTAAAAAACGCTTAATTACATCAGACTCACTGTTTCTAATATATATAAGATAATTCGTTCTAAGAAATAGTATTTATATTAACTTTTTCGTTTTTGAAAAGGTTAATATGGGGGTTAAGTAAAAAAATATTGGTTAAATCAAGAATTATGAAGTTTAAATTTGTTATAGAGCTGGAGGTACGCGCATGGAACGGCTTGTTTTATTATTGGATACAGGATCAACACAAATAATACGACAAACGGCAGCGCAACAACTTGCAGCAATACAAAAAGATCATCCACATGAATTGTACAATATTCTTGAAAAGGTTATTCCATATATAAGATCTAAGTCATGGGAAACTCGTATGGCTGCAGTTTTAGCACTTAGTTCTGTTATAAAACAAGTTCCTTTTTGGGATCCTGATATTGAAAGTATAAAACATGAGGAAGAGGAATCAAAGTCATTTTTTGAAAAAGATGAAAATATAAGTGTTTTGAAAAATAATCCAGATGATATTTTTAATTTTGAAACGTTCGATATATCTTTTGTTATTAAAAATGGACAAAAACTTCTTGGAAGTGATGGAAAGGTATAGTTAATATTTACATTTTTATGCTTATGTTTATAGGAATACGATTTTGATTCTTGTGATATTTTTTCTGAAGAAAATTTGGCTTTTCAAAAGAAAAGTTTTCTTTCTAGACTCGGATTTGGAGAATACATTGATGGTTAAGAATATATTTGGATTTATTTACATACTATTGTGCTTATATATATATAGAAAATATAATTACTGTTTCTGATTTTACTCCGCCTGCAAATGACGTTGTTCTTAAACAACCTGATGATAATTTTGCTTCATCTTTAATGAATAATACTACTCTTAGTGCTAGACAAAGGAATGCTATGAAAAGGAAAGCCAAAAATAGTGCAAAAAATACTAGGATGAATAAGTTATTTTTTTTTATTTTCAGTATATTTAAATTAACGATCTATAGAATGTGTATAACTAGTACACCTGTTAGTATTAAAAATGATGTGCCTGAAGATTCTATTTTTTCTGTAATGTCAAGTGTTAAACAAGAGGATTCCCCTGAATCTGCTTCATCTAATTTGCAATCACAGACATCATGTATTGTTGAACATAAACCATCATCTATAAAAAATTCAGCTGAAAATTTAGAGTGGCCATTTAAAAAAATTAGTGAGTTATTGAAACTAGATCTTTTCCATCCTTGTTGGGAAATACGTCATGGAGCAGCAATGGGTTTACGAGAAATTATTAAGATTCATGGAAAGGGAGCAGGTCGTATTATAGGATTGTCAAAAGTTGAAAATAATAAAAGAAATAAAATATGGCTTGAAGATGTTGCTTGTAAATTGACATGTATTTTTGCTTTGGATCATTTTGGTGATTATATATCTGATCAAGTAGTTGCGCCTATTAGAGAGTCTGTTTCACAAACACTTGGTGCTTTACTTGTACATGTAGACTCTGAATCTGTTCAGGAAGTATATAGGATACTTTATCGTTTAGTGTTCCAGCAAGATATGAACATTGAAAGTCGAGTTTGGGAAATTGTGCACGGAGGAATGCTTGGATTGAAGTATCTTGTTGCAGTGCGCAGAGATGTCGTTTTTGAATCGAATGAAATGTTCAATGGTATTATTCAAGCTGTTTTTTATGGGCTAAAGAATTATGATGATGATGTCAGATCTGTTTCTGCTGCTATTCTTTCTCCAATTGCTTCTGAATTTGTTGAAAATAGACTTGACGCAGTAAATGATTTAATGAATACTTTGTGGGTATGTCTTTCTGATCTTCGAGATGATCTAAGTACAAGTACTGTTAATATTATGGATTTGCTTTCTAAGTTATGTTCATCTCCAAAGGTTATTGATGTTATGAAAAATAATGCAGTTTTGGATGAAAGGTAATTCATATTTTTATATTACAATTGTTTATTTATTTACAGTCATTCGTTTTCTTTTCTTGTACCTAAATTGTTTCCATTTTTACGGCATACAATTACAGATGTCCGAAAAGCAGTTATTAAAGCTCTTCAAAAGTTCAGTAATTTTGAAAATGATGAATTCAAGAGTTGGATAGATGGGAAAGCTTTAAGACTTATTTTTCAGAATATGTTGGTTGAACAAAATACTGAAATTCTTAATTCTACTTTAGACTTATGGAATATGGTTGTTTCATCGATAAAATCTGACTCCAGTCTCCGATTTTATACAGAATATTCATCTCATTTATTGCCTAGTATTGAACTTTTAATGACACCAATAGGAACACCACGTCATCCATACCCTATGAAAGTTCCATTTTTAGATCCATTTGGAAATTTAAATATATTAACAAGTCCTGTAGAAGATACTATAAATTCAAATACAAAACTAAGCAAAAAACAGAGAAATAAAAAACAAGATCATTATGTTTTTCATAATATTGATAAACCTATGATACAAGGCGATATAGATCTTCTTGGCACTGAGGTTATTTTTGAATCGAGAGTAACATCTGCTAAAGCCTTAGGATTTTTAATTGCTAGGTTTCCAGAAGATGTAATTTTTAAAATATTTTTAAATATAAAATTAATGCCTTTTTAGAAAATAGACGAAATCATAATTTACTTGTTAAAATATTTCTTATCTCCTTTTTCAACTCCACGATTTTTAACAGCTATAGTATTTCAAAGTTTTTGTACAAATATCGGAGATAAGCCTTCTTTTTTAACATTTGTTCAAAAGCACTTTATAGATATTCTCAATGGTCAATTACCTGGCATGTTTGCAAATCTTGTACCATATATGAAAATTCTTCGGAGTCAATGTTATGCTTTGTGTAATACTTTTATTGAGAATGGTAACTTAGAAGCGTCAGATATTCCACATATTCCTATGGTTGTTCAAGGCGAGATTAATGCTGGTTCAGACGCATTTAGTTTAAAAGATGCAGAGAGAATTGTTGATGATGATTTTAATAGGCTACAAAATATGATTTTGCCTATATATAAAGCTCATGCATATAAGAATCTTGTAGAGGCTCAGAAGAATGTTAAAAATGCTATTAAAGTTGCTAAGAATGCAAAGTTTTTAAGCGATGTTCAAATTATGGCGGCAGTAGCATGCACACTTGTGTCTACCAAAGAGTTACCTAAAAAACTAAATCCTATTATTAGGGCAATTATGGATAGTATTAAGGTTATATTTTCTTTCTATAAATATAACTATCAGACTGACTTTTTTTAATAGAATGAAGAGAGTTTAATATTACAGACACATTCTGCGAAATCATTAACTGATTTGATTGATTTATGTGCATTTTCGCATCCAGGAGCTATAGATAAACTTATTAATAATTTATGTACATTTCTTTGTCTTGATACATCTGAAATACCCGAATTTTACTGTAATAAAACTCTTCAAAAATGCATTTTATCATTAAAGAAAGATCAAGAAGATCAATGTTCAAAAGATATTTCTTATGAACAAAATTCAAAAGAAATTCATATTAAAAAAAATGGAGCAAAATTGGTTTTAATTAATATAGCTAAAACTTTTGGTAAAAATTTGTTTGAAAAAATACCAAGATTATATGCTTGTATTTTTAAGTCTATAGAACATGTATTTAAAGGTAAATAATGGTTGGTTGTTTGAATTTATTTTTACTGTGTATAGAAGATTCTTGTTTTAAAAATGTTGAACAAAATCCTGCCCTTGGACAAAATATTATAGATGGGTTGTCAATTTTAAGGGTTCTAGTTTCACATTTCAATGAATCGTTATATCCTTTGGTAAGTTTGTTTCTATTTAGAGAAATATTGTAATATTATAGGTTATTGAGCATTTTGGGATTATACTTAAAGCTCTGGAATGTGAATTTTCTGTTGTGCGTTATGCTGCGGCAAAATGTCTTGCAACTATTTGTAGTGTAATTACTGTTGAAGCAATGAATGAAGTTATTTTTCATGTTCTGCCTCTTTTAAAGGATGCAGATAATGTAATAAGAAGACAAGGTGCTGTGGAATTAATATATCGTATGTTTCTTAGAGATTTGATAAAAATTAATATAATATTATAGATCTTGTTCAAGTTATGGGAGAAAACATGTTGCCATATGTCGTATTTTTTATAATTCCAATATTAGGTCGTATGAATGATTCAGATAATGACATTAGGGTCTTTTCAACAACAACTTTTGCAGCTTTAGTTAAACTTGTTCCATTAGAGGTTATTATCCTATAACATTTTAATTTATTTAATCATGGCAGTCTGGAATACCTGATCCACCTGGAATCTCTGATGTACTTTTAAAAAATCGTGATTCTGAACGAAAATTTATATCGCAAATTTTGGATGGCAGTAAATTTGAGTCTTTTTCTATTCCTGCATGCATTAAAGCTAATTTGAGAAAATATCAACAAGAGGGTGTTAATTGGTTGGCTTTTTTAAATAGATATCAATTACATGGTATTCTCTGTGATGGTAACTAATTATTTGCTTTAATCTTATTGTAAAAATTGTTAGATATGGGTCTCGGAAAAACATTGCAATCAATTTGCATTATAGCTAGTGACCATTTTTCAAAAAGTCAGGAGCATGAGTCTGAATTTAAAGAATTTCAACCCATTCCTTCTTTGATTATCTGTCCTCCTACTTTATCGAGGCATTGGCAACATGAGTTTTCAACTTATGCGCCATTCATGAAAACTCTTATTTATGGTGGAAGTCCTTCTGAACGTATAAAACTTAGAGATTCTTTTGAAGAATATGATGTTGTTATTACTTCATATGATATTTGTCGTAATGATAGTGAAGAATTTTCTAAAAGAAATTGGAATTATTGTGTTTTGGATGAAGGGCATATTATAAAAAATGCAAAGGCAAAACTTACTAAAGCAATTAAACTTATTAAGGCTAATTACCGGTTAATTTTATCAGGAACACCTATACAAAATAATATTTTGGAGCTTTGGTCTTTGTTTGACTTTCTTATGCCAGGTTTTTTAGGTACGCAGAAAAGTTTTCATGAAAGATTTGTAAAACCTATAACTGCTAGTCGTGACAGCAAAGTTTCTTCTCGAGAACAAGAAGCAGGTGTGTATTAATATTTAGTTTTTGTGGGTTTTATATTTTTATAGGTGCTCTTGCTCTTGAAGCTTTACATAAACAAGTCCTTCCATTTCTTTTAAGGCGATTGAAAGAAGATGTACTTGATGATTTGCCTCCTAAAATTATACAAGATTATTATTGTGATTTAAGTCCAATTCAGAAGCAGCTGTATGAGGATTTCGCTAAAACACAAATATCAGAAGTTATAAAACGTTTTAAAGGAGAAAAGATAGAAAAGAAATCACATATTTTTCAAGCACTTCAATATATGAGAAAATTGTGTAATTCCCCTGCATTGGTTTTAAATAAAAAACACCCTCAATATGAGAAAATTAATATAGAGTTACAAAAACAGAATTCAAATATCTATGATATTGAGCATTCACCAAAACTAATGGCTCTCCGGAATTTACTTTTAGATTGCGGAATATGTCTAAATGATGATACCTTGGGTATACAAGCTAATCAACATCGTGCCCTTATTTTTTGTCAACTTAAAGATATGTTGGATATGATTGAAAATCAAGTATTTAAAAAATTACTTCCTAATGTATTGTATTTGAGACTTGATGGTGATACGGATGCTAAACAAAGATATGAAATCGCTCATAAGTTTAATTCAGATTTTTCAATAGATGTTTTATTGCTTACTACTCATGTTGGTGGTTTAGGACTTAATTTAACGGGCGCTGATACAGTAATATTTGTAGAGCATGATTGGAATCCGATGAAGGATCTTCAAGCAATGGATAGAGCTCATCGAATTGGGCAAAAGAATGTTGTTAATGTATATCGTTTAGTGACAAAGGGAACTTTAGAAGAAAAGATTATGAGGTATTTTATTAGAAATTTGTATATGTATTTGATTGTTTTAGTTTGCAAAGATTCAAATTAAATATAGCATCTTCTATAATTAATCAACAAAATTTTGGTTTATCTACTATGGATACTAGTCAAATACTTGATCTTTTTAGTACAATTCAGGATGAACAATCTTCAGATGTTCAGAATTCTAGTAAAATGGATATACTAGATAGTGAAGGTAATTTATTACAAAAAAATCATAAAAATGTTCTCGAAAATTTGGACAATCTTTGGGATTCACTACAATACGAGGAATCATATGATTTGGATGAATTTATATCATCATTGCCTTCTATTGATAAATAATGGATTTATGGTTATATTTGTGGTTGTATATAATATAATGATAATGTATGATATAATTATTAATGGATTAAATAATTATAATAGATATTTTTGAATGTTTGTAAGAAAACTTATTTTTACTTATAAAATGGTACAAAATTGATTTTTTTCCTCTTTAAATTCAATAATTATCTAGATATGAATTTTTTTAGTAAATGATTAAAAAATCTCGGATGTTTTTAATATTTAATTTTCGATCTTTATTTTAAGAATTGACTCTTAAATATATTTATTCTATATTCTAAAAACAAATACTGTGATTTGTCTACTCTTATAATTTCATTTTACGATGCTACTATTACGATACTTTTATCAAGCGATACTCAATAAGTAAGAATTAAGAAATTGAAAAAAAGTTCTAATAACACTAGATTATTAAGTATTCGGCTTCTAAATAACTTAAAAATGAATATTTATTTTAAATTTGTTTTTATTTTGTTTATTTCATGTTTATTTTCAACTATTTTATATGCTGTTTCTTGGCCATATTTTTCAGAAAGTTCAAATGTTATATTAAAGTCAATTTCATCGGCGTCTTTACTATATATTTTGGTTCTTAAAACTGTAGAACTTTTGTTTTATTTTAAGACTAAACATGTATATGGTGAGTTTAATATTCTTATGCTTAAATTCTGACTAAGACTTTAGACACCGTTTTTCTTATTTTTATTGCTAGAATTCCATGGATGTACATATGTTGTCTATTATTTTCATCTCCATTGTGGATACTGTTGTTGCTTGTTGCTGCTGATATATATATATTATCACTTCCTTTTTACCTTTTATCCTATCATCAACACAATTCACTCACTAACAAGAAGGTGAAGAAAAATCCAAGTCGATTTAATCAGGATAGGGTTCTCACTATTCTCTTATCTTTGTTGGTTTCCTCAATTTATAGTATTGTTATCTATATTGTTTCAAAATTAATTTTGGTACCTTTATCTCTATTCTATTTTAATACACAACTTTTGATTGCACCTATTCCGCTTCCAGTGTTGATTTTTTTCTTTTTTCCATTAGGCTTTAGTATACAAAAAATTGTTTTATCATTTGGTTCATTAAAAGCTTTTTTATATATAACTTTTGCAACAACATGGGTAACTATAACATATTTCTTTTCATTTATTGAGGATGTCACATTGGATGCTGTTCTTGTTTCTTTAACTACATTTTGGTTGGCTAATCTTATTTCTCTTTTTGCTATGGTCTTGTGCTTTAAATCATAATCATTTGTTGATTATTCAACAAATGTATTTCTTACACATATATACATCTTTCAATTATTTATATTTTCATATTTTTTGTATAGATTCTTATTTTTATTAAATTTTATTACAATTATTTTATTTTGAAGGTTTGAAAAAAAAGTAAAATAATTTTTATTGCACTAAAATATTTTTTAGACTTTATAATATTTTTTTTCATAAAAGTGCATAAAATTGTATAAAAAATCATGGGAAATATTTAGAATTACTAAATTGTTTTTTTATAATTTTCTTGGCTTCTAGATAACAACCCTAATCTATATTTAATTAGGTTTTGTAAATAAGTCACATTGGACACTCGGGTTCATGTTAAATATCGAAAAGATTGCTTATGAAAATATTTGAAAAAAGATAGTAAAACAGGTCTTTTTAAGGGTGTTTTAGTGGTTGGAAAATGACAACTCAGCTTATAAGCAAGAAGAGAAAGGTATATTTTTTTTTTGGGTTTTTATTGAATTTTGAAGCCAAAATGATAATCAAAAAATTAAAAATGATAAAATGATGAGGCTCATTCTATCTGGCACCTCTTGTTTTAGGGTAGATTTTATACAAATTTACTCAATGAGCACATAAAGAATGCTGATTTGTTTTTTTTTTTTAATTCTGTGTTTTATATTTAAAAAAAATCAGAATTTCAGTTTTAATGATATTAACTATAATTAGTTTGTTGCAGACGGTGTATTTTTTGCTGAGCTGAATGAGTTTTTTACACGTGAGCTTTCTGCTGAAGGTTATTCTGGTACAGAAGTCCGTGTGACGCCTAGTAGAACAGAAATTATTATTCGTGCAACACATACTCAGGATGTTCTTGGAGAAAAAGGAAGGCGTATTCGTGAATTAACATCTCTCATTCAGAAGCGATTCAAGTTTCCAGAAGGTAGTGTTGAACTTTACGCAGAAAAAGTTCAAAATCGGGGACTCTGTGCAGTTGCACAGTGTGAAAGCTTAAGATACAAATTGCTGGCTGGTTTGGCTGTTAGACGGGCTGCATACGGTGTTTTAAGATTCATTATGGAGTCTGGTGCCAAGGGATGTGAAGTTGTTATTTCTGGCAAACTTCGTGCTGCTCGTGCAAAATCAATGAAGTTTACCGATGGATTCATGATTCATTCAGGTACCTTTTACCGTTTTTTTTGTTATATAATTCTAATATTGTTTCTCTTAGGTCAGCCTTCACGTGATTTTATTGATTCTGCAACACGACATGTATTACTTCGACAAGGTAAGCTATAAATTCTTTTTATATGGTTCTTTTAAATATTGAGTATTTACTCAGTATTTGTATTTTTTATATATTTTCTTACTGATTAATAAATAGGTGTTTTGGGTGTAAAAGTTAAAATTATGTTGAGCGAATCTATGACACGCAAACCTTTGCCGGATTCTGTTGTAGTTATTGAACCCAAGCCCGAAGAACAGATTGGTCAGCCATCAAGTGAGGATTTTTCTCGCCCATTACCGTCTGAGTTGGCCCAGCAAACACTTTATCGGGTCCATCCACCCCATTCCCAAGCCGATGTCTATTAGCTATTTGTTTCTTTAAAAATTCTTGTTTTTTTTATTTTTTATTCAAATATTTTATTTATATATATTTTTTCTTGTGATATCAGTTTATCGTACGATTATGATCTCAACGTCCATCAAAATTACCACCTTATAAGATTAGCTATGACAGAGTCTTTGAAGGAAGAAACAGGGAAAATTCAGTTAAGTATTCCTTCTACAGACACTGTATTATTTGTATATTTTTTTTTCCGGCTTTAACCGTTGTTTTTTAGGCTTTAGATCCAAAACCATACACGATTTATTTGTTGCACGTACAGTTGGCAGTACGGTTTTACGTGTTAAAAAAGAGATATTCAGAGTTCCGTATGCTTCATGAAGAGCTTTTAGAAGTGACAGGACGGATTCCTCCCGTGGAATTTCCGCCAAAACATTATTTATTGAATGTTTTATCAAAACCATCAATGATTGAAGAACGTCGTAAAAAACTTGAAACATATGTTGTAGCTATTCAATGTTCCGAGGATGCATGTTGGAGATTAAGTCCTTCTTGGAGGCAGTTTTTAAGACTTCCTGTTTATGTATTTGAACGACATATTGATTTAGTCGATAATTCAATAGTGCAATGTCCTGATCAGCCATGGATACGTACGTTTCATCAGACGAAATTGCTTCTTCAAGAAGCTAAACGTGATATATCCAGACAGAGATATTCAGATGGCGTAATTGCATCTCAGGCGATTCGGGCTGCCTCTATGAAAGTTTTTTCGGATGTTCGGAAGGCATTAGAACGGTTGAATCAAGACCTCAATGATACAAATGCCCAAATAACTATTGGAGAGAGAGAACTATGGCGCAGGAAGGACTTACTTGATGATATGAAACGAGAATGTGATTTTTTGGAACATATTATTCATACTAATAATCAGGCCAAACAAGATACGCCATTAGTGACTCGATCATGGCAGGATCATGAGCAAGTTTTATGGCGTAATACAAGCAGGATACCAGAAACAGGACGGACGCGTGAATTGAATACTGTAGGGTTAATTCATTTGCAAAAAGATATTCTTGCAGAGCAAGATAAACAGCTGAGTTCTTTTTTGCCTATTTTAAGAGAACAAAAAGATATGATAGCGGCAATTTCGGACGAATTGGATATACAAAATGATATGCTGAAAGAATTGGATGAAAGTGTTCAAAAAACTAATATAAAACTCAAATCAGTGAAGAAAAAATGTGAACAAATGAAATAGTTGGTTTGTCCTATATATTGTATATGAGATACTCAAAATTGGTATGTAAACAGATGGCCTATTTTTATAACTTCTTTTTTTGTTTATGCCCAATAGCAAGTGCACACCTGTTATTTCAATACAGTTGATTTCGAAATAATGTACTTACTCATCTGAACATGTCCATTTGCCTTTAGGGGCCGATGTGATGCTAACACAGTCCCAATGGAACCATTCTTTTGTACACTGATTACAATTAAAACAGAAATTTAGAAGTAATAAACAATACGTTATGATTATCACATGCAATCATTCGTCCATAGGATATTTGGTTACAAAAACAATATCTTGGCTCTGCAATGGATTTATCATGACGTTGTTTTTTTTTGGATGACGGAGGTTTTTTTTTCTGAGAAACTTCTGTTGTTTTCTCTACTTTTTTTACATTTTGGCTCTCTAACCATGCTTCTTTTAGTTTCTGCAACGTTTGATTAACAGTATGAAGATGTTGTTCAACCTGAATTTCTTAAATTTTTAATTAATAATAATTAGTATACTGATTTATAGAGTTTATGAGTCTCTGAAAGGGTAACTGAACGGTTTTGTATAGATGTCTTCAGCAATTGCGCCATTTCTATATATTGTTCTGGATGTTCTGTTGATACACTCAAAGCGAGTTCATCAAGTTGGTTTACACAAACTGCCAGAGTTATTTATTATGCAAAGCAGTTTGAAACCCTACGTGTGCTTTCATCATCGAGTTGTCGTATCAGCTGTAGTGAACGTAAAAGATCAACAGGAAGATGTTCTGTAACTGTTGTTTTTAACTCTTTTTAAAGGCGAAAAAAAGAAAGTACCGTCATTGAATGCAGATAAAACGTCTTCTGACGTTTCTACTGAGTCTTCCAGGTCTTCCAGGTCTCTTTAACTAAATTTTTTATTGCTGAAAAAGCAAACCGAAATGTTGATGTTAAAGTGGCTAACATACGTGTTTCCACGGCAACAATGTTATTAATAGTTAAGGTAAATAGAATATGGAAGAGTATGAAGATGTTAAAAATAAGGGTATGTACATTCTTAGTAGCTCATTTATCTTTCTAATATTTTAATTGAAGATTGACATTAATATACATATCTAGACAATTTAAAATCTTATCATAATAATTGGTATGTGTTGTATAAAATTAAATATGGTGTTCTGGTACATTATGAGTGTGAATTATTGGGTCTATTATACCTCCGAGTTGATTTTCTCTCCATTTGCTAATATTTTCAAATCCTTTAGCCAAATCTACGCCCTGAAGATCGAGAATATTTTCTATATTATCAAAGTCTATCAAATCGGATTTCGAGATTGTTTTTTGAGAAATAGATACAGGTGGTGATGAAGAATATGAATACCCAGTATTTTCCGTGTTCTTTTTTGGTGTATTATTTACAGAAGAACTAACCATATACCTCCAAAAGGGTGCTGGTGATGACGTAGGATAATATGAATAATTATTGATGCTAATATGATTTGATGATGTTGATATTGATCCTTTTGAGACGGGATCACCATGATCTGGCGTAGAAGAGTTTTGCTGTTTTATGATAGATGTATATTGATATGGATATATAGGTGATGTTGCAGGAGGAGGTGTTGTAACTATTATATTTGTTTGATTCCCATATGAAAACAGTTGAGAATTGGAATCATAGCTTGTTTTATCTTCTGAAAAATGCTCGTTTTGATCTCTTACGTTTGAATATTTTGAGAAAACTGGAGTTAGTGGTGGATTCGGAATTGTTTTATTTTTCTGGATTAATGGTTCTAATGGTATTAGCGAAATTTTAGAGTTCGATGTATTTATATTTGTTGAAGAATTAAGAGATCTGATTCTACGATGTAATCCTTGTTTCTTGGTTCTTTCTATAAGTTCTTCACGATATTCCGGGCTTACTTGCCATTTCATTCCTTTTCCAGGTTCATCTGCACGGCGAGGAACTTTACGAAAAGCCCTGTTAAGTGAAAGATTATGTCTTATTGAATTCTAAAATTTAATGAAAAGCTATAGAAAAAAATAAATTGAACTTACTTGCCAGCCACTTTTAGAAAATCTATAATATGCATAATTGCTTGAAATCCATGAATAAATACCAGATAGTGTTAATTTCCCTTCTTCTGTTGACATAATCGCTTGAGCAATCATTGTAGCATAGCTATATGGAGGCTTAATATCTTTAGCTGAATCAAGGCTTAAATCTCTTTCAAGAGAAGACTCGTTATTTTCATATTCCGTTGAAGACGTAGTAAGATAGTATGCAGAAACAGAATTATCCCCATGAGATTCTTTTTTATAAGGTCTTTTATAGCCTGATGAAAATAATGTTTCTTTATTATAAGAATTCTTACAAGTTTGATCATAGTCATCGTATATATCATTTTTATTATAGTTAAGTGCATTTAGAGAAATTTTTGGAACAGAATCTGGTAATACAAACATCATTTGAACACCACCAATTTCAAGAATGTTTCTAGGTTCAAAAAATAAGTAATATTATATATATGTATAGTAAAGCATACCCACTAGACAATTTTACTCTTTTATTATCCCTATAAAGTTTATTATCGATTCTAATACCATTTCTCCCATAAACTATGCATTCCCAAAATCGTCCTTGAAGATCATATTCAATAATTGCATGTTTCCGACTGACAATTTTAGCCGGACCGAGATCCAAATCAACATGGATATTAAATTCTGCATGAGATTCATTTTCAGATGCTGTACGGTCAGACTCTCTTCCTATCGTGACACTAAGTGCTTTAACATAATATGTCCATGTTGCTCCTGCAAGTTTTGCATATGCTTGTACTCCACCAATATAATTCATTGCATTTAAACAATTCGCATACTGTTGTGCAACATGAACTGACCTCATAGGCATAGATAATTTGCTTATAATATCGTTAATTTGTTGTGGATTAACTGGTGATATAGTTAAATTGTTTAGCTAATGATGTATTAGATGGTTTATAGAAAAGGATCTGGTATAAAGAGATGAAATACCTTTCTTCTTTTGGTACGGGAGCTTTTCTGAGGCGAACTATGATTTAAAAGCATATTTTCCGCTGCTATATCCATATTTTTTATATAAATCCAGAAATTACGCTTTTTATGTTATTTTTTACTCTAAAAACACCGGATTTTTTTGGAATTGATTACAGGCAGAATCCTTCAAAAATAACTGATTGATCTTAGTCAATTTCTTCAAAAATATTTGATTTAAGACTTTCTTTTTTTCTGAATTTTATTTTTTCTTTTGTCATTCGACATCGTAACCATGACAAAAAACACAAACCAGCCATATAACGGATAATCAATGATGACAAGATAGAATTGAATAATAAATAAACCTGTTAAAATATGAAAAATATGTTCAAACTGTTTTGTATATGAATGTTAGTTTAATATATAATATTTGCATTGTCTTAGTATTTTAATGTTCCAGAATATCTTTTCAGTTACCATAGTAACGCCGTGATGAAGCTTAGCTTAAAGGGTTATTTTTTTCTTTTTTGTCGAAAAAAGAAAATATAAAACCTAATATTATGAAATCATAGTATCTTTTTTGCTTTTTTTTTGCTTTTTTTTTTTTGTTTTTTATGTATTTTAAAAAGTTTTAAAGTGTTGTAAACACGTGGTTTAATAGAAATTAATTGTATGTTCGAAGAAATGATAGTTATTCCTTAAATATGTAATTATTGAAATATGGAATGCGCTATCGTGTCTTTAAACAATTATTTGTACATTAGTCGTCTACTAAAATATCGTCAATCAGTCTGTTTTCTTCGTCTATATGTCTTATGTAATTATAGTCTTGTTTTAAAAAGCCTGAGGCAGGTATTTTTGAACATAAAGCTGCAAAAAAAGCTGTTGCTATGTCCTATAAATTGAATAAGAAAATAAGTGAAAAAAAGTTGTTATACTTTTATAAAAAAAAAAACCCCATAATGTGGAACTCGTTTCCAACCTCTAGCATACATAATAGTACTCCGGTAAATACATCCGCCTATACAGTATACAGTGAATGCAATTGATAAACTAAATAGATAAGTTTATGAGATAAAGAGTTTAAAATCGATACATAATACTAAAAACAACGCCAGGTTTAATTAGATGCTTGTTTAATGTCTTTGAACATGCATAAGCTAAATATGTTTATATGACTGACTTGAAATATTGGAAATATATACCAGTATGCCATTCAAAAAAATATGCACATGAATTGATATCTGCGATGAAAAAAATAAGTGGCTTTCCTATATATTAATATTCATAGCTATTAAATATAGTGTATGAATGAACCTTTTTATACATATGAGGATTACATATAAAACTTATTGTGGTGCTTTTTCGAAATGCACTATTTCCTGGACATAAAGACCCGTTTTCATACTGAAGAACTAGTTTCTCCCCTTGAAAGTGTATATTTGATGGTATGCTTCTATCCGATAGGTTAAAAAATTATTTTTTTTCAACATTAGAACAAATACCCAATTGAAAACGTTTCATTTTTATCAATATAGATTGCACTGACATTTTCATGATCTATTTCATGAATTTCTGTTGTGTTAAATATAAGAGGTGCACAAATATTAATACTGTAACTCCTGTTATTTTCCTCATCTTTTATAAGCCAATTATATCTGTTGAATAGTAAGTAAAATATATTCTTAAGAATATTCCGTTCTTGACCCATCTTTTTCTGTCCTTTGAAGACCTCGTAAATCAACATACTGGTTAGTTTTTGGGTTTGTTGCAGTACATGGAGAGTCTGTGTGATTTGTAATTGTACCTGAGGTAATCATAAACGCTATAGAATATAAAATGATTCTAAAAAATGTCATTTTCAAGGCTTTTCTGATGTATTTTTGCGTTTATTTGGTGATGAATTTGCTTGAAAATTAGCTAAACACTTTATTTCTGACAGTGTTTCGAAATTTTGGACACGTATTCCGGAATATCAATGCAATTATTGCGTAAAAAGTGCTTGTTTTATCAAAAGAAAGGTAATAGTAATATGACATTGTGTTTTAAGAGTAAAAAGCTGATTTTTCCTTTTGAAAAGAATTTGTTCGTTCTTTATCAGTAACAGTTATTATTTTTTCAACCCCGTTTATTGTTTATGAATTATACTTTTTGTGCAATGAAAATGGATGTAAATTCTCTCTGATGTATATTTTGGAGTCTTTTTTTCAGAATGAACCTTTGTTTGATCCTTTTGCATTCATAGTTTATTTTTTATGGTGGATTCTTTTAATCTCTGCTTGGGTTTTTCTTCCTGGATATTTTAAACAAGGAAACATTTTGGATAATGGGGCCCGTTTGACTTACAAGATTAATGGTAATATTATGTTCTTTGGTATTTCCTATATAATATGAGTATAGGATTTCGTACTTTGATTTTTGTTTTGAGTATTTGTACTATAGGATTTTATTTGAAAGGTGTAGATTTTTTGGAATTTGTGTGGAGCCATTATCTTGGATTGATTACTAGTTCTTTGATATTTTCTATAGCACTTTCATGCTATACTTATGCTTGCAGCTTTTTAAGTAATCGATGTCTTTCAAAGGCTGGTAATACTGGTAATTATATTTATGATGTAAATATCCATTTAAGATATATTTTGTAACCTGCCGTAGTTTTATATGGGTCGAGAGTTAAATCCTAGAATTGGTTTATTTGACATTAAGGAATTTGTTGAATTAAGACCTGGCATCATTCTTTGGGTTGTGCTTAACTTGTCGTTTGCTGCCCATCAATATATTCATTTAGAAGGACAGATTACAAATAGTATGGTTCTTGTTTGTTTGTTTCAAATATGGTACTGTGTTGATTCCCTTTGGAACGAAGAGCTTGTTTTAACCACTATGGATATTACGTACGATGTTCTGAGATGTGTTTTATCATTAACTTATTAAAAATAGAACCGAAGGATTTGGATATATGTTATGTTTTGGGTCTATTACATGGGTTCCGTTTATTTATTCGTTTCAAGCACGATATTTAGCGTTTCATCCTGTTTACTTAAGTAATTTTGCAGTTATTGGGATTATATTACTTCAATGTTTGGGATTTTGGATTTTCCGAGGTGCAAATAGTCAAAAAGATGCCTTTAGAAAGAACCCAGAGGCGTCAAGTGTTCGGCGTAAGATTCTTTTGTTTAAAAATTGCTGTTAACGTCGGCTTCTAGATCTAACATATATAACAACAGAAAAAGGCAATAAACTGATTACAAGTGGATGGTGGGGGAGATCTCGACATATAAATTATTTTGGTAAAGATCTTGATTCTATATATAATCAATAACCTATTAGGTGATTGGCTTATGGCATGGGCATGGTGTCTTCCTACTGGATTTGAAAATCCTATAACTTACTTTTATGTTGTTTATTTTGCTGTATATTCTCCATCATTTGTGCTTCTTTAGGACTTATTTCTATAGATTTTATTAATTCACCGAGAACGTCGTGATAATCATATCTGTAGTATAAAATATGGCAAAGATTGGGATAAATATTGCCATCTTGTGCCTTATAGAATTATTCCGTATGTATATTAAATGTGTAATTGGAAAAAACCTGTAAATGATTTTTTGTATATCTTGTATATATATCATTAATGGAATATATTTCGTATATAAGAAAGATAGCTGGTTCCTTATCGTAAAAACGAAAAATTTATGAAATCAGTTTAATGACAGTTCATAATGAAACTTGGTCACGGAAATTGTGTAAGGTTTTACGACACTGTGCACCTAATTATGGGCTTTATATGAATAGTGATGGATTTGTTTCTGTAGATGCCTTAGTAAGATCTTTTTTTTTTGATGGATCATTTGCTTTTATAAAAAATAGCTATCTCATCCTGCTTTCCGAGGATTAACTGTTTCTCAGCTTAAGCAAATTGTTGCAGAAAATAATAAATCTCGTTTTGTTCTTTATACTGATCCTCAGACACAAGAACTTTTTATCCGAGCTGCTCAAGGACATTCAATCCCTCTTCAAGATGATCTTCTTTTGGAGCGTATTATTTTCAAAGATCAGTTCCCGAAAACAACTGTTCATGCAACAACTCGTCAAAAATGGATCCAGATTTATAAGTCTGGTGGATTATCTGCCATGAAGCGCAATCATATTCACCTTACTTCTTATCCAGAATGCTTGGGCGGCACTACTGTCCCTCAAATACGTGCTTCTGCTGATGTTCTTATTTTAGTCGATGTTTATAATGCTTTTGATCATGGTATTCCCTTTTTTTGGTCTACAAATAAGGTACTTTTGACACCTGGAGCTCCTGCAACACCTGGTTGGCTTCCATTACAATATCTGATTGGTGCTATTACACGTACTGGTGAACCTCTTATATTTCCTCCTGATTCTTTTGCTTCTGCTTCTTTTCATGTTTCTACAATACCTTAATTCTCTGTTTTTTCTTCTTTTTGGTTCTTTGTTGGTTTTTTATAGAAAAAAGTAGGGGGTTGTCGCTTTTTTATAGATTTTTGTGTCACCGGGATATATGTTTATCTTATATTTTAACCGATTACATTGCTTGTTTTTGTTGATATATTCCATGTTTTGTTAGGTACAGTTATTGAAAAGAATGTAGCAAATTGTTTACATTACATGCAATGTTAGTTATATTTTTGTATTTAAGTGTTTTTATATGTTTATTTATTTATATTTAAAGTTTTTTTATCTTTACTATGAAGCAGTTGATAAGTTATTTTTTTATCGTAATGAGATAATGCTGGGTTTTCGCTTTATGTTAAATTTGTATACATATTTATGTGTATATTTTGTTTTTAGTAGTTTTTTTATTTGTATAAGCAAAAATCTATAATTTATTCAGATACTTTGGTTTTATGTATGATTATGAAGAATTGATCGAAATGTACTTAGAGCATTGGACAAGTATATAAGTTTTAGATAAATATATAAATGACGAGTATTTGTTACTGATATTGTTTTATTGAATAAATACTTAATATGTGATTAAAAAATATATATTTGTCAGTTTTGAATAGATTTTATTATGTATAAAATGAATTGTATTATATAATTTAAAAAAGTTTTATAAAATTAAGGCATTTTTATGCTATAAATTATACAAAAAAATACGAGTAACAAATATTAATTGTTTTATTTTTAAATATTAGACAGATGATAGATTTTACAAGAATAAAAGGGTTGAAAAATATATACATTGAATATTCGATGTTTCTGTTTGTATAGACTATGTGTATATAACATAGTAGATTATAAATGGAAATTGTATAATTTTTTTAATACAATTTTTTTTAATACAAATTAGTTTAAAAGTCCAAGAACTTTCTTTCCAATAGGATTTTTAGCTCCAAAAAAGTAAATACTTGCCCATGTGAAATATCCTATAATTAATCCTGTTATCTAAAAATAATAATAAGTATATGTTTTTTTAAAAGAGTTTGCATACTTTTTCCATTAATGTATGAAAATAACATGCAGTCATAAGCAGCATATACCACCATAAAAATAATAAAATAATGATAATCTATTTTAGTTAGTATATAGATTGATTTTGTGTAAAATAAATAACTATTGTTTGTGATTGTTTTGCACATTTTGGGTTAAAATTTAATGCAAGTAAAAGTTCTGACCATAAAAAAAGTGATGCATGTGTTAAAAGAAAGGCTTTTCAAATCAGTGTATTCTATGTATGATTAGACAACAAACCATGGCCACTAAAATCATATCCTCCTGTCCATTTTCCACCTGCTAATTTGCATTTCATTGAAGAATGTACAGAATTTTCATAAATTTTACTTAGTTTTAAATCATAAAATTTACAGCTTCCTCCTGTCCATATAAAAATTCGGTCCATAATTGAAGAACCAAAAAACCATTGCGTAATAAAAAACCACCATAGTGTTACAAGTAACCATCTTAAGCATGCTTTTAGTATATTTTTGTGTCCAATTCTTGATAAATGATATAAAAATACTATGGTTGTCCAAAACCATCCTAATTTAACAAAAACAATATTAAATATATTTGAACTATGAGAAAAATAGGATTCACGAGTTTTGTTGTTTAATTTATAAAGAGTTCCTAATATAATTGTTATAGGATATATTGCTAAAACTGGAGCTTCTATGTGTTTTACATTATTCTTAAATATTAGAATATTATTTGTATAAGTATTTAAATCTTTGGAAATTTGACAATTTTTTTCTTGTGTTTGGGTATCTATTTCTCTCATAATTAGTTTTATATATTATTAAAGAATATATATGTAAATTTTCATAAAGTTTTATTTTTTAAAAAGTTTTAAAAGATTTAATGATAATGTGCTATCGTAAATTGATTTTTGATATTAAAAATATGAATAATTAATATATAAATGATTAAGAAATTGTTTATTAAGAGTATTTTTTATTTTATGAATAATTTTTTATAAATGTTTGTTTGCAAAAAGTTTTTTTAAAAGACATTGTTAATTATTTAAAATGAATTTTATAAATAAAAGTTTGTTTTTTTTATATTAAATTGCACTATTTATAGAATATAAGAATTTTGAAAAGAGATATGATTTATGTTTATGAAAATCGATTTTTTAAATGATTAAAAAAATAATACTTGGAATACAATTATAAGAAAAATATTTTATTTATTGTTTTGTTATTTGTAGAAAGTATTTTTTTAAATATGGTTTTAGTCTTGTTAATTATATAATCTTATATAGCTGTTTTAGAAGTTGTAAAAGTGAGTTTTAAATCGATTCGTTTTAACAATAATTAATCATAAATTGTATTAAAAGTTATTAAAAAGTTATAGAATCAATCTTGCTTGTTATTGTTGATTATTAAGTATTTTTAATTGATAACTTATATACAATTAGAGTTAGTTTTTCGGATAAAGTATTATACAATGTTGCAGATGCAATTAGAAAGTTAAATATTTTCTTTTATTTAAAGATTAGGGAGAATAGTTTGTTGAATAATTATGTTGAATGCATTTGAGGATTTTTAAAATTTAAAATGTAGTGAATAAAAAAAAATTAGGTGAACATATAAGTAAGCATATTAAATTTCCTGTCTATCAGTAATGCTCTTGCATAATTTAATTATTGCTTATCGTATAAAAAACGGTAATTATTAAAAAAATACATTCCTTTTTTTATAAAGGTAATTCTAAAATTTGTTTTATCCATTTTGCCATATCAATTTCAATAATACTATAACTCACTATCCTATAATTTTATTAAGAATTTGAAATTTTTAATAAAAGGATATACCAAGGATGCTCTAACATTCGTTGAGAGTTAGGTCTTTTTGTTCCATCTCTCTCCAAACTAAAACAGTTTAATAGGTAATAATAAAGTTAATAAACTAACCAGATTTTTAAAAAATGTTTGAAATTTTCTGACCATTTTATTTTATTAACAGGTTCATCAACAAGTTCTAAATTTGAAATGTTGACAATATAATTTAAAAGTTCGATAGGTACTAAAGGTGGCTCGCCCTCTGGTGGAAAAGGAAATCTGTTTTGAGAAATTTCCATTAATGTTAATCCAAGTGACCAAATGTCTGATGTTACACTATATGTTTCACCTTTTATTCTCTCAGGTGCCATATAATAGGAAGTGCCTGTAAATGTTTTTGCCATGGAATTTACAAGCTCTCCGGAGACTCCAAAATCACATAATTTTACATGCCCTTCAAACGTCATTAAAATATTTGAAGGCTTAATATCTATATGTTGGTTAAATTATGTTAAGTTGTAAAGATTTGCATACCTCTATGAATAATTTTACGACTGTGCAAATAACTTAATCCTTTTAATATGCTTTCTGCAATTTTTCGAATAGGATGCTCTCCAATACGTGCACCGTTTGCTTTCGCTTTTTTATATAACTTATCCAATGAGCCACCTGCACAATATTCCATTGCCATTGAAATACTACAGATTGTTTCATTCATAAAAGTACCATAATATTGAACAATATATTTTGAAGAGCATGTTTTGTTGATTGAAAGTTCTCTTAAAATCTGTTGTTGAGTTTTTGGATTCGCATCAACTGATATTGTCTTGAGAGCGAATAATGTTTTCGTATGTTTTAAAACGCATTTGCTAACACTTCCACTAATACCTTCTCCAAGTTTTTCTAGCTCTATAATCTGACCTGTTTGTGCCGCATGTTGCCAATCTTCATCTAAAAGATCTTTTACAATATCAGAGGAATCACATCGAGACGTTTTCAAATGTATATCCTGCTTTTCTGTTATTTTTCTAGAACTAAAAGACATGTCTTTTTCTATCTCTAAATCACTCGATAATTCCCTAAATTCATTATATATTAGTCTTTTTTTTTATAAACATACTCTATATTAAAAACGTGTGGTGTTAATGATTCTGGCGGAATCGAAAGTCTTAAAATCGGCACTTCCTGAATCTCCCATCTATTTTGTACTTCTTTTTCCTTGTTTTCAACTAATGAAGTTTGTGTATTTGTTTTTACTTTCCTATTTACTATTGTATTTACTCTTGTACTTACTGTTGTGCTTGTTAAACACATTTATGTTATTATTTTGTTATTTTAAGTTGAAATATATATATATATTACTAAAAAATAAATTTTATTCTTTTTTTAGTTCTTTTTTACTATTTTATTATGCTTTTTTTCTTATTCTTTCACTTTTATTTTCTTATCGTCGTTGATATTCTTATCGACTGTCATCACAAGATAGTACGTAGTGTGTGCGAGATCAACGATAAGTGATAAGATAATATTAATAGACAGAAACTTGAATAAGACGCATCATAATGATAACATTAGATTCAATGGATCTTTTAGAGAATAGAAGAGATGAGAGTATTTCATTGGCAGTGCGTCGGCGTGCACCGTTAAAGAAAAAACCATCTCGGAGAATGAGTGATGTAATGCTAACTGATGTGAAATGTGAACATTGTGGGAAGGGTTATAAGCATATTGGATGTCTTTCAAAGCATCTGTAAGTACTTTTTTTTATTTTTTATTTGTATAGAAGCTCCTATGATATGGGATTAGATTTATTTTAAGATTACTGTTTTGTCACTATTTTGTTATTATTGGTTTTTCTTGGAGCTAACAGTGTACAGATGGGAACATACAGTGTATTTTAACCCAAAACTTTCGATATCAAAGCACCAGCAAGTACAATTGCTTGAAGCTGCTGCAATTTTAATCCAGATGAATCAATCACCTGTACTTCAAACGGTGCCGTTTGATTTTTTGTTTCAGCCACACGAGTCTTTCATTGGAAGGATTCGTAGCCATAAAGATCACATAAAACCTATGGATCGTCCTGAAGACATTATTACAATGTTTACTAAATGAGTGACTTTCTGCTCAATTGGTTTTTAAGTGAAAAGACAAGCATAAAACATCTTAATATCTTTTTCAGCAAACATTATATCATATTTTGCTTTTTGATTCAACTATTTTATATTTTTATTGTTAAATGATCTCTGATACGTGTTATTTTTATCGTATTATCCTTAGGCACCGGTTGTCTATATATTTATGAGTGACATATGCTTTGATAGTTTATTTTTGGAAAAATAGGTTCTGTTTATTGAATAAATAGATCTTTTGTATATTTATTTTGCTTTTTGTGTATTTATTTGTTTTTTTTTACTTTCTCTGTTCAACTATATATGATTCGAAAGATTTTTAAATGTTATACGACATTTTATCTGTCAAATATCAATGTCATGAAATAGAGAAAATATGAATCTAAGACGAATATAATATGAAGAAACAGTGTATTTTATATGAAAATACTTTCTTTTAAATATTTGGAATGCATTTTTTAGAAGAGGACGGGAGTTCAGAGGTATTAGATACATTTGTTATTAATGAAGAATATGCTCGACGATATGAACATAATAAGGCACGGGAAGAGCTACATCGCTGTAAGTTCAGTGTTATTTTTATGTTTTTTTTTTTTATTATTTTATGGAATATGTTTTTAATGTCTTTTTTGGCTAGTAAAAGATAAGTATGGAAATGAATATGAAGAAGATACGGAAGACTCAGAAACAGAAGATGAAATTGGAGATCTTGCAACACCGTCTATGAATGCTGCAATTTTGGAGACTATCTTTAAAATACGTAGTAAAAATCCGGAGATTTATAGATCAGATGTAGATTTTTATGGGCATTTGAAAGAGGAAAGAGTAGTCCGAGACAAGTCGAAACCACTGCGTTTGAGTGATTACCATCGTGATCAGCTGTTGAATCAGCATCCAAATGAGCATGAAGAAGAGGATGATGATAAGGGATTGTGTATTGTACGTGAACCAACATATGTAGATGAACAACGTGCTTTAAAAGAAGAAATATTGAATGTTGTACATGAGGAAACAGTTGATGATGACTTTTTAACCCTACGGAAAAAAAGCAAAGAGGAGTTAGAAGAGGAGGATGAAGCATATAAGGATTTTTTAATGAATAGAGTTAGTGATAAAGCGGGTAAAGATGTCCTGCGGCAATGGATTGATGTTAGTAATAAGATATTGCATGAAACTCCTTCCAATGAGATAGATGATGAAAAATTTTTGTTTAGGTTCGATAGAGATGGTTAGGGGAAAAGAGCTTAATGTGTTTTAGCTATGTTCTTAATCGGGGATGGATTGATAGGGATGAGAATCGTATTGCCTCTTATGATGAGGTTATTAAAGGACTTGAATCAGATGAATCATTTGATGAAAAAGCGGATGAGTTTGAGGCGAAATATAATTTTCGTTTTGAGGAAAATGATGCAAATCAAATTGTAAGTTATTCTCGAAATATTACATCTCTACGTCGAAAAAATGAGAAAAGAAAGTATTTACGAGAAAAGAAGAATCAACTAAAATATATGGAAAAATTGAAAAAAGAAGAAGAAATATCACGTTTAAAAAAATTAAAAAAAAAAGAATTGACAGAAAAACTTGATAAAATTGCTAAAGTAACGGGTGATCCTAGTATGTTTTAGGAAGAAAATGCTATTTTTCTAATTGTTTTAGCTCTTAATTTTGAAGATATTGATATCGAAGGTGATTTTGATCCCGATCGTTGGTCAGCACGTATGGATGAGATTTTTAATGATGCATATTATAGTAAAAAAGTAAATGGGCCTCTGTGGTAATTATGTTAACATTTTTAAGGAAAAGAAGCCTATTTTCGATGATGAAATAGATATAACAGACATTGATCCAGATTATAAAGATTTTTTAAAAGATAATATTGATACTGAGGTTTTGTCTGGAGAATATCAAAAAGGTCAAGGATTTGAGCAGAATACATCGATTACTAAGCTGTCAAAAAGAGAAAAAGAAAATAGAAAGAAAAAACTTGATTCTATGTTAGATCATCATTATTATACAGTATTTAATATTTAATTTTTGATTATTGTTAAGTTATCTTAGATTGATGTTAAAGAAAATGGTGAATTTAAGTATCAACAAGTCGATCCCTATGTTTTTGGACTTAGTCGTGCTGATATTTTATATGCAAATGATAATGAATTAAACGAATATGTAAGCCTTAAAAAACTTACTCCTTATAAAAATAAAGAGTTACATGAAAAAGATAAGAAAAAGTATGGGAAAAAGAAACGCCTTAAAGAGTGGAGGAAGAAGATTTGGGGGGAGCATTATAATAATCAAAATGATACAATTATTGAAAAGAGTAATGTGAATATTACGCTTGATGATAAAAAATTAAAAAAGAAAACATAAAAGAATGTAAATTTATGTTTTGGATCTGCGGGCTAATTTATATTATCTAATGTAAATGTTTTGTAGTTTTATTGAATCTAATGACATAAAGTTTTTCAAGTCCTGTTTTTCTTTCGAGTACAATCTGTATATAATTAAGTGAATTATTAAATATATATGTATATATACATGGCTTTCCATATTCCAATGTATTCTCATGAAATCTGCAATTTTTTTTGGTTTGTTTTTAGAGATTGCGACTAGGTAAAAGAGGCCATGATCGGATAAGATTTCCTGGTTCTAGTCAATATTTTTTTTTATATTTTTTGCTTAAACATTGACACAATTCAAAAGTTTATATGTAATTTCCATACCCTCTATACCACCTGCCCACGTATTTTCCATATTCTTATTCATATGTATTTCTTTGGATTCTGTAGGAACATAAGGCGGATTGAAAACAAGTAAATCAATCTTATTTATAATATACAACCCTTGTGTTAGATCTGTATGTATGACATCTAAATAAGATGGGAACTCTGAGTCCGAATTTACTATTGATGTTTCTAACGTAGCTTTACAAGCTTGTAAGGATATGTCTGTGCACAAATGGACTTTTTGTATTATTTTTTTATGCTTTAGTAAATTCGATTAACCTACAGGATTTTGAAGGTCCAAAAATAGCTGTTTGTAAAAATACAGAAACACATCCAGAACCTGATCTATTCTATGTAAATCAAATGGATCTTAATTTGTTTTACTTTCCCTATTTCTAAGCATAATGGAACTTTTGAAAGATTTCTTAATAAATCCAAATCATGTTCTAGAGCATCTAAAAGAATAAATGTATCTTCTATACATGTTAATATAGAAATAGACTGTTTATGTGCAAACCTGATGGCTCATATACCTCTTGGAATGCTTTTTGGTGCAAGTGAGATAGTTTGGGTGTGGGAAACATAGGGTTTAAAAAGATTAAATTCAAATATAAATGTCTATTTTTGATTAAAAAAATTAATAAATATTACAGCAAAGGATATCAATAATCTGTTAAAAAAGCAGAGAAAAACACAAAAACATAAATCAAATAAAATATTTATGTCTTCATCGTTAAGAGTTCTATTTCCAAAATATATTTTCCTTCTTTATACATTTGACTTGATTCAAATGCTTTATCATATTTCCAACCAACTATACTTCCACATTGTTTGCAAGAAATATCGCGTACAATATGGCGACCGGTGGTCATAGTTCGGTCCTCTGACATTGGTGACTCAACAATATTGACCCTAATTTAAGAATTAATGTTTTTTTGGACTTCATGTGTTAAAAGAAAGATTTACACAGTGTTAAATAAGTATGCACGCCCATGCTGTCCCCGGAATGCCTGTATCCGTTAGAAAGGTTTTCTTAGGAATTTTTTAAATTTAAAACATCTGTACTACCTTGGAGGCTATTTCTCTATGGTCTGAAAGGTGTGTTTTGCACTTAGAACAGCTATAAATCCTCCGATAAATGATTAGTTGTATTGGATGTAACCGCTCATTGCGGTGAAACAATGCTTACTTTGAGCCAGTTAAATACACATTGTATGAAAGTCCCTATATAAAAGAAACATTCTATCAGTATAAATGTCATTTCCTTAGAAATATATACCATTTGGTTTATATACAGTATTTCTGTTCTTGTCGCTGTTTATCTTTAAATTTACTGTTAGAAGCCGCTCAAAATATAGAAAAATGAGAATAAAGAGTCTATATTACTTACAAGTATTTAGATGTATTGTTTTTTGAAAAAAAAACACAGCAGAACGTCTTTAATTGCTTCTTTTATTTATGTACCTATTTTTTGAAGGTTGAGCGGTCAACGACATCGTTCCTTATTAAGTTTGATAAGACGTTTGCCAGACAAGTGAGGCAAAAAGTAGGGGAATAGTAAGCTGTAAATATATTTAAAATATAAATATATTATTAAATTTGATTATTTAGTGGGTTTATTTCTTTGAATGGTCAAAAAAATGGATCCATTGTCTATAATGACAGTAAAAAGCCCTAGATGAATGTAGAAATTAAGAAGATTGATTAGTAAAGTATTCAGGTGTTCAGATGGTGATCCGTAGAGAGAGAATCACAGGCGTTCTTCATATTACGTCTCATCATTTGATTTTTTCAAGCAGTGCTTTTTTTCGTGAAATATGGATTGGATATCCTATGATTCAAAAAGTGGAAAAAAAGGCTAGGTTTTATAAGAGAATGACATCATTAGATATATATGGACGTGATTTTACTTTTGTTACGTTTAATGTTGAGAATGATTGGGATGCACAAGTGATTTATGAGATGATTCAAAAATATACATATATGGGTAGTCTGATATTGCTAAAAAGAATACATAAGTTGATTATTTTTAGAGTCTATTTGTGGTTTTTATGCATTTTTTTATCGTCCAGAACTTTCAGAAGCTATGTTTAATGGATGGACGCTTTATCAGCCTGCTAAGGAATTTGAGCGGCAAGGTGTTGGCATAAGGACAAAAAATTGGCGCATAACGGATATCAATAGTAATTATACAGTATTTATTGTGTATTTTTTATGTATTTTGTTGACAGTGATAGCTTTGTTCTACTTATCCTTCTGTACTTGTAGTACCATCAAAAATAAGTGATAGTGTGATTCGGTATGCATCTAAGTTTAGGTCGAAAGGAAGATTTCCTGTTTTGACGTATATTCATTCTACAAATAATGTAATTTATTAATTTCCTTACATTAATGTCTTGATTATTGTGTAGTGTAGTATCACAAGATCATCTCAGCCAATGGTTGGTATTAAACAAAACCGATCTCTACAGGATGAGTATTTGGTGTCTGCTATATTTGAAACTACAGCTGTTCAGGATGTTTCTGAAACGAAAAAGAATCTTAGGTTATATGGGAATAACATAGTTGTTGATGCTCGACCAACAGCAAACGCTATGGCAAATGTTGCAATTGGTGCTGGAACTGAAAATATGGAAAATTATAAAGGTGCAAAGAAAGTATATTTAGGGATAGATAACATTCATGTTATGCGTGACAGTCTTTCTCGTGTTGTTGAAGCTTTAAAAGAGTCAAGTATGATATCTTTACCTCCTGATCGTAATCTTCTGGAAAAATCTAATTGGCTTAAATATTTATCTTTAATTTTGGAAGGATCGGTTTTTATAGCACGTACAATTCATATTGATTACTCGCATGTTCTTATACACTGTTCTGATGGATGGGATAGAACAAGTCAATTGAGTTCTCTTGCTCAATTATGTTTAGATCCTTATTATCGTACATTTGAGGGATTTATGATATTAATAGAGAAAGACTGGTTATCATTTGGATATCGTTTTTGTTCACGACTAGGTCATCTTTTTAATGAAAAATATTTTATAACATCTAATAATACATCATCTATTTCTAAGAATTCAAAAAGTCTTTTTTCGCAGCAGACGTTTTCGAATATGCAATCAAAATTACGAGAAATGAATAAGAATCCTCATTCTAAAGATATTAGTCCAATTTTTCATCAGTTTCTTGACTGCACGTATCAGATGTTGCATCAGTTTCCTGATCGGTTTGAATTTAATGAATGTTTTCTCCGGAAGCTTTTCTATCATACATATTCCTGTCAATATGGAACATTTCTTTATAACAATGAAAAAGAAAGGATAACAGATAATGCACATGAAAGAACAAGGTCTGTTTGGGACTATTTTTTGGCTCGCAAGGAAAAGTTTATTAATAGTAATTACAATCCTTCTCTTAATAATGGTTCTTTATCTATTATATTTCCTGATCCAAGAGCTATTGTTTGGTGGGCATCTATTTTTGGTCGTTCTGAAAATGAAATGAATACGGTTTCTTCTTTTCTTAATACTTCTTTTATTCAAAAAAAATAAAATTAATAGTAAGGTTTTTTTTGTTTAGTTATTTTAACTTATTTTTGATATATATAGATATATAGTTTGTTGATATAATTGGAAATATATGATTATGATATATTTTTATGATTGTTTACGGATTATTTTATAGTTATAACTTCTATTTATTTTCAGATATTTTTGTAAGCAATATAGTGATTGATTTAATCTATGGAAAATCTTGTTTTTTAATTTTAGGGTTTGTTAATTTAGGTTTATCAGAAAAACTTTCGAAGACTGTTTTATTAAAATTTTAAAATTAAAAAACTAATTTATTTGGTATTTTTTTGCACTTAATAGTGGTTGTTAGTTAGGTATATTAGCTATTCAAATATGACGAATAAGGTGCGTGCATAGTTGGTTTAGAATTTGTATATTTTTTTGTCTTAGTGACAAACTATGGAAAACATGTATCTGGGAATAAATCGGCTAACGTGCTTCTAGACAAATAAAGAATCAAACTTTTTTATTGATTTTATGATGGGCGGTATTTCTGCTGCTGTTGCAAAGACGTCTGCTGCACCTATTGAGCGTGTTAAGCTTTTGATTCAGAATCAAGATGAGATGATCAAAGCAGGGCGTCTGTCTCACCGCTATACTGGTATTGTTAACTGTTTTTCGCGTACTGTCCAAGACGAGGGTATCATTTCGCTTTGGAGAGGCAATACTGCAAATGTTCTTCGATATTTCCCTACCCAGGCTCTTAACTTTGCTTTTAAAGATAAATTTAAAAAAATGTTTGGTTTTAATAAGGAGCGTGATGGTTACTGGCCTTGGTTTTTTGGAAATCTTGCTTCTGGAGGTTGTGCTGGTGCAGCATCTCTTCTTTTTGTGTATTCACTTGACTATGCTCGGACACGTCTTGCAAATGATGCTAAATCTGTCAAAAAAGGCAGTGAGCGTCAATTTAATGGTCTGATTGATGTGTATAGAAAAACACTCGCGTCTGATGGCATTCGTGGGCTTTATCGCGGTTTTGGTCCCTCTGTTGCTGGTATTGTTGTATATCGTGGCCTTTATTTCGGACTTTATGATTCAGTGAAACCTGTTGTACTCACTGGGCCTCTTGAGGGGAGCTTTATTGCTTCTTTTATTCTTGGTTGGGTCGTTACTACTACTTCTGGGCTTGCTTCTTATCCAATTGACACTGTCCGGCGGCGTATGATGATGACATCCGGTGAGGCTGTTAAGTATTCTTCTTCCTTCCAGGCTTTTGCACAAATCATCTCCAATGAAGGTTTCCGTAGCCTTTTTAAGGGTGCTGGTGCTAATATTCTCCGCGGTGTCGCTGCTGCCGGTGTTATTTCTATGTACGATCAGCTCCAGTTGATTGTTTTTGGCAAGAAGTATTCTGGTGGTTCCTCTTAGGGATTCTTATCCAATTTTGCTGTATCAAAGCCGTTTCTCCATCTAATTGAATATTTCTTTTTTACTGAAATATCCCTCGACATAATAAAAATAATACTATGAAAATATATAAACAGAAGCTGTTTAGGGCTTATTATAAAGCATCTTTTTAATTATTTTATTCAACTTGCTTTTTTCCTAAAATTCTTGTTAATTTCTGCTTATCGAGTTTTTGGTTACTTTTGCGCCTTCTGCGCACATATGTGTCCATGGTCTCGGTGAACTGTAGCACCGCTTTTTCTTCCGACGAATGACAGCGGACGACAAGCTTGACGTAAAGTATTAAAGGAAGAGCAGTGGGAAAGAAATAAGTGTGAATTAGATAAAAAAAACGAGTTATAAGGTAATTAAGAAGCTTATTTGTCTTTGGAAGCTTTTTTCAGCGGAGTTGTAGCGTTATTTTGAGCCTTAAAGGTGTTCCTGACAATGTCTGAACTTGGGACGAATTTTGTAGATAAAATGGGGCGATTTGGAGGGCGTGGACTAGGAGGAACTCATGCAGGAACGCATAGTAATGCACATGGAAATGCTCATGGCCCAGGGCACGGGAGTAGTGGTGGAGGAGGAGCAGAAGGAGTGGATCGTTTGTTTGATGGAGAAGGGCGTGGAGAAGAGTATGATGGATATGGAGGGAGCCAGGTAACGTTACGGGCACTGGTTTCTACAAAAGAAGCAGGGATCATTATTGGGCGCCAGGGAAAGAATGTAGCAGAGCTGCGTGGAGCGAACGGTATTAAAGCAGGAGTTAGTAAAGTTGTTCCGAATATTCACGACCGTGTTCTTACTATTTCTGGGTCTCTTGATGGTGTTAGTAAGGTATGATGTGTGGAGGATTGAGTGGAGAGGAATTATGTTATGAGTGAGGTGTTTTTTGTGAAATGATACAGCAAAACTGTGAAGTGTGGTTATATGGTTTTAGGGAGTGTGATGTGTTGTGTAGTTTTGTAGAACAAGAATTTTGGGTGGTTTTGCATGTGTTTACTGTAAGATTGAAGTGATGAATGAAATACCAAGTCAGGTGAAATTTTAATAGAGCTTTTGGCAAATAGGAGAATAGTGGGTTGAATAATGACTTTTGAGGATATGTGTTTTTGTTTTGGCGGATTTGGTTTGTGTATTGTTGGTTTTATGTGCAGTTGATGTAGTGATTAAGTAGTGGTTTTGAATTCTGCAGTGCAGTATTAATAGTGCCAGTAATTGGGGTATTGTTGTAACATTTTGGTTATTTTTTATTGTTTAGTCACTATTATGCTGAAAACATCGGTGCAGTGTTGCTTTGGGAATATTATGTTTCTTTTTTGTTGTGTTGGGTTTTTGAGTTTTGCTAAAACTTTTTTGGACTGTTTTGCTGGGGTTTTGTTGATGTGTGGTTCTGTGGATTATGTGCTGTAGCTTTAGATTTATATTGATGCTGTTTCTATGTTATTTTATGCTACTTTTGTGTAGCATCTCTATTTTTTATTAAAGTAATATTGGTTCTAACTATCTTAGGCATATGCAGCAATTGCGCAGGCATTTATTGACAATCCAATTGGGCATTCAACAAACCATGCATCTTCTTCGTCTGAGCCTCAGTCATCTATTCGGTTGCTTATTTCACACAATATGATGGGCACTATTATTGGTCGTCAAGGGCTTAAAATTAAACATATTCAAGATTTATCTGGTGCAAGAATGATTGCATTTAAGGAGATCCTTCCTCAGTCTACAGAAAGGATTGTTGAAGTACAGGGTGTCGTTTCGTCGATTCAAACTGCAATTTGGGAGATTGGTAAGTGTTTAATTGATGATTGGGAACGAGGCATTGGGACAGTCTTTTATAACCCATCTTTAAGACTTTCCTCTACTTTAGTTCCAGGGCATCAAGGTAATAGTATTCTTTCCGGGGCACAGCCGGGCCATTATCTTCAATATCAGCGTCAAAGTTCACAAATGAACTATTCTCGGTTGGGAAATATGCCGTCTCATTTTCAAGAACCATTGGATACTTCAAATCAGGATATTCGTGTACAGAATATTTCCATTCCCTCAGATATGGTGGGTTGTATCATTGGTCGTGGTGGTAGTAAAATTAGTGAAATACGAAGAATTAGTGGAAGTAAAATTAGTATTGCGAAAGCTCCGCATGATGAGACAGGAGAACGAATGTTTACAATTCAAGGAACCGCTTCTTCAAATGAAAAGGCACTTTATATGCTTTTTCAAACATTAGAAGCCGAAAAAAATCGACGGGGCCAAGAAAATCTCAAATAGTCGACTTTTCAACACATTTTTCATAATATTCTTAAAATATGTTCCTTTCATGATATTATTTGGTGTTTTACCATTTTATGTATTTTTAGATCAAGTTGAAGTTTAAATTGTGCACTGTCTGTGGTTGAGTCAGTGTTTTATATTGTAATAAGCAAAGTTTCTTCCACATGTATTTACAATGTACTATGTTTAAGGGAAAGCTTTTCCTGTCTTTTATTTGGCTTTTTTATGTTCTGTCTTATTGCTTATTCTTGTTAGATCGGTTTATATCGTAATATCTTAATTATAAGTTTCTAAATATGAAGATAGCAGTTTCATAACTGATTTATTTTTCTTGAGTTTTTAGATTTATATAGGAAATGTGTGTTGTATAATGTTCTTTTTCTTTTTTTTACTTAAAAAACTGTGTTTAAAGACTTTTTTAATATTTTTGTGATTTTTAAAAGAAATATGTTGGAATGCACTCATTTTGATCATGAAAAGGCATCTGAATTTGTTTTTCCTCCGTTGTATGAGTTTCCACCTTTTTTCACGCGTCAGCCAAATGCAGAAACATGGAAGTCTCAGCAGTCTCACTGGGTATCATTGATTTTAGCGTATTGTCGGCATAAACGTATTTTCAGGCTTTATGTTTCTCAAGAATTGCTTGAAACTGAATTGTTTTTTAATAATAAAATCAAAAGTATCTTCTTTTTCTGTAGAAAGTAAGTTGATTGTTTTCAGGATGTGTTAAAATGGATATGCTTAAAGAGATTCTTGATTTTATGGAAAATAAACATAATGGTGAATGGCTGGATAATAATAAGAAAGACATTTTTTTCGTTTATTGGAGAACACTTGATGAATGGGCAGATATAATGATACATTGGGTAAATTTATTATATTAAGTCGTTTTTTTCTTAAATCGTTATATAGATTGAAAAAACGGGACAAAGAAATACTATTTTAACATATTATGAGCTTATAGAAGGCAGGGCTTTAGTTAATACAGGTATGTATTTTTTGTAAAACATATATATTGTATAAAATATAGGTAGAACTTTATAAAATAGATCCGATAATATTTAAGAAAATTATTCAAGTTTTAGTTAAGAAAGACATGGCTCAAGTTCTTAGGGGCAGTAATGAAGATGAATTTGGTGTTAAGTTTTTTGGTCGTATCTAGTTGAAAACCTTTTTCTTTTGAATTAAAAACTTTATTTGTTAAAATTCGTTTTGGTGTTCAAACAGTTCGTAGATCACTAAGTGCACTCCGCATAATACATCCATATCCAGCAACTTCTACAAGCTATTACAATAATTAGTTTTTGTATATAATATAAATGAGAAATATACCTTTTCATGCCAATTTAAAAGAATTGTTGAATTATACGTTTTTGGGTTTGAAAGTCCCTTGTATAAATATTTCATCAATACATCTCTTTGTTCTACACTAAAGGTTTTTATTGTATCAAGAATTTCACTAGGTTTTATCGAAGAAAGAGTCTCAAACACTGTGTTCATATGTATTATCTGCAACGTGGAATGTTGTTGATATTATTATTCATATTTTTCTTTTTACCTTAATATCATCTATATCTTCTCCATACGGAGGATCGATTAATGCTTTACTTAATGCTTCTACTGCTTTTCCTCTATCAAAATAAGTGCAATCTTTCTGCCTAAAAGTATCTAGTATACTTTCGTATCATACAAAGCAATTCTGGTGTTCGTTTAGATATATCTTCTCGTACTTCTTCAGGAGATCGTTCTTCCCTTTGATATAAATCTTCTTTCTTTAATTTATCTTCATCTGTTTGTTTTTAGCATTTGAAAAACGAATATTAAAATAAAAATACTGTAAATATCAATATTTACATGCCTAAATGACATTTTTCTATCTATAATAAACTTTTTTTTTGAAAATTTCTAATTAAAAATTATTTGACGATGATTTTGTCGAAAATGTGTGAAGTATAGAAATAATGAATTACATTAAAATATGTATTTCTAATATTTAGAGCTATTTTTAGGCGATATTGAAACGCTGTTTTATTTTAAAATAATTATTTTTTGAAAATCCTGAAGTTTGTGGAAAATTTATCAGGGCATATTTGTTGATAAATATATAGAATGATATTTTTTATAGAAATATTTGGTTTTGAAAAGTTTTTTATTTCTAGAAATATATTTCACATATTCTTTCTCTTTATTTGAATTAATTGAATTTGGTTTTAAAACTTTTGTTTAAAGAAAATAAGGTAATAAATTACTCAGACTTTTTGATGATGGATTCTTTATTTTCATACTTATTATAATATTCGTTATTAATGTTTTTACATTAAAAGTCTTAAAAGCTTCTATGAATTGATTAAAATTGAAATTCTTATGTATTATTACTAATATTTTTATTCTTTTATAAAATTGAAACAATGTCTTAATTTTCTAATATTTATTTTCCTGTTTAAAGAGCTCAAAACTCTGCTTTAGAGGTCACTTATTAAATAATATTAAAAATAGTTGTTTATATTTCTTTTTCATTATACATTTTATTAAATAATTTTATATAACATTATATTTCTTGATTCATATTGATTCTAGACTTCTCCTTTGCATTGTTATGGTTTAAGAAATATATAAAACTTTACAAGTTATATCATGTCTTTTTGATAATACTTGAAATACTGCTTATCCGGATCCTTTGATTAGGGTTAACCCTTAATGAGCTGGTATGACTTGTTTTTTGAATAACAATTTGTCGATATTAATATCATAAAAAAGATGTCTGTTGCAAGGAAGATTATAAAGCCTGAAGGAGTCCCTGTAACGGATCTTGAGCGTACAGGTTTGATATATATGTATTTAAAATAAAAAAATGACTTTGTAGTTGCGCAGGCGCTTTTTGATTTAGAAACTGTTCCTGATTTGAAAAGGGATCTTCGTTTATTGCAGATTGTGGGTGCTCGTGAGGTAATAAATTGGAAATGTTTTATATAGTCTTATGTGTTTTTGTGAAGTTTGATGTGGGACGTGGAAAAAAAGCTATTGTAATTTTTATTTTTCCTTCTTTACTTAAGGCGTTTCATAAAATCCAATTGAGATTGGTTCGTGAGCTTGAGAAGAAGTTCTCAGATAGACATGTGGTTTTTGTTGCCCAACGGCGTATTCTTCCAAAGCCTTCTCGTAAGAATCGTCAAAAACAGCGTCTACGGTCACGGACATTAACATCTGTTCATGAAAAAATTCTAGAGGATTTAGTATTTCCGGCAGAGATTGTTGGGAAAAGGATTCGAGTGTGTTTGGATGGGAAGAAGATTATGAAAGTGTAAGTTTTTGATATTTAAGATAATTTAATTTAATGTTTAGTTTCTTGGATAATAAAGATGCCTCTTCAATTGATTACAAACTTGATTCTCTTCAATGTGTTTATAGTAAATTGACGTCCCGGAATGTTGTATTTAGTATTCAAGAAGCAGGGCTGTAGTATAGAAAATGTATGTATTTTGTTAGAGTTTTTTGTAAAAGCATATTTTTTAATATTGATTGAAATATATATATAATTATTTGTTTGTCTTATATATTTATTGACATATGAAAGGGTTTAAAATTTATTGTTTTATTTAGTTTTATGTTCAATATCTTGAGTTTTAAGTTTAATTGTTTTATTACATTGTTTCTAAATTAATACAACTGTATATTTACATAAATTTGGTTATTTTAAAATAATTAGTTGATATATAAATTAAATGTTAATTAAAAAATGATATTATTAGGTATAAGATGAAAGGATATGTACTAATAAGAATATATTTTTTCAAATTTTATCGTATTTCTTCCTAAAAACCATTGATATTAATAATATAACAGTATAAATGAGCATATATATAATTTAAATAGTTATGATTATGCAACATTTGGAACGTGAGACGATGGATTATCTATATCATGAGAAGGTTGATAATTCGGTTCTGTCTGTAAAGCAACATCTTTAGAAGAATATGACCGAGGACCTAAAAGCTCTTGTACATCTTGAAAACCAATAACTTCTTTTTCTAATAAAAGTTTTGCAATTTTTGAAACGTCTTCTTTATGTTTTGCAAGAAGTTCATGGCATCTAGAATGTGCTTTTTTAATTAATTTTCTTACTTCTGAATCCTTAAAATTTAATCAGACTATTGTAAAACTGTTATTTTTAAATTGTACATACAATCATTCGTGCAGTTTCTTCTGAAAATGGTTTTTGAAATTGGTCATTATTTATTTGGTATGAGACAGTTCCAAGATCTGATAGTCCCCATGTTGTAACATATTGCGTAGCCATTTTTGTTACTTTAGAAAAATCATCACTTGCACCTGATGTAATCTCTACATTAGGAAAAAATATTTCTTCTGAAACTCGCCCTGCTAATGTCATTACCATATTGTCCAAAATATGTCCTCTAGATAATAAGTATTTTTCCTAATCATGGTTAATAATAGTATTTTTAGTATAAAGAATAATTGCTTTTTGTAAATAGCTTGCATAACCTAATGCACCATTGGAACGAGGAATAATAGAAACTTTAAGCAATTGATCAACGTGTTCAAGAAAATAGCCCGCTACAGCATGACCGGCCTAATATAATAAGGTATTTTTTTATTTTTTAAAAAAATAATATACCTCATGGTGAGCAACAGTATTTCTTTCTTGAGGACTTAGTACTCTGCTTTTTTTCTCAAGGCCTGCTACAACACGCTCAATTGCTTGTTCGAAATGAATCATTTCGACTTTATCTGCTCGGTGACGTGCAGCTATTAATGCTCCTTCATTTACTGTACTTGCAATATCTATATGTCATTAAATAGAATCAATAGATGTCAAAAAACGACTACCTGCTCCTGTAAATCCTGGTGTTAAAGTAGATAATCGCTTTGCTATATTTTCTAACTTTTCGTCTGTTTTAATTTTTTTTAAGTGAACCATAAAAATAGCTTCTCGACCAGATATATCTGGCCGATCAATTGTAATGTGCCTATCAAACCTTCCTGGTCTAAGAAGTGCATTATCGAGTACGTCAGGTCTATTTGTTCCAGCAAGAACAACAACATGTTCTGATGTACTAAATCCATCCATTTCTATCAAAAGTTGATTCAATGTACTTTCTCTTTCATCGTTCGATCCAAATTGATTTCCTCTGCCTCTTGCTTTACCAATAGCATCAATTTCATCCATAAAAATAATGCATGGTGCATTTTTTCGAGCAGTCGAAAAAAGATCTCTTACTCTGGAAGGACCTACTCCAACAAACATTTCAACAAATTCCGAGCCGCTTACACTAAGAAATGGAACATTTGCTTCGCCTGCTGTAGCTTTTGCAAGAAGTGTTTTGCCTGTTCCTGGAGGACCTGATAGAATTGCTCCTCTTGGAATTTTAGCGCCTAATTTTTCATAATGTGATGGATTTTTTAAAAATTTAACAAATTCCATCACTTCTTCTTTAGCTTCATCTGTTCCTGCGACATCTTTAAATTTAATTTTGATATCAGTTTCATGATTAAACATTTTTGCACGACTTTTTCCTATACCAAAAATTCCACTGTGACTTCCTCCTGCACCGCTTGCTCTTTTTGAAAGCCAAAATATACTCCCAATTAATAATAAGGTAGGTGCGAACGAAAGAATAGTACTAATAACTGAAATTTCATCATGAAATGCAACAGGAATCCTCTCATCATGTGAAACATTCAGCTCGTCTTGTGCTGCATCAAGTTTCTTTTCAAAGGCTTCTACTGATCCGATACTAAAATAATATTGACTTTGATTGGTATTTATACGAGCTCCGGGATACATTTGACCTGTTTGGTTTGAATGCAAATGAACACGTACTTTATTTCTGTTAATAACTGTCAATTTGTCAACCATTCCTTTGTCTAGAAAAGCTGTACGAAATTCTTGCCATGTGATTTCTTTGCTACTTTTTAGAACAGCAAGCCGATAAATAATATAGGTAATAATGCATACTGATAAAACAGAATTTGCATTAATTCTTATTTCGTTAAAATTCTGACTTCCTTTTGTTGATCTTTTTCCATAATCGTTTGTTTCTTTTGAGTATGATTTTTTTGTTATAGACCTTTTAGGTTTTCCAAAAAAGTTTTCAAATCCACGAGGAATTACATCCTCTTCAGAAATAGTATTTTTTTTGCTACTTTTTTCGATATTTTCTGTATTAAGGTCTTTTTTTTTTTCGTTTTTTTCTGGGGTATCATTAATTTCATGAGCATATGCTCGGTATATTATTCGTGGCCATTTTTCTTGTATTGGATCATAAAATTTTCGAAAGGCTATTCTCGTCTTTGGTAATACATGTGAGATTTTAAAAAGTTGACTTTTTTGTTGAAAACTTAGTATCATTATAATTTTTATTTCTAGTATTGACTTATTTGACAAATTATATAATTATACTTTAGTTGGAGAAAATGTGATGTTCTTTTACTGCTTTTCTTTAAAAAAAATTATATTTGGATTATTTTATGCTGTATTTTTGAATAATTTGAATTTTCAAAGTTTTTCTCAGTCGGCTGAGTCGAAACGATTATAATGATTTTATTTAAAAAAAAATGATAGTAAATTGAATATTTATAATATTGTTTTCGTATTTGTAAGCTTTTAAACAAATGCTATGCATTTGATTAACCAACTGTATGTTTTTTTAGGCTTAAAAACGTAATTTTTACAATTTATGAACTATCAATGAATATGATAAGTGAAGAGATGAAATTGAATAGAAATGATGCTAAAATGGATTTTTTTGATGTTTCAAATGAAGGAAAATTGTCTAAATCTGAGGAGGATGATGCTATGATTATAGATCATGAAAGAAATGTTTTAGAAGGTTATCATTTGATGGATACGGTTAATATGTTCGATAATAGAAAGTATGATGAAATACAAGTTGAATGTTTAGATGCGAATGATTTGAAGATTCCATTAGCTTATAAGAAAGATTTTAAAAAGGTTTTCATTATTTTAAGTATATAATGTTTTTAATATATGTTAAAGGAAAAATTGAAGAAACGGAAAATTAATGGATTGAACATGGAAGGAAATCATGTAATGATTGGCTTTAAGAGTTTTTATTTGTCTCTTATTTCTTTTTTTATAGATAGGCCAATTAGGAATTGATCATAAGCTAGATGTTTTTCAGAATAATACGATTAAAAAACCGCAAACAAACAGCTTCAATAATTTTAGGAACGAAAATATTGAGCTTTATTGTATTTGTCAGAAGCCTGATACAGGATGTTGGATGATTGCTTGTGATGGATGTGATAATTGGTATCATGGGGAATGTGTTAAAATCGCTAAAGCTGATGAAGAGCTATTGGATAAATATTTTTGTAGTTTATTGTTTTAAGTGTTTTTGTGTAGTTTTAATGATTTCAAGGTTATTCATGTACGAAAAAGGGTAAAGGCTATACTATCTGGAAAAGAAAATGTCGTCTTTCTTGGTGTAGAAAACCTGCCTCTGTTTCAGTATCTCCTCCTTCAAAATATTGTTCAAAAGAACATGGTGTAGAATATTTTAAGGAAAGGCTATGTTATTCTATATTAGAAAAATCAGAAGTTGCTGCTTTGGCTCGAAGCGTTGATTCAGTTGAAGCTTTTAAATGTTTAGGTGATTCTTTTCCATTTGAAGATGAATCTGTTATGGATAGTGAAATTTTATCATTGTTAAAGTTAATTAATATGCAACGAGAGGAAATATATGAGCGGTTAAAACAAATTGAAATGCGAACAATTTATATTAACTATGCTAAAGACAGAGCAAAAAAAATAAATGAAGAAATACGTGCTGATGGATCTAAAAAGGAAATATGTGCTCTTGATTATCGTTTATCATGGGACGATGATGATTGGAATGCTTGGGTTGTTAGTGATGATGGGAAAAAGATATTCAATGATGGTAGATTAGAAGGTTACGATTTGATGTGTATTATAGAAAAAAGAAAGTGTTTTAAACATAATAATTGGGTTGCAATAAAAATAGAGGAAATGGAATTAGAAGAAATAATATGTCGTGAAACGCTTAAAAAACTCAGAAGACAAGAAAAAAAGATATATAAAAGACAAAGGAGATTAAAGGCTTTGGACAGAGAAAATAAATGTATTTCTATTGCACATGCATTGGAGTAAACAATGAATGGTTTATCTATATTATATTGTACTGTATTAATAATGTGTTAAATTAGAATTTTGTTTTAAAATGTAGCTAATAGCTATTCCAAAATTACTAAAATAAAAATTGATTTTTTTAAAAAACTAAAAATAAAATGTCTTTAAATATTCCGATTTTCGAAAGTACTAAAATCACGTAAAGTATTACTCATTACTAAAGGTATAGCCATTCGTTTTTTTCTTTTAACATTATCCCAGCAAGCTCTACAATAAATCTTCATTTTTCCATTTTTATCTACTTCATTTAAAGCTCCTGAATCCATATTTTTACCACATCCTCCAGTACATTTTAAACATTTTTTATGCCATTTAGTAGAATTTGGTCCAGGATAAGATTCGAGAAAAGTTATTGAATCGCTACAGCCGGAACATGCTAAAATATAATTAGGAGAAGATAATGTAATAAGTAAAATACTATCAAATCCTCCGAATTTTGGAAAAGGTTTTTTTTTTGTAGAGAGCAATTTAGTTGAAGCATTATCTTTTAATGATTCTATATTTATAGTTTCTGGTAAGTTTTTTTTTTTTAATATAGATTTTGATAAAAAATTATCTTCTAGCTCTGATATGCACTAAGATATTATTAACAAACATTGATTTAATATAAAGAGTTACTTTTTTATGATAAATATTGTTTTTGTAGAAAATATAATTATTTCCCTCAAATGGAATATTACAAAAATAACATTTAAAACACTCTTGATGATATTTTTTTTCCTTTGTAATATGAATTATAGTATTTGTTAAGTCTTTTTTGCAAGAATCACATAAAAATAATGGTTGTTTTTCTTGATTTGAAGAGATTTTTAAATGTTTAGAAAATACGTCTTTTTCTGGAAAAGAGTTGCAATCAATGATTGATAGAACGTTGTTTTCTGATTTAGCAAAATTTGTTGAAAATAATTTGTTTTTGTAGTTCTTAGTTGATGTTAAAGTAGGAGGGATATTTTCTTGAGAAACACTTGTTTGAGCTTCTGATAGGGTTATGAGAGATACCTTAGATTCTATATTTTCTGTTTTAATTATCTTATCTGGGGAATTAGATAATCTAGAAGGAATATTAATTATATCAGATGTGCCGGATGAATTATGTAGTCGTTTTATTTCTGTAAAATTTTCTATATGTTTGCGAATATTTAAAGAATTTCTTTTTTTTCTTATAAGTAGCTCTTGCATTTTTGAATTTTTTATGGAATTTTGTCGTATAGAAATACAGGTTTGTAAAATGTTAGCCTTTGTCAAATTATTTATAGTCGATGAGTTGTTCTTATCAGGAGAATTTAATATTCTACTTGTATATTCTTTTGAAGATTTTATAGAATTTGTACTTTTTAGCAGACTTTTATTTGAATTTTCTATATTAGTAATAAAATCGTTTTCGTAGAAAGATTGTTTATTAGTTTCTATTTGTGAATTATTTTGAATATCTCCGTTTCTATCTATTTTTTTTGAGTACATCTGATACATTTAAATAATATTTCTTATGAAAAAATAAGTCTTACTTTCTGAGAATTTTCATCTTGATTTATTTGAGTAGTATTATTTATATCATTTAAATATAAACTATTGAATGATTAAAAAGAAAAATAAAAAGTACAATATATTTACTCATAATCCTTAGATGAAAGGTGAAAATGGCAGTTCTTACAATAATGGACTTCTTGTTCCCCAATAGTATTGTATATTAATTTATTCTATAAAATTTCAGATAATTAAAATATAATGAGATAAATACAGATGAAAAGGTTTCAAAACATAAGGAACATAGCCAAGGTATATTTTTTTCTAGGAATTTAGATGGTAGATCCGGATAATTTTTCGCGTTCTTTGCAAAACTTTATAAATGTAAGTTTTAGAACTGTCTAAATAAAGAAGTAGTATTACTCTGTTTTTGAAAATTTATCTTTCTCTTTATTTTTTTTATTAAATTCAATATTTAATGATATATTATGATTTTCGTGATTATTTTCTTGCGATAAAGAATCGTCTTTATCCATGGATACTAAACTTATTTCTTGATATTTTTGTTAATACTTTTTTTATATTTTTTGTTTAGTAAGTATAAAAGTATGTATGTTATTTTCTTTATTATTAATTGTTTGTAATTTTAATGATTTCAGTTTATATGATTTTTTTAAGTAATAAAGTATCAACATATGGCTACCATGGAAACTATCGATAAGATTGAGAGTTTAATGTTTATTTTTTATTGTATTTAGAATTTACATTTATATGATTTTTGTAAAGAAATAACTTTTTTATACTTGAAATTATATATGTTTTACATAAAAGCATTGTTTTATATTAGTTTTATGCAAAAGAAACTTTTGATATTAAATAAAAAGACTTTTTTTAAATATGTAATTTATAATATTATAAAGAAATAAAAAATATATTATTTAATTGCACTTCTATTATAGATTATGTGTTTTTTTTTTTTGAAAAAATATAATATTTTGAAATAGTTGAAAATAATTAAATATTTAGATATCGACGAACGGACTATCTATTAATAAATAAATTAGATATATTTGAGTTACCTCTTTCAAAATATCAACTTGTTGGTTGGCTTTAATAAATAAGTCTTTATATTGACTAATAACATCTTTTAGAAATTCTTCTTTTGAGGATTTACCATTACATATATTTTTTAATTTCAATTCCATCTATATTTTTAAATATTTTGAATCCTGAGATTTTTGAAATAATAGTACCTCTTTTCGTAGAAAGGGTTTAGTCAAACTTTGATTAAACCCAATTTTATCGTAACCATCTACTAATGCTATGCCTAATGTACTAGGTACAAATTCATAAATTTTATCTCTGTTCTTATGATTTTTAATATTTTTAAGTTGCCTAAATACATATTTTCGATCAATAATTTTTTGAATATGTTCTGCTATAGTAGAATCTGTACCAATTCCATTAATATTCATTAAGTTGATTAATTCTGATTCAGTTAAATGCGCTGGAGGTTCTGTTTTCCCTTCTGACATTTCACTATAATCGAATGCTATTACTTCTCCTTCGTTAAAAATAGGTAAACAAGTAGATGAATTCCATTTTTCATATAAATAAATATCTAAGTAATTTTTCTCTAATACAACAAGACCTGATGTTGAAAAAAATTCATTTCCCCACTGTACAATAACTGTAGTTTGTTTTCCCTGTGCATTTTGAGAACAAGAGGCAAGAAAATGTCTAACAATAAAAGAATAAACTTTATATTCATCAACAGATCTTAATGTGTTTTTTTTTACATAAGCTATAGGATGAATTGGGGGATGTGCTTTATCGTCATTTTTTCCTTTTCTAGGATGAGAAAACTTCCCATTTAATAAACTTTTAAAATCAGTTAATTTTATTTATTCTGTAGAAATACCTTTGAGCATAACTACCCCATTGCTCATCATTTATTTGTTTTCGAATCAAACTATGTAAATCGATATCATCGCTAAACTGGTCTGTTTCTGTTCTTGGGTAGCTTATAAAGCCTTTTGTGTAAAGAGTCTCTGCTATCTATTTTTAGTATTAGAAAAAATTAATATAAAAAAAAAAAAATAATACTTTCATTATGTCTTTTGAAGATAATCCCAAGTATTTTACTCCTTGTTTTTGAAGTTCAACTGTTGTAAGTGGATATGGTTTCCTTCCTATAATGAGAAATGTTTTATAAATGATTAGAGTACAATTTACTCTTTGGTTTTTGTAAAACATTTTTAACCTTTACTTTGTCAAAAAGAAGGCAATTCTCATATATTAAAAATACAGAAAGTCTGTCAAAAAGTCTAATTCGTTTCCAATTAAATGATGTTTGATAATTATGAAAATAAATTTTAATAGACCAAAATTTTTCAGGAACAAAATTTTCGATTCGTTTCCATCTATCAACTACAAAACCAAGAGTTGGAAATTGGCATGAACCTTTTAAGTGTTAATATAATATACTGTTTATTTTAATATAATAAACCATAGCTAACTATCTCTTTTGCTAAAGGTTCAAAATTTTGTAATGATAAAGTTTGAAAACGTGTAAACGCTGATCCTATTCTTAAATCAAATTCTATACGTGCAGCAACTGCATTAACTTGTTTTTGATCGATATTGAAGGGTTGATGAGCAGCTTTTAAAATATGTCTAGAAAAATAAAAAAATAAACACTGGATATTTAAAAATATACGTTTTTTCAAGATTATTAAAATGTGCACGTTTTATTTCAATCTTTGGATTCGCCTCTCGTACTATATTAACGATTTCTGCAGCAATATATTCACCTTCTCTATCGCAATCTGTCCAAATATAAAGTCCTTCTGCATATTTACTTTCTTTTAAAAGGTTTTCATGAATACTTTTCATTTCCTAAGATCTTTAGTGTTTTTTTTGTTAATTAGAAGTACTTTATTGATTGTCGTGATGATTTTTGCTTCAAATAAACTTAAAGGATTACATGTATTCCACTTTCTAAATGTTTCTTCGAATTCCCATTCTAATAAATGCCCTCTAACAGATGTAAATGTAACAGAACTGTCGCCCCAGTTAAAATTAAATTTAAAGTGAATATCATAATTTTTGTTATAAATATCTTTTGTTTTTCTCTATTAGAAATTAATTTAAATGAAAAAAGGATATTGAAATACTGTGTGAACATTTCCACCTCCAAGAATATTTGAAATTGTTTTTGCAATTGACGGTTTTTCCGCAACGCAAAGGATTTTCATAAACCACTAAAGTTATTATGTTAAGAATATTGTTATTTTACTTGGTGTAATTAATATTTTAGTAATTAAAATATTTAAATGGTATGAAATTTTAATAGATAAAATGATTTTTTAAGAAAAAACTATATATTTAATTCTGATTTTTTATATATTTTTGAACGTTTTTTTAATTTGAATAATGTACATATATAATATTTTATTAACAATTAACTTAAAACGTGTAATAGTGTGATAAAACATTTATATTTATAACTTATTTAAATATGATAATCTTTTAGTTTTTTACAAATATTCTAGTTCATTTGAAAATGAATATTTTTATTACAGATTTTAAAGTTTAAGTTGAATGTAAAACTTTGCCTAAGCCAATTATTCCCCAAAACCCTATTTCTTTAGAAACTGTGCTTTCTTTTATATCAGTGTTTATATATTTGAATTCATTTTTATCTAAACTGACTTCACGAATTATTTTAACAAAAATTGAAATTTCAACTATATCATCATTGAAATTTAAATCATTTGAAAGAATTTCTGAAGGAATAATTTCAAGAACAACAGTTGTAGAGTTTTTTTCGCGTTCCCATAATGTTCCTGATAATGGCATTTTTGTTGGATCTTTTGTTGTAGACTTAATAGTAGAATTATTATCGAGTGTATTTTTATTACCACTTACTTCGAATTCTGGACACAAAATGGTGACATTATGATTATATTTTCCAGAAGTTTGCTGAGGTGTTGCTAGAAAAACTTTTATTTTTTCATAAAAAGGATTTGTTACTGTCAAGAGGAATAAATTTGTCACATTTGGTGAAAGTTTCCCAAGAGAACAATTAGAAATTGGTCCAGGAAAACATTTTAAAGAAATAGTGGGTAAAAAGTTTCTGAATAATTAATAATATATTAATAATTATATAACAAATACTTACATAGCTATTAATTTAACATGAAACTTCGTAGATATAGGCTTACTTTCTGGATTAATAAGAATATTTTTACATGAACGGCATCGTTTTAATCTCTTAGTTCTTAATAAATATGGTATAGGTTTGAGATCACTGTTGTTATTAGTTGATAATGAAAGATACAATATAATTTTACTTCTTAAATATAACGTGATTTAATTGATATAATCTTTGTTTAACTGTAGCAACTATAAGTTTTCAGTTTTGTTCTAAAATAATATTGTTTAATTACTTTCATCTAAATTTCTTATCTCTGACATTTTTTTAATAATTTCTTGATCATCTTGTAAATCTTGATGATTATTATTAAAATTGAATACATTTGATTTTTTTTTGTTCTCAAATGCTTTTTTTTTATTAATTTTTCCATATATATTTGTTAATTTTGAGATTCCAGGATGATCGTTTGTATGTAATTTTAAAGTTCCATGCATTTCTTCATAATATGCTTTCAATTTATTGTAAAAAAGTTTTTTTCTTGAAGATTCAATTGATAAGTTTTTCAATTGAGCTATTTACATGTAATTAATATGTAAATGGATTAAAAATGATTTACTGTTGAGTCCTGTAGGTTTTTCAAAGATCATGTTAATTTCAGCTGATGTCCATTGACAATATGGACATTCCATAACGTAAGAATGTAAATTTGGATTTAATTGTTCTTTGTTTATGTTTTCTTGAAGTTCTATAATGGATAAAGACGAAAAGCAAATAGGGCATTGAAAGCAATTTCGTAAACATCTATGCATATTAGCATGGAATCTTATAGTATACTTAAACTTTCCTATTTCCATAATTAGTTATGTTTGATCGAGGTACTTCGAAAAGACAGTTTGGACAAAAATAACTAATTGTTTCCTCTTGAATGCAACGAGGACATCTTATTGCATAGCATTCTTCACAAAAATAAAGATTCTGTAAAGGATGATGTGAAAAAGATGATCTTGGATTTTCTGTGTTAATTCTGTCGTCTAGAATTCCTAAAGGGTTTGAAAATGGATTATTTTCTTGTAAGTCAATTGATGAATCTGAACATGGACAGTAAATATGAATATATGGAAAAACAGTCATATAAAAGTAAAAATTGAAATTACTTAAAAGACTCTATTTAAATGAAATATCTATTTAATGTTAGTTTTATGATAAAATAATTTTATAAAAATTTAATCTTTTAACGTTTCGTATTTTTAAAAAAATTATAAAAAAAGTAATGATAAAATATTTATTGTAATATAATGTAAATTGATTTTGGAAAGAAAATTAATTTTTCCATTTAGCTTTTATTTTATTTTTTGGAATCTGGTAAATAATATTATGAAAAAATATTAAAATATTGAAATATAAATCTAAAAACGCTAAATGTTTAAATTTATTATAGTAAAAGGGGGACTGGCATTTTTTATTGAATTTTCTTTTTTAAGGAAAAAGTCTTACTATGAGTTTCTGTTGAATCAAAATTATATACTTAAGTCTTATTATTTATTTAAAAATTATTCGTCTTTTAGTGAGAAAAATGTTAAAAATTTTCGTATTTTTGATGAGGATGTGAAAAAAAAACAAAGATTGAGAGCTGTTGTTGATAAAATTGAAAATAGGAAAGTAGATTATTTAAAAGATGAAGTTGCGACTCGTTTGGTAGAAAGGCTTATGGTAAGAATTTGATATGCGTGTTGTAGAATTATTTTAAGATATATTAGTTTATTAGAAAAAAATTTAAAACTGTTCTTGATTTGGGGTCTGGATCTGGACATATTGTTTCATGTCTTTTTAAGACAAAGAATAAATATGAATACAGTTTTTTAGAGAAAATAGAGCGGATGATTATGGCTGATATTTCTGATGAAATTCTTAATAGAGATGATTTTTCTGAAATTCCAGGTTTTTTATTAGAAAAAGTATGTATAGATAAAGAAATTCCTTCATTCCCTGAAAATAGTATGGATGTTGTTATAACCAATCTTTATATGCATTGGATTAATAATCTCCCTGGTTTTCTTAAGCAGATATGGCGTATACTAGTACCAGATGGTGTTTTTTTAGGTTCTATGGTTGGAGGAGATAGTTTATTTGAATTAAGAACATCTATTCAGCTTGCTGAACAAGAAAGAAAAGGCGGCATTGGTACAAGAGTATCTCCAATGACTGGTGGGGTTATAAAATAAGAAAATAATTTTTATTGAATTTTTAAGATGTTCAAAATATAGGCAGTTTACTAAATGAAGCTGAATTCAAATTGATTACGATTGACGTTGAAGATATTATTATTGATTATCCTGATATGATTTCTCTTATGAAGGATTTGCAGAAAATGGGTGAAAATAACGCTATAATAACTCGCCCTCATGTTATTTCTCGAGATGTTCTGTTTGCTGCTGAAGCAATATATAAAGAACTTTATGGAAATAGTAATGGTACGCTTCCTTGTACTTTTTGTATAATTTATATGGTAAATTTGTTTTTGTTATTGTTAATGATTTAACAAATAGAAAGATTGCATGGAAACCATCACTTAATCAGCCTTTGCCATTGGAAAGAGGTAGTGGAAAGATAAATCTTAAAGACGTATTTTAAAAAGATTTTTTTTAATATGATAATATACTGATGAATATGTTATTTTATGATAGAAATGCAATTCATTATTAAAGATATATAATCTCAAAAAATTTATTTTAGATATAATGGTTAAAATTTTAAACATCAATGATTAATTTTATTAAAAAATAAAACTAATGTTTTTATGTATTAATTTTACATGCGATTTTACAAAAAATAGTAAACATTATGTGATTCAAAGATTTTACTATCAAGTTATTCATATTTAAATTTAGAAAGTTTGAATATTAAAATTCCTAAATTTGTATTAAATTGCTTTATACTCATGGTATAAGATTTGAAATTTAAATAATCTAAATTAAAAATTTTTATAAATATTTGGTGGGTATTGATTGTCTGTGGATATGTTTAATCTGAAATTGTTAGTGTTAATATATTGTTATTATTTTTATTTAAATTTAAAGAATACGAATACTTTGATCTTTTTCCCGGTATTTTATTTGTTTTTAATAATTTAAATATATGATATTTAATGAGAACGTTTTTAAAAGTATTTTATATATAAATTAATCTTATAGTTTAATAGTATTGACAGTTTTTTATATAGTATAAATATAAAAAAAAAAACGAATGTTTGAATTTTAATTGTTTTTGGTTTAAGCCCCTGCATTTAGATTTATATATTTTATTAAAAGAATAATGAAGCTATATATATTTAAGAAAGCTTTTTTGTATTTTTATTATTTTGATTGAATATTTTTTAAACAAATGATTTTTTCAAATTTTTCTTTTGTTTGAGTTTTCTGTTATTTTTTTCTTTATATGTTTTTTGGCTTTTCAACCAATAAATAATTGCTATATAAATTAGCAAGTTTAAATTATGTTTTGTTAAATTAGTACAGATTATGTTTATTTAAAAAAAATCCACATAAAAATTTATAAGATAAATAGAATTAATCATTGTTTATAGATGTTATTAAGAGGGTTGAATAGTTGTTTAAAATAATTAAAGATATAATTTTAAGAAATTATTCATTAAAATCACCATGTTTACGTTTATTATTTTCTCTTAATTTACCAAAATTAGTCATACTTATTTCTGCTTCTATTTTAGCAGAAGATACTGTGTTTAATTCTTGAGTTACTTTGAAATCACTAATATATGAATTTTTTTCCATTCTGGTACTTATGTGTTTTTCAATTGCTTGAATAAGTAAAATATCTCTTTGGGAAACAAATGTAATACTTTCTCCTGATTTTTCTGCACGGGCTGTTCTCCCTACTCTGTGAATATAATCATTTGGATCTTTAGGAACATCGTAATTTATAATGAGTTTAACAAATGGGATATCTAAACCGCGACTAGCAACGTCTGTAGCAATTAGAATTTTGCTTGCTTCTGCTTTAAATCTTTCAAGAGATTGGATTCGTTTTTTTTGTGGCATTTCAGAGTGCAATGCTGTAACTTTTAATTCTAATATACAGAACATTCTGCAAAGTAGTTCGGCTGTTCTAGTTCTATTTGTAAAAACGATTGTTGATTTTTCTTTGTATTCTTGTGTATTGAAAATGCGGTAGAGATATGTTTCTTTTACATGTGAAGGAATAAATATATATGTTTGAATTAGAGAGGAAGGAATTGTAACACTGTATTTATTAAAGCATTTTTATAGAAAGTTTGAAAATACCTTGATTTTATAACATTATATAAGAACAATGGTTTTTTTCCTGATTCTGATGATTGAGTTTGTAGCTTTCTTATTGCATCGGTAATAGTTGCTGTGAATAATAAAGTTTGTCGATTCTCTGCTTTTGGTAAAATACGTATGCATTCTTGCATATCTTTGGAAAAATTTGGAGTTAACAGTCGATCCGCTTCATCTAACACTAAGAATCGGACCCGTTTAAAAGCATTAATAGTTTCTTGTCCGCTACTTCTTATATGATCTGCAAGGCGTCCTGGTGTTGCAATAACAATATGTGGGCGTTTTACTAGTATCAACGCTTGTGTTATCATATCTACACCTCCAATAATAGTAGTATGTTTTAAATTTATCGAAGTACCTATAATAGCTAACTGATCTGAAATCTGTAAAGCTAATTCTCTGATTTATAGTTAATTTTATTTTCTCCATGAAATAGTAGAACCTTGTAGGTGTTAAAATTAAAGCAAATACTCCATATGGGTCTTGAGATAATATTTGGATAATTGGTAATGTAAAAGCCATTGTTTTTCCTGAGCCTGTTTTGGCACTTCCTATGCAATTTTGTCCTATATTTTTATTAGTTTATATGATTTAATATATGAATTAGTAAAACCTTCCAAAATAGGTCCAATACATGTAGCTTGAATAGCTGTTGGTTTTTTGATGGAGACTTTTTTGAGTGTTTCAATAAGCCATGCATGTAAACCGCATTCCTTGAAAGTATGTGGAATTAGTGGATCGGCCTGTTGTTTTGGATGATGCAAAATGGGAGATAGTCCAGTTTGTCTGTTTACGTTTTTTTGTTTAATATTTAAACTTTTTTCTAGATTTATATCACTTGTAGTCATTGATCGACAATGAATATTAGTTGATGTTTAGTTATAATAGCTATAAAGATGTTTTATATATGAATTAATCATGTTATTTAATGGAAAAATGTTGAATTAAATAAAAAGAGTATATAGATGTATTGTTTGTATTTATATGCTATGTATGTATGGCTTGATATATATAGTGATATTTTAATACTGTTTAAAGAAGTTTGGTGTATACATTTTTAGAAAGACATATAGGATCTTTGTAGATATCTAACGATGTATATACAACATATATTTGTTGTCTAAATAATAATGCAATTTTGTGTATTTAATATTTATTTGTATTCTTCATGTAGTTCTATGTTATTTTTGTTTATAAGTTCTATATATTCTATTTTATAAAATGTATGATAATTTATAAAATAAATGTTTTTTTATTTTTGTATATTTTTGTTAAAGTACTTATTATTTATATTTTTTATTGAATTGCCGGTTTATGTATTGTTTAAGATTTATATATGATTTATAAGGATCATATATGTACTATATATTTATTATATATCTGTTATATATATTCTTGTATCTTTTTAATTATTCTCAGTGATATGGGCTATTGACGGTGGATAATTATATAAACGACGTTCTTTTTTTCGCTTGGATAAGACAGTTGGTAAGAAATAAAAGAGGAAATAATTTTGATTCTGAATTAAGGAACGTTTATTTCTTTTGGTTACTGTTTAAGTATTTGGAATTTTTGGAATAATGTCAGAATCTCGACATGAATTGCTTGCATGGTTGAATCAGGTAGATATAATAAGATGTTTGGAAATATGTTTATAGGTTGAAATAGCTGACAAGTTTGGATATTACGAAAGTTGAGCAATGTGGAAAGGGTTAGTTTCTATTTGTTTGTGTTTGGCATTTTTTAACTAGAGAAGGATATGTTTATGCACATGTATTTGATTCAATATATGGTGAAAAAAAGAAATGAATTATTTCTAGTCTATTAATGCGTATTAAGGGGGTGTGCCCTTTAGGAAAATTAATGTTTTTGCCTTGTAGTTACAAGAAAAATATTAATAAGATGTAGTTTAATTGCAATAATGAGTATCAATATATCCAAAACTGGCGAGTAATTCAGAGTATTTTTACCCAACACAAAATTGATAAAATTATTTGTGTTGATCGGCTTATAAAATGCAAGTTTCAGGATAATTTAGAGTTTCTTCAATGGGTTAAAAAATTTTGGGATCAGCATTATAATGGTGTTGAATATAATGCTTTAGGAAGAAGAGAAGTTAGACCTAGTATTTCAATAGCGTGCTCTGCGAGACCTGTTTCTGCGCACAACATGCAGAATCGTAAAACTTTAACAGTTAATACCACATCTATGCGTGTGTCACCGAATCCTACTACTACTTTTTTGAATTCTCAAATACAAGCGTTGCAAGAAAATGTTGCTGGGCTAGAAAAAGAGAGGGATTTTTATTTCAACAAGTTAAGGGATATAGAAATTCTTATTCAGGCTGCTATTGATGTAGATCCTTCGGCTGCTCAGAATGAAGAAAGTCTTTTAAAGCAAATACAAAATATATTGTATTCTACAGAGGTAGTTATATATACGTATGTGTGCATTTGAGTTTTAAATTATTAATAGGAAGGATTCGAAGTCCCTGATATAAATGGAGATGAAATTAATAAACAAATAGAAGGCCTTCAGATAGAAGATGAAACTTTTTGAAATCAGCTTTTGTATAAAAATATCTTAATGTTTTTGCATATGTTTGTAGGATTTTTTTTTCTTAATAATATGTTTTTATATATAAATGAATTGATTCTTTTGTTTTATTATGTACCGTTTTTTGGTTTATAAATATTTTGTTTATGAAATATAGAATATTATTTTTCTTTATTTTATTAGTTTGTTTTGTATTCAACTGTTTAGGGTTCATTAGATACGCTTTTATTAAATAATTTTTCTACTATCTCCTTCAAATTATGAGGAGCAGTATCTCCTTGTATCTAATAGTTTAATTAATATTAATTTTAGAAAACATATATAAACCTTTTCAATGAAATTTGTTAATCTTTTTGGGTCAATTTCAATTTTTCCTCGCGGCCCTAAAAAATAAATACAACCTTTTTCATTTGTAGATGCAAAGTCGTCTTTTATTTTATCTAAGTATCCTTTTTTTACCATTTCTTTTAAAATTTTATCAAGATTTCCAATAGGTGTGTCATCATTCATCTGTAAATGTGACAAATATTTTATAAGAAGTTCTATATAATTTAATTAAAGTCTTTTATTAAAATACTTACTTACCTTCTGAAACTATGCCATTATTCATAACAATGATACTTAGTATTATCATAACTATTCCAGAAAATGTGCCTTCTTTGATTGTTGGGATTTGAAAAACTAGTTCTGAATATTTAGGATCTAAAACATTACACAATATCCAGCTTTTACTTGACTGTGTGACAGAAGAGAGATTTTTTGCATGAAGGTTTTTGTTTTTATGTAATTGAGATGTTGACATGTATTTGTTGTGGTTTTTATACGGTAATTCTACAAGTTCCATGCCAAAAATATTTCTAAGTTTTTCTTGTGTTTTTTCAAATACTAGAGTAAAAGAGCGTGGATATGATGGTAAAAGAACTAATGATGAGAAACGTTTCAATAAAATTATGTTTTAGATACTTTTTTTTGTAATATCTTCTCTTTTTATAGGTGTTCTGGTATGTTCAAAAGCAAGAGCAAGTCGTATAAAATTTTTAACCATAAAATTAAGATCTTCCTGTTTTGATTTAAATTTTGAAAGTGGATGAATAGATACTCGTTAAATACGTTGTTTATATGATGTTTTGTCTGTAAAAAATCTTTTATTTGCGTTGATGTTACGTCAGTTGATATGTTTTGTTTTTGGTTTTGAGATAGGGATTCTGATATACATTCTGATATTTCGTTCGAAATGTCTATGTTTTCTTTATTTTCCTAACATTTTGATTGGTTTAATATCTATGAAAAAGCTTATATATTACTTTTTGTTTTGTATGTTGTTGTCTTGTTTTCATTTATTTTTTAACGATAAAATTTGATAAATTATATTTAAGAGCTTATCAAATGAAAAATATGCTTTCAAGTTTTTTTTTTTTTCTTTTTTGATTCTGCAAGTTATTTTCTCTTTTTAAAGTTTTGAGTAATGATAGCGTTAAAGTTGATCGGTTCGAGATTGTTTTAAAAAAAATGAATCAAGTTAATGAAGATTTTAAAGGACTTAACCATTTTACGTCTTCTTTTCGTATTGTTGCTTGTACTTATGAAGGCTTTCTTTATGGGATTGATACGACATTGTTTTTCAAAGAGGATATGAAAATAAATGTACATTTTAATTTAATTTGGATGTTTGAGTCAAATAATGGTAGTATTCATTCAATTGCTGTAGGAGGTAAATATCTTGTATGCGGTGGTATAGATGAAGTAATTAAGTATGTTTTTTTGTTTAAAATATCATTTTTGATAAAAAAGGCTATACGATTTGAAAAAAAGAAAAGATCTTGGATCTCTTTATCATCACTCTGGAACAATTACAGACTTGGCATTTTCTTCAAAGACTTCTCCTAAGTTTCTTATATCTGTTTCCGAAGATGGCACAATGGCTATTTTTCGTACTAGAGATTGGTTACCTTTTATTACAATAAAAACACATCATGGTCGTGTGAATTCTATTTCTATTCATCCAAGTGGGAAAGCTGCACTTACTGTTGGATCAGATAGAAATATTCGCTTATGGAATATGGTAACTGGGAAAAGAGCTGGGAAATATAGTTTAAATGGTTCTGAGCCTTTTTGTATTCAATGGAATACATTAGGTGATCACTATGCTGTATTGTTGAGCAAAGAAGTAATGGTATATGATATGGTAAAAAGTGTTTTGAATAAATATTTTTTGAATAATTTAGTCTGCAACACTTGTATATCGTTTCTCATCATCAGTTCAATTTAATTCAATTCATTATACTATATCAGAAAAAAGTCACGATGAAGTTCTTGTTTTGGGTACTCAGAATGGGTATTTACAAATACATGATTTTAGTAATGGGAGATTATTGGAAAGTTTTGTTGCACATGAAAATAGGTATTTTGTAAATTCATCAAAATATATTTATTATTATTTAAGTAGAATTAAGGCTATTACATCATGTATATGTCGTCCTATTAATTCCTCTTCTTCTTTTTTAGTTCTTGTAACTGCTTCATCGAATGGTTTAATAAAATTATGGTTGGAATTTCAAAAATTTTCTTTTCTTGAAATAGGAAAATATAACTGTGGGGAAAGTAGAATAACTTGTATAGATGTTGTTAATTCTTTTTTTGAAAGTTTAAAGGAAAAAACAGAAATTGTTGAGTGGAAAAATAGTGATTTATGACATAAAGCTATGGTTAATGTTGAATTAGATGATAAATTTAATGAAAAAAAATTGGTTATAAATGTTTGGTTTTATTTCAAAAAAATAAGTAATTTTCTCTTACTAGATATAATCTATATTTTTAATATATTTTATGTTTAAATATTGTTTTAAAGTTTTATTGTTAAATTTTTTCAAGTAAAATTATACTAATTTTTTTCGTATTTAAATTATTTTTAATTTAAATATTTAAGTTTAAATTGTATTTTAAAATGTTATTATTATTAAATTTTATCTATTTTAATGATATTTAAACATAAGTTATATTTAAATAATTCAAAAATCGTATTTTTAAATATTAGTTTCTATAAAAGTGTTGAAGAGATTCGGTGGTCTAGTCGGTTATGGCGCCAGCCTAACACGCTGGAAGTCGGGAGTTCGAGCCTCCCTCGAATCATTTTTCAATTTGAAATAAGGCTTGACATATAATTATTTAATATTCTTCATGAAAATTAATTGTTAAAAAACAAAAACTCAAATATTTAAAACAATCTGATAAAATAAAATTAATAATGCAATATAAAAATTACATTAAAGTTATTAAAGATTTATTTAAAATACTGAATGAAAATGTGATGAACATATAATAAAAGGGTTTTCAAAAAATAAATTAGTAAAATTTAACCGATATTCATTTTATCAACATGAAATCTGACTGATTTTTTTTTAGATAATAAAGGGATTTTTATTATTTCAGTTTCTTTTTGAGATATTTGTTCTAATTCTTTTTGTTCTTCTGTTAATTCTTTGTTAGAAAATTGTTCAGGATTCATTTTGATTAGTTTTTTGGCTTCTTCTAATAGTTTTGTCTTATTTCCTGCCATACGATGTTTGTAAAATATACGTTCTCGTCGTGTACGAATTTCAGACACGCGATTAATGGCTTTAAGAGTATTTGCAACGACATCCCTATTATAGCGAATAGGAATATTTCTACGAGAAGCAAATGTAAGTGTAGTATCCTAATTTTAATAAATATAATTTAATACTATATCATTGTTAACTTACGATAGCCATTTCTTTGCCAGTAGCTTTCCTAAAGGCTTTTATGATGCATTAGAGATAGATAAAAATATTAAGTGGAAAAAACCTTTTGTCCATGCCACCTAAAAAAGTTAGTTTTTCGTTTTAGTAAATTTGAAAGTGATAAACCTTTCTAGGATTACGTCTCATTTTAAAGTTTTTATGACATTTTGATTTGCAGAACCGAAACTCTTTAGCATCATTTCTTACAAATATAATCTATGATAAAATTATTTTTTTCTATAGATGTTTTTTTTTATTACACCATGTCCTGGATAAATTGGTCCTGAACAAAACTAATAAATTAGTAATAGGTTCTCAGTTATTGAAAGATGGGTATAGTCACATAACATGTATAAATTCTAATTAAACATTAGTGTACCGTATTATATAATGATTAGTATATCACCTCATTTGATAAAATTTTTTTAATGAAATATTTTATAAAAATAGAAACTAAAAATTAAAAAAAAACTTTAGGGATACAAATGCTTTGTTCTTTAAAATTTTGAAATAATTGTTTTATAACAAAATTTATTGAATAAAAGATTATTTTTTGTTATTGCATTTTCTTTTAAAAGTTGGTTCGATGGATAAATCTATGATTTTAGTAAAAGTTAAATTGATTTCTGAAAATTACACTTAATAAGAGTTAAACTAATTAAATAAAATGAGTTATACGAATTCTATACATTTCCAGTATATTTTAAAAATAAATAAAAAATAAATATAATAAAAACAATAAATAATAGAAAAAATAAAAACAATAAATAATAGAAAAAATATAATAAGTAAAAAATATTGATATTTCTAAAAAAAATACTATTCATGTCCATATATAGACGAAATACCTCATAACCCTTCTTGGCAATAAATACTTATGATTAGAAAAATAAAAGTTATTATATATTAATTTTTTTCTAGAATCGGAAATTCATTTGAAACAAAAATTGACAATAGTTGAGTCAAATTTTGTTTCAGATATACAATGTGTTTTATATTTAAAAGATTCGTTGATATTTTCCTTGTATGATATTTATTGCTACAAGTATAATTAGCATCTTTTTGTAAAGTTTTGCAAAGATTGGTTAAGTTTTTTTTGAATTTAAATGTTTTTATGGTATTAAGATTTTTTGGATGTTTTTTTTGGCACTAGAATAATAAATATTAAGATTATCTTTTTTAGAAAACTTTTTCCAGTTAGAATTGTTGATACTTTTTTGTTATTGAATAGTAGAAAGAGGTATATTAAATGATTTTTTTGTATATTTTATAAGATATTTTTCAAACATTTTGTATATATTTGCTTCTTGTTGTGTTATTGAAGTTTTATTATAAACTAGGTTATTTTTGTTGTGATTTTCATAGGCTTTATTTGTATTTTGTTCAGAAAAAAAATCCTTTTTTTGTTTTCAACTTTTTTTTATGTTACTACAATGAATCAATTATAACCTAGTGAAAAGATATTATAAGTTCTGTTATTTATTGATTTTAGGTTATATTTAGAAAAAATTGTATGATTTATAGAATTCTAGCATAACGATTTTGTTGTATATATTGTCTTAATTGGGTATTTTATTTTTAAAGGTATTATAGTTGGCTTATAGTTATGAGATACTAAAGAATTACTATCCTATAATCTACGTTTTACGCTATATATTACTCTGATCCATATAAGGAAAATAGACTCTTAAATAAGTGTTATTAATATTATTTTCTGTAGTTATTATTTTTCTGTTTTCTAATACTTGTATTTTTGTGTTTTGTAATATTTGTGTGTTTTGCAATTTTGTGCTTTATATTTTTTATGGTTAATTTTCTTTACTTTAAGGATCCTGAATCTGACACATCTTTTGTATTTTCTTCATTTAAATTACAATTTCAGTAGATGAAATTTAAGGTTTGTGTTATAAAGATAAAAAAGTATTAATATGTATGATAATTATGTACTTAGAAATTTAAGTAGGTTCTTTTTTGTTTAATTTAATGTTTTTTTTTTTTTTCTTATTTCAATATTAAATATATAGCTAATTCTTTGAATAAATTAAAAATCTTTTATGTCTGCATCTACCTTAATCATATGTTGACTTTTAAATAAAATAGGGTTAGGTTTATGATATGTTATTTGGTTTAAAATTATTTAATATTTTAACTAATTTTAATATTTTACATAAAATGTATGTTTTATACATGTTATTTTTATATAAATTTGTGAATTAAACGTAATTATAAAAGGTAATGAATTCTGTTTTTAAAGTATAAAAATAGACTTTATTGGATTAGACCACTGGTAAATACGTTTGTATTTCGTTAGGATTAGGGTTTTGACGTACTATCAATCTGGAGACGACGTGTTAGCTCCTATTTAAGTTCATCACGAATAATAGAAAGATAATGAAAGATTTTAGGTAAATTAGTTATTGTGAATGAGTGTTGAAGGTAAGTTTTCTTCTCTTTGAAAATGTCTATAGAGATGAAATTTAGAGTTCCCATCAAACAATCCGTTTCGATCAATTTTGATGGCTTCAGTCACAACTCCAGAAGGATCTAATCCATTTCTTGATAAGACAGAGCGTAAGAAGAGTAGAGTTCATACGGCTTCTGCTATGTCGGTGTGTTTTTTTTTGAAAAAAAGGGTGGATTAAAAGGCTATAGAAGCCTATATCATCTTATGTATCATCACGTATGACGTTTTCCCGAAATCATAAATCGGCTTTGCATTCAAAGCAAGAGGAAAAGGTTGCGGTTTCCCGTCACGAGCGTGCAAGAAGTAATTCAGAAAGCAATGTTTCTGATTCACATAAAAATGTTTATCGAAATTATAAACATTCCCCTCTTAATAAAGAGAAAGAGCATGAAAGAGTTTTATTGAAGGAGAATTCTAAAGAAAAGTTAAAAACCAATGCTTATGATAGGGAAAGACGATCACGCATACATGTAGATCGTATTGATTTGCTTGATGTGACTGCTGTATATGGATCGGGGGGTATGTGTTAATTGTTTATTTTAAGTTTATAAGTTTTTAGCATTTCATCATGATGGACCATTTGATGCTTGTAATCCTTATCGTAATAGGAATTTTCAAAAAGATCCTTTATTCGCTTTTCCTAAAGATAGCACTTCTATGTCTTATGTTAAATTGGAAACTGAGAACTCAGGGTTCCCAATTGATAAATATTTTGGCCGTCGAGATATTGAAGCATATAATGAGTTTTCTCCTAGTGCTTTTTATTCTAGGAAAAAATGCTCTTCGAGCTCATCTAGAAGTTTTACTTATGAGTCGACTCAAAAATTAGACTTGCTTCACGGTTCAGAGACTGCTGGTCTTGGCACTTCAACTTTTATAGAAGGCTGTCATGCTAGTCGAGCAGCTATGCAAAGTCCTGCATCACTATTTAACAGTGAAAAGGATGAAAAGGATAATAAGCTTTTTGGTTCTCGGAGTCATTCAAATATTGATAATATTGATTTAAATTGCAAACGCAGTTTTGTTCAACGTATTCGTGGTGCAAAAAAGAATTCTCAGTTCAATGATTCATCTGTTCAAGTTGTTAATTCTTCTCTTGGGACTTCAAAACAATTAGATGTAGAAAAAGGTATGTTTAGTAATAGAAGGAAAAAAAAATTAATACCGCAAAATAATTTTTCGGTAACATCTGATAACTCTGAGTCGTCATGTACTAGTAAAGGATTTCTTAGTCGCGTTCGTAGTTTAAAAGTAGGAGATACTAGGAATAATTCTAGAGAAAATTAGTGATTGGTTTCTTCTGAAAAAAGATATACTATGAAGTCATGTAAAGTTTTAAGATAAATGTACTTTGAAGAATATTTTTGATACTATGTATATGTTTTATTTTGTTTTTTTTTTTTTTTTGAAATAATGTTTTTATACAATGTTGATATAATATATAATGTTTTTTAAATTGAATTGTATATAAAAATTAAATTATTTAATTTATAAATAGAAATGGATATAATTTATTTATGTATATAATAAAATTATATATTTTTATAAATAAGTAATAATAATTTAATGGAAAAAATTATGATTTTAAAATAGTTTTTTTTATTAGAGATTTTTTAACATAAGTATAAAAAATTAGTAAAATTATTATAATTATTGAATTTTTATTTTAAAAAAAATTAGGTATTTAATGTTTTAAATTTGAATTGGTTTATAAATTTATATACTATATTTAAAGGAGTTTTATTTAATGTATATAGATAAAAAAATATTTAAATTTAAAAATGCATTAATTTTATCAATGTTTTTGGATATTATTTTTTGTATAAAAGATATTGAATTTATCTAAAAATAAATAAAATTTTAAATTGTAACAAATATATTTACATAAAAAGTAAAATTATTATTGATCATAAGAATAAATTGCTTTAATTAAGTTGTATTTGTATTAATGAAGAAATTTTAATTTCTATTTTTGTGTTATTTAAAAACATAAAATATCTATTTAAAAATATTAAATAATTAATTTGATAAAGCAGGTGATATAAATTCATCCTCATCACTAATTTCAAGACTTTTTTCATTATCCGAGTTATGTCTTTTATGTATAAAATCTTCACAGTGTCTTCGTTGATATGATGATGCCGCAATTGCAATATTGAAAAATCTATGTCTTGAATCTTTATTCTTTAATGTTGTATTGTTCTCTATAATAGTTTCTTCATCTTTTTTTTCCAAAGTAAAATGTTTATAAGGTAATGGTATATCACGATTAACTTTTAAACGTAAAACATTAATTGAATGTTCATTTTCAACCTTTATAAAGTAAATTAAATATTATGAAATAATTTCTTACTCTAAATATGTTCCATAGAAATCTTCGAAAAACTTCGATTACACTAATAATAAATGTAACAAGTGATAAATATTTAGTATTTTTAATATAAATGAAATATAATATCCATGAAAATCTTAATATCGGATCAAATATTATTATTAAGTAATAAACCTCAAGAATAAGCTAATATGCTAACAATTAGAAACATTTACCCAATAATTTTTAAATATTAAATTGTTTTTTAAAAAAGGATGCTCTGCGTATGGCTGTATTAATGAAAAGTCCATAAATAGATCCCAGAAACCTAGTATATTATAAATTTGACATTATACATATAGAAAGTTTACTATTATAGAGAGAATTTATTAAAGCAAAAGTAATATATAAGGCTTTATGTTTTGAATCATTACTTATTTTCCAAATAGAAAAAAAAATATATGTTAAAATCGTGCAGGTATATTTTCCTGAATTGATAAGATGTGGAAATATATTTCTGGAATCATAATATCTTCTTAAACATTGTAAAAAACGAAAGATTCCTGGAATTGTTTGAAAAAATCCAGCTAGTCTAGAATATGATGTATCGCATTCAATTAAATTTTTAAAATGGTGATTGTAAAAACAGAAAAATAGCTATTTTTTAATTAATGTTATTTATAAAAAAATAAGAATTACTTTCTTTTATGTTACCAAAACAATATACTAAACTATTATATTGATCTCCTAAAAAAAAATCTCGAAATTGAACAGAACATAATCCTGAAAAAAGTAAACGAAGCTAAAAAAATTAATATTCAATAACAAGTATATTTGTTTTACGTTTGAAATAATAAACCATTTGCGCGATTTCTTATGAAAATATGGTAATGGATTTAATAATATTATAGCAATTATTGAAGTAAAAAACAATGGATAATAGTTAGTCAATGATGTTGAAAAGTTTCTAAAACTAAGCCAAAAGAATAGTGAAAATAATAAAAAAATAAAAGATGGTATCTAAATTTATAAGATTTAAAATAAAAATTATAGTATAAAAATACTTCTAAATATTGTTTCCAATCTAAATTGTGCCTTGTATCAAACTCAAAAATAAATATGTAGTTTATTCTTGATTTTGTCCAAATATAACAATTAAAACCAAAAAGAAGTAAAAATAACAATATAATAAAAAATCCCCCCCATATTTGAAGAAGATATTTTTTTACTAAGTCTAATTCACCGACTAATATTTTATTTGCTAAAATTCGTTATCAATGGTCATTTTTATAACCTTCTAAAATACCATAAATTAATCCTTCTATAAGAAGTGGTAGTGAAATTCCAAGATATAGACCAACTCTAAATAAAGCATTAGCATAATCCTTTTTATTAACATTAGTAATATTCGTAATAAGAAATAATATACTGTAGTTTTTTGTTTAGTTCGAAGTTTTTCTATAGCTCTTTTTCTATTATTCTTTTCGAAATAATATGCAAAAATATTCTTAATAGTATAAGTTTACAACAATATATATATTGTATTTATACTTCTGTTTCTGTCATTAGATCATTACTGATTTCACTAGATCCAAAATGACTTTCAGTAATTTTAGGCATGTAAAATTTTAAATAATTGATGCCTGTAACTTTAGTTATTTTTTTCAAAGCCTTTCTAAATGCTTCCATGTTCATTGTACGGTAATTTTTTAAAAGCTCTGTTTCATGATAAAAATCAATAATAGCCTAGAAATTTAAAACTAAAAAAATAAGAGTTAAATGCTTACTATCTTTAACTGTTTTTTAGCAATTTTGCAAGCAATGTTTTCAGAAATATGATTTTTTTTTTCATGCTTAATATTTTTCTTTTTCGCAAATCTAAAAAGTGTGTAGATTTGATGTAATAGTGTTATAGAATTATCTATCCAATTTAAAGGTCTTTTGTTTTTTTTTAGTTTTATCTAAAATTAATATAAATTTAAGAATAAAAATAGCTAAATAGTTACATCTTTACTTTTTTGCCTATTATTCATTTCGTGTAATTGTTTTTTTATTTGTTGAGAACGCAATATTGTTTCTTTTTCTTTTTCTTTATAAAAATTATCAACTTTTTGAAGTTCTTTATTTAAAAAAATAAAAAATTGAAATATTTCGTCGTTATTATCAAGTGACTTGAAATACAGATCTGAATTTGTATTATTGATATTGTATTTTCTGTGACCTGCTATGTATTGAGAATATGAATCTAGAATATATGAATTATTTTCTAAACAAAATGTATCATTAGTTAATTTCGTTGGGAAAAATAAATCTATATTATAATTCTTGTCATTTTCGTACGATTTTTTATGTTTTGTAATATTAGATTGAAATTCTGTATTTAAAGTGAGTTCTGTTGGCTCTGTTATTTTCTTAAAGAAATGAGTATCTAAAGTGTTGTTATAATTTAAATTATCTTTTGAAAAATCATTTAAATTTTGATTTTTTAGTAAATTATCTATAAATGGTTTTTCATATAAGATTTCATAATCTGATAATTTTAGATTTTTCTTTTGGGAAACTTTTGTTATGAGCTTTTTTGCTATAGATATTATAAGTTATAAAAAGTATATTATTAAATAAGGTACCTTTTTTATAGTTGAGATATTTTTCGCTCCATTCTGAAATATTAATAAAGCAATAAAAGTAATATCAAATACCTGATACTAGATTATTTTCAAGTTTTCTAAAAAAAATTAGATATTTTAATTTTTTTCTGAAAATTACTTAGCATATTTCATTGAATTATAATTTGATTTCTGATAAATTTGGTATTATTTTATTTAAGCTTTTTATATATAATCCAAAATAAAAATACTATTATTTATTTATCTTTAGATGTTTATTATTTTATATATTAAGATTATATTGATTTTGTTTTTATTTTAAATTATTTTTAATAAATTTATTGTAATTAAACTTTTAAATTTAAAAATTTCAGGAAAATTATATTTTTTAATAAAAAAATATGTTAATTGTATAATAAATTATAGAATTTTATTTTATAATAATGAAAATTATTTTAAATTTATTTAAAGGTTAGTATATATGTAATATTTGAATAGATATTATTATTAAATATTTTAGGATTTATGAAAATTTTTTAATATTTATTATAGTAATGTGATAATTTTTAGTATTATAATATTTATAAAATGGTTATAAATGATATTTTATTACTGAGATTAACGAGTTTTATTTGAAATTTTGTTTTTTTTTAAAAAAAAATTAAAGGTTTTGATGATTTTTTTTAATTATTATTTTTAAAATATTTGTAATTGTAATTTACTTGAGTAATTTTGTGTATTTCTGTCTCTAGCATTTTGAATTATTTTCAAACAAAATAACTTTAAGAGATATATAGTTTTTAAGTTTTTGATTTTTTTATTTATTTTTATGTTATTTTATAATTTAGTATTTTCAAAATAAAAATTATATTTGTTTTATTTTTTGTGATAAAAAAATAGTAATTAAAATTATGAATAGAGTTTTTGAATCTAAATTATTATATTATATTTAAAAATATAAATATTTTAATTTTTTCAAAATTTATGCATATTAATTTAATGTCACGTGATGATAACGTTTTTCAAAATATTTTGAAAGTTCGACGAGTTAAAAGTTGAAGGTGTAAAATTATTTTTATTGTAGATTTTGTTTTTGTAATTTTTTTTTTGTTTTTTTATATTCTAGATATTAATACTTTAGTGCTTAACAATATGGTTTCTTCAAATTATAACAAAAGTCATAGGACTGACGAGTTTATGATTGCATCTGAAATTAGAGCTGCGGTATGTTTATTATAATTTTGTTATTTTCTTACATTTTATTGGAAGTCTTCGAAGTACAGCATGAGTCCATGTCGTTCTGGTTCCAAGTTTCATAAAAAAGATCCCTTTTATACTCAAGTTTATCAGGATTCTTATTCGAATGATGATGTTTTGTCGTGTAATGAACATGATGATTTTAAAAGATATTCTCAGTCATCTAATGAGCATGTTTTTGAATTGAATAATCGTCGAGCTTTGCGTTCTATTGACAATCATTTTGTAGATAATATAAATAGCACTAAATTGCAAAATGGTTGTACTTCTCATGAACATAACAAGCAAGTTCAGTCATATTTAAATGGTCATGATATATCTAGGTATATTCAAGATGATAACTTTGATTTATTATATCCTATTGTTAACAATGGGACGTTCGTGCGAGAACATCCTCCTTTAGACTTGTTATCTAATTCTCGAATTAAAGGACCAAAAGTTGGAATAGATATGTCTCTTAATGCTGCTCTCCATGTTGGAGGTGGATTTATTCGAGGACATTTGCAGATTACAATTGAATCTTCCAAGGTATTATTAGGTAGTATTGCTCTTGATTGTTTGGGTGTTGAAAGTATTTTTATAGTATTTAATTTTGGACTAAATTAATATTTTTAAGGTGTAAAAAGTAATAAGTCACATATATTATTTAGTATTGCTAAGGAAATGATGGAATTTGAGGATTCTCCATTAAATCAGCTTGTATATACAGATATTGGGCAATGTCCAGAAGATGGGTTTTGGCCTTCGCAAAAATGTAAAGTATCTGTTCCATTTGATTTACATCTTCCTTTGAATGTAGGTCCTGGAACATTTGAATGTAAAGATGGACAAATAAAATACTATATTTTTGCGTATTAAAACGATTATATTTGGTTTCTGTACTAATTATTAAAGAACGCTTCGTTATAAATTAAAAGACAAGATTTTTTTGTCACGAGTATGCAAAAACTTATTATTATTTACAGCTCTACACCCTGATCGAGCTCTTGTACCAACTGAACATCCTATAACATGTATTGAAGAAGGACCTTTGTTTTGTGGAGGAAAAGGTTCTTTAAAGGTTGAAGCAAAACTACATAGACCAGTATGGATTTCTGGTCAATTAGTATTTGTAGAAGTTTGTACAACTAATCATTCAACACGTACTGTAAGTATTGTTATGCTAAGTAAAATATTTTTACATTATTAGGTTAGGAAAATAAAACTTGAATTGGTGAATATATGGTGCTTTGATTTTTGCAAATAATAATGTGTGAAGATTCGTCAAGTTATTATATATAATAGTCCTCCTGCTAATACTAAAGAACAAACACTTATTCATGAAAGAGTACCAGATTTCATTAAAACAAAAATTTTATCATCATCAATATTATATGCAAATGATCCTGAAGATACAAGAGCTTGGAAGGGCGTTGAACCAGATACTAGTGATTCAGTTATTTGTCAATTATCAATTCCTTCTGCGCAACTTACTGTAAATGCTGGAAGACATTTAGCAGTTAAATATTTTATTAATATTTCAGTGGGAACAGCTTTTACGTAATTATATAATGGCAATAATAGTGTATTAATGTATTGTTAGATCAAAAGTTGTAGTTCAAGTTCCTATTCTGGTTGCAAATTTATTATCACTTGATATTGCATCACACAATGTTACTGATGTAGCACTTACCATGGCAAAATATCATGATTCGAAACCACCTGTTGATAATATTTCTTCTCGTGCATTTAAAAGTTCTTGTAGAGATGTAAGTTCACCACAACATGCTATTGGATGTTGTAGCAGTGAAGAAAGCGAGGATGTTTTATCTACTGTACTTCGAGAAAAGCTTAAACCTCTTGATATAGAAAAAGTTAATGATGAAGGTTCTTTACATTTTGTAATTAGAGAAACAGGCAATATCAATAATTATTGTCCTCGACGATCCAAATCAGTGTTTCATCCACGAAAAAGATATTCGAGTTGTAGTGGGCATTATGAACACTTAAAAGCTGTTCCTAGAGATAGTGATGATGTAAGACAGGCATTATCTCATGAATATCGTGCTCCTAACATGGATATCTCCACTACTGCATTTGGATTTAGTAATGAATTATCTCCTATTTCTTTAGCAAAATTAAATCAAAAGCAATTGCGTCCTAGAAATAGTCGAGGGAGAAGTAATAGTGATCCAAATAGTGATCGTACTAATCGACGTACTGATCTTCCTGAGACTGTCCAAGAAGAATAATAATTATTTTGCAATCAAATGTGGAATTTAGTTTATTACTGTGTAATGTTATTTTATTATTTCAGGGTAAATTGTTAGATAACTTGCTTTGAATTAAGAGAAAGATTATGTTTTTTTTGGAATTATAGAATGTTTAGGGTTTTTAGATAAGTTTAAAATGAAAACTTAATTTTTATTGGTATTTTTTAGTATTTTTTCAACTTCATTTATCATGTTTGGAAAATTGTTTTTGATATCTTGAGCTAGAATATTGCGGAAATTCTGTATGGTTAATAATGATTTTGATTTATAATAGATAACATACTGTTACTGCAATAGATTTTCCATTAACATATTGATTGTCTTTCTGAACTAATTCACTGAATTGTCTAGTGTAAACGTCTGGATTCCGACCATCTTCTATATAACTAATAGAAAGTTAAGAATACGTAAAAATTTTAGAAAATATAATTAACTCGATGATATCTTGAGGTATTGTTTCTGACGTAAAAACTTTATTTGTATATAGAAATTTATAATTGTTTATTATATCTTTTCTATAATTGATTTAGAAATATTTAATGTGATAAAAATAAATAACATTTTGTTGAAAACTGTTTGATTTGTTTTTGGATCTTCGAAGTTATTAATAATTATGCTGAGATCATGAAGATTATGAATAAGGGATTCTAAATGTTTCTCTAAATTCACAAGGTTATTAAAAGTAAAATTATTGTTAAGCGAAGATTTATCCATGTGATAAAATGATAGATAAAAAGTTTTTATAGTACTTTGAAAATTATAGGTACTTTTTAATTAGGTTTTGTGTTTCAGATAAATTTGTTTACGAAATTATGTATAAGAATTATAAAATTTAAAGTTTTTATTATATTTATATAATTAACAAAATATTTTGATGATTATTTAAATAAAATGTTTTTATTGACTATTTTTAATGTTATAAATAATTAGTCTTTTTGAGTAATTGTTTAAGAGTTATTGTATTTTATATAATTTGTATTCTTATTTTGTATAGTATATAAATAATGTTATTAAAGTTTTGTAAACTTTATATATTTATAATGAAGAATATTAAATATGTTATTTCTAAAATTTGTGTTATAATGATAAATATGATATTATATGTTCAAAATACAAATATTTGTATATTAAAAACAGATAAATCACTTATGTTAGGAATTAATTATTGTAGATTAATATGATATAGTTGATAAAAATGTAAGATTAATAAATAATAAATATTTAGATGCTTAATTTACATATACATGTATATTTTATTTTTTAAGATATATAAGTAATTATTGAGTTAAAGCTGACATTTAGAAAAGCATATATGTTTTTAATTGCGTATATTTTTTATAAAAATAATTTATTTTGAAATAATTTAAAAATAATGATTTTGTATTTATAGAAATAAAAATATATTTAACTATAAAAGAAATAAAAAATGATTTTTGAATTATGTTTTTTTATTTTTAATTTCAATTTATATATATAATTCAGTTAAAAAAATTTTATAATTTCTTTATAATTTTTTGTTAAAAATTTCAATTTAGTGTTATCGTTAATTCTAAAGATTGTTTTTATTTTAAACAATATTAATATGAAGTTTATGTATTTTGATAAGAAATAGTTTCATTTTTATGGGAAATTATAAAAGTTATTCTTTAATAGGGCGATATTTACCTTTTTTAAGAAATTATAATTTTTCCGATAAACTTCCTTCTTTAACTAGTTCACCATTGGTAGATGTTGAACTATATTCTATTATTGCTATTATTTGTAGGGATCATGTTAATATATGGTATGAGCAGATGACTCATGATAAGAATTTTGTTGAGGAATTGTTATTTTTAATTTCTCATATTGTTAAAGAATTAGAAAAAAGATTTTTTATGGTATAGTTTTATATGAAATTAATTTGCTTATCATGATTAAAAAATAATATAGATAAAACATGACATATTGCTTTTAGATAGCATACCCATGATTGCTATTAAACATATTAGTGGGAAGTAGTTTTTTGTATTGTGTAGATTAAATTAATTTATATAGATATTCGTAGAGCAGAAAAAATAATATTAACAAATATTAATTCTCGTAAGACTTTTGATGATATATTTCGCGGATTCCAATTACATACTGCTTTAGATTCTCATGAAAGTGAACATTTATATTTGCGTTTAGTAGCTGATAGTTTGATTACATCTCTTTTACCATCTAATGATCTTAAATCTGAATGCGAAAGAGTTATAATAAGAGAAATTCTTTCTGATTTTGTTCTTAAAAAAATTATAGATAAACTTAGTGAACCTTCTATTTTATTTGAGATTATTACAAAGGTATGTTTATATATTTATTTTTTAGTTTTTGATTTTTAGTTAATTATTAATTTAAAAAAAAAATCCATTAAAACTAAAAAAAGTAGATTTTTTAATATGTTTATTCTTATAAAACTGCATAATTTTATGTTATTTTTATGGAAAAATTTATTTATGTCTATTATAAATCCTCCACAGTTTGAGGTATTAAATATTTTTGATTTAGCTGGTTTCAATTTTATCTTCGAAATTTTAGAACTTAAGACAGAAAGTCCTTACATATATGTATTTATTCGTTTTTTTTTAATTCCATGTTTTTTTGTATTTATTGGTGATATGATTTCAATGTAAGTAAATAATTAAATATTAATATATTAATGACTTTTTAGCAAGTTTTCTGAATTTTGGAATCAACATATATTTACAGAAGACCTTGCAATTAGATGTTTTCGATCATTGAGAATTTTGATTGGGTCTAATAATTCTTCGGATGCTTCTAAAATTCAATATTGTAAATACGATAATTATGAAATTAAAGAAAAATTAGTGCTAGAAATATATACAAGTATACCAGGTTTTCTATTTTATTGTTTAAATGTATTATTTAATTTAAAGTTAGTGTCTTTTAGAAAACTTTTTTTTGGCTCTAATGAAGCTTTTAAAAATAAGATTAAACGAATTTTTAGTTTATTTGACTCAAAGTTGGCTAATAAGCATTTTATAATTTATATTCTTGATCTTATAGTGAGAAATATAGTATATGAGCTATCAGATACTACTCCTGAGCGTATTTATATACAAAGAATTATCTAGTTAATATATGCATTTAGTATTAATTTGAATTGATTTTTAAATTTTGTTTTGATTAGATATTTGTTTTATTTGATTTTTTTGTTTTAATTATTTTTACCAAAATATATTAAGAAAACTTAGGTTAATGATGTTAAATTTAACAAATGAAAATATTATCTTGATTATATAAATGATTATTTTTAAAAAAGAAATATCCTTTTTATTCTATTTAACGTGTTTTATTTATATTTTTTTATGAATTTTGATATCTAAATGTTTTAAACTTTTAATAGCTATATTTAATAATAAATATTTAGTATTATATATTTTTGTTAGATTTTTATTGTTTAATTTATATAATTGGATTTAAAAGAAATAATGATTTTTTTATTGTATTTATTTCTTGATAATAGTACATACATCTTCGTCCATTAATATATGATTAGCACCAACCCTCTGATGATTATGTTTTACAGAGTTACCCCATACATATGCACTGAAAAGTATTAAATATATTTTTATAAAGATTGTCATAACTACTGTTTAAATTGCTTAAATATGGATTTATGGATAGCATTACACTTAATATTAGTACTTATTTATGTATTTTAGGGCACATACAAAATCTTCTATAGAGCATGAATTTTTTTTTAAAACTATTGGATCAGAATAGTCAGGCGGTAATCCTTTAGGTTTTGTATAAACTCTTATTAATTCGAGATGTTCCCACCTGAATTAATGTTAATTAGTGTTAAATATATTTAGACGAAAAAAAAAAAACTATTTTAATACATTTTTTCCTATTATTATGTTAATAACGATATTTTTACAACATTAATTATTACAAGTAATTCGTCAAAGTTCCATCCCTATTATAATCTATAAATATATAATTAGGATAGTAATAAAACTTACATGTTGTGCTGAAATAGGTACTGCATATGGTATTTTATAAACTAAGTTGAGTTCTTCTATGGAAATTTGATCGATTTTATTAAGAGCATATATAGCAGGAATATAAACTCTGTTTCCTTCAAGTACATCGATAAGTTCGTCTACCTGGTAAAATAATTGTATATATTTATATTTATAAAATTATATACATACAGTTGCATCACATCTGAATGTTATATCCGCATTATTGATACGATATTCGCTTAATACTGTTTTAATTTCATCATAGTCCATGTTTGTTAGTGGAACTGTATTAGATATTGTAATTCCTCCTTTTTCTTTTTTTTTGAATGTAATCAATGGGGGTTTTTTATTTAATCTAATTCCAAACCCTTCAAGTTCATCTTCTATGATCTTTTTATCTGTAAGAGGTTTAAGAATGTCAAGAATTATATAAATAAGACTGCAAGTTCTAGCAACTGCAATAACTTGTCGACCTCTACCTTTTCCATCTTTTGCCTTATTAAGTTTAGAATATATAATTTAAAAATATATAATTTACACCCTGAATAATACCAGGTAAATCTAAAATCTTAAACATATATATATATGTATATATACAAACATATAATATAATTTACCTGAATTTTAGCACCTTTATATTTAAGTATACCGGGTACTGTGGTTAATGTTGTAACTAGTTATACTTTTAATTTTATATTAATTAAATGAAAAAATTGTACATTCATATGCAGCTGCTTCACTATATGTTCCTGTAAGTTTAGACATTAATGTACTTTTTCCAGCTGATGGAAATCCTTTATATATTAACAATATATTTAACTATATATTGAAATTACCAATAAACCCGATTGATGCTGCACCGGTTCTTGAAACATCAAAGCCAACTGTTCTATAAGAAAATGTAATAATAAATAATAGATATTACTTCCTGATCCTCCACTTGTACTATTAGGTGATATGAGTTCACGTTTTAACTTTGCTAACTTGGCCTTTTTGTTTTATTAAAGCAACAATAAAAAATATTTAAAATACTTTTAAAAGACCAAGATGTTTAGCAGTGCTAACATAATTAATAATATTTTGTAATTAAATGTACAATCGTTACGCTTTGTTTTTTCTGGTATATTTAGAAATTTCTTATTAATAATAAATAACTTACTGTGTACGTGCCATTTCATCTTCTATTTCTTTAATCTGTAATACAAATAAGAGTTTATATGGTTATATAATGTTAGATAAACCTTCTCAATAGTCGTCATGTTGAATTTGCACTTAAATTTCTATATTAAAAGAATTATTCAAAAAAAAAAAAAAAAACAAATCTGAAATAATAATAAAATGTATGAAAGAATTTATAAAATAAAAAATATGTAATATCGATACTTAAATTCTGATATATTAATATATAAAATAGTATTTTTTATATAGATCATAAATCAAAACATATATTATAAAATGTAGATTAATATTTAAGTTAAATATAAGTGTTTTGTTATAATTTATTTTTAATTGATGTTAATAATAAAATTCAAAAATAATTTAATAATTTTATTAATGAATAAATTTAGTAATTGTATCGTTCAATATTAATAACAAATATAATAAATGATTGATTTTTTAACGTTTTGTCAATAATATTGTAAGCATTTTTTTTTTTAAAATATTTAACATATATTTTGTTTTATCTGTATTTTAATATTAATAAAAACATGTAAAAAATTTATTGAATTTGATTATATCATTTTAAAACATTGTAAAGTACTAAAAAGCATATTATTTAAAATATAGAAAATATAAATTTTATAATCTAATTTATATGATAATATTTTATGATATTAAAATTAAATTATAATACGTTATAATATGACATAGTCAATGATAATTAATTTAATAAATTAATAATAAAATAAAAATATAAAATTTATAAATTTATATATATATGATTATTATCATGAAATATAATTTTTATAATTCTAACTAAAATTTAATATTTAAAAAATGTATGATCTATGTAAATTATTTGGAATAATATACAGAATATATTAGTAATATTAATATTAATACTAATGTACATAATTATATTAAACATTAATAAATACATAATAAATACAAATTCATTTTATAAAATATTATATATCTTTATCACATTTTATAAAATTTCTTACATTTTTTTATATTATAAATTTATCTTTATATTTTTTTAAAAATAAAATTGCAGAAATCTAAAAGAAATCCAAAATTTAAAATATATTATATATTTAAAATATATTATATATACATTAAAAAATCTATAATTTGCAATATTGTAGTGTTATTTTCCAATATAACATTAAAAACACTCTAATTCACTAATTAATGAAAAAAATATTAATATTATTTAGCATTTTTATAAATAATATCCATTTTACTGAAATAACAATATATTAAAATACAATATATAATTTTATTCATAAATACATTCATAATTATACATTTAGTGTTTTAAATTCATCTATAAAACTATAACAGCTAAATTTTGTTCATTATCATCTAATCTAATAAAAATCAATATGATATCAAAATATTTTTAAAAATATAACATACTCAAGCAATTTAAATAATTCAGTAGATACAAATTCATTACCAGAGTCATGCTTATTATCATTACATACAAAATAAGGCTTTTTTATCTCAAGAGTAGGTATAATCTAACAAAAATTAACAAAAATTAATATTTTCTATATTTTATATTTTTTACCTTTATTAGAACTTCATATAAAATTTCATACCCTTTAATTTTCGATTCAAAAACAATATCATAAATTTTTTCAAGATAACTAATTACTAAATGTGTCTTTAATTCAACTATCCAGGGGGCATTCTTAGATATACACTAAATTACATTAATTTTTTTTTAAAAAAATATTATTACCAATTTAGCTAAATGCAAAAACCCAAGCTGTAAATCATTAGGAACTAAAGTACACTTTTCACATAATTTCTTTTTATCATTCATATTATTTAATGAAATATTATTATAACATTCGATACAAAGATAACCATATAAAATCTCCTTTAAAACATAAAGTAAAAATTCCATATTTTGTATATCATTAGAAACCAATTCCCCTAAAACTTGTAAATTATACATGTAAAAGATAATTTCGAATACAAAATATAGAACCGTTAGTTTCTCTAAAAAGGTGTATTATATCATTAATTTTATTAATTAAAAAAGAATCGCATTTATCCTATTATTTATTAACCATAACATATAAACAGTCAAATTACAAAGAATCTGATAGATCTAATAATTGACATAGCCAAACATATAACATCAATACTATCTGTTTTCCAATCATCTTTATATATTTTTATCAAGTCCAAAGTAACACCTAAGAAATTTTAAACAATTCTTTTTTTTTTTTTTTTAAACATACCAATTATTATATCCATTCTAGAAAAACCATAAACAATAATTTCAATAAAACGAGAAAATTTTAAATTATTTGGCATATTAATATTACCAATCTCTTGTCTCGACAAAATAGCAAAAAGCTGAAGATTTGTCAAAATAAAATTAATCAACAAATGATCTAAAAATGTTTTAATAGCCCGAAACCATAAAATATATTTAACATCTATAACACTGGAACTAAGTAAAGAAATAAGTTCATATTGTGAACAAGCATATTGACTAATTAAATGTCCTGGAGGCAAATAAAGAAGAATAATAATTAAAAATTGATTTATTCCTATAATTTTACGAAAAAGATTTAAAATATGAGATTCACATTCACCTGAATTTACCAAAGCATCCAGAACTTTAAATTCTCTAGAATAAATTAATTTATAAAATCAAATTATATTATCTACCGTATTAAAGTACATATTACTAAAATTTTTCAAAAAAAAAAAAAAATATTTTTAAACTTACAATACATTATCTTAGAGAATAACTTTAAAGTCTTAATATCAGAATTACTCAAAAGAGTATCACCAGATTTATTATTTCTATAATATTTTTTAGAAATAGATGCATCACTAAAATTAACAGTTAATGTTTCTTTAATAAGAACATCAATAAGAATGTTCTTTGAGACAGAATGTAGAAAATATATAAGATTATTCCAACCTAGCAATCAACTCTTAACCAAAAATGAAAACATTACTTACATTGAAACTCAATCCAATATCTATCATAATCTAAAAAAATAAACAATATAAACTCAATAACACTCTTTTCTTGAACCGGTTCAAGTATAGAGAGAGAACATAATTTTTTAAACCATCGAAGCAATTCAGTCAACACTGTAATAAACATAGTTTTAACATCATGGACATCTAAGTATAGCGACCAGATTTCAGAATTCAACAACCTCTAAAAAATAAATATTTTTTAAAAAAAATCTAATAATATTACCTTTAGTATCATAAGAGACCTATCTAACTCATTTTTACAAAAACCCCTTTCATAAGCTTGAATTTCTTTATCATTATCAATTTTGCCAGCAGTTAAAACAAAAATTACTAAATGCTCAAATTCAGAAGCAATAAAATTATCAGTTTTAATTAAAATATCACGTTGCAAAAGCCAAAATAAAGTCTAAAAATCATTCAATACTATTAAAAAGTTAGACATTTAAACTCAACAAATTCATTAGAAAATTTCAATATATATCTATTAGAACATTTTAAAGAGCTTTCCCATAACCAACTAAAAAAATGCAAACATTGATATTTTGATACAATCAACAAATTCATCTGCTCTGCAAACTCAGTCCGTCTTACATTATCTAAAAGCATTATAATGCGTTTTATTATAAAACTCTGATCCGCTAAACCAATTAATAGATGAAATTTGATATTTAATAGGATTTTACATGTAATTTCATCCAATTGCAAACAAAATATAAATGACATAGATACTTGAAAAGAAAGTTCAGGACTAGAACTTATAATTTTAAACCGTATATTATCAATTATCGCCCTTGATATCTGAGTATTGAGCTTACAACAATAGTTTGTAAATTCACTAATTAGCTATCAGATATTATCGAATATAAACATAATATTAACCAATCATTATAGCCATTGGGCATAAGCCAAGAAGAAATAAAAAGAGGAGGAAGCCATAATTTATATTGAAATTGAACCCAATTCAATTTTTCAAGCTCAATATATTCTAAAAGCCCAGAAACCACAACTATTATCATATTAGAATACAACTATTATAAATACAAGTCTAAACATTTTTGCTCCATAAGGACGGAAATCGACCGTCCAAACACTATTTTAGAAATATTACCATAAACGTGTCTAATAACTTTAATAATATCATCATATTCAGGAGCATCTTTTGCTTTAAATGCAATCTGAAGAAAAATATCAAAACCTTTAAAATTAACTACAAAGTTAGAAAAACAAAAAATTTAAACAATTTTCATCTTACAACATCGCAAAATATTTTTTTTAATACTATTTTTAATGTCATTTTTCAAATAATTATTATTGTAAAAAGAAATCACTAATTCAATGCACTGAACATATCTCAAAGAATCACTTTTAATATCATCAAAAAATATATTTGTAATATCATTATTTTCACGAGCAAAATATGTCTATAATGAATTTAAATCATCATGCTAACTAATAAATTCAAACTAACCTGATACAATGTCAAAATAATTTTTGATATTAAAGTACTAATATTTAACATGCAATTATTCAAATTATCAACATTATTCAAATAAACCCCACTGATTCCCTTATCCAATTCAGAAATAATTCTCAGTATCCCATTCAATATTTCATATACGAAAAGTAACACTAAATTCATTAATAAAACACAGATATAAAATCAGCACTACAATTATGAATATGATTAGATAGATGCCTTTTCTGAAATTCGGTACCAGAAAATAAAGAAACTTTTGATATCACGTTAAGAGAATAATAACGAATAATAGAACAAACAACAAAATCATAAAAAATAATAGCAGAGTCAAAAGAATAGTTTTCTATTTTCTTGAAATATTTTAATAAGTCATGAAAAACATCAGTGAAAGTTGCCAAATCAGTTATACTCATAGAAGATAAAGCTAGAGCGTTAAGTTAAATATAACTAAAATTTAATATAAAACCAAGAATTTTTGTAACAGATTTTTCCAGAATTTCTATACAAGTCTCATCCATTACATTATACTATAAAAAAAAAAACAATAGTCACTAATTTAAAACAAAAATTCAAACAAAAACATACATATAAGGTATTATATCCACAAATATTATGTTGCATATTATTCATCTCATTTTTTTCATAAAAACATTTCATTCATGAAAACCAAATTAAGCACTAAAGATGTATGAAAGGTATCTAAAAATCATTATTATTGCACTTAAATTTAAAATATAATCAAATATATAATTTACCGTTTTAAACTATAAAACCATCGTAATATTCATTTTTACAAATTACATTAATCCCTACTAACTAAACAATATTAAAAATTCGACAAAAATAAAGAGCATTATACATTAGTTCTATCAAGAATACATGGCTTTTATAATTTTCAAGTTTTATAAGATTTAAATTTGTACAAATTATCAACATTCAAAAATTATAAAATTATAGAAAAACAAATATTTTACTATAAAATATCGTTAAAACAAATCATATGGAAACATCCTCAAAGCACTTAGGTTTTCAAAAAAAGGAACATAATTCTATAAATGATAATCCATTTTTAAATCTTACAAATTCAGGAAGCTCAACACAATTTAAAAAACAAAATGTACAGCTAATTCATTATTTCTTCAGCTAATATATAGAATTTTAGTTATCCAATTTTCCATTATCTCATTTAAGACTAAATAAAAATATAAACTATGAATCATGGCAATCTTTTGTCGAAAAAGAAAACACTAATTTTATAAAAAAAGACCAACAACCTGCATTATCTTCATTCAATATAGATGAATTATGGGAATCAACAAATAAATTACTAGCAAATAAATCGCCCGATTCTCTCAAAAAAGAAAATCATCAAATAAATAAATTATCAACTAAAAGCAATTCAATTGACAAACATAATCTTTCCCCAAATAAACACATTGGTACATCTAAAGATATGTTTTCTAAAACAACGAATTTGTATAACTTACAAGCAGTATATCAAAATTCAAAAAATAATTATATTAACATTCTAATAAATTGTAGTCATCGCCATTATATTCAGAAACAAGTCCTATCTATTCACATTTATCCAAAAATGCAACTTTAACAGATACACAAATGTCTACAATATGGAATGAACTATCCGAATTAAAAGTTCGCATTAAAAAACTTGAAATCGCTGATAAATGGAGAAAGTTATATAAATTTGACAATTTAGTAACACCAGCAACATCTCCAGAAAATACATTATCAGACAACTTAACTTTGGATGAAGAAAAATGCAAAATATTTCATCTACTTTATGCATCCTTAGAAAAAATGAAATCAAATGGTATATCTAAAGAATTATGGACACCATTGGAACATATTATTAATAAAATACGAACATTTCAGGATAATAATTATGAAAATATGGAAAAAAAAATTAACAATATACTAAGGAATTTAACAGAGCTTTCATTAGCAATTTACGACTATCACCAAAGCATCACAGACTCAAATTATTCAGAAAGAAAAAAACGTTTGGATCATTTATTATTAAGAAGAGCTAACAGTGAACAAAATATTACACCACTTAATCGAAGGTCTAGTTTTTTTATAAAACAATACCAAAGAAATGTGAAACCTTTTCGAAGTTTTAGCAATATGGAAAATATTAGAAATAAAAACTTAAAAGATTTTTATCAATCTAACGATCATCGGTTATATATGAAGTGTAACTGTAATAATAATCAATACAAAAACGACACATATTTTACATACTCTAAACAAAAAATACTTGAAACTTCAACCAATCCTAAAATACCATTTATTAGTGAAAATAAAACCACTAATTCTACAAATACAAACTTTTCAGATACACCTTTACGATCAAACTTTATAAATAATTCTAAATATAACTCTCTAAACGAACATCGAAATAATACATTTACGTATTTTTCATAACGAAATAATAGATAATATTTCAAGATAACGTTCATATATTCATATAATATGTATTTCAAGAACTTTGTCCATAACTAGCAATAATAAACAATCAATAACGTTCTATAAATGACATAATATCTAACTTTTAGATAATTTAAAAAATATCAAATTTTAACATAATAGAAATGAAAAGGCTTATATATGTCATTATTTTTAATAATTAAATATTTTTTAAATAAAAGCAATTTCTTAAAATATGATATATATAAAATATTTTATAAATTTTATAAACAATTTTCCATAAAATAATTCTAATAGCCCCATATTATTATGCATTTTTATTTTATAGAAACATATAAAATATTTATAAATTTATTTTTCTTAAATATCTTCAAATATAAAATAAATTCGTAAATTATTTCAATTTTATCCAAAACATCGGGTTTTAAACAAAAAAAATTTAAAATATTTTTTTTTTACATAATGCTAAATCCCAAAAAAAATAATATTCAAATACAAGTATATCAAGTAATTATAAACATTTTTTATATTTTAATTTCTATAAAACTAATTTTTTAGGTATAATTCAAATTCTAATAAAATATTATTCACTAATTACTAAAAGTAACTGCGGAAATATTTTTTTCAGACATACTGCTCTCTGAATATCAAAAAAAAATAAAATAGCTCTTCTATTTATGATATGCGAAAAATTTTGTCATTTCAGACAAAATTCATAACATTTATAGATTTTAAAAGAATTTAAAAGAAAATAAAATAGTATTATTCATACCAATTAAATCTATAAAAATGCGGGATCAATCATCTCAAAAAGTTCAGGAATCAGCAGATTCTTCGAATTTAAAAAGCAGAAATTATTTTTTGAATCAACCTATATCTTCAAAAAAAGTTCGAAACACTAAAAATCTTTCTTTAAAAAATATTAATAACACAAATCAACATATTAAAGAGATTTCTACTGTTGTATCGCCATTATCAAAACAGTATTTAGTTAAACAAAAGTTATATACAGTACTTTTAATTTTTATTTCTAATATTATTATAGAAATGAAAGCTTTACATCCACTAATAACCATACATTACTAAACATAATTTTCAAAAACAAAATTTATTCTCAGAATACACAAATGTTATTTGAAAACGATTACAACTGTAGAAAAAAATCAAATACTTATGATAATAAACCAGTTTGTATAATTGAACCAAATCTTTGGCTTTTTGCAGAACCAGAAACTCATATTGCTGAAAAATTTAATGTTGTAATTAATGTCGCAAAAGAAGTAAAAAATCCATTTTTATCTCAAATATCTTTAGATGAGAGCTCATCAAAAAAAATAGAAAACATATCTAATGAAAAATTTTTTCAAAAAAATCTTTTACCTATAGAAAGTTCAATTCTTCCACCTATTATAATTAACAAAATAGAATATCTTCATGTATTATGGGATCATAATACTAGTACATTATCTATTGATTTACCCCCTCTTATAGACTACATAACTAAAAAATCTATACAAGAAAACAAAAAAGTTTTAATTCATTGTCAGGTAAATTTATACATGTTATCGATATCTTAGTCTCATATTTAAAGTGCGGAATTTCACGATCAGCATCTTTAATAATTGCTTACGTTATGAAATCTCTTGGTTTAAATATCGATTCAGCTTATTCATATGTTAAAAACAAATCTCCTTGGATTGGGCCTAATATGTCTTTAATATATCAACTTTATGATTTCAACAATTTTCTTTACGGAAAAAAATCACCCGATAATAAAAAACAAACTAGTCCTAACATTGAAATCTCAGCACCAAATAACTATCGCAAAGCAATTCTAAATAAACAAAAAAGCATGGATGCTCTAAAAACACTAGGATCTCTGAATAGTGAATTTAAAGAATAATCTGCTATTAAAGATTTGAAACATACGGAAAATATAATTACCAATTAAAATATATAAGCATATAAACTAACTAGTTTCCATTTTTTCAACAAATATTACCAATTATTTATTACTGTTATTATCATTAATCTCATTATTTTTATTATCAACCTTTCATTAAATATTTATTTTATAGTAATAAAATAGTTAAAAAAATATAGAAAAGTCAACTATATAATTATTAAAATTACATTATTATATTTATAATAAATATATGACATAGGGTTATATTAGTCTTGAATAAGGATAAATATAATAGAAAAGATGTTAATTATTTTAATATATTTAAATTTTGATTTTACTAATAAATTTGAAAAACCATGTATAAAAACATTTTTAAAAATAATTAATTTAAAAGATTTAATGACTTAAAACATTAATGAGAAAAAATATACATTTATTATCATAATAAATGTAATTATAAAACTTTTTAAAAATTTTTATTATTTTAAATCAATATTAAATATATTTAATTACAAATAAAAAATTAAACTATTTTTCAATTAGTTTAAATTATATCAACCTTCCACTTAATTTCATAAATTGACATATTTTTAACAGATTATTTTCTACGATTAAAAAATAAAAAATTATATATATTAAATCATTAAACTTAATATTTTTATATGGAAAGATCGTCAATAGAATTTTTCATATGTATTTCAGGGGTTTTTTAATCTTTTGTAGCTAATAAAGCTAATAATATAGATATATATATCATTTCTTTTATGGGGAGTCTTACAAGAACGTATAACAACTACATTTTATAAAAAACAAAAAGGGGTATTTGATTCAATAATAATATTGAATCTTACACAATCACTTATTGCGTCTATAATATCTTTTATTTTTACATTTTTTTCTACAAAACACTCAAAAAAAAAACCTTTATCAAAATCTTTACTTTTAAAAATTATTCTAGTAGCATTAAGTTCATCTTTAGCATCCCTAACTAGTCACATATCTCTTAAACATATTAATTATCCTACTCATATTCTTGGAAAATCCTGCAAACTAATTCCTGTTATGGCTATTCATACCATCTTTTACAAAACACGATTTGCTCGTTATAAATATTTAATAGTAGCTATAGTTACTTCTGGCATTATTATATTCACATTATGTGATTCACAATTATCATCAAAAACAAAAAAAAAACAGCTATCAAATAATATATGGGGACTTTTTCTTCTTAGCATTAACCTTCTTTTAGATGGATATACTAATTCAACGCAAGACCAAATTTTTAAAGTATTCCCATATGTTTCCGGCCCATGGATGATGATGTCTATGAATATTGTATCTACAATAGGCATGATATTATACCTATTTTGTTTTACAAATGAATTAATAACAACATACGAATTTGTTAAAAAATATCCATCAACTACTCGTGATATTATTATTTATGGGTGTTTAGGGGCAATTGGACAGCTATTTATTTTTCATACTTTAGAAAAATTTGGTAGTTTAATACTGATAACAATCACGCTTACTAGAAAAATGTTGACATTATTAATAAGTCTTATTTGGTTTAATCATAAACTAACAATTGGTCAATGGATTGGCATAGGCTTAGTATTTTATGGAGCAACCCTAGAAGCATACATGAAACATACTCAATTAACTAAAAAAAATCATAAGCATACTAAGAGTTAAATATATACTGAATTCTAAAAAATATAAACACGTTTTAGTAAAAATATACATTTTCTAAAAAAACATATAAACTTAAAATAGTATTTAAAAAACAAATTTATAAATTATCAAAAAAAAATAAAAACATACATTTTAATTGTGCTGCATAGTTATACATTAATAATACTAATAACTATTCTTTTGCCTATTTCTTCGATGCCTTTTGAGCAGCTTTGGTAACTTTACCAGCCTTTTCAACCTTACAAACCTCCTTAATAACACCTACAGCAACAGTTTGTCTCATATCACGAACAGCAAATCGGCCCAATGGGGGGTAATCAGTAAAAGACTCAACGCACATAGGCTTACTCGGTACCATACAAGCAATACATGCATCTCCAGACTTAAGATATTTGGGGTTATCTTCAACCTTCTTACCAGAACGACGATCAATTTTCTCAAGAAGCTCAGAAAATTTACAAGCAATATGAGCAGTATGGCAATCTAAAACCGGAGCATAACCAGCACTGATTTGGCCAGGATGATTAAGAATAATAACCTGAGCAGTGAATTTTTCGCATCCCTTAGGTGGATCATTCTTAGAATCACCAGCAACATTCCCACGACGAATTTCCTTAACAGAAACATTCTTAACATTAAAGCCAACATTATCGCCAGGAAAAGCTTCAGTAAGCTGCTCATGATGCATTTCAACAGACTTCACTTCAGTAGTTAAACCGCTAGGTGCAAATGTAACTACCATGCCTGGTTTCATAACACCTGTTTCAACACGACCAACTGGAACTGTTCCTATACCTCCAATTTTATATACATCCTGAAGAGGAAGCCGAAGAGGCTTATCAGAAGGACGGGTAGGAGGCTCTATAGTATCAATTGCTTCTAAAAGAGTTGTTCCCTTAAAAGTTGAATTCTTAGTAGTTTTAGTCCATCCTTTGAACCATGGCATATTACAAGACTCTTCTATCATATTATCACCATGCCAACCGGATATAGGAACAAACGGAACAGTTGCTGGATTATAACCAACTTTTTTAATAAAATTAGAAGTTTCTTTGACAATCTCATCATAGCGAGACTCAGACCAACCAACAGTATCCATTTTATTGACAGCAACAATAAGCTGCTTAACACCCAAAGTATAAGCAAGAAGAGCATGCTCACGCGTTTGACCATCCTTAGAAATACCAGCCTCGAATTCGCCAGTACCAGAAGCAATAATAAGAATAGCACAATCTGCTTGCGAAGTACCAGTAATCATATTTTTAATGAAGTCACGATGACCAGGAGCATCAATAACAGTAACATAATACTTAGAAGTTTCAAACTTCCAAAGAGCAATATCAATAGTAATACCACGCTCTCGCTCTGCTTTAAGTTTGTCAAGGACCCATGCATACTTAAAAGAGCCTTTCCCGAGCTCAGCAGCTTCCTTCTCACTAAAAAAACCTTTAGCATATCTTAAAATGCATTATCAACAATTTTACTTACAATTTTTCAATGGTACGTTTGTCAATACCACCACACTTATAAATTAAATGTCCAGTAGTAGTAGACTTCCCTGAATCAACATGCCCAATAACAACAATATTAACATGGGTTTTATCTTTTGCCATCCTTAATATATTTTTTCTTAAAAATATATAATATTAAGCTAGTATAAAATTTATGCTAAAATAAAAGGGAATTTTTAAACGTCGATATTGGTTCAAAAAATAACTTGAGACTGCTTTTTTATTTTTTGACCTATTTTTTCAAACTAGGGTCAATAAATATTCTAACACAATTAAAATACAAAAAAAAAAAAAAACATTTCTTTAATAACCAATTTAAATAAGTATTTATTTATAAATATTGAAAACATACATTGACAGATTCAAAGTAAATTAAAATGCTATATAACTATTATAATAAATTATTCTGAATTGCAATTTATTTTTAACATTAATCCTTTAAAACTATATATTATTTTAATATATTATTTATATCATCATTATTCATTACGTTTAAAATTGTTTCTCCAGAAAAATAATTATAATAAAAATTGCTACTTGTTTTTTATAAATCTAAGTAAAATCAATAGATTTATCTAAATTTGAAGACACCGTCATCCATCTTGGGATATAAATTAATATGCTGGCAAGATACAGATGGATCAAAATAGTATCCTGTATAACAAATTAAGCGAGTTAAAATTAATCAAATATGAAAACTATACCTTCAATAAAACCATCATTACGTCGAAGACAGCAGAAATATGAACCAGATGTAGCTAACTCGTTTTCAAATATAGAAGATCCAATAAACTCAGATTCTAAAAAAATATAAATATATTACTTAAACTATTTATAAATCAAGAAATTTACCTTTCCAACGCATAAATATATACTTACTACAAATATCAGAAATTTTTTCTTTTGTAAAAAGCAAGTTTAAGAATCTAGAAAAACAATCAATTATAACACTAAAAACCAATAACCCAACATACTCATAATCATCCATTCCTTTAAACGGCTCTAATTTACGCCAGCAAGAGACATCTGTTTTCCATGCAATACCTCTTTTAACAGCCAATAAATTATAATAACCGATAAAATCTACAATTTCACCGTCCCACCAAATCATAATACTGCCATTAGAACCATTATCAGATGGATTAAATACTTCTATTTGTCCCGAAAGAGACATTTCAGAAAAACTAATATCCTGAATTACAACTTTAATCTTCTTTTCATTTTTGGAAGATGATTCTGACAAAAAAACAGAAGCTTGATCAGAAAAAGTTTGAACACCTTGAAAAATAGAACCGGACTTAAGCCAGCTTGTATATTCAATTTTTACATAATTATCAGGAGGAATATCTTGTGAATTTATTTGATCCCATGTCAAAGGATGAATAAAAGTATTTTCAAGAAAATGAAGTACTTCTTCTAAATAATGCGAAGATCCTTCACGATTAAAAGGGATAACGCTCCCTGAAAGATAATTCCTACGACGAACTGGATAACGCTCAAATGTAGAAGTAATATAATCATGATCAAGAGATCGTAACGCATTTCTCATATAGTAATGATCAAAAATATTAATTCCATTATTATTAGACCCATTGCTATCCACAACTATTGCTCTCAACGCAGACAAACGTATAGGAAAATGATCAACATTATTATCAAAACTTATAGAATTTTCATCTGCATCAAGATTTCGTAATTCATCATTTCTGTTTATTTGAAACCATTGACTAGATCTTTCATTACGATTCCGCATACGACGATGACGTTGAAAAATAGAAGCCCTAAGAGGCTCTTGAGTAGTCCTGTTATGTTGCTCAAATGCTAAATCTCATAAATTAAAAACTTTATCATAAGCAACCTACCAGTAGACATATAAAAAGGTGCTCTCATACGCTTTCCTAGAAATTGAATAATCTCAGAAGAAATTCAGAAACAAAATAGTTAATGTAAATTTGACAAAATAACACGTCGTTATACAATAATATTTCTTATTTGCTAGTATTATACTGAAACCAAGATATTAAATAATACTCTCAAAATATAACAGAAAGAAAACAAGAAAAAATAAATATAAAAATAAAACCGATATTCAATACTGATCCTTAAATAACAGACAGCAATAGAATATTAACAATAAATATTAAGATAATTTTTAACCCATTAAATGGTCTAAAGCATCAATAAAAGATAAATATAAATACAAATATAATACAAATATACCTGAAAAACAAATATATATCAAGAAATACTATTAAAATAATACACTTTCCTCAGTACTTTCCTTACGATTATTTTTTAAATTTAAACAATGTTTTCAAATATTGCCGATAAAACTACGTTAAAAATATTTAATCAAGTGTCAATTTAAAACATATATACAGATATAATAAAACAAACCTCAAAAAGAAAAAATAAAAATAAAAAATATATTATTAAAAAAACTTAAGATTTTAAAATAAACATTTTATATTATTTAAAAATAATACATATTTTCAATAAATCTGAAATCTATATTAAAAAAATATTTAATTAAATGTATTCTTTAAATATCAAGTAGACCAATTATTTAAAAAAGAAATATTTCAATATTTTAAATAACTTTAAAAATAATAACATATCCTATATAAAATATTAAAAATATTTTATTTTTATTTTTTTCTTTTTTTAAATCTTGGAATCTTAAATCGTACACATAAAATCCTAATCATTCCTCATTTCTCAATTCTATTATGTAAATTACAATAATATGCAATTTAGAGCAAATTTTCAAAAACTTGCTATTATTATAGAAGTATTTTAATATTAGAAAACACAATACCATAAAACTACTAAATAATATTGATAACTACATCAAAAAACATCTAATAGAAATAATGAAAATTTAAATATACAAAAATAAAAATTAGCTATATAAAATCGCAAAATAATAAACACAAAATTTAACAAAAGAAAACAAAATATAAATATACTATACTATTTTAAACCCACTTTCTAATGATAATATTTATACAAGATTTAAACTACAGATTTAAGACAATATTAATTTATATTTTATATTAACATTTCAATTATTGGCGTGCAAAAATAACTGTAGAAAATTTTGAGCCATAACTTCCACCAAAAGACAATATAGGAGACCCTATATACGAATGATATATAAGGTCTAATTAATTAGCTTTATAAAGTACAGTACATATAAATATACCTTCAGAAGAAAATTTAGATATTAATTCTTCTTTTGTCCAGTTACAACTTGTTATAATAAAAAACCCTTCTTTTTTAATTAACTTCTTAATATTTATGAGATATAAACTCGTTCTAATATCTCCATTAATTTCTGTATTAAAAGATATAGAGTCAAAAGTGCCCTTATCTAAAACAACATCCCATTCTCCATTAAAATAATCTTCAAAATCCAGAATATCTAATGTTTCAAAAATAACACCTTTTATTTTTTGTTCATTAGAAATAGTTTTTGACAATTCAATAGCAATATCTGAATAATCTATCCCGACAAGAGTACATGATTCATAACCTTTACTACTTAAAGAACATAAAAAATGTCCATTCCCACAACCAATATCGAGAATTCTAAGATTTAAATGTGGCGGTATATTCTTTTTTAACCAATCAATTATTTTATTCTCTAAACCCTTACCGAACCTAAACTCGAATAAAACATTATTCCTAGGTAATAATAAACACACAAACCATATTTCACCAACATCTTTAAAACTTTCAAAATTTTCAAGTTCATTTTTAAAAACAGAATTCCAACTTTTAAACGATCAGTTATAGTAAAATATATTACAAAACAAGAAGAAACATACTAATATTTCGTTCCAAAAACAAGAGATTCATCCTCATCAACACACATTATTTTATTAATCAACTTAGTACTTTTAAATAATTTAAAATTACATGTAAACAATCTAAATATAAATTACAATCGAGATAATTCATTTACAATCATATTTGCATCATTTATAAAATCCTTCCAATCCTGACTACTTAATACAGTTTCTAAAGAATCTTTATCAAAATCTAAAGAAAGTAATTTCAATTCAGTTCTTCTACCACTACTGATATTTCCTTCTATATTCATAAGACGAAGTAAAAATTTATTAAACTTAAGATCAGTTTGATTTATATATTCTACTGCTACTAGAACATATTCTTGTGTTTTATAAATATTTTTAAATTCCAAAGGAAGATCAATATATAAAATAGATGGTGTTTGTAACTTATTAATTGACATGGTATCAAAACGAATCTTATTTAAATATGTCATTAATGATTTATTATTCAAATCCAAAAAAGAAAATACTTTCTTAAAAATACGTATATCGTTCCTACTACAAAAATTAATTTTATAAATAAAATAATAAACCAATTAACCATTTTGGAAGAAGAACATCCAAAATATTTTCATCAAATACATATTTTACTTTAATATCCAAAAAACCACCTTTATCATCCAATTCTAAATCAATTTCAATATAAGGAAAACCATTTATACTCAAACAAGTCCAGGATGATGGAATGAATTTTAATCTAAAAAATTTTCTATAAAATTCATTTGAAAACCAATCCTTGTAAGTAGATTTTAATTTATGAATAAACATAGATGCATGAGATATACTAACAAAGATTAAATACATACAAAAGAAAAAATAATTGCTAACTTAGAACAAAATATACTCTGAATCTTATAATTCTTTTGATTTTCTTCAGAACGTTTCCTTAAATTGGAAATAAAAAACTGTTTATATATATCTCTCGACGAAAAATCATGCAAAATGTACCCAAATCTAAAAAATATTAAAAAAAATAACATCTAACAAAAAATATACGTAATATCATAATATATTTTCCTAAAAAGAATATTTGAATACGGTATACAGTTATTAAAAAACTCGGGAACATCATAAAGCATCAAAGTCACGCCAGAACTTGATTTCATAAAACCATTTTCAATCGCTACCTCATATTCATTTTCCAATATTTTTTCTGGAATTTTTTTTTTTAAAAAAAAGAAATTTCTCAATACATTAAAAACAAAAAAATACAAAACAAAAACCTTACTCATTTTTATTAACTATAGTTCTCCATCTAGCCCATTCTTTTCCTTTTAAAAACCATGGCAAACTAAATTTTTCTCCAAAATAATAAAACGAATTATTACTTTGTGAATTATTATAAATAAGAGAATAATTCTTATGATTTTTGACAGTTAAAAACGTATACAGCAATCTCTTTACATCCTCTAATGACTCTTGATCTCTTAATGTCATAACCCTAATCTAATAATTATCAGTAAAAAAGATGATACATCTAATTATCTACTTTATTAACACTAATTTTTTCAATAAATGTTTCAGTCAAGAAAGATATTTCTGAAATATATCCATCATCAAAACAACTAAACTTAGAAAGATATTCAATATCTATATCTTCTATATTGATTTCCTTTTCTTTAAAATTAACTTGAATTTAAAAAACAATAGTAATAGAAATATTACTTCAATCATTTTAGCCATCGCTAGTTCCAATTTCTCAATGTTAGATCTAGTAGCTTCAACTTGAAGTATTAATCTATCAAAATCAATATATATTTTAGCTTGATAATCCAATTCCCATTGTCGCAAAACATGCCCATCTTAAAATATTAGAATTTTTAAAAACTTCAATTTCAATACTTAATCTCGTAATAAAAAATATATCTCGTTTACTACTTTGAATTTCTAATAAAATAAGACTTAAAAACTAACCAATTCTATAAATACCTTTAACCATAAGAATTTCAGAACAAATATCATTTGAAATTTCTAATTTCCATATTTCTTTAAGAATCCTTTCTATTAATTGACCACGATTACAACAGGAAATATTCTTAAGTCCATTAAGTTGAGCATATTTCTGAATTTGTTTTCGGTTAAAAGAAAATTGAATATTTTTTACTATCTGGTTAAAAAAATCATAAGAAACAAGGATATTGTTCGGCTTCATCATATCTATCTCACTTATTGATGTATCAATCATTTCATTGGGAGAATCGTAGATAAGTTTCTGAGAAAGTAACTCTAAAGATTTTTCTTCTAAAGGCTGGACTGAAAATTTCACGTTATACCGAAATTTTGATTTTTGCTTTTGAAGAACAATAATCGACCTTTCCTGAGGAAAAAAATCTAAAAAAATAGCCTTTTTATGAAAATTTCCATAATTTCTCCATAATACTTTATAACCAAGAAAAAAAGACTTCTGTTTAAAATTTAAAAAATACACCATAATATAAAAAAAAATAATAACAGAAAAAGTAATAATAATAAAATAAAAAAGCCACCTAAATTCCCACTTTTATCATAAAATTTTCATAAATATTTTTTTAAAATAACCATCGTAATAAGCATTTTCATTTATAAATGGAAAAAATCTAAAAACATTTGAAACTAACAAAGAATAGTAAAAAATTTTTTCAACAAACTATTTAAAATATTTTCATATTTTTTTATTAACAATGAACATATTTTTTAAAAGTAAACATACGAAATTAATTTTAAGATGTTATCCTAAAAGTCAAACCTCTGAGCATAAACCTAATTCATCAGAACTATCATATTTATGCTATTATGGCTTTACAAAGCCAAGCAAACTCCCAAAAGTAGGCATTTTCTTAGAACGTAAATTGTCTAAAGATGTTTATCGTAGAAAACAAGGGTAAATTAATTGAGTTTTACAAACGTATAATTAACGATTATAGAGATATAATCGTTTCATTGTATATATGTAAAGCATTAATAGAAAGATGCCATAAAGATTTAAATCTTTATGCAGCAAATGTCGTTAATATACTAAATTCAGTTCTTCGATCAGGAGATGTCGAGGCAATTGAACATAGTATTGACTGCGTATATTTATAATAACGTAAACTATAAAATCATCTGATTATTTTAAGTTTACATCTTTCATTTCCCACCACAATGGATTAATATTATCATCTGATGAGAATTATGCAAAACAGTTTAATATTCTTATAACATCTTTTGTGGACTTTGCTATGGCACAAAGTGGTCCAAAAATGACAAGGTTTAATTATTACTCATATATAATTCAAATGTTTATTTATTAAAGATATCGCCTCGTAGGAATGCAAGCAGCTCAAGCCATTACTTCATGCGAAGCTATTCAAAATTCTAATTTACGCTATCTAACAGCGAAAATTATTCCAGGTATTTTGCATAATCTGGAACATAAAAATGAAGAATTTTTATTACATCTCCAATCCAAGTAAATAATAAAAGTATTTATAGATTAAAATTAATTATTTTTAAGAGCAGAAATCTTTCATGGAAAAGAAAATCGACATAATAATCTTATATCACACACCACCCATACTACTAACGAACATGATCCATTAACTGATGAATTAAATGAAATATTAGCTCTTGAGAATCTTAAGCGTATATACGAAATTAACGATGGTGCACATATTAGAAATGCAACATTAGCTTTAATATCACATATTAAAAACCTAACCAAAAGCAAATTAATCATAAATTGGGCAGTAACACTAATAACTATAATTACAAAATGGACACACGTTCAACATAGATATATAATTCTTATAATTACAGTAGAAATGCTTGAATCATTACCAGATAAAGACATACCATCAAAAGAATATTTTCTTCTTACATCTCTTATACATGCATTACTTTCGTCAAATGTGAATTTAATTGGTCTTTCTGTTATGGATATTATACATGCATTAACAGGAAAAATTATTGGACAAATCAAAGAACTAGATACTCCAGATACAGCAAAGCTTTCAAAAATAATACTTTCGAAAAGATCATACCTTTTTGAAGATACCATAGAAAGACTAAAATTTAATTCTGAACAGAGAGAGTTCTTTATTTCAGAACTAATACATTGTTTAGGTGCATTAGCAACACATATATACTATAGAGACCAAATTACAGATATGGCGGCATCTTTTTTAAGTTGCCTAAGACCTCTTTCTAATACACTATCAGCATCAGCTAATGAAGTAAGAATCGGAAAATTATTAGCTTTAGCAGCAGTTAAAGAAATTTTTGTTATTGTTAATTTAAAATGTAATCAAAGTGGGGTATCTAGATCTAGAGTTTCCTTAGATATATGGAATTATACTGCTGTTATACTAAAAGATAATGATCCTAGTAATTTATCTAATATATATAAATATTTAACTAACTTAATAGTATTACGTTTAGAATACATATCAGTTTTAACAACTTTTCTTAATGTTGAATTTAATTCTATTGATGAAGAATCTCTTTATAATTCTGATGTAAGCAGATTTTACAAAAAACATTTACTAAAATAATTTAGACTTCTAAAATATCATCTTCAAATTATCTTCAATCTCTTCATTCATATATATATATATATTCTCTTTTAATTAATAACACTGAAACTGATTATCAAGCAATACAATACCTTTTGTTTGTTTTAACTGAAAAATTTGGATCCAAAGAAACAATAAGACTTGTTCCAGTTATGTTACATCTTCAAGAATCTATAAATGAAGAAAATATAGCTTTATCTTCACAACAAAAAAGCACTATACTAAGCATTATTATATGGTATATGATAATTGTTTCAAAAAAGATAAATAATCAGAAGCTTTTTGAAAAAGTAAATGAAGTAATATTTTTTTTTTAACAATAATTATGCTAAATATTTTCAAGGAAATGAATAGACGCAAATTAGACAAATCATGGCCCGACTTTATTACTTTACATCCTTCATTCATGCAGTCATCAATATGTTCACCACAACCACTTTCAAAAACTATTGAACCTTCAAAACCATTTTTAAATAAAGAAGAAATAATCGATATTTTAATCACTACACCTAAGTTCCCAGAAAGCGCAAAAAAAAGTCTCATGGAAGCATGGTCACCCGAATCATCACTCATTTTAGGTAAAACTTACTCTTTTTATCAACTATATTTACAAAATTCCTATAGAAGATATATCTAGACCTGATTTTCTTGTAGGAATTGATCCAACAAATTACGAAAAGCATTCATCTCCTTCCAATTCCTTGTCACAAATAACATCAAATCAAGAAGAAATTTTGTTAAGTGATACACATTCTTCTATTATAAAGGTAAACTCATTAAGACGTACTTTAACAGAACCACATATCAATAATATAAAAAAATCTTATAATATCTCAAGTATCAAATTAAGTAAATTTAATTTATCACCTGATACATTCACATATAAAGACATAAGAAAGATAAATCAAGATACCGTATCAAAAGAAATAGATATGAACAAGCTTCTCAATAATATTAAGTCAGAAGAATCATTAAATTATAAAAAACAATCTAACATAAGCGCATCTGCACCTTATGCTTGATGTAGAATTTTTTTCTAATCCAAAAAAACAATACCCAAATATTATACTATCTTTTTTTATGCAAAACTATTTTCATTAAACTAGTAATTATTTAAGCATCCATTTATCTAGATATATATTAAAACAGAGTTGGACAAATAAAAAGAAAAACAACTATCACAAATAATCCCCATTTTCCTAAAAGTGTGCCATAACGATCAAAAATAATTTCTAATATATTTGCAAACGAATAATCAACATTATTAGGTGCTTTAGTAATTAAAATTTCAAGATCACTTAAATATGGCCATGTCACACCCAATGCAGGCTTTAATTCAGTTGAGGAAAATGAAGAAAAATTAGTTGAATGCGATTTTACTGTAAAGTTAATCAAAAGAACAAGAATTTTTCTATTTTGAGAAAAAATAGTATATAAGTTACGAATTAATAAATTCATTATACTATGTCCTAAAAAATAATAAACCCAAAATATAATATATTATTAACCTAACCTTTAATTTGTTCACGCTGCATAAGCAAACTTAGAGGATTAGTAATATTATCTATTACAATAACACCAGGAATTAAATCATCACTATTCATAGATTTATTAACAAGGTATTGAAATTCATTTACACCATCGATAATTCCCCATATATCAAAAGCGCGTACAATCCCTACTCTTTCAAGAAAACTAGACTGATAGCCGTTATCTTGTGCAATATCTATTAATCTCTGAACAGAAAACGTCCCAGATGTGTCAATCCATAGTGCACGAGCATTTGCATATGATAATAAATAACTAGAAACAACTGAATACGCAATCTAAAAAAAATAATATTATAAAAATTATAAATAGAATTTAAAAATTTATACAGTAGTCTTTCCAATCTCAGATGGACCTGAAATTGTAATAATACGGCCAGTAGGAAGACCCCCATCTAAAATATTATCTATTCTAATACTATTAATCATCTATTTAAAAGCATGGATACTATATACGCATTGCATTTCGTACTAACCAAAAAACCAGATAACTGATGATCCATATTGCCACGAATTGATCTAGCAGCACAACTTGGAACAATCACACTATTAATTAATTTATTTATTTTCTTAAAATACAATCAATATAAGCTCATAATTAAAACATCGTTTCCTAACATTTAGAGAGATATTAGTTTTTTTGGATATATATTCAACATCAGCAAGAAGCAATTCATCATCTATAAATTTATAAATCCTAAAATATGCAAATAAAATCTTCTAAAACCTGTAAATATCTCAATACTAGATAAAATTCTAACAATTTCATGATATTCATCAAATTTTTTTACAAGAATATTAAGAGCCACCATTTCATAAAAAACAATACAAAAAACGATAGAAAAATATAAATAATTTAACAAAATTTAATAAATAAATTATTAATAAAAATTATTTACTAATATATATAAATACATTGCCTTATTAAATAAAACTTAAAATTATATACCTTAAATAATCACTATAATTACTTATACTTCTTTTAAATAAAAACAATATGAATAAATATCTATAGTTAACATTTAAAATAATATAAAATGCTCATTATTGGATTTCTTAAATACATAGGGTACAAACCTAGAAAGTCACAATAACTACAAAATTCTAATCGAAAACCTAAGAAAATTATAGTATTTGATACAAAATTTAATAAAATGTTTACTCAGGAGAACATAATTGTAATTGATGGAAAATGTCATCTTCTTGGAAGATTAGCATCTGTTGTTGCAAAACAGCTTTTAAGTGGGCAAAAAATTGTAATTGTGAGATGTGAAGATATTAATATTAGCGGCGAGGTAAAAAAACAAATTTTATTAAAAAATAAAGCATACTAATAATTTATATTTAGTTTTTCCGAAATAAATGTAGAGAGCAAATTTTAAGTCAAATCACTAATTTTTTTATAGTAAAAATGCATGCTTATCTTCACAAACGAACACGTTTTAATCCTGCCCGTGGTCCTTTTCACTTTAGAGCACCTTCACGTGTTATGTATAAAGCTATTCGGGGAATGATTCCTCATAAAACAGCTCGGGGGGCTGCTGCTTTAGAGCGGCTTAAAGTTTTTGAAGGAATTCCGCCTCCATATGATAAACAAAAAAGACTAGTTGTACCATCTGCTCTTCGAGCTTTAAGACTTAAGCCTGGACGCAAATTTTGTACTATTGGGAGATTGTCTAAGGAAATTGGCTGGAAATATGAAAATATTATATCCGAACTTGAAAACAAACGCAAAACCAGATCACATGCTTATTATGTTACTAAGATTACTAAAGAGAAAAGCCTTTTAGAAGCAAAAAAGAATGCACCTACAAGCAAAGTCCTAGAAAAATTCGGCTACTGAATTTATAAAAATGTCTCTTTAAATTTAACTATAATTTAAGCATTTTTTATATAAATAAAAATTATATTTAATATATACAATTTATTATTAGTATACAGATGCAATATTTACAATATTCATTTATATTATATTTCACTATGTAAATTCTGTATCATTTATAAAAATAACTACATAAAAAATTCAAATTCTTTAGCCTTCTCTCCATCTATGTCCGCATTTTGTACACTATTAAAAAAATATCGTAAAAACCTATAAATACAGAAAAAGAGAAAATAATAAATTACCTTATAAAATGTAGTCATAGGCTCATCGGCAGATCGAATTTGAATTTGAAAAAAATAAGCCCTTAAATTTCCACAATCCATAACAGGACATTGTGCTTTTAAATTTTCAGTTTAAATTTTACATAGAATCCAGAAATACCTTCTGTTTTATCAACATTGTCCCATGCACCTTCACCACCAAGAACATCATCTACTTCTTTTTGTTTCATAATTCTTTTTGAACATAACTATTTTATTTTAATGCTTAAAAATACAAACACATAATTTACATATCTGTTTATAGGAAACTCATAAGGACATGTTCTACATTCAAATCTATTAAATCCTGTAAATGAAGTCCCAATTAAAAGGTGATTTCCACAAGCAGGACAAAACATCATTTTATTAAAAAATATTTTTTAAACAAACTTAAATCTTAGACAATTTGTCTAATTTATTATGTAATAATTTCTTTTAGATAATCCAAATAAAATATCTTTAAAACCCTAAAATTAACATTCTAATATCTTAAAAACCCAGCACGTGTTAAGAATTTATAAAAATTAATATAAAAAAACTTAGTTCTGCTTTTAAATATTATTAGTTTTATTATGGAATATGATAGTGCTTCCCCTGGTACTATATATACAAGTCACATCAAATAAATATTATTAATAAAATTATTTTTTTAGGAGAAATCTTACTTGCAGCTTGCTATCAAGAAAATCCAGATTTATTAAATCAAATATTAGATGATGAGTTAACCGATATTCACCTTTTGAACAACTCAAGAGATGGAGTGGGTATATAATTTACAATAAAATAATTTAAAAAAACATATTGTATAGGAAACACTGCTCTTCATCTTTCAGTACAACATGTTTAAACCTAAAAAAAAAAAAAAGCTAAACTAAAATAGGGCTCTATTGCATGCTTAAATATATTATTAGATATTCAGGATTTAGAAATGAATAGTAAGAATTTCTTGGAAGAAAATACACCATTACACAAAGCTGTTGAATATCAATATAAAGATAAGGATATAGCATTAGAAATGAGTATTTATTTTTTATGTAAACATAAGAAATATATATCTGATCCTAAATTAGTCGAATCTCTTATTAATGCAGGCGCAGATCCAAGGTATTGATATAAATAATCATATTTTTGTAAGATATTTAACTTTCAAAAGAATTAAAAATAAAATGAAACAAAAGCCAATTGATCTTGTAGATAGAAAGAATAATGACATACAAAGTATACTTAAAAAAGCAGAATTAGCATATTTCATTGAAAAAAATGATATACAAAATATAGGCAACAAAAATCAACATTTTTTAAATAACTCATAGTCTTATACACTGTCATAAATCAAATAATAAACAAAAATATGTAAAAATAAAATTTCAATCATGATATATATTCTATATTAATAAAAATTATATTGTTTTTTAAATCTTTATTATCCTATTTTACTGCAGATCTAGTATTTATAATTAATAATGTATTTATCATATTTATCGAATAATAAAACAAATAGATGAATATTCAAGAATATTTTAAATATTTAATATTACATTTTATATTCTAATAAATTCATAAATTTAAAAATATTTAACTAGAAACTAACAATTGTCTTAAATATACTGTAATTACAAAAAATAATGCAATATATTTATATAAATCAATTAAAAAAATATGATTAATATAATCAGCTTTTTACAATATAATCAAATAATTTATATTTTTCAATTTTATATTCTAAATATCTCAAAATGTTTCAATACAAATATACACATTTATTTTCAAAAAAAATAAAACACATAATCTATAAAAAAATATAAATAATTTAAATAATAAAAATTCTATGAACCTTCAAAAAACTATTTAAAATAATCTTATTAAATTTAAAATATAAATTTTATTAAATTACTTTTATTTTAATAAAAAAATAATTTAAAAAAATATCTTGAATCAATAAATTTAAAATTATAAATAATATAATAAAAAACCACACAACTGCATTAAATTTGTTAAACATAAAACAATAAAATTTCCATTTCAATTAATATGCCATAAATTATTTACCTGTACAATCTAATAAAAATAATAAAAATTATTGTGTCATAATTGCCATATTAGCAAAAAATCTAACATCTGTATCTGGATCATTACATAATTTTTCCAATGATGGCTTAATCTGCGCATTAAACAACTCTAAACCATCAGGTGAATCTTTTAAAACATCAAATAAAACTTTATAAGATTTAGCAACATTAAATCTAATATTTGGAATTTTGTCATCAACCAAATTATTCACAGTAGGTAAAATATAATTTCTGACTATATCAACACCTACTATAGGTGCAAGTGACTATAAAAATATAAGTTTACTATAAAATCAAAAAAAAAAAAAAACTCACAACAATAGCAAATATAGTAGTCATACGATAAAGATAATTTTCATGATTCCCCATAGAAAGTACACGCGGAATTATAGTTTTTTTTGCCCACAAAACGCCAAAAACTTCAGTCAATTTTCTGAGATTTAAAATAGCAGCTTCTCGAATAGAAAAAACACTATCACCTAACCAAGACATACAAAGTTCAGTTAACTTTTCATCGAAAAATTCAACACCGAGTTGACTTGCTAATAAAGGTATGTATTCAATGATTGCTAATCTGACTCTCCATTGTTTATCTTCAGCGAGCGTAACTATAGCAGGAAGAAGAGATTGAGAAAGAAGTTCTATACCAATAACTATATAAAATTTAATAATGCAAAAGATATATATATTAAACTAACCATTATTAACTTGCTCAAGTTTTGATATAATATTAAGTCTAACATCAGGAAATTCATCTTTTAATAATTGAAGAAATATAGGAAGAAGATGTTCTATAGTACTATATAATTTTAATGAAAAATATATTATAAAAATATCTTACATTTCTCTCCCTAATACAGGAGAAAGCAAACTAATTTGTTTTCCCCATGCAGCTCTTACATGCTGTGAAGGATCAGTTATTAAATTCCTTAAAACAGGAAGAATTTCGTCCAAAACAATTTGACAGTTTACATATTTACAAAATCCTTTCATACTGTTCATAAAAGCACAACCAGAAACATTAGTAATAAATACCTGGAATCTGACCCACAATTGCAGTCCTCACTTCAGCCTCTATATCTCTAAGTAACCGAAGAAAAGAAGGCAACATATCGGAATCAATTACTTCTTTACCAACAACACTCGCAAGCTAAAACTAATTAAAATAAGTAAAAAACATATTACTACCTCATTAAAATGATCAGCAACAATATACCGTACTCTCCAACTTTTATCAGAAGTAAGACATCTTAAATTCTGCAACAAATAATAATTGACATCTGAAGGAGAAGCAAGAACTTTTGCAATTGCAATAAGGGGCTCAACAGACAATAATCTCACAGAGTCCTGATCATCTGATGCAATAACATTAAAAACAGGAATCAAATCTTCAATAACCTGGCATTTATTCACCTGAAGCACAAATTTCTGGAATAAATTAAGCAATATACATATATATATATATATATAACATACACAAAAATTTGTAGCAGCAACTCTTCTGACCATAGGTGTATCATCAGAGCACAAATAACTAAAATTTTTACGGAGAGAATCCTGAATAGATTTTGTTGCACGCTTATAAACAGTTGTATATAAACCAGTAGCTGAGGTGCGAGAAGTAAACCATTCACCAGAGCTTAAGCGATTAATAAGAGGAATCATATATTCCTCAATTTGCTCTGTTGTAAAAATTTCAGCAATTTTATTAAGAGAATCAACGGCCCATAAAGTATTAATAAAACACTTAAAAAAAAAAAAATACCTTATCCCTAACAAAGGGTTCCTCAACAGCGGAAAGACTTTCAAGAGGACTAAGAAGCACGTGTGCATATTGAGGCCCACCGATATATTGAACAAAATTTCCCAATTCTTCTGCTAAAGCAGATAAAACTTCATCATCATCATCAATAGACTCTAAGCATATAATTAACCTTGAAAAATAACTACTAACTACAAACCGTCTAAAAATGGAATTAACTCATTTCTTGTTCTTTCTTGTCCAAGAGCAAGTGCAATTGTAGAAAGTCTTCGAATAGCATTAAGACGAAAAGCTACATCATCATGCTAATTTTCAATTAGAATACTTAGAAGTTAAAGAAAAACTCCTAACATTTACCTTTAATTCATCAATTAATACTGCTATTGGATATAACGCATTTGAATGTCCCTAAACATTTTTAGTTTTTTTTTCGAACTCTTTCAAAATAAAAATATCCTTACTATTTCACTTTTCATTCCCTAAAATCAATATTAAAAACACTAAATAATTTATTAATTTTTATTTTTTAAATCTTATCGACTTTTGCAAATTCCTAAACTTTCGAATTTTAAAAAACTTTAAAAAATATAAAAACATAAAAAATGCCCACTATAAGTGTGGATAGAGAAGTAATATTTTATAATGAGTATAAATAATTTACCTAAAATCTTTTTCAGGATCTATTTAATGCACTTAATTATAATTATAGTAATTTTTATAAATGAACATGAAAGAAACTAATATAATTAGCAACAGAAGAATTCGAAGAACTTTGCTTTAATTTTGGACTAGAATTAGAAAAAGATGTATGATACTGTATATTCCATTCTACTATAAATTAATTATTCAGACATCAGAATCAAAAACTATTAATGAAATACCTGAACGTCCACAATTTAAAATTGACGTTCCTGCAAACAGGTTTGCCAAGATTAATTATAAACAAACAGAATAAGATTTATAGGTAAATAGGTATGATTTGCTTTGTTTCGAAGGAATTTCAAGAGCACTTAATATTTTCCTCGGACATCAAAAAGCTCCAGAATTTAAGCTTTCTAAACCAGAAAAACTACAATTGCTTTATGTATCAGAAGAGGTTAAACATTACAAGGTATTTTTTTATATGCTTAATTTTATAGACAGCAAAAATTAGACCATATATTTCTGCAGTTATTTTAAGAGAACTTAATTTTACTAAAAGTAGATATGAGAGCTTTATATCTTTACAAGAAAAACTTCATTCAAATATTTGTAGAAATCGCTCCTTAGTTTCAATTGGAACTCATGACCTAGATACTATTCAGGGCCCTTTTTCATATGAAGCCCACAAACCTGAAAAAATTAATTTTATTCCTTTAAATCAAAAAAAATCATTCAATATGGTCGAGCTTTTTGAATTTTATAAGGTATATTAACAACAGTTTTCGAACATTATTCATTAAATATAGAATGATAAACATATTGGAAAATTTCTCCATTTAATTGAAAATTCTCCAATTTATCCAGTTATTTATGATTCGAATAGAGTTGTATGCTCATTACCTCCTATTATTAATAGCGAGCATAGCAAAATTACTTTAAATACTAAAAATGTTCTTATTGAAGTAACTGGTACTGATCAAACAAAATTAGAAATAGTAACAAACATCATGGTAGCTATGTTCTCATGCTATTCAAAGGATCCATTCACGTAATACTAGCTTTTAAGCATATAATTTATTATTTCTTACAATTATTAGCATAGAACCAGTTCACATTAAATCACCACACAATCAGTGCTCACGAATATGGCCAAAAGTAGAGCCTTATATAAATTCAGTTAAAATTTCATATATTAATTCTTGTTGTGGTCTTGATTTATCTGCAGCAGAAATTTCCAAATTATTAGAAAGAATGGGCCTTTCATCAAAACAATCTACTATTGATCCAGAATTATTAGATGTATTTGTTCCTATTACACGTGCAGATATATTGCATCAATGCGATATTATGGAAGATGTTGCAATAGCTTATGGATATAATCGTCTTAAAAAAGTATTCACTAATAAAATTGCTACAACAGGTAAACCTTTACCTCTTAATAAATTAACAGACATTATTCGTAAAGAATGCTCTATGGCAGGATGGTCAGAAGTCATGCCTCTTGTCTTATGCTCATATAATGAAAACTTCAATTATCTTGGTAAAACAAGTAATTCATTAGCAATAATTTTAGAAAATCCGAAAACATCAGATTATCAAGTTGTTCGAACGTCTCTAATACCTGGATTACTAAAAACTATACGAGAAAATAAAAAACATGTTCTTCCTATGAAAATCTTTGAAGTATCAGATATTGTGTTACAAAATAAAAATGAAGAAACATTATGTAAAAATAAAAGGCTATGGAGTGCAGCATATTTTTCAAATGCATCAGGATTCGAAATCATTCATGGTCTCCTTGATAGAATTATGAATATGCTAAATACTAATAATGTTACACCAGAGGATAAGAACCCTGGTTATTGGATTCAATGCGCAGAAGGTTATACATTTATAGTTTAAATAGCTTATTGATAACGCCTTAGAACCTATATTTCTTAAAGGGAGATGTGCTAAAGTTTTTCTACGACTTAAAAATATGTTAGAAATCAATGTAGGTATTTTTGGAATTCTTCATCCAAATGTTCTTAAAGCATTTGAAATACCATTTGTTGGTTCTATTTTAGAAATTGATATAGAAAATTGGCTGTAATATTTTTTTCATTAATGTTATTTAAAATTATTCGAATTTTCTAAACTAATTTATGTATTTAAATATTTCATAAAAACAAAAAAATATCAAAAAACAAAATATCTTCATATCATTATATTTTAAAAATATCCATATGGTATGGAAACTTATATGACACTAGTTTTAACAGATTCTTATTTAATCGGTGAGAACATTTTTAATTTTTCTTAAAATATTCCTATCATTATTTTTTCTAACATTGTTATATAGGTGCACAAGTTTTAGCATGGTCTATAAAAGATTCAGGATCTAAAAAATATCTTTCTGTACTAGTTACAAAAAAAACTCTTTCAGAGTCTACTCTTATAACATTGAATGTACAAACTCTTAATTAAAAATAGCAACTAATAAATATTTAAAGGAAATATATGATGAAGTGATAAATGTAGAGCCTATTTATAGTAAAGACATAGATAAACTTAATCTTTTTGGTCGACCAGATCTTCATGCTTCTCTCACAAAAATACATATTTGGGCTCAAGAAAAATTCAAAAAAATTGTATATTTAGATGGAGACACATTTTGCACAAAAAATGTAGATAAGCTATTTGATCTGGATACTGATTTTGCAGTAAACAAATAATTGTTTCTATTAAAAAATAACTTTAGTTAGGCAATTCCAGATATTGGTTGGCCAGACATTTTCAACAGCGTTTGCCTCAATATATATTAACCTAAATGTAACATTTTTAGGGTGTGTTTGTCACTAAACCCAACATTTCTATTTACAATTCACTTATAAATCTTGCAAAAAATAACATATCATATGATGGTATGCCATTTTGTATTTATTGACTATAGAATTTAATAGAATTTAATTTAGGAGGAGATCAAGGTCTTCTTAACTACTACTTTTCGAAATGGTATCGATTACCTTTTATATACAATGTAGTTCCTTCATTTTCTTATCAGTAAGTTTATTCTTCTTAATTATACATTTAAATCACAAACAAAGATATTTGCCAGCATATAATCAGTTTGGATCTGAAATATCTATAGTACATTTTGCAGGAACAAAAAAGCCCTGGATACTGAATGGACACAATACTAACTATAGACCATATAATGAACTAATTGAAAAATGGAAATCAATACTAAGAAAACATAGTAAAAATCAAAATTTAGATGAAATTTTGTATTCTAAAAAACAGCTTTTGAAAACAAAAGAAACTAATAACTTAATGTCAAAAAAAAACGTCTTCAAAAACGAAACGTTTTATAAGCTATCAACTCAAAAAGTCTCTTTGGATACTAGAACAGAATTTAGCACTGAAAAACTAAAAGAACAGAGTTTATCTTCAATTTCTCACGAGACGACATTTTTTAATAATATTAATTATAAAAACAAATGGAACGAACCATTCAATCCTAACGAATTATCCTTCAAACCAATATATCCATTACCAATGCCGGAAAATATAAAAAAGGAGATGGAAGAATATAATAAAAATACTCAAATAGAAAAAATATCACCATTTTTTTGGAACAAAAAATCAGCAGTTACTAGAGTATTTTTAAATGATGAACCACAAAAAAAAGAAATAGACGTGTCAAAATACGAAGTAAAAATAACTTCACAAAATGTGTTTTTATATTATAAAACAAACAAAATACCAATCTCTAAAACTTAAATTTATTTATTTGTCTTGTTTATCTATTTATATTTATTCTACTATATTTATTCTATTTAACAAACTTATAATCTAATATAAACCATTTTAACCAAATGCAAAATCAGTTGTTTTTTTAAATATTTTAGTTTTTAAATTTGTTTTTTCTTAAAACTACATTTTATCATGATATAAATATAAAAAAGAAACTATGAAAATATTTAACATATACATATCAATATTCACTAAATATATAACTTTTGCATGTTTAATTACAATGTGTAAAATTCAAAAGTTAGGTTTTCAAGAAATATATCTAAAACATCCATAAATAGAAATTTCATAAAGCTTTATTTACCTTAATGCATTTTCCCTTCTAACTCCATTTTCTTTTCTATGTTTTTCCAAATCATTATTCTTTCTTGTGCAGTAGATGAATTTTCTGAAGATAATTTATACAAAGAAATATACTTTTTGAAAGAAGGAAACTCCTTTAAAGATTATTTTAACTAAAGAAAAAAACTATAAAAACATACAATTATATAATTTAAATCTACATGACATCGATGAACAATTTCTTGTAGCTTCTTTTTTTCATTTTCATCGTATACTTCCATAAGCTGCTTTTGAGCCTGTTTCAAACGACGAAATGCCTTTTTCTTCTCTTTTTAAAACTATCAAAAACACCATGTATATACTTTTAAAAACATCAAACATACCGAAAAATCTAACCATCTTATATTTTCCCTCTAAAGCATGTTTCTTTTTTAATTCATGAACATTTTTAAGGTCAAAACGTAAACTCTGAATCTCCCTTTCCATTTCTATTTGTACATCTGCAGGTATTGTACCCTTTATAATTAATTCACAGAATCATTTTGTAAATATATACTTTTTTAATAAGACGTTCCAAATCTCTAATTTTCTTTTTTAAACGACTCGATCCTTTTATTTCAAAATTCCCAAATGAAGACTCTTTATAGCATTTTTTACGTTTAACTGTTCTTTCTTTTATCAAGTCCATGTTTTTTTGATGCATGGTTAATTTTTGCAGAAATCGCTATCATCGAACACTTATTCAATGACAAATTAAAGAACATATGAGTGAAAAATCCATCATAAAATCAATTCCATTATTTGAAGATGATAACGAAAGCAAATTTGTATGTGCATTTCCTGATAAAGATGAAATTCATCTTTATACAGTTGATAACAACCAAGATACAGCATATTCTTTAATTTCTAAAAAAAACAAAATATCATCTATAAAATGTATTTGTAGCTCTCCTTCACAAAAAAATACAATAGCTATTGGTGAAACAACAGGTGATGCATTGATCTTAAATTTAGATAATGAAATTTCTCCCATTCGATTTCCAACCAAACAACAACGTGTTTGTAATGCAGTTGCACTAAATTTTCTAGGAGACTTAGCAGTCGGATTAGAGAAAATAAGGAACGAGTCATCTCTTATAATTTGGAATATTCATCAAAGCATAGGATCAAATAAAAAAATGTCACCAATTCAACAACTTGGATTATCAGAACCCGTGTTCTCTCTTTCATACTTTCCAGATTCTCCAAAACAATTAATTTCAGGAGTAAATTTACGATGGATAAAAATTTTTGATTTAAGAGAAAAATCATCTGTATCAGCCACAACCTTTTATTCAACACGGTTTATACATAATATCACTATTGATCCAAAAAATTCGAATTATTTTGCTTCGACTTCTGATGAAGGTCTAGTATCCATTTGGGATAGAAGAAAAAACTCTAATGGAGAACCTTGTTTATTACTAAATAGGGGAGTAAATCAATCTTCTCAAATTATAGATCTTAAATTTACTGGAGCCAAACCAGGTCAACTTTCTGGGCTTTCAAAAGAAGGCGTTATAAAACTTTGGGATATAAATTATAATTACGATAACCCTGATCAATTTATAGTTTCATTTTATAACAATAAAAAATTATCCGAAATATCCGAACCTTCAACACCTATAAAAAGCGATTCTCTTTCTTTGATGTATTTACGAGAGGGTATTTTCATTTGAATATAATAAAAAGTAAATAATGAATCCAGCATCTATAAAATCTAGCAAAAAAATTATTTCTTTTGATTATATTCCTAATGAACCATATAAAAATTACCAATTTTATTACTTAAGGTCAGATAACAAAATAGGGAGAATAAAAATACGCTCTTCCTGTGATATAGTATCAATAAATAGTCTTAATAAGATGTTCATAAGTACAAAAACCAATTTACATTATTTATCCAAAAAAAATAAAGATGTAATATTAGCTAAGAATAAAAATGGGAATGAAGATAATGGAAGTCAAATATCAGAATCCCTAACTTTAAATATGGATGAAAATATATTTAATAATCAAATTGAAGAATCAGAAATGTTTCATTCATTTCCAAATTCAAAAATTGATCAAGAATATGATACTGAATATAGGTTTAATATAAAAGATGTTTTGGAAAATGATATATCATATTTAATGTATAAAAGAGCAAAAAATGGTTATGGGATGGAAGTAAATCCGTAAAATCAATACTTACGTAATACTAATTATAATTTTAGTCAGCAAAAAATAAAATAATTTTAGAAAATACGTATCTTCTTGATTTATGGAAATGGATTAATAGTATTGTTTCTATATACTAATGTTTAAACTTATATTAGTATTAGATGCAGAAAACTTAGCCTCAGAAAACAAAATGGTTTCAGGTGATTTTGATCTAAGCTATCAAGGAGTATATAACATTTGGTATGGAATTCCAAGTAAGAGAAAAATCTATAAAAAATATTTAAATAAAATCATTATAGGCTCTAAACTAACTAATAAATGTGATGAAAACAATAAAAATAACTTTTTTGAAAATTTATATACTATTGCTGTAAAAGAAATAAATAACAAATTCAAAAACAACGTTTTTACTTCTATTATATCAAAAGCAGAGATACGAAAACTAGCATTAACATCATGTGGATGGAGTATTTCTCGTGAAGACCTAGATGATAAAATAAAACAGTGAGTATAAATATAATTAATAATACCTCTAAATACTGTAAGACTAGAAGAGGATGGACTATACAGCAAAGCTGCAAGCTGGGCTTTGTTCCATGGTAACTTTAATCGTACAGTTCAAGCATTGTCAAAAGGAAGCGAAAAACATCGTTTAATGTCAACTGCAATAGCAGGATTTGTCTCAGCAAAAAATGGTGCAAATAATGCCATGTGGAAAGAAATGTGTAGAAAAATGAGTACAGAATTAGACGATCCATATCTTCGTGCTATATTTGCCTATGTTTCTAATGGGGATTGGCGTGATGTTTTAGATGAACAGGGATTACCTTTAAAAGAAAGAATTGGAGTAGGATTAAGATTTTTAAATGATGATGATGTATAGTTATTCATAATTTTTTTAAATAAACTCTAATTTTAAAAGTTTTCTTTTTATTTAAACGATATTGTTAAAACTGTTATTAATACAGGAGATCTTGAAGGGATTATTCTTACTGGAATTAGCACTAATACAATTGATTTACTAGAAATATATCTTAATCGTACATCTGACATTCAAACAGCAGCTCTTGTTTCTTCATTTTGTCTTCCTAAATTCTTTGATCAAAGGATTTTGATCTGGATTAGTGAGTTAGTTATTATATTCCCCTATATACATTATTTTAATAATTATTTGAATAGTTATCGTCAATTACTTAATAGATATAGTTTATTTTATACCAGGGCAAAATTCGATGTATTAAGGAAAAAACATTTTAGAGAATCAGACGAACTTTTGAATCTGGAAAAAACCCAGCAACAAATATACATACGCTGTAATTCTTGTAATAAAGTTTTTCCTCATTATTTAATTTAACTGATTATTAATTTTTTTGAGAATATTACACATAAACCTATGACATCAAAACGAAATACAAACATTCGAAACTCTAATGTTCCTACAACTGGAACTATTCAAAAGGTTTATCCTAATATATATACCGATACTATTATACTTAATAATATTTTTTAGAATACCCTCTGTCCAGTTTGTAGTAAACCTCTTCCGCGATGTTCTATTTGCTTACTTTCTCTTGGAACCTCAAATAATCTTGAAGAGAAAAACATAAAAAGTCCAGAAGATTTTGAAAAATTGTTTGAAAAATGGTATATTTAATATAGATTTACTTTTCGAAATTTAAATAACTCATCTAGGTTTAATTTCTGCTTATCATGCCATCATGTTTCACACCATGATCATGCAAAAGAATGGTTTAGAACACATCCAGTTTGCCCAGTACCAGATTGTAACTGTCTTTGCCGAGAAAAAGACAAAATACCTAAAGCTAACATATAATATAAAATTTCCAATTAAAAATTTATACAATTATATATCTTTTTAAGAACCGAAGTCCTATTTAATTTTATAATTTATAACTATATTAATACTTTATCATTTTTTGTATATTTCGTAAATTTCGGTTTTATAAACGACATAAAATTATAAATCAAAATTAATAATTGAAATTAAATCTATATTTTTAGTAATAATTGAAATTTTGAAATTAAACTAAATTATAGTTACAAAACAGAATATAGAAAGATTCTGGCAAATCTAATAATGCAAAATCAAAAAACTAATAATAGAGAATGCTGTAATTTAAGTTTCAAAAACATATCATCTACAACTCAAAAGAGTATTCCTAAATATAAGAAATGGGTAAAATCTATTATTTTTTATATTAAACACTTTTGGATAATTTTTATTATCGGACAAATTCTTAGTTTAATGATTACAGCATCAAGTACATTTACTACAAAATTAAACAATTATCATATAAACTTACCTACGTTTCAAACATTTCCTAATTATGCTCTTCTTGCGTTTGTCTATACTTGTTTTACAGTTTATTCATTTGGATTTAAAAAATATACAAAATTATTTTTAAAAAATGGATGGAAATATTTTATTTTAGCATTTTTGGATGTTGAAGCAAATTTCCTTGTCGTAAAAGTTAGCAAAATAATTTTATTGCATTTTTAAATAACATATATAGGCATATGAATACACTAGTATTTTATCATGCACTCTTTTAGACTCTTTTTCAATAATAACTGTTTTTATTTTAAGTTTTTTTTTTTTAAAAGTACGATATAATATACCACAAATATTAGGAATTTTGATATGTTTTGGGGTATACTATTATTTATACATTTATATAATTTTTAATAACCAAGGGTCTTATAACATTAGCAATAAGTGACTTCAAGACAAAAAAAAACTATATTGTTAAAGATCCCATCAAGGGTAATATTTTCATGATTATTGGATCATCTTTATATGGTGTAAGCAATGTCTTAGAAGAAATTTTTGTATCTAAACAATCTATATACGAAGTTATAGGTCAACTGGGTTTTTGGGGAATGTTCATCAATATAATTCAAGTATATATATTTGAAAGAAAACACATAAAAAATGTCAAATGGTCTAAAAAAACAATTGGATTTATGTTTGGATATAATATTTCATTATTTATATTTTATTCCCTTACACCCGTTTTATTTAGAATAAGTAGTGCTATATTTTATAATATGTCATTACTAACAAGCGATTTCTGGAGTAAGATTAAATTTAAATATTATAAAACTTAAAAACTATAGATCTTATCATTGGTATTTATTTATTTCATTATTATATTTATTGGTTATATCCTTTCGCTTTTGTTCTTGTAATTATAGGCCTTTTAACATATCATTTATTTTTTAAAGATGAATCAAAAAAACCATGGATCAATTATAATTATGAAGAAAAAGTTGATAGTATTGAAACTTATGAAATACCAAAGAATTTGCAAATACAATCTACACATGAAAATTCACCAGATGTAAAATAAATAGTAATAAATTTAAAATTTCTAAATATTTTACTTCTAAAATCAATTTAACCATGTTTTTATATTTTGCGATTAATAAATTCGAAATTTTAAAATCGTTATTGTTTAGATTTTTTTATATTTAAAATATTACTCTGTATGTCGACGGACTTTTCAATACCATGGATCTTATACTTAGCAATTCAATATGCATCTGCTCCATCTTTACATACGCTTTCAAATCTTATATTAAAATTTCCTAATATTTTTTCTAAAAAAATAATATTAGATATTCTTAATTTTATACCAGAATCTACAGAACCAGAAGAATATCTTTCTTTAATATTCTATGGAAAATATGAGGGAGAAGATGATATAGATAGCTCACAAATATCGAAAATACAAGATATAGACGATGCTACATTATTACAAAAACTTGAAAAACTAAATATATATCAAAATAATCTCAGAACAAATGATTTCACTAATGATGAAAAATTATATATTTGGTTTATTTCAAGAGCCCAAAGAATCGAAGAAGAAACCGGACTAATTTCACTTTCCCGCAAACTCGTACTTACTTCTAAATATCCTATACCTCTCAAAGCTCGAGAATGGGGACACGGAATTGTAACTACATTAGAATCGGTTATAAACAGAGAATATAACAATCCTTCATTAGAATTCAATATCCCAACTTTAAAACAATTTGAAGCTCTAGATTATAAAAAAGCAATTGACATTCTTCTTCAGCATTTAAAAAACGATGAAATATTAAAAGAAATAAGTTCTAGTGTTATACCATATATATCCTATCATCAAAAGTTATCAAAAGAAAATGTATGGGATTCATTATGGTCATGGCTTTTGAATTTCAATTCTAAACAAAAAAATCTAAATCTAATGAAATTATTATCTTCCAACAATATTGTTAGTGCGGAAGAATACGAAAATTTTTCAAAATACGCAATGGCATCTTGTTATTGTTGTAAAAATATAGAAAGAGAGAATATTCATTCAATGAAAATAATTTTACAAAACCTCAAACAAAATTTGAATATTGAAACTAATAAAGATAATAGTGTATTAAGTGACATAAAAATCTCTTCATTAAATATATTTACTCCTGAAAATATGCAAAATTATTTAGAATTAATTACACCAAACTTTAATTCTTTAAGTTTATTAGAAATAATGATCAAAACTGTTTCAATTATTAATTCCCAAAAAGGCGGGTGCAAAATAACACTTGCAGAAGCGATCTGTTATAGAAATAAAGAGAGTAAACTTCAAATATCCTTATTGCATAAAATGATACCCCAAAATCCCGAGTTTTTAAACAAATTCAATGATTCAGATTGGATAAAATTGAGAAATGATATTGAATGGCTCCATAATGTTAGTTTTATTTATAAAAATATACCAAGAAAAGAATATGAATCGTTTCTACTTTATAACATGTTAAAAGCAACAAGTATGCAAAATTTTACATAATTTTACGATATTAATTTTTTATTCAGAATTTGATCTTGTAAAGAATATTTACATAAAAACAAATAAAAAAAATATACCTTTAGAAGATGAAACAGTGAAAAAAATTTGTATAGAAGTTTTCTTAGAGTTTTTTGATAATTCTTCTGGTGAAAGCATTACAAAAGGGAATATGAAAAATGCCTACAATTTATTACAAATGATGAAACGATATTATAATTCACAACAATTAGAACATTTTTCTTACTTAATAAACGCAACTGATGCGTTAAACCAATATTTTCATAGATTTACACCAGCAGAAATTCGATTACATAACAACCCCTTTGAAATTTTAGAAGATTTTTTATCATCTAATCCTGGAATATATAAATCTGTAGATAAAGTAATAAAAATATCTAATGACTTAATTTTAGGGCTAAATAAAAATTACTTAGTTCCAGAAAAAGAAACTCAAGGAAAAATATTATGTATCATTGCAGAAACAGCATTATCTCAAAATGATTTTAATTTTGCATATGATATATGTATTAATAATTTATTTTCTCTTTTTGAAACCGATGATATAGAAACAATAAGACCACTTAAGAACATTATTTGGAAAAGTTGCTTCCAAATTTCTAAAAAACATGAAATAAAAGAAGAATCGTTAGAAAATATAAAAAAAAAAATGTATCTTCTTTCAAAAGTAATTAACATTTGCCCAAAGGAGCATCTAATAGAAATATTAAATGTCTGGAGACAATTTGAAAAAGAACAATTATCAATTAAAGCACAAAAAGATTTGTCAAAATTAAACAATAATTTAATGACTAGATACTCAAATATTACAGGATCTATACATATTCCAAAATCCTTGTTTTCATCCGCATCCAAAGCTGCTCGAACATTAGGAACAACGTTATCATCAACATCATTTCCTTTTAGTAAACAGAAAATATCATATATTGCCGAAAAAAATATAACGAAAAAACATTTAACAAATGTTAATGAAGAATCAAGAAATTCAAATAACAAATTAGATAATTTAGCAGATATTGTGACACAAAAATTTACATCTGGACTTGGTATAATTATTTTTTCTAAAAATATTCTTAATTTATTATAGGTTGGGTTTTTGGAATATCAGAAGATTAAGAGTAATCAAACATATAATGTAACATTACATCATTAAAAACATCTAATATATATCTATTAAAAATTAATTATACTATTACATGATATTAATCTTCTAAAACCATATAATTATTATCAAATTAATACCAATAATTCTCAATATGATTATAAAAATCTAATTATAGTAATTAAAAATACTCATTTAACTTAAATCAACAGTATGTCAACAATATATACAAAATATCTATATATTCAAACAATTATAAAAATCCGAAAATAAAAATAATTAATAAACATTAGTTACAATTCCTAAGCCAAGAGTAGATAAATCCCTTGTTTTTACTTCCTCATTCCATATATTTTCATTATTTGATGCATAGAAATCTTTTATTTTAAAAGGACCAATATTAGATATACTTCTAAAATCCCATTCTAATCCTTCAGGTGTATTTTCTAACTTTATTTCGTTAATATCGAATACAGAACTAAGATTATTTTCTTGCAATTTATCAAAATTCAATATATTATTTCCATAAGTCTTATCATTAAAAGTTAAATCAAAACACTGATCAAAGTTTATATCATTTAACAACTTTTCATCTTCCAAAACATTAGAAACAATTGATGAAAATACAGCCTCAGATGAAGAAAAGGATCTCTTTTCATTGCTAACAGGACTTACAGTTAAACTAGAAGACAATTTATCATCGATACCGGATATACCTACAAAATCATTTTGATCTTTTCCTAAAGATTGATCTGGTAGACCATTTGTAACAAAAGATTGAGGACTTTTCACTTCTAAACTTGAAATAATTTCAGAATCTAATTCATTAGACAAAATATCTATGCTTTCTTTCTCATTAAGAAAAGATTTATCCATAAAAAAAATTTCATTAACATCATCTGCTTCCAAAACACTAGCCACATTTAAAAGTGTATAATCTAAAGAATCATTTATAACTTTATCTTTTATCTGAGATTCATGAGACTCTTTAGATAACTATTTTCAATTAATCTTATATCGAAATATTTAGTTATTTTACTAACATCAAAAACATCTAAGTTTATTTTCTCAGAACTTAAAATATTTTCTCCAGATATCGTATTAGTTTCACTAAAGTTATTATCAATATTAAAATTATCTCTAGAAATCATTTCCATATTATCTGTTTTTGTATTGTTTTTTAAATTAGTCTTAAATAATTTTGATGATGAGGCATCACTAGGGATTTGAACTGATACCGTATCAACTAAAGCATGTTGAAAATCAGAAATACTAGAATTTATTTCGGGAAGATTTGTTGGAGTTTTATCTGATAATGGTTTTTCATTTTCGATTTGTTTCTGAATAGCATGAACACTACTCTTTACAAATTTAAAATATTCTAATATAATTTTTTTAATCTTAATAAACTGAGAAGGATAGCACAAATAAATCCCTTGAGGTAAAACATCAAACTGATTCTTACAAAGTAACCTCTAAATTTTATTAATATATATAATTACAATTATAATAACATACCATTTGCAATAACTGTTTAACTGCAGACTCATTTGAACTTAAAGCCATAAATAGCGGTAAAAGCATATCAATACGATGATACATTTGATTCATTTCAGTAACTAATTCACAAACCTGCTGTTTTTGAATAGAAGTAAGATCATTCAATGGTGTAATTTTTACTATAACTTATACATATCATTAAATTAAAATTCAATAAAACTTACTTCCATTTCTTTCTACTTCATTTTGAATTCGCTTAAGACGAGCAACCATCTGGATATTTACCTCTTTACCACCACACATCAAAATTTTCTGAACAATAGAATTATCGCTTTGATCTTGAGGAGTAGAATCTACAATATTAAATATAAGTAATCCCTAAATAACTAATACCTTGTTTAAATTGCGTTATTTGCTGAGTTGGAACAGGAGAAGATAATACTAAATTAGATGCTTGTAATACATAATGTTGGTCGTTAACAGATTTAATATCTTCTTTCTTTTTAATTTTTACAGGAGTTTTAGGTCTTTTTTTTGCTCCAAAAGCATTATCATTTTTAGTCGTAGTTAATAATTGATCAATTGATTGAAATTGTGATTGAGAAACCTGATTATTTAAAGAGGTATTAATATTAGGAACAAAAACATGAGAATATGATGAAAAATTTGGAGCTTCAGAAAACCATTCAGATTGCATAAATTCAGAAGGAATTACATTTGATGCTTGTTGCATTTGAGGTAAACTCTGTCGCATTTGCTGCTGTTGAATTTGAGAAGCCGGTTTAGTAGAATGTAGTTGAGACATAGACTGAGATTGAAATTGATTAGCAGATTGATTATTCATCTGCTGAATTTGTTGATAATGTAGTTGAAGATATAATGCATGTTGATAAAAAAGATCATGAACACGAGTCATTTGTTCTGGACTTAATCTTTGGCTTCGAAAAAGCTCAGCAACTTGAGTCCAAGTAGAAACATTAGAGGGAAGTTCAGGTAACTGAGCTAAAATACGCTGTGGAATAAGATAATTACAAGGATTTAAATGGGGATCAAGATATTTTTTAAATTCCTGATGAGATGTAGAAGGTCCAGTAGTCTGAGTCACCCTTTTCTGCACTTGAGGATTAACCATTTGTTGAACAGATCCTTGCATTTGAGATGAAAACCCCTGTAATGTTTGACCAGAAAGCAACTGCTTAGCTTGTGACTGGGATGACTGAGGTTTTTTATTTTGATTTTGAGTCTGAATAGTCTGATTTAGTGCCATAAGTTTTTGCAAATTTATATTGGACGGATTAAGCAGTGAACCATCGGAACATTGTTGATACAAATCAGCTTGCGATAACATATGAATTTGCTGTTGATTAAGAGATTGTTGATTAAGAGACGGTTGATGCTTATCTGAGCTTTGAAAAGCATGTGTTTGACGGGTCATATATTGTGAATATTGCTGCTGATTATTTTGTGCACGTAACTGATTTAATATTTGCTGAATCTGTAATGCCTTTTGCTGAGAAACAGAATGAGACGGAAATTTTAAATTATCCGAAGCAGAATTCACATTAAGAGATTGCTGATTTACAGAACAGTTTAAAGATTGCATTAAATTCTGAGTAGAAAGATGAGAATTAGTTGAAGCTTGTCTCATTAAAGCTTGCTTTTGGTGAAATACCATTTGCGGATTTAAGAGTGTTGCAGCTTGTTGAAACTGAGAATGAGAATCTATAGCCTGCTGAGATGACTGAGACGCAGAACGAGCAAAAGCAGCTTGGGATATTAATCCAGAACCCTGTGAGCGCTCAAATGTTTTCGGTTGAGAAGAAACAACCTGCTGATGGTGAACCTGGGGAAAAAAATGCACTATTGGTTGTTGATTCTGTGTTTGCAAAGAACTATGTTTGGCAATAGCAGTCCCTTTAATATGCATCAATTTAGTATTACAAATATTAATATATTCCATCTAAAATATATTAGTAAATATAACAATAATAACATAAACAGAACTTTGCTGTTAGCCTTTTCATATGCATGTTTCTCAAACGCATTCACAATAGCCACCAAATGCTCCAAAGAAACATTTGACGATACTGCCCGCAAAGCTGAAACTCTGAAACCATACTTATAAGAACAGAAAATACATAAAAAAGAATCTTACAAATGAAATATAATTGCATGTTGCTCAGATGCGGTCAATGTGCTTCTCCAATTTCCATCAGGAATAATATTGGTTCTTTCATTATGTGTTGCTGCAACAGGTACCTGATTCATAACAAAAAGCTGCTCACTTAAACTCTACAGTTATTCCAGAGAGGAAAATACTCCTAAAAGGAATAAGATCTATTCCTCTTAACTTTTATTTGATCAATAGTAGAGGTAGCGATGACGTTAGAAATGCGATACATGAATAAACCCGCCACAAATAAATGAGTAAAAGAAATACTTTTTTTTTAAACAATCAAAAACTAAAAATTCAATGTTTTATGAATATATTAAATATATTATGTATGTTTATAAAACATTTTGATAAAAATACAATATAGACAAATATATAAAAAAGTTAATATATATATAAAAAAGTTAATATATGCCTGGAAAAATAATCCAAGGAAGGTAAGAAGCATCAATTCGAAACGTCCTTAAATACCAACGATACGTTTCAGATGCAGATATTGTTAGAATAGCAAGAACCCATATAAAAATAATAAATATTGTTTTATTTTGAGCATGTGTTGCCAATATAAGGCTAAAATAAATACCTATTTCCGATGTATAATGAGGACATACAAGATACTTAAATAAACCAGTTGTAGGAAGAGAATATTTAGGCATATTAGGATCAGAACGAAGTTTAGAAAGACCAATATGTGTTGAATGTTGAGCCCAAGAAAAAAAAACATAGACTAATACAGAAAACAAAACAGTAATAATCCCTGAAACGCATTTTAGTTCAATAAACACTTGCTCTACAACCCAATAAATTATCTAGTAACATAAATATTTTTTATTACCTGGATTTTGCAAATTTCCACCCCCTTCACACCACATGCCTAGACTACAGAATATATAGTACGTCATCCCTAAGAAATAGTGCCCTATCCACATTCGAGCATCGCTATGTTTCTGAATAAAAAAAGACTCATAAAGACGTCTTACTCCATGAATACTCATAAATAGTACACATACATACACTTTAAATAGAGATTGCATCCTGTCTTGTGAAAAATAAGTAATCAAACCACATTCTCCATAAAAACGACATCTACATATTTGAATAATCCAAAAACAATTAGATATAGTTGAAACAACATAAAAATGTATAAACCATTTTTTTGGTACAGTATAGCCAAATATAGAACGTTTATAGAAACCCCATGAGTCTGGCTCATCCAATGTCTTTCCATAACACATCCAGCGCTTTGTTAATGGATTTATCCTCGCCATTAACAAGCCACTTGTTAAAATAATAAAATACGTCTGAACAACAAGCGTTATTCCAAACATTTCTACAACACATACATCTAAAAAATAATCCAAAATAGCTACAACACACAATTGCAGAATATTATAACAATTAATCAATAATTTTCCCTTTCATCATTAATTTCATTAATACTCCCTTTAAATATAAAAAACACCAAAAAACTAATTTCTTTAGAAAGATTTTTTAAAATATTTTATCTTTAATTATAAATTCAACAGAAATCACAATCTCATTAAACTATTCACTAATTCAAAAATAGGGTAATCTAATAGGTTTAGGTTTTCTAGTAACAAAACCTAATACACATAATAATTCTATAAAACTCTTATTTATATAACAATATCCATATAAATATTCATAAAAACATTAAAAAATACTTTTAAACATTTATCTTTAATTAATTTATATAATATCATTTAGCAGTCACAATATTAATACTCATATAAAAGACGATCAACGACGACAATCAAACATCTGAACGCACATCAAGGACGTCTGAAATTCAATATTTAGAGATAAGTAGATCAGTTAAAGCTAAATCATAAGAATTTATAGCTAAATCAAATTGGTAATGAAAAAAACGGATTTCATTTGCAGAAAACCGTTTTTTAAACAAGAAAATAAAACTAACAAACAAAAGATCTACCATGCCAGAAGGAGATGACGTTCCAGAAATAACAACAAATAGATGTTCTATGCCAGTAGAAGAAGCACTTCAAGAAGTCCTGAAAAAAGCATTAGTTCATGATGGACTTGCTCGTGGACTTCGAGAGGCTGTTAAAGCACTTGACAGGTAAACATTCAAGATTATTGATTCGATTCTACTATAGATTTCTGAAGAATGATATTAATTAGTTATTAGACGCCAAGCACATTTATGTATTCTTTCTGAGTCATGTGATGAAGAAGCGTATACAAAGCTTGTAGAGGCACTTTGTGCGGAGCATGTTTATTTTCTTTCTTTCAAACGAATTAAAAGTCTAATTTTAATAGAATATCAACCTTATCAAGGTAGCAGACTCTAAGAAGCTCGGGGAATGGGCAGGATTATGTACTTTAGACCGAGAAGGAAATGCTCGGAAAGTTGTCCGATGTAAGTATACAATCTATAAAACTTCCCTTACTCATTTTCAGGTTCATGTGTAGTCATACGTGACTATGGGGAGGAATCAGAAGCTTTAAATGTTCTATTAGATTACTTTAAAAATCAATAAGTCTTTAAAAGAATTTGATAAAATTCAATCAATTTTTTACTCTTAAGATTATATGATAATCTAAATGATTCCATTCCATTTTAAGAATTTAGAAATTCCTGTCTTTTTAATCATTTTTAAATATTTACATTTACATGTTCTATAGTTAAAAAAATATTTCAATTATCAAGAACAAGTAGAAATTATTTTAATAGAAATCATATATTTATTAATTATTCATCTTTTTAAAAATAAGCATTCTATTGAAAACTTTTATGTACAAATAATAAAACATATGATAAATATAAATTATTTAGTTTTAAACAAATAAATAATAAATATGTACTCCGACAAAAAATTTTATGATTTTTAAGGTATCTTTAATATTATTTAACAATAAAAAAAGTAAAAATTGAATATCATAACTCCAAAATTCATTAAGTATTTTATTTACAAAATTATAAAAGAAATACAACCAAAATAGAATAATTATCATTAAATAAAAAAAATGATTTAATCATTTTAATTTCATATTTCGTAGACTATAAACAATTTTATGCTATATTGATATATCATTTAAATTCCATAATGAAGCAAATATAGAATTATTTTCTTCTTTTGAAACAAAAGTGCTATCTGCACTTTGATATTCTATAGCAGGAGACTTTTTCATTTTACAATTCATTTCTAAGTCAATTATCTATATCAATCATGTCAATCCATTAAATAAACAAAAAAACATACGTTTGAATAAGAATAATCAAGAAAATCAGACAAATTGTAACTAGGCTTTGTAAACTGTTCTGAAAAAATCCGAGCCAATGTTGAAACAATAGGATGATAATGGTCTACAAGTGTCTAAATTGATTAATAAATACACTTATCTAAACTTTTTAAAAATACAGCAAGTTCCCACAAGCTACTATCCAAAGCCCTGGTTTTACTGGGGTCTAGCTCCTGTTCCAAAAAAGGGTCTATTTAAAAAATTAAATATTTACTCAAAAAATAAAAAAAATACCTTCAAAAATTGATTTAATAAAAGGTCTATGGATAAGAACGATACATGTTGGATGCCGCTTTAAAAGGTTATAAACAAAAGGAATAATCATAATTATTCCTCCGGGATTTGCTAAAAGACTAAGCCGAGACATTCTCTTAACAAAACTAGCAACAATACTAGCAGGTAAATGCCTAGAAAGTCAGATGAAAATACAAAAATAATAAATTTTTACGTAGAGGATAAAAAAAGGTCAACCAATTTTATAAAACGAGCACGATATCGAATATAAAACAAACTTTCGTCAAACAAAGCATAAAGTTTTGTAAAAAAATTTGGGTAATCAAGATTGTGTTCTTGCATAAGATAAAATAAACCATTTAGTGCTAAAAGAGAGACAGATCCACCTATTTAATCAATAAAAAATAAATTTACTAAATAGAAATTAACCTGCATTATATGAATCCGTAAGAAAATCCATCAATAAGTGTGGTTTTGAAAAAAAAGGGAGGACATTAGAATGAAAAATATTCAAAACAAGTTTATATTGATAATTTTTTAAAGGCAATTGAAGAGCCGTAAACCAAGAATTAGAAAAGACATGTTTTTGTTTTAAAGGACGAAAATTTTGTATAAAAGAATCTGATGATACCCATAACTTTTTAACCTCAAACAAAACAGTTTTCATATTTACTAAAAGAATTGTAAGATTCGTTGTATATGCTTCAATTAAGCCTGAATTCGCATTTTTACACTCAAGCACTTCCTTAGTAAGTTTACTACCAACAATAAATATTATTATTACTATTTTCTATAATCTTACCAAGTATTTTTATAAAAATAATACTGCAAATCCGTATATTCATTTAGATACTCTTTTATTATATAATGAAAAAAAAAAACATGTGCATTTTCATTCAAGAGAAGTGATTTAAGCACTCTATAATACAAATCATTTACAAATCCTCGATTTTCAGATGTACTTTCATCCCGAATTAATCGAAGCAATAATGTGAACGCATGTCCTTGTTGTTCAAGTCTAGTAAAAGATAACTTCTCAAGCAGTTTAACTGAAAAATTAACATATTTTTCCCTGCACCACAAATACGTAGACATTTCAGATGAGTCCACAGAAACCCCTTTAGGTTTAGAAAGTATCCCAGAGGAAAACCAACAAGAAAACGTCTCATATGTTGCATATTGTGCTTCAAGGCTCGTTTCTTCAGAAGAATCCTATATAAGAAAAATAAAAACACACATAAAAGTATTATAAATGCAAAAACCTCACACAATTCTATCAATTCTGTAATTCGATCTTTTTTTTGAGAAGTAATAATTTCTTCTTTTAAAGCTAAAATTTTACTATTTTTAAGACTTTTTTCACTTAATTCATTCTTTAAAAGAATATCCATATTTCAAATCCAATCTCTAATCATAAATTAAAATTATATGTTTTTATTAATATTCTTAACATTTTGAAAAACTGATTTCGAAATACGAAATCTCAAGTTTTTAACGACATAACTCAGACCTTTTAAAAGAGAAAAAAAGAACAAAAAATATGTTATTTTCAATAGCAAAGAGAAATATTGAAGGTTTAATATATTAAAACATAATTAATTCAAAAAATAATAAAATCTTTTAGGTAGATTAGGGAAATTAAAAACTGTTTTTTCATCAAATATATATGGTTCAAAATATTTAGCAACACAAAGCACGCAAAATATTGCAAGTATTAGGAATGTTTTTAAGCAGAATGAACAGACAAGACGTTCTTTCTCTTCTAAAATTGACCCAAAATTAAAAGCAGCAGCTCTCATTGATTTATTACCCAAATCCTCTATTTTATCTAAAACAGGGATGATTACAATGGGAACAATGCTTTCTATTGCAGCTATTTCAAATGAACTTTATGTAGTGAATGAAGAAACAGTTATTCTAGCAAGTTTTATTGGTATTATCTGGTTTTTAATCAACTCGGGGAAGAAAAATTACATCAACTGGATGGATAATCACATTAATCGTATGCATTCATTGCTGAGCAATTCAAGGCAAGAACATGCATCAGCAGTAAAAGAACGGATTGAAACAATCGAAGCATTAAAGGATGTTGTTGATGTCACAAAAAATCTTTTTGAAATGTCTAAAGTTAGAATTTCGTAATACTTTTCTACGACACGAGTACTAATTTATATCTATAGGAAACCCTTCATCTTGAGGCCAAAGAATTTGAACTTTCTCAAATAGTCAACGCTCAACAACAAGCCAAAGCCGTCCTTAACTCATGGGTTCGTTATGAATCAGCCCTTCGTCAACGCGAACAAGCTTATCTTGCAGAAACAATCATCTCAAAAGTTAAAAAAGAACTTCAACAGCCGAAAATACAACAACAGATACTCAACCAAAGTATTACAGAGATTGAAGGTTGTTAAATCTTTTTATTATATTTTTAACATAATTTAGACCTTATGTCTCGAACCCAACCCTCCTACTAACCCACGCTTAATTGTACTTACAAACTTAAATGTAAAAATTAATTATTTCATTTAATGTTTCATTTTTTTTTTCAAAAACTTTAAATGGGACATTTTGTATCAATTTTTCAAAGAACACAATATACACCTTCTGATCCCTTTGTCTATTCAAACACTGTACGGCGGCGATTAGAACATTTACTCCGTGCTAATCATGCAAATCTATCCATTATTCATTATTCTGGAGCACCCAATTTGTTTTTGCAAGTAATATTGGGTGTTTGCAGACACACCTGGCTAATTAAGTCATAGCATCTCCCTGCATTGTATTTGCTAGGTATATCTGCACCACAACTGCTTGATCTATATGATCAAAACCAACCTAGCGACTGTGTATGGCAACCTAGCCCATGTGTAATTATAAAAGCAAACTGGAAGTTCTTTCTTGGAAAAAAAGAATATGCAGAAGGATATAAGCATTATTTTGACGATGAACTAATTAATATGAACTTTAATCAATTACAATTAATGAAAATTTATACACGGCATCTTTTAGCAATGTCTTTACTTAGCGGAGGCAAAACATATAGTCTATAACATAAAAACTAAGTAAAATAGATACATACTCTGTAGTATACCTTGGACTTGCTTTTATTCTAAAAAGCCAAGAAATGACATCAGAAGGTATATCTAATCTTTTTTTACACAAATATTCTTATAGCTACACATAGCCTTAACATCTATGTGTTTACATATACATGTAAATCTTTTGGATCAGAAAATAAAGCTAAACGAATGGTCTTATGGGACATATACATTATGTGAACTTTTATCTGAAATGGCAGAAAAAAAAGAAAAAATTACAAACACAATAAAAGATCTTCAGTCTTTAACAGAAGAATTAATGTATATATCACAATATATATCAAAATGGAATAGTAAAGGTATTATAATTGCTAATCAAACATTTTTCTCTTAATTTCTTAAAGATTACTATAAATCACTGAAAGAAATTGAAGAAACAACACTTTTATTAGCTATAACAGCATCAGAATCGATTAGATTGCCTTTTATTTCTCTTTTTAATGCATCACAAACAGTGTTAATCCTCTCAAAAAACATGGTGTTATTAGATTCACATACACGCTTATATTTTCAAATAATCTTGTTTCATATCTTATTAAATTATATATCTTTAGGTATGCCTTGTATTCAACCAAACAAACTCAATCAATACCCTCCGATTGACATGAAAGCGATTAAGAATGATCTAAAACTAGTATCTTTTAATACTGAAAAACTTATAGGCTAGTAAACACCAATCATACCTATTTTATTTAACATATCTAGCCATATACTATCTTAGCATGACTGAAAACATTAACTTTAAAGAAAAAGCAATCTCCGCTATTTATCACTCAAAGTAAATTATTATTCTTTATAAATATCTATCATTTATAATTTTAAATTGTATCTATTGTCTTTAATGTTAAAAATTAAGAATTATTTCAAGCAAAAAAAAAGATTAAAATAACTGTTCTACAATTTAATAAAAATGAATGACCACCAAAAAAATATTCTACATCGAACAATTCCCTTTGACATAAAACATGATATTTCAATTACATGAAATATATACGAAAAAATATATATCGCATATGTTAATGATAATTATAATCAATGGGAGGCGGAGGTGGAGGCGGCATACCATATGACCTAGTTGACTGAGGTAAAGAATGAAAACTAGTATTTGGTGGTTGTGGTGGTAGAGATGTCGATGTAGTTAACCCAGGTGACATAGAAGTATACATGCCACCAGGTGGACCGTACTTAGACATACCAGGAGGAGGCCCATATAATGATAAACTTGGAGGCGCTGTTCCAGGAACACTATAAGAAGATGCACCAGGAGGACCCTGAGAAACACCAGGTGGCGGTGGTATTGAAGGAGCAGATTGAACCCATGGGGGAGGTGCAGAACCCCCATACGCATCTGGAAGCGCTTTGGCCTAATCATATACTTAAAAACGCAAAAAACATGCTCATGTATATAATTACCCAAGGCGGGGCAGTGCTGGAACCCGAAAGGTTTGCCCAAGGTGCTGCACTAGCACCCTCGATTCGCCCTACTTCATTACGTCCTTGACCAAGCTCCTGCATGAGGTTTTCATATTCACGTTCGGAAGCATCATTCCCGTTATTCAATTGACGTAGAACTTCTGGATCATTCCTCATTGTACAATCACGAGACATGTGGCCAGCATTCCCACAAATTCGACATACGACATTAGCCGTATAATTCTGACGCTCAGGACAATCGAATCGACGATGACCAACATTTCCGCCTGAGGAAGAATAAGCTTTATTTCAAAACACGTTTATTATAGATAAAATGTATACAATTTTGACAAACTTGGTTTTCGTCGTCACGAAGTGTACCGTTAAGCATTGCAAGGTCACGCAGTTGTTGTCGTTTAAGATCATTCTGTTCCTCAGGAACAGATGCCGCCTTATACGAATTAAGATAAAAATGCAAAACAAAACCCGACTTTTTACAGTTTCGATAATACTTTCAATTAACTTAATAGCATGACGGACTTTGTCCTCAGTATCTGCCATGACGAGACAATGCAAATCTTCTTCAAGACTACTGTTAGCAGAGGGATCGCTACGTCCTTTTCCCTCTTTAACAGATCCTTTACCACGTATAGCAATTTTCGCGCCCGATTCGGCTTCCATTTTCTTCAAAGTGTTGCCTCGAGGTCCAATCAATAGACCAACTTTATTCCATAGGTTAGCTCAAGTATTCTCCTCAAAATGTTAAGAAGAAAGGGGTATAAACTGAAATTGATTTCTGGATACTGAAAAAATTAGCATTATCCGAAAGAACGGGCTGTCAACATACATCATTTACGGGAACATATATCTTATCCTGGGTCTTTGTAGGTCGTCGGTAATCGACAGGAGGTTTAAAATCCGGAATCGTACGCATTGCTTTGTCAATCAAACAATGACGTTCATCCTCAAGACGTTTTCGATACCGAATTTCACGTGTATTCGTCCGACGGCCGAAATTATCATACTGAGGCGGCGGCGATGGCGATCTACATTCATCCGCTTCAGAAAACACCTCCCAACCCCATATCGCCTTACCTCTCCCCATCACGCGGCACCACATCCCCAATACGCAGCTTCTGCCCTATTTCTTCAAGCCGCATATGAAGGGCATACGCTTCAAGCTGCTCATTCGTCATATTACTCGTAATCGCCGTCGGCAGACCAATTAGCCCAAGTGCCTTATTCCCTTCTGGACCGCTCGTTCCCCACCGATTCTTCCGTTTCCGTACCCGTAAACCTCCTGTCTTATACCTCCGCGGCTCATCAACCCCCGGTGGAAGAGGTGCTGACGAATCTGACGGCAATGGTGGCATATATTGGCCACCATTCTGTTTTTCCTCAGATTCCGCCTCCTCATGTCCAAATCGCCTCCGTGGCCCTAAAGGCACACTGTTTGTTCCCGTACTTTCCCGATGCATCCCAAATACTACAGAAAAGTCTATTCTTTTTGCTTTTCCATAAATTTATGTTTTTTTTTAAATTTCAATCGCAGACCCATCGGCTTTTTATACCCCTTCCAGATCACGTGAATGACACGTGATCTGGAGTAAAAAAGAGGATATATTTAAAAGAAAAATACAGGAACAGATAGATATATGAAATGGATACATTTGAAGAACACGATTGTATTGTTTTTATATGAAATTATATTTATAGGTATTTGAGTTAGAGACATGTCGAAGACGACACAGGTAGACATTGAAGGGATCGAAAATACATGTTATATATAAAAATATAGAAAGGTATTAAACAAGCAGAAAACATTTTTGAGCATTTATCAAAGATGTAGAGAAGATTTTGTTTAATTTTTTTTCTCTGTTTTATCAGAGGAAAACCCACTGTTTTATCTCGACGTGCACATCGTGCACGACAGAAACGACAGCCAGCAGAAAATCTATATAAAGCGTCTTTTGTATAAAGATTACTAGTTCTTTCAGCACTTGGCGGATTCCTTGGCTCATACTTAATCTATTTCTTTAATGGCATCAGGTGAAGTGAAATCTGCATGAAAAACGCATCAAAAACAGCTAAATACTAACTGCTTAGGATACGGATACGGAGGAGGGCGTTCCCGATGCTATGAATTCTGGCAGCAATTCCTGGTATACACAATATTGTATATTTATATTGCTTACGCCCCAGGGATGCTATGTTTCTGCAGTAGATAAGGGTAATCGCCCTTCCTGCACCGAGGAAATGGAAGACTATATGGAATGTCTCCACCATTCAAAAGAAGCATAGCTGTGACCACAAACTCACTGGAACATACTGACTACTGCAGATCCGTCGGATGAAAACAATCCAGCGTACAGCCGCTCAAAAAACTGTTCCTCACAACCTCCAGATCTCCACATCCTCCAGTCCATATCAATAACCCCTTAAAGACTTTTTAATGCAACAAACACAATATGTAATTATTTAATGACTAATATTGTAAAGTGGATTAAAAATTTTTATCTATTAATAAAAATGTTCTCACTATCCTACCACCGAAACCATGTATCTGTAAACATCTCATCAAAAAAGTCAAACGGGTCCATGTATCGACCATTCATCGTTGAGAATCCCATTTCTTCAAATATACTTGATGGAATATGGTGTGAGAACCGCGGAAACCCACTCATTTCCCGGAAAAACATCCGTACTGTCCTCTGCGGAAACATGTGCTCCATAAACTGTTCCTGTGCTGCTGCAAACCACTCTGTGCCTCTTTCCTCTCTCTCTGGAGGTGCACATGACAGTCCATACGTATCAAACAAGCGTCGCTTATTGTCTACTCCATTAGCCCCCGTCTTAATTTTCCTATATACCCATATATTCCATATATCCCATATAAATTATATAAACCATATATCCTATATATACAGTATATATAAGATATATACCCCTTATATAAACCATATATCATATATATTATGTATATCTTCATATACTCTATATATAGTATATATATCATATACCTTATATATACAACATATACAGTATATCTTGACTATCTTGCCTTTTTCTTGCTTCTTTTCGAAAAAAAATGTATCTCTCTATATACTTACCATCATATAACACTTCATACGCCTCTTTAACCTCTTTAAAGCGGTGTTCAGCCGCTGCGCGCCGCTCCTCCGGGACTTTATCCGGGTGATTTGCAAGTGCTATATATATCATTAGTTTTATCTTTAACTCTGTGCTTAGTAAACCCTCTCGCCGGTATGCACGGCGGATCTCTTCCTTTGTTGCACTTCGTGTAAGCGAAAGTGTCTCGTATGGGCACCGCGATAAAGCCATTACACTGCTACAAACTCCAAAGGCGACTTTGACCGGTGGTGTGTCCGGTGTGACACTATAACAACGCACCATAGCAACGTGTCATGGCAACTCACTATGATAAGTCATGGCAGCAACGATATATACGATAATACTCCTAAGAAACTGCAATAATAAACATCTCTACATATGGAAATTATACAGCATCTATAAAGTATATATAATGCAAAAACTTTCTTAGAATATACATGTTTTAATGTGCATACTATATACAGTATAATATAGTATATATTATGCATAGCAGAAGCATACTATATATAATGAATCTAATTGAGCAGAAATAGGGACATAATATGTAATTAGAGTGTCCTTTTACAAGAGGAACAATAGAGAACATATACTGAGGAAAGTATTATGTATATATACGAAGTTATACAAAGTGTACAGAGAGATCTAAAAAGCATTATCTTCTAGAAATAAAAATACTTTTATATTAATAGAGTGCGTAAAAACAGATTTATTCTTAGATAATGCACATTATACGCACTATGTGAATCGTATAACTATATGCGTTGTATGCGTATAGTATATACTGTCTACGTATTGAATGTTGTATATACGCTAGAGTGTATTCACATTGGATACAGTATATACATAATATATACATACCACGCATAGTATATATCTGCTATGTATACTACGTACATTATGCGTTATATATGTAATATATACACCAACAATTCAATTATATATACATAGTCTTGCATATGCTACGGATAATACGTATATAATTGCCTAATGCATATAATGCATATTCGCCTTATATAAAACACATATGCTATATAATGTCGACAAAGTAATATAAGACATATAATGAACATATACAAATATAATATGCATATACACTGGGTACAGAACGCATGCACATAAAGTCGCAATGTATATATGATAGATCTAACACATATAACGAGCATATAATACATACAACGTGCATACAGCTAGAGAAAAACATATGAAAACAAAAAACATCTGCTGCATACATATAAACAGACATATACATCTGTACACGGACATACATAACCATATATATTTGTACAGGTATATATAGGCGTATACACAGAATGTACAGAGTATATACAAGTATATATGACTGTATAGAGAGTAGATGCGTACTCTGTGTACATGTGTTATATATGTTCTGTATATATATATTATATATACATTATATATACATTATATACATTATATGTACATTATATGTATATTATATACACAATATGGGTACTATATGTGCAAATAATGAATATATATACAGAACCATAAGACTCTCGAGACAGCCTCAGTGATGTTATTTGCAATAGACATAATTAACAGCAGTGCCATTTGAAGCTCATTTGAATATTAGGAATCAAAGACAATCTGCAGGACAGAACAACACATAATTTAGGAAAAATCAAAGACAAAACAGAAGAATTAAGTAGATAATTTGTTTATGTGAGATATTCTTGAAAACGGTTTGTCCAGTGAATGGATCGATGTTATGCTGACAAATGCACAGGAGATTGCACGGAAAACAAAGTTATTAGAAGAAAAACACACTTATTAAAAAGAAAAAAGGAAGATCATCACTTTTCAAGAAAGAGAACACAGGGTTTTTACAAGATTTCCTTTTGATAGGTTTATACAGGGCAAAAAAGAACGGAGCAAAAAAAGCGAATATTTTTGCATATTTTTAAGCAAATATAGTCTATTTAATTAGGCAAAAACAAAATCAGTGAATTTTTCAAATAGTCAGTGGATAGAAAGGAACAAAAGAAGTACCTGGAACGTATATAACGGGCCAGACAAAAATCAAAACAAAACAAGACAGAAAGGGATGAGAGAAAAAACATTGTATTTACAAATATTTGAAAGAGTCTAGCCACATAATGGTCAAGAATACGTCATGAACCAAGCCTCAATTTGTTTTAGACAAGAAGTAGTTCATACGGATCAAATAAAGAATTTTGTATTATCAAAACATCATATGTTGGAAGAGTCCTGTGTATCTTCATCTAATAATAATGTAAACCCAAGTTTTCTGCAAAGGTGGAGAAAAGATAATCTAATTATAGCGGATCATGTACTGTTTATAAAGAATGAGCCGAGATTAATATTTTCATTTTATACAAAAGCTTTCTGGTTCATGATCTCTCAGATAAACAGAGAGAAACGATGCCAATGCACGCTTTGTGTCAATTTCCTACAGATTTTCTATACATATTCTCAGCAATGCATGTTTGATTATACTTATTTTAACAGTGACTATATATCCAAAGTAATTCAGAAACTATTTTCTCACAAGTTTAAACAGAAACATAAAAATTCAACTCTCTGCATTCTTAATGTTTTTAATATTAATACAAAAGATTTTCATATGCAAAAACTTGCTTCTCATATTTTTTCAGAACATAAAAACATCTTTGGAATAATGATTTCTAAAAAACACCACATAAGTTGTCTTTTCCATCATGATTGTATGATATCTAGTGAATCTCTTATTAGAGAATGTAAAAAATCACATAGGGCAATAAAAATGAAAGAAAACAGTAAGACTTTATCAAAAACTAAAAATATTAAAAAGATAATCGAATTATTTTCTGATTTTTTATCAATGTTATATAATGTTGTTAAGGAAAAGAGTATTTTGAACATTTTTGATTTCGAAAATACTAGTTTAACATTTATTAAAAATTCAACTGGTTTTTATTCAAATTACAATATATTAAATATTACAAAGCACGACGAAACAGTTTACTATTTTTTTCATATTCCTAGTGAATCACTTTTTTCTTATACATCTACATCCACATTTTCTGATTTAATGAATAATTATTTATTTAAATTTTTGGACCACTCTTATATTAATTTTCTATCCTTTCTTTTGGCATTTAATAATCAAAAATCCCTTTTACTACTTTTTGAAAATCTATCTATAGAATCTTACATCTTAATGCTATTATTTAGGATATTTACTTCATCTAATCTTTTTCAAAAAAATCTTAAATGTCAAATGAATAAAGTCATAACTATTCCAGAAATTTACTCTCAATTTATTTATAATTTCGTTAAAAAAAATTCAAAGATTTACTTAAAAAATCAACAGTTATCTGGAGTTCAAACAAATTCGCGAAATAATGAGATTACTACTATAATAGAGAAGTAAATTATAAGAAAATAAAAAAACATCCATTAAAAATCTTAGGGAAAAAAAAGGTTTACTATTTTGTAATCTTTTAGAAAACAATCCATATGAGCTATTCTATACATTATGGTCCTTATTTAAAGATAACTCTTTTAATATAGAGAAGATATCAGATATGTTATACCAACCTTCTTTAACAATAAAAAAAATATCTATTAAGAATAATATGGAAAAAATTAACGATATAGGAAAAACTAGAAAGAGAATTGATGATTTTATGATTCTTGGCAATTTAGGAACTGGTGCCTATGGTGAAGTTAAATTAGCAAAGAATAAGCAAAAAAAAACAAACAAAGTAACGCATTATATTTTAATACAACTGTTTCTAAATCATCAAGGTTATAGCAATTAAATATATAGCAAAAGCATGTATACTTGTAGATACATGGGTTCAGGAAGGAAACCTAGGGACCATTCCACTGGAAATACATATTCTCAATTATTTAAAGAACAGTCCTCATAAAAATATTATAAGAATGATTGACTATTTTCAGGATGAAAAGAATTACTATATTTTAATGAATTATGATGATTCTGGAATAGACTTATTTGATTATATCGAACTACATAAAGATATGACTGAACGTGAATGTATAAGTATCATTTTTCAGCTTTGCCAAGCAGTAGCTCATCTTCACTCTCTCGATATTGTTCATGGCGACATTAAAGATGAAAACGTTGTACTAAATAAAAATGGTTGTGTTAAACTTATCGACTTTGGTAGTGCAAATTATGTTAAAAAAGGGCCATTTAGTACTTTTCATGGAACATTAGAATTCGCTGCTCCTGAAATATTAAGAGGAGAAAAATATCAAGGAAAACCACAAGATATTTGGGCCTTAGGGATTCTTTTGTTTACTATCATTTATAAAGAAAACCCTTTTTGCAACGTAAAAATACCTTTTCTCGTAGTGGACATTAATAATTATATATAGATTTATGAAATCATAGAAAAAAATTTACAAATACCTTTTATTCTTTCAGAAGCGAGTATTGATTTAATTAAAAAAATGTTAACAAGAAACTTAAATAAAAGAATAATGATAAATGACGTATTACAACATTGTTGGTTTGATAATATAGGAGAACCAATTCAAATTCCCTTAACACTAAATAAGATTCTTTAAATACCATTGGTCTTAGGAAAAACTGAAATTCTTCATGTATATAGTTTTAAATTCAAAACAATAAACATAAAATTCAAGTATAAACAATTATTGTATAACATAATTATGTGTATATCATGGCAAAAGAAAAAAAATTAGCTCTTAAAAGGGCATTATATTATCAGAAAGAAACTTAATTTATAGTATTTTTATTAATCAATTAAATAAATATTCAATATTCAGTTTCAATAAACAAAAATCCAGAATGACAAATAATTCTAGAACACTTAAAAATATATAAATAGTTTTTTGCGTTTAAATTTATATCTAAAGAACTCAAAATTTAAAATAGACCAAACTCCAATTACCATTATACTTAACAAAATAATATCTAAGAATCATTTTAATAATTATAACTCTAATAAACACCAAACAAAAATATTTAAATTAGCAAATATATGGAAAAAGAGGAATCAAAAAACACATCTTCAAAAAAAAAGACATATTCTGACTATAACCATGCAATTAGTGGAGGAATTTCTGGATTTTCAGCTCGGTTACTATACTTTAACCATTTAATCTAAATAATGATATTTTTACAGTCTTTTTATTTCGCCTTTTGATGTAGTTAAAATACGTTTGCAGCTTAGAACATATCCATCATCTTATTCAAAAGAATTGAATCATAAAATTCTTCCATATCATGGAATTATTAGCTCAGTTAAGCATATTATTCATCAAGAAGGAATATTCGTATATACTCTAAATAAAAAAGAGATAAAATTGATTAAATTAGGCTCTATGGAAGGGGAATTGCTCAGCTCAGATTTTATATATGGTTTATGGAGCAACGCAATTTTTTACGTATGCAAAATGCAAATCTTTATTGGATAATATTTTTCCAGAAAAAAAATATAATTCTGGCAAATCATTTATATCAGGCGCTATTGGAGGAGCACTAGGAACAATAGCATCTTATCCGTTTGATCTCTTGAGGACTCGATTTGCAGCACAAGGGAAATCTAAAGTAGATTCATATATTTAATCACCAAGTATCTTATAAAACAGATATATTTATCAATTCCTCAATCAATTCGATCAATATACATTTCAGAAGGAATTAGGGGATTTTATCGTGGAATAAATGTGTCTCTTGTACAAATAATGCCTTATATGTATTTCTATTACTATTGATACCGGCTCATTGACCATCTTGGTAGGGGGATTGTGCTTGGAATATATGAAAGCAGCAAAGTGTATATACCGAAGACGGGCCATTTCTCATATTGGGGTGATGCATTTCTTGGAATTGTATCAGGAACTATCGGAAAAACCATTGTTTTTCCGTTAGATGTAATTAGAAAATGCCTACAAGTAAATATTAAAATACATAATGGAAAATCTTAAACATAAATAGGTTCAAGGCCCAACAAGGACAAAATATTTTTACGAAGATATTCCTATTTATAATAGAATTATGAAAACAGGGATAATCATTTTTAAAACCGAAGGATTTTTAGGCCTCTATAAAGGATGGTGGGTATCCATTTTAAAAGCAGCACCTTCTACGTATTAGCTTTATTTCTTATATTATTTTCTCATATATCATAGAGCAATTACATTCTGGACTTATGAAAAATCTCTCAACTTCATTAATACATTAGAACAAAAGAATAATAAAAAACTATCATAGAAAAACCAAACGTATAACAAAAAATAATTGTATTATATAAAATCAATACTATAAATTCTAAATCAAACTATATTAAAAAAATTAATTATTTCAATTATGAATTAAATAATAGCTATTACAATTAATACGAATTACATTAATAATAAAAATCAATATATATATTTATATCATTTATTCTTCCATTTTCTGGACAATCCCATTATTAGCAGCCTCTTCTGTTGTTTCACCTATAACCATAAGGTTATCAATCCGCGACACATCTTCATTGCCTCCATTTGATTCCACAAAAAGAACAAGACTAACGACTCGTTGAAATTTAACATATCTAAGCGGTATAACAGAACGGCCATTTGCGTCATAAGTAATATTCTCAATACGCTGTGTCGGCTGAGAACCAGAACCAGACACATCTTCAAAAGACGGAAGCGATATCAGATTTATATACAGAGAAACACATAACGGTGCCTGTGCTTGGTTCTTACATTCCAGTATCAATGAATGAATACGGACCGTAGATTTAAACTATGTTGGCATCAGCTTAAAAAACAACACCCCCTATTCATACTGGAATATACAGCAACAACTGCTCATCTACATCCGACTGCAAATGCCCTTCTTTTTCAAAAATAGACCGAAAAGGATAGTTTTTGTCCATATTCAAGCAATCCAACTAGAACATCCATCACATACACAATCTACACTCATAAAACCCATACCTGGCGCTGATCAATAAGACTATTCAGCTGATAAAACCCTTTTACTTCATCTGAATCTATAAACGCAAATTTCAGCCTATTTCTCCCGGATAAAACGGCCCAAAAGCCGCAAATACCTTTCTTATTAATAGGAGACGCTGTTTTTGCATATTTCTCAATCAACAGCTCCAATTGCTGCCTATGTGCACCCGACATTCGCTCTGCTTCTTTGCCCTTCACAAAAACCACAAAAGTTGGCCTAAAAACCCCGTTTTTTCAGGAAAAAAAAACACCATATCATTTATACAACTCACATTGACGTAACACGTACTTTTGACGCTACTGAACGCACATTTTCTACGTTTATTCTTGCAAAAACAATATTCCCCAAAAATTTAGGATGTTCACTTAGTGACGTAAAAATCGGCCCAATCGCCTTACATGGCCCACACCACGTTGCATAGAAGTCCACTATTACAATGTTGCCACTATGTTCCACTATCCGCTCATATTCCTGGACGGTCTGTATTTCCTGTACGACCATTTTGCCTACAACGGGTTCCGAGAGCACTTATGGGCGGAGGTACCGATCAGGTGGGTTTGAGTGCGCATATATAGATATATCGGGAGAATAAACGTGTTTCTTTGGCCAATAAATGCTCTTTAAACCCCTTTTTATGTTTCCAATTCTCTTCAAAGGCCTTCGTGCAAACACTATATTTTGCATATAAAGCATATACTATATACATTACAATGTACATATATGCACAGTATATGCACAATATATGCACGGTATATGCTATGCATAGGATACTATGGGGCAAATATGTCCGCAGACAGCGCATATACACCATAGATAGCGCATATATGCAGAGAATATATGGAGACGGCATATAGCGAGCGGGATGCCATGCTTTGCTGTGCAGCAGTGCACGCAGTGCACATAGTGTATGTAGTGCATATACCATGCATAACAGTATATACAGCAAATATAGCGCATATGCTGTGTATATTGTGCATATAACGCATACAATGCGCATACACACGTGCGGCAGACCGCTGGCACAGCGCACTGTATGCATTAGCGCACGCCGTATGCACTGGCGTATGCACTGTGCATATACACTGCGCATATATACACTGACATACACGTATACACACGTATATGCATACATACAGACGTATATGCACACATATATATGCATATATACACAAACATATATACACAAATATACACAGACATACAGACTACGCACATACACACGCACAACGCCCACCGGCACGCTGCATATGCACCGTACAGTGTAGCAATGTATGTACTGTATGTGTCTATAGTGCATACATTGCTACACAGCACAGTGCATATGCTGCTGCATTGCGGGTACACTGCGCATACACAACGCATATAACGCATACAAAGCATAATACATAGCATATATAACATATATAGTGTATATAAGTGTATATAATATAGCATACATAGCATACATAGCATACATAGTGTATATAGAATATACAGTATGTATAATATGCACAGTATATATGGTGTGCAGTGTATATGCAGTGTATAGTGTGTGCACAGTGTATAGTGTGTATGTATAGTTACAGTGCACATAGTGCATATAGTGCATATGGCATATGGTATTTATAGTTCTATAGTATACAGTGTACATAGCGTATACAATGTACATAAACGTATAATGTATATGAATGCACTGTATCATAGGTATAGTATGTATAGTATATATAGTATATATAGCATACACGGCATATATAGTTATAGTGTATGATTATAGTGTGTATGTATAGTGTGTGGTATATAATATATGGTTGTGTATATACAGTGTATATACAGTGTATATAGCACAGATAACGTGTAGTACACGCAGCGTGTAACACATAGCGTGCAGCACAGCGCGCAGTGTGCATAGCATAATAGTATTATAGTGCATACAGCGCGTGTTCTATGCATTAGCACACATATACTACATGCATGCACACTGTGCACACGCCAGTCGTCGCCCCGGTAACCATGCCCTAACCCTGCGGTGCGGACACGCAGCAACCCTAACCCGCCTATGCTTATGGCGGCCGTGGTCGGGATAGGAAACATACGGATCTGAGCAAAGACCGAAAGGGAAAAGCCGTGAGTGACGGGTTCCAAGGCTGCCGTGATAGATTGGTCGCATAGACAGAAGAGGCAACGAACAAGTCAGAATACGTAATGACGCAGAAACGACCCGTGGAAGACGGGGAGCTTCCAGGGACAACTGGGGAAGACGAGGGTAAGCGTGCGCGGACAGAGGAGGACGATGAGGAGGACAAAGCAGGGCGAGAGCGTATGCCGTCGGCATGGAACAGGCAGCAGCTGACAGGGAAATGCAGGGCGCAAGATTGAAATCAAGTTTATCGAAGACAAGAGTCGGCGGCACATTACCTTTTCAAAGCGCAAGGCGGGGATCATGAAGAAGGTAGGCACTAGCGGTGTGCGCGTGTTGTGTGGTGTATGCGCATACACCGCGCATACAGTGTGCATACAGTGTGCATACATGCCTACACATGTATGTGTATGCACTGCTGCAGGTGTGCATGCCTGTATGCGTGCACTATGTGTGCTGTACACAATGCATACTATATATGCAGCATACACAATGCACGCATACATAGTGCCGGGCTGCATAGTGCACTGCATGCGCATGCTGGAGCAGAGGCTGACGGAGACAGGCATACGAGCTGTCGGTGCTCACGGGGACACAGGTACTGCTGCTTGTGGTGTCAGAGACGGGGCTGGTGTACACATTTACGACGCCAAAGCTGCAGCCGTTGGTCACAAAGGCCGAGGGAAAGAACCTCATACAAGCGTGCCTGAATGCACAGGACCCGGGGGGAGCGGGAGGACACGAGGAGCCAGAGGGGCCGGTGGTGAATGGGCCGGGAGTAATGGGAAACACGGGGTTGCCGCCGTATGGGGCGCCGCCGGCGATGCGGGCGCTGTACTTTAACCCGGAGCAAGCGGCAGTGTATCAGCAATATATGGTGGGAGGATAATGGTGTGGGAAGTGGCTGATGAGGAGCAGCAGCAGCCGCCGTATATCCAGCCGGGACGGATGCTGGGGCAGCCGCCGCCGCAGCATTTGCCGCACCTTACGTCGATGGGAGGGCACCTGACGCACCATATGGGGGATGTACATATCAGGGTGGACAAGTAGAGTGGGAAAGCAGAGAGAACAAGGAGCCGGGCAGGGTGGGAGGGTTAGGAAGGGGCCAAGGAGGCTGGAAGAGGCGGGAAGAAGTCGGAAGATGTTAAAAAAAGAGGCCAGAAAGGAGAAACGAGTGTTTTATGAGGCTATTTTTAGGTTATTTTTGTGCTTTGTGCTGTAAAAGGAGATTTGGAGGGGTGATGTTTGGAAAGAGCCAGAGGCACTGTATTTATTGTATTTTTAAAATTAGTGGTACTGGGGTGCAGTTAAGTGGGAAAAAGTTGCATAGAAACACGAGGTTAGCAGAGTGTGATAAATATAGTAGGTTATGAACATAGTGGGTTTTGAAGGGTAGTTGATAGTGCAGACAGATTAGGGTTTGGTTTTGAGTCTATAAGGGAGGAGGGTAGGAAATGTTGATGTTTTGGGTAAAGTTTGATCTTATAGAATGATTTAGGTTGTATAGTCTAGTAAGATAGGATGGGATAGATAGGATGGGATATATAAAAGTCAGGAGCTTTAGAACGAAGCAGTAAATGACCAGTTTTAAGGATGATCAATTGTGGCGTCTTTGTACAAAAGTGGGAATCTTCGCGGAAGTGTTTTCCATGGGGATTTCTTTGTTGAAAGCGAGTCTGAGGAGTGTGGGAGGGAGTGTATGGTTTGAATGGTATTTGTTGGTTTAAAATTTTGTTTTGAAGAATATTGACGTTTTAAATTTATAAATGTATTTTTGTACTGTATGGAAGTTTTATCCAGGTTAATATTGCTAGTGGTATTTAGCCGTTTAGGTTCTAGACGGCTTGTGGATGGATATTATGTTTAGATTTGAATATTTATATTAAATTAATTATATTAATTCTTGTAATATTGTGAATAATGAATATGCAGTTTTAGAAAATATTTTTTTCATTTTTGTGTCTAAAATGGAATTTGCTACTTATTAAAGCCGTTTTTAAAAGCAAAAATATTTCAATCGCGACTTGGGTATATATAATGGGTCTTGTATATGTATACATTATGTATGTATATGACATGATTGATGGAACGGATATATTGTTTTGGCTATAATTTTTATAATGTTTGCTTTGAATGCCTCTTATTTATAATTTTCTATTTTTATTATGGTTAAGTTTATTGATAACAAGACATTAGACTATCCGTCAGATCAACCTATGTTATTAAAATTTAATAAAAAGAAAAAAAAATATAAAAATAAAACAACTGTTTAGTAGAATTATGAGTTCCTGATTTCTTTGGAAAACTTGTGAATATAAATGAATTTGCCAAAAATATTGGGTTAAATATTGTTAAAAGAAAGTAAACAGTGAAATTTGAGGAAAAAGCTAAATTGCTTTTTAATAAATAAAATTTTTGTTTTATAAACTATAGGGAAAAATGCAGAGGAATCATATATATAACAGTGTATAATTTATAAACGACAATGGTTTATAATTTTTATTAAATCATTTTTCATAAGAGTTTAAACAGAAGGTTTGCGTGGAATCATGCTAATATGAAATAATTAGCACCCAAGTCTTAGAAAAATATATTGTGACTAGTATGATTCTTTATTTTCCCTTTAATTTTATTCTTGAAAATTTTATTAATTGTACGAATGAATATGCCGGTTTATAACAAACCCTAAGTCTAGAATTCAGACAGTATGCTAGGTTATTATGAAAATTTTAAAATAATCTTGGAAAATATCTAAAGGGTTTCCAGTGATGATAAAAATATTTCTAAAAACAAGAGATATATCAAAAGTTTAAAAAGGAATATTAGTTAGCGATAAAAGTATTAAAAATCAATCGTTTTTTCTGATAGATAATGTATAATATCATATAATTAGATTTTGTTATATTAAAATTGAAATAATTAAATATAAAAATTTAAGATGAATAATTGACTAAGTATAAATAAAAATATTGAATCTTTATTGTCTAGTATGTTTTAATAATTTAAAAAGATTTTAATACTTTTTTATTTTTTAGAAAAAAAAGAATTTTTTCAAAGAATAAAACTTGAGATAATTTAATAAACTTTCTTATCTATTCAGTAAGCATTTTTATATTGTAATAAAGTTAATAGATATATGACAATACCAGATCAAAATTACGATGAGACCAAAATTATGCTAATAGAAAAAAAATACTACTAATGCTTGTTAAACCAAATATATGAGTAAAAATTAAAATAATTAAAGGAAATATACCATTAATTCATTAAATTGTTTTTTATATCAAGAAAAAGAACTGCAACTCTTATATTTTTTAAATATTCCCTATTAAATTGTAGGTTTAATCAAATCGATAAGAGTTAGCTAAAAATATTAGTCAGCTAAAAATAATAAATATCCTATAATGATAATAAAAATTTAATGTTTTTTTATTTTGAATGTTGAAATTTATTTCAAATGTTCTAATACTAATATTCAAAAATATTATTTTATTGACTCGTATTTAAGTATATTAATATGCATTATGGTTTCTCAAAACTTATGTTTAATATTCCGTAATATATATATTATCTACATTTTTTGCTAAACATATATATTCTGGTTTAGGAAAAAGGCAATATTTTTTTTGCATGAAATAGATCATATTAACATCTTATATTCTGATTGATGGGATTATGTATATGTGTAACCTTTTTTCTTATTGAAAGTTTTTTTAAAAAAAAAATAAAGTATGAATAAATCGTTTCTTATTTTTTACATAAATCTGATATGTTGGGATAAAGATTTATCCGATTCAGTATCTAAAATATATATGCCTTAAAGACTGTAACAACTGATGAAATTACTGATAGAATATGTATATGCTGGCACGTTGTAATAGATTAAAAAGCGCCACATGATTGACCAACATGTGCACGCAAATGTATATTACTTATTATATGCATTATAAAACTCTTTTCAAAAATTAACATCAACGACAATATATATAGTTATGTAGATATATGCATGTTGAATACGAAAATGAAAATACGGATAAACAGTCCAGTCTGTGATCCTGCAAAGGATATTACTTTCTGAATCAGATATCATCAATATCCACATTGTCAAACTCGAAATTACACTCGTCCTCGCCTTCTCCCCCAAATGTATCTGTTTCATTAATTTTTGCTGTCTCGTTAGCTAAATCCAACTTATACATGCACCTACTGTTTTCTGGAAGTTCTCCATAATTCTTCAGATCTCGTGCTTCATCTGCTGTATATTTTAGAATTACATCTGCTTTCTTGTCCTGATACTCTCTCAATGACAGTAAAATCACATCTCCTTGGTTAATCCATACTTTTTTCCGCAATTTTCCGCGTATATGCGCAAGTCTTTTTTCTCCATCAAAACACATTGCTTCCAAACGCCCATTCCCAAGCATTTTTGTCACTTGAGCATACTCCTGTCCATCATCTTTAAAGACAAGTTCCCGTTTTTCCGCCTCATTTTCATTTTTGCCTCGGCGACGGTTTTTTCCTCCCTATAAAAATGTTAATTATTTTGGTAAAATTGTATATAAAATCCTTCAAATTGCTTACTTTTCCTTTGTTTTTTGGCATTACAAATGCCTATTTATTGAAAAATACAAAACTCTGTTTTTTCCCGGTAGAAAAAGATAGTCGAGATTTATAAGTTTTCGGACACGCAGCGGTCGGTGCTTCATTATTGTGATTGCTTATACTGATACTTTAAAGTTTTTAAGCAAGAAAAGAAGTAGAGAAACCCTTAGAGAGTGCTTAGAGGGGGTATTACGGGTGTTTTAGAGGACTTAAGACCTATTAACGTTTATATAGGGCATATATAGTCATTATATTTATTGTTTAAAAGACTACAAAAGGAATTTATTGATATACACTTGGATATAATTGAAATAGACAGAATTGGGCTGATTGGGTTTATTATAGTTGCTGAGATTAAGATATATTTCTTGAATATTGTAGTTAAATTTATTCAGGAATCAGAGGAATAGGGAGGAAAAGTTATTGAGTGTTTAAGCAGATTTTAGACGCATATATCTCTTGAACAGCCTGTATAGTTAGGAGATTATAAGGGAACCGAGTTATTGGCAGTTTGGACGTGTAGAATTGGATAAAAGGAGGGATATTTCAGCTCTGGACTTGCATTTGCAGGGCAACAGTGCTGCAGCAATGTACGGATATCAAGAAGAAGGCAGAGACCGCAGGTTGCCTCCAATGTATGCAGCACCGACGCCACACTCAGCAACACCCCGTTCGTCTCCGGTTCTTGGAAAACAGAACGGTACTCTGCCGACACAGGATTCATATTCAAATTATTTTGGCATGCATCATGCAACAGCACAAATGGGGCTGCAGGTTGGAAGAAATGCAGTTATGGCAGGGCAAGAATATGTTGAGCGGAATGTATGGTTTTTGCAAAGAAACACGTTATTTTATGTGTTTTTGTGTATTACGTGCAGGAGGCTGATGTCGAATTAGATGGGAAGATTTATTCCACTTACAACGCTGAGGCATTACTTTAACGTTTCGAATTATTACGTAATCAGTAAGATTTGGGTTATTCTTTTTCCATGGAGACATAAGGTTTTGCGTTGTTTTTGCGGGATATGGTTTTAATTATTTAAGTGTTGGAGTCGTTTTCCTAGGCATTTGGAGGCAAATGAGATGTCTGTAGAAGTATATAAATCGCCAAGAGAAGATATCAATTCTCCGGACATGTATATTCCTGGTAGGATGGTATTTGAATTTAAAGAAATGTGTTAAGTTTTTAGTTATGGCATTTGTTACATACGTTTTATTATCGTCTTTATTGGCAGGATTCCGGGGCGATTTTCATCCAGAACTTTTGGGTACGACGGCTTTGATGGCCTTAATTGTTGTTGTTTTCGAAATTTTAGCAATTAAGTTTGGATGTTATATCCTAGGCATATATAATCAAACACAGTTTCTCGATCTCGTGGCATACAGTGGATATAAATTTATAGGGTAATAAATTTTGTATAATCATGATTAATGCGTTATGTTTTATCTAGAATTATTGTTACTATGCTATCGGGTATGTTTCTTAATTTCGTATTGACTTATTGTGTATTTTTTTATACTTTTATTGCTACGGCTTTCTTTTTGGTAATTTTATTAGAAAAATACTTTTATATAGTTACTAATGCATGATAGTTGCGTTCATTGAGATACGTACTTCTTCCTGAATCAAATATATCTTCAAATGCTACAATGAGCTTATCTCAAAGACGTAAAAGAGTATATTTTCTTTTTGGAATTTCAATGGTTCAAATATTATTTATGTTTATACTTATGTAAAATAACTCGCATTCGAATATATATACATTATTGTATATATGATAATTAATCTTATTAAAAATTCTATAATTTAAAGAGATAAGCATTCTAATTATTGTTATTAAATATATGAAAAAGTTAGTAATTTATACTCATAGTTTTAAATAAATGGGTGTATTTGATAACGTAAATTATAAATTTCAATATTTAATTTTTTTAATTCGATTTAAATTAAAATTGCTTTTATGAATATATAGGATTTAATCAGCATTTACCGGTGTTTAGTAATTTTATAATGAGTTTGTGTTAATCAGGTAAAAATATATAATTTTTAAATGAATTGTCAATTTACATCCATATACATGTTTTGTTAAAATGTTTGCGCAAGTTAAAAACTGACATTTAAAAATACTATAGTAAATCCTAAATACATGTATATATACTTGCAATAATCTAATTCATACTTTTAATTACATAAAATTAATAACAGAATGACAAGCCTTTGGTCTAATGATTAATCTATCAAAAATAAAAAATTTAAATGTACATGAACAAGTTCTTGAGTATTGATTATTCTTATACAAATTATTTCGTTGATTGACTTATCTGAAATACAATAAATGAGAATATAAAACTACAACTAAAACATCATATATGTAGATATATTTAAATTAGTATAAAAAGCAATTAATGTTAACACATATCGCAAGAATTGACATAACAATAATTGTACTGTGATAAGATAATTTCTCCAATAAAAATTCCAATCAATGTTGCGATGAAATACCCAATATTCATCGTCATCACAATAATCATTAAGAGATACGAAAAAAGACATATTAAAAGCTGCAGAAACCCTCTAAAAAAACTAGTTTTATATTTAAATGGTGGTAAAATATTTTTGATTAATTTTCTATCGAATTTAAACTCTGAATGTTGACTTGTAGGCTCTATAGAAACAGAACAAGTACATGTGTTTGAATGTTTTTGCTGACTAAGATAAATCGCTCGTTGCTTATATTCCCAATACAATTTATATGTTGAAAGCATTCTATAAATAATACCAAGAAAAATGATAAAAGTAATTGTTAACCAATACTGCAATTTATTATTAGGAACCCATCCTTTTATAAACAATGTCGTGTTTTTGAAACAGTGAAACGTCATAGGCATATTCATTGACATATGATCATGATGATTTGAATGTATTGTAGAGTGCATGTTTTGATGATCTGTAGGATGGTTTTGACTTGACATATTTTCCAATAGACTCTAACAAAAGCAGAAATAGATATTAATTAGCTAGATTATTTAAATGAAAGTTAAAAAATTAATCACTTAAGCATTAATTTAAAGTTAGGATAATATTTTTCTAATTAAATTAATACATATCAAACTGTATTGTATAAAATGAATAAATACTAGTTATTATGGTTTAGAGAGACCGAACAACTAATTTGATTATTTTAAATAAAGTTAAAAGTATATAAGATTATAGTGCTGATTTTTGCATCTGAAAATGTATATATTAAATGGCTCAAAAGATCTTAAGGTTAAAAAGAAACTAAATATACGTGGGTTACATTTTTGTGGAACGAGTATGCCCTAGAAGCGATATTTGGTAATAAATGTATTAAAAGAAATAAAAGAATGAATAACAATATTGAATGAATGTATTATGAAAGATAGATTTTTTTATATTTAAAAAAATAGATACTGTATTTTGTATTTTTTTTATATTGAAAGATAGATGTGATAAAGTGTAACGAGACATACGATTTATCTTGGATGATTAATAAATTGATTAAAATAGGTATAATTTGGAATAATAATATAAATATTATAATTTAATGTTGAAAAAATAGTATATAAATGATAATATATGATAATATATTTCATTTTTATGACGGAATTTTAGTTATTTTTAAAAGAAAACCCTAAATACATGTTTTAAAAACATGAAGGTTTTGTGAAAAAATATGCATTAGGATACAATGGAGGGAAGTTTATGTGATTCTAAAAGATTATATTCACGCCTTTCTCTGTTTTTGAGTTATCAACAAGTTTTAGTTCATGAAATATATAATGAAAATGGTCTTGTTATACTTGCAAAAGGTCTTGGTTTGTTAAATATTGTTGCAAATCTGCTTCATTCATACAACCTTCCTGGATGTTTGACTTTAGTGATTGGTGCAAATGCAAAACAAGAAGAGCTGTTGAAAGAGATGGTTGATGAATTGGGAGCTTCGGATAATGAGGTTCCGAGAGAGGAGTTTAAGATTATTAATAATGAAAGTGGAAACTCTCATAAGCGGTTGGTAATTTTTTTTTTTAGGAAAAAATGTAAAATGAGATTAGTGAATCAATATATAATAGCGGTGGTGTTTTTAGTGTTACATCTAGAATTCTAGTAGTTGATTTATTGACCGGTATTATTGATCCTGTTAAGATATCTGGGATTGTTGCACTCAATGCTGAAAAGTGAGTTTTTAGTCAATTGTTTATTTGTTTACATAGATAGAGCAATTGAAACTTCTTTAGAAGCATTTATTTTAAGAATATTTCGCAAAAACAATAAAGTGGGATATATTAAAGCATTTTCTGATAGTCCAGAGGCATTTAATGTTGGATTATCACCATTATCAAATATAATGAGAGCTTTTTTTTTAAGAAAATGTTTTTTATGGCCAAGGTATTTTATGATATGTTTAAGTATATTTCTCACGTTTAAAGATTTCACGTTCTAGTTGCTGAATCTCTAGAATCTAAAAAAGTTAATGTTGTAGAATTGGATGTATCTATGACTGAGTCAATGAAAAATATTCAATACGCAATAGTTGAATGCATGGAAATTTGTATTTCTGGGCTTAAGAGTGCTAATTCTGGAAAAGTTGATGTTGAAGATTGGAATTTGGATAATGCACTGCATAAAAGTTTTGATATAATGATTCGTCGTCAATTAGATTTTCACTGGCACCTTGTAAGTCAGAAAACTAAACAGCTTCTTTCAGATTTAACAACATTAAGACATATATTACAGTAGAATTTTTCTCTTTTTTTTTTCTTTTCTAATATTATAATAGTTATCTTTTATCTTATGACTGTGTATCTTTTTATAAAATTTTAGAAACAATTTTAATAGCTGAATCATCTACATCTGAAATTGAAAAACGAGAACAATCACCATGGCTTCTTTTAGATGCTGCAAATACGATATTCAAGCTTGCAAAAGAACGTGTTTATAAAAAAGTTGTTCCGGAAAAAATATATGTGCAAGAATCGTATGGTTCTATATTACCTGTTTTAGAAAATCAACCAAAGTGGGATGTTTTAAGAGAGATAATGCATGAAATAGAAACAGAAATTAGATTAAATCCTGAATTGCATAGTAAAGTATTATTTTATTTTGATTAAGGTTAATTTGTTTATAGGAAATAGTGATTGTGCTGTTCTTATAATGTGTAAAAGTGAATATACATGCCATCAAATTCAAGAATATCTTCATAATTTTACTACTAATGATAATTTTTCTAATAACGCCAATAATGATTCTGATAAATCTAAATCCTCATTTTTAAAAACACAATTTAAAGAATATTTAGCATGGAAGCAGAATTTTTCAAATATGAGGTTTAATTTAGATAAAGATGATGAGAATTCTATATCCTTAGGTTTTGATTAGTATATAGTGTGATTTTAGAGTTGAATTTAAATTTTATAGTTGCTTCGAATAATAAGGCTAGCATTGCTCATCATTCACGTCAATTTGTTAACAAAAGGAGGCGTGTGCGAGGAGGGTCGTATGCCGCATCTAGTACGTCTGGTAATTGTACTTATATTTCTTTGAAAGATGATTTTAGTCATAGTGAAATGTAAATTTACTTTTTTATAAAATTTAAATAATGTTTTTTAGTATAAACACCCTATCTACTTATCAAAATGAATCGACAAATTATAACAACTATTCGTTGGACTGTTGTGATGATTATTTTGGACCTCTGGCTTTAAATGATTTAATAATTGTATCACCTTATAGTGGTGATGTAGATGATATTACACTTAAAGAACTTAAACCAAAATTTATAATTTTGTATGAGCCTGATCCTGTTATTATAAGAAGAATTGAAGTATTTTTCATTTTTTAGTTCTTATTTATTGATAAATTAGGTATATAATTCAGTTTATAAAAATGCTCTTTTGCGAGTGTATTTTATGTATTATGGAAATTCTATAGAAGAACAAAAATATTTAGCTGCTGTAAGAAAAGAAAAAGATTCGTTTACGAAACTTATTCAGGAGAAAGGGGTAACCATATATGTTTTTTTACTATATTTGATTTAAAATGTATTAGAATATGGCTGTATTATTAACACAAGATGGAAAGAACGATGAATATTTTAACTCAATACTTTTTAAAAATACTAATACTCGATTTTCTGGTGGTTCTAATTATATGATTAATGAAAATCTGCCAAAAGTAATTTATTGTTTATTTTTATTATTCTAATAAAATTAGATAATAGTAGATATTCGTGAATTTAGAAATCCATTACCCTCATTATTATATGGTAATCATATAAATATTATTCCATGCCAATTAACAGTTGGTGATTATATTTTATCCCCTTCATTATGTGTGGAAAGAAAATCTGTGATGGATTTAATTAAATCTTTAAATAATGGAAGGTTATATAATCAATGTGAAATGATGCAACAATATTATTCTACTTTTATACTTCTTATTGAATTTGAACAAAATAAATCATTTACTTTAGAGGTATGGGCTTTAATTTGTATATATAAATATAGATAGATATATATGTACTAACAAAACTATTTTATAGCCTTTTACAGAAATTACAAGTGATATTAATATTAATAATCTTCAATCAAAACTTATACTTTTAACTATGGCATTTCCAAAGTTGAAAATTATTTGGTCTTCTAGTTCTTATGCTACTTGTGGGATTTTTGTTGAATTAAAGGTTTTTATTCTATGTGGGTTTGAATTAAATTAAATATATATTAGAAGAACCAAAGTGAACCTGATCCTGTTAAAGCTGTATCATTAGGTTTAAAAGATGGCGAAGATAGTATGGCAATCGTTAATCAAGGACCTCATGTATGTTTTGAATTTAAAAATAAAACTAATAGTTTAGGATTTTCTTTTGTCTATTCCTAAAATTTCTTTAGAAAATTATAAAAACATCATATATAATGTTGAAAATATTTGTGATTTAAGTAATCTCAAGGAAAAACAGATTATTGATTTGATAGGTGTAGAACCAGGAAAGGCTGTATATTCTTTTTTTAATAAAACTATTTTTTAAATACCTTGTGGTATTTATATTAGATTATATTGTTCTTATATTGTAAGTCATGTGTATTATATTCAATTATTTGTATGAAATAGTGAGTAATATGACGTATAAGTTTTAAATATTATCGTTTAACAATCATATGATCTTTTCCCCATAATGTAAGTCTTTGAATTTTTTTGATTTTTTTTAAACCAAAAATTCCGACAATAGTTGCAATGGTAAATACAAGAGATGATATACCGGCAAATGCATATGGTAAATGCTCCATAAAATTCTTTAGATTCATACCCAATAGTCCAGAAATAATGGCACCTGAACTAACAGCTAACGTTAATATAGATACCTTTTATTAATGATTAGAACATATAGGCGCCAAAAAGTCAAAAGAACCTTTAATTCCATCAACATTAGTGAATTTCTGTTTGCATCAAGAACAATATTGACAATTTCTTCGGTGTTTTTAATATTTGAAACTAGATTATTTACAGATTGGACAATTTCGTCAGTCTGTTTTAAATATGATTCAAGTAATAGTTCAATTTCATCGTGTTGATTAAGTGGACGTATTTTTCCCTGTTGTTTTTCTGTTAGATACATTGCTGCAAGATCTTCGTCTTTATAAATTAGACAAAAAAATCAATATAATAAAGCGTTATGCCTTGATCTAAAATTTCATTTAATGCGTTTCGTATTAATGTAACTTTTTGTGCAAATGCAGACACTTTTTTCGAATAAATTAATAGATTTCTGATACGTTCACGATTTATATCTTCTTCAAGTTGTAATAACACTTCTTTTACAAGTGAATTAAGGAATTTCATTTCTGCATTCAGAGCCGTAGAAACACTGATGAGAATAGCTTCTAATGCTCTATTTTTCATTAATCTGTATTTTTTTATTTGTTTCTATACCTAAATTCATATGGCAAACCTCCCATTGCTTTGCTTCCCTGTCGTAATTTTCCTTCTAAATCATACATAAATACGCTTTGCGTATGTGTGTCTGTGCTTCCATATACATTAAATAATAATACTGCATCAGCTTTAAGCAGTGCACGAATATGTAATAAGTTAATCAAAATAGAACTTTTTCGTACTAAAATTGAAGGTACAAGTGATTGGATTCCTGTATCTATTTTTCGTAAATCTCTTGGCAGCAATCCATGCTGTATAGATATCAATTTTATTAAAATTACTTCATTTGATTTTTACTTTACTGCATAAATCTGCTTTTTTAAATTCGCCTGACACAACTTTAACTCCACCTTTGTTAATTAGTATAAATATTAGATATAAGCAATAAGAACAAGCACTAAGCATAAATAGAAATTAGTAAGCAATGATTTTATGTTATGTTTAACAGATACTTAATTTTTGATTAATTTTATATATTCTTTAATTTCTTAATTTAATTTATTCTTATTCTTTTCATTCTTTTTTAGTTTTTTCTTAATTTTTGTATAATTTTTGTATAATTTTTGTTCAAATTTTATTTCTTTAATTTGATTTTTCTAATTTTTTAACTTTTTTTTAGTTTATTTCTATTTTTCCTTAATTTTTTAGTTTATCTTTATGTTTGACCTATGCTTTGTGTTGTTCAGTATTTGATTTGGCTTACCCGACGCATCAAACTCTGTGCCTGAACAGTTAGAACAAAGTATTTACGACAAATGCGTACACTTGATAAGAATTTCATTTGTTTTATGTGGTTTGAGTGCTTTTTCAAGAACATGTCGGCTGCTTAATTCTTGACTTTCTAAATGAATTGGTAATGCCTTTTTAAAAAAGGTGTTTGATTTGAATTCAGATGAATATTTCCGTGTTTGTACAATCTGCACTGAATTTGCTGTGTGTTGAAATGTATTACGTACAAATAGTATTTTTTTCATTTTAAAGGGCAAACTTAGAATTAGTGATATCGACAGATAAATGGAATAATATTATAGATTTTAGAATATGTTAAAGAGTTTGTAAAACGATTCTGATAACAATACAAAAGGGGGGGGGGGGGGGGGGGGCTTTCCTTGTGTCTTTTATGTATTTTCAATATTTTTCTTGCTTCTTTCATGTAGTAAATTTATTTAGATAAATGATTTTTTAATAAAAATGAAAACATGTGTTTTAAAAATATGCATTTTCTTTAAATTTTTTTAAATATTTCTTTAAGCAAGCTAAAAATATGACTGTATATGTTTTAAAATGAGCAAATGTTGATAGCAAGATTAGCTAAGCTTAATCCATATGTCTTGATAAGGTTCAGTTTGACAAACAGATAAAATATTGCGAGAAGCTAGCACTGTTATATGTATAATTAGATACTAACCAATATTGTTTGTTAATCTTACGTAATACATGACAAAGAGCTTGAGATGCAACAGAGCGAGAACTATTTAATGCAGGAACTAATTCTTCAAATGTAATTGTATGACTTTTCCCTTTCTGATGAATGCGTGCTTGTACATATCTGGCTTGTATTTAATACTTTATAATAAGAGGGGAAAACGTACTCGAGAAAATTATAAGACTCTTTTTCCATAATAGTTGATTGATGGCCTTCATACGGCATTATCTGGGTATTAAGATTTGTAGCTATACGTGTTAAAATTGTAAAAGATAAAGTATACATACTTTCAAAAATCTCAAAGTCTTCCATTGTGTCTTCTACATTTATGTTGATATCATTCAATCCATCTGCAAGAGGACTTGCTGTCAATCGACTTTTTCTTCCTGTTGACAAAATTTGACCAACGCCTCCCATTTTAGGTGTATCAAAAGAAATAGATGCCACTCCTGGACCTATCGATCCTGCACGAGAAGATATATGGGATTGATTCCATGGCATAAGTGAAGATGTACGGCGTGCGAGTTCTTCATCAACATGACGACCTAATTCAATATCCTAGTATATATGTTAGGTTATATTTAAGGAATAAAGCTATATAACCTCTTCAAAGTTAGATTGTGGTTCTGTAGGCTTCCCGACTTGTATATAACTATTATTCATCTTGTTTTCAAAAAATTCAGAATTATCTTCTTTTGATCTTTTTTTATGTTTAATAAGATCCTTTTGTTTTTGATTTACTAAAAACAGAGTTTTTAAAGTAGGATGTACTGTTTCACCTAATAAATTACAGATAAAAAAGTCTACATTATTAATAGCAGCCTTTTCTTGAAGTTTTCGCATTCTTAACATGGATTGTTTTTCCATATTTTTAACATAATTGTCACGCCATGAAATGAGGTCCTCTGATGGCAATTCAGTAGATACGTCTGTTTTTAGTTTTGCTATTTTTCTTTTTTTTAACCGCTGGTTATCATTTTCATGAGTATCTGAGCTGGTTTCATCGGTCTTATCTTGAACAAAGGAAGAATCTTTAGTTTCAAGAATTCTGGGTTTAGTATGTTCATCAAATGCAGTTTCATCGACTTCTTCATAAGCCATTAAAGTCTCTCCAAACTATGTTGAATTAGATAATATTAAAAAATGAAGTGAAAGACTGTATGGTTAAATTTTTTCCGTTTTCTTGCTTCAGCATGTTCACGTCTTACATTCTCTTCACCTTTGTCTAAATCAAACTTAGATGAAATGCTGCTGCTTTTTTGAACAAGATTCTCTGGATATTCTTGTTCAACATCAATCTTTCTGATTTCTCCATCTGCATCAAATTCAAAATCAAATGATAATTCGCCATTAACTGTGCCTAAAATATCATTGTCTTTTTCAATCAAACTACTCATACTGATAGCAGAACGAGAAACAGATCCTGCAAATTCAAGTTTAGATGTTGTATTACCACCTGAAAAAGATGATCTTGGTAATGTGCGTTGAGAAAAAGAAACAGGTGTTTCAGAAAGATTAAACGAACTAGATGTATCTTCTTGGAGACCCATTTCAATGTCAAATGATGTTTCTGGTAAAGACATAAACTTATTCCATCCATGATCATTTAAATCTGGAATAAATGTTGGGTCGTCAGGTAAGGTAAAAGGATCTGATCTATTATAATTAGATCAATTATTGTAGAAAGCCTATCACAGAACGCTTATTGTTCTGTGCTTCAAGTATACAAAATACCTCATTTTTACTGGAGGCAGATCAATATTTGCCTTTTCAACTGTCATTGTAGTAAGTTCTTTCCGGATTTTTGCGTGTGTCAGTTGAACATCCGCTGTATTGTAATTAGCATATCCTGAATTGCATAGAATGTGTTCCCATTGTGTATCTTACTGTAAAAAAATCCATATTGCTGGTCAAAAATACGCGTCACTCCTATCATTAAGTTACTTGAAAGCCGTAGTGCTAATGGTTCTGGAGGCTCTGATAGGTATTCACATGCTTTAGGCACATTTACTGATAAAATTTCTCGCTTCTGAAGCCTCTTTAATGATGATTTGGATCCTAATGTTGCTGCAAGCCTGTAAGTTCTTTGTTAGCTATGTATAACATTAAAAAATGAGCATTGAGAAGTAAAAGTGAAAAAGTGTGTATTAGAAGTTAAATATAAAACACATATTCATATATTTCTTAGCTTCTTGTGCTTTTTGCATATGTATTTTTATGTTTTTACCAGATTACACCAAAGCCTCCTTTGCGACGTGTTAAGATTTCTTGTGAATAAAACATGATTAAATTGCAGTTTAAAAGATACTTAAAAGTTTCTAAAAATATTCTTAAATAATTCTTAAAGAATATTTGAAACTTTCTTAGAATGCCTGTAAATTATCTCTAAATTATTCGTTTTTTGTTACTGATCATCGTTAATTTTCGCTTCTCCAAGTACAATGGTGATTATATTTAAGCAAAGATTAAAAACATAAAAATGCATGAAAAAGCAATAAAACTGATTAAATCTAGTATATAAGCATTGATTCATTGGATCATATCTGTTTAAGAACAAGTGAATTTATTGTAAAATTTAATTCATTGTATTGAAGCATTAAGTTAAATGATACATTATCGACTGAACTGTATATTCTTTAATCTTAAACAAATGTGTTACTATCCTAAGGGATATTTATAAAGTAAAAATTGTATGTATTATATATTACGTTGGAGTATTTATGTTAATGTATTTATGCTATACATAGCGATTTTTTTCATATACACGCTATTATTCTATGTGTTTTCAGTATCTTAGGAGGGAAAGTGTATTTGGTGTATTTTCGAGAGAATTACATGATTGTTAAGTCCCCAAATTTCTAGGATAAATTAATATAAAAACAAAAAATACAACAAAAAATACTTCTTTATATCCAGGAACTGACCATTGCCCGTTTTCTACCATTTTTTCTACTTTTTTTTCAATTTCAGGACATGCTATTAACACGTCTTGTACTGTCAAATCTTCTATTGGGCGTGCTTTCTGGATATTTGACAATGTTTCTTGAAGAAGAGTAAGCTCTTTATTGACATTATTGGCTGTCTTTGCTGCACTCTCAAGCTGCATATTACGTTAGTAAATAAGTAGTTGCAAAAAAAAGATTTACTGCTTTTTCTTCAAAAAGGTTGATTATTTTGATTTGGGCATCAGTATTCCATTTAAGGGGTTTAAATGTCTTCATGTCTTTCTCTACTTCATTTAATATTGTATGGTTCTTTAAAATAGAACGGTAATGGTTAAAATCAATATTTTGCACTTGTTCTTGAAGTGCACGCACTTTTGTCCAGGCGTCTGAATTTCGTTTTTGAAACTCAGATAAAGATGAAACTGTTGCTGCATTTAGTCCGTAACATAACCGAAGCTTTGTCCAATTAATTTTTGCTGCTGCTGACTTCATTTTTATGTGTTTATTTTTGTTTCTAAAAAATCTAATGTGTCCTCGAGAAGTTAGAGGTTATTTGAAAAGTAAGGTTCTAAGGAAAAATACATAAAAGGAGTTATGTTACATGAAAATATGTCTAATAATTCTATTATATAGAAATATGTTATTGATTGTGTAAAAATATAACAAAAAAGTTATATAAAAATGATAATACATCTAGAATAATGTTTCAAAGGTCACTTCTCTATTATGAAGCTTATTAACAGGGTTAGGGATTTCCTGTATGCCACTACTTTCTACAATTTTTTGGTGTCTGTTAGATAAAATTAGTTGATAAGTTGAATTGTTTTTTAATTATACTTGTATGTAAACCCAACGAAAACAGAAGGACGGATTTTTTCGTAACGGTCTTCCATAGCTTCAACAGAGGATTGTTTCTCATAGACTTCTTTATATTTTAGCATGTCAGCTTCGTTTGTAAAATCATCAAAATAGCCATGATCGAATTCTGAATCAAGATCTGGAACAAAAGGTGCCTAGAAAGGATAAATATTAAGTTGTAGACGATAAAATTATATACTTCTTGTTGGCGAAGTTTTGTCCAATCGATATGTTTAAAATACTTTTGTTCTTTGACTTCTTGAATGCTAGATAATCGTCTTCTGGGGCTCGTAATAAGTCTAGTAATTGTTAAAAAACTATTTTTTGTATATATTTTTATACTTTGTGATCATTTCCCATGTTTCGTCTTGAATATTAAATTCTTTCTCTTCATAGATAGGTCTAATCAATGTATATTTCCAGTTTTTTAAGTTAGACCAGGTTTCGTTCATGTTTTTTCCTGAAAATGGAGGATAACCTGTTAAGCATTCGAAAAGGATGCAACCAAGAGACCAATAGTCTACTGTAAAATCGTAATCATGGCCGTTAAGAATTTCTGGTGCCATATAATCAGGTGATCCAACAATAGAATTAGCCTAAATTGCCTTAATACTTAAGAACATTCTTGAAAAGCTATTTACATAATTTAATTCTTGCATTTTCAAAGTTTTATGAATATCTCGGCGCTCAGTTGCAGATCTGATAGGAACTTCTAGATTTTTGATCTGATCAAGCTAATAACGATGAATTTTATTTAAAATCATATACATAATATCCACCTTGAGTCGCAAAGACTCTATTTTTTGAGAATTAATTATTCCAGATGCAAGTCCAAAATCAGTAAGTTTTATATGACCTTTAGAATCAATAAGAAAATTCTGGGATTAATTAATAGAAAGCACCGTAACATATATTGCTATTTTACCTCTGGTTTTAAGTCCCTATGAATATATCCAAGACGATGAAGAGCATCTACTGACATAAACATTTCAGATAGATAGAACTTCGCATGTTCGTCACGCAAAACTCCACTGTTGCATAAAAGAGAACGAAAGTCACCACCTGGAACATATTCCTAAACCTTTTTAGCTCATTTATTATTTTAATTGTATATTTACCATAGCAAAGAATAAATAATCAGGGTCCTGGAAGGCATAAAGAAGGCGAACAAGCCAAGGAGATGTTGAATTAGTAAGAATGTCACGTTCTGTAAGCACATGGCGTATCTATGTCGATATATATATATATATACACATATATATAAACTGACCTCATCCAATTTATGTAGTAATTTTTTGCTCATCTTTTTAAGAGCAACAATCTCTTTTGTGTCTTTCATTTGTGCTAAATGAACGCTTCCATATCCTCCTTGGCCAATTTGTGCAATAATATGAAAATTTTCTTGTTTCATTTTGGCACGCCTTTTTCGAAGTGTAGTTCGTTCTGTATGGCAGTGACATTTCCATGCTGCAGCGTGCTCTGAGCTTGTTAATTTCCCTTCTTTTATTTGTTTTTTTGCCCATTCGTGGAACTTTTCTGTTCGTTGTTGTCTTTCGTAGAGATAACGTAGCTTGTCAAAATAATGATCAAGAAAAACTAAAAAATATTAATGCAAAAAATAGTAAGTTTTTCTTACATATTTGACAAACATTAACGAGCCTTTTTACTTTTGGTTTTGATATTTTTTCAATTTCAGTTAATGTAAGTCCTTTATGTGTACTCCATGTCCGAATCTCTGGTTCATGTTTTGAGTCTGGATCTGAATTTTCTTGTTTCTGCACTTCAATTTGTTTTGTTTCTTTTTTCAAACTGTTTTTTTCTGGAGATTCGTTTTTGTTTTTCAAAGATAAGTTGTCCTTGATCTCTGAGCAATTAAATTGTCCTTCATTTTCTTTTCCTGCTTTTTTAAACCGTAAATTTCCAAGACGATCTGAAAGCCCTTCTATACTCGTGAAATTTTCTGGAACGGCAACTAGTCCTGATCGACTATTCCTTGAAAGTAGTGAATCTGTGCTTAAATGACTTTTTGATGATGAAAGTGTTTGATGCTGAACATTGTTTCTTAATACGGGAGATCTTCTAAAGTTCTCCTGAATATCTTCCATCTAAAAACATTAATTTAATATTTAAAATAATACGTTTTTAATGTCTTTATTTCTTAGAAAACTTTGAAGACGCAATTTTCGTTAGATGAAATGTAAATAAATATCCGTTACTATGACAACTGAAATTTATCTGAAATTTTGATAAGCTAGGTTGTTGATTTAAAAATGTATTTTTATAAAAAGGATACATTTTATGGTACAATTCTAATATTATAATTATAGAAATTTAGTTTCTCTGTATTTAAATTAAAAGTATAGTCTTTACGTTTATTCAGATAACATATAATTTCCAAAAATTTTTTATGTAGATTTATTCAAAAAGTGTTTTTAATTCTTCTAAACGTTGTTTTGTCATTTCCTCACGTGATTGATGCTCCACCACAGAAATATTTGCAAGAGCTGATTTACGTTTACATATCTGTATCATTTTTTCTTCTACTGAGTTTTTGACGATAAAACGTATGACTTTGACAGGACAAGTTTGACCTATGCGATGCACCTATATAATTTTAAAATTATTCTGAATTTTAAAGCCTTAAACTAACCCTGTCTACGGCTTGATCTTCCATAGTAAAATTCCACCTGATAAATATAAGTCGCTTAATTATAAATTTTATGCAAACCATGGATCAAGAATGAAAACTGATGATGCAACTGTTAAATTTAAACCAACATTGCCTTTGAATGTTTAAAAATTAAAATTTATAGAAATGATAATATTACCTGATTTTTGAGAAACTAATAAAATTAGTCCTTTTTTTTCTGAACGGAACTTTTCTAAAACAATTGAGCGCTCTTTCATTGCCATTCCCCCATCTAAACGAAGAAATTCAAAATTATCTCTAAAAAATTAATAAATATATGATAGTCCGGTTTAATTACCGTTTTATATAGATTTCTATTAGATCGAGAAATGATGTAAATTGGCTAAATACAATAGACTTACTATAAGGATCTGATGTCTTTAATGCAAATAAATGTTTAATTAATGCGTTTATTTTTGAGGAAGAAATGAATGTAGATTTGCGTAATATAACTTGACAATTATGATTAGCAGTATCACTGTTTTTTCTGCGAATAATATAATAAATATTTCGTTTATCAATTGGCAATCGGCATATATGACATAAAGGTTTTTCCCCACGGGATTCTTGAAACTTGAAAAATATTAGTAAACTATAGAGTTTTTGAAAAAAAACACACTTTTATGTGTTGTTCAAGACAAGATTTACATGCCATATGCCAGCAAGGTGTAACAGCTTCTTCAATTATGGGATCAGCAGAACAAATAGGACATTCGCTGTCTGATTTTTCCAAAATATTTTTGATAGCATAAGTAGTATATGTATTAATATTTTGTTCTTTAGTAATTTGATCATTGAATGGTTCAATTAATTTTCTGAGATCTATGTCATTATTAATATCAATAGAATCATTAATATCTTCTTTATGAAATAATATATCAAAAAGATCATTTTTTGCACTATGCTTAATTAAAGATGGATGACAACAGCTTTGGCGTAAGCGTAATAACATTGTCAAAATTGTTATATAATTCTTAAATATAGTACCTGCTGCTGAGTTTTCAATAAAAGTTTGTTTTGCTTTGGTATAAATAAGATCATAAATTTCTCTTTCCTTAGGAGATAAAATAATTTCCTCTGTTATAATTTCTTTAGGAGGGAGACTAATAATCAAATTACCATGTATATCTTTTGTTGTTTTTGTTCGACGTAAAACAAAATTTCGAAAAATCATACTTACAGTATTTAAAGCATGAGAAATATTCTTTGATTCAAATGGAACAGTAACAAAAGTTTTCCAAAATACAAAATTACCCCAGGGTTCAATTTTCAAAAAATGAACAAGACTAAAAAGATCTTCCAATTTGTTTACTATCGGTGTTCCAGTTAATACCCATCGTCTTTTTGCATTTAAAGCAGAACAGGCTTTTGCTGTTTTACTAAGTCTGTTTCTTATATAATGTGCCTCATCTAAAACAACTCGATAGAAATCAATTCCAAATAAATTAAAAGCTTTATCGTTTGCAATCATCTGAGACCATTCAGAAAGAACAATTCCATAACTTGTTATAAGTAAATCTGGTTGATTACTAGTTTGACATTGTGTCAAAATATCAATAGACTTATCTATTCCATAATAAACTTGAGTCTTTAAACTATTTGGTTTTGAAGCAATTTCCGCTTCTGAGCGCCATTGTTCAAGTAAAGACATAGGAACAACAACGAGTGTTGTTCTACAAGCTTTTATAGATGTACTGGAATTTATAATAAATGATGTAGTATTTGATTGTGTTTTAGGCTTATTAGAATGAATAAGACTAAGAATTTCAATTGTTTTTCCAAGACCCATTTCGTCTGCTAATATCCCTCCGCAATAAGCATAATCTGCTTTAGGAAATTCAAGACTTAGTTTTCCAGAATAAGGATTAACATAGAACTTATCAGTATTTTCAAGACAGAGTCTTTCCCCATTCTCATCATAAGAAGGCCAACTAAATATTTTCCATAACGGATGTATTGAATTTGCTTCTTCTAATGAATTATTTTCTTGTTCTTTGTTTACCATCCAATATAAAGCCTAAAAGGATAAGAAAAATAACTAAACATGTAAAAATTTACTTGTTTTTGATAAGGCTTAAGCTCTAGATTAAAAGAACAAGGAGGATCCATTTCTTTCATGTTAGGATTATATGATTCTGTGTTTTTGTATAGAAAATCAAGTTGCTCTTTTTCAAGTTCTTTATTTTGGTCTTCTGGAGACAATTCATCTGAACTGTATGAATTTAGATGAACCGTTTTAAAAGGAACTGATTCGCATATTTTTTTCGTCGTCTTAATTACTTCTATAAGGGTGGTCTTATACTCTGAAGTTTTCGAATGATCCGGTTCAAGTCCAATTTTTGTTAAAAGCCATAGAATAGACATTCGATGCAGTTCAAGTATTTCTTCTACCTTTGAAACCTCTCTGGTGCTCTTTTCCTGAAATGATGAATGTTTTAGAGTGGAAAACGCATGTCGGTGAATAAAACATGTAATTTGAAGCAGTACCTTGTCGCCTACTATTAAATAATAAATATATATATGAAAACACACACCTATTTTCATTTCAAGTGGCGCATAAACACAGTTTGCTGAAAATGTACATGTATTTTGATCTAACAAGAAAGACATATATACTGTTGGTTCTTGTGGAATGCGTCCTACTTCCACTCCCTTTGAATTATAGAATCTAATAATACTAGATGCTTTACGACCTAAATCACTTCTTTTTGCTCCTCGTTGTATCTGTGTCAGCTTCGAACCCCCCTTACTTCCCCAAAATGCTTGTTTCTTCAATACAACAACTTCTCCCGCTGATAAAAGCGCTTTTCCTGATACACTTGTCCACCCTTCTAGCCCAAAACTTCCAATATATCGTCGAGACCATGGCTTTGTTGCCGTTGTTTCCCATGTTTTATCAAAATACATATTTACTGCTTTTTCTAAATTACCTTTCGAGCTTTCAATAAGCTGTTCTAAAGCATCCGAATTTACATTGTGCCCAATAATGTTTTTCAATTTGTTTATTAATTTAGTATCATTAGATAATTGTCGTTTGGGTTTCTTTGCTGGTGGAGCCATGGTATCTTTGTTATTTTAAAGCTATTTGTTTTCAAATATATATCCTATAGAATTGAATATGCGTCCTAAAATATTCAGTATATGCGTCAAGTCCTTGAATATCTGTTTTACAATTACACTATCCCTTAAAACCAGAATATGCCTTAAAACTGTAGAATATATATTCTAAACCGTTGGGTATTCACTGAAACTATGCCTTACTATCTATGATATTTGTTTTTTGTTTAATCTACTGCTTTTTGCCAATAAAACATATGTTTTCTGCTCAATCAATATATATTGTCTTTGATCTTATGCTCTGTATTAATTGTATACTGCCAATCACTAAATTTTGAGTTTTTTACCAATTTTCAGTCTATTTTCTCTTTGATTCAACAATATATTCCAAAATCTTTCATATATTCTCTGAAATCTGCTTTATTTCTAAATGTTAGAATATCGTAGGTTTGATTTGCAGCTTACGCGGTTACGCGTGCGCGGTACCGATAATTTTATCGATTGCCCTCGTTTAGTTATTGGCAAGCGCGATGAAACAAGTAGAGTCAGTACAAGAGAAACAAATGCACCGTTCAAAAGGGCTTTATGTTTCTCAACCACAGGTTTTAGTTGACGGTAAGTTAGTAGAAAAGGAGATGAAAGATTAAATAGAGGATATTTAGCAGCTGTGCCAACGTCTGCGCTGCAGGTAGAAGAGCTGACGCCGACGCTGATTTTTCCGAGGGAAACGTGTTTGGACATGTTATCGAAACATTCTTCATGTTCTGGTTCATCAGAGGTGGATCTTTGTTGCTCGGGGCATGCATCCGGTTTGCAGAATGGAGGGACAGGAGAATCATCAGTATCACCGTCATCTCCTTTTTTTAACCGTATTTATACGGGTACCCATAGCCATGGGTTTCTTGAGCAGGATGGTTATGTTTCTTTTCCTCCATTGGACTTGTATCAGCAGGATAAACGTTCTACGCCAGTACGTAATTAAAGCGGTATATGTATATTTTAGATATTAGTTTTTGCATCATCTTTTGAATGGGGATATGTGGTTTGTGGGCTGGTGTTTTGGTTTATACTTTTTGATTTTGACGTGTTTGGATGTTTGCAGTTTTGGTTTTGCATTATTTATATTATTTAATTTGCTTTTTAATTTATTGTTTAATTCGTTATTTAGTTTCGTTTAACATTTAGTTTCTTTAATACAGTTTTTAATGTAATCTTTTATATGGCTGTCAAGTTTTTAGCTTGGTATTTAATATATTGTCAACATTTCTTGTCAGCATTTCTTCTAGCATATGTTGAGTGTTGTAGTTGGCATATTTGTTAAAATTCTGGCTAGTATATTGCTTGGTATGTTGTGTAATGTATTATTTAAGTACAATGTTGTTTAATGTGTTTTATGAGTGATTTATACTTTTTTGGCACATCCATGCTTTCCAAATAGCTTGATAGGATTGTCTATCAGGCTCATTTGCTGCTTGTTGCAACAATTGATCGAGTCGTTCGAGTGTTGTTTTTTTAACAAATAAAATTGCAATATCAAAACGTGCACAAACTGAGAGCTGCTCAAGTAGTGCAAGACTTTGTTTCCACCATGCTTTTCGATTTTCTGCATGAATATATACATGTTCGATTGCATGCAAAAATGTCTCTAGAAAGATCCCTTCTAAACCAGCTGTACCAAATAGTCGAGGTAGTGTTGTAGCATCTATTAGAAAAAAATATATAAGTCGATCGTGTTGTGATGCTTCTGTATCGCATGTTGTTCGGAGCTTTTGTGTAAGTGTTTGTAGTGTTGGTGTTTCTAATTTATTCCAAGATAAGGGTTTTAACAATGTATTAGTAGGTTGTTTTGAGTCGTTTTCTGCCCAAGGTGGCAATGCATCGACTTCATTGATATAAATGTGTTTTTTTATACAAGTTAGGTCATCCTCATTGTCTTTTTTTTGCTTTAGTTCTGCACAATTTTGTTCTAGTTCATTTAATGCATTAATAACTGCTTGATTTTCTGGTTGAAGAGTTTGAAGATACTTCCAGTCTATAATATTAGTTTTACTTTATTTATGAGGACACTCTAGTACCTTTTCTTGCTGCTTCGACTTCTCCAAGTTGTGCATATGCTTTACCACGCCGAAAAAGAGCTTTCTGATGCGTCGGATCTTTTTCCAGAACCAATGTGCAATCTTTTATAGCTTCTTGCCATCTGAAATTAATTAGTACTAGTTTTTGAAACTTTTTCAAGCTTCTGTAGCTACTGCTGAAAACGAACTAACCTTTGAAGTTGTAAAAATGTTTGTGCACGATTTGTCCAAAGCCTTAAATCGCTTGATGTTTTTTGAAGTGCTGAAAAACGCATCAATGTTATTATCTATGTATTTTCCCATCTTTACCTTTCGTATAGAATACCACTGCTGTATCAAAGTCGCCCCGCTTGTACGCTGCATCTGCTTGTTGTTTATATTTGTGCACTGACATGTCGAGCGGATGTGGCTGAACGGAAGTTACTAGAAAGTGAAAATACACAAATCTAAGTAAGATGTCATAAAAGGAGATATTAGATTGATGATCTGTATTATAAGAGCTAAATTAATAGAAGAAGTTATTTGAATGGCTGATTATAAGATGAAAATGCTGAATAATTAAAGATTTGGTTGAATAACAGGATAATTGTGAAAGCTAATAAAGTAATCAATTAGATTTTTTCAATAATACTTAGGTATTTACATTTAGTGTTGATGTATTATTAGTTATATGAGTTTGTTGATTCCTTATTTATGATTTACCGCTAAGAAACGTTTCAAGAAAATTGACTATTATTAATGAATTCCAAATGCAACGCATTTATCAATATTACCTTGTTTTTCCTTTCCTACTGTTAAGGCATTTCCTATCATGTTATTTAATGTTGGACTACTCAAAGCAGTGTTATGTAGTCGGCTACTTTGTTGAAGTGTTTCATTTAACGGCATATATTTTTGCAAAAATGCCATCACATGTGTAGGTTGTTTCCAAAAATTAAGCGTTTCCTGTGTAAATGTGAGTTAAATATTGCAGGAACAGTTTATACTTGGTATTCGGCATGACCCTGGAAAATAAGAATATCAAGTGCCTTAAGATTTGTGATTCCTTTGTTTTTTGAATATGCATTTCGTAAACAAGACCGTACTATGGACACTGGTATGTCTAGCTGGTACATTTGTACAATGATGGGTGTTGCTCTTTGCCATGCACGATACTGTCTTAAAACTCGTTGTCTCGCTTCTTCTAGTGTTCGAGATGCCATTGTGCGAATTGCTAATGTTGCTGGTTGTGTGGATGCCATATGTAGTTGCTTTTTTATCTTTATTTTTTTGTTTTTGGCAATATTTTCTTGGTTTCAATTTATTTTTTCCCTGTCTTTGTTTTGAGGTTTAGATTCTTTATCTTTTTGTAGATAGATGTTTATATTTTATATAAATACAATTTCCCTATGTTTTTATTTGTTCTATAAGGTTTTTAAATTTTTGTTTTTTACGCTGCTTTTTTTATCTTTTGCTTGTGTATAAATTTTAATAGGTGTATTTTTGTATTGAATTTTTTGTTCTAATATAATAATAAATGTATTCTGAATTAATAGATATTTTACTGTTTTTATATGTTTTATGATTTTTTTAACTTTTTTTTGTTTGTGGTTCTTATCGAGATTTGGAACTTTAAAAAAATGAATATTAGTTCATCTGTTCAGCTTTCTTTTACAAAGTATGCACTGAAGGGTTGTTCAGCTTCTATTAAGCCTTCTGTTCTTGTTCTTCATGGATTTTTAGGTTCAAAATCCAATTGGCATACGTATACTCTTTTTTTATACTTTTTTAGTTAACTTTTTAGCTTTTGTCGTGTGCTTCATGAACGCACTCAGCGTACATTCTTTGCATTGGTGGGTTTTTTTTTCTAGCTTTAAAAAACATTTTACATTTTATTTTATTCCTTTTTTATTTTATTATTAAGCTATTTTTATGATTATATTTAAGCTATTTTCAAGATTTAATTAAATTGCTTTAACAATACGTTCAGTATATTGGTTTTCAGTAAAAACAATAGTATTTGTTTAATATTCTGTCTATTTTTCATTTACAGCTTTTGGATTCCTAATTGAGTTTTTGCTTTTTAATGTTTTACTATATTTTTCATGCTAATGATGGCTTAGGATTTGCGTAATCATGGGCGTAGTCCACATGCTGAGCCGCACGATTATCGTTCTATGACTTCAGATGTAATTGCTTTTGTTGAGCAACATCGTTTAAGTTCTGTAGTTCTTCTTGGTCATTCTATGTAAGTTTTATGTAACTGAAGCATTCATGAAGTGTTTAATTAATGTTCAATTGGAGCTTAGAATTTTAAAATGATTTCATGTGATTCTTCAGTTTCAGTAAAAATTTTATTTGACTTTTATTTTTATTATTTTTAGGGGTGCAAAGGTGTCTATGGGAGTAGCGTTAACACTACCAACGTGTGTAGCAGGGCTTATATTGGTCGACAATGCGCCTGTTCTTGCTGATGTGGATGAGAATATTCGTACTTCAGCATGTGCACTTTTGCGTGTTGCATCTGCGCAACCATTGGATCGTCGGTCTGCTACAGAAATGCTTAAGAATATGGTGCCCGATGAGTCTTTACGTGCGTTTTTACTTTCAAATCTTGTACGTGGATCTGATGGGCGGCTTCATGCACGATTGCCATTGCCATTACTTATACGTTCATTACCTGCTCTTGGTGATTTTCCGTTTAATGGTGTTTTTTCTGGACCAACATTATTTATTCGTGGTCGATACAGCAATTATGTGTCTGACGCACGTCTTTCAGATGTTTATCGTGTTTTTCCTTTTGCAAATATTGTTACACTTGATGGTGGTCATTGGAGTAAGTGGAATATTAATAAAAAATGTATTTTTGCGATTAACAAATAAAGTTCATGTTGAACAATTTGAACATGTTCTTTCATCTGTAGAGGATTTTCTTCAGACTAACTAGATCTTAATCTGGGTTTAATTTAAATATAATGAAATTTTTATTAAAAGAGTTTATTTTATGGGATAAGTTTTATTTAAATTTTGGGTTTGAATTTAGTATAAGATGAACTCCAGTTATGAATTTTTTGTATTTTAGTTATATGGAAGTCATATTATTGAATTTGCTTTAATTATGCTTAACTATTGTTTGTTAGCTTATATCTATTATGTTTTTTAAGAAATTCTGTAAAAGTCTTAAATAGATTTTTTGAGTAAAGAATTGTTGAGCGTTTTTGGAATTTAAGTTTAGTATTTTAGCTTAATTATTTAATTTATTATTTCGGCATATTCTGATTTGTATCAAGTATTGAGTATTTCGATTAGATAAAGAATATGATACGGGCAGAGCGTGTATACCAATATGCAACAATAAGATATTTATGGAATTATATTTTTTTATTTTATATATTTAATATATATTTTATATGCTAGAAAAATTATTTAAATTAATTCAACGTTTAACTCTTATATGAAAACATGACGTCTAGTTGGAGGCTGAGTCTTAAGGAGGATAGTTGACGTTTAGAAGAAGAGTTAAAAACTATACAGAATCTAAAATATCTAATTTTTTAAATTCTTTAGAGACCTTGACACCTGTGTCCTCAACTGATTCTTCGTGTAATTCAAGAAGGCGTTGAATATCGGTACGTGGAGCTTTGAGAATCTTGACCTTTCGAATAAATACCTGTAGACATTAATTAATAGATAACTGAATATGAATAAAGTACATTTTGCAGAGGAAAGATGCCCTGTGTTGATTTTGTAATTTCACGACCAATAACTTCAGGAATAAATTTCTGAACAAGATCTTTCATTGAACACATAGATGCTTCTCTTTGTATTATTTCAAACATTTTTTTACGGATTTGTCGGATCTGAGAAGTTTGTGCATATGCTGTTTTTTTGATTTGGTTTGTGCGGCGTTTTGTAAATCCAATAACAAACAGTCTCAACACATAGCCATCTGTCGTCTTAACATCTTGATGTGCTTCAATGAGTGTTTGCCAGCGTCGAACAAGAGAACGTAGTTTATCAGATGTCATTAACATCCCATAAAAGTTTGTTAAACAGTCCCGCCCTTGAACTTCTGCAATTTGAAGCTTAATTTTCCTAAATGCATGTTCTTCATCTTTTTGAAGATCTGCTAATGATACTTCTATGACTCGTCCCCGTAGTGAGTCATTTGCATTTTTCATACCGGTACTTCTATTCACCAGTGTTTTTCCAAAGTTCCGTGTTTCAAACATAGATGGTGCTTTTAAATCATACCAATCCTATTTCTTTTAGTTATATAGCTTTTCTATAATACAATATACTTTGCGTAGAAATGGATCTGTTACTTTCTTTTTTACTCCTTTTTTGCCTTTTGAAAGTCGTTTGTTTTTTCCAACCGCTAATGTATATTAGTTAATTCTTGAAAATATGCAATTTTTATATTTTTTTCAAAATATATTTCTGATATTTATTAATTTACTTACCCATAGTTGATTTGCTGAACGTTTGTGAGACGTTTGTCGAGACCGTTTTTTAATTATCTTGACCTAACCCTGCAGTCTTAATTGTTTTTTCGTTGAAGTAGGGTTAGGTTTAGAAGTGATTGAAATATGAATCTGGTGAGGCCTAATGTATGTTTTTATATAGATTGAAGGATAAAATTGTTGAGTTATTAAGTTGGGAATTTTTTATTTCAAAAAAAAAGATAAAAATATAAATATTTGAGTACTTTAAACAAATGCCATCATATGATGGGCGAAAGATTATTGAATAAGATAGCTTTTTTAACACATCAAAAGCATGAAAAGTATTCAAATACTATGTTATACATTTTTCAAGATGCAGTGTATAGTAAATTAATAAACCTAAAAATAGACATATTATTGATGATAAGGTATTAAAAAAAGTTCAAAAACGATGTGCCCAATAGAAGTTGTAACAGTTATAAAAAAAACATGTATTTTGTTGTCGTTTTCAAGTTTAAAATAAATGCCATAAAACAAATTTGGTTTCAATCAGTTAAAAAAATGGGTAAATCTTCGACTCTGTTCATGTACAATCTAAAATAAGTTATATAAAAAATTAAATTTGAAATTGCTACCATTTCATCGAGTTTATATGTATTAAGTTCTTCTTTAATACGTTGTGCTAGAATTGGAGTTAGTCGATTGCATGTTGCAATTTCTCCTCTCCTGTCATATTCGAATGAAGGCCATGTATCATAAATTGTTATTTTAGGCGAAAAACTAAGTGATTTTGTATTTTTTGTAATAGATGTTTCTGCTGATAATGCATTGGGAACGTCATTAAATGTAACTAATTCTAAAGGAGTAGGAGGTGTGAATTGAATTGTAAGGTCAGTTAGTGAATGTGATGATTTAAAATTGGATGCTGTTGATGACCAATCAGTATCTAATCCAGTTAGAAAATTATAGCAATTTGGAGTAATACACTTAAGAATTCCTTTTTTAGTATTTGGAAAAGGTTTAAAGTATGTAGGTTGGTCTTCTTCATTTTCCTTAATAGGATCATTTGTTGATGTAGTATTTACAGAAATATTTTCATATGTTAATTTAGATTCGGAATCATCTTTTTCCTGGTATATACTTTTACTTTGTTCTTCTGCATGGTTATCAAGATTAACTGTTAATAAATTATTATTGTCATTTTCTGTAATTTCAAAATTTTTTGTGTTAACTTGAAAAGAATCCTGAATACTTTCTATTTTTACACTAGCTTTACTAATATCTTCTATTATGTTTTTTTTACATTCTTTAGATATTGCTGCGTTGGTGTTTTCAAAATGTAGGCTGTTTCTTAGAATATTTGACAATGTTTTTTTTGATTTTTTAAGCATTCCTTTTCCTTCTTTACTTATTTTCCTTAACATTATACTTGCAGATGATGCTGTTGAAGATATTGAAACATTGTCTGATGAGGCTGTTTTTTTTGAAAAAGAATATATATCAGAATTGATATCTATATTACTAGATTGGGTAGTATTATTTAATGTGTTTTGTGTGTATGTATGACTTTTTATATGATCTGGATTATTTGTACTTATAGTTTCTAATGCCGGTAATGATGAAAAAGACAGTACTTTTAAAATCTTTGCTTTAAGAGATTTTGTTTGTGAAGGTTGATTATTTTGAGTAACATTATGTTCATTGTTGCTAGTTTCTGGAACAAAAAAGTTTCCATTATGCTCTGAAATAGTGTTTGCTTCTAAGCTTCTTATTTTAGAGGAATCATTGCTAATATTTGGCTCTATATTTTCATTAAATGAATGAGAAGGTACATCTTTGTTATTATTAGTAAATGGGATAAAAAAATCTTGTTCTGCATTTTTAGAGAGCTTTGGTAATGCTTGTGTATTATTTATCTTAGTAGAATAATGAAGAATCCGTGTATCTTCTGTTTGAAAGGTTTCATTAGAAACATGAGAATTAGTATTATAAATAGAGGATATTGGTGCATTAGAAAATGATTTTTCATGATTTTTATTACTATGAGTGACTCCCAAACGCTTATCTAGAGGGTATTTTCCTGAAGATCGTCGATAAACATGATGTAAAGAATGAATAGATGGTATCAAAGGATGTTCTTTAGAATGAATAGAACGTTGAAGTTCTTTTCGAAGATATCCTGGAGAAAACACTGATGCATATGGACGATGGTGCTGCATATAAATATGATTCATATTAATTGCTGATGCTGAACGAAGATTAACGCGTAACAAAGGACGAGTTGTACTATAACGATTGTCTACACATTAAATCAGATATATATATATATATATGTTTTAAAATATCGTAATTAAGAAATACCTTGAGGTCTATTAGGAATTGGTATGCTTCCGTTACGAGAAAACCCATAATGATTTGTGTTATGATCAGACTTATTATAATGAGGATAAGCATGCGAGAATGAGACTCGCGATTTTGATATTCTAGATGATGATTGTGGTTGTTCTGTTGTCCAGTTTTGTGCAACGCTTGCTGCTGCCATATTTTTGTAGCAAATTCAAAAAAAAATATATAAAAATAAATATAAATTTTAGAGAAATTTCCAAAAGAATCTATAAAAATGTATAGAAAACATAAGATATTTGGAATTGTCTTGAAACTCTAGTTGTATTTTGTCTTTGTTTTTTATTATTTCTATTAGTTGTGCTTTTTTATAATAAACAGAATAGGTTGCTATGGAGGTTGGTTGCAGCAAAATGTCAATATAGATTTTATAAATTTACTTAATGATTATACATAAAAGAGTTGAATTTTATATAGAGGATAAAAAACAATACGTTAAATAAATGTTTTATGGTTTAAATGAGTTACTTTATAGAAAGATTATATTTTATGTATATTAATAATTATAGTTCGAAATATCTGGATGAATTTTAGATATTAGGGTTTTGAGAGGCTGGTGAGTAAATGATATGTATTTGTATTAGAAATAATAATAATAAATGTTATTTGAGGAAAGTGATGATATTTCTTGATACGGATATCTATGTTTGTAGGTACAATAAACAAAATATCCTAAAAGCTAGAATAATGTATATTTCCTATCTTAAATGAAAACTATCACAATCAACATTAAAAGTACATTTAAAAATCAAAAAACTAATTTTAAATAATCATTTAAACTTATTTTATTTTTTACTTAAATATATAATCATTTTAAATTTGTTGGTTATATATATATTTGTTCATACATTGATCTTGAATAAAAATGTTTTGAATCTAATAATGTAAAACTTTGTTTTAAAAAAAGTTTACAAAATATAGAAGTATTTTTCTTAAAAAAAAGTTTGATATATTTTTTTTCTTATAAAATGTTTAATAGAATTTGTAAAGGTATTTTATTAGATATATTATCTTTAAAGTATGATTAAATATATTTAACCAGAGTTCGTAGATGGTATTATTGATAAATTTATTTTATTTTTTATAAAAAAATATTTTAAATATTATTTTTATATAAATATAATAATTATCATATAACTATTACCTTTTTATTCTATATATTAGAAAATATAATTTATTTTATATATTTTTGAATATTTATATTCACAACGTTAAGCTTATGAAAATTATATCGAAATTTTTATTGAAACTAAAAAATTGTTTTATTAATTAAATTGTAATTTTTATTAAGAGAGACAATGCGATTATGCCTCATAAAGCGCAGCGTAAAACATCTTCTGGAAATGTAACTAATGAAGTACTTTTACGTCATAAGCAATCTTTACTTTTTAACAAAGGATCGAAGTTGATATCTTTTTTTTCGTCCTCACACAGAGGGTTTGCTCAATTTCTGTCGAGCAGTGCATTTGGTTTTTCTAGAAGTGGTGACTCTGTTTTAAATTATCGCGATGCGTTACTTTCTGATACTTCATTATCTTCTAATTTTTCAAATGTTGGTTTTTATAAAGATGAAAAACATCTCAAAAACGAAAGAAAGCGCGCTGACCTTCAGTTGAAGCCTTTAATAAAGATATGTAAAAGTGAGTTGCGCAGTAATAAGGCGTCGCAGTTTGCACCTCTTTTACATCCATCACATTTGTTTGTTTCTCAGCACCCTAAAGGTAAACCTGTTCTTCCAATTATTGAGGATGCTCCTTCATATTATTATCTTATTACGACGTATTTTTCTTATCTTATTCTTATTATATTGGGGCATATACGTGATTTTTTTGGCAAGAGATTTAAAAAACAAAAATACTGTCATTTGCGTGCACATGATGTAATTATGTTCTTTTTAGATATCATGGTACATTTAAATTTACTTGAAATAGGGATATGCAGCTCTTAATTCTGATTTTGATAATTTCTATATTAGACGTCTTAAAATGCGTTTAAATGATTGCTTTAGTAGGCCTACTACTGGTGTACCAGGTAGGATGATTACATTGATTGAACGTGTTAGTTATGATTATAATGAAACTTTTACTTTTACTGGAAATTTTGTTGAATGCTTAAATCTTTCTTCATATAATTATTTGGGTTTTGCACAGAGTAGTGGTCCTTGTGCTGATTTCGTCGAAGAGGTTATTAAAAAATGGAAATTTAGTAGTTGTGGAGCTAGATCTGATGCAGGTATTTTTAATTTTCGCATACAATATATATAATATATATTACTCTTAGGCACTCTTGATTTACATGTACAATGTGAAGCGTTGGTTGCTCGATTTGTTGGAAAACCTGCGGCAACAATATATAGTATGGGGTTTGCTACAAATGCAACGCTATTTTCTGCTCTTGTATCTAAAGGGTGTCTTATAATATCTGATGAGCTTAATCATTCATCTATTCGTTTTGGCTCTCGTCTTTCTGGAGCGAGTATTAAAATGTTTAAGCATAATAATATGGAAGATTTAGAAAAGTTATTAAGGGAATGTATTTCTCAGGGTCAGTATCGTACACATAGACCTTGGAAGAAAATTCTTGTTATTGTAGAAGGATTGTATTCTATGGAAGGCACTCTTTGTAATTTACCTGGTCTTATTGCACTAAAGAAACGATATAAAGTATTGATTTTAAATGCATTTTCTGTGTTAACCATGTTAGTTTTATTTGTATATAGATGAAGCACATAGTATTGGAGCTATTGGGCCTCGTGGGCGAGGTGTATGTGATTATTTTTCTATTGATCCATCTGAAGTTGATATTTTGATGGGTACATTTACTAAGTCTTTTGGTGCTTCTGGAGGATATATAGCAGCGGATAAGCATATAATTGATAAATTGCGACTTTTTAATGCTGGGTCACTTTTTTCAGAATCAATGAGTCCTATAGTTGTTTCTCAGATTATTTCTAGTATTAATATGATTCTTGATGAGACTCAAAATGAAGGACAAATACGTTTACAGCGTCTTGCATTTAATAGTCGATATCTTCGTCTTGGACTTAAACGTTTAGGCTTTATTGTTTATGGGCATGATGATTCACCTATTGTGCCGTACGTTTATATTTTAGATTGTTAATTACCAAAATTTTTATTGATTTTAGGGTGCTTTTATACAATCCTGGAAAAATGCCTGCTTTTTCTCGTTTAATGTTGGAACGGAAAATTGCTGTTGTTGTTGTAGGCTATCCTGCAACTCCTCTTGTAGAATCGCGAGTTCGGTTTTGTGTTTCTGCTGCTCATAATAAAGATGATTTGGATAGGCTTTTAGCTGCATGTGATGAAGTTGGTATGGAAAATATATGTTAAATGTTATTGTTTACATACATTTAGGTGATTTGCTTCAGCTTAAAAATAGTAGTGGTGTTGCTGGAGAAGATATTGGTTTAAAACATATGGAATATGTTCTCAGTGGTGCTTATAAAGTATATCATCCTCCTCCACGTTGGCATCTTAAAGATGTTATTGAACGAGGTGTGGAAGATGTTAGAGATTAAAATATTTTTTTTCTTTCTTTGCAATATATATGCTAATATGAATTACGCAATGTTAGTGATTTCTTACTTTTTTATATGGATTATATAATTGAGTTACAAAAGTCTTTTTATATGCTCTAACTTGCTGGTGTAAGTTTTTTGTTTGTTTTTAGATTTTGAGTCAGTTGGGATTTTTTCTGAATACTGAGTTTTTTTATATCTAAGGATTTGACTGTTATATTCTTAAAGCTCTGCTTGTATATATTGTTACAATTAAATTTTTAAAACAAAAAATATGTTCCTTATGATGTTTATAAGGCTTAATGTTTTTAAGTGCGATTTATTGATATTAAGGAAATGTCTGTATTTGAGAAATTATATATATATTTATTTATTATGTATTTTTGATTTTATTTTTATGGTTAGTTTATGGGATTATGGTATTAAGAGTTTATAAAAGACAAATATTATTTATATATTATATCAAAGTTTGATTCAATGCTTCTTTTTATAATTTAAATTTAAAAATTGAAAAAATAAACGTTTAATCTTATTTTTGTAATAAGAATAATGTTTTGTAATTAGAAAATTTAAAAGAATATATTGATTTTAATTAAAATTTAAAGCATTTTTCTAATTTTTCTATTTATAATTAAAAGAATATTTTAAGTTGATAATTTTAATACTGTTTAATTTCTTAATAATAGCGATATTGAATGTTTTAATTGTTAAATTTTTTATATCTTTATAAATTTTATTTGGAAATTATATGTATACATATATATACTGATATTATATATAAACAAAGCTTAGAAATACTTAGAAAATAATACAAAAATGTTTTTATAGTTAGAAAATTATTATTTTAGAATTTTATAAAGACGAATGTGAAGCTATATGCAATAAAAGACATTTACAATTTGGAAGGGTATGTCGTAAATTTGTTACAATCAGAGATTGAGAATTCATAAGCTAATTCTTGTTAATTTATTAATATAGTTTATAAAAATTTACCTGTTCTATATTTTTATTTAAAAGAAATACACCGAAATCAAATTGAGAATGATGATGTCCTTTTGACCATAAAGGAAAACTATTTTTATTAAGAATTTATAAGAAAATAATCCATAATTACGTTTTAGAGCCATGTAGAGCATTAATAGGATCTTCAACAACAGCACGACTACACATAGGTCGAATAGGATATCTTAAAGGAATTCTTAAATAAAAAGACAATAAATGTATCAAATGTGCTGTATATCCTAAAGCAGCTGCAATACAATCTTCATCATGTTTATGATAATTTGTGTTTGGAAGCAAAAGATTGCAAATCGTAAAATCAAGAGGTTTACCAACAATGGGTTCTATAGGAAAAATATTGTGTAGTTCTGTCACAATATGAGATTGGTGTATTAATATTTTATCTAAAATTTGACGTAAAGTCACTCTTCTATATTGAAGAGTCCTTTTGGCATCTTCAAGATAATTGGCAACATTCTGTTGATTCTGGTAACTTATTTTCATAGATTCTCGTTTTGCATTTAAACTCTTTTGAAGAGAATTCTTATATTCATTTGCTAAATTAAATAAATTTAAGATATCAGGTGATGAAAAAATAATGTACCTTCTTTTAATTTTTTATTTTCAAGAATAATAGTACTTTCTAATTCTAATAAGTGTTTAGATGATTTGTTTTTTTGCTTCTGAATTTTAAATATTTTGTAATATTTATCTAAATATTTTTCGAGAGATTTTATTAATGTTTTTTTAGAATTATTGGTATCCCAAATACATTTTTCTAAAGTATTTAATTTCATAATATCATTATATGAATAACATTCTTTAGTCTTTTATTGTTAGTAGACCAATAGTATAAATGATGTAAATACTTTAGAAAAGTTAATAGATAAGCATAAAGGTTGGTATGTTAAATTATTACATGAATAATATCCATCGTTAAATTTTAAAATAATGCAATTTTGTGGAAAAGTTGATTTAAAAGAATATAACTACTTATCTGTTAGAAAATAATATACAAGATATTATATTTATACATTTCCTCCAATATAACTTAAAGACTGAAGATTTATTGGCTGTTTCATTAATAATTGAAAAGACCCTTCACTTGATATCCAAATACATACTGTAAAAGAGGATAAACGACCAAATGTTGTTTTTAATAGTGAAAAATCAAAAGATAAAAAATCTGGATTCTACATATAATATTTAGTATGTAAATAGAATATGTAAGAATAATAACCATTGTTTTCGTAACAATTTCACTAATATATAAAGGATGTTCTAAATAGTTAATAATATTATTAGTATTTTTATATAAATACCAATATTATCAATATGAAGTGTAAAAAAAGTATCCACAAGGTAAGTTTTTAATACATTTTCTAAGCGTGCTAAACGTAATAATGATTCCTCATGGGTTACTAAGCTACTTTTTGTATTATGTTGTTTTAGTTCGTATGAAGATAAAGACTCTTGTTCTATTTCTGGAGTATTAACGTCCAATGAAGATTCATTTCCTTGATCCCTTAGGTCATATTGCTTAATATAATTTTCCGACTTGGGAAATATTGTATTATCACATTTATTGTATGTTTGCGTTTTAGATGACATAGGATGCATACAAGGGCGTCTAAATGTGATATTCCTTATAGATAAGCTTTTTAAATGGCGTATTTTTTTCTATTATATTAAATAAGCGTTAAAAAATGTATTATTTTGTAATAAACCTGTAGAGTAAAAAGAGTAGTGTATGTAAATGACGATTTAACTTCCTCTTCAGCCATTTCTAACTGGAAAATAATTGTTTCATCGTTTATTTTTCCGAAATCATTGATTATTTATAAAACTGATATTTTAGAACATTAATTACTTTTCTTTAGGTAAAAATGGTATTTTTTCTTGCAAAAAAGATAAAACACTTTTTTATATCTTTCTTTTGTTATTAAATTTTTCTATTTTATTTTATATTTTTTAGTTTCAGGAAAACAGTGATATTTTTTAACTCGTTTCATGTTATGTTTGGAAGACTGTTTTTCATAAATTTTCTTTTAACGCTTATCGATGAGAACGTTAGAAAAAATTATTAAAAATGCTTCTTTATAAAGATGTCATAAGCGGTGATGAGCTTATCTCTGACGCATATTCTTTGAAAGAAGTTGACGATGTGGTATATGAAGTTAATTGTGATATGGTTCAGATTAAACCAGGAGAAGTTGATATTGGTGCCAAGTAAATTCTGTTTATTTGTTCTTATTTGTATTTAATGTTTTATATAGTCCATCTGCTGAAGAGAATGAAGAAGTATTAGAAGATGGTGTAGAAACAGTTAATAATGTTGTTTATTCGTTTCGTTTGGTTCCTACTTCGTACACAAAGAAGGATTATCAACTTTATCTTAAGTGAAATTGATTTATATTTTTATATATAAAATTGATTTGTAAATTAGGGGATATATGAAGAAACTTAGGTAGTGATATATTGTTTACATATTGGAATATTATAAATGAGTATATAGGGAATATTTGCAGGTACACTCTCCTGATCGAGTTGAAGCATTTGAGAAAGGCGTTACGGCATTTGTTAAAAAAATCCTTGCTAATTTTAAGGATTATGATTTTTATGTAGGTGAAAGCATGAATCCAGATGGTCGGTTTTTTTTTAATAGATTCGTGATCTGATGAGTGTAGGAATGGTAGTATTATTAAATTATCGTGAAGATGGGGTTACTCCATATATGATATTTTTTAAGGATGGTCTTAAAGAGGAAAAACTTTAAAATAAATTGAATAGAATATAGTTTTATATTAAATGAACTAATATATATAAAAAAGAACTAATTAATGTTTTTTGAGATAAAAATATTTTTGATTCATTTTTATTTAAAATAGGGTATGCTGTTGATTAATTTTCTTTTGGTCTTCCTTTTTAAATAAAATATATTATTAACAATAGTTGCTAATTTGTTTTGGGGGCCACCACCATGGCTGAAAAGCTTTAACTCCAATAGTACAGTCATTATTGTGTTCGTCTACATAGTTGATAATGCATTTTTTGTCCTTTTCGCTTTCAATAAACACACTATCTAAACGCATAAGCCCTAATCCAATATTTCCTATTCCTGAGCAAAATTTTCCCACATTTTTCTCTTTAGCATCTTGTCTTACAATAGGGCTTGCTTTCATAGGCATATGAACTTTTGTAGATGGAATATATTCAAGTTTAGATGGTGGAGAGTTGTCGGAGTTATATAAAGAGATAGGAACAATTCGTTTTCTTACAACACCTGTATGATAAATTCTTGTTGTAAGCTCTTGACCAATATAGCATCCCTTATAAAAGTTAACTATTAAGACATTAACTTTTTCTAATGTACAAACGTTAAGAAATACTTCCACCCATGTAGTCGATACAACTTTCGATAGGAAATGCAATATTTTCAAAAATTTCATTAGGACCTTCCGGAACTCCATAAAGATACCTTCTTATTTTATAGCTTTCTGGTGGCATTTCATTTGCTTCAAATTCAGGTTTTGCATTACCAGGTAAAATATCTCTTCTACCTAATCCAGGCGCACGATAGTCACGACATCCAATTATTTCATTTTTTTCATTGCTTTCTGATATATCTACACCCCATGATGACCAAATATTCCATTCTTCATTATTTACCAAGCGTAAAGATAATTTTGAGCGAAGTTTATAGCGTTTTAAATGATCTATTAAATTTTCTACACTTTGTGAATCACATTCAATAAAAAATGCTTCCTCATCATTGTTATATTGTCCACCTCTATTTTTCCTCCATATAGTGTTATGTACAACTGGATATATAAAAACATCACATAAGATTCGTCCCTGAAAATTAATAAATTATTAAATATTTTGTTTAATACCTGAGGTTGTAAAAACCCGGCAAAAACACCCACATTAGGACCTGATTGGGGGATATTATTAGATATCATACTTTGAAGGAATTTTCTTGCATCTGTCCCGTAGATTTCAATTAATTGTCGATCTGGACTGAGTCGTGTCATGCCTTTATTAAAGGGTTCTTTAAAAGTACTGTAGAAATGGCATAAATAATTGTGTTTCAGAAGATGATATTTCTGAGTTAAATTTTTAATTGCTTTCATTTATATTTATTTAAAGAAATGATTTACTTTTGATAAAAATTGTGATGCTTTCGATTCTAAAAAATGCTTGAAAATTAAATTATTGACAATGAATTTGGAAAATTGTTGATATTAGGTTTGATCAATTAATAGTATAGTTTTAAGATTGCAAGATATTTTAAGCATAGTAATTATTTTAAATTTGGGTTTTTCTGGCGGAAAAAGGTTGGATAGAGCAGGTTAAGTTTGTTAAAACGGTATTAATAAAACGGTTTATATGGAGAAGATAGATAGACTCCAGCTAGAAGCACTTGTAGATGAGTTGTTATTCTATGTATTTTAAGAATTTATTTTGTTTTTAGGAGTCTATTCGGCAATTTATCCGGTCAAAAACATGTTATGATGTGCTGCCGGTGAGTTTTCGGATGATTGTTTTGGATACGGAGCTTTTAGTTAAGAAAAGTCTTACAATTTTGGCGCAGAACAGTAAATATTTAATTGATATTTGGTAACATATGTTAATCTTTTAGATATTGTCTCAGCGCCTTTATGGAATACTAAGACCTGTACTTTTGCTGGTTTATTGACAGCCTCGGATTTTATCAATGTAATTCAATATTATCATCAAAATGTATCATATGTTCAGGCCTTGGAGGATATTGGAAAGTTAAAATTAAATGGTTTAAGAGGTAGAGCATTTGTATGGATTGAAACTGTGTTTTTGATTGGATTGGATTAGATATTGAAAAGAGCATTAATGCTCCTCCTTTAGAAACGATTTCTATTAATCCTATGCGAAGCCTTTATGAAGCATGTGAAAGGATTCGATTAACTAAAGCAAAACGTATTCCTCTTATTGACCATGATGATGAAACATTTCACGAGGTTGTTGTAAGTGTTTTGACACAATACCGTATATTGAAATTTATTGCTTTGAATGTATCTTTGATATTCTTTTTTTATTATACTAAGGTTCGAAATAGTGTAATAAAGAAACAAAAATGCTTCAAAAGCCGTTATGTGATTTATCTATTGGGACATATGATGATCTTGCAACTGCAAGTATGGATACTCCTGTTATTGATGTGATTTATTTGCTTGCGAAAAGAAGAATATCAAGTGTTCCCATTGTAGATTCTGATGGTATGTTTTTCTTTTTATTTGAAATTGGAAATAAGATTTAAGGTGTCATATTGAATATTTATGAGGCAGTAGATGCTTTGGTAAGTTTAAAGGAAAAATAGCTGCTGAAGAATTAATTATGATAGTCTTTGATTCAGGCAGGTTCATATTATGATTTGGGACTTACTGTTGGTGAAGCTTTGTTACGACGTTCTGAAGTAACAAAATTGATAAATGATTTCTTTTTCTAATAGTCTATAGGATTTTGGTGGTGTTCATACATGTACAGACAATGATTGTTTGGATGGTATTTTTGATGTTATCAGACGGTCTAAGGTTCATCGATTAATTGTTGTTGATAGAAATGGGCGTTTGAAGGGTTTAGTGTCTTTGTCAGATATTTTACGATATATTATGGTTGAAGGAACATCAAGTCAGTGATTTTGAAAAGATTATATTAATGAATTTATTGGTTTTTATGTTAAATATATAATTCATTTTAATGTTTTTAAAAATGTACTGTAGTTTACAATTGTAAGTTTTTATACTATGAATGATATGAAATAATGATATTTTATTAAGTAATATGGTATAATTGCTTGTAATTTGATGTTAATGGCTTTAAAAAAAAAAAATACATAATTTTTATTACAACTGTTGATATAATTAATGAGCTATAATTACCATTCTGCAATTAATTTTATTTGTTTGTTATTCTTATAGTCCTCTAGATCTTTTTCTGCTGTTTCAGCACGTTTTTGCCAAGCTTCTGATTTTCTTTGCCAATCAAGACATTTACTAAATAGTCTTTCTGCTTCTTGGGTTTTAATTTCTAAATGAATTTGCATTTCTTCTTTCTCTTTTTGTGTTAGAACGAGTTGGTTTTTAAGATTAGTAATTTTTTTTTGATATTCTGATTCATCTATAATGTTTTTAGTAAATTTTGGAAGTTTTTCATTAAAATTTGTTTCTATTAAATTTAAACATTTGCTTAAGTATTGTTATATATCTACTACCTTGGATATTAGTACATACTGTTGTAAATGTATTATTATTTAAAGATGATAATTTAGCTAATGTATCTTCTATAGTTGGATCAACGTTTTCTTTATTATCATCATAAATTTTTTTATAAAAATCTTTATTTTTAGATATTTCTGTCTCTATTTTTTGTGTATTTTTATTAGGTTTTGAGACATGTAGAGATGGATGAAGTATTTTTATATGTGCTACTATTTGTTCCCAATAATCAATTATAGTTTCAATTAATTTAGCACTTTGTCTAGCTTTTTCTTTTTCCTCTTTTATAACTTTTAATTGTCCTGCTCGCTCTTTATCTGACAAGATTGTTATATTTATGGTATCTGTAGTATTGGAAGAGTTTGTTTGTTTCCCTAATAAAGTCGGTGCAAATACTAGACCAAGAGCTTCTGGTTTCATATAATTTAGGTCTTTTGGGTAATTTAAAAAACGTTCCTTATGTTCTGTACATGTTGCTACTGCTCTTAAAAGAGCAAATACTGCACAAGCTAAATAAAACCTGTTTTGGTCTTCGATTGTAGATAAGGCTAATGCAATCATTCGTGCACGTACTTCAGGAGGCATTAAAATACGAGCAGACGCTCTATCTTCTAAAAGGGGGAAAAGAGCTTGAAGTTGTAATTTATTTCCAATAATTCCACCCGGTAATTCAACTAGTAGTTTTTTTATTAAGCTAGCAAAATCATGAATATTCGGTGTTATTTTAAAATTCTCAATATCTATTTCAGATGATATTTTGGATTTATTTTTTAAAAAGTGCTCAATAAAAGATTTTATAACTGATTGTGACCCATTTACTCTAAAAAGACCGGGTGTTTCAAGACCTGTAAATAGTTAAATTATATTAAAGGATATTAGATTGAATGCCTTTTTCCAAAATTTTTGTTACACATATTTTGAATATTAGTGGAACTTTGTGTTCACTAAACATTAAACTTTCCGGAAAATTTGTTATATGGCTTGTACCCATCTCTTGAATTAAAGATGACAAAGGAATACCAAGTATACCATAAGATTCATGAGAATTGACATTAGAATAATTTTCAAAGTATTCTTCTGATGAATTAATAATCTTGTTAGATGTGTTTATTTTTACAGAACTTTGTATAGATTTTTTATTATACGCGTTTTGTTTAGATTTCAATCTTGACCCAATGTTAGATGACTTATTTATATGTTTGTTTTTTAATATTTTTTCTATCCATTTTGACGAATGAAATAATGCATGATCTATTTGATGTTTATATAATTTTTTGATTAATTTTTTTGGTGTTTCTGGTATGTTTTGTTGAAAAATATGATTCTCCTCGTAATTCTCTTCATCATTGATTTTTGGATAATATGCTAATTTGTATTTTTCAGCCAATGAATTGTATTCTGAAATGAAATCTATATTTTCACTGTTGGATTGCTTTGAAATAGTTGATATTGAATAAATTGATTCTTCTGACGACATAGAATAATGTCTTACTTCATACAACTCATTGTTAAATATATATATATCTGTGTCTTTTTTGGTATCGCTCATGTTTTTGGTTTTGTGTTAAAGTTAATATAGTGATTGTTTTAGTTGAAGGATGGTGAGAATTTGCTTCCAGAAAGGTAATTTCATGCAAAAATTAAAATAATTTAAGAAAAATTAGCTACAGAGTATTGATTTTGTAAAGTTCTAAGTGTATTCTCAAAATTCGTATAATTTATTTATATAAATATATAACATTTGTTCGATTATAAACAAAATTGTTATCGTAAATAAGCTAATCAATATTTAATAAAAATTAAAATAAACAATAATAATTTTAAATTAATTTTTAGAATGTGATAAGTTCTAATTTTAATTACATAACTATAAAAGTATAAAAAAATCTATTCCAAAATTTTTGTGATAATAGCTGTTCCTACTGTTTTTCCTCCTTCTATTTGAAGTTAAAGAAGTTAAATAATAAAATAAAAATAGAAACCTCTAATAGTGAACCGCATACCTTCTTCTAGAGCAATATCATGGATTAGTTCACAAACCTAGTAGACATTAAAAACAAATGATATAGAATATAAATCTTACAAGTTCAACATTATCTCCGGGCATAACCATTTTAGAATCTGCATCTTCGGTTCCTTCAGGGTGTGTAAGTACAACAGTAACATCTATAAAATTAATTGAATATTTTGTTTTTTTTTTTTTCCAAAAAAGTAGCATTACCTGAAGTACGAGCAAACATTTGTGGACGATAATAATTGACAAATCCTGTCTTACGTCCTCCTTCTTCTTTTGTAAGAATGTAGAAAGAAGCAAGAAACTAATAGAATTAATTTGTGAAACATTTCATAGATGCTCACCTTTTTATAAGATTTGAGTGTTCCTGGACGAGAAACTACCATTCCTCTACGAATTTGCTCTCTTTTAGTACCACGAAGAAGTAATCCACAATTATCGCCAGCTATAGATTTGTCTAATTCTTTATTGAAAGCTTCGATTCCAGTAACTATTGTTTTTATTGGTTGACCAAATCCAACTAGTTCTACTTCTTCCCCTTTCTTTAGAACACCACGTTCTACGCGGCCGGTTACAACTGTTCCTCTTCCAGAAATCGAAAAAATATCTTCTATTGGCATAAGATATGGTTTTTGAATATCTCTTTCTGGGATAGGTATGTGGTTATCGATTGCATCCATTAATTTCCAAATAGAATCTTCGCCAATTTCTTTTTCTCTACCTTCTAAAGCACATAAAGCAGACCCCATAATAATTGGTGTTTTTTCTCCATTATATCCATAAGTCGAGAGAAGTTCTCTTATTTCCATTTCTACTAGTTCGAGCATTTCTTTATCATCAACTGCATCTACTTTATTGATAAAAACAATAATATGCTTAACACCAACTTGACGAGCAAGAAGTAGATGCTCTTTGGTTTGAGGCATAGAACCATCCGTAGCTGATACGACAATAATTGCACCATCCATTTGAGCAGCACCTATTATTTGTAAATACTTTTTGTTTTTTACTAATATTTTAACCTGTAATCATATTTTTAATATAATCGGCATGACCTGGACAGTCAACATGTGAAAAATGCCGTAATTTCGTTTCGTATTCAACATGAGATGTCGAGATTGTTATTCCTTAAAGTTTTTTGGCCTTATAATAGATTTTAAGATGACAATAAGCTTACCTCGTGCTTTTTCTTCTGGTGCTTTATCAATTTGTGAATAATCCATAAAAGATGTTTGATTAATTGTTGAAAGACATTTTGTTATGGCCGCACTATAAAATTTTTCAGAATTATTTTACAAATTTTTTGTTTACAGTACGTAAGAGTGGTTTTTCCATGATCAACATGGCCTATTGGCATGGATTTTAGATCGTTACAAATTTTGAAGGACTGTTTATACCAATAGTTCCAATATTTAAATGAGGTTTTGATCGGTCAAATGTAGCCATAGATCGTACAATTGGTGATTTAAATGTGACATTTTGATGTTTTACTTGTGACCATGCACCTATAAAAATATGATATTTTAGATAAATGCCATTAAAAGTTAAATAGATAAAACAGAAATACATTTCGTATTTATATGAAATATGGTTCTAAATAATCTTGAAAAATTGTGAATATTTAGTGTTTTTGTCATATTTTTTAAAGTGTTTAATTTTTTGATGAAGGTTATTTCGGAAAATTGAGATTTTAGAAATTATTTTAAAAAAATAGAAACTTAATAAGCTATAAAAATTCTATTTATTTTTAAACGTTTTTTTAATTAAGTTTTCTTAAGAAATAATACATGGCGTAAGATTTTGAAAAAGCGATAAATGTTGCTTTTTTTTTATGGAATAAGTTAATATGTTTTAGGGATTTGATATCAAAACCTCGATCAGAATTAACTGAGGCTGAACTTCAGCAGTTGGAGGCATATGAATTTGATACAGGTCCTCTTTCAGTGCTTCAGCAGGGTAAGCTATCTAGTTTATTCGATTGGTATACATTTATAATAATGTCTCAGCTGTGAGAAATCATAATCAAGTCTTGATTAGTTGCAGAAATAATCGTAAGCTTTTGGCTCGGGTGAAAGCGTTTGATCGTCATTCCAATATGGTTCTTGAGAATGTAAAAGAGGTAAATTTTAAAGATTATTAATGTTATATTAATACGTACAGATGTGGACAGAGGTAAACAATTAATGAGATTTTCTATGTAATAATATCTTTAGACGCCGCGAAACTCTAAAGGAAAAAAGGGAAAACCTGTGAATAAAGATAGGTTTATTAGTAAAATGTTTCTTCGTGGTGATAGTGTTATTCTTGTACTTCGGAATACAGTATAAATTGTTTAATGTTTTTTTTGAATATATTTTTTCTATAAATATTTTGTGTTTCTTATTTGAATCCTTGTTTTATTTTTTATTTTTCTTTTGGATTTCTAGATGCGATATTCTTTTTGGTAGTTTATATGCTGATAAGCTATGTCTCGACGTTCCATAGAACTTGGTCATGCTATGTAAATCAAGGTTATATAGTTGCATTTAGCAGAGAAAATAACGTTTTTAGTGATATCAGTATTCCATTTCCAAATGAATGGCTTCCATCACAAATAGCGACTGTTCTATCAGTTGATCCTGAGCTAAAAGAGCAGGTTATATATAGAGAAATTAAAGTGGATGGATCGTATTTGTTTGCATCATTTCAGAGTGCTGATTTGAAAACTTTACGTGTTTCTGTCGATGCATTTTTGGATAATGTTGTTTTGATTATTCGTACTGTAAATGAGTGTGGAAATTTATAACTTTTTGGAGACATGTAATGTTTATTGTGGAACTTTATGCTTATCTGATGTCTTTGTTTGTTTTGGCTTAATGGTGTAAGAAAAGCAATATAAGTGTTTAGAATGTTACGTATTGTGGAATTGATGTTTTTTTTCATCTTTATATATTTTATTTTTTTGGTTTATATATTTTGGTTTTGATTAGATTTATAGGCTTTTTTTGTTTTAGAATTATATTTACATAAATCTTATGTGTATATGGTTATATTGTTTACATGGTGTTTGTATTTTTTATGTTTTTTGAGAAAATATGTTTTAATACGTATTTGTGATATCTTAACATTTATATAGATATTTCATATATTTATATAATACTTAAGATGTTGTGGATATTTTGTTATTCTTAATATCAAAAATTATGAATATATTGATAATATTCAAGTATTATAAACTATATAATAGATTAACATATGTTCAATGATGGCATTTTAGGTCTTATTTAAGAATGAAAAGATATATGTAAAAATAGTTATTTTAGGTTTATTGAAGTATATATTTGTGACTTGTTTAATTTCTAATAATGAAATATTTCGATTAAATGTCTAATTTGTGATATTTTATTTTAAAATTTTAGAATTAATAACAATTGGATGTATTTAAAATGATGTGATATGGTTCCATATGTTATTTTTGTTAAATATATATTTATGAAATATTTGTATTGTGAAAAACATATTATTTTAAATTTTGTTAAGTTTAATGATGTATTAAGTAAAAAATATAAGTTTTTATGATGATTAAACAATTACATTATTTTTAAATGTTTTTAAGGCTAAATTGGTTTTCAGATGAAATATTATAGAGATTACAGTGTAAAATAAAAGAATTAATGAATTAATATTAAATATAATCAATAAATATAAAAATATTGATGTTGTAAAGCATATAAGTTATTTAAATATATTAAGTTATGAATAATAATACAAAATAATAAATATTATATAGTAAAATTAAAATTATAAGAATGTACTGAAAAATATATGAAAAAATGACGCAGAGAAATAAATATATGAATATTATAGATATATTAGTCTTAGTCTTGAGAGTAAATGTATGAGTATCCTTCACATATGGCTTTAAGGGTTTGCATTAAAGTATGCAGATAAGCTAAATAAGCGTTAGATACTGGAAATTATGAGTTAATTTTCTTTTTATTGTTACTATATTTTTAAATGTTTTAAAATAATAAAACTTAGAAAAAATAAAATTAGATTGGAAAGTTACTTTACTAAAAGGACCTAGTTGTTAATTATAATGAAAATGGTAATGTATATATTTTAAGATGGATTAGGATCATTATAACCATAAAAGGATATTGGATAAACGATGTTTTAACGATAATGGTAGGCATGGACATTTGTTTTTTAGATTTGATATACAGAAGCTTGTTCGCTTATAAATAATATTTTTATATTAGAGATATTTTGTTTTATTAAGGATTAAAAGTAATATGTATTGTTATGTTAAATATAATATGGCAAATTAAATGTTTAAATAATTAAATTTATTGTTGATTGAACAAGTACGCTAGTCAGAATTTAGCCAATTAATTATGTTCGAATGCTAAAATAGTTTAACTTAAAAATAATAAGGATGTAAGGTATTGATGGGAGTGCTCTTAGGAATAATTTTCAAGTACTATTTAGTGTCATTAAAAGCAAAAGAATGTAGTTTAGGTAATGGTTGACAAGAATTTTCCTGTTTTGTCTTTGTACAATGTTTTCTTTTTTTTTTTTTATAATTTTGCATAAGTCTAAAAAACTAAAAACTGAAAAGGTGTGGAGGAAAAATTTAAACAATTGCGTTTTGGCCACCAAGTTAAGCCGTTGAGAAATCTTTAATTGGCATATCTTTTAGAAATAATGAGAATACAAGACTAAACACTGTTTATGTGTTTAAGTCCTTTTATTTGTTCTATGAATTGCATTGTTTTAGGGGTGTATGTACATAATTATGTAAACGCTTATTCTTTTTAAGTCTGGGATCTAAATGGGTGTGAACAATGTGTCGTAGAATATCGTGTTTTGATCGTATTTGGACACTCAACCGTTTGTTTTTTATTCGAAAAAGATGCATACTTGTTTTTTGTGGGTTAAATAAGGAAAAGTGTGAAAATAAGAATAAATAACATAGTTGAGAAGGTTTATGTAAGACAATGGTTTTTTTATATGTAAATTTATATGTAAAGGGGCCCCACATTAATTATATTGGTCTTTGGTCTTGATGGAATGGATGCTCTCCATTTGCACTTAACTTTTGACCGTTTCCTAGTACCAATTTTTCTCAACTAATTTGTTTTTCTATTGTATTGATTTTGAATATTTTTCATTTTTTACTCTATGTTTACGTTTCTAAGTTTTTTTGCCCGATGGGTTTGGACACGTATATAGATGATGAAAATTTATTTCATGCATATATAAATTAAAGTGAAACATACATAAAGTGTTCCACCATACACTCAGTGTGCAATACATATATAATATGTATATCATGTATATATATTTTGCATCTAAGATTGTACTAATTATATATAAATGCACATATTCTATATATTTTTTCCGGTATATATATTAATATATTAACATTGATATAACAATGATATAAAACGTATTTATTGTTCTGCACGACCTTTTTATAGTGGTAGTTCGTGCGTATTATAGTGTCTTAAATAGTTATCTCTTTGTTTAGATGAGAGTTTTTTTTATCGGGTAGCATCGTTTTCCGCGTATTAGGGAGTCCGTTTGGCACTTAGACGCTATAACGCTTTCCCATAAAACTAGCAAAGCATTTTAAAAGTAAAGTTTAAGTTTTGTGGGGGTTGAAACATACTAGTTTTATTCTAAACTAGTATAGGCATCAGTAGTGCTTATTTATAGGTACTAAGAAGTGTACTATATTGTTTTAGGTAAATGGTAGTGTTTTGTGGTTAGATGTGCTGGTAGATTGGTTAGTCTCGATAGATAGTGCGAAGCGTTGGGCTCCACTACTTTACCGTGAATTTGAGGGAATCCTGCCAGTGTGAGTAGTTTGGGTTTCATCAAAGGCTCTTTGTACAAACGTCTGAGAGCAGGGTTTTTTTTTGCAAATATTGACATTATAAAATTGATGGGGGGGACGGGCCGTTTGATGAGGAGATAGAGGTTTAGAAATAGATTAATTTTTTGGTGGGCACTGTGATTAGATTTTGACAAGATAGTACTTTGTCAGAGTGTTGTCTACAGCACATAAGACGTATTATTTTCTGTGTGGTATTTGTCTTGAGTGGTTTTCAAAATTCTATATTAGAACGGTTTGAGATTTGTTTGTGTCAATACGGAAGATTCAAAATGATGCGGTGTATGCCTCCATTAGTAACGTTGAAATCAGAAGAGGATTGGCAAAGATTAAATGTTTTGCCTGGGATGCGTAAGCCACGTCAGATACCATTGTGTCGGCATCACCCGTATATTGTTGGAAAGCCGCTTGTAAAGTTGAAACAGAATTTTCTCGATGACAAAGACAAGAATTTGCTTTCTCAATATGTTGTTTCACCATTTTTGTCGTCGATACTTGAGTCGCATGCACCGGAGTTTGTTGCTCAAGTATATTTATTTTTCATATTGATTTGTTTTTAATATTTTTCAGATTGTCTGTTTGATCTGGTTTGAAACGAATATAACAATATCCTCGGTTATTTCTAGAGCTCAGCGATTGAATATGCTCAGTCCAGGCTCTTTTCCTAAGGCTGAGTTTCTTGCATGGAATAGGGATGTTCTTTCTACTATAAATGTTTCGAAGAATGTTATTTTTCTTGCCTTGCTTTTTATTTATCGTTTAAAAGAGCGGAATCCAACTATTCGAGGCAAACCAGGGAGTGAATATCGGCTTTTAACAATTGCATTAATACTTGGGAATAAATGTATGTTTGTTTTTTTTTTTCTTTATTTTTAATTTAATGGTTTAGTTCTTGATGATAATACTTATACAAATAAGACTTGGTCTGAGATAACAGGGATATTTGTAAAAGAGATTCATGTTATGGAGGCCGAATTTCTTACAAATATTCACTATTCTCTTCTTGTATCGAAAACTCAGTGGGAGGAATGGCAAATTATTCTGGAAAGACTTTGGATATACTGTATGGGTTTGATGAAGAGTCAATGTTCTTTATTAAATCCTCCTTTATCTGTACCTCTGAATCCTGCATTAACTTATACTAATAGTTCACACTCTTTTCGGTTTATGTTTGCAGCATCAACACAGATTACTTCTTTGATTCCTCATGTTTGTATGAAAGAGTCTCCTGTAGAATTGAAGCATATGGATCATATTTCAAATAAATTTTCTGTACCATCGGTTAGACAGATATTGCCGAGCCGTATAAGTATGTCTTGTGGTAAATCTTGGTTATCGTTATAAAAATGATTGTTTTTTATGTGGGGTTTTGTTTATGATTCAGGCTTTTGATTTTTGGGTTATTATTTATCATTGGATTGTATTTATCGCTATGGTACACATTCTTTTTTTGTCTATTCATGATTTTTCATATTGAGTTTTTCCTTCAGCTAATGTTTTAAGAATCACTTGTATTTCTGCTTTTGGCCGGTTTTTAGCATTTATTTGCTCATTTCTTTTGGGTTTTTGTATGTATATTGATGGCTTCCATTTATTGTTTCCTCATTGCTCTTTGGCATGTATAATGTATTATTTGATATACGTCATTTTGAATTTTTGTTTTGTGAAGTGTGAAATAAAGCATGGTATTAGTCAATTTAGAATTATTAAAGTTTTTGTGAGACGTATGTTTATTTTTGTTAATATGTTAAGTATGATTATGTAGTTCTATGGATGTTTTTATGGATGTTTAAAAATAATATATAATTGTTTGAAATATCGGTAATTTTAATGTTTTTTATTGATTCTGTCTACTGTTTTCTGGAAAAGGGAAAATATTTTTTTGTTTTGAGTTGTGGTTAATATTATGTATATGTTTATTTGCTGTTTTTTTATTTGCAGATTATTTTATTTATTTTTTCTAATTAACGTTCGTTTTTAGAATAATTAATGATAAAAAATGGTAATAACTTTTCTTTTTTCTAAATCTTGGAGATTAAGGAAGGGTTAATTGTTATATTTTATTATATTTATGTTTAAAAAGAAAGGCTTTTGTTTGTCTCGTCCTGTTTCTAGGTATTTTGCTGGAAAAGGGCCAGAACAAGCTGAATCAGAGGATGAAAGTGATCACGAAATTGGATTGGAAAATAAAACCGATATATCATCTTTTCATGAACGAGTAGTTTTTAAAGCACATGCTCCTGTTTTAGATTTTCAAAAAATTGATATCCATGAAAAATTGAATTTAGATGAATCGCAATTAGTAGATTCTTGTGAAATTAGGCAAAATGTTTCAGAAAATTTAGAATCCTCTGATGAGGTATGTTTATAATGATTTTTTTATGTTATATAATGACTTGTTTTTGGAGGTAACTGAATACGAAACTGAAGAAATAGAGAAATCAGAAGATGATTTACCGAAAATTCGACTAAAGCCTATTTTTGTTCCAAAGTATGCTATTTTGTAATATTTATTGTTTGATGTTGATTTTTAGATATGAGAGAGAGAAATATGTTGGTATGGATCACTTCGAGTTTGAAAAACAAAAAATTGTTGAGGAAGAGAAACGTAAAGAAGAAACACGAATACTTTTAGAAGAAGAAATTCGGAAAGATGAATATAAACATTCATCTGATTATGATGATGGTGTAGATGTCGATGATACTGATGATTTATGTCCAGAATCAGAAAGAGCTGCTTGGAAATTACGTGAGTTGTGTCGTATAAAACGAGAGAAAATGTTTTTTGAGGAAAAAGAAAGAGAACGTGAAGAAATAGAAAGGCGAAGAAATATGGATGAAGAGGAAAGACTAAAAGAGGACTTGTCTCGTGTGAAAGAATTAAAAGAAAACCAGCCAAAATCTAAAATGAGGTTTTTACAAAAATGGTATCATCGTGGTGCATTTTATCAGGTATATTTTTTTTAAAAATTTTTGTAAAATATTTATATATCATCAGGATGAAGAAATTTTGAAAAGAGATTATTCTGTTCCTGTTATGGACGAAATATCTGATAAAACATTGCTTCCAAATACAATGCAAGTTCGGTATGTTTTTTTTCGTTTTTTAGTTTTTTATCAATTTATATATTTAGTGGTGATAAATTTGGTAAACGGGGTCAAACGAGATACACTCATTTGGTAGATCAGGTAGTATATATACATATTATATATTGTAATACTTATTAATATATAGGACACAAGTACAAAAGATTCTCCTTGGTTTGATAAAAATATAAATAAACGAATTTTGCCCGGTACAGATGACTATAATAGGAAAAGAAGGAAGTTCTAATTTTTTTATATCTTGTTTATTTTTGCATTATTATATCTTATATTGATGCTTATTTTAATATTAATACTTTTGGAATTTCAATTTTAGGCTTTTAAAGACTAAACAATATTGTTATACTGATAAATTTTATTTGAAAATAAGTAAAGTATTTTAGAATTAATAATATCATTTAAAGTTTAGGTAATATCTAATATTTTTTTTTGAATTTGAAAGTAATGATTAGTGTCATAAAATACAAAAATAAATGGTTATAGATAATAAAGTTTATGTGATGTTTTGTATTCTATGATTTTGTTATTGGGTATAGTATTTAAATTTATTGTGGTTTATTTGTTTTAGTATAAATTAGTATAAAAAATGTTTTGTATTATTGATAAAATTGAAATTTGTTGTATTTAAGTCATATGGAAATATTTTATGGAGTATATATTCTTTGGAATTTTTTGTATTAAGATTTTGTGATTAATATTTTTAATATTATCAAATATGTATAGATGCTATATTTCGTTAATTGATATATCATAATTTTACTATTTTAATGAGGAATTATTTTAGGATAGTTTGTATAACTGTTAAAAATATGTATAATATATGTATTGTAACTTTAAATTTTTAGTTTTTGAAATTGATTCGGTATGAAAGTTTAATAAAATTATTGTGTTTAAAAATAAATATTAAACTAAAAATATAATAATATTTACATAAAAATAATAAGCTTTGTTAATATAAGTAATATATATTGAATGGGAGTTTAAGATGTAGTTATTTAAAATTTTGAAAGTGTTTGACAAATATTTATAATAATTATGTGTCTTATTTTTCGATATTTTTTTATTTGATTTAAAAATTTGATTTTTTTTATCGTTTTTATTTTATGAATATACAATTATACATATTATTTCAAAACAGTAAACACTAATTTATATTAATATAAATTATAGTTTGTAATGTATAGTATTATTGTGGATAATCTTAATTGGTTTGATATTTGTTATAATCTTAATATTAGTAACATAAAATTAGAAATTTGTTAATTTAAGTTGTAAATATATAAAATTGTGATTTAGTATTATTAGAATATTGTTTCGATTTGTTTTTATTAAAATAATGATTTATTTATTGATAAATATTTTAGATATTTTAAATTAGAAAAATTATATTCAAATTTGAAATATTTAGAAAATAGTATTAAAAATATGTTTGCCTTGTGTTTTGAATTATAGGTAATTTTTATTGCAAAATTTAAGTTTTTCTTGTATTTCTTTTTTTTTAATTGATATTTAAACATTTTTTTGACAATTAACAATTAAATATTTAATTAGCAATCAAGTATTATAAAAATGTATTTTAAATAGTTTTTAGCATGATGTTTTGACTAAATAAATTGTTTTCGTTTTTATAGAGTTTTTTTTAAGATATGGGTTTCATAAGTATAAAAAAAGTATAAATAAATTTATGTAAATTATTCAGAAACAAATTAATTAACTAAATATAAATAATATGAATTTTTTTACAAATTTTTTTTTATTCATTAAATTTTTGATTCTTAAAAAAGGCATTCTTTTATTTCTGAGTTTTTAAAAAGACGAATAACCATAGTTGTAATGTTATCTGTACTTGATTGAGAAATAGCATAGTCAATTAATTTTCTGCTTGCTACATTTGGGTCATAAATATTGCGACAAATATCAACAGCTTGTTGGTCTGTGCATACATCCCAGAGCTATTGAGGTTAAATATGTTTTTTAAAGAAAAAAATAACTTACGCCATCACATGCAAGAATAACGAATTCATCTTCATTTGGAATAAGAATAGTTTCTGTTGTAAAAGGGCGACTAATAACAAAATTTTTCATATAAGTATCACCAAGAGCGCGAGTAACAGCTAAAATGCCGTTAACTCTGTTGTTAATAATAACCCCTCCTGCATTAATAATCCTTTGACTTTCATGCCAATCACTACTTTTATGGTCATAAGAAAGACGATGGGCTTTTCCTCCTCTACAAAGAACTGCACGAGCATCTCCAACATTTGCTGTATAAAGAAGTTTTGTGCGTCGAATTTCATGTAAGCCTGAAATTGTTGTAAATGATCTTTCTTCCCAACGTATAAGAGCAGTAATAGCTGTGCATCCACTATTTCTTGACGGAAGATTGGCTAATGCATCATCAACAGATGAGAATGTAGCATTAAAAATATCAGGGATTGTTGATGATGGCATATTGCAAAGTAAATCATATAAAATAACATGGAACTGCTCTTTACAGAAATTTGCTGCCTGGTTCCCTGCATGCCCATCAAAAATAGCAAAATATCCTTGATCAGCCACCCCTCCAAAATTGTAAATGTATTCATGAGTGTCTTCCATAGTTTTTCGACATTTTTTGTTTTTGTCATTGGCTGAACCTATAATAAAGCTATTTTCCTGTGTTTCTAAATGTTTCTTTTTTTGACACTCTTTAGTCATTGTTATTTGAGTTTCTGCTTCAGTTTTATGACAATCTGGATTTGACGTTTTATGTGAACAGGTGAGTACTTGTTTTTTATAAAAATCTAAGCAAGAACTTGGGAAATGGTTTTGTAATGATGCTAGGTTAAAAGTATCCATTTTAATTTCAAGTTTTTAATAATAAAATTCAATATTCGAATCATTGAAATTCTTGTTTTATTGGTCGTTAAGTGATTAGAAGAAAACTTGAGTTGGATAATTTAAAATAAAAATATAAAAAATACAGAATATATCTCTTGGAATTGTTTTTTACAGTTTTTTAATGTAAATTATTTTTAGTGATAGGTTTTAGGCTTCAAAATATTATGATTGTGCAATTTTTATTATAAATAATTATGAATCAACATAGTTGTATTTTTATTGTTACATTTTGATATAAATAAAATTATTAAATTTTTTATTTTTGAAAGATACGTTTGAGATATTCTGAGACTTAAAAAAACAGTTTTGTTTTATAATATAAATTATAGATTATATTTTTATTTTAAAACAGATTTTTTTGTTCAGAATTTTTTATGATTTTTGTCTGTTAAAGTAATTTTAAAAGTAATTTAGTTGATTTATAAGAAAAATAAGTTTTATAAATTTTTAGATCTATCAAAATATTTGTTATGTATTCATTATAATTGTTTTATTAGTTTATATGAAAGCTTTTAAATTAATATATTTCGGTTATTAATTTTAAGGTAAAAATTTGTATTTATAGAAAAATTTTTATTATATTTCTATATTTGGTTTTTATTTGATACTAAAATGATAATTTAAGTTTTTTGATTTTTTTTATAAGATTTAGGATTGTACTTTTTAAAGATACTAATAAGAGTGATTTAACGAGATATGAAAAAATATCCGTTTTTATTTTGATTTATATGCTGTGTAAACAATAAGTTTAGGAGATCTTCTAAGTAGATGTTTATTTAGAGTGCTTTGTTTTTATAAATAAATGATTTTGATTGACAGAATTGATAATTTGTTGTAAATATATTTTTAAAAAAAATATTGTTTAGTAAGATAATATAATAAATTGTTAAAAAATATTTGAACTTTTTGATTTCATATTGGTTTAGCACATTTTCGTTGTTCAATGGTGCCTGTAGTATGTGAACGCATTTGATTCCAATTGATAGGATACATAGCATCACCTGTAATATCTGTTGCAAATACCACTCCTAAATCATTTTTTGCAGTAGAAAGATAATATGAAGATTGATCACCTAATGATATCTTCAAATGTTAGTCAACAAACAATATTGTTTTATTCTACTAACTACTTGTGCTCGTACAATATCTCCTGGACGAAAAAAAGCATAAATCTTAATAGTATCTTTGCTGGTTGCTTTTACATCTTGAATTCTAAGGATAAAAATGTAAGTTAGGACATTATAGTATTTAAATGAGATCCCACCGAATAATACCTTGAAACTCTCTTTGACAAACTGTTTCTCCAACTACAAAAATATTAACTGTAGCTTCTTTGGGTTTGATTTTTGTAACTCTTCCCAGAACAATAGCATTTACTTCTGGGAGAATTGATGAGCCTTTACGATGAAACATGTCTAAAAGCCTTTCTACTGAAATTTGAAGTTGTCCATTTGAATCTAAAGATTGGACTATTTTTCCTGGTATAGATGCTCGAATAAAAGATGTATGAATAATAGTGCCTGGACCCCCTGTAGCTGCATTTATTGGTGAAATAGGCTGGCCTGGAAGTACTAATTGGCCAGTTTCAAGAGGCCCTATCATAAAACTAAAATTTTATTAATTGAAGGGACGGTTATAAAGATATAGCATATATATATAAATGTTGTAAAAACACATTTTTTACGATATATGAGATTTTTTAAATGAAAAAGATAAAAATAACTTTATATAGTATTTTTTAATGATTGAATTTTGATTTTAAAAAAAAAAGTTGATAAAAATTGTAAAAATTTTTCAATTTTTACAAATTTTTATGAATCACTTTTAGCTTTTGTCATTCTGAAGTACTTTAATCCGAGCCAATTAATGCCTACCCATATCCAAGCTACAACACCCCCCGTTAAGATAATAAGAAGAAAGTAATAATCAATAATTGGGAAATCATGTGATTTTTTCTGATTTTTTACGTTCTAATATTTTACATTTTGGTTTTGTTGTTAAAATAATACTAGTGAATTACCTTTATTTGAAACGCCCAGTGCCAAATTCCAAAAACTCCGCTCATTCCAGTTACAAAAAGAAACCATGTAAAAATAAGAAGAAACCAACCCCACCGAACTGTATTTGTCATCTTTAAATGTATATTTTGCTTTTCTTTGCGATTAAATGTTTTTAAGAATGAAATGTATTGTTCATTATCACTTTCTTCTGAATTTGTTAAAGATGGAGATGATAAATATTTAAAGTTATTAGAATAAGTTTTTTTTTTTTTCACTTTTTTCATTTTTAATTACAAATAGTTTCATAATTTTACATATTTTTTTTTTATTGCTTTTGATTTTTTATATTTGGAATTAATTTTAAAACCGTTAGAATTCTAGATTTTGTAGATTAAAAAATATAATATTTTGTTTTTTAAAAATTTTAGATATTAGTTTTATAACTTTATGTAAATTGGAGCTTTTTAAATTATTTTTTGAAAAAATATTATGTATTAAGAAAAATAATATTTTAATGTTATAAATTATATAAAATATTGAGATTTTATTATTTTAAATATAAAAATTGAAGAAATAATTATATTTAAATATTCAAATATTTAATTTTTTTATTATTTTTTTGATTTTTTAACTTTAATATTTATAATAGTTTTAGAACTATGCTAAATTTATTAATATATTTTTAATTTTCCAGATTTTCTTTTGAAAGGGTTGTATATGGTCTTTTATCAAATTATTTGTATAAAAACTATATTATTCTAGGAAAAACAAAAAAACTGAAGAAATTAGGAAATTATTGTTTTAAATGTATTGGCATTGAAATATAATTTTAAGATAATTATGCTACTATTTTAAAATGAAAGTTTTGTTAAGTTTCATGTGTAATATTTGACTAGTCATTGATGTTATAAAAGATAAATATTTTTGTTCTAAAAGACCAAAAAATGTATACTTATATATGAATCAAAAGAGTTATGATATTAAGCCATCATTTTAATACAAAAATATTAAAAATATACTTACTAGTGTGGAGAATATCAAAATGAATTTGTTCTACATGTTTTTTAAATTTAGAATTTATAAATTTATTCATTGTCTATATTTCAGGAAAAGATTTTCTTCGAATTTCTTTTGTTATTTTAATATTATTCCCTATAGTTTCAAATTTTATGTTTTTTTCGAGTTTTGAAGAAACATTATTTTCTGATGTATAAAATATTTTATGAGCAATGTTTGGTGGTGCACTTTTTAATGTAGAAGATGGAGATATATCTGATTTAATGATCTAAAGAACTGTTAATTAAAAATTTAAATAACTAGAAAAATACATCTTTCCATGAATCTTTATGACAAACACAGACTAATGGAAATACTCTTATAATAAGTTCATCTGTTTGAGCTTTGGTTTTTGTTTCAGAAATATTGTTAATAGTATCTTCTAAATATTTTATACTGTTTTCAGAAATACTATTTCTTTTTGAATTAAAATTATCCATTTTTCCTATTTTTATTCCTGAACACCAGCCATCATCCCATACTGACACTACATAAATAATATCACCTCTTTCTAGAGTCATTTCGTCTGGCATTTTTGGTTCATACATATAAAGAGCAACAACTTCTGTATTACGTGTTATTTGATGGTCAGAATAGTAATCTTTTATAGACATTATAATAGGTAAAACTGTAGCACGATCTTCACCAACAGAAGATGTTGGGCGCGATTTAGAACTTTTAAATGCATTAGTATTTATACTTTCAGTGTTAATTTCGGTTATTTGTGACTCATGATGGTTTAAAGTTCTATAAGAGCTAAGATTTAAAGATGTATTTTGAGAAAGTTCATGATTTTTATTTAAGTTAGAAATATTATAAAGATTATTAAAACTTTTGGTTTGTTTACTTTCATTATTTGTCCGAGAAAGATCTTTTTCTGGTGTAGCGATTATAGTTCTACTAAAATAATCAGAGCTTTTTTCTACTAATGTAGTATTGTAATTCAAGTTAGAATTATTTGCTGTTCCAAAAAAAGATAAAAGACTGTTTTTCTGTAAATTATGTTCTCTAATGAAATGTTGATTTAAATTGTTTGATTGTTTGGATGCAATATTTTCATTTTTCCTTCTTTTGTTGCAAGAAAGAATGATAAGTAAGACTAATAGTGAAAGTATTACTAATATGATTATTATCGAAAAAACAACTATAAATGAAATTGTTCTATGTGGTAATCTTTCAGTATCATCTTTCCTTTGTTTATTTTCATTTGTAGGAGTTATAGGCAAAGAGTTTGAGTCAGTAGTATTTGGAAGCGTTGTTTCTGTAAAGTTAGGTCTTATATACGAAGGTAAAGACAGTGAATCAGAGTAATTAAAAGTAGTGCATTGTGATAAGTTAGATATTATACAACACACATCTATAGAATTCTGTGAGAATGAGTTACAGTATTGACAGAGTCCTAATATATTGGTTCCGAACCCACAACTGCTAGGCTCGTTAGCTTCTCCTTTGATGCAATCTGAGGAGAATGATCTATTAGGACTTGTACAAACTGTAAAATCAGCTCGTATTAATGATAGATCATTTTTGAGAGCTCTATTTGTACAATGATATTGTAAAATAAATGCTTCGCTATTAGTCCAATCTATGCATGTATCCGCACAAACAGGACGACTACTATATCTGAGAATTTTTTTAACATTATGTATTTTTTTACCTGTTTGCTGCAGTTAAATTACATGCAGTGATTGATTCTTGAACCATAGATGCACATAGTACTGTCTTCGTGTATCTTGCATAAAAGCTATTAATATTTGAAATATTTTCTAGTGGGCATTTATAATAGCTTGCATATTTATTACTAATAAGTTAAAGACTTTTTTAAGTTAAGATAATATTACAATGTATAATTATTAATTATATAAGATTCTAATTTTTCATCAAAATCAGATGCATTTTCAATAAAAGAAAGGAATGGACTATATTCCTATTAGTTGAAAATATTTAGAAAGCAAAAAATTACAATGTATTGTTGATTGTAGTAGATATTAATGATGTACTAAATGAAGGACAGCTTTTAGATCCTGCAAGAGATATACATTTTCCATAAATACTTGATGCAAGCGTAGCAATTCCTCCTATTAAGAGTCTTTTTAATGTAGGAGGGTGTTTATGTTGTTTGAGAACTTGAAACATTGCATATTTTTTTTAACCTGCATTTAATAAAATAAATTTAGCTAGAATTTCAACTTATTTTTTTTCTTAACTACAAACTTTTTGTTGTTTAAAGCAAGAGTATTTAAAGTTCAGCTTTAATAATACTTTTTTGTAATTGTTATTAAGATTGTTAAGAAATAGTATATTTAATAATAGCTCAATTCTTTTTATCTCTTCTCAATTGTTAATAGAATAATTGTTAAACGTATATCTTATATTTAGAAAGTATTTTGATTACTAATTGTATTTTTCTTGTTTTTTATTTTTAGACTTTTAATTGAATGTAAACAAGTATTACGTTTTGTCGCTTTTAAAAAATAAAATTTATGGATATAAATGTTTCTTTTATTTAGAATTGAATTATAACATTTTAACAATAATATAACTTATATTAATAATATTTTTTAGTGATATTGTTTTTTTAATTTTGATATAAATATTCATAAATTTATAAATAATATATATAACTTTGAAATTTTATTTTTTGTAATTTTATAATTAATTCATATAAATAGAATACACAAGATTCTAGAAATTATAACTTTTATGAAAAATTTGACATGATAATATGTAATTTTTCTGTTAAATATTTAGGTTAAATATTTAGGTTAAATTATTAAATAATTAAATAATTTTTATATCTAGAGACTTGTTTTAAAATAATAATTCATGGGTAATTCGTTTAACTTTTTTTTGTCATTATAGGTAATGATGAATATAATGATGATCTCGTAATACATGTTTTCATTATTGGATATAAATAGTTTATGTCATTAATTGTTGAAACGTTTGATGAATTTTGAGTTTTGTTATCTGATTGAAATTCTTTATTTTGATTTTCTTTTTCGTTATTAAATATTGAGGAAAGATATTTTATTGGGTAAGATTTAGTATAATTTTCTGATTTAAAATTGTAAATAATTTGATTTATATTAAGAGTATTTTTCATTTCTTCGTACATTAGCATAAAAACATTTCCTGATTGAAGAACTTCTTCAATTGTGCATGCCCTGCAATAATTATAAAAATAATTTATAGAAATTAAAATTTACCAAACATTTTTATCGCTAATTTTAAACCATCCTTTTGGTGTTTTTCTAAATGTTATATAATGACCAGATGTATGAGAACCATAATGTACAATTATTGATTTTAATTCGTACTTTAATGGTTTTTTTTGATTAACATGTATAGACATTGTTTGTAAAGGATCTATCCATAAATTTGAGTATGATGTAGTGTATTTATTTAAGTCCAATATAAGGGGGAATGTTATGGATGCTGTATTTTTGTAAATAGATCCATTAATAGGAGATATAGTTGAGCGATTAATATGAAGAGTTAGAATTTTAGGAAGACGAGCAAACATGATCTGTTTTGATTTAACAGTATTAACAAGACGAGGCAATTTGAATTCTTTGAGATACTCTGCGTCTAAAACATCTGTTTCCAGAGCTGAAATAATAGCATTTAATTTTTTCTTGATAGTTTCTGATATTTCTGGATCGGGTAAAGATTTTAAAAGAGTTTCAAGATCGCTTTTAGATGCAATTAATGAGCATTTTTGACAAACAATATCCTCAATTATTTCTTTATTAACATATGCTGATAAGCAATCTTCCAACGAACATAATTCCTGTTTTTAATATTACTATAGGTTTTTTTTTGTAAGATAGAAATCTTACTTTTGATGACAATGGGAGAGATACGCTTGTAAACAACGAATGAATTATCCCTTCCTATAAATAGTTAATTTAAGAATGATAATAAGTTATTTATCGTACTGAAAACCCGCAATTCATACATTCCAATTTATTAGCCATAAGTCCATCAAATGGACTTTTTATTTCATTTTTGATATTGAAATTTTCTGGTCTTGTTTTAATAGAATCTGAAAATCCTTTTTCTGTGTGTCTTTTCGACATTTTTAAAATTTCTGCATTTAATTGCATTGTTAAAATCTGAAAAAATTCCTGAGCATCCTGTTGCTCATAGCCAAAATTTTTTTTATTCAATGACAAGGTTTTTATGAGTTTGGAAGTGCTGTGTGTTTGAGATAATGAGGAAGAATGGTTAAGCTTAAATATAATAGAAAATGTAGCTGATGCAATAGGATTATCATGTTCTTTAGATAATTTCTCTAAAATATATTCTAGTTCATTTAAAGATGCAAACGATTGAAGAATACAGTTTATATAACAACTATTTCCTGAATTATAAAGTCCGCCAATGGTTTGTTCGTGTCTAATACTTGTTTCATTTTTTGTTAGGTTTTGTGATTTTATTTTATTAAAAATATTTTTACCAAGTATGTTTTTTATGATATTTTTTTTTTTTTCTTCTATAATATCAAAAAACATAATATAAAAATCTGATAATGATGGAAGACTGAAAAATATTCCAATATAAATATAAGAAACTATAAGTGCTATAATAACCCAAAAAAAATAATGCCAAGGTGTTAGTAAAATAGTATCTTCAATATATTGAAATTTTGTATTTTTTAGCATTTAATTTGATGTTATATTGATTTTGTTTTTTTTTATATTTTTTAAATATTTAATATATTAAATCGATTATCGTTTAAATTCTTAAAAAAATTAATGTCATAAGATCAGTTTTAAATTTTTATTCATAGATTGTTTACTTAAAATTTTTATTTATATTAAAAGTTATTAAAAAAAATTAACGGAAAAAATTATATAGAATAATATGGATCCTAAAAATACTATAAATAGTAGAATTTTATTTTAAGAGTAAGGTTTTCTAAAATGAATAGGTAATCTTGGAAAAAAACATATTTATAAAGAAGTATTTGCTTTGACATTCCGGAATCTAGGTATTAAGAAAAAGGCAAAACTTAGGAATATTTCTAGTAAGCAGCAAAAAAGAAAAAAATATGCTATGAAGAAAGCAATGGTATTTGAAAATCAATTACAGCACAAGGTTTATAAGTCTGAACAAAAGTATTTTTTGAAAAAAGAAAGAAAGGTATTTTTTTAATAAAAATTATATATAAACTATATATAAATTTATTTTAGAATATTTGGGATAAAATTAATGAGAATCTAGTAAAATAGTATTTTTGTGAATTTTTAATTTAAATGCTTTTTTATTGGTTTTTGATGATAATTGTTTAATAAAAAATGGTTTAATTATAATGCTTTTTGGATTTTATAAAGGAATAAGAAATTGTTTGTTTTTTTACATAAACCAATGTTTAAATGTTTTATAATAATTGTAACAATTTTTATAATATCAAATAGTAGCATTTAGTTGGCATTTATTTATTTATTACTATTAGTTGTGATTATGCTTTTATACTTTTAATTGATTTTTGAAAATATTTGTTAGTTTTATACTTTGTTGAATATTTTCAAACAATTTTTATATACATATTTTATATATATATTTAGATTTTTTATTTAAAAAAATACTAGAACTAGTAAATTTTGATTAATTTTATATTTAGTGAACTGATTTTTTGTAGTTTAAAGTTAAGTTTGTATTATTTTGTATTATTTTTAATAATCATTTAATGAATTTAGTTTTAAATTTTTTGTAACTGATAGTTAATATAATTTCATTTTTAAGAATTATTAAAATAATTTATTGACGATTCTTTATAATTTATCAGGGACTGCTCTTTTTTTTATTTTTAAATGTTATTAAAATTATAAAACATATTAATATAATATTTTTTTTATTGATTTATTATAATTTTATTTTTTTGTTTTTAATATTTTTTATATTCAATTTTTTTAAAAAAAAATAATATGAAATATATAAATTTAATTATATTTTAAATTTACATGATAATTTTTGGTTTTATTTATTAGATAATTTGTTGTATTTATTATTAAAAATCTAAAATATAATTGTTACGAATAAGTTTATCATAAAATTTATTTGATAGTTTTATTTTTTTTGTATGTTTTTTCACGTTTAAATTATAAATACAAATATTTATTTAAATTAAAACGTTAAATGTCACGAAGATTTTTCGTTGGAGGAAATTTTAAAGCTAATGGGACGATTGAAAGCATTACAAGGATAATAGAATTTTTAAATAGCTCGGAGCTTGATCCTAATGTTGGTATGTGTAGTATTTTTGGAATTTATAGTTTTTAATTTTTATTAAAGATATCGTGATTTCTCCTCCTGAACTTTATCTTTCTTATGTTAGAAAGTATTTAAGACATGATATAGGAGTATCTGCTCAAAATGTTTATAAAGGACCACCTGGTCCATATACTGGAGAAATTTCGTAAATTATTATAGTTGGTAAAAATTAATTTAATTTTTTAGTGTTGAGCAGTTAAAAGATTGTGAAATATTATGGACAATTATTGGGCATAGTGAACGTAGAAATTTGTTTAATGAAAATGACGAAGTAAGTTATTTCTATGTTTTTGTATATTCATTATTAATATATTAGCTCGTTGCATTGAAAACAAAATATGCTCTTGAAAATGGGATGTCTGTTATTCTTTGTATTGGAGAGAATTTAGAAGATCATGAATCAGGACGTACTATTGATGTAGTAACTTCGCAATTAAAAGCTGTTTTTCAGTATGTGACAAATTCTTCAAATCTGGTTATAGCGTATGTGTTTTGTTTTTACATTTAGATATTTATTAATGGCAGTTATGAACCTGTTTGGGCTATTGGAACAGGTGAGAACTTATGATTTAAGTGTTTTTTTAATAGATTTTAGGAAAAGCTGCAAGTCCTGAACAGGTATAAATTATAAAAGATGATTGTGTTTAATGTATTGTAAGGTTCAATATGTTCATGAAAAAATACGTTTGTGGTTAGAAGAAAGGTTATATGATGAAAGTAGTCACATTCGTATTATATATGGTGGTTCTGTGACATCTAAAAATGCGAAAGAGTTATCAAAAATGAAAGATGTTGATGGATTTCTTGTAGGAGGTGTAAGTAATATAATATTTTTCTTATAATTAATATTATAGGCTTCATTAAAGCCTGGTAATATTATTATGTAATTTATTTTTAGGCTAATAAGTGTAAGAATTTAAAGATATTATTAATGTAAATTTTTCAGTATGTGTTTAATGAATGAAAGATAAAGATTATAGAACTAATGTTTTAAAAATGTATAAAAAAATAATTGTTCTATTAGATATAAAGTAATGTTTCTGATTTTTTTATTTTAGTTTTTTTAATTAGTTTTTTTAAAAAAAAAAAATACTGGATATCTCGAAATTTTATAATTTCGTTTTTTTTATCACATATTTATTTATTTATTTATGAAATTAGTAGAAAATATTTAATGTTTTAATAATATTTAATAGTATTTACTTTTTTATGATTGTATTTATGTTGTATTTATGCAATTATAATAGTAAACTTTAAATGTTTATTTAATGAAAAAATATTTAAATAAACTGTATGATGTAAAATTTGATAATTTCATGTAATTGTTATATATACATATTATGTATTCGTATTGATAATTTATTTGAGTTAATTTTTATAATAAAACTTAGAAATAATTATCGATAAAAATGACGAATATATTGGAAAAATAGAAAAAAATATACTTTTGTAAATTTTGTAATTGATATCTATTGTTGTGAATAATGATTTCGCCTGGATATGGGTCAGTTTTTGGGTCTTCGCAGTATTTAAATCATCCTGTATCGAAAACTCAGCAGCAGATAATTTCAGATACTTCTAATACTATGAATTTTTCATTATCTAGAACTAGTCCGTGTTTTGGGACTTCTGTTCCATTTGGAAATACATTTATGAGTTCTCGTGGAGATAATGTAGAAGGATATCAGAATTTACCTGATAATGTAAAGATGTATAATTGGATTATAGAATTAATAAGTGGGAGTTCTGGAAGAGAACATGCTCTTCTTGAATTGAGTAAGAAGCGTGAGCAGTTTGATGATCTTGCTTTTATTTTGTGGCATTCTTTTGGTAAGTTGTAGTTTCCATTGTTGATATTTTGATTTAATTGATATAGGTGTAATGACAAGCTTACTTAAAGAAATTGTTTCTGTTTATCCTCTTTTGCTTTCGCCTCAACTTACAACTCATGCTTCTAATCGTGTTTGTAATGCTCTTGCTTTATTACAGTGTATTGCATCGCACAATGAGACGCGAACTCTTTTTCTTAATGCTCATATTCCTCTTTTTCTATATCCTTTTATGAGTACTACATCAAAGTCCCGGCCATTTGAATATTTGAGACTGACTTCATTGGGTGTTATTGGTGCTTTAGTAAAAAATGACTCTACCGATGTAATTAATTTTTTACTTTCTACTGAGATTATTCCTCTTTGTCTCCGTATCATGGAAACAGGCTCAGAGTTAAGCAAAACAGTTGCTATTTTTATTGTACAGAAAATATTAACTGACGATATGGGTCTTGCATATATTTGTCAAACATATGAAAGATTTTATGCTGTAGGTACTGTTTTGAGTAATATGGTAGGGCAGCTTGTTGAAAATCAAGTTCATCGTCTTCTGAAACACGTTGTACGATGTTATTTGCGATTAAGTGAGAATCCTAGGTATGTTTAGGATATTTGCTTTAAAGGTCTTATAAAAGAATAGAGCTCGAGAAGCTTTACGCCAATGCTTACCTGAGCCTTTAAGGGATGCTACATTTTCAAATCTTCTTAAGGATGATTTATCTACAAAACGTGCTTTAGCACAGCTTTTAGTTAATTTATCTGATAGTGTAATTGGGTAATTGTGTCATTATTTTATAATAGATAATTCGAAATTTATGGTTAAACGGTGTATTAATTTTTGTCAGATTCTTGTATTTGATATTTTATATTAATTCGTATAATACATATATACATATTCATATATGGGTTAAAAATATATACTTTTATTGTTTTATGAAATATAAAATATGAGTATAGATTAATACGTATAAATATGGATATTATATATATTTTAAAATGTATCTTTAGTGTATCTTGTAAAGTATAATAATTGATATTGGAAATTGATTTATATATAAAGGCTATTTATTTAAAATATTTTTGATGTAATATGTAATTATACGCAAAAACCTATGAAATTTATGAAATTACCAATCTTGGTTTAGTTGTTTGTTAGAAGTTTGTGGTATAGAACGATAAGTCGTATATAATATTTTATATGCAAAATCACGATCCCAGTTTTTTATATATTGTAATATGCGAATTGAATTAATGGTCATTTTTGTACTAGAATTATATAAATTATTTACGTGATCGATCCATTCTTTTTGTGTAAATGTTTTGGATAACTCTATTGTTTTTGGTTTTAATTGACCTCCTCCGTTAATACATCCAGATGGACATGCCATGACTTCTACAAAATCATAATTTGTTTCTTGTGATATGTTCTTTTTTTTGGTTTTTAATTTCCTGATAAGATTTTGTATATTTCTGTGTTTTTTTAGAATGTTATGTAATAGCAGTAATTTTATTTAAATTACCTAAAGCCGTAACATATTGCCATTCGAAGAAGAATTGAATTATCTGATCCTTTTAGAATATATTCCATCATATCATTATTTCGTATTATATGTGTTATGTTATGAGTTGAATTTGTGTTTGTAAGATCTATGTTAAATAACTCTTGAGCAGCAAATGTAAATATTTGAAAGAGATATCCACCTGATGATGAACCAGGATGTTCCATTATATCCGTATCCATATAACATGATATTAAAGAATCATGAGGTGCTTCTGGCATTTTTTGTAAATCTAATGATCGTTCTCTTAACATTTCTAGTACTTCTGATGTTGTAATAACGCAATCAACATCTTTAATACCATTTTCTGAAAATTCTTCTCTGCTTGCTTCTAATTTTTTATCAAAGCATGGCATTATTGAAACATGGTAAATATGTTGTTTTTGCTTGTTTGATATTTCTGTTAATTTAGATTTAATTATAGTACCTGTAATTTGTTGTGGAGATTTTACACGAGATATATATGGTAAAATTTCTGAATGAGTTTTTTCTGCATAACATATCCATCCTGGACATGCTGATGTGAGCAAGGGTAGTATTTGATCATCATAACCTTTTTTTTTTGTTTTATAGCGTTGAATAAAATCGTTAGATAGTTCATATAATGCTAATTCTCTTCCAAAGTTTGTATCTACAAAATGTGAAAATGACAACAATTTTGTAAAAAAGTATGTTAAACGAGCATGTGTTGATTTTATAGAAATATTAAAAACTGCTGCGAGTGATGCTCGTGATTGAGGTGAAATAGATGCTACTAAGATTTTCCGTTCATTTTCTTCGAGGCTCTAATAAAAGTATTGGTTTTTGCAGTTAGATCTAAAAAAAATACCATATTTTCTTCAATAATAGCGTTAATTTTTTGATATGATTGTGATTCAATAAAAATGCTTTCTGTTGATGTAATACATCCACTAAAACATTTTATTTTGTTAAATGTAAAAATTATATAATAATACTTGCATGCTAAACAATCATTTAAAGTTATAGTTGCTGGTTCTAGTTTTCTTTTTGTGCCATTATTGATTTCATAATATCCTTTTTTATCTAAATTTATTTGATTCTAAAAAATAAGATATGATTATAATTATTATTGAAAGTATTAATACATTTTCAGGAATATTAATTGATGTATTTAAGGATTTAATACATTTTTGATTTGGTGATATAAAATCATTTAAATCTGTTTATAATTAGTAATTTATAAAATTTGGAAAAAAGTGTATAGTACATTCAATAGACAAAATTTTACTCATTTAATGTTAATAATATAAATTAGTTTATTACAAGATGTTTTTTATAATCGATTGTTAAATGTAATTAAATATTTTTTACGATTCTAAATTAAGATTTTAAAAAATTAATATACAAGATGTTTTAAAAATATTTAAAAAATGAATATTCATTTATAAAATTAGGTTTATTTTATTATAAAAATATTTATATATTATTATATTAAATATATATTTTAATATTTATTTCTACTGTAATAATGATGTGTTTTTTTGTATATTTTAGAAATAATATTTTATAATATCAACATTAATTTATATTGATTTTTATATATAAATGTTATATTCTGTATCTATTAAAGTTAATATATGTTTTTCTATAATCATATAAATTCAATTTTTTTATTTATTTAAAAGTACAATAATGCTAACATAATATACATTTAAATTTTAATTTTATCTAATTTTAATCTTATAATATAAAAAAATACAAGTCATTAACACATTTTATTAATAACATTAATAATGTTATTATATTTATATTCATATATATTTATAACTATTATATAACATGTAACTATGCATAAACTATGCATATACCGATAATATTTAAACCAATCTATTAGGTATTTTAATTTATATATTTTTAATAATATTATAAATTTATGTAAAATTTTAGAGACATTATTATTTAAATATATATATGTAATAATATATATATAATTATATTTTTCAATGGATAAATGCTATAAATGATTGAATAATATATTATTATTATAATAATATACTTATTTTAAATTGTAAGAATACACATATATTAGATATATATTAGTAATACTATTATTATATATAAATATAATATAAATAATTAATGCATATCATTACTATAATATTTTAATATAATAAATACAATATTAGACAAATAATAAACACATTGTATCTTTATATAATAACTATTTAATTTATTATATAACATTTTTTTCACTTATCTTTATGTAAAAAATCTACGTAATTCCATTTATATATATAAAATATCAATGAATAATTATATTAATTATATTAATTATATCAATTATATTATTATTCAAGTATTCATAATTTTTAATTTATAATTTATATGTAATTACAATATTGTAATCATTAAGTTATTTATTTTTATTTAAAATACAAATTTTTTAAAATAGACATGTATGTATTTAAATTTAACATAGTAGTTATACGTTATATAAAAAAATATGGATACATTTTTAATATTTAGATTATATGCTTATGATAAAAAATATCAAATTAAAACATAATTAAAACATAAAATATTTAAAATATTATAACGTGTAATCGATCATATATAATATTTTTTTATATTAAATTTAGAATTAAGATATTTTATTATTCATATTTCTTAATATTATATCATCTAAAATTACGATTAGATGCATAAATTATTTCTCAATCAAAACGCGTATCTTTACGAAAAAACATTAAAAAATATTAAAATTTAAAATATTTTTTCCATTTTACAATTTATGACAAACATACAATTCCATATACCACCACTCTGTTTAGAAGATAATATAAATAAAATCAAACTAAACTTTATTGCATCCTACACAGTGTTATATCCAGATGAAAATGCAGTAATTTACTGGAAAAAATATGATATTCTTAAAGGAGATATTTTAAGTGTAAGTTAATATGCATTTTTTAAGATATTCGTATAATTATAGTTGAAATTGAGTGCGTTATGGAAAAATAATTATATAAAACACGAATTTATACGCGATTTAAGCCAATTAATATCATCAACAGAAGTTTTAAAACTAATATTTTTTATAAGTATATTCTAATAATTTAAGTGGTGGAAACAATTTCATCTCCGTCCTATTATACAATCAAATTACGAAGAAACTACATTTACAAGTACAAATAATATCTTTTGATATAATATTCTTATAAAGTTTAGTAATTCTTCTACCATTACAATCATATCCTATATTAGAATATCCTAAAAACATTTTACATGGAGAACTTTCAGAAATTCAAATAAAATTAGAATTTGAAAATAATTTACAAAAAAACCCTGAATTTAAATGGATACCAAATGTAGAAATGTTGATACCTCTTATAGATCTAGCATTTCGATCATTTTTCAAAGACAAGTTAAGTCAAAATATTCCATTAATTTTTAGAATAGATTTAGCAGAGGAATTTTATTAATTATTATATATATATTCTTATCGAAAATAGATTGCTGAAAAAACATCGCATCATTTAAACAACATATCTAGATCTCTTGATCGTATATCAAAAAGATCTATACGTACTAGTTTACAAACAAAAATTCTTTTATTAAAGAAGGTTGGTTTGTATATGTGCACATCAATATAATTAATACCATTAACATAGATTTCATCACAAGATTCATCATTTTTGACTCAAGAATTATGGAATACAGTCAAAAGAACAATTATTATCAAAAAAGCTATAACAGAACTTAAACCAGTATGTTGACAAGATATATTTAATTATAATGCATTACCTAATCTTATTCAAGGCATTAAATTATACATATTTTCCAAAATTATTACGAAAAGATATAAATACTAATAATGAAATCAAAATATTTCCAATAAATGATAATAATATATTATACGATGAAGAAACATCAGATAAAAAATTATCACTGATACAATCAACAGATAATAGTTGTTAATACTAATAATTTTAATAATTTTATCGAACATATGAAATATCAATTACTAAAAATATTAATCTAAAATTTATATAACATATGCTATAATCATTATTATAATAATAAATGCGTTTAATATCTAATTTTAAAAATATAAAAAACGAGTCAATTATTTTATCAAGTGTATATAATTTGCTTAAGAGAAATATAGATCCAATTATTTTTATATACATTTAATATATCTAATTTTAACAATTATTTTTAAACCACCTAAATCATCAAATATATACTAAATTTTATTTTAGAATAAAATTCATTATTGAAAAAAATAAATTTATAAATTTATATATTATTTTTTAATATAATATGTCTCTAAATATTACAATTACATATTTCTAAGAATAAATCAATAAAATAGTTAAAAAAATATATTAATTGAAAACATTCATTATAAAAGCATTAATTTAGAACCTTATACATATTTAGAAATTCACTAAAAACTTATTTTGCCATAATTTTAAAATAATTAATTCATTGAAACTAACACTTTTTATATCATTTTTTAAAAATAAAACGGAAGATTCTTCAAATTTATCAAAATTCGAACTATTATAAATTCAAAATTCTATTTCAAAAATACATTAAATCATTGTAGATTATATAATTTTAACTATTTAACAATTTAATAGTATATTTTATAAATAACCAAAAAAACAAAAACATATTGTATATATATTCATGAAATAATTCAATAATTATACACAATTCAATTATTCTATATTAACATAAAACCTATAACTGTAATCATTTAAATATTTCAAAAAAAGTGTTAATGATAAATAATCTATAAACTATGAAAAAAATCAGTAAAATTATTGTCTATTGAAGAATTAAACAGAGAATTAAACAAAAACAACAATAGTTATATATTAAAATCAGGGATTAGCCCATTCACTTTTTTAAATAGATCATTTTTTTTAAAGAAATACAAATTTTATATTCACATATAATTATATACAAATTTATTTTATTTAAAATATATGTTATACACATCCTTAACATATATGAATCAAATCAATAAATCTAAACATTATATTACATTCTCAATTCTCAGCCCAAAAAATGAGATATATAAATTATTTTTTCATTATCATTATTAATCATAACAAAATACAAACATTATATCATCAATTTCAATATTTTATTTAAGAACTAAAATATATTGAATAAAAATTGCAAAATAAAAAAAAATGAATTTATATTCACAAAAATAAAACTCTAACATATAACATATATTATAAAACAAACTATCTTTAATAAGAGTAGGCTAACATTTGTCATATTTGCTACACTGAAACAGCTCTTATATAATTTAGATTGTAAAATCAATATTTGTCAACATAAAATAGTAATAAACACATAAGTTTTAATCATGCAAAGTTGACCCTAAATCATTCTCTGTATCATCTACGGTAGACGCCTGACTTGTTGAAATACTACAATGTAATAAACTACTCTCTTTAACCGGTGACCCAGAAAAATTAGAAATAGAACTTCCGCTTGAAATGTTAGAATATCCACTTAGGCTCATGTATTGCGAAATTTTTTCTAGTGACGGTATTTGTGATCCAACATTAGTAATACCAACATCAGAAGCTTTCCCTGCTTTTGATAATGCATAATCACCAGAATCAAAATATTTTCTTTCCTTTAACTATTAATTCATAATTTTATAAAAATAATAAAAATACTTTAAGTTTATTATTTAAAATATCACTCTTCTGAGGCAATTTCCCATATAGACGAAATAATTTCTTTTCTTCTTCTGTTAATGTCTAAAAATATTTAACTATTTTATAAATCTAAAGAACTTACATTTAAATCTAATTTATTTTTCTCAGAAGGTATCATAACTTAAAACTCTTTAAGAGTTATTACTTTTATAATTATTAAATATTATATTTAAAACCCAATATACTTAAAATTTTTCATTAAAATTTATTACCAAATAAAAAATATAAATACTTATAAAAAAATTTCAAAAGAAATAAAATTATATTACAATAACAATACATCAATATATCATATTAACATACATTTGTTCAGTATTTAAAAATATTTATATATTTTGTATATTAAAAAATACTAAAGTATATTTTACAGATAATCTTTCAATTCATATAAAATATTATTTTACTTTAATATAAAAAATACAAATGTCATTTAAAAAAATAACGCATATATTTTAATATTAATCATTATGTTCTACACATTAGATTAATTTCATATTTTTTATAGAAATATACATGACATATCATAATTTAATAAAAATATAACTATTCGTAAACTTGCAAAAAAATATGCGAAACAATAACAAATCAAACTATTTTTCAAAATATAGAATAATATACATATATTTACATAGATTTAATTAACTTTCATTACTTACCAATAATATTCAATTAGTCATAATATTTTTTATAAAAATTATTTTTAAAATATAAATATTATATATATATTTTTCAAAAAATATTTTTTTTAAAAAATAAACAATTTCTGTATTATTACAAAACTTTAATAAAAGCATTATTTTCATAATATATATTAAATTTAACATAATTTTAAACTTTTAAAGATACACTATAATTTAATTCAAAAACATATTAAAAAAATATAAAATAGTACATATTTATATTCTATTATTTCACAATAACCTACTTGTAAATACATATATTATTATAAATATTTCTGAACAAAGAATAATTATGAGTATTAAAAATTAGTATAGAAAAAAATCATTAATCGACATTTAAAATAAAAAAAATTAAATTTTATAAAACTTTGAAATGACAAATATTTCTAAATCTTACCAATTATTTTTTTCAACAACAGTATAAGAATTTAATTACCAAGTTATTTCATTATAATAATTATAGTAATAAAAATAAATGTTTTTAAACAACTTTAAACAAAAATTTTACACTAAATATTATTCCTAATTATTTAATATCCTAGTATTTCTTTAAAATAGAAACACTTTAGTTTTAAATTGTATTGATACACATTACAAATATTATACTAAATTCAAACATTCATCAAAAAATAACATTAATACAATAATAAATACTAAATACTTTTTTATAATATATACAAAAAAATTGAAACAAGATAATTATCTAAAATTAATATTCTAAAATCCCAAAAAACATTAAACATAAAAATGGGGAATCTTAACAAAAAACAATAACATAAACTAAAACAAATGAACACATATTCTTGCAACTACTAAAAATATCTAATAAATAAAAGCATCAAAAATTTATTAAACATAAATTTTAATTATTTTAATTATTTTAAACAATTAAAATCATATTAAAACGAATACAAGTAACAGTAGCATATATATATTATATATTTTTTTTTATTATAAATACATATTTTAATTATAATTTCAAAAATTTCGTACATCGTATTCTTAAATTGACTGTGCACAAAGAATCGCAAATGAAGTCTACAAACGGAAGAATTTCATTTCTTCATTACACAAATTTTGCTTTAGGGAAAGGTAATACAATCTTATGTATATTTAATTTAACCAGAAAGTCCCCGGACAACTCTTTTTTAGAGTTCAAGCGGAAACGCTCCAAAATAGAAACTTGGAAGTCTCTCCATAGTTAGTCCTAATATATTTTTTATATCCTTATAGTTTTTTCTGTGGTTTTTAAAACTATAGGACTTAAGTTTATATACTATTTAGTCCTTTTATCCTTAATGGAAAGACAAAGATATGAGTCTTGGACTTATAGATTATGAACTAAGACTATTTTTTCATAAAGACCAATAAAGAAATAACGAAATCATTTAGGAGGAAAAATTATTAGGGCTACTTTTTATGGATGGTGAGTCATTTTTTGTCAAAGTAAATAGTTATGCGGTTATTTCCTTGATTTTAGAAAAGGATTTAACATAATGGGGCTTACTCTTGATGCACAGTCAATATTGCTACATCTAATCCGTAAATCATACAATATTAACAGAAGCGCTTTTTTTAAAATACCTAATTATAAAAAATTGAACTCAAAGAACATTTATGAAATAATTAGATATGATGAACATATAACAGAGTCAAGCACATAGATTCAATACAAAAAAAAAAAAACAAATCTATGATGACTGTTTTGTTCTGATCATAAAAAACTAAATACTAATTAATAAATCTTTAAAATGAAAATTATAATATAGAGCATAAAATAAAAAACATAGTAATAAAAATAGCGTTTTTTCCCAAAACAATTATATCGTAAAGATAGCATATTACGAAATTATTAAGATGTTTTCCTATTTTTTGGATAGGTTTCATAGGCATTTAAATGTTTATTAACTTTATCATATAATTGTGGGTTCCCACAATTAGGTTCCATATCTCTACCAAAACATTCATAATTATTGGGATAAGAATTTTTGTGATTTTCCGATTCAGATGAAGAAGTGTCAGTATCACTAGATGACTCATCATATTCTCGCGGTTTATGATAAATACAACATACTATAATAGAATTAGACCCATATATAAACATTCAACTGATATTCAAAAACTTTTAGATTTCTTCTTTCCCATTCCTTCGTTATCAATAGCAGTTTCATCAAATCTTACTCTTCTTTCTGAGGGAGCTCCTCTAAGATGAATTATTCCTCTAACTTCATTATCCTGATCAGATATAAGTGATGGTTGAAAAACAAAGGACCCAGATATAGCTTGAGAAGCTTCAGATCTATTCCGAGAAAACAAATTTTGTTGATGCATATCATTATTATAAAGAACAAAAACAAAAAAAACTTAAGTTAAACTAAAAAATATTTAAGTTGCTAAGGAAACCAATTTAAAATAATTTATGGACGTGAAAATAAATCAAATTACAAAATTTTCAAAAAAATAATATTTGACATCTATAACTTATAATTTTAGAATTAGATTTATCCATCAAATAACATATTTAGTCATTTTTTAGTGTTATAAATAGTTAAATGTAATTCAAAACATCATAAACACGACTTTAAAGATAAAAAGTAGGCTTATTCTTGATTAAAACAAACCATAATATAATGGAAATAAAAAAAGAATAAATATTTTTATTAATAAAAATTTATAATTCATATAAATTTATCCTATAATAACATTTCAAAAATAATTTAAAAAATAAAAAACCATTAACAAAAAAAAAATAATTATATTTGAAAAATATTTGAATTAAACTCGTATACACAAAGACAAAAATACAGTGTCTTAAATAAAGAAACTAAACAAATTATAAATTTAATTATATTATATATTTTTCAGAATTCTCTAAATTTCTATCAATTAATTCATTCATAAACGCTTATATTTGTTCACTTTTCCAACCTCTACTCGAAATATCTGTTCACATAATTTTCTTACCATATATCAAAATGATAACATTATTTTTTAATATACCTTTACATTCATATACTTTCCTAAATAAAATTATTCATAAAAATATGATATTAATATAAAAAAAATTAAGATAAAGAAAACATGAATAATAACAATTATTTGTATAAATAAATTAATAATTTTAAACACAAATATTTTTTTTACTGTATTTAATAACAAAAAAAATAAAATTAAAAAAATTTTATTTTCCTTGGAAACTATTCAAATTTTCTAAAACTTTTAAAAAAAATTCAATAACATGTTTAAGCAAATTAAAAAAACATATTATCCATAATATTTATTTCTATTATTTATTTCTATTATTTATTTTATTTTCTACATTTTTTCAAAAAAAAAAAAAACTCTCACTATTATTAAAACATCAACCTTTTAAAAGCTTTCATTACAATTATATTTAAAATTTATTATAATATAATAATTATCAAAATTAGATCAATTATACAAAGTTCGTTATTTATCAAATATAGAATATAATATAATCATAAATTAATTAGTTAATAAAGTATATTAATCTCAAATTAAAAAAAAAAACAATGAAAAAAATTAGTAATTTTCAATATAAAAAGACTTGATTTATCGAAAATTAGACAGAACTAAGAAATTGAAAAAAACAAACTAAATGAAAAATATTAATAAATAAATTACATTATAATTTAATTTTAAAAAAACTCAGACTTCAAAAAAATGTCTTTAATAAACTAAATTTTAAATTCATTTCAATATTAAAATCCTCAAAATTATTTAAAATTTTAAAAAACATCATATATAAACATTCATTAGTACTCAAATAAAATTATACATAACTTTTTAAAAAACTTGCAAGTACTAGACAAAAATCAGATAATATATTATGACATAAGTAGTAATTATTATCTAAAATATTAATCTAATTTTATAACTACTATAAACTCTATAAATAGCCCATTCAAAAATAATTTTTCATTAATCAATGAAAAAAAGTTTCTATAGAAATAAACTTAATATAAAGTATTATTATTTTTATTTCAAAAAAATTAATATTCATCTAAAAAAACCTAAATCTAAAAAAACATATAACGTTTAATTATCTTTCCAAAATACCATTTAACATTTTTAGTAAAAAATTTATAAATATTTTTCCTAAACAATTATTTATACTATAATTCTTAAAAAAATAATTATCTTTTAAAGAAAAAATCTACTATTATTAGAAATAATCCTTCATCTATATACTATCTTTATCGAATACATTTAATCCATCAATTGCTGTTTATATTTTTTTTATTCTTTTAATAAACTATAACATTTGTTATTTAATTGAATGAAAAATAACATTATATCTAATAAAATATTCAATTGTATACATTATTAAAATTTTTCCAAAAAATTCTCTATATAGTTAATATTTCCTTTTCAATTAGACTACAAATCCTTAAATTATAATACTAAAGTAATATATCAAAAATTATAAGGAATTATAAAACAATATAAATATATATAATACTAATTATTTAAAAACTCCACAACTACTTTAACATTTTATCATACTTATCTGATGCATCAATTCAGAAAAAAAAAAACAAAAATTAATATCTTCAATAAATACAAATATTAACTCTCAATTAATGATAATTTTAAAAATATTTAAAAAATATAATTATAAAGTCTTTAAATAAATAGTTTAAAATTACATTAATATTTTCACAAAGCTCAGTAATAAAAATAATATTTTCAACAAAGATCTAAAAGAAACGAATTCATGAGTTATTATTAAAACAGTAAATCAATTTTTAACCAGAAATAAATAAGTACCATTCATAAATATAAAATGAAACTTCAAAAGAATAATATCTCCAGAGACAAAGTAAATATTGTGCAAAAAAAGAAGGATTCCAATAATTTCTAGGAACTTTTCTAGAATACAACTTATCTAAGTTTTCTTGATAAACGACTCTTGCACAATACTTTCTAAGAATGCCATAAGTGCGTTTAGGACCATAAGTAGTTTTAAGGCTTTCATCAAGTGAACGAAGTAAATCATTAGTTTTAAAAAGTAAAAGCCTATTTTTTTTAAATATATAAAACAATAAAACTCTTAATATTACATAATTCGTGGAACGTTATCTAATAGTTCAACTAATTGTGTTATAAAACTTCGAGTAGCTGGTACTGTAATACGATTAGGCTCATTTTTCACCCATTTTATAGCCATAGATTTTTTAAATGGTTTAAAATCTCGACCAGTAATAACACTTGCAAATAAATGAAACTAGCTATATTAACAAAAAATATAAAACATTTATATATAATCTACTTTATCTTCACTAATCCCAGCGACTTCATATGAATATTGCTTCATATCTTTTTCATTCATATTTATAATCGAAAGCCATAATTTTGCATAAGATCTTTGAAGATCTAAAGGAATTTCTCTATATAATCCATGATCTAATAACACAATTTCAAAATTATATTTTGATTGAGAAGATTTAGGCCGAGTCCTAATAAGTAAATTTCCACCATGTGGATCACAATGTAAATATCCATCACCGCCAAATATCATCTCATTAAATATATGCGATAACTCAGCACTAATTTCATCTCGAGATATATTATTTATTAACATATATTTATGGTTATCAACTCTCACACCCTTAATATCTAAACAACAAAGTCAAACAATATAATAATACTATATAACTTCCTACATTCCATCACTAAAATTCTTTTTTCTGACCATATAACTTCTGGAATATAAACAGAAAATCTTTTTACTTTTTCAAAATGTTTTTTAATACGAATAGCATTTTTTTCTTCTTCTTTAAAATTAAGCTCCTGCAACAAAGAAAATTCCATTTCTTCAGTTAACCAAGTCAAAGTAAATTCAGGAAAAAATCTTTTAATAGAACTAAGAATCTTCTTAGTCAAAAAAATATCAATAACTACAAATTCCTTCAAAGATGGATGTTGAATCTTTACAGCAACTTCACGTCCATTTTCTTTCATAATAGCTCGATGAACTTGAGCTAAACTAGCAACACCTATTGGTTTCTCATCAAAAAAAGAAAAACAATCTTCTAGTGTTTTTCCTGTGTCATCCAAAAACATTTTTTTAATATCGTCCATTGAAGAAGATGGACATTTATCTTGTAAACAAACCATAGTAGATGTCCATTCCTAAAAGAATAAGTAAAAAAAAAATAATACCAAAAATACATAAGGAATCAAATATGACATACTACTTAAATGTTGACCAAGCTTGATAAATATCCCACCATTGTTCTCTAAGCAAGATAAAGTACGTTTAGCACATCTTTTATGACACAAAGACAACGCATATAACCGCTCTTTTTCATCCAAGTAATTAGAATTAATCGTTTTACGATAATCATTAAAACACAGAGCAGCTGTTGATATTAATCTAAATGTTCTAATAGTCGCCAAACCAATATATCTAAAAGAATCTGTATCTATTGAAAATATGTATAAGATAGAAAAGGTCATAAAAGATAACCCAATACAAAAAACTACTTTACTACAACTACCCCAGATTTTCTTATTTAGTTTTTGATCATTATAAATATTCTTATATCCAATTTTATAATAATTTCTACAACAAAGTACAGAAAAAAATCGGAATTGAACAGGTTTCCATTTTAGAAAAGACAGGCCAAATACTTTAATACCGAAATAGATCATTCAAATATATAAACATAAAAATCATATATGCAATAACATAATTCAAACAACTTTTAACGTTAAAATCGATAATCCACAAAATCAAAATAAGATAATCAATATAGTTTTAAAAAAATAAACTACAAGATATTCTAAATTAAAGCTACTAAACGATTTGATATATCTAACTGTATATGAATAATATTTGCTATACAAACAAGCATAAGAACATCTTGTAAATGATTGTTGAACATTCTTTCAACATCAAGAGAATCTATATTAGAAAAAACACTCATATTATCCATTAAAAAACGAATAATAACAGGATTAATTTGAATTTTTCCATCCTATAATTTTTTTAAAAAATATAATAAAATTATTAAATCTTACCATAACATTTTCAACATATTTTTTAACTTTTTTCAAAATTAATAAAATTTTTTCAATAGATTGTTCTAAATTATCCATATCAGTCAAGATACTTGTTTGTCTATTTTCTTCATTTTTAGCTTTTAAAATTGAATCAACTTTAATAAAGATTAGAAGATATTTAAGAACAATATTATTCCATACATCCATTCTTTTCTAAATCATAATATCTTATTTCATGTGGTATAGGCAAAAACAGACAACTATCAGCAGTTCGCTCAGATGTCACACCAACTGCCGATGAAATATAGGTTTTGCAATTTAATCCAAATTTAAGATCAAATGATACAGTCAAATGAACAGCAGGAAAAGGATATGTGCCATCTGGAGAAGAAGAATAAAAATTCTGTATAAGTGCACTAAATGTATTCAACTGAGATAATGTAGCAAACCTATGATTATTAATATAAAGTAAAATTATAAAAAAAAAATTAAACCAGCCAACAACTACTTCATGAGGATTAGTTTTGCGATGCAACTCATACATAGTTTTATGATATTCCATATCTACTTCTACCTAATTAGAATTAGAGACAAGATAAAATAAATAATTTCATAAACCTGATCTTGATTTTCATTATGAGGTACAACAAAACAATTACGAATCTCTATTTCAGATCCATCCTCGGATCTAATACCTAAAAGTGTACCAATAACTCTATTTTGTCCATGACTTCTTCGAAGAGAATAATCAAGAATTAAAAATAAAACAATAGGATCAACTACAATATTTACTGTATTAAAAATTGGTGAAATATACGAACTTTTTAATCTTTCAGGATATAATAATATACCGGTTTCCAACACCATTACAAGAATTTCAAATGAAAAAATATAAAGAAGACCTAAACGTCCCAATTAAATAATAAATATTATAATACGCTTTTTCAAAAAATTCTTAAAAAACTCCGGTCTTTTTAACGATATCTGTAACATAAAACTTAAAAGCTCATGAAAACATATTTAAAAAATGAAAACTAAAAAAGAATCAAAAGTGTCAAATATTTTATCAAAAAGGTATATCTTTTTTTTAAAAAAATAGTATAAAAATTTTCTAATAATAAAGAAATATTTATATAAATAAATCTCAAAATGCAAAACATTTAGATATTAAAAAAAACGCAGAAGCAGATAAACACAATTTTACAACATCCAAGGCTTTCGAAATTCTTATAAATTTACTAGAACCTGAAAAACATGAACAAAAAAAAGTAACAAATAAAAATAACAAAGAAAAAAGAAAAATTAGCAACTTAATATATGAAGATATAAAAGAACAAAATAAAATTCAGAAGTTAAACAAGAAAGTTATTTCCCAATCTAACTTAGAAAGTAGCGATTCTGATATTTGTGAAAATAGTATGTATAATATCACAAAAAATATATTTAATTTAATTATATAGATATTGATCCATTTTACCATCATTATCAATCTCCAGATGAAGAAAAACTAAATTCATTTGTAGAAAAAGCGGCTAAAAATAAATGGATAATAGAAAAAAAAGAAATAATAGAAATAGGAAAGTTAGTTCAATATAGACTTTCAGAAACAGATAATTTTGGGATTAAACTTAAAATTTTAACCCCAGATATTAACAATTTCAAGGTTGGATATTTAATAATAATAAAAATCTTATAAAAAATATAGATAAAAAAAAGTTTAAAAGAATCATTTTTTAAATACCAATCAATATATCATGAATCAAGTAAAGAATAAAAGAAAAATAAAAAAAATAACTAAAATTGTTTCATAGATACTTTAACAAATATACAAAACATTTCAATAACTCCAATATTTTTATATCAAGATTTTCTATTTACTTATTTAAACTATAACAACAAAAAGGAATTAAGGTCTTTATATACTTTGCATATTTTGAATCATATATATAAGTTAGCTATACTCTTTGATTTTATAAAATTTTAGATTAAAATTTTTCAGAACTCGACATTATATATTAAAAAATAATGAAAAATTAAATCATTCTCAAAATCCAGAAATAGAATATAGAGATCAGGGATTTACAAGGCCAAAAATTTTAATTTTACTTCCAACAAAAAATTCATGCCTTGAAGTTGTACAAACTATTATTAATATATCTAAAACAGAACAACAAGTTATAAAAAGATCTTATTGTATTAGTCTAATTAATATAGGAAAATAAAAAGCGATTCATTGATGAATATTCTATAGAACTTGACAATATAAATCAATCTAAGCCCGCTGATTATAAAGATTTATTTATTGGAAATACCGATGATATATTTCGACTAGGAATAAAAATTACTAGAAAAACATTAAAAATATTCTCAGAATTTTATAACTCAGATATAATTCTTGCAAGTCCACTGGGACTACGTCTGTTAATAGACGAAAAAGGGTAAAAAATTTATAATTCGTTATATATATTTTATTTCTTTAATAGCAAAAAAAAAAACCGAGATTATTTATCGTCAATCGAAATAACTATTATTGATAATGCGAATGCTTTACAAATGCAAAATTGGGAACATGTTTCATACATTTTTGACAATTTAAATGTGTTACCTAATGAAGCTCATGAATGTAATTTTAGCAGGGTTAGAAACTGGTATTTAGATGGAAATTCCAAATTCCTACGTCAAACCCTTATTTTTGCACAATATCTAACTCCCGAAATAAATTCATTATTTATAAATTATCTTTTTAATATTAGTGGAAAAAATAAAATCAAACAAACTTACAAGGGGTCTATTGAAGATGTAGGATATAAAATAAAACAGGTATAAAATATAATTTTATATAAAATATATAAAATATATAGATATTTCTACGATTACATTCATCCGATCCATCTATAGATCCAGACACGAAGTTTTCATATTTTAAAACATCTATACTACCAAATATCGTAAGATCGGAAGGAAACGGATTCCTTATTTTTATACCATCGTATTTCGACTTCGTTAGAATACGTAACTATTTAAACAAAGAAGAAGTATCTTTTACTTTTATATCTGAATACTCTTCAAATTCCGAAGTATCAAAAGCAAGATCATATTTTAATACGGGTAATAAGAAGATTTTACTATATACAGAGCGCGCACATTATTACCGAAGGTACAACATAAAAGGAGTAAACACTCTTATATTTTATTCATTGCCGGAAAACTCTCTTTTTTATCCAGAATTAATTGGATTCATGCTTGAAACACAAAAAGGAAAAAACTGCAATAAACATAGTAAAGTATTATTTTCGAAATGGGATGCCTTAAAATTAGAAAGAATTATTGGATCAAAAAGAATTAACTTAATGTGTCATGGAGCTAATGATATTTTTGCATTTCTGTAAAAATAATTCCTCATAGTTTTACTAAATACATATTGATACCTATCACATATTTAATTGTAATTCATCTTTTAAATAAATAATCATACAGCCATCAAAATACAGCATATTGAAACATAGGGGCTTAGTCTTTCACCTATTCTAGCGGCTTTCCAAAAAATTGACAATGCTCTATTTACAACATAAAAAACAATAATCATAGAAATAATAAAATTTACCCATTTTTATTCCTATCCATAAGTGCTGGTGCTTGAGCACGAATATAAGTACAAGTACAAATTAATAAAAGAATAACAAGAAGAAGACTTTGAAAGTTAAAAAGAGCAGACTTAAATTATGAAAGTTAATAAATATCCATTACATTATAAAATTTTTAAACTTACCATTATATATAAAATATAAAACAATTTTTAAAACTAAAATTCTAACGTTAATCTACGAAAATATTTCTAAAATTAAATTTTTAATATAAAAATGACTTCTAATCAAGATTTATTTACTAAAGGAAAAACAATAAAAAAACAGCATCTTTTCACAAAAGATTGTAAAATTCCTTTATTATCGCAAACTTTATAATTAATATTACTAAGTAAAATCTCTTATGTACGCTTTTGGTGATGATAAACAACCTGCATTGGATTCAGTACAAATACTAGAAGATATTGTTATAGATTACGTAAATGAAATGGTAAAAATGGTAAACATAATATAATTTTATCTTATTTATTTTAGTGTTTAGAAGCAGCTCGTGTTGCTGGTAATAGAAACAAATTAAAAGTAGACGATTTTAAAGTAAAACAATTTATTTTTACTAGTTTTTTCATTTTTAATTTGAATAGTTTATTTTAAGGAATGACCCTCGTAAATTAGGTCGTATAGAAGAGCTTTTAACCTTACAAAGAGTAATTGCAGAAGCGCGAAAACAATTTGACGACAAAGATTAAATATCAAAAAAAAATATGCAAATTAAATAAAATTGAAAAAAAAAAAAAACATATATCAATATTTAATATTATACACTTGTGGGCTATATTATAAATTTCAGCCTATATATAATATTAATTATACCCATTATTTAGTCTATATTTTTTCCTAGGGTCATTCTTAATATTGATTCACCTAAAACTTAATAATTTATATTTCTATAGCATTTTTTTTAAATTATCCTTTTATTTAATGATTCATTTATCATATTTTTTTCGAAAACAGATTAACTATTTCAGAAATATTTAATTTTTTATTAATAATATGATTCTAATATAAAAGCATCCAAATCAATATGCTATAAAATATTATAAATGGTCTATAGGACTTTTATAAATTATTAATTTTAAAAAAATTGCTAATAAAGAAATTAGTAAAAAACTATATTAATATATTAATACTTATAAAAACTTTATAGATAAAACTTTCTAATAATATTCAAATATAATTAAAAACAATACAAATTAATATAAAATATTATTAACAATTATATAATTTAACCAATATAAACACAAAAAAATTTATCTTAGTTTTATAGATAACTTAAAAAACATAAAAATAATTAACATATTAATTAATACAAAAAGTAGATCAACTAATCTAAACTATAAATCATGCTGCAATTATAAATGTCATAAAAATATTTATATTAAAAAACTCCAATTCGCGAACAAATTTTAAAAATTAATTTTTGATTTAAAAAAATTACAAAAATTTTAAAAACAAATAAATTAAAGTTATAATGTTATTATATTTATTTATAATATTAAAATTGCAGAAGTCATATAAAAAATAAAAATTAAACTTAAATGCCAATAGATTTAAGACCACTTCAGGTTCATACAATAGTTTCTCAGCTTTTACAAGTAAATCATATAAAAAAAGAACCAAAATGGTTTAGACCGGTTATAGAAACACCTCCAAATTTTAATTTACTAAAAAGATTTCCTCCACAGTTTATTCAATTAACAAATTCTCTAAAACCAAAAGTTTTACTACCTCAAAATATTACATATCCAGAAGACCGACTCAGAAAAAAGTTTTTCAAAGATCATCCTTGGGAGTTAGCAAGACCAAGGAATTTAATAGAATATGATGGGAAAGATGCAGAAAATTATGACTGGAGTCAACTTAATCAAAAAACAAAATCATTAGATGGAGAAAGGTAAATTTAAATATAAAAGCATAAAAAATATTCACTTTTTATTGTTTAGTGTTGTACAAAGACAACTTTGGTTAATGACACATTCAAAACCAAAACAAGCAGAAGAAGAAGCATATGCAAAAGCTCTTTCGGAATTTTATTATGCAAGAGCACAAGAACAAATATCACAAGTAGTTGCAGAAGATGAAGCTAGAATGCATGGAGCAGAATTCTATAAATCTTATATTGAAACTAATGTAATTTTGGAACAGGATATACTTAAAAATTGGAGAGAAAAATCAATATTACAATCAAGCCTTCAAAAAAAAAAATAATATTAAATAAATATGTAAAATATATATAAAAAATTTTCTATATATATTTCATCTTTATAATATATAGTGTATTTTAAAATTATATATTGAGCAGTATATATATGTACATATTCAAAACACATCAAATATTTTTCAGAATTTTAATAATATATAAAATATATTTTATAAAAAAATTTATTGGAATAAATATAGAATTATTCAAAAACGATTATCGATAAAAGTTTATAAAAATTAAAATAAGATGAAATAAAATTAATAATTCTAATAATTTTTAAAATAACAATTACCAATATGGAAGAAAATACGGACCTTGAAATATTAAAAAAACTAATTTGTGAAACTCAAAATTCTAGCAAAGATGATACTACTTTTAATTTTAGTCACAAAAAAATAAAAACTATTCCAAAAGAAATTATAAATATCATTAAAGATAAAGCATTCAGGAATTTATATTTTTGTTTCATAAAAAAAATACTTATTATTTTTAGAATAGCTCTTGGACATAATCAGCTAAGTTTTTTTCCTAATGAAATAAAGAAATTGTCACGATTAAGATATCTTAATATTCGTGCAAATATATTCAAAGAGTTCCCAAGTGTTGTAGGTTGCAGTTAACATAGTAATACATATAACTAATATAGCTAAATATTCAGCTTTGCGATCTACCATCTTTAGAAATTCTTGATATAAGTAGAAATAAAATTCGCCATCTGCCTTATGATTTTGGCAACCTTATGTCCTTAAAAGTTCTTTCAATTTCAAGAAATAGATTAAAGATATTACCACAGTATATTTCAAAAATGGACAATCTTAAAATTTTAAAAATTGATCATAACCCTATAATATTTCCTCCAAAAGAAATTATATATTTCGAAGGAGAAGAAAAAGACATGCTTCCTTGGCTTAATAATGTAAAATCATTCTTATCTACTCATAAAAACGATTTTATTCAAAATATTGAGGAACAATATTTAATTAGGTAATATTATTCAATCATATATAATATACTGTTAATTATAGTCAGTGAAAGTGAAAAAGACGATTCTAATAATATAACATGCCAAGAAAAAAAGGCTTTAAATATGGTAATAAAATTTTTATCTTAAACAATTTTAATAAATAGTCTTCTGAAATACAACATAATATATTAACAAATAAAACAACACTTATATCTCCATCGTTACTGGAAAAAGATCTATCAAAGTCGACAAAAAATGATCAAAACAAAAGAGACAATGTATCTTTTTCATTCTTAACTTTACCAGCAAAAATATCATTAAATAATTCTGAAAATAAAAATGACCAAAAATCTATTGATAAAATAGGTAATTCTTGCTAAATTTGAACCTTTTAATCTATTATTAGGAGATCAAATGAATAATCATTATAAAAAAATATCTCATACCTCAAAAATAACTAATAACTTAAAAAACGCTAATACAAATTTTAAATTTCCTAAAAACGGTATCCAAAAAAATCCAGATATTTATTTCAAATGCTTTTCAACAATCCCAGAAACCAAACGCATTTTTTTAAAATCCATAAAAGTTATAGAAACTTCTAGAGGTATTTTATTTTCTTTATCACAAGTTTATCAAGGAATAAGACAATATGTTATATTTTGTACAGATCCTTCTATAAAAGGAACAATTAACTTATTTCTTTACACTGCTAATATACATATCGAAGCATTAGCAAATGCATTAGAAGAACATGAAACGAAAAACCCTAACTCTGAGCCTTCTGATGTAATTTCTGCATGTTGCGCATGTATTGAAGCTTTTAAACAAGTTATTGGAATTTTTCATAAACATATAAAAAAAATAACAATGAAAGCGGACATTCGTTATACTAGAACCCTTCTTTTATTGCTTTATGGTGCTGCAGTAGAAATTCAAAATTCTTGGATACTTTTGGCATCAGCATTACCTTTAAAATCTTTTAATGCTAATACTTTTTCTTGTAAAAATTATTCGTCTAGTGATTCCACTTTACCACATCATTCTACTCTTAAATCTTTATCAAATATATCAGTGGCTAACTCTACTATTTCGACAATTAATACATCTAATATTAATCCAAAACCAGTTACAATGTTATCTAATTTAAGTCAAACTGAATTACCCAATACTCAGACCTCATCAATCATTACTCAATATTTAGAATTAACAGATCTCTCTAAAACAGATACAGATGAACATCTTTTCGAAAAAATATTAGCAGCAACAACAATAACACTTTCTGTTTTAACATTATTAGAAAATGAAATTACCCAAAATACTACTATAACATCTAAAGAAAGATATTCCACAACATCTATAAATTCTAAAATTAATGTAAAACTAAGAGAACTTATTACAATGTCAATAAATGCAAAAGGTGCTGCACAAAAACTTAAAAATCAATTAAAAAGTATTAAAGAAAACAATATCTCAAATTATAAACGAAAATTTTGGGAAGATACAAACGCATTCGTGAAGGTATAAAAACTTTTGTTTATAAATTTTACTTTAAAAAATTGTAGTCTATAATAGCTATAGCAGCTTTAGCAAAACTTGTCTCAACAGAATTCCCATTTTCAAAATCAATACTTTCAGGATTATCTACAGTTACAAGATCAACTAAAGAATTAACAATTTTACTTTCTATATCATCTTTTAGATTCATAGCAGAACCACAAACTGCTGCTATACGGTCAAAAACATTTTCTCCAATACCTCAATCATCTACATCTATATCTACTAATTCTACAACTCCATCTACTGAACTCGAAACATCAACACAAACACCACGCTTATCTCCATCATACCTTTCGTCAATAACACCAAATATTATTAGTAATCCTGAATCTATAGATAAAATCAATCTATCTATAGCACATACATTAAAATCAGTATAAATTCATTATAAAAACTCTTGCATTATTATAATGACTACATTATCTATTAATTCCGAAAATTCTTGAACAAAATAGAAAAAATATTTTTTAAATTCATATTATTAACATATAAAAAATACTAAAGTAAAACTATATTTATTAATTATTCTATTGATACAGTCTTCAATTATCCAAAATCCCTAAACCCTGTTTTACATCTATTTTCCGCATCTTAAATCATTTTAAAATCATTATACTAACATCATTATTATTATTATAATATCATTAAATTACATTAGATAAAAACAAAATACAAAACTTTTCCTATTTTATTTTCGATCAATTGATTTAACCAGCATCATGGTAAAATTCAAGTAAACATTAGCAATTTTGTCAAAATTAATAAACCTTTATTATACTTCTATATTTTAAATAAAATACATTAATGCGGTGTTTTTCAATTTAAAAATGTCCTACTACCACGAACCCAAAAAATTCATTATGTATTTAATTATAAACAATTATATTTACAATAAATCACATATGGGATTAGAAGTAGTTAGAATCATATTTTTTTTCTAGGTTTATGCCATTTAATAGTAAGACTATTTTTAAGTCAAACTCTGGTATATAAACCATAATAAAAATATGTTCGAAAAAATACCCTTAAAAAAATTTACAGATAAAAACATTAAATATCTTTTAAATAAAAAATACATCAAAAGATTATCATACTAAACTAAAACCACGTAACTGAGCCAATAACAACAAATTCCAATATGCTAAGTTCCTTAAAACAAAAATTCTAAAATATCTTTATCTTTTATTATATATATTATGACGTTGATGTATTTCTGTTTTCGATGTTCTGTATACTAAATCACTATCAAATATACCTTTTAAGTTTGATAATTCACTAGGTCTATCATATGCTAATCTATCATCAGCATCAAACCATACAGTTGAAACTCGATTTAAATATTCACTATCATAACTACTTTTACTTGATCTACTACTTACAGAATTATCCATCAATGTTTGATTCATAATATCTTTTGCAAGTTCCCGAACAAGAACTGCTGTGTCTTGCTGACTAAGTTTCTCAATTATATCATAAAGTCCATATTGTGTCACAAGATTTTGTTTAGAAGGATGTGCATTACAAATACTTTTCAAAACACGTAAAAGATTAAGCCTAACAATAGGTTTTTGATGCTGAAGTCTTCTAATTAACTTCTCAAAAAACTTAGGCTGAACTAATGCACATGCTATTCTTTGACTAAGACGAAGAAGTTTATAAAGACATTCTAATAAATTTTCAAAAGAATTAGCTTTAGCTGTACTAAATGCTTCTATAATTGCAGATATAGAAGATGGCCTTACAAGATACTCTTCTAATTTTCCACTATCATCTTGAAACCTTATTTATTAATATCCATATAAAAAATATATTTGACTTACCAAACAAGTATAGCATCTAACGCATTTGCTTGCCAATAAGGATCATTTAATAAAAATAAATAAAAATCTAAACTACCATTCTGCCATAAAACTTTTCTACAAACTTTACTAGCATGAGCTAAATCACACAAAATAGGTAATGCAAATTCTTTTAAAATGGGCTCTTTCTGAACAATATTTTGAAGTAAAGGAACAACACCAGACAATGCTGCTTCCTCTTGACGCGATTTACTAAGACGACACAAATTGTACATAGTATTTAAAACTTGATTATAAATATCCTATAAAAAATTAAAAATTATATAAAATAAGCTAAAAAAACCTTTGAATTAGTCATTCCTTCACGTGATGCCAATATTTCTGTCAATATTTCAATCGTATTAGCATTCTGCAATGTATCCAAGGTTGCTGGAACCATTGATAGATTTTTAACAAATTTTAACATATTAATTTGTAGATGCAAAGACATTCTAGATAAATCCTTTAAAATTCCTAAAAAAATAAGTTTTAAATAAAACCTTCTAAATTGTTACGTCTTATCACTCCTCTAGTTGTAATTAACTCTTTTACAGTATTATCTGCTTGAGAAAACAATAAAAATATTTTCACAATTCTTTCACTACATATTTTATTTAATTCAGTCTGTTCTTCATTTAATACATGATGCAAAGCAAGAGAAAGAGGATCCATAATTCCACTTTTTGCAAATATCCTGCAAAAATCGCTTTTAGGAGAAGAGCCCTACTTATCAAAATATCAAAACGAAATATAATTATTTTATATACCTGAGCTTCAAAGATACTCCATACTCCATTAATTCCAATCCAAACAAGATCTTTTTGTATTTCATAATCTTCTTCAAGAAACTCAACAAGAACATTTAGACCACGACAACTAAGAAACATCTGAAGTACTACAGCTGATGATTGACACAACATTCTAACAAAAAAAGCAGCTTCAATTCTTATATCATATGGATATTTCTTAGACGCAAACTTAGTAATAACGGGAATACCTCCTATAAAGCATAAATTTTCTTGAGCTTCAACATTACCTTCCACAACCTTCATATTTAATATTAACAAATAAAAATAAAAAATATACTTACAATATTAACAATTTTCAAAAGTTGAAAAATAAGATCTCGTCTTTGACAAACATCAAGGATTTCTAAAATTGGCAATAAACCTGATGCTGCAATTATATTTGTTTTAAAATCAGATGATTCAGAAAGAATAGACATCTAAAAAAAATTAACTTAAAATAAAAAACAAAATATCTTTTAAACCAAATCACTACATCTAGTAATTAAACTTGACTCATCTTGATCAACCTTTAAAGAATCTACCAAAAACATAACACGTTCAGCAGTTCTAGCTTGTTGCTCTCTAGCAATATTAGCGTCCAAATCTATAAAGATCAGAAAAATGATTATTAAATAAAAAATTACCCATTTCTTCAAATCCTTCATTTATTTGTAAAAAAAGATCGTCTTCATCACTAACATCATCACCAAGCTAAGATATATTAAAATACTAAATATCATAAAAACAAGTACCTTACCCATGAATTGTGAGAAAGTTTAGTATTAAGCATTAATGTATCTGAATAAGATAAATTACCCTGTTCATCGCGTTGATTTAAATGAGTAAAAATATTAGAATAATCAGTCTCATCATCGTCATGCTCAATATACTGAGATATTTCAGTAGAACAATTAGCAACACTAAATGAATTATTTTCTGTTGATAACACAGAAGAATTTTGACAAGAATGAGATTTAGTTAATACATATGAAGGTTGAGAAAGTATTTTTATATCATTAGGATGAAAAAGACGAGGACTTGCTAAATTATCTCTCTTTAAAATATAAGAGATTAGAAAAAGCTAAATAAAAACTACCTTATATTGATCAACCTTTTGAGCAAAAGAATGTTCATTTTCCAAAACCAAATCAGAATAATCTTCAATTATTTCATGATGAAAAGATGTAGTGTCTTTAAAATATTTATTAGATGAAAAAAGAGTCAATACTAAAAAAAAAAGTACCAGCAATTTTATTAACTTCAATCAACCCCGTATTTAATTTTTTATCTAAAAACGACTCATTATCCAATTTAATATTCTTAATGGGTCGTATAGTTTTCATATTATCTTCAAAATCTTCATTTGAAGAAACATTTAATTCTAATAAAGTAAAAAAGTATTTTCATCATTAAAAACCATTTACTTGAAAAATTCACTAATGCTACTTCTTTTTCAATTTCTTGATTCATGTCATCTTTTAATTTATCAGACATTTGTTTAAATTTATATGACTTTATATTTTTATATTGTGAGTATTTGCTCTTTAAGTCATCTATATTATAAGAATTTGAAGAAACCAGTTTAGATGGTGAAATATCAGTAATAAAATCATTATCCCAGTTTGACGTAACTAAAAGTATTACAAGTATTATTTAAAAAATTTAAAGCATAATTTTACTTGAATCATCAGGGGACCTAAATGCCTCCGTTTTTAATCTATTTACTTCCGAAACATGTTTCAAAGTAAGTTCTTTAGTTTCGTTAGCAGAAAAACAAAAAGCTGTAGATTTAAATGGCTGTGTAGAATAAACAGATGCTTTTCTGATAGTTCCAATATCTGGAGATTTTAAAGCAGCATTCCACTGTTGAACACTTTTTATAACATCATCATATCTTGAAGTAGATTGGGGAACTATTTTATCATATAATCTTCCTTGTTTAACTAACCAGGGATGTTTAAGTAACTTTTTTGCAGATACTCTAAGATTAGGATCTTTCTGGAAACATTGCATAAGAAAATCTCGTGTAACCTGAATTATTAATAAAAAACCCTTATTATTTTGAAACATACAGGAGAAGAGCCTTCAGGAAGTGGAGGATGTTCATCATTAACAATTCTAAATAAAGCAGGCATTTGATCTAACTTATGATATGGAGGCTTCCCTTCTAAAAGCTCAATAACCGTACAACCAACACTCCTATACTACTTTAATTGTATCAAAAAATATGCACTACATACCAAATATCAGAGGCTGTAGTAACACCACTGAGCTCAATTACTTCAGGCGCCACTAGACAATTATTAATACAATATTTAATTATATATATGTATATACTCCAATACGGACTCCCAACAACAGTAAAATCACTCAATGAGGATGTCCTTGTAGCCACACCAAAATCAGCTAGTTTTACAAATCCTTCTTTAGTTGTTAAAATATTTGCACCTTTAATATCTCTATGAATGACGCCCTGATCATGAAGGTATAAAAGACCATGTAATACTTGAGTAATATAAACAGCTACCAAATTCTCAGGAAATTTCCCAAAAGTTTTACATATGCTCTGAAGAGAGCCATTTTCACAATATCTAGCACATCAATACTAATCATAATATAATTAAACTTAAAATATACTCAAGAACAATATTTAATGCATCAGCTGTTTTAAAAAATCCGTGATACTTTACAATATTAGGATGCTATAAACATAGAAACATATCAATGAAAAAATCTTAATATTAGTAATTCATGTTACATTTAAATTTTTAAGAAGATCAATTTCCATCTAAATAATAAATCGTAAAAACAAAAAAAAAGAATAAAACATACCATAATAACTTTCAATTCTGTTTTTGGAATATTATGTAACTTTATCTGCTTAACTGCTACCGTTTCTCCAGTGTTTAAATTTAATCCACGATATACTGCACCAAAAGCACCTTTTCCAAGACAATCCCCTAAATGCTAAATTAAGTTATTAAGATATTTTTGTACAAAACCAAAAAATATTTTCAGAACATACATATACAGAAAGTTTCTTCCTATCAGTAGCCATTTTATCCTAATTATTTATTACCCAACTTTAATACCCCTACTTCAATAATTTGGATAATATTTCATAAACTTAAATATAAAACTCCAAAAACATTTATTTTTTATCTAAAACTTTCAAAATCTTCCATATCATACTAATTATAAATGCTTAAGGTCGATTATTAATTTAAATTCAACTTATAAAAACTCAGATTCTTACGATTCTAAATTATCAACCGTTCAAAAACTATTCAAAATCAAATCAAAATATAAAAATTAAATTTATTTGAAAAATAGAAACACTAAAAAGTATAGATTAAGTCTCAAGTTTTATGTTTTTCTTTAAAATCCATAAATATTATAAATGTACTAAATTCTTCAAAAAATTAAACATTCACAATAAAAATACTTTAATAAATATATAAAATACAATAAAATATATTTTTTAACTAAATATGTTTATTTAAAAACAAAAACAAAATAAAAACTTATTGTTAATTTTAAAACACCTTTTAAATAATCTACGGACTTGAAATTTCATTTTTTATTAAATCTTTATTTTCAAAAAAAATATAACTTTACAAAAATGCAAAATTTTATATAACATTATTTTATATTAAGAATTATATTAAGAACATAACAATCTGTTATACAAAATATATCATCATCTTGACAAGTTCTTCTATAGATTAACTAAATCAAAAAATACAATTAAATTATATATATTTAAATCTCTCTAAAATATCAACTATACAAAATATATAGAAAATATTATAAACCAATTAATGCCTAGATATAGAAAATATTAATGCAACAATAATAAAAACTAAAAATACAAAAAATAGTATAAAAATCCAACAAATATTATATTATTTTTTTATCAAAACAACATTTACGTAAAAGTCTATGCACTTGACCTATTAAATAAAGACTACCACATATTATTCGTAAACCTTTATCTTGACTAATAGACTTAATTGCAGAAAACAAATCTGTGCTATATTGTATAATATTTTCTTTATATACATATTTCAAAGCCTTTTTAGCAATATCATGAGAACTCATAGCCTTTACCCATGGCATTCCATCTACAGTTTCGAATTCCACAGAATATACTTTATCATAAGGTCTTAATAGTATAGATAATAAAGAATCAGCGTCCTTTGTTTGACTAAATGCAATTAACCAAGAAACAGAATGAGTTCCAGAACGAATACTATTAACATATTTAGAAAGAGAATGCATACCTTCAATATTGTGTGCACCATCAAGAAGAATTTTATCAGCACCGAAAGCTATTTGAGACAAATCTATCCATTCCAAACGCCCTGGCCAATAAGTCCGTAAAAATCCTTCCGAGAAAAATTTAGGTGTAATTACTGAATAATATTTAGATAAAACTTCCAAAGATACCAAAACACATGCAAGATTATTTCTCTGATAACTTATATCCAATATAGTTTTAATTTCACTTTTTTTCCATTGTTGAATATAAATTGATTTGTCTAAATCCATAGTAGCTAAAATAATCTGCCCAGATTCACACTTAATACTTTCATCCTTAATAACTTTCAAAACAGAATCTTCATTTGCACCATCAACAACACAAGGAACATTATTTTTCATAATACCAGATTTCTCCTTTGCAATATCTTCTAATGTATTACCCAATAATTCTTGATGATCTGTACTTATCTTGGTAATAATTGTAAGCAGAACCCGTGATAATACATTAGTAGCGTCAAGCCTTCCACCGACTCCAGTTTCGATAACAGCAAGCTCAATTTTACTTCTATAGAATATCTCAAAAGCAACAGCTGTCATAATTTCAAATTCAGTTGCTCCAACATTATGCTCTTGATTTAAAATCTTTATCTTATTTTCAATCCGAAAAAATATATCTTTATCAACAACTTCACCAGCAACCTTAATACAATCCCAACGATCCATCAAGTGTGGTGAACAATAAAGACCAACACGTATTCCTGAAAAATTAAGATAAGAAGAAAGATATGCACACACTGATCCCTTCCCATTAGTACCAGCAACATGAATTGCTTGGAAATAATTTTGTGGATTTCCAAGATAATCCAAAAGCTGACGAATTCTTGATAAACCTAGTCTTAGCGACATTATTTCATACCAACACTTTTAAATTATCAACTTATATAAAAATACATTTATAATCTTAAAAAAAATAAAGATTTTTAACTATCAAATATATTACATATTTGAATTAAATCGCCAATACATCATAATATATCATATAAAAAAATAAAAAATTCATCTTGAACTTTCAAATTAATGTTTTCTTATCAAAATTATCGAAAGTTCAAATTTTTTTGAAAATAAAGCAAAATTTCAAAAATAATTTTAGTATTTATAAAAACAAAATTCATGGTAAATATCAATTCAAGAGTTTACAGTATATTTCTAATTTTTTAAATATTTTAATATCTAATATTAATGACAAATAATGTATCCACAGAATTGTAATATAAAATTTTATAACTATCAGCAACCTATAGAACTAGAGAATATAAAAGAAAGACAAAAATGTCAAAGTTTCGTAAAAACAGTTCTTTACATAAAAAAAATATCTCATTTTTCATGTATCTCAGCAATAAAACAAAATTTTAGGAAAAATTCAGGAATAATTAGCATAGATATATTGTCTTTAGGAAAACAAATGATAGTAAAACATGACACAAGGATAATAAATACTAATAATCTTATATATGAAATAGAAAACCTAGGTATTAAAACATCTTTTATTAGTAGCGAAATTCTTTACGAAACATGTGACAATAAAAATACTACAAAAGAGAAAATAATCAAATTGAAAATAACTGGAATGACATGTGCTAGCTGTGTGAACTCAGTAGAAACAACTTTAAAATCAATTAATGGAGTTACTGGTGTTATTATTAACCTTGCAACAAAGGAAGCAAAAATTAATTATTGTCCTAGCATTGTAGATATTCAATACTTAATTCAAATTATAAAAGATAAGGGATATACTACTGAAATATTGGACTTTAATAATAATGAAGAAAAACGAAAAAATTTTTCTAAAACAAAATGTACAAAATCATGGAGAAATTCTTTTATAAAATGTCTCATTTTTACTATCCCTTTACTTTTTTTTGAAAAAATTGCACCAAAATTCAAAACCTACAACAAAATAGACAATACAATAATTTTTTTTCCAGGACTTTTTTTTGGGGATATTTTATCTTTAATTTTAACACTTCCAATTCAATTTGGTATTGGCATACGTTTTTATAAGTCTGCATTTAACTCATTGAAACATAAAATATTAACAATGGACACTTTAATATGTTTAGGAACATATATGGCATTTTTTTTTTCTATTTTATCTATATTATTATCTATTTTAACATATCCTCATAAACGACCAACAACTTTTTTTGAAACATGTTCAATACTCCTTACATTTGTTACTCTTGGGAGATATATTGAAAATAAAGCCAAGAGTCGTACAACAGAAGCTTTATCTAAATTAATGTCATTAAGTCCATCATTTGCAACAATTTATATAAATGACACTGATACATCAACTAAAAAAGAATTAGTAGTTCTTACAGAATCATTAAAAACTGGTGACACTGTAATTGTTCATCCAGGAGATAAGATACCAGCAGATGGAATTATTATTTCCGGAGAATCTTATATAAACGAAAGTATGATAACAGGGGAATCCAAACATATTTATAAAAAACAAGGGAGTGAGGTTTATTCAGGAACAGTGAACTACACAGGAAGATTTGAATTTCAAGTAACAAAAGCAAGAGAAAATACAAAACTCTCACAAATTTTATATCTTGTACAGGAAGCACAAACTTCACGAGCTTCTATACAAAAATTTGTAGACAAAGTAGCTTCCTTTTTTGTTCCCTTAGTGCTTTTTCTTGGAATTATAACATTTATTGTATGGGTAATATTAAGTTATACTTTATCTCATCTTCCAAAAATTTTTGATTCCGATAAATATGGAGAAAAAGTCATCATATGTGCTAGACTTGCAATATCAGTCATTGTCATAGCATGTCCGTGTGCTCTTGGTCTTAGCACACCAACAGCAATCATTGTTGGTACAGGGGTTGGAGCAGAAAATGGAATTTTTTTTAAAAATGGAATTGTTTTAGAAACAGTATCAAAGATTACAAAAGTAATTTTTGATAAAACAGGAACATTAACTATTGGAAATATGTGCGTGCATAAAGTAGAAATATCAAATTTATGGAAAAGTTCAGAAATATTATGGTGGAAATTACTATTTATTTCAGAACAAGGATCAGAGCATCCTATTGGAAAAGCAATTGTATTAAAAGCTCAAAAGGAACTTGGTTTATCAAATGAAAAACTTATAAATTATACAACAATATCATTTGAAGCTGTTATAGGATATGGAATTAAATGTTGTATACTTTTACCTGATTATACAAAAGAAAATATAGAATTAGCAATTGGGAACAAAAAATTTATTAGAAAAATACTTGAAAATGAAAACGAAGAAATTCTGAATGAAAAACAAGAAGATAATTTGAATAAAGGATATACACATGTTTATGTAGCAATTAATAAAAAATTTTCAGGATGGATTTCTTTAACCGATATTACTAGAACTAATGCTGCTCAAGCTGTAAACGCACTTAAACATATGAAAATTGATGTTTTAATGGTATAAATCTATTAATATATTCATATAAATATTTACTTTATTTAGGCAACAGGTGATAATCATGATATAGCACTGAAAGTTGGTAGAAACTTAGGTATATCAAAAGATAAAATTTATTCATCTATTACGCCTGAAGAAAAACGTGATTTAATTGTGTATTTTCAATCTCAAAATGAAACAGTAGCAATGGTAGCATAGCTATATTATTCAAATTATATATTAATTTTTTAGGTGGGAGATGGTATAAATGATTCGGCTGCTTTAGCTGCAGCAAATATAGGAATAGCTTTATCAACAGGAAGTAACATAGCTATGGATGTAGCAGATGTTATTTTAACACATTATAATTCAATTCTTGATGTTCCTGCAGCAATACATCTTTCTCGCTCAATTTTTAATAGGATCAGATTAAATATACTATGGGCATCCATATATAATATGGTAAGTATTCCTTTTGCAATGGGTGTTTTTCTACCGTTTGGTATTTACATACATCCTATAATATCAGGTGCTGCTATGGTATGTTCAAGTATCAGTGTTGTTTTAAGTAGTTTACTTTTACGTCTTTGGCGTCGTCCATCCTGGTTAACTGATATTGACATAAATGACAACACAAATAATTTTAAATCATTTATATCAAGATTCAGAAATTGCAATATTTTTTATATTTATAAAAAATATAAACCTATTAATGACATCGAAGTTTAAAAATATTTAATAAAAAAATTAATTGCTTTATTTTTTAACCCAATTATTCAGAAAAATATATTATTTTTGAACAAATATACAAAAATTATATAAAGACTAAATATATTATATAAAATTTTACTTGAAATGCTAAGAATAATGCTAAAATATAAGAGCAAATATAACACAATAATATATGAATTAGCGATTTATTTAGCATTTAAATCATATAGACTTTATTATGCTTCTATAAACAAACTTCAAAAAACTAAACATAATAACAGATAATTCAAATCATAAATATATTACATTGAGTCTAAAGAATACCCATTACAAATATCAAATTAAAACAAATTGAGTCGAAATTTTAAATCAACTCTATTCTACAACATAATTCAATCAACAATATCTTAATACAAACTCATTCAAAATTCTGTCATAAAGATTGCAATTAAAATTCTAAAGAATCAGAATTTATACTAAAGTGAGTTTTCTACATAATCATCAAAATAACCAATATGAAGAATTCAAAAATCATCTTTTTAAATTATAACACGTTTCCCATGCAGCTTTGAAACATCAAATTGTTTAGAAACATTTGGGGTGGAAAATTTTTTTTCATATAAATTTTTCAGACTTTCTACATGACCAGTTTTTAATTTTAAAAATTTAGAATCATTTATAATATATCTTGCTGAAACAAATATTTCTGGTCTAGATGTTGACTTTAAATTAAGTGTTTCATATACAGGACTTGTACAAGATCTCCTACAGATAGAAGAAAAATTAGATAGTGAGGAAAGATTTAGTCTTCGAATTGTTAAATTGGAAGACCTATTGGATCTGCTTTTTAACAAAGAAATGCTTTCATTTGTAATTCCATGTTTCGATGGCATAATAACTTCATTGGATGTACATAATTCAGAAACAGAAGCAGGTCTTTTTAATTGTTCCAGTACTGAAGACGACACACATGATGACACTGGCGACAAAGAAACATGTGAAGATGGTGCAGAAATAAGCTCTAAAGAAGAACTAGGTGTAGAGGACTCATGAGTATCTTGTATAATTTCACAATGCAGACTCTCAGAACTTGAAGGATAATCAAAACCGAATACATCATATGTACTTTCAATAGCAATAACCATTAACATTCCTAAACCACCACCAAGATTACAAAGCTGAACATCAAGGAGAGGATCTGTTGGATGCCTCACAAGAGTTGGTGAAATACAAATAGAAAGATTACGTGGATGCATCAAATTATCTTTAGAATGCAAAGAAACATCTATAATTATCAATAATTAAAAACACAGTTAGAAAAATATAACCGTGAAGTAATGAACATATATTAGACAGTAATATAACAACAGGTCTAGAAAGCCTTGGAAGTAAAACATTTCGAATAAATAGAATATTCGCAGAAGACTGATCAGATATTTTTCTAATCAAAGGATATAAATTATGTGTAAAAAGAGGTTCTGGTAAAGATCTAAGATATAATTTCAACAAAACAGCAGCAAGATGAGGGCCATATTCTGATAAAGTAACTGGATTTCCACGATCATACGCTTCACGAACCTGTTTCAATAAAACTGATGAAGGCGATCGACGAAACAAGCCTTCAACAGCCAAGGCTATTAAAACGCTATGTTAAAATATTTTAAAAAAAAGCAGTAAAAACCTTCACTTCTAATATATTCACAAATATCCTTTACAACTTTGGGTAAACCATTTTCACCCTCAGTACCCATTACCTGCGATAAACTTATTCCAAACATTTGAGATCTACCTTCTAAAAACGTGGCATTAGGTAATGTAATATGCAATTCATATTTTAAATTATGAGCATATACATCAGCAGGCACATTGATCTGCAGAAATGGAACCAACTTAGCTAGTTCACTCAGTGTTGAGACGTAAATTATCTTGCGAGCAAACTTGGGACTCACTAAATGATGCATCTACATATCATTAGTTCTTTATTTGGTGCATCCAAAATTGTTGTCCATACACAATCTAACATAACTCGAACCCACCAAGTTGAATGCACTATATATAAAACCTTAATATATTTGCGGTATTTCCTGCCAAGAGAATGGTATGCATGAAGAAACCAATTCCAGCTTGGTCGATAACACACTCCTCCTGCAAATAACACCACCGAATAGTCATTATCGTCGACATACGTATCCATAACAAGCAGCATACGTTTAAGAAGAATATCATAATCCACATTTTTAGGATCAGGAAAATTCGATGCATTCAAAATCACCAATGGCCTTCCTTCATTGTCTAATCCTATATTTCTTAAATTCTTCTCAGTACTTTCAATATTTAACTAACCAGCAGAAAAAATAAGTCGACTAACAAGTTCCGAAAGCATATCCTGATCATCCATATTGAAATACTTCTTTTGAATCATTGGGAGTGTAAAAAGCGACATTCTATCTATCTTCAATAATTCTTAAACAACTCATTTTATATATAAAACCTCTCGCAGCGTTAATCGGTGCATGATGCAGGTAATAACGTATAACGTAAATGCAATATGTAAACGCAATAATACTTAAAAATAGAGAAAAAAATGTATAAAATACACGAAAAATAAAAAAAAAAACAAATATGTTTAAATAACAACCAATGCTTAAAAACTTTTGATCAAACACTATCCTGATTTTTTTCCAAAAGAAAACATTCCTATTTAATTTCTCCATGCCTTTTTTAAAAAAATACCACACATAATTCATATATCCCAAAATCATATAACACTCTAACAATTCATATTGCCAAAAAAAATAGAAAAAAGACGATAATAACAATGAATCTACAAATCCGAAACAGTTTGGAAAAAATACATTATTCATAAAAAACATATACAATAACCTTTAATAGGCAACTGTTGGCTCAGGAAGAAAAAGCACACCTAATTTAGATGCTGTCCATGCACTAGAAAAAGAACTTCTACTTGACTGTCGTGATGAAGGTGCCAATGCACGCATACTTGCATTTGTATCTATACTTGCACGATATAGATCTCGAAAGCATTTGTTATTACTCATACGAGCAGGCGTTGATGCTGCACTTAAAGAAACAATAGGAGAACCCGTACTAATACTATGTGTTTCAGACCCAACTATCGCATTCGAAAGGGATGATAATGGATCTGCAGACACCTTATCTATAAAAATGTGCGCATCTTTAACCCTTTGAGTATGATTAGTATCCAACGCTGTTGCAGATTCAGAAGTTTCCATTTTTTGAACATTCTTTTTCGCATTGTTATTTTCTCCATATCTATGTGAAACAATAACAGGCATATATGTCAAAACGTCAGACACATGTACTGATCCGCTAGAAGTATGCACTGCATACTCACTATACCGCATTCCAGCCTGAAATTTTCTTTCCAACCGACGATCCTCTATTCGTCGAAATATACGTCTTAGCCAACCCAGTCCTCGAGAAGAACACTTTAATTCACAATCCACCATTTATCTACTCTTTTCCTTTCCATTTAGCCTTTTATTTCAATTATTTTTCCTTATACCTATCTCTCATGTATTCTATACCATGTTAATCGAAATATACGTGTATCACTTCGATACAAACAAAAACGGTATAATTGCTCTCATGAAACATAATTGAACATTTAAGTAAGTAAATAATCCTTAAAACATATTTCGTTTAATTAAAACAAAAGCATATATATTATGTTTAAAAAACGTTTAGTTATACTATTATTCTTTTCATATTAACTTATTCTTCAAAAGACAAGATTAATACAAAGTAAAATAACATTTATTGTCTTTAAAATGCAATTAGATACATGTGAATCATAGTTAATATACAAAATATAGAAAAGTAATATATACCCAAATAATATCTTTTACTATATATTTTATACACATAAACAAATAGCATTATATATAAAAACAGAGATCAAAAAAAACATAAAAAAAGCAAAGAACTTTTAACAATAAATATTTATACACTTTATACAATAGAACATATAAACTTTTTCATAAAGCCTAAATGAACAAAAAAAAAAAGCATAATGATATTTGTACTGTTCAACTGATCATCACTGAAAACAGAAAACTGTAATTTAGACCAAATTATATAGAACATACAAAAAACAAATAAATATATCTAAACAGATATACAAAAATACATACAGATATAGATAGATGCACAATTTTATACATAGATATCTTTTCTTACATCTATTTTCCTATATACCCAATATATTCCTATATTCCATACGTTTCAATAGAATTTCTAAAATACAACTTTAAACAGAAATGTATTCTCCAATATACATCTAAAAATAAACTATTCTACAATTTACATTTAAAATACTATCTTATTGTATCTTTAAAGTATTATTTTTCAAAATCACATTTTAAAATACATGTATCGATTATCTTGAATTTTTAAATATATCAATAAAATTTCACTTTTTATAAATTTAAACATAAAATATTTATATTTTATACTATAATTCAAAATAAAATAATCATTTTCTAATAAATAAAATATTAAACCTTTTCAAAATAAATATATTAAACACATACAACAATGTCACTTTCGATGTTCACTCATCTCCGCTTATTTCACGATCCAAACCTGAACGAAATACCGCACTCCCAAATTAGGCATAAATTAGGTTAAAGATACACTCGAAAAAGAAATAGAAAGTTGTGCCATTATGGGGTTACCAAATACATACCTAAATTTTTAATAGATCTCAAGACACGTACGCCATACCGTCACAACGTGTATATTAAATATGATGAATGTTTCTAACAAATGCATCTGAAACGCATATAAGCAGTGATCTGTCAGAATATAAACTCATTTTTAATAACTTAAAAATATCTCAACAGTTAGTATAATACACCATAACATAAAACGATACGCATATAATTTTAAACAACACGCATATACATCAAACAAACGCGTATAAGGCAAAAAAATGACGGTAGCACCACTGCGTATCATCAAAAAACATACAAGCAGAGCTTCACCACCACAACTACCTCAACCAATCCATGAGATGTTACAAGATCTTTCATTAAGCACGCAGAAAACAGATGCAAATACATCACATGAACTAACATATCGCCGAGTTATTTATGCCTTTTCTATTGAACAATCAGATGCAATGTATTTAAAACTAGAGCCGGACCAAATTATTCATGTACATTTGCAGCACTTTAGTGGATGGACTGATGGGACATTAATTTCAACAAGTTCACGAGGCTGGTTTCCTCTAGAATACACAGAACCGTACATTTTAATGGCAGTACGGCCAGTTATTGCAGCAAGTCAAGGATTATATGCACTGTTTTCTTCATGTAAACATGAAGAATATATTATTGGTATAACCAGTTTAATGTCTAGTGTACGAGAACTATTAATACGAACAAACTCTTTGGAATATAATGCAATGGTCGTCAAAAACAACTCTGCTATAAGGCAAAAGCGTAAAATACTACTTAATGAACTCAATAAACTAGCTGATATTGCAAAAAATGCCTCAGAGCAACCGTCACTCTATTCTGAAAATAAGGATCTTTCCAATGAATTGATATTCCGGCTAGATCATATCGTTTTGTTATCCAAACAGTTTGCACATATGATTGGGCCAGAAAAAGAGGCATGTGATGAGCCACTATTATCACCAATCCCTTCTTTCAGTAATGAATTTTTGGAACATATATATGCACATCATAAAATTGCATCTACTATATCTCCGTCATTTGTTTCTCTCAATAAGCAGACAAATAAAATCTACAACGAAGAATTAAATTCTCAATTATCCAAAACATCACTACATTCTCAAACATATTATAATCCAACAAGTGCATTCCAAAATTTAACTGTTGCAAATGATAATTTTCTTTCGCATCTTGCATCATTCATTGGACGTCTTCACTTACATTCTCATACACCAAACCAGCTTCTTTTAGCAACTAAACAATGTGTTTATACAGCTCGTGAACTTCTTTCGGTTATCGAACCTATTTCTATTAAACATCCAGATACACAATTGTATATTGCAAAAGAAGATTTTTATACTAAGATAACATCTTTCGTAGCCGTTGTAAAAAAGGTAATTACGGCTCATTGCTCTACTTCGAACAATAAAAGTGAAGAAAGTATTATCGATAAATCTGAATGTAAACGACTAATAGATGCTGCTGCAAACAGTGTTCGTGGAGCCAGTCAATGTATTGCAAAAGCAAAATTTATACTTGAAACAATAGGAGATTTCAATATTTCTACATTACTTTTTAAACAAAAAAATTACCATCAATTAACACCAGCATATGGTCATATTTCAAAAAATTTACAAACTACAATTGAAAACATTTCATTTCAAGAAACACAGAAATCCCATGTTTTTCCTATTTCACAGACTCCAAAACCAATTTCAAACATTTTCACAAAGGAGAAAAAAGAAACTGAAAATAAACACTTAATATCACATTCCAAAAATATCTCTCAAGAATCCATTAATAATGAAAGCAATGATTCTCACTTGATTAGTAATACTGATATGAATATTAAACCATTATCTAATAAATCTTTAGAAGAAAATTCCGAATCATCTCATGTATTATTTATAAAACCACATTCCGTGTTATCTCATATATCTCCATTATCTGCTTCAGAATCTAGCGAAAAAACTGTACCAGATAGCAAATTGAAAGTTCATGATTTGCCTAGTGGAACAGCATCTAGTTTTGCTAGTAGTGAAAGATTTTCTATAACATCTAGTTATGCAGAACATGTAAGCTCTCCTGCAACTAGTCCTGAGCCTTTTGAATTGGACAGTGCATTTGGGAATAAAGAAAAAAATAATGCTAAACATATTCTATTAAATCACGAGGGACAGGTATACATATATTTATTTTTCTGTTTTATAATTAATCTTTAGGTTATTGGTGCAACCTTGTATTCCTTAATAGAAAAAATGACCATGCATGATACCACTCCAGATGCAATTTTTGCGTCTACTTTTTACCTCACATTCCGTCTTTTCACTACTCCTCGCGATCTTGCTTTAGGTTTATTAGAAAGATTTCCTACTGAAAAACCAATCGATGCAGATCATAATTGGGATCATTATTATGCAATGCCTATAAGATTAAGAGTTTATAATGTATTTAAAACTTGGATAGACAATTATTGGCATAAAAGTTCAGACGAAGAAGCACTTAATATTATTAAAGATTTTGCTTATCAGCTTCGTAAATATCTTCCACAAGTAAGTACACGTTTTGAAGAATTAGTTAATAAGATTTCATCTAAAACTATATCGAATACTTGTTCCACAAACACCTCAAAAAAAATATATAACTTATCTAATAAATCTGTATATTCGGATATTTTTATACCACCTGTCATTATCTCAAAGAACTTACGTACGCAATTAAGGACTGCCTCGTTCGAAGATAATCCAGATTCTTTCAATATAATGGATTTTGATCCTCTTGAGATTGCTCGCCAGCTTACTCTAAAAGAATCTAAATTATTTTGTTCAATTTTACCAGAAGAACTAGTAAGATTGGGGACGTCTCAGAAAACAAATACATCTACGACTGTTAAAGCAATGGCTGCTTTAAGTACAGATATAACAGGATGGGTTGCAGAAAGTATCTTATCTCAAAACGATATAAAGAAGCGTACTGCTGTAATGAAACAGTGGATAAAAATAGGAAACAAATGCCTGGAATTAAATAATTATAACACATTAATGGCAATTGTTAGTGGTTTAAACTCTTCTACTATTTCTCGCTTAAAAAAAACATGGAATACATTGTCTACAAAATCAAAAAATATTTTCGATAATCTTCGATCGATAACAGATTGTTCACGTAATTATGCTATCTATAGGTCCCGTCTAAAAGAGAATTTACCTCCATGCTTACCGTTCCTTGGCTTAATTCTAACAGATATTACATTTATTGAAGAAGGAAATCCATCTTACCGTTCTTTTAGAAATTCTTCATCTATAACACACTCAATTCAACTTATTAACTATGATAAATATATCAAGTAAGCTTATTCACATATGTAAATAATTATAACATATGAAAGGATTTATTCAATAATTTCTAAACTTCAACAGTTTCAAGAGCCATATAAACTTGAACTTGTAGAAGAATTACAAACGTGGATTGAATCGCAAGTCTCACGTATACGAATGAAAGGCCAAAATAACCTAACAGAACTTTGGAGAAGATCTCTTGCTCTAGAACCAAAAACACAGTCTCAATCTTCACAGGAAAATGACCAAATGAAAAATGCAAATAGTAGTATATTTACTGTTACAGAAATAACTGAAGATTCAGATGCAAAAAGACATTGTTATAATAATATGGATTCTCTCATTAATTGGACAATAAATCCGATAGTATCATAAATAATTTTATTTTTTTGGGAAAAAAGTATTGCATTTTTTTGATTATAGTATCAAAAATAAACTACATAAACATAGATTATATCGAATATATTATTACATCAACTATCTACCCATATATATTATTTTTAGCTTGGTAGGGAAATTAATACAGCATTTGGCTATAATAATAATAATAATGTTTTGACATATGTAGATACACATGCATTTCTAATTAGTTTTTTAAATAAAAACCACATACAGGATTTATATTTTTCCATTAAATATAATCAAAAATACATTTTAGAACATTACTTTGGATTAATTATAAATTATTTTTATCATTCGAAAAAATTAAACTTCTAATTTTCTTTTATTTTTTATTGAACAAAAATTCTATATTCCTAAGTTTGATAAAATTTATACGTTTTCGTTATATACACCAGTTATACACTAGACTATATATAAAATTATGAAATTTACAATTTTTTAAAAAATTAATTTACAATTTTTATATCTAAGAATATCTTTAAATAATATCATCTTTTCTATCTATTTTTCTAATAAAATATTATCATTTATGCTATAATATTTTTATAAAAATAAAATTCAATAAAATATGATTTTTTAAATAGAAAAAAAACAAAATTATTAAACTTTTTCAAAAAAATGCTACTAATTTCAGAGTTTATTGCTAAACAATTAGAGTTCTTTAATGAAAAATATATCATTCCTGTATCCATCTTTATACAAATTATGATTCTTGGTCCTCTCATCATTTACATATTTATTAAGTTTATATCATACAGAACGTATAAAAAACTCTATACAAAGTCAAAGAAAATACGAAATCAGTTTATTTCAGAGGCAATGTTTGAACCAAAAATGTCACAACGCCCAGTCATTATAGGCTTTTTTCATCCATATTGTAATGGAGGAGGGGGGGGAGAACGTGTTTTATGGACTGCAATTAAGGCTATTCAAAGTAAATACGCTCATGTTATATGTGTCATTTATACAGGAGATATCAATTCAGGAAAAAATGACATTCTAATAAAAACAAAAGTACATTAACAATTTTATTTATAACTTATTAACATTTAAAGACAATATTTGGCATAGAATTAGATGAAAAAAGAATACATTTCATATATTTACATAAACGTTATTACGTATCTTCAAAACAATGGCCACATTTTACACTTTTAGGTCAATCCTTAGGTTCATTAATTTTAGCTTACGAAGCAATTAATCAATGTGTACCAAACATTTTTATAGGTAAAACATGTTCTAATTGAATCCTTTTAAATAACATTTATAAAGATACAATGGGGTATGCGTTTACTTATCCTCTTGTATCATCTTGCTTAGATATTCCTATTGTAGCATATGTTCATTATCCTACAATATCTACAGATATGTTGTCAAAGGTGCTTTATAAAAAATTTTTAAAATACATATATTGGAGACTTTTCGCAATAGCTTATTCATTTTGTGGTCGTTATGCAGATCTTATTATAACAAATTCAACATGGACACAAACTCATATAGAATCCTTATGGAAAAAGAAAGAGATAATTACCATATATCCTCCTTGTAATACAAAAGACTTATACGATCCTTATATAGACGAAAAAAGTAAGCATGAAAAACTAATTGTTTATCTTGCACAATTTAGAAAAGAAAAAAATCACAAACTTTTGTTAAAATCATTTAAAACAATGCTTGACACGTACCCTGAAACAAAAAACTCAGGTATAAAACTAGTTTTAATAGGATCTACAAGAAAAAATGATGAATTATACATTAATGATCTTAAAAACATTACAAAACATTTAAATATTGACAATTATGTTTCATTTATTCACAATTTGCCATGGAAAGAAGTAGTTATATGGCTCAAAAAATCATGGATTGGTGTAAATACAATGTGGAATGAACATTTTGGAATTTCTATCGTTGAATATATGGCAGCAGCACTTATTCCAGTTGTACATGATTCAGGCGGACCTAAACTTGATATTGTTATAGACTATGATGGAAAACCAACAGGTAATATGAAATACATCATAACATATATATTCATCATCTATTCAGGATACCATGCCACTACTCCTTTATCTTTTGCAAAAGCATTTAAAGACATATTTTCAATGTCTCAAGAAGACAGGGATTCTATGCGAAAAAGAGCTAGAGCCTCTTCTGTTCGTTTTTCAGAAGAAACATTTAGTGAACAGTGGTTAAATGTTATGAATATTCTCCTAAAACATGAACAGACACATAGACGTGAACGTATCTACCGTACTAGATTTAAAGAATATTAATTTTAAACTATTTCTTGAAATGTCTTGGAAAATATGGAAGAGGTTTCACAAAATGCAAAACTAAATTCTGTATAACTGAAAATAAAGACGAGGTTACCCAATATAAAGACAATGCCTACTAATTATTAACAATACTTTTGTAACGATAACCATTCATTACAGTAGGAGCCTGCATTGAAACAAACGTAAACACTAGTGCATTACCTTGTGCAAGGCGTGTCAAAAATATCGGCACAGAAACCATTTCTTTATAAAAATCTAAATTTAACTTAAAATCATTTAAAAATATCCAGCTTTCAAAAGAAAAAAACCTGAATGTTTATAAGACTAATAAGTCCTAAACAAACTGGAAGGAACCCAATTGGATCTGAAACAGTTAAATCTTGTATCCATCCAATACCTTCGTGGGCTAAAGAAACTTCTACAGGTACATTTAAACCTGAAAACAGCAAGAAACTCGAGCCAGACATGCCACGCAGTACAAATGTCATTATAAAAAACAAAGGGATTTGTACCAAAGGCAATACTAAAGACCCAATTGGATGACATGAGTGGCGATGAAAAAGTTCATTCCGTTTTTGATTCAACTTTAATCATTAAATACGTCTTCGACAAAAACTAACCTGACCTTTTTAATCTTTTCAGAATCAAAATAACTTAGTTTCATGTATTGAAACTCCCATGCCTTTATCAACGGCTTAATACGAGCATATCGAATCATTCTATTTCTTGACCAAAAAACAACAGGTAACATAACACTGCGTATAAGTAGTGTAGTTAACGGGATTGCAGCCCACCAGGGTACCCCTGTGCCATGGACAGTATATAGTGCAGTTGATCCCAAAGCAAAGAGATTATAGCATGAAGATGTGGTATGAAGAAAACGATAAATCCGATGTGTTAAATGCAATGGCAAACGATGCAATGCTATTGTTGTTTGATACATTCTTTAGTGAATATCATTAAAAAAATATATACAAAGTATCAAAGGCATGTAATCGACAAAATATTGTATTTGAAACATTAAAAACAATATCAGGCACGTTTAAAAAATTATCGATATTTTTAACAAAAAAATTAAATAAGATCATTGACATCATATCAACAAAAAATTGCTGAAATTATTAACTGTACGCTGAAAAGCTATTCGTAATACACGTTAAAGAAAACTGATCCATTTACAAATAGATTTTTTTATGAGAAAATAGCCAAATGATATAAGAGATTATAAATTATTTATTTCTTCATGTTTATCATATTCTATGCCAGGTTCATCTTCAAGTTCGTCCATACAATCATTGATCTCCGAAAGTACTTCATCATGATCACTTAGCAAGTCAGAATTATCATCCAAAACCAAAATCCGACTAGGACAACCAAATCGAATATTTTCAAAAGACACTGTTGTTTCATTTTGTGTTTCAGGTTCTTTACTCTCTTCATAATAATTTTCTACTTGATGATTGTTATTCCAATGATTATATGAATACTCAGACTCATCAAATTCTGCTTTAAAAAGAACAATTAGCAATAAATTTTACACAAATGAAAAAAAATATACCGTATTCTGATACCATACAAGACCCATTTTCACTTTCTACTCGCTTTGCAATCATATCGTACCATTCTTCCTTTGTTTTTCCTTGAAGGAATCCAACAATAATTACGGTCATATTATCACATCCTAAACCACCGGTTTCGCTACTACTCGCCAAACAATTATCCATAAGATTTTCACAAATTTTATGCAATTCTTGTTTTGCTGCAATACCTCTTCTTACAAATTCTACTACTGCCTGAGATGTTTGACAATCCCAAATACCTATTAAACATTGTTAAACCATTTACACTTAAATAGCATGATACCATCACATGCAAGAACAAGAAATTCATCATCTTTATCCAAAATGTGTTGTGTGACATCCGGATATGCTACTTTGTATGACATTTACTCAAAAAAGATAAATATACTTTACCTGTTACAATTTGTTGTTCCGGAGGCAGATCAGCATTTTTCTTAAACTCAAAATCACCGATTGCACGAGATAAAGCAAGATTCCCTAAAAGTCAATCTAAACACAGAAAACGACTATAGATTATACCATTCACACGCCCAAAATCAACAAACCCGCCAGCCGCACAAATTCGTGCTTTTTCTACTAACAAAAATTAAAAAAAATTAGCATAAGAAAAATAAATACATTCGTTCTGGGGCTTATGATCGAATGACAATGGCTTTGCTTCCCCTCTTACGCAAAGAACAGATCTTGAATCACCAGCATTCGCCTTAATAGACATGATTTAGCACTAGTTCAAAAATACTATTTACATACACAAAAAATACGTCCATCACCCGTAATCAAAACAACAGAAGCCGTACAACCCGATGGATCTTCCTTAAACCGTGGTTCTAAGTCATCATCAAGAAACTAGTCCTAATGATCCTCTATATACCTTCACGAATAGCTTTATCCGTATTCAAAAACCCATTTTTCAATGCCTTTTCATAATCACCAGCAATAAAAGAGGTATCTTGTGATATAATACGATGAACATGCTCACCACTATATTGAGCCACTGCATCACCTATAATATATTTAAATCAAATAAATATCACCATAACTGCAATAATACCCCCATGGCCGTCATATACACCGAAAAAACTCACTTTGTCCTTTCCAGAACTACCATTTAACTGAAGTACAGCTGCATGTGAGTCTTCCATAGAAATACGCCATCCTTGCATATCTGACAACCCAAACAATAACGTATCATCACCACCCTTCTGAGAATGCTTCTCAACAATAGGTTCACTCAATGTTTGACCCATTATAAGGCAATTCAACAGCACAAAGTGCACAAAAAACACAAAAGAATAAAACTCAAGATGAACCGTAAAAATCCACCTCAAAAACAAATACTAAGACAAAATGTGCTAAAAATCACCTATATGATAATTTTCAGAAGCAATTTCGTTAAAAAAGGTCTTTTTCTTACCGAAATCTCCCAATAAAACACACAAATTTGCGTTTCGTCTTCAGTGATAAAATGTCGCTCAAATTGGATCGTCTATAGTTGAGTTCCTCGACATCGTTGCCAAGGTAACAGAGGTGCCACCGCAACGGGATTGCTATGACAACAATATAACAAGACATGATGAATTTAATGAATTTCCATAACAACAGCCATCACCACAGCGCAGCAACTAACACCCTAATACAAAGTCACGGGAGATAAGATAGTGCCGTAAAAGCCAATATATAGAAATATAAAAATTTAATTCAACAAAAAATAAACATATAAATATACCCATCAAATACACCCGTTTTATCTACTCAATACATATTTACAAAACCATAAATCATGTTTTTATATAAATGCCATATCGGATGACCCTTCAGTACTTAACGAGCGAGACAATTGGCTCGTTTTCTGTGGACGCGAATATTCAAACATCTTTGGTCGATCTAACATGATCGACCTCATCCCCAAAGACCCTTTTCGACGAGGAGTTGTTGAAAAAACATCTGTTTTTGAAGGCGTTTGCATACAAGCATGTAATGGTGCAGATACCTTGGTTGCAATACGATACTGAACACCATTTGAATCAGATGCACCCAATGGACCTGAAAGAGAAGAACGGTGTTCATTAACCGAACTTATACGTGGATCATCATTTTCATCGTACAAAAACTCATTTCTCGAATGCTCACTACTTATAAGACTAGAAGTGTCAACAGAGTCTGCATCATCAATCTGTGTTGACCATGGACGTGCTTTTGAAATATGTGAATCACTCTTTCTAAAACAACCAACATTTTTGGATTCTTTAGGCTGATTCTCACTGCCCTTTGATGCTATTGAGTCATCTGAATACGACCCAATTGTTACTTTACTATCATTGCTTTTCCCCGACGATTCTTTAGAAGAATTGTAAGACGGTGTACTTGAACACGCTACATTACTTATCACACCAGAAGACGACTCTGAATTACTTGTTGAGCCACTAACCAATTTTACAGTAAATGGCTCGCTTGTTGATGCAGTTCTAGAACCTGCGTTTACTTTTCGGTCATGATAATCATGGTTGCCTGGCCAAAACGAACTACTCAATGTTGTTCTACGCCACGACCGATGAGGCATTCCATATCCTGGGGGTCCTATAGATGGTTGTGGTGGAATATTCGTACCATTAGCTAAAGGTTGTACTTCTTTGGGAACATAAGCAGGAGCTTCTTTAAATGTATCTTCTTTAATTGGAAGCATACGAATTGAATATGGAGAAACAAAATTCGTTTTCTGATATTTCTTTGATGTCGTATTAGAATTAGTATTGAGATTAGTGTTAGCCGGCGTTTCTTTAACCTCTGCAACAAACCCAGAAAGGCCATTAGCGCTTGTTGATTTAAAAATATCAAACGCAGAAAGCCGTTGAGGCTCATCCCATGTTCGTTCATCCATTGCAGGCCATTGTCCATAGCGAGCATCAGGAAGAATTGGCCGGGAAATATACCGCTGACCAGAAGGAGAAAGACGCGCCCTCCTAACTCTCCTTGATATACAAAGATATAGAATAAAAAAGAAAATAATCAAAACAATAGGAATAACAATAGCCAAAGCAATAATCGCAGAAAAAGAACTTGTTTTCCCTACTACCTCTGTATCTATATCAAATGTTACATCCTAAACCGATTAAATGCAAAATACTCACTTTCAGATACATTAACCATAAAATACTGATCATATTCATGTCCAGACGAATAAATCACTGTATGTACTCTTATAGATACATTGCCCTCTCTCGGTGGCGTACCACTCAGTCTCATTGTATGCCTATTAAACTTCAACCAATCCGATGCTTCCTTGGGCATACATAAAACATCCACTTTATCAAAACTAGACAACGAAGATGAATCCCCAATCTGAAATGAAAACGGCTTATCAACTACAAGAAACACATCTGGCAAAAATGGTGCTTTATAACCCGTCCCGGTTTCTGATGAAAAACACGGTATCTTCTGCTCAATTATCCCTACTTGGGCCTTGCTATCCTTTATAACATTCATATCAATAACCATTGTGATTTTATATGATTTTTCATCCATAATCGTAACTAAAACACTTCCTGATACATCATCTGCTGATGGAGTTCCTACAAGAACATGATTGCTTGCATCATACAGAACCCAATGGGGTGACGACACTGTAATCTTTAATCGTGAGACCTCATCTGGAGAGATAGGTTTTCCTCCCCTTGTCAAACTCGAAAGTGGTAATGGATATGTAAATGAATGTCCTACCATCATATCTACCGAATAATATGATCGATCCAATTGCAAATGCTGTGGGCCAATTGCTATCCCAAAAGGCGCTTCTGCCCCTGAAAACCCAATCACATCCACCGCTACAACTTTTAAAAAAAAATGCAACGGTGGCGCCACCGCTTCATGTGGTGGCGCTTCCCCCCATATACGTAGACCCTCTGGATCAAACTTGACCCATGAAGGTAGTGGTGTGTTGTTTTCAGACACACAGTAATACGTCAAAATATTGTTTCCATGTGGATCAAACATATCCTTCTTTAGCGAAAAGCTAAATGCCTGCCCTGGACGCAGCACAAGCGCCCCCTTTCCATCTATTCCCCCATACTGCCTCAATTGCCGGTCCATAGGGATTTTAAGAGTCGGTTCAGGCGTATTCACCACCACAAATGTCACCTGGTCAACCCCACTCCCCAAGGCGTCTGTAGCCGTTAATGCAAACTTAACTACTCCTATATCTTGTACAGATGGTACTCCATAAAACTTCAATTCCTTTGCATTAAAATTCAGCCATGATGGCAGCGCGCTCACTGCATATTTAACTTCTCCATTGGTATCTTTAAATGTATTCTTTGAAAACGTAAAAGAAAACTGTTGCGACACACGTGCTACTGGAGGCACTTGTGAGTTTACTGGGAATCCAACTGTTGGCGTTGTCCTTCCTATTCCTAGCCATCCTGCAGCCCACAAAAAAACCCATACTCTACAGACCCATTGTCTGCAATGCTGTCTCATCAATTCCAGTCTTTATTAATGCTTTTAACACTTGTAATACTTGTAATATTGCAAAATACTCAAAACACAGACAAATACTCAAAAACACGTCAAAACACAGCAAACACTCCAAGGCGCTCCAAAGACTCTCAAGACACTTAAAGACACTTTAAATCACTTAAAGGCTTTCCAAAATTCTCCAAAAATACCCCAAAAGACCCGTCAAACACGTCCAAATAAGCTATCCACACTACTCCAATATGCCGAGTATACTGCACGTCCCGCTGCTACGTGAATATTGCGTGTCTAATGCCACGCACGCGTCCCATAAATCGCGCTTTAATACACTTAGCGTGCATCGACACGAAGAACGCATAATAATACACGTGTGTGCACAGAACGACGCTGCAAAACATATATTTTATATACCTTTTGTAACCACAAATACAACTTGCATTATATATATATATATACTTTACGTATACGTGTACTTTATATGTATGCTTTATATATAATTATGTTTCACATAACATATAAATTATACATAGTGTACACTTTACGCAACTCTATACTTTAAACTTTGTATATAACCCGTATTTTACATGCAACAGCAGTTGGATGTAACTTTGCATTTATATATAAGTGCAACTATATACAACATATACTTTACATTCAGTTTATGCTTTACATCTACTTTACGTTACATGTACTTTGCTCTGTCCGCCTGCATATATATGTATATGCGTGTATATGTATGTACATATGTATATATATATATGATATATGTATATATATGTATATATGATATATGTATATATATGTATATATGTGTATATGTACAACAGCAAGAAAAGACTCAACAGTTTGCAAGGATATCACGTGACTCCAGAAGATCAGAGGACAGAATATTGTCAATTGACAATGAGTTAATGTTGTCTTCGTACTACTGTTAGGATTGGGTGAAGCATAAGGTATATACGTACAGTATAAAGCATGTATAGTATAGAATGTGTATACAGAGTAGAATATAGTGTATGTATATAAAGTATAATACAAAATAGAATATAAAGTAAAATACAATGTAAAATACAATGCAAAATACAGCATAAGATAAAACAAAGTACAGTATAACCAAAGAGTCAGGGAGTGAAAAAGTTAGGATACATAATAGGATGCAGATGAGGTACGGAGTAAAATGATAAAATGGATAGTCAAGTACAAAGATAATGAAAAGAAATAGCAAGTCAAGAGGAACCAAAAGAATCTCTCCAAAAATCAGCCATTTTCTCGTCGATCCGAGAAAAGAGATGATAACTAAAAGAGTCAGCAATAAACAAACAAAGACAAACGAACGCTTTATTGATCCGGTGACCAGGAAGAATATCGAGAGTCCAAGTATCAGGGATAGACCTCTGAGGGACATTGAGCTGGTCAGCAATAGATCTTGAGGTTGAGGGCATGAAGGGTGCTATACAGGCAGAAATGAGGTAGATAAGGTTGACCATATAGCCAATGACATCAGCACAATGTTGAGGATTGCCGTCAAAGAGAGCATTGTTAAGGCGGTTGGTCTGAAGAAAAAGATTGCCACGAGAGGAAAAGTCGAAAACAAGCTTCAGAGAGTAGCGAATCTTCACAGCATCCATATGCTCTATATATTGAACGAGGATCCTGTTGATGTCCCGATGGAGCTCAAGAAAACACAAGTGATCACTAGACGAGCCGTGGAAAGCATCGTCGCCAGAACCGTTGTCAAAAGTGTAGGGGTGCTGAATATAACTGGGGACAAGACTCCCATACTTCATATTGACAAACTTAACAACACGGTTAACAAAGTTGCCAAGATTGGCAAGGAGCTCGGAATTGTTCCTTTGAATAAACTCGGCCCACGAAAACATCGTATCCGAGACTTCGGGACGAGATACTAAAAGATAATATCTCCACACGGAGGACGGTATATTCGTTTTCTGAACATTATCTCCAAAGACACCGACCCCTCTTGACTTGGAGAACTTGCCGCCTTCGTATTTAAGATACTCTGGCATGCGTGTCAATGACCGGGAAAAACATAATCGGCTTACCGGTTGTGCTAAGATGGTGGAGCATAGTCCACTTCTTGTTTGTGGCTATCAGTGTTGCCGGAAAAATAATAGTATGGAAAGGAACATTGTCCTTCCCCATAAACTGGTACAACTGGACATTCTCTGGGTTATTCCACCATTCACTCCAATTCTCAGTGTAATTAGCGGTAATGCTAATATAGCCAATCGTAGCATCGAACCACACGTAAAGCACTTTTCCCTCCATATTAGGGACTTCTGTCGGAACCGGCGTCCCCCACTTTAAGTCACGGGTGATGCAGCGGGGCTCAAGCCCCATCTTCAGAAAATTTGAGGTAATAGAAATACCGTTAGCCGACCACTTCCCCGCCTCAGAAGACACCTTGACCCAGGCCTCGACCTGAGGTTGCAGCTTGTTCAGCAGCATGAATATGTGTTTGGTTTCACGCTCCACGGGCGCTTCACCGTCCAACTTGCACTTTGGCTCTTTCAATTCAAAAGGATCAAGCAGCTGGCCACACGAATCGCATTGATCACCGCGTGCATCCTGGCCCTTGCATCAGGAAACAGAAAAACATCACAGCCGTCACTGCTGACACATTGCTGATGCATACCTCGTACAGACACTTTGGACACGAGCCCTGCACATACCGATCGGCCAGAAACCCCTCGTGTTTTTCACAGTACAACTGCCGTATCGTCTTTTCCTCCAAAAATCCGTTCCTGTGTAGATCCATAAAAATACCTGACGCAATCCTGGGCCTCCGTTAGCAGAAAACACCCCTAATACCCCCAACACCCCGGCCCACCCACTCTGTCTGTTTCTGCGTCGTCGTCCGACCAAACATGTCAAACTCTATCTCGAACCACTTGTAGACATCGTAGTGGACTTTGTGGTACTTGTCGCATAGCTCCTTCGGCGTCACTTTCTGCTCCAGCGCCTTTGTCTCCGTCGCCGTCCCATACTCGTCCGTCCCGCAAATAAACAGTGTATTCACTAAGCGTGCCCTGCTGTACCTGCTGCATGTAAGACGGCTCCGTCCGCCCCCAAACCCCCACTGGGGGCATTCCACACCTTGCAAAGACGTCTGCGCTCAGCACGCTGCCCACAATGTTCCCCAGGTGGGGAACATTGTTCACGTAGGGAAGCGCCGACGTAACCAGCACATTCCGCTCGCCTTTCCTCGGGTGCCTGGTATAGTCAGCCCTCCGGTTGTGGTCTCCACCTGCTGAGCCTACACTTTGTCTCCGCGCCACACCGTCTTGATCTCCCGCAGCCGCCGGCACGGGTCAGAAAACGCTGTAAACCACGTCGGGTCTCTGTGCGGCGGGAAGACCAACGTCTTTTCTGCCTGGCCGCCGTCAGCACGCATATACCACGCATATATACGCACAAATGCCACTGCGCGCTGGAGACCCTCGCTGACCGCCGGGTCAGCCGAGAGGCGGCTGAACCACCGGCCCAGCTGCCCGTTGGGCGCCCAACCGCATCCCCGTTGCTTCTCCCAGAGCGTCGAGAAAAGCACAATCTCCGTATCCGCCAGCAGCCGCCCGTCGGCTGCACCCCATGCCCCCGCTAGCTGCGCGGCCAGCTGCTCAACCTCAGCCGCGGAGCCCGTCTGCACTTCCACCAGCTCTTTGGGCTGGTGGCAGCCGCCGCGGCGCTCAAACCAATGCCTGCACGCGTCAGCACAGCCACCGGGCAGGCGCCTTACGAGACAACCGCATCCGCCGACGAGATGCACACACACGCGCCCTTCGCGTCGACCACCACGCACTGCAGTGCGGCGCCCGCATAGAACGCCGCGTCCACGTGGTAGACCGTAGCCGCAACCATCACCTTGAGCACCGCCAAGAAGGCGTCTGCACCACCTTCCGGTAGCTGGACCGTCGCCTCTACCATCACGCACAGCCCCTCTACTTGCTGGTCCTGGCCTTCCTAAGGCTTAAGCCCTTCCTAACCCTTTCTTAAGCGCCTCTTAAGCCTTTGCTGAAGCTTTCTTAAGCCTTTCTTAAGACTCTTTAAGGCCCCTTAAGACTTTCTTAACTCTTAGGAGTCTCCTTAGCCCTCTCGGCTTCCCCAACGCTTCTTTCTTGGCTCCCTGCGCTCTTACGCCCCGCGCTGCGCAGCCAGTCGCCGCAGTCCACTCAGCCCGGGTCTAGCGTAGTGTATGCGTAGTATGCGTAGTATGCGTGTATATGCGTGCTATATGCGGCGTGTATGCGAGTTGTATGCGCGGTATATGCGCGGTGTATGCGTGGATGCGGGAGGCACTTCCCCACGCCCGGCGGGGTTTCGGCGGTTTCGGCGGGTGTGCGCTTCGGAGCCGTTCGGAGCCGTCCGAGTGCCGCGCCACGCTAACGCACAATGCACGAAGGCCTCGACGCTCTGCTGCGCCTCGAAGACGAGTATGTGGCGCGCCCCTAGAGTGTGCTGACCCGACAGGTTCTTCAACGAGGGATACATGCAGGGCATGCGGGACGGAGCGCAGCGCGCACGTGTAGAAGGCCGCCTCGAAGGCATCGAGGCGGGGTATGCACTGTTTCTGCCGGTTGGCCGTGTGCGCGGGCGCTGTGATGTGTGGCGGTCGACGGTCTGCACACAGAGCCTGTGCCCGGCACAGGGGGTGCCACGTGACGCGGGGGCGGCGGGGCGGGTCAACCGGCGGCTGCAGGCACTGGAGGAGTGCCTCGACGCGCTATATGCGCTGGCGGCGGACGAGAGAGAGCGCTTTGCGGTGCTCTGGGGCCGCTCAAGGTCCAAGTTTCGCGCCCTTGCACGCCTCTTCGGCGAGGACCCGCTCCTTGCTGAGCCACCCGCAGACGACATCGAGGATCCGCCGTCTCCACAGATGTTGCCATAACAGCGGTTGCTAGGTGACGGTTGCGCCGCAACATGCTGCTAGTGGCGGCTATGCCTGGCAAGCACTCCGTCGCATACGGTGCCCTCTGTGACACCCTCGTCTCCGGTGAGCCATGCGGGCATCCGCCGCGCGTCCGCCTGCCCGCGCACACACATTTCCCGCAGCCCATCGAGTACGTGACTCCCCTCGAGCACGAGCCATATCGCTGGACGGAACGGTGCGTCGGTCTCGGGTGCACGTGACTCAGACGCGTCGGCACGTGACTCATGGGTGTGGACGGTGGCCTCGAGGCGGAACGAGAGGCGGTCGAGCGCGTCGGCGAGGGGATCGACGTGTCCGAAGCGCGCAGCGACGGCGGAGTCGCAGAGGCTTGGCGGCGGAGGCAGCGGATCGACAGGCGACGCGTCGACGAGGGCATCGGCATAGACGCGCCACGCGCCAAGCGCAAAGGAGTGGCGCGATGCGCCGCGACGCGCCACCATGGCGTGGAGACTACGGAGGGTCACGTGCGCATCGCGCAGCTGTGCGGGGTGTCCGCGAGACAGGGCGGTTGCAAGTGCCTAGAGGATGAGCAGAGTGCATGCAGAGTGCATGCAGTGTGCGGGTGCACAGCACGCATGGCGCATACAGCGCATATAGCACGCATACAGCGCGCATACAACGTACATGCGGTGCACATACAATACATACACAGTGCATATACACCGCATACATATCGTATACACATCGTATACACACCGCATACAGCGCACAGTGCCATACACACTGCATATACAACACATAGATGCTGGCAGTGTGCACAATGCATTGTGTATGCTGTGCACACAACGCAGTATAGTATGCATGCAACGGATACATGCAATGCACAGGAATGCAGCAATGTATACAGCAAAACGGCTATGCATGTGCAAAAGACTCACCTGGACAAGCAGAGCATGTGCAGCATCACGCAGCGCACTATGGAAAAGATAGGGCGACGCGAGAGGGAGCGCGACATAGAATACGCGGCGCGGAGGAGGAATCACGTGCACCGCAGCAGGCTCGTGGAGCTGGATACGGAGGAGACGCAATGGCAACGTCGGATGAAGAGCAGTATAGACATACTAGAAAGATCAGCAAATGAATAAAATGAATAAAAAGAAAAAATAAAGAGATAAAAAAGAAGAATAGAATAGGAAAAAACAAGAATATTCGTATAGAGCAGTTTGGGTGTTTAATGGGAGGGGGTAGAGTTTACCGGGGAGACAGACATTGGAAAAAACAGTGTCAAGAGCACCATGGAGCGCAGTGAGGAAAGGAGAGATGTAGAGAGAAGCATCAACAAGTGCAGTGTGTGGGTCGACACGGCAGGCAGTCCAGTGGAGTGCAGTTGGGTGGTCGTATAGATCTGAAAAGATTAGCAAAAGAAGGGAAAAAAGCAGAAAAAAAGAGAAAACAGACACTGGAGATCAAGCATTGCAATCTGTTTTGCATTAAGACCATTTGGCTGAAAGAATGAGTAAAAAGATCAGGAACCGTAAACTTACCCAGTCGACCTCGAGGACGCGTTCTACGACATCTCTGCGTGAAACAGAGCCTGATTCAGCCCATTCCCGGTAAATAGAGGCAACAGCATCAGCAGAATTGGCTGAATCGGACGGAAAAGAGTGTTTTTGCTCAGAATGGTATGTTTGAGTCGAGTGTGCTGATTTTGTCTGGAGAGCACACTGAGGGTCGCTGAGCCAAAGGAGAACAACATGGAGCAAAGAATTCTTGGAAAGACGCAAAAGAAGCCTCCGGATTGCCTTGGAATATGCAAATCGGTGTGTGTCTAGAAGCGCACCTGCCATGTAGTTGGCAAATGATGAGGATCGAGAACAAGTTTTATGTGGATTGCTGCCATGACAACCAATGCGTGTTACCAGGGCAACTCAGCGTTGCTAAGTCAACCAAAGAACGTTGCTGGGCAACCAGGGGAGGAGAGAATAAAGGATATATAAAGAAATATATATACAAAAAAGATGGAAAGGGGAAAAAGGAGGGGAAATGACAAGACTTGCTACCGAATACCCAATTCTCGTAAACGGTTGCATGAAACCTGAACCATGTTTTTTGCCTTTTCATAGGCCTCTTTATCCACACGAAAAAACCCATAAGCTTGCTCCATTCTACGTTTCCGCTCCTCTATCTCGTATTCACAGTTTACACGTAACGCATTGATGTAGTTAACTTCGACTTTTTTGTCTAATCGTGAAAGCTTGACCTGTGACAAAGAACTGACTTTTAACGGGTCGACAAAATATGGAATATGATGATAATAAGTGTACCGTGCTTCTGTAAAAGGTGGTGAAGGTGTTAATGAGTAAGACGGCATGCCTGATCCGAAAAATGAAAATGCAGAATTGAAAAAACCAGCAAAAGATGATAAAATAGAAAAAAACACAACGATGATGAAAGGAAGCAGTTGAATCAATGTAGATATACCAAACGTGCCCAGTCCTGCCTGACCTTGATGCCTGTTCGAGCCAGACCGCCGTCCCAATCCATCAAAATGATGCACTCTTATCTGAGGACCTCCGAACGATGCAACAAACGGGTCTAAAAGTGTGGTTAAAATACCATTTATACATGGCAAAAATATTACTTGTGCTTGAAAAAGCAAACCCGCTTCCTCCGCCAAAGAACATATTAAACAAGTCTTGTGGATCAATTTCTTCACCAAATAGACCACCAGTTGCTCGAGAAAACCCTGCACTGCCCATACCACCAGTTCGAGAACCCAAATCATCACCATATTGGTCATATGCTGCACGTTTCTGAGGGTCTGAAAGAACTTGAAATGCTCTTGAAATCACTATTTACCATTATTTTTTTCATCCAGAATCAAACACTATACATTTAAAGGCTTCATCTGCACCTGGTACTGCATTTTTATCCGGGTGAAGCAATAATGCTAATTTTCGATACGATTTCTTAATTTCAGCATCGTCTGCTGTCTTTTTTATATCTAAAATTTCATAATACGCTGTATGTTTACATTTTCTAACACGATCCACTACTTCCTATATTTTTATTCAAGAAAAACTTAAAATCATAAAAAGCCTACTTTCTGCTTTGGCGTATAATGCCTTTTTCCAGAACTGTTATTTGTTGTTTCAGAGGCCTTTGACTGTTTTGATTTCTTTTCAAATGTTTCTGATGCATTTGGAGACGTTTTTCCTCCAGAAGAACCAAATCCATTCAAATGAGGCGATGAAGAAGCTTTTGACGATTCAATAAACGCAAGGAAATCCTCTGCTTCCTGCAAAAAAAACAAAGAAAGGGACTTTTTTGAAAATTTAATGGCACCTTCACGATCACCTTGATTCCACTTCTTTCTTGCAATTTCTAGACATCTAAATCTTATAAACACACAAATGACTTAAGAAAAGGATAAATAACCGTTCTGCTTCATCTTTATTAACTTCCATCCGCCTTCAGAACACCTTTAAATCCACACTGTTTTTACTCCGAAATTTGCACGTTGAAAACGTCGACGTTAATCTGTATATTTACAAGCAAAAACAAAATGATGAATAAAAAACTTAGAATAACAACATATTTCAAATACTTTTGAATACAATTGGTTGTATAAAGTGTTTTTTCAAGACAAATATTTAATTTTTTTTTTAAAAATAACAAAAAGATATTGCAGTTAAAAATTTCTAAAAAATGTAATCATTTTAGAATCTTAGTTCTATATACTTTTGTATGTTTCTAATATATTTTTTTTGATCCAAAAATGAACATATTTCTTTATTTAAGATATGTACCCTCTATAAACACTATTTAAAAACTTAATTTTAATTTTTACAAACATAAAAATATTGTAAAACATACCAAAGACACGAAAAACACTTCATTCTTATTTTTAATATATTTCCCAGTCAATTTTATCCATTACTCTTATCTTTTTTTCATGCATTTTAACAAACATTAATTTTTCTAATATTAAAAACAGTTCATTGTATCTAAAGATAAACAGAATATACATTAAATACAAAACTACAAAAAACTGTATTTATTGCCTATCGAAACTTAATATATCTACTTTTTTTCTTTACATATTTCTTGTACCGTTTACCAAACAAAAAAATATATAAAACTTAAGAAATACACAAACTAAATATATAAACACTAAATGTCATGTTAATATATCAATATCATTTTTTACAGATATTTGATTTCAATTATATCTATAAAAATCTATTTACTAGCTTTTTATAAGAAACACAACAATAAATATGATTATCAAAAATACAACACAGATCACATATAAAATATGTACAATATTTTTTCTATTATTTTTATTCTAATAACATCGTCTTTTATTTGACGATTATAATCTAAGTGTTCAATGAATCTTTAATGATAAAACCCATACAACTGTGTAAGAACTTAAAAAACATGCAAAAATACTTTGATATAGGATTTAATGCTACTGATCCGGTTTTTCGTGGAATTTATTATTCTAAAGAGATTCATCCAAATGATTTTGATGAAGTACTTCGCCGAGCAAAAGAGATAGGTTGCCAGGAAATGATGATAACAGGAGGCTGTTTAAAAGATTCTCAAGAAGCTCTTAAATTGGCCTATCAATATCCTGGTTTAACTTGTACTGTAGGATGTCATCCAACACGAGTAACAGAATTTGAGCGGTATCCAGATGGACCAGACAAATATTTAAAAGAAATACACAAACTAGCACTCTCTGGAAAGAATTCAGGAAAAGTTGTATCTTTTGGAGAAATTGGACTTGATTATGATCGACTTGAATATGCATCTAAAGAGTTACAGACTACGTTGGCCTATTTAATCATTTATTTTTTTCTCATATATAATCTATAGATATTTTAAGAAACAATTATCCATTGCATCAGACATTAATCTTCCTCTTTTCTTACATAGTCGTGGAGCAGCTGAAGATTTCATAACAATTCTTACACCATTTTTATCTCAATTACCACAAAAAGGCTGTGTTCATAGTTTTACAGGTACACTAGAAGAAATGCATCAATATATTTCATTAGGCTTATCTATCAGTGTAAATGGCTGTAGTATGAAAACACAAGAAAATTTAAAAGTAGTAAAGGAAATCCCATTAGAATATTTAATGCTTGAAACAGGTAACCCATATCACTTTTTTATTAAAAAAAAAGTTAAAAAAAATCAGATGCACCATGGTGTAGCATTTCTTCTGCTCATGCTTCCTACTCATATATTAAAGATACGACTTGCATATTTCCCACTTGCAAAAAAGACAAATTTGTCTTTGGAAAAATGGTTAAAGGAAGAAATGAACCATGTACTATAATTCAAGTGGCATCTGTTGTGTCACAGCTAAAAGGCTTAAGCATAGAAAAAATTTCAGAAGCAGCATATATTAATTCAATGAGAATGTTTGGAAACAAATCCATCTAAAACATTTTAAATAGGCCTTTTCTTGAAAATAAATATAGTATTATACATTGTTCAAATAGATACAGCAAGCCATTCCAAAAATTGAATTAGTTCTTTTTTTATACCTGGCGAAGTTTCAATAGTGTATAAAAAAGAATATATTTCATCTGCTACATAGCGACGACCTATTAACTCATGACATATCTCCTCAAAAACAAAAGGCAATTCCGTATTACTTTCTACTTGAATATGAAAGAACAATCCACGTCTACAAACAATATAAACGTTCTATACAATTAAAAATTAACTCTCCATATAAAAAATAAAAAAATCATACAACACAGCCCCAAGTAAATGTATGTGCTAAACGATTCGTAAATTCTGGCGTCTGTCCATAAACCCATGACCAATGCTATTAAAAATCAAAACGCAATAGTCAAAAAAAATCAAAATAAAAAAACCTTCATTTCTAAAATACGATCCTGAACACTATCAATAGAACAAATATCTTCATATGAAACCCGATGAATAGGTATAGGTTTCCCTGAATTATATTTATCTTGAAATATCGAGCATAAATGACGACAAAAGTCTTCATGACTGAGTCCAAGATTTCCAACAGCACTAGATATACTTTGAACACCCTTTGCATCTATTGACAAATTTAAGTTCGTTAAAAGACTCTTTAAAGATGTAAGATCAGTATTAAGCAACATCGTTCCATGCTGATAGGCACGATCCTTCGATATTTTAAATGCAGACCCAGAAACTTTCAACATATCAGATCCAAAAACCAAATCATAACGTTTATTCATAGAAACAAATCTACCCGCCAAATGCAATGCATCTACTACCATCTGTAATGTCTTTTTCCGATCAAAAGATAAACGAGACGTCATCAAACAATAATTTGTATTACCAAGATCATGAAAAACAGCACCACCTCCCGATTGACGTCGCACTAAAGTAATTTTTCGTTCATTCATATATTTAAGATCTACCTCTATCCATGGGTTTTGATTACGCCCAATAATAATAGATCTATCATTACGATAAAGCAACAATAAAACAGTTGATACATGATTTCGAAATAAATAATCCTCAAAAGATAGGTTTACAAACGGTGAATGAGACTCCGAAATAAAAACAATAGGTGTTTTCCAAGAGTGAATAACCGATTTCATATATATAGAATTTATTGATCCACAATAAATCACTCAAAATTTAAATAAAAATACATCCAAAAATTATTAACCCATTTATCCGTTACGAAATCGTAGCGTTTCAAAACACCCAGTATTCATCCCATTTTCCAAGTTAAATTTAAATGCATCAATTGACTTAAAAATAAAAAAAAAACCAAGTTATTTTAACACACTCTAAAAATCTCTATCTTTATTATGACATTCAAAACAAATAAATCACATGTAATAAATCAATGAAATTTCGAAAACCTTTATCCTCATCCCTATATTAAACACAAAAAGATCGCTATTTTAAAGCATGAAAACAACATATATAGGTTTTCTAAACGACAGTCAGTCACCTCATTTAACACTACAAAACATAAAACATTTCATGAGTTACTATATTAGCCATATCCAATAACAGAAAATATAACACTACTTAAATTTCGTCTATTATTTTCAATAAATTATAACATCTGCATTAATAATGATCCAATTCCCAATTAACCAGCCACAAGATTATTTGTCAATTTTATCCACAAAAACATTCAAAAACAATACTAAACAATATTAAAATACTATATTTAGAAGAAGTAGCGTTAAGATAATAGACGATATTTTATAACATTATGCTTGAATACGACATGATGATTTTTATCCATTTAACCCTTAAGTTTATATAAAAGCGTAGTTATTATCATTTTTAACGCAAAAATAAAAAGAAAAATGAATCACATTCAGAATAACACTTAAAAACCCAACTTTGCATTTAATTCAATACTTTTTAACAATATCCAATAAACAACCAACTCTAATCCAAATATGATTTAACACATTTTATCATTAATTTAACAAGTTCAATAGCTAATTCGACAGTTGACTTTACAGTAATACTAAACCCAACAAAAATCCGTCCAAAACCAAATTAATATGCCTATATAATATTAACGAAGCCGATAATCATCGGCAGGCTCAAGATGACAGACTCCTTGGAGAATCTTCCGCAGCCGTGAAAGCTCCTCAACCGCTTCATCCATTAAAACTCGATCATTAGCATTCTCTACATTTACAGTAGCCTCTAACAACCAACTATCTGTCCGATCTACAGGCACTAAAGCGGGGACAGAAGAAGAAAAAACAGAATTTGATGAACATGTAGCTAACTCCGCTGCTACAGAACATGAAGATAGTGCTGAACTAACACTCAAAGACTTCATTTCATGTGTAGCTGTCTGAGCCGTCTGCATCATCTGCTGATGTAATGGCTGAGCAAGTGTTAACACACAATACCCATAAATATAACGAATTCCATGAAGAGCATATGCAAAACGAAAGCTGCTACATTAAGCACAGAATAATAAACAGAAACCTACGTATATCCAAGCTCTTCAAGCAGTGCAAAGATATTACCATGCATAACACGAGATTGCAGCCGCAACCGCGATGTTGCTGGACGCTTAACACCTGCTTCTGGTGCATCAATAAGCACTACCGTCCATTGACGTTCTATAAGCAAAGAACATGTGGCAATAGAGCCATTTTCAGATCCAATTGCTGATGCAATAGCTGTTGCTTCTGCTTTAGTAAGCTGTGTATAGAGACGCAAATACAAATCTGGCCGATCACTGGTTAATCCTGCGTCTAAAACATATTATTAAAGCCCAATAAACATAAAAAAAGAATGTCAAATATACACTAAAATAACAAGTGTATAAAACAAAACTATAAAATTGGACCAATATATACAAAAATACCATATATATGCGCCAAATAGATGTTAGATGCTCATTATAAATCATAAATACACACTAAATATGCTATATATATGCACTCTGCGCAATATACAAGCTTTATGTATCACATATACGCATTGTATGCATCTATATGTACTCTTATGCGTACTATATGCACCTGTATACGCCTATATGCACCTATATACGCCTGTATACGCTTATATACGCGCTATATACACGTATATATGCTTATATGCGTGCTATATGCGTATTATATGCACACTTATACACTTGTATAGATACTATATGCACACAATATGTATACTATATAGTGTATGCATAATATATGCATACTGTATATACTATACTCTCACTCTGGGCATCCCATCTAACACTCTCGGTACTGGGTTTGCGGGAAAACGCCGACACAAATTGCTTACCAGACGGTGGCACATAAACCATATACCATTCCATGAACGTAGACTGTTTCTGACCAGTCAGACGTGTAAGAACATGCATTACTTTCTCCTTTTTGTAGGCACTGATGCCTGCAAAAAGAGAAACTTCCTGCATTGCACATACTCAACCAGCAGACCCGTTCAGAAGTTAATCAGCACCCGTGTTTACATAGCATAAATACAAAACACCGTCTTTATACATAAATATATACAAAATAAGCACAATATGCACTCAACATTCACAAAATATACATTCGACACACTTTATAGACTCAGTTGACTCTTCCAGCATATACGTACACACTGTATATATAGTGTATACACTGTATATACACGTTGTGCACGTATATATATATTATATATGCACTATATGCACTATATACATATTGTATGCATATTGTACGTGTTATGTATGCATTATGTATGCATTATGTACGCGTACTATAACGTGCTATAGCATGCTCTATGCATGACATTATACATTATGCACAATGCATCTTTCCACCCCCTTTACATCTACAAATTCCCCGGTGTCTCTGAAAAAAACACAATCTAACAATATACTATACTTTTACTAAACTAAGCATGCAAATACATGTAAATACGTACAACGAGAACAAAGTATTTAACATAGCTAATTACAAAACCAGTTATGCATTCACACCATAACATCCACCTAGTTACACACCATTTCATTATTACCCAACACACCTAAGCTCCGTTTTTCAAAACTCCGATCAATCGGATACACACTTCCGTCGTGAAGTATAAAAAGCAAATCTCAATAATATCGGTGGCCTTTTGGAAACTAAAAATTTTCAGCACATGAATATATCGCATCCAAAAGCTAAGCTGTATATGCTTTGCACGTATTCTGTCTATATATCATATACTTTCCCTTCTTTTTCGTGCTTTGCGTTTTAAGCACTTTAAACGTATATTACTGTCCTTATTGTACCAGTAAATCATGATGACAAATCCTGATATAACAGGTCCTATAGCAGATCATGATACAAAATAATGCAGAAATGATACAAAGTAGTACCGAAATAAGTATTGGCTGTTTGTTATAGCATTGTTTTGTTATATATGTGTTTATACATCTTTATCTAACTATATATACTTTTTACTAGTTCTGAATACCATATATTATCGGGCTATATTGTATGGGATTGTATGCACCGGGCTGTATGCATATTATATACACAGTATATGCATATTATATGCGTGTTATATGCATATTATATGCACTTATATGCACTTATGCACTTATGCACTTTACATATACTGTAACATTATACGACAATTGCATTATTATACAGTGCACATATGTGTTCGCTTGAAAAATCCCACATTTTTTTCTGAAATATTTTTCATTGTATTTTTCGATTTTACTTAGCGTTCTAGCCGGAAAAAGCACATATTACCAAGCTAACCCCACCATAATATTTCAGGTGATTAGTCAGGCGATCTTCATGGAAGGATAGACATTCTATGTTGAAAATAGTATCGCGCATACATTAAAGCAATATAGACCGTTTTTAATCCAACACAGTCAGTGTCAGACGTTCTGCGTTTGTTGCCGGTAGACATTTTTGTCTGCAGACAAGCTTCCTAGGAAGAAAGCTGTGTATTTATACACAGCAGTGCGGAATAGTATAAACAGCTTTTTAAACGACTTTTTAGTAAGCATTTGAACGAGTATTAACAGTTAGTTGCAAAGGAAACTTAAAAACTCAAAGGATCTTGGGAATACATCAGTATATACATTTGGTTGCGGGGCGAGCAATGTACTGGTGTTTTTTTATAGTGGGGGTTATCTTTATGTTTATGAGCGTGAATGCAGTGCATTTACTGGTTTATGACTCTCTTAATCCAAAGGAAACATTATATCCGTTTCTTGTAATTCCTCCGGGGAAAAGTTGTTCTGATTACGGCGAATCTTTGTATCCATATAGTCGAGTAAATAAAAATGTCCAGGATATAGTTTATGGACGGTTAAAATGTTATTATAATACATACAACTCTAAATATTCATATTTCTATATCGCTCGCGATGAATTGAGTGATTATAAAGAAGGAGAAGATTATTATGTATATGAGTGTTGTGATGAGGGCAACTGTTGTGAAGAGGATGAAGAAAATTGTTGTGAATCAAAAGACACCTGCCCAGACACCGATTGCTGTACAGGAGAAAAATGCCCGTCAGAAGATGAAGATGTTGTCAAGTGTATGTTGTTTAGTATCACTGATGGGAAGCTTACAGAAGGTCTTTGTGGTCAGCAATATCCATCAATTTGTAATTTTAAAAGCATATTTGTAGCACCAGTCTTGATGTAAAATTAGGCACAAATTCCGGACATAGACGTACACACGATACCCATGTACCGAAAGATAAGTTTCCGATAACTATTAATACGGGATACGGCACTGTTACAGGCACACGTTCTGATATATCTTTCTTATTTCTTGGAATACCCTACGCAGAACCTCCAGTCGGAAAATTACGATTCGAATATCCATCTCCTATTAAAAAGCTTACTGAGAGTTGGGATGCAACACATTATCGGTCTTATTGCCCACAGGATAGTAATAGTGTCAAAAATCCGATCCTAAATGAAGATTGTCTCTATCTTAATGTTTATACTCCATTTATTCCGGAAGATGGCGATTCTTCTGATCTTCGTCTACCTGTTATGTAAGTAAACATAGACATATAATTAGTTTTGTTTGATCTTAATACTATTAGGGTCTGGATTCATGGAGGATCATTTTTGCGTGGTGATGTATCACAGCCTTATCATGATCCTAGTCATCTTGTTGCTTCTCAGAATGTTGTTGCCGTTACTTTTAATTATCGGCTTGGTATACTTGGTTTCTGGGGTGCTAGAAATCAAGCAATTAGAGATCAAATTACAGTACTTCAATGGGTTAAAGAAAATATAAGGGATTTTGGAGGAGATCCTGATAAAGTTACAATTGCTGTATGTTCTTTTTTTTCTTGGAAAATATTTATTGGAATAGGGTGAATCTGCTGGGGGGCATTCTGTTAGAACACTTTTAGTAGTTAGTCAAGCAAAAGAATTATTCCAGGGGGCTGTTTCAGCATCTGATCCAATCGGTTTAGATTTTGCAACTAAGTATGATGCAGAGAATTTTTTGACACGTAATGTAAGTTTACGCCATTTAATTATTTTTTTATAATTTTGTAGCTTGCAGATGCTTTTAGTTGTATTTCGTCTACCACTCAGAGTATATATGATCCTGCTGTTTTAGACTGTATGCGTAAAGTGGATGTTAGTACTCTTATCAACTACCAAGAAATTGGTGGTATTTTTACTTCTTTTCAAACTTCCAGTATTACAGCAGCTGAAACTTTTAAACCAGTTATAGATAACGAACTATTAAAGGACACATTTTTCGGTTTAGTAAATAAAGGTCATATAAATAATGTTCCTATAGTGTATGGATCTCTTAGGGATGAAGGTCATTTTTTCGTCCCTTATTACTTGGATACTCCTGCACCATCTGGAATGTTTAGTCTAGTTCTCTCTCTTATGACTTCTTTTCAGCAAGCGGCTCTTATTAAAGAAAGCGGATTATATGATCATTATAAGGATGTAGCTAAAGATGGTACTAGAAATGCAATTGCAGACGTTATAACTCGTAATTCCCCTTCTTAATTTTATAAATAAAACTGACATAGAATATATTCTCATTGGACATGCCCTACTATATTAGCTATTTCTAAAATGTCGAAACATACTAAAGTATATGGATATTATTATAATTATAGTCATTATTGGCTTCATGGTAAAAGTTCTTTCTGCTATGGTCGTGTATGCCATGCTGATGATATTGTCACTCTCCTTGGATCATCTGCTATTCCAGGGATCGAAAATACATATGACAATATTGAGACGCCTAGAACATCTAATGATTTGTTATTTCTCAATATGCTTCTTCAACATCTTGGGTCGTTTCTTCACACACATGATCCTAATCCGAACATTAATACTATTTGTTATAATAAGGATATTTTTGATAAAAAAAGTCCTAGTAGGCAAGCAGCAGACTGGCCGCCTTTTTCAATTGACAATAGTCTTGATCCAGTACCAAAGGCACCTAATGGTGTCGAGAATGGGAAAGTATATGGGCCTTTACTTATATTCGATTTGCCTGAAACACAATACATTCCTTATGGCTGCAATAAAACAATATGTGATTTTTGGTTTGGTCAAGGAATTCATGCTCAAATGTATACTACAAGTAAAAGTCAAATATTAGGATTTAAGAGAAAAATGTTACAATATCATAGATCTTTGAAATTTTAGTCATTTTATAAGCATAGGATTTATAAGCATAAATTCATAAATTTAGAATTATCATTCATGTATCTGTAATTTCATTAAAAATGCATTTACACTATATTATAATATAATTTATTCATCTTATGTCCAAAACTATTAGGTTATATTTATCTGTTTTTTTATATTATTAATGATCGTTCATATATAGCAAGTTATTGAAGATTTTAGACAAATAATGAGAATTCACAATTTTTTATGTTCTAATATAAATTCAGGACAAGACATGCCTCCTATAGGTATTTATTATATTATTTTATATATATTCTTGATTCTTGTCAATAGGCGGTTTTGCACCTATTCAATATAAAGTATACTAAATTGAATCTTTCTTCAAAACTCTATGTTTAATATCTTTTTATAGCGTAATTTGCCTATACGAGGACCAAGAAGTTCTATATTACTCATTAGTGTCGCGTTTATCTCTGTATATGGTTTTTATAAGTATATTCAGGTATTTATAATATAATACCAATGGACTGAGTTAATGATTTAGGGTGTTTATGAAAAAAGGTTAGTAAAGGCGCATATTTAGTAAACATCATAAGATAGAAATCAGGGAATTGAAACGTGAAAATGTTTGGTCTCGGATTCATTTGATACCATTACTTCAGGTAGAAGCAGACAGAGACTTGTACCGAAGAAAACAAGCTATGCGTCAAGTAGAAAACCAAATTATGGAAAATATACCAGGCTGGGACTCTGAACAACCTATTTATAACACAAAAACGTATTTTTCAATATTTTTATATATTTTTTTAACTTTTTTCATTTTCAGTGATATTACACCTACTTATTCATTTATATTCAAATAAATCTTTTGCTTATCAAGGGAAACTTAAAGACACTTGATAGAACTACAAGAACATTCCAGAGCTTAGGACTATTCCATTGAAACATTTACAATATTTCTAAGGTACCTTTGAATTTTCTATAGTATTTTTGGAAACACAGATAGATGTCAAAAAAAAATACATATATTTATGTTACTAAAAAATACATAAAAATGCATATTCAAAAAAGTTCTTCATAATAATAAAAAGAATTATTTCCATATTTTTTTGATTAAATAAACCATTTTACTTTCGATCTCACGAATAACACTGATCTCAAATTTAAGGATAAAAACATATATTAAAAAAATATGTCTAGGAAAAAAAAAATCTTCAAAAATATCCAAAAAGTGCTTTTTTTACATAAATTTTCAACTTTTTCTTTTCAAAATTCACATATTGGATCAAAACCTTTATATCTGACTGAGAACACAAAATTACATATTATAGCTCCTACAGAACATTTTAAATTCAAGAAAGTAATTGTTGAAGGCCCAAAAGGCACCTTGTCGTTATTATTTCCTCCATACATTAAAATTAATAATGACTCTTCAAGCAACAAAGTGGTAGTTTCAGTAGAAGAGCCAACAATTAAAAAACAACGCTCTATGTGGGGAACAGCGCGGTCACTTCTTTCAAATATGATTATAGGAGTAACAAAATATCATTTCGTAACACTTCGTTTGGTAGGCGTTGGATATAAGGCATCCATTGAAGATGGGGGGTTTTTGTCTCTAAAAATCGGGTTTTCTGTTCCAATTGTGCTAAAAATCAAAGAAGGAGTTTCAGCAACATGTCCACAGCCTACACAGATTATTTTGCATGGATGTGATAAAGCAGTTGTTACTCAATTTGCAGCAAGTATTAGAAAATGGAGAAAACCCGAACCGTATAAAGGTAAACATGCATTTTTTTCTCTTTAATACAACATTTATGCTTCAATAGGCAAGGGAATATTCATTAATGACGAAACAATTGTTTTAAAATCTGTAAAGACTAAATAAAAAAACAAATACAAAAAAAAAACTTTGTTACGTATTATATTGGAAAATAGTGTATAACATAGGTTAAAATATGTTTTTATTATTCTGGTCATTAAATACCAATTATATATCATTTTTCTCGAAATAAAAAATTTCAATGCTTGTGTAATTTTAGACATATTTTCTAAATCAACCAGCGGTGTATACAGAATCAATCCTAAGGGACATCTTGTTACAAAAAATAATTCCGTTTCTAACTTGCAGTTTTCTTTTTTATTCTAAGTTAAAATTTTTATGGCTTATAATCAACAAGTGTCGAATAATATACACCTTAACTAATTCTTATATACACCATCTAGTCTTTATGTGCCAGCATAAATACATAAATACAAAAATAGCATTGTATATATTTCAATCATTATTAACTTTGTATATTTAATTTAAAAATATTAGTATATATAAATAGTAGTTATTTTACAAAATAAAAGTTATTCTTGAAAAATACATTTCTACCAATATTTTGTTATAATTAAGTACAAAAAAAAAAAAATAAAATATTTAATTCATACTTAATACTTTTTAAAAATTTGAATATAAACATGTCAATATGGCATCACCCGATAAATATAATAAAGCAAATATAACAACCGTTTTTAGTTAATTAAAATACTTTTATTAAAAAGGTTATTTTATCAAATCATGGGATGAATAGAATCAGTGTATTTTTTTTACTAATTTGATTGATTTTTTTACGAACACCAATATTTTTTTCCGATATCCAACGTCATCAAATTTAAGATGGCAAGCAAGCCTCCAAGTAAAGTAGTTTTTGGTATTTAATTTATACTTTTAAATAAAGTAAACACTTCTAATGCATTTTTCTAGTTGGGAATATTCCTTATGATGTTTCTGAAGAACAACTAAAGGATATTTTTCGACAAATTGGCCCAATTAATCGATTTAGGTAGATTATTTTAAAAATTTGAAAATTTATATTTATTATTTGTAGATTAGTTTTTGATAAAGAAACAAATAAACCAAAAGGATATGGTTTTTGTGAATATCCAGGTTTTTATTTCATTTTTTGGTATTTTTTGAATATATATCTTATACAATATCAGATGTTGCAACAGCAAGTGCAGCAGTCCGGAATTTAAATAACCACGATATAAATGGCCGTCAGTTGAGGGTTGACTTTGCTGAATCAGATCCAGCACAAGATAACAACCGAAGACAACAGCAATCATCTGTACAACACGAAGAACCTTCATTGCAACAAAATAAGTCAGACATCTTGCCGCCTCTTCCACAGGGTACAATGCCGCAACCAGGTATATCAGTGATTGATGCGATTTCTCGTACATTGTCAACATTGCCTCCGTTACAGCTTCTAGACATTATTTCCCAATTAAAAGCACTTGTACATATTAATCCTGAGCAAGCACATGCTCTTCTTTTGCAGTCACCACAGTTGTCGTATGCTGTATTTCAAGCGATGCTTATGATGAATCTTGTTGAAGCAAGCGTGCTTCAAAGGGTGGTTGCATCAACGGGTCTTCCCCAACCATCACAACCATCACAAGCATCTAATACATCATATACTCAATCACAACAAAATATTTCAGAACAGCAAAAAGTAAGTGCTTTTTTGTTTATAAAGTGACTGACTTGTTATAAAAGGCAGCTATTTATGCTCAGGTTATGTCATTGACAGATGCACAAATTAATACATTACCAGCAGATACAAGAAATCAAATATTATTATTAAAACAACAAATAGCTATGGGCGTGGTTTAATTACCTGTATAAATAGTATTAACGTATAGAGCAGAACTTAGGATTATAAAATATCCCATTTATCTACATTTAACATATATTTTGCAAATTATTTAGAATGTTGTTAGATGCATAAGTATAAAATCCGTTATTTTGAAAGAATGATAAAAAAGATGATATGCTAAAAACTATATGTGGAAAAAATAATATTAAAACATATAATTTTACAAAAAACAAGTCACTTTGAAATTATACAAAAGTTTCTTGTCTCTAAAAGCTAATTACAGAATTGATGGTTCATAATCAAATGTTATTTTATTATTTTAAATATTATGAATATTAAATAAAAACAAACAATTAATTTTTATATAGTATTATCAATAAATTATTAGTTTAAAAACCAAATCACTATGTTATCTTTAATTTAAATAAAAAGTTATTCAATTTCCAGAATTTGCATTTCATTTAAAGATCTTTTGATATTTAATCCATTATAAAATAAAATAGTCCGAATTTTTTTTAAAAATTTCAAATTCAACATTATAATTCGAAAAAATAAATTTAATTAAATTATTTATTTAAACTGAGTAATAAATGTTATCTTATTAATTTAATATTTTTATTTTATTAAAGTAAAAATATTATATACTTCGAAATTACAATATGCAATATTCAATATAAATATATTAATCAAACAGGGCACCAATATAAAAAAATATTATATATTTTTTAAATGACTTTATTTCTTCTATCATTTACCCAATAAAATAAGTTTGTAAAATTGATTTAGCAAAATATAAAGATTTAAATATATAAACTATTTTATTTCAAAATGCAAAAAATAAACATTAATTTAAAATACTATTATTAAATAACTTTTTTCATAAAATATAAAATTCCTAGTTCAGGGGCAATAGATTTTGTCTTTAATTTTTTGTTGTAATTTACTGTAAAATAATATATTAAGCTCTTCATTTTGAAAACATAAACCAAACTAATATTATTAAAAAAAAGCATTTGTGAACAAATCATACATATACGATAATTCACAATTCTTTCTATAAATATTTTAAAATATGTATTTGACATTTTAATATATATTTATTTATTTTCACGATTTCTTAAAAATAAATTATTATTAAAATATAATTTCCACTCAAAACCTAATAATCAAAAATGCATACATTTTCAATTTCTAATAATACATCTGCACAACATGTGAATACTTATTAAATACATATAAACAAAATCTATACACTCTACATATTAAAAATATGTTTATATACAATACTGTTTATTTATATTCTTTTTAGACTAATTCATAATTTCTACATTTTTTCCAAAGAAAACCCCTAAAAATACAAAATAGACTACATTAAAATCTTTATTGACCATTTTTCAAATATTTTTTTTATTCATTTTATACAACTTTAAAAAATATATTTTTTAATTAACAAAATTCCAAAACTTTATAATAAATTACATTAAAAATAATATCTAACCTGTCTAAAAAACCAAAAACTATTCTAAAATCTACAATACTTTAAATGCCATAATCCTATAAATAATTTTTTAAATATCAAGATTTTACGATTACTTCAGAAGATCTCATAAAAAAATAAGCAAAAACTAAAATACTAAAATGGGTCTTAAACTTGACTTTTCAGAAAAACAAAAATCAGAAATGGATTCAGACGATAAAAATATATCATCTATACATTTTTCACATTCATCTGGGTCTTCTCAGGCCCCATCTGCCCGAGAATTAGAAATAAAAATAGGAACTATCAAACGTCTTATTCGTGATCTTTCTGTCTACAAAGAAGAACTTAAAACTGAAGAAGATCGCTATTTAAAATGGAAAGAAGATGGTGAAGATGAATATGTTTTGCGAAAACAAGTAGGTTTTTAAAGACTTAAACATTTTACAACAAATGCAAAAATAATAAAAGTAACTAATAAATTTATACAGAAACAAGTAATTAATGAGTGTTGGAGGATGATTCCAGATACAGAACGCAGGCTTGCCTATGCACTGGAAAAATTACGCCAAGATCAAGTATAAACAATGATACACAATATGTAAATTAACGTATTTCTTTGCAGATGGAAGGGAAGATTACAGAAGAAGATATTTTTTGTGTAGAAACGATGGTAAAAGAAGCAGGGATTGTTATCGAACATAGCAGATGAGATACCGTCCCACTGCTATATTATACTCAATTGTTGTCTAATCTTGTTAAACCAAGACCTCCACTTCAAACTCTTAGTTTAGAAATGAGAACCTAGGCGATAGCCTTAAAAGACTGTATCTAACATATGTTTATCTCATATAACTATGCTTTTGTTACCTGGATAATTTTCGACAAGACTCATTTTTCTATCCATCTCTATTACATCCATAGATATTCAGATTAACTACAGGATGTCCATCATTGGATTTTATAAGCAACGTATTTATATTGACAAAACATGTATTTTTCGTAAATAAACATTTATATTTAACTGCAAATAAATACTAGCCAAATTTATTAGCTAATAATGATTAAAAACGTAAATACAAATATCAACAAAACATAAAGACTATTGTTTAAAAAAGATAAAAAGAGCCTTTATTATTTCTCAGCCAATTAAATATATCTTAATTTTTTTACTTCAGACTACATAGTCGGGCACAGCAAATCTAACGTCAAAAAAATAGACATGAGTACTAAATAACTTAATACCATTAATAAATCGATGAATTCTTGCAGTCATTCTACTAATGACTCAGATTCAATTCCAGTAAATGAAGAATCGGGTTTAGATGAGTCAGCATCTCCAGAATGTTTTGAATTTGGGGAATTTCATGAAAATCTTTCAAAAATTTCACCAGAAATATGTCAAAATTTCAAAAAAGTAAAAAACTCTTAAAAATATATTTCATTAATTTAAAACACATGAATAAATAGCCCGATATTGATTATGATGATTGGTCTTCTATTATGTCTAAAGTACCTGAAATTGTGGATGCTATATTAGGAGTCGAGCCATCATTATCAGATTCTTCTTCAGAGAAAGATGTGTCTTTAGAAAAAGACCAATCTACTTCATATGAGGGCCCAGTATTTTTTTCAAAATCAGGGTAGCCGTTTCTTTGAGAGTTTAATTTAGACTAATTATATAGTTCTACGTTATGGGAAAGATATTCTGCATCCCAGGACCTCCGCCCTTTATCTTGGGAAACGTCATATACTCGCCAAATGTTTTTTATGTCTCTTGAAATTCCTATGAATCTTGATAAAGTTTCGAATAGTCTTATTTATACTTACAGTTAACATTTTCTAGACTATTTCTTCTAGTAAAAAAGGAAAAAAAGAACCTATCTTATCAATAAAAACAACGCCAAATTTATTGAATGATACAACATTAAAAAACAATTCTGCAACAGAAAATGATCCAACACATTTCGATCTTGACACACAAATGATCCGAATTCTTTATTTAAAAACAGATGGTACATCTATATATCCACTTGAATTTTCTAATTTTTACAAAGAAGCCTTATCTAATCTTTCTTTACCTTTATTAAAATCACATTTACTCGAGTTAGAAATCATCCAAGAAAAATCCGAAAAATATCTAGCATATTGGACTACACAAAAAGAAGCTATAAAAAATGATAAACATATGTTTGAGGAGGTTATTGAGAGTCTAGTACAACATACAAAACGGCAACGTATTGAACATATAAAAAAAATATATACTGAAAAAAAAAAATAATGAAAATAATACATTCTTAGAAGTAGACGAAGTACATAATAATAATAATATATTTTCATTTCTTTATATTTTATTTTGTTTTTTATTTTCATTTATCAACTTTTCAAATATCAACGACTTCATATTAATAAAATATTTATGAGTGTATTATTAGAGACAACTGTAGGTGATATTGTGATTGATCTTTATACAGAATACGCGCCAAATACTTCAAAAAACTTCTTAAAACTATGCAAAGTAAAAATTACTCATTTTTCCAGTTTTTTTCTAATTTTCAAGGTTAAATATTATAAGTAAAATGATGATTTTTAATATTCATAATTAATATCACATAAGCTTTTCTCCTGTATACAATCTTCAAAAAGACTTTTCTTTTCAAACAGGAGATCCTTTAGGTCCAGATGGGGATGGTGGTACAAGCATTTGGGGGCTTTTAGGAGGACCACGTTTTTTCCCTGCAGAAATCCATCCAAAACTTAAACATAAAGAGCGTGGAACCGTCAGTATGGTTACAGCAGGTAAAGAAAATGGAAATATTAATGCAGGTTTCAGTGGCTCTCAATTTTTTATTACACTTGGTGATAATCTTGATTACTTAAATGGAAAATATACAATTTTTGGAAAAGTAGCAGAAGGTTTTGATACTCTTGAGACAATAAACAATGCGTATTGTGATAGCAACATGCAGTTATACACAATTTTTTATTCATATATATATATTAAGTGATGATAGACCATTTAAAGATATTAGAATTAAACATACAATTATTCTAGATGATCCATTTCCAGATCCAGAAGGACTAGTTGAACCAGAGAAATCACCTCTTCCTTCAAAAGAACAACTTGCTACTGTTAGAATTGGAAATGATGAAAAATTTGATGAAGATATGGATGAAGCTGAAGCAGAAAAACTACGGAGAGAGCGAGAAGCAAAAGCTCAAGCACTGACATTGGAAATGATAGGCGATCTTCCTTTTGCGGAAGTAAAACCTCCAGACCATGTTCTTTTTGTTTGCAAATTAAATTCAGCAACTCGAGATGAAGATTTAGAGGTATTTATTTTATTTATAATTCAAAATTTGCATTTCTAAAATATAGCTAATCTTCTCTCGTTTCGGAAAGATAATCAGCTGTGAAATTATCAGAGATAGACGTACAGGTGATTCTTTACAATATGCTTTTATCGAATTTGAAAAAAAAGAGGATTGCGAACAAGCATATTTTAAAATGCAAGATGTATTGATTGACGATAAACGAATTAAAGTAGATTTTTCGCAATCTGTCTCAAAACTTTCAGATTCTTGGAGGATGGAAACAAACTGGAAACGTAAAAATGCAGTACAGAAATCATTTGCAGGTTCTACATACTTAGAAAAGGGAAAAGCATATCAAGAGTATAGAAATGATGATTATAGTATGGTTTTTAATGATTATGATTTAAAGAAAAAATATTACAAAACAAAAGATCATTACAATAAAAGTAAACATGACAGAGAACACTCGTCCCATAGGGACTTTAAAAGAAATTCTGATAGAAATTATACTCATCGTCATTATCGGCATCAAAGTCGAAGCCGAAGTAGAAATCGAAGTAGGAATCGAAGTAGAAATCGAAGTTTAACTCGGAATTCAAGAAGACATAGAAACTAGTATTTATGATTTCTACAGATAATATATTTTACAATAGTGATTATTTCTATATTTTTTACTTTATCATCTCATGTCATATAAATTAGGGTTTTTTTAATAACCCTATCGTGACTGTAAAAAAGTCAATTTCAATCGATCAGCTTTTAAAACCTTTAAAGATATTTATTATGTCAGATTCAGTTACAATCCGTACACGCAAGTTTCTAACAAATAGACTTCTCTGCAGAAAGCAGATGGTAAGATTAGCTTTTTTTCTGTTTAAAAATAACCAAATATATATTTTAGATAGTAGATATATTACATCCAAGTCGGCCTAATTTGAGTAGAAATGATCTGAGAGAACGCCTAGCTATTATGTATAAAGTACACAAAGATACTGTGCAAGTTTTTGGGCTACGAACGCAATTTGGCGGAGGTAAATCTACAGGATTTGCTTTGATCTATGACAGCGTCGAAATGATGCGTAAATTTGAGCCAAAATACCGGCTGATCCGCATTGGACTTGAAGAAAAAACAGAAAGATCATCACGTCAACAGCGTAAGCAACGGAAGAATCGCAGCAAGAAATTCAGAGGGTTTTTTCCTTTTTTTTTCTTTTTTTACACTAAGAAAAAACAGAACAGCAAAAAAAGCAGCAATAACTGCTACTACCAAAAAATAAGCACAAGAAAGCGCGTGTACATACACATATTGCCTTTAATGAACTTTCTTTTCATTTTTATATTTCTATTCATAAATATGTTCTCATTGTCCTAATAAGTTGCCGTAGTAACTTGTCACCCTGGTAACCCCGAGGACAGCTACGTGCAAGTCCTCAAACCTCATAAAAAACTTTAAACATCATTTAGCTTTTAAGATGACATGTAAGCTCTGTAAATTTACTAATTTATATAAATTTTTATAAGAATTTAGCAGAATTTCGTTTTCCATCAGCTTCAAATACAAATTCATCACAAACAACAGGAAATACGAATGAATTTTCTGGACATACAACAACTCCAGCAACATCTACAGGTGGATCTGTAGGCACAGGATTAGGATTATCAGCAGCACCATCTACGCCTTCTACATCAACACCTTTTGGAATGGCATCTTTTACTTTTGGAAACAGTACAACACCTGCAGGACAGCCTCCTGCACATCCTCTTGGACAAGGAGGTATACTAATTATTTCTCGAATTAATAGTAAGTTATTTAATATAAAAGCAACAGGAACAACAGAAAAACTATTTGGAGTAACATCAAAGTCAACATTGAGTAATACAGTAGGAGGTATGACATCAGCTCCAACAGGATCATTAGAAACGTCAGGAAGTGGAACATCTTTGTTTAATTTAGGAGGAACAGGGCAAAAGAATACATCACAACCATCTTCAACTACTCCTTTTTCTTTTGGAGAAACTACACCCCAATTGGATACAAAATCAGTATCTCAAAACAAGCCTACTACAGCCTTTTCTTTTACAGGATTTTCAGGAAAAAATGAGCAAACATTGCAAGAAAAAACAACATCTACACAACCTTTTTCTTTTGGAGGATCAACAGCGACAACTTCTGGCTTTGTGTTTGGAACAAATGCAAAAACGGATACACCGCCAGTTTCAATTGAAAAACCGTCTATACCTTCAGAATCCTCAAAAACAATACCAACATTTTCTTTTGGAAGTACTTTAACACAACAAAACCAACAAAAAACAGAAACATCTACGCAAAAACCCGAAGAATCTAAACCAACATTTACTTTTAATCTAGCATCAGCGCCAAATACTACTACAAAAAACACTGCACCAAGCACTACTACTTTAGATACTACAGCTTCAAACACTACTGTTTCAGGTACTACAGTTTCTGAAAATACTAAACCCAGCCTTTCAGGAGATATTTCAAGTATGAAATTTTATTAACACGTAATATTTGCAATTTTAATATTGAGACAGCACCTATTGTTTCTTCAACTTTATTTAAATCATCTGAATCTACATCTTCAAATACACCAAATTTATCAACAAAAGATTCTTCACAAATATCAAAATCAACTCTTGATCCAATTAAACCTTTATCTAATACATCTACTCAAGAACCTCAAGTATCTAATCTCAAAAATAAAACAATAGAAGATATTATTAATAAATGGACAAGCGACTTGGAGAAATATTCTAGGCAATTTAGCCAACAAGCAGCAGAGGTATCTAAGTGGGACAGACTTTTAATTGAGAGTGGAGATAAGGTTGAGTAAAATATTTTTTATTTATCACTACTTAACTAGCTTAGATTTCAAAATTGTACGCAGATACAATAGAAGCAGAACAAACTCAATTAAAAGTAGATCAAACATTAACTTATATAGAAAGTCAACAAAATGAAATGTCTGCTTTTTTAGATCAATACGAAAACCAAGTTCAGGAATTAAGCGATAGACAGTTTGGGGGACCAGATGGAATGCAGCCTGCAGATCAAGAAAGAGAAAAAGTGTATGTTTTGTTTACAATCTAATTATATTTAAAAAATGATAGATATAATCTTGCGGAAAAACTTACAGAACAACTCGATGGACTAGGAAAAAATTTAAAATCTATGATAGAAGAAATTAATACAGCATCAAATCTAATTAATAAAACAAATGAAGATGACCCAGTAAACCAATAAATTTATTAACAAATAATAACTAACTTTTAAAGCTTTCTTCAATTATCAAAATCCTTAATTCACATCTTTCAAGTCTGCAATGGATACAATCAACAACTACAAAATTACACTATAAAATTGAAGAAGTAAAAAAAGCAGAACATGCTATAGAAAAACAAATAGAAGAAAGCAGCTTTTATAGTGGACGGAACATCGGGTTTTCTTAATATGTATATAGACTATAAACCATGATCTAACCAATGTCATGGATACATTTTAAACCGTTTTTTCTCTCTGAGTTCTTGAATTTTCTTTTGATCTTCCTCAAATTTCTTTTTCAATTCAAGCAACTCTTTTTTTTTCCTTTCCAACGCTTGAAATTTATAAAAGTTAAGAAGAACCCCTTTATTTTTCTTTTTTTCCTTAATTTTCATTGCATCATCAATTCTCCCTGCACCTATTCTTCCACCTCGAGTAACAGTAATAAAACCTTCTTCATCTGGCTCAGTACGCTGCCGTTTTCTCAATAGCTTCTGTTTCTCTTCTACCGAATAAAATTCAGACATATATTTATCAATTGATGCTTGCAATTCAACATGTGAAGGGTACATTAAACTGTGATGATCATAATAATCTAGATACAATCAAATAATTATTTGACAAATCAAAAAATATACGTTTAAATCCTAACTCTGGCACACGCCCTGAAGGTATTTTCTGTCCCCATACATATTTTTCCATTTTTTTATTATTTACATTCTGCAAAATACGTTGAACATCTTGTTTTTCCAAAAATTCTACAATTGCCCAGGATCCTGAACGTAAAATAGGTCGTTTCCAAACGGACCATATAGGATCTTGATCAGACATAACATCTACATTTCCAGTATCACCAGTATCTCCAGAAAAAGACGATTTTAACAAAGATGAAAAAATTACATGTTGGATACGTGCACCAAATTCATTAAAAAGATACTTTAAGTGGTCATATGTAGTATCTACTGGAATATTTGATATAAATAAAGACTGTTCACTAGGTAAATCTGCTTGTTGATTTATAAGAGGTGCTGGTTGATATCGATGATGCTCTTTTATATATAAATAATGGTATAAACATGTGCTACTAAATGACGTAGGTGGCATACGAATCTTGAGAATAACATAATCATACATATTTCTATTATTCGTTGCTTTTTCTTTTCATGTCGTGTATCATTTTTTAACGGTCACATTCAGAAGACTAATAAATCTCAGATATTGAAGAATCAAAGAAAATATTTATATACAATATGAAATAATTTGTATTTATGTTAATTTGTTTTTTAATTTAATAAAAATAATTAATCAAATTTAATAACTTTTTCTGTCTTTACAAAATCTATTTTTAAGATAATTGACAAAAGAATAATATATAAAGCAATTTTATTAGTATTAGAAGATAGTTTTTAATTTTTGAATATCAAAAAATTACAAGTCAAAATTCTATACTTACAATTTATTTCAATAATTTTATACTATCCATTGTCAAAATAATATTTCCTATGCTATTTATAATTTAATGCTTTAAAAATAAAGCAAATAAAAGACATAAAGATAGCCTTTATATAACTATATATCTAGCATTGAATATTTTTCTTAAAATATTTAAAATTCAAATATTTCCAATATTAGTTTGTGATATTGAATTCTATTAACATATAATAATTTATATATTTAAATGTTTCTTTATCAATAATATAATACAAATATAGTTTCTTTAAGATACAAAAAATCTTTAAGATATTAAAAATGTTTATATCAAAAATAAAATTCTTTAGAAAATATTCTCCAATAACCTTTTTTCTTTATATTATTTATCTATAAACTATATATTTATCCATAAAGACAAACAATAGAGATATTCTGTTAAATAAATCTAAATACTAAAAACATATTCCCAAGTTTTTACTTAACATTAATAATAACAAAAAATCCTTATAATTCTAAATAGAATTATAAAAAAGATTAACTCACAAATAAGACTTATAAACAATTTTCTAAACTACTTTACAAATCTTCTAAATTTATAAATTCAATTTATAAATTAAATTCTATAAAAACAATAAAAATATCTAAGAAAACAGTCATTTTTCATAGAAAAAAAAACGCATTAAAATATTTAAAACATAAAAATACCTTTTATTAAAGACACATCATATAGTAAATATAAATATATATAATAAACCAATAATAATAATAAAAACATATTTCCTTTGTTTTTCTTATTCAAATTATTGTATGAAGTAAGCAGCTAGAATAGCTTATAAAACTACACTACTAATCCCTAAAAATACAACAGTTATACTCCATAACTTCGTTTAACTCATAAAGCAACATTCAAAATATTCCCCATATATCTTTTAAATCTTATCTATAATAATACTTCGTGTACCAAAGTAGATACGACAATCAACCATAACGTCCGCTCAACAACCAGAAAAATTATATTTGAAAAAAATCAAAATTAACGGCCTTTTCAAGAGTTCTTCAAGATGATTAGGCGTGCATGTTATAAGTAAGCCTTAATCTCATAAAATCTATTTTTTCCGGTGTTAATATAGCCTAGGTGTGGGGATTTAGGGCATTTTGCAGATTCATGTGCAAAAACAGACCGATTATGTTATAATTGTAAGCAACCGGGCCACGAATCAAATGCATGTCCATTTCCACGTACAGCGGAGAGATTGCAATGCTATTATTGCCAAAGCATAGGCCATATCCAAGCAGACTGTCCATCTTTTCGGATCAACACAGCGGGCTCAAGCGGACGGTGTTATAGCTGTGGAATGACAGGACATCTTGCACGAAGCTGTCATGGTATTCCATCTGCTGGTACGCCAATCCATTTTTCAGCAGGAAGAATGCAAGTATGCTTTAAATGTGGCGGACCCAATCACTATGCTCGAGATTGTCAAGCACAATCAGTGAAATGCTATGCCTGTGGAAAATATGGCCATATTTCTAGCATTTGTGAAAACGGATCACAGACATCTAAATCCTGTTACCGGTGTGGAAATCTTGAACATCTTGCTAAAGACTGTACTACTATTCTTTCTACTAATAACCACGCTCAAGAACTCGAGGACAATCTACCTTCCTCCAAGAACCCTGTTGCACAGACAGCATTAGTTTCATGATTTTTCTCATTATTCATGTATTTTTATTAATTTTTATTTATTTCTTTTTCTCACTTGTCTATCTCTATATAAAGTCTCTTTTGGTCGTTTGCAATCCTAAAAAAACCAGCTTTCAAAACAAAAGAAAACACAAAAGACAAGCGTAAAAACGCTTATTTGTGCATATTTTTGAGAAAAACAATATAAAAGCAATATAAAAACAATACTTAAATCATCAATCAGAAATGGCAATCAAAGAAGATGAAGACTCTGAACAAAGTGGAGACGAAGAGGTACATTTTTCAGAAATTAAGGCGCATATAGTTGCTAATAATGCATAGGAACAACAATATATTGAAGTAGATGAGCTTCAGAACCATGGTATGTTTTTTTGGAATATTTTTAGTCGATTTAATAAATTGGATGCACAGGCATTGGTGTAGCAGATATACAAAAGCTCAAAACAGCAGGATACTGCACAGTTATGGTAAAAACAAGGGATATTTCTGCATGATTTGACAAAAAACAGAGCATTCAAATGGCAACTCGAAGAAATCTTTCAAAAATCAAAGGTTTTAGTGATGCAAAGGTAGATAAACTTAAAGAAATTATTCAGAAGCTTTGTGTAAGTATTTTCCTTAATGCAGGATATCTTTTAAAGTAAAAGCCTCCACCGTTTCAAACAGCAATGGAAGTTTCTTCTTTTCGACGACGTGTTAACTATATTTCTACTGGTTCAAAGCAGTTTGATGCAATGCTTGGGGGTGGTATTCAGTCAATGTCAATAACAGAAGTTTTTGGAGAAGTATGTTCACTATTGGGTCCTTTATTGGATCTTTTTTTCCATTGTATTTTAATATAGTAACCAATATGACAGTTTCGCTGTGGTAAAACACAAATTTCACATACAATGTGCGTTACATGCCAACTTCCAAGAGAAATGGGGGGTGCTGAAGGAAAAGCAGCATATTTAGATACAGAAGGAACATTTCGTCCTGACAGAATCAAATCAATTGCAGCACGGTTTGGAGTAGACGCAGAGCAAGCAATGAACAATATTCTTGTAGGCAGAGCATTCAATTCGGAGCATCAGATGGACTTGATCAATAAAATGTGCACTATTTTTTCAGAAGATGGTAGATATCGGCTGTTGGTACGGGCTTTTTACACTTAACAACCATATAATGAAAAATTGGTTTTAGATAGTAGATTCCATTATGGCATTATTCCGTGTCGATTACTCTGGTAGAGGCGAATTATCAGAAAGACAGCAAAAATTAAACGTAATGCTTTCTCGTTTAAACCGAATCGCAGAAGAATATAATATAGCCGTTTTCCTCACAAATCAGGAATATTTTTATCTTATTATTTATGTCTTGTATTTAATTATTATACAGGTTCAAGCAGATCCTGGAGCAACATTAATGTTTGCATCAAATGACCGCAAACCCGTAGGAGGACATGTCCTGGCACATGCGTATTTATCCAATTATATATATATATATATATATATACTTAAAAATCCTTAGATCTGCAACCCGAATATTACTTAGAAAAGGCAGAGGAGAAGAACGTGTTGCAAAGGTAAAAATAACTAAAACAATATTCTAAAATAATAACAATTTTAGATCCAAGATAGCCCTGATATGCGTAAGTTTTCTTTTTTTTCGAATAAAATTTTAATTCTTATAATATAGCTGAAGCCGAATGCACATATACCATTAAAGCAGGAGGAATTGACGACTCATCATAATTTTATTAAAATATATTTATTATTTTTAATGAAAAAAATAGCAATTTTAATAAGTTAAATATACCATATTATGAATTTCATGATTTCAAATCAAACTGTTATATATATTTTAATGATGCATAGGAAAATAATTATAACATAATAAAGGATAAAATATGTGTAAATATTCTAAATGTATTATCTTGCTTTTATTTCTAGAAAAACATTTTAAAATGTAAAGAAAGAAGCATCTTGATACTTATAACATTCTATATTTAAAACACTAGATAACGAAAAATGTAAAAATCAATTTCATATTTAATAAAAATGTCATTTAATGTCTTTACAAATCAATGTCATCTTCATCAGGAAGAGGATGTGCCTGAGCATTGTCAAGTTCACTTTGATATTGAGCAATCATCTCTTGAGATATTTGGACCTACACTCAAATTAGGGAATAGTAATACACTTAAAAATATTACATCAGGTGGTGCTAATGCAGGAGAGGCAACAAACTCCAAATTAGAACTAATTAATTTTCTAGCTAGCCACAAAAACGGCTTTTCAAAATTGTAATTCGATTTAGCAGAAATATCATAATATTGAAGATTCTTTTTTCTATGAAAAGTAATAGACTTTGCTGAAAAACAATTAAAATGAGTTAAATATAAACTACAACACACCTTTAACTTTGCGTTCTTTCACATCAACCTTGTTTCCACAAAGGACAATAGGAATATTCTCGCATACTCGGACAAGATCACGATGCCAATTGGGAACATTTTTATATGTAATACGACTTGTAACATCGAACATAATAATAGCTATTTGAAACAATAAATCTCACAAAAAAAGCACAGACAGAACGTAAAACACACCACATTGCCCCTGAATATAATAACCATCACGGAGACCCCCAAATTTCTCCTGTCCAGCAGTATCCCACGTATTAAAGCAGAGTGGACCATAACTCGTGTAAAACGTAATTGGATGAACCTCTACACCCAGAGTCGCTACCAATAGTTATTCTGGAGCAAAAGAACATATAGAAAGCCTCTCACCAACATATTTCTTCTCAAATTCGCCCGTCAAATGGCGTTTTACAAATGTTGTTTTTCCTGTACGTACCCAAAAATTAGCCTTTTTTTACGGAAAAAAAAACTCTCAACATATCTCCATCCCCTACAAGAACAAGTTTAAATGTAGGCATAGAATTCTGGTTCGAATCTGCCATTTTTATTAATATTTCTTCTTCGTCAATTTACCGTCGTTATGTCTGTCAACCGTAAAATTCTCTGAAAAAAAGACCGACAACCACTTCATAAGATTTAATTATTTAGGGTTAGGTAAAGGTCAATTAAATAGTGCGAGTCTGGTTAAATGAACGTCAAGAAAATCAGAAAAAAATTATAAAGCTATAAAGACAGAAAAACAGAGTTTAGAGAACTAGAACAGAAAGAAACAAGTAGGAGAAGTAGCTAAAAGTGTTTCTTCTTTTTTTCCCGGAAAAAAAGCTGAAAAAATGAAATTTAGAGACGCCTTTTAGATATACAAATATTTTATTTTTTTTGAGAAAAAGAAATATTTAAGAAGGAATTTCATTAAAATAGAAAAAAATAACGCAAAAAAAGTCATAATATGTCTGAAGAACGTGAGAAACTGGAGAAAAACGAGCAATTTAAGGGCAACAAAACAAACTTTGAAAAAATTATTGAAGAATTCAGATATACACATATCCTGCCCAAGCGTTCTCAAGATGATAATGTAGATCAATGTTATCCCGCAAAAAGGAGTCAATTGCAGCGACAAAATATAAAAAAATCACAAACAGATGCAGATCAGAACACTGACCCATCAATACAGATGGTCCATCACAATAAACGAAAACGGAAAACAAACCGATCATATGTACCACCAGAGCATTATGCACATCTGCCAGCAGGTGTTCCAGATGTTCTTGGGAAAAATCTGATTGTAATGTTTATTGGCTTAAATCCAGGGATTGCAACAGTAAAGGCAGGCCATGCATTTGCAGGACCAACCAATCTTTTTTGGAAACTATTACATTCGTCTCAGATTGTCTGTACTGAAACAAGACTTCGTCCGGAAGACGATGTTACACTTCAAAAATGGGATGTTGGGATTACCAATTTAGTGTTCTCTTCCAATAATTCCCGTATACATATTTACTAATATCATTAGTTCAAGACCAACAGCGGGATCTAATGAATTAAGCAGGGAAGAAATGATCGAAAATGTACCAATTTTAGAAAAAAAAGTGTCTACATTTTGTCCATTGTCTGTTTGTATTGTTGGAAAAGGGATATACGAAGCAATTTATAGATACAAAACAGGAAAACCTTTGAAAAAAACCTTTGAATGGGGCTGGCAACCCGAAAGAATGGGTACATCAGAGAATTATGAAGGGGCATTAGTATATGTTGTTCCTAGTACATCCGGAAGAGCCGCCACCTATTCAAAGGAAATGAAAGAAAAATGCTGGAACATTTTTGGTCAATGGGTTGCGAAGAAACGTGAAGAAAGAAGCAAATCCAAAGATATATTCAATGAATCATGATATAGTACAATGATATTAAATGAAGATTATAAAATATTAAAAACATATATTTGAATTTTAAAAACCAACAATGTACCTATTCAACTTAGATATTCTATGCCCAAACAAGCCGACTACAAGACATGCAATTATACAACATAAACGACATTAATATACTTGAGCTATCATAAAAAACCGATTAAGTAGAAACATCATTCTCTGAAAATTAATAAAGTATAAGTGTTCATCTAATTTTTTAATAAGCCACATCCTCCTCTTAATGCAAGCACTTAAAAAATAAATTTTTTTAGAAAAGTCATTTATTTACTCACCAAGATGTAGCACACTGCCTCCTTCCAAATTATACTCAGATGCCGTTCGCTCATCTGACCTGAAAGGACTATTAACGCTCTACCGGTGCAATTGAATCATAAAAAATTACATTTGTTTGCCGCCAAAAATAAGTCGCTGTTGTATCGGAGGAATACCCTCTTTTTCTTCCATTCTTTCTTTAATACGATAAACCTTAGCAATAAGCAAATAAATAGGAAAAACATGCATATTTTACTTTATCTGAAGGATCAATATCTAATTCAATCTATAACATTAAATAACAAATTCAAAAAACACAACAAAAATACTTCTTTTCCAGTTAATGTCTATAAAAGATTAATAAAAAAAATAAAAAAAATCAAAGAAAAAACTAAAAACTTTAACTTTAATTAACATTCTATTAATTTTTTTAAAATTAATTTATAAAAGATCGAACATCGTGCAAATAAAGTTTAAGAGTAATTTAAATAAAAGATAAAGCAATATATAATATATATTAATATGAACCATTTCAAAATAATTTATATTTAAAAAAATAAAAGTATTGGTAAATTCATATGTATATACTATATACATTAAACATCAAAATGTTTATTGAAACATGAAATTTCTTGACATATCATCTTAAAAACAGTATCTTCTATTTGTAATCTATATTCTTCCAAAAGCGAAACCATAAAATCAGCACCCTCTTTTCCATAAAGAGACAAAGTTTTCAAAAGCGTTAACCAGTTCCTTTGCTGAATAATTTCTCCGGAATTTCCCGATGATAACTTAACTATTCTTTTCCATATAGAATTTATTTCTTCTAAACTACATCCTTTTTTACCATATGCTTTTAAAAGAATTCTTAAAGTAATTTCGTTTTCAGGGATGGAAAGCCGTTTCATTTCTTGCACTACTTTTTCAACAAGATCAAACTGTTCCAAAAATGCGTATCCAGAAATAAGAGTATTAAACGTTGAAACATTAGGGGGAATTTTTGCCTTGTGTGCTAGTACCAAAAGATTATTAACCTTATCAGTCGTATTTTTTATATCGGTTTGATTATTTTTATTTGTTAATTTAAATAACGCAAGTAAAACAAAATTAATGTGCTCTACATAAATACAACTCGCTACTTGAGTATGTTTCGTAAATATTTTCAAAATAGTCGTTAAATCCTGTTCATATTTCCATAACTGTTTAAAAAATGTAGTAAGTGCTTTAGGAGATGGTAAATAATTAAGATCTAAAAAATAAAAAACAATTTCAACAATAGATTTAGGAATTCCTCTACTAGTAGCAAAATAAATCAAAGAATCAAAAAATTTTGGCTTGACAATATTTTTAAATTTATCTAAACATTCATATAACGCTTCAAGAGCCCGTTTTTTATCATTATTCTGAATACGAGCCATAATAATTCCTTCATACAACTCCAAAGACTCTTTCATGTTCTGAGCATGTATAGCTTCCTGGAACAATGCTTCACAATCTAAAGGAGAATCCATAAAGGCATATAGTTTAATTGCAGAACCATAAACTCGAGAATCAAAAGAAGACAGATCATGAAAATATTTTGACTTTGCATATTCCCACACTTCCTTTCCCGCTTGATAAAGTCCTAAATTAATGTAAATATTAATTGCATTTACCCATATCATTGGATGGCCAGGTATACGATGAGAATAAACATCATTTAATACATTTTCTAAATGTAATAAAAGTGACTTTACATAAGAATCATCAGTATCCGCATGTGCTGTTTTTATACGATAATCAATCAGTGCAATCAATTTTGAAACATCATAACCTCTAAGACAACCTGTTTCACTTAATTCAGAATAAAATTGAAGAGCTGCTTCCAGATCACGACATAAAACTTTATATTGAAATGAATCCCGCTTTTCAAAGTCAGTTTTTATATTTTTAGCAGCATGCACAGCTCACTTTCTCATTAAACGATTCTTTTACCATAGAATCAGAAATCATGCATTTTCTATCCAGCTTTTTTCTAAAAAAAACAGATGAACCAGTAAAACTTCTCAATAAAAATAAATCTAGTCTATGAAATCCAAAAAATCTAGAAAAAACAAAGTAATTTGAAGAATAAAGTGAAAACGAAGCAGACTGTAATACTAAAAACCTATACATAGACTTCATCTCAACGCTCAAAAACAAATAACCAAAATATAAAAAGAAAATAATGAATTTAGTCCTTTTTCCTTATGGGAAAATCATTGTTTTTATAAAAAACCATAATATATTTTTTCTCAAACTTAATATCAAATTTAACGATCAAATTATAAACGTCAAAAAAATATTTATCAAGATTTATCAATGGATTTACAAGATATTTCATATGAAGAACAAAATGAATCAAATAATCTGATAAATATTACCTCTCCTAATGCACCAATTGAATCAGGGAAACTGAAAGAATGGAGAGACCTGCAAAGAACATTAAAAGCAGTTGTTCATCCTCTATTAAACATATCTATTTCATGGATTTCAGGAACAAATATATATAAAGACTCAAGAATATTGAAAAAAAAAAAGTCTACATTTTCTCCAGAAGAATCAATTTTATATACCCTTCATACACCAATATTCTTTTTGAATCCATGTCAAATCAAAGTAAAAAAAGTTTTTAGGAAAAAACAAGAAACTGACAAAAGATAGCTTGCAAATAAATCAAAAAGTTACTTTGAAGAATTACAAGCACTTTATGAAAATTTAAAATTAAAATTTTTTGACCCAAAAGAAATACCATTAACACCTGGTCAATCACTCGTTCCATCTTTTCTTAATAGAATATGCAAATCATATAGAATTTTAACTGAAGAAGCTATTAATGAATATAAAAATGTAGTCGAATCTAATTATTATTGTTTTTCTAATTAAATGATACAGGACGACGATGTTGATCAGGATGTATTAATAACACTAATTGATAGTTATACATTATTGCATTGTGTAGAAATGTTATATTTAAAAGAAGATGATAAAAGTTATTCTGAAACAATCATGGAGTGGGTGAACCGTTCAGATCCACAACCATTACAAGAAGACGGTTTAGCAATCATGGCATCAAGAGTTCCATGTCTTCATCCTGGATTCTGGTCATATGTACATAAGTAGATTTCTGCACTTATTTTTTCATAATCTTATATGTTAGAGCTGCGTTAAGAGGGCTTTTTAAACAAGTAATTTCATGTTTACAACAAAGTGGCATCGAATCAATAGAGCCTAGGGTTTCAGAAGTTATTGATATAACAATTGATATATTAGAGACATTTCCAAGTCACAAAGTTCCATTTAAAAATGAAGATATTTTAAAATGGAGACATTGGAGAGGAAAAGTAATGTATATGTGTTTTTGTTAATGAAATAATATGACAGCAATATTAGAAGTTCTATTAGAACATTGAGACTAAATAGCCTTGAAATTTCTTCCGCTTTTAGATACCTTTTTGAAATTATTTCTGGAGATAGAGATGCTATATTTCGGGAATCAGATACATGGCAAGAATGTCTAGGTGCTTTGATTTTATTAAACGATCCTTTGAATTGCAGAACAATAAAAGATATACACAAAATTTACAATTCAGTTATCAATGGGGAAGATTCATTTACAGTTGATGAAACATTACCAATCGAAAGCGCATGTGCTGCTTTATTTTCTGGTAATATTCCAAAGGTAAACAACATTTCTTGAATATACTATTTATTTTATAATATTTAGGCAATGATTCAAGCAGTTCAAATACAAAATGGACTTGCAGCTCATGTAGCAGATTTATTATTAAAATCAGGAATTCTAGAAGAATTTCAAACTAATGAGTATTTATCTTATTTTTTCAAAATATTTTATTAAAAAAATAGATATCCTTTAAGCTTACGAGACTATTTGGTACTGAGCTATGCAGATCAATTAATAACAAATCCTGGTACATGGGAAATTGCCTTAGCCTATTGGAAAACAGTACAAGAAATAGGCATTGAAAGAATTAAAGCTGTAGGATATAATTTTAATTCATTTTAAAAATTAATTAACCCAGGTTTTAACCCGAATACCTCTAATATCTGATGAACGGACTGAAGAAGTTCTAACTTTATGCGATCAATTTTCTCTTAATGAAGAAGCATGCATCATTGCATCAGTATTATAGCGATTACTAATATAATAGAGTCTAATATCAATTAGATATGGGCAAAAGAGCTTGAACGAAAGAAACAATTGGGTTCTGCAGTCCTACTTTATGATAGAGTAAATAATGTTCATCAAATAGACCAAATTAATTGGTTTTTGTTTGAAACTTCTTTAATACAGGGTTATCCTGCTGACGTTGATAAATTAATGGAAAACTTTCTAACATCACCATATTCATCCTCATCTCGCAACATTGCATCACTTTTGGCTCCATATGCAACCTTGAATATCTTTTACCAACTAAAAATCAAAGGAAAGCGCTGTGCTGCAGCACACTACTTAGCAAGTTTAATCAAAGCAGTAGATATTCCAAAAAAATATATGTTATTATTATTAGCAGAAATGTTATCTTTTTTAGACGGTAAAAAATCATAATCATAATTATTCTATATTTACAAAGATTAGATTCGTTACCAAGAGCATTCACCATGAGAGATATTTTTGACTGTACAGCTGCTATAGAAGAGTTTCAATCCTTAGCATTCAAAGATGATTATATACAATTATTCGAAAAAGCAAGATATGCAGAATCACATATAGAAAAATCAGAAACATTGAAAATATCTGAAAATTGGAGAACAAAGATAAAAAAAGAAATGAATGAAAAAAATGTATTAGAATTAGTAAGACTACAAATAACTAAAACAATTGCTAAAGGTTTTCTACAACCCGATCCTTGAATATAAATGTATGTAAAACACCATAAGTAAATACAAATAATCAAAATATCAGTAACATTATATTCTTGGTTTATATGATTACATAACACCGTCTGATACGCTATAAAGATATAAAAAAACTGTTGATTTATATACTTACAAACATAAAAAATAAACAAAATCACAAAAATAATTTATCAATTAGAAGACACTATGCAATTATATACAAGATATATATGTCAAGCTAACAAGTTATATATGTTAATAGGCAGAATTTATGAACATATCACATATTATATATACTCTATATACATTTTTTATATACTGATGAACTAGAATACTTATATTATACATATGAAACTCTATCAACTTCATACTCTCTATCAGCTAAACATGTATATGTACTATATATGTACTATATATACTATATGTACACTATTTACATAATAAATCTACAATAAATACACAATATGTTTAAAATAAATACTCTATATAAAAAAACTCGATATATCTAGCAATATACATACTATATACACTAGCATACACCAATTTTCCAGATTACAGATAGTTTCTCATGCACAGATATCAGCCAGCTCCTGTCTCCGGAATCCATCGAACCTCGTAAAATAACATGACATAAAAAATAAGAAAAAACAGAAAAAGTAACAGTAAACAGAAGATCGGCAAAAAATGAGCTCTCCATCACAAGAGGGTGTAATCCTTGTGCGTTTTTTCCGAAAAAAAAATAAACTATTTTGAGTCAAATTAACTTTTATTTAGGTAAAAATCCCAGAAGAAAGACAACAAACACATAATGATTGGACATCTCCGGAAAAACATAAAACATACCATAATCTTCTTCCTCCAAATATACACTATAAAAAAAGGTGCGTTCGAACAATACTAAAAACACTTTTTTGACTATATTAAGCTTACCTACTCATGCAACGCCTATTCAACTACCTACAAAAACGGTATGTAGTAAATTATCCATATTTTGGGCAAAAATAGAGTATATTTAGACACACCAAAGTACAACTGATTACTGTTATGGAAAAGTAACATTTCATCGTTATCGGTTTTCAAGCCCATATTCTCCATACAATTCATTCGTTTCTCCTGGAAAGGCAAAGCAGACATATGGAAAAAGGAGAAGAGGTTTAAATGAGTCTACATTATCTACATTTTACCCTTATAATTCAGGAAAAAGTAAGTATGTTTTAAGTTTAATAAAGATAACTAAAAATGGTATAAGATAACTCAAATACACAAAAAACATACTTTTGTAAATCCTTATTACCCTTCCACGATTTTTCAGAAAAATCTATATCTAAAGATGTTTCTCATATTTCTTCTCCAGAAAAATACAATTCAGGTTTTTATTATTCCTATATTTCTCTTGCACACAAAATAATCTATAAAATAGATATCTTAAATAATAACTATCAGAAAGCGTTTGATCTTCGTACACCAAAACACGATAATATTGATGATTCAGATCTATCATCTGGTACCAAACCAAACCATTTGCTTCATACAGACAGTCCAAAATTGTTACGAAGTCAACCATCAAGTCCAGACTTATCTATAGATACAGAGAACCATGATCACGAAGAAATAAATAAAGTGATTAATACAATTGAAAAATCTAAGTTTATAAAAGATTCAAAAACTTCACTCTTTAACGATAATATCAAAAAAAAAAACGAAAAAGAAAACAATATCCGTATTCTTGATATAAAAAACTGGTGGACAGGAAAATTCATGGAGGATTCAGAAAATATGCAACTAATGCTTTCAAAAAAAGGTTTTGCATTACAAAAAAATGGAGAATTATTACCACAACATAATTATAATGCGAATGAAATCCGGAATATAGCAGTAAGTTACCGTTACTTATACGAATTAATTTTTTAATTTTTAAAGTATGAATTTGATCAATATGGTCTACTTTATATTAAATTAAAAAGCAGAAATGGTAATCTTACTTATAAATATAATTTATTTTTTAAATGTTATTTTTAGCAAAATTAAACGGTCCAGGGACAGAATATCTCATTCAAATAGCAACTACTTTAAAATTAAAATCTTTAAGAATTCTTCAATATTCATGTCCTGAAGTAGATCTTATTGAGTATATTTGTTTTAGTTTTTAAAATTAAATTTGACATATATTTTTCTTAGACTAACTCCGGACCAAGCTCAAAAAATACTATCACTTAAAAAATCAGTTAACCCTTCCAAAAGAACGGATCTTTCTAATTATTTAATAAGATCAGAAAAAGATGACATCGATGATAAAACATCAACTCATTTAGACTTAAAATCAACTAAAACAATGTCTCAAACAGATTTTAAAACTGACTCATATTCGTTTACAAAAGATAAAAAAAATAATAGCAAAAACGAACCGTATGCTTTTTTTTTGTAAACATACAAAAATATTCATATTAATTAGAAGATTGATTTATCCTCCTGTTGTTCTCTATGATGATGATATAGAACGATTAAATGATGGTGAATTTTTAAACGATACAATAATAGACTTTTATTTAAAGTAATTTATATAATTCAACTTATTTTTCTAATTTATATTTAGATACATTCAAAATAAACTTTTGCAAAATAATCCATCTAAAATAGAAGAGTCTCATATATTTAATACATTTTTTTACAAAAGACTCGTTGATAAAGATCGTTTTGGGTATTTTTGTTTTTTATATCATTTTAAAAACTATTAATATACTTATTAAATAGAAAAAAAGGAGGATATCAAAATGTTAAGAAATGGACAAGCAAAACTAAGATCAATCTTTTTACTAAAAAATATGTTGTTGTTCCTGTAAATGAAAGGTTTGAGTAAATGTTATTTTTATCCATTTATATTAACAAAAGCAAGCCTCCATTGGTATGTAGCAATAATATGTAACTTAGATACGATGCCATCTAAACCATTAATACATGATACTGATAAAAGTATACAATCATCATCTAGCGAAAAAATATCTCCTTTTTTCTTACCAGAAAATAAAACATTTAACAATTTATCATTTGATCAAAATAATGAAAATTATAATATTTACAATAATTTTTCAAGTTTCAAGAACAATGAGATAAACGAAAAAAAAGCTAAATATAAAAATATTAATATAAATAATCAAGAAGACAATACAGAAAACTCTTTAAAAAACTCTGAATTATCAAAACTTTCCGAAAATATGTTTATTAAAAAGGTTAACGAAGAATATAAAAAAAAGCCATATTCACGTATATTATCAAAAAAAAAAAATATATCTATAAGAAAACCTGTTATTATTATTTTTGATTCTTTGGGAGGGCAACATAACATAACATTGAGGAATTTGCGCGATTATCTTTATGAGGAAGCCAAAGATAAGCAGGATTTAGAGTTAAATAGAGCAGACATAGCAGGAATTCATGCAAAGGTTCCTCAACAAAGTAATTATTGTGATTGTGGAGTGTTTTTACTTCATTATGTAGAACAATTTTTAAATGATCCAGATAGGGTTTTACCATTTATTTTAAATCATGATAACGAAACATCTATTTCTTCTGATAAAGATCTATGGGGACAAGAAAAAATATCTTCACTTAGAAGTAACCTTCGTTTATTAATAAAACATTTGCAAAATGAATCTTTTATACCAAAACGTGATACAAATAATATATATTTAAATCAAGAAAATAATACGAATGATGATCATGACAGTGACGAGCTAATTATGTATTTTTAGAAAAAAAATAAGCTATATTAAAAATAAGCTATATTATTTAACACAATATTATGCATTTAACTTTTTCATTTACTATAAAAATATACTTCTAATATATTTTTATTTAAAAAATTAAATTACTCTAAAACTGTTTTAAATAAAACATTTTAAGACATTTTTAAAATTTTCTAAAATCAAAGTATTAAGTCTAAAAATATTTAATCATTAAATTATAATTTTTATTATTTTATAAACATTTATTATTTTTTTATAATCCAACTTCGTAAAAATATATAAAATCCAATTTTGTACATTTTAAATCAGATAATTTCAAAAAAATTGTAATCAAAAATGACTAAAAAGTAAAAAACACAAATTATAGAAACATAATTTCATAATATATTTTAAAAAAATTCAAATAAAAACTAAAAGTGCTTAAATATCAAAATTCATTAATATTCATCACAGTCTCAGATACTGAATGTCCATTTAAGTCTTCTGAATTTTGAGAATTCATATTTTTACCTAAACGTTCATGAGGAATTGATTTAATATCATGAAATGTATCAAATACTGAACGACATTCATGAATAGATACTTTTCTAGTTGAATTATCTTTTGCCTTCAACCTCAATTGTTTCAAATATAAGGAATTTTGAGTTTCTAGCTCTTCAATCCTTTTACTCATATTTTTTTCCAGTAATTGTATCATCATTTCGTTTAATCGTATTGCTTCACCTTCAGCTTTATTTCTTAAACGAATATTCTCACTTTCTAATTCCTTAACTTCATTAGCAAGATTCGCCGCTGATGAAGATGCTTCTTGATATTGTAAACGTAAAAACTCAAAATCAGATGTTTTATTTTCAATAATTTTTTTAAGATGCAAATTTTCTTCAAAACATTCTTTTACTGAATCATACATAACATTACTGGGTACTTTTTCCTGCTTCTCAAAATCAAGAGATATATCTTTTAATTTTTCTTCGTGAAAAGATGAATTCTTATCTTTAACACATATATAATCTTCTTGTAAATCATTTAAACGTTTCTGTAGCATGTCTTTTATATTAACTGTATTTTCGTGTTCTAATTTCAAACATCTATATTGTTCTTGCATTTCTTCATATCGTTTTTGTAAACGATCACATGCAATTTTAAAATTCAAAAGCTCATTTTCAGTATCCTTTAATTTGCCCTGAATTTTACAAACATCATTTTTTAGATTATTTATTTCCATATACATGAGTTCCTATTTTTGATTAAAATAAAAAATAAAAAATTAATAAATTTACTCGTTCAGTTTTAACATTAGAAATTCCGTCATTATTTGAATATGGTTTCTGAATAGTTTCAAGATTTAAAGTTAAATAATTTAACTGATCATTAACAATAGAATTATGGTCATTTGACTGCAAATGAGATATTTCAAATTGATTAAAAAGATTTCCTAAAATTTTCTTATCATCACTATCAAATGAATCACTTTTAGTTGCTATGCTAGGTGTTTTTTGTATTTCTAGATATAATTCATTATATAAATGATTATCATGTTGAGATATTTTTTCTTCTAATTCAATTAAATTATTAAGCTGCATTTCTGATATCAATCTACTATCTTTATGAGCCAATGTAATTGCCAATTCCCTTAAATCAGATACTATTGGCAACATCCACCTATCTTTATAATCTCCCTGAATCCAATTATATACCAATTGCGCAGATTCATTGCTAAAGAACTGATTACTAGGTAGTATGCCAGCAAACTTACGAAGCAATATAGTAACTTTAACAACATTTTGAAAATACAAATTCTGAGGAATATCTTTAATACATAATTGAATATGTTCTATAGAATTAACTGTAATTGGAATTATATAGTTTTTCATTTCATTGTCCTGATTACTAAAATTACGTGTAGATAATATATGTATTGATGTATATATACAAATTACAAGATTACAATACACCTAAAAATTAAATTAGCAACCTTTATTACTAAAAATTTAACTGCACCTCAACATTCTTTCCCTTTCCCTTACCATGTGAAATTAAAAATACTTTCATAGTTTCATTAATATTAATATCTTCAGAATACTGGTTTATTTTTAAATATAATATATTTAATTTTTGAAGAAATATCTCAAGAAGACCCTAATACGTTAAAATTTTTAATATAACAAATCATAAAATTACCAATAATATTTCACTATCAGAAATAATCCCTATTAAAAGTTTCAAATTCTTAGATTTCTCTAAAAAACAAGCAAGAAACCCAAACTTAGGACTAAAACATAGTAGATGTTCCAACTTAATTTCTTCAAAAGTTTCATTTGGTATTTTCGACTTAAAAATAAGATAAGGATGAATAGTTAACATAGTTAATATATTTATAAATCGATGAACCTTCTTAATAAATGTTTTATCAGGACTCGGTAATGAACAAAATTCCTGAATCAAATCATTGTATTGTAATATCAACTGCAAATACAATTCCCTCTGTATTTTATTCATTTCAATTCCAAAAAAATAAACATGAGGCTTATTCTGTATTGATCTTAAAGAAATGAGAAAACTATCAGATGTATACGCAGTAGATATACTACTTTCAGATTTTGTTGATACTTTTGCATCAGATATTTTAGATTTCACAGAAATATTATCTTTTTCAGTTCCAGAAAGTTCAGATCCTCTAGAAATGCAAGTAGTAGGACAGTTATATTCAATAGAACCTGATACATCTTCATGTATATTCATAGTAGAAGTGGATGTTTGAATGTGAGAATCATCAAAAATTTCAAGCTGCATGGATTCATTATGAGAAAGCCAAGTAGATACCTTTTCAGAGGGCAGTGGTGATCTTAATTGCTGAGAACTATAATTTACAGAAATACTATCATAATGAATACCCTTTAAAGGATTTTCTTTTCCATATTCACTTGCTTTTAATACATCAATTTCTTTATCATTTTTATCAATTCGATCATCATGCTTATCAACAGAGATATTTGGAACATTATTATCGGCAATAAATATAGAATCAGATTTAGAAAACATACCCATGTGAAAATTCAGTGGCTTTGTATTATTATCATTTGTTATATGATATATCGAAGAAACAGTGTCCTCAAGAAATCTACCTTGATCATTATCATTTTCTATATTCAATATTTTTTTTGGAGATTCTGAAAAATTAAAAATACGACTCATTGAAATATCATTTATTGCTGTATCCAAAACGTCTTTAATTTGTGTATCAGCATTTATAGAAGACAAGCTCGTTTTCATAGGTGAAGTATGATATGTTCCTAGAGTACTATCAAAAGTTTTAAGGTCCTCAGACTTCTTAAAAGCAATACTGGATGAATCCCCTAACTCTGAAAGATCCAGCGTATATTCCAAGGATTCGAATGGCTTAAAATAAGACCTATTTTGTGAATATACCGTAGATGATAATGAAGAGTCAAAAGTATCAAGTGCATCCATCGTATCCAACACAGATGCTGATGAATGGTGAGTATAAGGCTCTTTATTCTCATTCATAAACACATTTTTGTGTTTTTTTTCAGAAACACTCGAACCACATTTATCATCTAATAAACAAACGATCAAAAAACATTTCAAAAAAAACACAATTCCACATACAAAAACTATTCTTTCCCTTCTTCTTCTTATTCTTTTGCTTATCCAAGCCCTCTACTAGCCTTTTTTTCCCTATATTAGTCGTTTTCTTCGTCTTACGTTGTTTATGGTTTTTAATCCATGTATTCAACAATTCTTCAGTACAATCACTTTTCCGAACCTATATCAATTAAAAATTAACATGAAAAGCCTTGTATACACTATAAAATCAAAAAACTCACCCAGCACGGCTTATATGTTTTCCCTGTCTCCGGATCAATTCCTGCCCATGAAACTTTGTATTCATTCTTTCTTTCACCAATAATCCTCGTTGCTTCCCACCAAGACCCATCATGAACATCCTGATCTTTATTTTCTTTATGTTTTTCATGAGGTTTACTTGAAATATCTTGCATTTTCATACATATAAACACTTATTTTGTAGATTTGTGGTTACAGGTGTCACCAGCCTATCGTCTCAGAAAAGGCACAAATTAAAAACAAAAAAAGATTTTAAAAAGCCAAGAAAAATACAAATAAAGGATCTAAAAACATCATTAATAGGACATTTTATGTATAAAATACAAAATAATACAAAGTTAAACAGAAAATTTATATCAGCGATAAAGTCGACATCAAACGATGCGTTGAAGGAACGACCAAATATTTTTAAGTACAAATGATGTGGCTGAAAGAGAGGAAAAAGAGGATTTATGAAGAATTATGAATAGATTTTTTAGATAAAACAGAAAAATATTAATTAGTTAAATGTTCTATGAAAAAATCGAAAAAAAAACGGACATAAAAGCATGATTTTAGGAGATTTAGGACGTCGTATCAGTACGGCATTAACAGAGCTGATTAAGACACAAACAGTAGATGAAAGTGTGAGTATATGGGCCTACAAGTATATAAGGTTCTGATTTTTATTTTTTTCTAGGTTTTAGATGTAATGTTAAAAAAGATTTGTTCAGCATTGCTTGAAAATGATGTGAATGTGGATTTGGTTCAAAAGTTGAGAGAAAGTATCAAGAAAAAGATTGAATTTAAAAAAACGACTTCAGTAGCCAATAAAAAACGAATTATTTATAAGGTGATCTTTTAAAACAGCAAATATGTATTCTGAAGCTTATTGTGTGTGTAGACAGTTTTTGACGAATTATGTAAACTAGTAGACTCTAGTAGTGAACCCTATAAGCCAAGAAAAGGCTTTTCCAATATTATATTGATGGTTGGATTACAAGGAAGCGGAAAGACAACATCATGCGTAAAAGTGAGTGTTTTTATTTTATTCGATAATATCTTATCAATTAGCTTGCACACTTTTATCAAAAAAAAGGGTTTAAGTCATGTTTAATTTGTGCAGATACATTTAGAGCGGGTTCTTTTGATCAATTAAAGCAAAACGCAACTAAAGCTAAAATTCCATATTTTGGAAGCTATACAGAGACAAATCCGGTTTCTATTTCATGTGAAGGAGTTGAGAAATTTAAAAAAGAATTATTCGAAATCATCATCGTAGATACATCAGGGAGACATAGGCAAGAAAAAGAATTATTCGAAGAAATGGTACAAATATCAAATGCAATTAAACCTCATCAGACTATTATGGTCCTTGATGCAAGTATTGGTATGTAAAATTGTTTTTTAATTTTCTTTGTTAAATTTCAAAAATAGGACAAGCAGCTGAATCTCAAAGTAGAGCTTTTAAAGAAAGCGTTAATTTTGGTGCAATATTACTCACAAAGATGGATGGACACGCAAAAGGAGGAGGAGCATTATCTGCGTAAGCTATAAAAATTCCCTTAATTATTATAACTTTTATTATTAGAATATCGGCATCAAAAACTCCTATTGTATTTATTGGAACTGGAGAACATATTTATGATTTGGAGAAATTTGTCCCTAATTCATTCATTTCTAAACTTCTTGGGATGGGTGATATTCAAGGATTTATGGAGCATTTTCAATCTTTAAAACTAGAGCAAAGTAAAGACACCATAAAAAATATAGAAAAAGGTGTTTTTACTATTAGAGACTTAAAAGATCATCTTGGAAGCATTATGAAAGTTATTTTTCATGCTTTTAATATAATATACTCACAAATATAGATGGGACCGATAAATAAATTAGTAAGCATGATACCCGGTACAGCTCAAATGATGGAAGGAATTGAAGAAGAAAGTTCAAGAAAATTTAAAAGACTAATTTATATAATGGATTCTATGACTGAAAAGGGTAAACTCAATTTTTTAATTTTTTTATAAACTTATTTATATTAGAACTTGATAGTGATGGTAAAATTTTTACTAATGAACCATCCCGAATCATTAGAATAGCAATGGGTAGTGGTACATCTGTATCAGAAGTAAAAGGGCTTTTATCACAGCACCATATTATGGCAGGAATAGCGAAAAAAGTTGGAGAAAAAGGCGGTTTGAAGAACCAAAACATGAATCCAAATTTGCTAAAAAATCCTCAACAAATTGCATCAATTCAAAAACGATTGCAATCTATAGGTAGTTCTTCAGGAATTCCTGGAATGGATATGGATCAAATTATGAAAATGGCTAATCAAATAATGAGCGGTAAAAAAAGTGGAGTTATGCCAGACTTTTCTAATTTAATGTCTCAATTCGCTAGCATCTTCAATAGTACTTCAAACAGTCAAAGCAACCGTAGGCAATAACCATTATTTTATAAATATATAATACATTACAGTTTCTTTATAAATTTGTAAATATTATATATTTGTGATTCAATAATATTTACCAAAATGCAAGTCATTAACTACAAAATGAACTATTACAATCATCTCAATTTTCCTTTACATAATATACTTTTTCAAACCCTTAAATGTTCCGTAGCAAAAATATGTTCAAAGTTAAATAATTACTTAAATAATAGAGCTTTACTCTTTACTTTTGATATAACTATCTTAAGAAATATTATAAATTCCTCAATCTATATAGTGAAGTATTCTATAAAATATTCAAAAATCATTAACGCATATAAATTAACTATTTAAATATCACGAGGAATTGATAATCTTTTAGAATATTTAAAACCTCAAGATATGCCCAATAACATTATCACAAAATAATAAACATTTTATTTACTATTGATCGAGCAAACGTAACGTTTCCTGAACTTTATCAGCCTGAATTTGCATTCCACGTGTCCCAGGAGCCAAATTGTTAATAATAATCCCAAAATTCTCTTTAACAAACTTCTGATGCTGACTAAGCGTCTTGTATGCTGTTGAGCACGGCAAAAAATTATTACTACTACACAAACTGTTATTTGTATCAGTATTATAATAACTATGTTTTTTTTCATCGCTCAAACAACAGTTAACAGGTGCACCATTATTATTTATCTTAGAAGCCAATGTTTTACAAAAAAGCATACTCAATGAATCCGCTTTGCACTGCGGACACGAACCAGGTTCGTATTCATTCTGAATAGTATAGCTAGACGGTTCAAGTATCTCAAGTTTTTCCATTGTTTTTCTCGTATCCCTCAGCGTTTTTTCCTCCACTTGGTCATTAACATGATTGTTGTCAATCAATATCGGAGGAAGAATGCTATCCTTATCTATTCCAAGCATATTTCCCATTTTATTATTTACATTTTGTGTTTGAACACATAAACATATATCGGGATTACCAGTACAAAATCCACAATCATTCCCATGAAAAATAGTATCATTTCTGGGCACAAAAGGTACACTAAAAGGCATGTCTGTTCCAGTCTGATTTTGATCATTCATATCAATCTTTTTTTGATAATTTGTATAATTCGAATTCATAGAAAAATCCTTCGATTCCATGTACTGCATCGAATCTACATTCTTAAAACTCCTATCAGACGGATTAAGACTCTTCAACTGTATATTTTCCCTTTTTTCCGAATCCATTATTCTTTTGAGTGGCACTGTTTGTCCTAAAAAAAATAAATGTTTAAAAATAAAAAAAAAAACCATCAACAAACCAATCATAGCACTCGGAAATTCCCTCATATCCATGCCCATTCTATTCATATACCCTGGATTCGAAAAATCCCCCTTCGGCACCGAAACTGTCTGCTGTACACCGAAATGTCCATATCCCAGTTTTTTTTCAAACTCACTTTTCAAATACACTAATTCCCTCTGAAGCATTTCATTCTTCTGCTTTATCTCCTCGTTTTCCTGCATAACAAGCTGCATTTCTTCCAAATGTTTTTGTTTAAGCCCGTTTACCATATTCTGTAACTCTTTCACACTTGTCTCAAGCTCCAATACCCGTGCAGCACGTCGTTCTCGAAATGCACGTTGTGCTGCTCTATTCTGTGCTTTTCTTTTCTGAAAAAAACATCAGATACACCCACACAAATCCGCCGTTGCAGCTCTTCATTGCTACACGGAAAAAAAACACAAAAAACACACATACCGTCAACGGTGTCTCTTCAACTCCTTCGTTAGCCTCTTTCCCCTGTATATTTCCTTCATTTACCTTTCGACGGTTGCCGACCCGGCTTCGGCCGCGCCGGTAACAACCAGTTCTTTGATATTACAATCACTGATGAGTCTTCCGGAGTTTTTGCTGTATATTCTCCATGTTCTACTGCCTCTCCCACTTCTGCTTCGCCTCCTACCGCCTCCGACATTGCATATTCAATCTGCCGATACCGGCCTCCACTGTCTCACCTCCAGTCTTCCGGATATATGCGCCTTAGATCCTAATATATGCGCCCTAAAACCACCTCTATACACCTCAAATGTTCTTATATGCGCCCAAATTCCACCTCTTTCTCCCTTTTTCCCCCTATCCTCCTCTAACCCGTCTTCTGCAAACCACCTGATATGGTATCTACTGCTATAAAACAACTCTATCTACTTCTGACTCTTATATATGCGCTCAAACCTCCACTATATGCGCCCAAATACCCACTCTATGCCTCTAGATCCCCTCAATATTCCTCTAGCTTATGCTGGACTTGTCGATATTCTTCTGTATAACCCGGTATATCTGTATTTTTCCTGTGTACACTCTGTGCGCGCTCTGCTCGATAGTATTTACTCTGTGTGCATACCAATGAGATTAACGGGCACCCGTAACAACGGCAGACGATGTTTTCAACGGTACAACGGTTAAATACACTGTCGAGTTTATGGGTGAATGCATTGCTGTTTGCGTGCCTTTGGATGACGGTATCGGTGTATTTTGACAAAAAAGAAGCAGTATCAGAGGTACAATTGACAGCAGCAGAGCGGTAGAGGCAGTTTAGTGGGTGAATCCAGAATAATTTCTTGAATGTAGAAAAACAACACGTATTTACCATGCATTTCGAAATGTGCGTCAAGAATATGCATTTGTAGAGTTTGAACTTGAGACAGGTGTGTTTTTGTGTATTTTGGAGTGCTTTCCGTGGAGAGAAGGGGGGGAAAGAATTTTTTGAGAGTTTCTGACGAAAAAAAGATCTGAGACCACTTTTTCACTGGAATACGAAACAAGTGTTTGTATACGTAGTGGCATCGTATGCATCGTCTATAAAATATGTGAATTAGCCCACCTTTGTGTATTTTTTTTAAAGGGAGATTTGCTGATATATTAGCCGTATAACGAGGTGATGGTGTGGAATCGAATTGTTAAAGATAAAAAAAAGGCGGTGATCCGAGTGAAAGAACAGAAGAATATGTTTGCCTTTAATGATATTGAAGGCTCGTTTGCGTATGGAAGTTGTGTATTTTAAAAAAAGGTCTTAGTTTGATAGAAACAAGAATGTAACACTTTCGATGTATTATAATGTTATGCCACAGGTAGGGCTTTTGATATGGGGAAATGGTAAGCCATCGGGTAGACTTCCTTTTTCTGTATCTCGCTGAAAACATGTTGAAAAACCGTATATTTTGCTTTTTGAAATAAAAGTGCAGCAATTTTCTACTATAGCCAAAGGTGTATTATACTGGAAGTGGTATTTATGTAGTGTGAAGAGCACTTGTTTCCTTTATCTTGTATTTTGTCGAGTATGAATGAGAATGTAAAGAGATTGAATGATACGACTTTGAAATATTTTGAAAAGATGCCTTAGAAGTGTTTTGAAAAGATGCTTTAGTGCTGTTCCCCAAAAAATGATGTGTGCCTCTTTTGAAATCCGATGTATTTAAAGACTGTGTAGATGGATTATGGTAATATGTATGCTGTATGTCTTGAGAAGTGTTTGAATACACCTTTTTTTGAAAAGAATGAGCAGGCCGAGAGAATGAGTGAGGTGTTTTTAGTTGTGTAGCATGTATATTAGGCTCAATCCGGGTATTGTTTTTGTTAACAGATGTTTTCGTAGAAACAATCAAAGTGCGTTTAGTCAAGTTAAGCAGAAAATGAGTTTCTACAGATAATCCTCTATACGCAGAACATTTCCCCCCTAAAGTTGTTCCACTCATGAATGGAACATCAAAAATGATATCAATTACTTTTTTCCCAGTTCTTACAACGATTCCTTTTGTCGCTATTGGAACCTTACCCGAATCATGAACATAAACAACCCTATCTCCAAGAGAAAATTCCTGATCTTGTAGCCTAAGCTCACATTGTGAAGGTTTCAAAATTGCATTCCTGGGTACATTGTTGATGCGTCTGGGTGTAAACAGTGGAATATTCTCTGATATCTTATCCAATTCTTTTTCAACCATTTGCATTGAAAGCTGATCCAATTGTTCAACATCCAAAGAAACTTTTTCAAAGTTATTCTCTTCATTAATAATTTTTAACCAAGACCTAATTTCTTTTACTTTTTCTTTATAATTTTTTTCAGGAATCAATTTATTAATCAATGGAATATCTAGCAAAATATAAATATAAATAAAAAATAATATATCATACCATCAAAAACATGCGATTGAACTGAAAGAACAAAATCAGGAAACCTTTTTTTATACTCTTGTATAAGATTAATAGCTTCTTGTGTATATTCCCACCCCTTTTCTGTTTTTCTTGAATATCCAAGGACTTTGATTTTTTTTGCTTCATATTTTAAATTCAATCCAAGATTAACTTTTTGTTTATCGACTATAACAAAAAAACTTGACATTAATTTTGAAAAGGCTATTCCAGTTAATCCAACTATTTTAGCTGCAACATATGACGGATAATAAACTGTTCTTTTAGAAAACTTTTGAAATATTAATTTACCAAATTCAGGCTCTCTGGTCTTTAAAATATTATAGATAACGTTTTCAAAAAAATATATAACTAACCTGAGTTGCTATCCAACAATCAATTTTTCCATTTTTATGAGCAGTTATTTCAAGTGGTCTTCCATAATTATACTCTCCAAGAAAAAAACCTCTAGATCCTAAAGGATACTCCTGTTTAATATCGAGTGGAGGTTTTTCCTATATTTAAGTCAATTATATATTAAAATACTATTAAATTTACAATATATCGTGAATCTTCAACAAAAACTTCATTTAATACAAGCTGTAAAGGATGTTCAGGATTTTGACTATTGCAAGGTTCATAATCTTTTTCAGAAGCACCATTTTCGGTTTTACGTAACCCTTCAAAAATATTAAATTTAATTTTTTTCAATACCAAATTTACCTTTTAACATTGAAACATGAGCAATAGCCTGAACAGTATTAATTATTGCACCATAATGCTTCTTATAATTTGATTCAAGTCTTAAAGCAACTTTTTTCCATGCAGCAAAATCATTATGTGTTTTGGAAACTGTAACAATAGAATTTTCAGGTGAAAAAACTCCCTCATATCGAAATTCCTCAGTTGAAATAGCATTTAACCTAGCCTCGTGTAAATATGGCCAACCTTATTCTCTTTTAATATGCAAATATATATAGATATAGATAGAAATACCAACAAATACTCTTTTGCCTATTTTTTTTTGTGCAAATTCTTCTACAGTTTCCAAATCTACCTGGTTCTGTATTATTATTATCATAGACTCATTTCTACTCTCTGATTTAAAAACATTTACTCCTTGATGATCCAAGTAATTAGTATGTGGCAAAGTATTTAAAGTAGGGAATCCAGCAGGAGACGTATTACCAAGATTAACACCTTTACATAACCCATATATAAATTGTTCTACTCCTAGTATCTCCGGATATTTATATACTTCTGCTTTGCAATGACAATGAGGAATAAGCGGAAATACATCTATATATGGTACATAAATATAGTCAAGATTCTCATCATATGTATATTTTATATTATGTCCAAATGTATTTCTATTTTTCTCTTCGTCAGTTAATAAATGCTCCTTCGCTAGCAAAATGTTGGTAAAAAATTAATTAATAAATAACTCATACCTTTAATAACACTTAGTAACAATTCTTCATTAATAAAAGGTATTTTTGCTATCGCTTCCCAACTAGCCTTTTTATCATTCATATCTAACTCAAAATCCTCAGGATAAAAATCACGTATAGGAGATGTTTCATTAACCATAAGATCCTAATACATTAGATAAAGTTTTATTTAATTAAATAAATTACAGCAAATGGCTTTGGAACCAACTTTTTACTACGTTCAGGCAATACAGCCATTAATTGCTCAAATGGTTTAAACGGAGTACCAAGTGTAAACGACAAATTTGCAGCAAAACCTTTTTTAATATCTAAAGTATTATATATAGATATATTATTTAATATTTCATATTACCAGATACTTTTGGAGAATAATGATATTTATAAAACCAACTCCAAGAAGAAACTCCACGATAGTAGTAAAATAAGACCCATTGCAATCCTTCTATATAATTTTCAGCCATTTCTTTTAATTTCTTTGTATCATTAATAGAAAACCCCAGTTTTTCCTAATTTTATTAATTAAGACCAATTAAGGATTAACACTAACAATATAATATGAATCTTTCCATTTTATCCATTTTTCTTCAAATATAGCATCCTCTTTATGTGAGTCATCTTTTTCGATATCCAAAATAATAGCATTTTTATATCTACTAAGTTCTCTATCTATAATATCTTTTATTTCATTACCATTTTCAACTTTATTATCTTTTTCGAAACGCAAATACTTCTCATTTTCTATAGTATATTTTGTGCATTTAACATAAAAATCATCGGCCATCTTAAATACAAAAGATCTATCTGTTGCTGATAATGTTGATGGTAACACCAAAGTCTCTAAATTCCCAGAAACAAACCTCTCCATTTCCAAAAACAGTTTTTTCTGATTAGATGTCATCGTTAAAAGCTTTTTTTTTTCATTTAAATGCATCCCTTCATATACACCTTTTTTTTTTGAACCAACCCAATTTTTATCTTCTAATTCATTTCTAAAATCTTCCCTTTCTTGCTTTTCTAATTCTTCTAAAACTAAAGCTAAACGCTCTAAATTTATAACACCAGCATTGTTAATATATCCACGAGCTTTTGGAATTACTTTTTTATAAATTTTAAAAACTAAAGCCAAAGCACCCTCATTAATATGAAGTTTGGGAAGATGAGGTAAAAAATCATTTCCAACAAAGAATGCAAGAAGTATAAAATCATCGATTATTTTTTCAAAATTATAAGGAAAATTTGGTATATTAGTAAGTTCTTGAAACTCCATTTCAAGATATTCACGAAGTAAACATAAATGCATCAAATAAAAATTTTGTTCTTCAAGTCTAAAAAATAATAAGCTAAAAAAGAATGTTTTATAAAAAAAATACTCTTGTTTTTTCTTTTTTACAGAACCAAACAATACCTCTTCACGTAGTAAACAAAAATGAGGATCATGACTAAGAAGACCAAGCATAATTAAATCAGCGTCCAAACCATATAAACAATGACGTAAATTAGGCTCATAATCAGGCTGTGCTTTTGAAAGACGTATATACTATAAACACGTTAGACATATAAGAAAATATGTAGATAAAAGAATTATATAGAATTATATACCTCCATAATTTTATGTTCTCCTTCTCCAGGAACTTCATGGCCAGAAAAAATTATTTCAATTCCTTTCCAATTGGTATCCTCAGATACTTTTCTATTTATAAAATATTTCAATTGTTCCGACCTATTAATTTAATAAGAAAAAATAACTCATATCATTATCATTACAATCTTTTCATGAACAAAGTTCCTAATTTGTCAAATATATAATGAAAAATCACAATTTATACCTGGTGTAATACAATTACTATCAAAAGGATCTTTAGGAACATCTTCTCCCTTGCTAATTTTCTCCTGATACAGTTCATATGCTTCTTTTGCTGCTTTAAATCTACGTGATCTCTGTTGATTCATTTTTGCTCTTGGTGCAACGCCTTTGGATTATGTAAGCATGAAGAATTAATGCCGTGTAAAAAAACCATCTACAGAAAGAAAAAAAAGCTTCTTTGGCTTTATTGTCCCAAAAAGATGCTCTATATATTTAAAAATTGCAAGAAACGCCTCATTCTCAGGAATTTCTTTCTTATTTTCATCCATATGTGTACAGTTATGAATAATACCATTCATATCAAGATATAAATTATCAAATCTAAAAAACACTTTAAAAAAAGAAAAGATAATATAAATAACTTCTTACTCAGGAACTCTCTTCTCTGTAATCAATTGACTACACATAGGGTATCTCTCACTGATCCACCGAAAAAACTAGTTCATAGTCAATATATTATATATATTCAATCAAAAAGACAAAAATACCTTGGGAATACCCATTATATGCGTTTTTTATCTTTTATACGCCTTTTTATCACGATATATTCCCAATATTTATAATTACAAAATTTCTGATGTTCTTAACGTCCAAGCTGGTCGCTCATTTAACGACAAATAATAAATTAACCAAAGGTAAAGTTATCATTATTAAAAATAAATAAATAAAATGATCTTGTAAACTATAGTACACTGGATTTAGGAAATTTCTAATATTTGGATCTGTTTTTATCTCGTTTTAAAGGTTTAATTGCACATTTGACAGTTTTTTTTAAGAATTTTTGAAATCTATTCATTTGTTTGTTTTATATTTGTGAATAAACATCTTTTTAATATATTAAATAGAAGAATTTTAAGTTTTTCAATTATGCAAAAGGCAAATACTCCTGAAGAACCGTTCCAACAAGACACTTCAATGACAAGTATATTCTAATATTTATTAAAATAAAAGTTTTATATATTTTAGTGAATGCGGATGAAAGGGAAGCAGAAGAACAGGTTTTTAGTCCTTTTTATTTCCATTGAACTCCTTTTTCTAATAATTATATGAAGATTGTAGCTGAAAAACTGATTAATGAAGGTGGAAAAAAAAAAACGTCTTGAAATAAATACATATTAATAAAACTAGAATATAAGATTTGGAAAAAAAATTCTCCATTTTTATATGATTTAATTGTAACTCATGCTTTGGAATGGCCTACATTGACAATACAATGGTTCCCAGATAAAGAAACGTATGATATAACTTATATTAATTTAGAGAAAAATAACTTGCTAGTGTTCCTGGGAAAAATTACTCTGTTCATCGTTTATTAATAGGAACTCATACTTCTGGAAATGACCAAAACTATTTAAAATTTGCAGAAGTGTATCTTCCTCTTTCTGCCACTGATATAGATATTCGAAAATATGATGAAGAGAAGGAAGAAATAGGAGGGTATGAAGGAACAGATGCAAAAATTAATATAGTACAAAAGATTGATCATGATGGGGAAGTAAATCGTGCTAGATATCAGCCTCAAAATCCCAATATCATTGCTACAATGACAGTGAGTGGTGACGTTTATATCTTTGATAGAACAAAACACTCATCCAACCCCATGGGAACATGTAATCCTCAAATTAAACTTAAAGGACATACAAAAGAAGGGTAAGAGCCCCATTGTAACTACAAACAACTTATTTTATAGATATGGTCTTTCTTGGAATCCCCATAAACTTGGGTATTTAGTAACAGGGACAGAAGATATGACAATTTGTTTATGGTATTGAAAAATTAATATAATATATGTCTTTTACATATAACTAGGGATATCACTACTTATTCTAAAGGATCTAATATTTTATCACCTATCCATACATATACGACGCACACAGCTGTAGTTACAGACGTTACTTTTCACCCACTTCATGATTCTCTGTTTGGCTCTGTATCTGACGATTTGTATCTTCAAATTCATGATATTCGATCGCCAAATACAACATCTGCTGCACACAAAGTTAATGCTCACTCTGAAGCAATTAATTCCTTAGCTTTTAACCCAGCATGTGAATATGTCTTATCAACCGCATCAGCAGACAAAACAGTTGCTCTGTGGGATCTTCGAAATTTAAAGCTCAAATTACATTCTTTTGAAGGACATGATGATGAAGTAACATCTCTTGCGTGGTCACCGCACGAAGAAACTATTTTAGCAAGCTCAAGCATTGATCGGCGTATAATTCTATGGGATCTTAGCAAAATTGGGGAAGAACAATCTCCAGAAGATGCTGAAGACGGTCCTCCAGAACTTTTGGTAATTTAAATTATCAGTTTTTTTCAATACAGCTCATTTAATAGTTTATGCACGGAGGTCACACAAATCGTGTCAGTGATCTTAACTGGAACTTAAACGATCCATGGGTTTTAGCCAGTTCTGCAGAAGATAACATTGTTATGGTTTGGCAGGTAAATCCTTATATTTTTATTTTACATTTATTTATTTCCATTCACAGCCCGCAAATAATATTTATAAAAAAGACGATATTGATGTTCAAGTAAGTGATCTGGAGTAATTAACGGCTTTTTTTATATTTAATCATGTATTTCTCATTTTAATATAATTCTCTTACTAAACATATCGTACATTTTCAAGCACGTTAAGTACTTAAAAAACCAACAATGTTTCTATATTACCAAGAGATATAGAGATGCTTGAAGGTATACAAGATTTGGAGTAAAGAATCTGTTAGATTTAGCTCTGTGTTTAGATGCAACCTGTTTAAATACAAACAAGAGACAACTATCTCGATCACCAACACCAGATTATGTTTTTCAGGAAATTTCAGATGAAGAATGCTTAAAAAAAAAAAAAAACTATAATGAATTGGATAGAAAATGTAAAAATATATACTATAGTGTTTTTTCTTTTTGATTTAAGCATTTTTTTTAGCTACACGTGTTAAAATCAAGTTAAACAATAAAGGAAATGCATCTCATTTAAATAATTCATCAACACCAAAATATGATCCTTTGGCATATATATTTGGAGAAAATGATTTTTCATATATTTTGACACTTAAACCAGATCATGAATCGCGACCATTATGGATTAATCCATGTGATGGTAAAATTATTTTAGAAGCATTTTCTCCACTAGCAGAGCAAGCACAAGATTTTTTAATTACTATTGCAGAACCAGTGAGTCGGTATTATATAGTTTTATATTTTTTTACTTTCTAACAATATTTTTTCAAAAAAAGGCCAGTACATATTCACGAATATCGATTAACAGCGTATTCTTTATATGCAGCTGTTTCTGTTGGGTTAGAAACAGATGATATCATATCAGTGCTTGATAGGCTGTCAAAATTTCCAATTCCAGAAAATATTGTACAATTTATTCAGATGTATACTATTTCATATGGAAAAATTAAACTAGTTTTAAAACAAAATCGATATTTTATAGAAAGTTCTCATGCAGAAATTCTGCAAAAACTTTTAAAAGATGAAGTTATTGGACCTTTACGTATTGATCCAGAGTCTTCAAAAAATAAATTAAATTCTATGAATTTTTCACAAATTAATAACATTGCTTCAGATAAAAAAAAATGTATAGAAGATAAAAACAAAAAATCGGAAGTTAGTGATTCCAAGAATGACGCAGAAAATGAAACACCAGATATATCCAATCAAATAGTTAAAAATGAAATTAAAGATTTAGATAATAGTAAAGAGCCTTTTCCAATTATCGATATTGGTCACGATGACGACGACGATGATGATAATGTCCACTCGTTTGAAATACCATCATCTTCTGTTGAAGTCGTAAAAAAACGCTGTTCTGAAATTGATTATCCAATGCTGGAAGAATACGATTTTCGAAATGATACATCTAATCCTGATCTGGAAATCGATTTAAAACCATCTACTCAAATTAGATCATATCAGGAAAAAAGTTTAAGTAAAATGTTTGGAAATGGGTAAAAATATTGAATTATTTATTATCATTTATTAATATAATAGTCGTGCAAGATCAGGAATCATTGTACTACCATGCGGAACAGGAAAAACGTTAGTTGGAATTACTGCAGCATGTACAATTAAAAAAAGTGTTTTAGTATTATGTACTTCTTCGTATGTTTTTTTAAAACATAAATATTTTATTTAATTCATAAAATAGTGTTTCTGTAATACAATGGAAACAACAATTTTTACAGTGGAGTAATATTAAAAGTGATGATATTGCAGTTTTTACGTCAGATAATAAAGAAAAGGTTAGTATTTTCAGTATAAAAATTATAATTTGAAATTTCTAGTTTAAAGGAGAATCCGGTGTAATTATTTCAACTTATTCAATGATTGCAAATACTCGGAATAGGTCTCATGATTCTCAAAAAATTATGGATTTTTTAACATCACGTGAATGGGGATTTTTATTATTAGACGAGGTTCATGTTGTACCTGCAATTATGTTTCGTCGAGTAATTACAACTGTTGCTGCTCATGCAAAATTGGGTTTAACAGGTATTAATTTCTTTTTTAGAACATTTGCTTATCTATCTATAGCTACTCTTGTTCGTGAAGATGATAAAATTGACGACCTTAATTTTTTAATTGGACCAAAATTATACGAAGCGAATTGGCTTGATTTGGCACAAAAAGGCCATATTGCAAATGTTCAAGTATAAACAGTGGCAATGTATTCACTTATTTAACTTTTTTTAGTGTGCTGAAGTATGGTGTCCAATGACTACAGAATTTTACAATGAATATTTAAACGAAACTTCTCGCAAACGTATGCTTCTTTATATTATGAATCCTAATAAGTACAGATTTTTAAATTTTTTACTTATATTTAATAAACTTATAGATTTCAAGCTTGCCAATTTTTAATTGATTATCATGAAAAAAGAGGTGATAAAATAATAGTTTTTTCTGATAATGTCTATGCCTTAAGAGCATATGCATTAAAATTACAAAAATACTTTATATATGGTGGAACTTCTCAACACGAACGAATGAAAATTTTAGAAAATTTTAGATACAATGATATGGTAAAAACAATTTTTCTTTCAAAAGTAAAATTTAAATTATTTTGACTTTATCTGAAATTATTAGATTGGAGATACATCTATTGATCTCCCAGAAGCGACATGTTTGATTCAAATATCTTCTCATTATGGTTCCCGTAGACAAGAAGCTCAGAGATTGGGCCGTATTTTACGGGCAAAAAAAAGAAATGATCAAGGATTTAACGCCTTTTTTTATAGGTAATATATAATTTTAAAATACTCATCAATTGATTCTTATTGCTAATTATAGTTTAATATCTAAAGATACTATGGAAGTTTATTATTCAGTTAAGCGTCAGGCTTTTTTAGTCGACCAAGGTTATGCATTTAAAGTTATTACTCATTTAAAGGGAATAGAAAATGTCCCTAACTTAGCATTTTCCACTCCTGCTGAACAAAGGGAATTATTACAAGAAGTTTTGTTACAAAATGAAGATGCAGCTGATATTGATAAAAGTGATGAAAGGGAAAATTATTATGATAATTTTATGAAAAAATCTAAAAAAGAACTTTACAACACTACAAAGGTTAAACGTAGTATTGGCAATTTAAGTACTCTATCTGGAGGCAATGATTTTGCATATATTGAGTAAGCTGCTAGCTAATTTTTATTCCATTTTCTTCTAATTTACTTAGGTATAATAAAAGCGCAAATAAACAACTTAAAGATTCCGTAGTATCCCGAAATCCAATCATTAAAAAATTTTATGCTCAAAGAAAACGTTAAAATATGTGTTAAATTATCAATTCTTTTAACACAAAGTTTCAATTAATTACCACATGATTAATATTTTTTACTTATATCCATATAGCAGCTAAAAAGCTTTTACAAGATTCACTTTTTACTTGTATAAAATATAATTCATAAAATTATTTAGTTAATCATAACTATTTTTTAGAAATTAATGTCAAGAATTCTTTTCTTGTTTTAGATGCTTCTCTAAATGCACCGAGCATATGACTAAATGATTAATGCAGACTTTAAAATATGGGATTTCTAAACCTTGTAATGGTGATACTTCCTGGTTTTTGAACACCTCTCATAATCATACATAAATGGCTTGCCTAAAAGTGATTAAACAAAGAAAATTAAGAAAATGGATTTGTCAAAAGAAAACAGGACAATAAAAAAGCTTTAAAACGATAAATGAAATACCTCAATAATAACACCAACACCTCTTGGTTTTAACATCTCAAAAAGAGCAACTGCGATTTGCTTTGTTAACCTTTCTTGAAGTTGTAAACGACGTGAAAACATTTCTGTAAGACGTACAATTTTAGAAAGACCAATTACTTTCTTATTTGGAATATATCCGACTGAAATCTAAATGAAAAATAAACAGATTTCTCAAATAAATTAAAAAATTACTTTTCCAGTAAAAGGAACAAGATGGTGCTCACACATGGAAAAAAAATCAATATCTCGAACAATTACCATTTCATCATGATCTTCGGCAAAAATTGCACCATTTACAATATCTAAAAAATACTAATTTAATACTAGAGAATCTAGAAAAAATAAAAAATACCCATCATATTCTCTTCATAACCTTTTGTGAAAAAAAGCATTGCTTTTGCATATCTTTCAGGTGTTTTTTTTAACCCTTCTCGAGTAGGATCTTCACCAAGACATTCAAGCATAATACGAATTGCATTTGAAAGTCTTTTAAGTCTAGTCTCTTGATCTTTAGGGCATTGATCTAAACGTCTCTTTTTACCAGCAACTGTTTAACTTTAATACATTTTTAAACCAAAAAAAAAAAACAAAATTGAAAACTTACTCGACACTGAATTCTCTAAATATTTGTTAAGAAAATACAGAAAAAAGATAAAATATATCAAGATTACCTTCTAAAAGCTTATACTCATGATCACAGTCATCATCAGCTCTTTCTTCCATATAAATAGACGACATGAAAAAACATGAATATTTGAATACGTCTGTACCGATCGTTCATTTTATAATTAAAGCAGGAATTACAAATAAAATAAAACAAATTAAAAAGAGACACTAAGAAAATAAATAAAATACTTATTCTATTAAATACAAATTTATAATAAAACTCAAGATATTTATATTTTTGTTATTTTTTGACAAAAAAAATATATAAAAGTCATTATTTTATAGCAATTAATACAAAGTATGTCTTCACACTTAAAAACAATGGAGTTGATACTCTTCAGTAATTAAATACTTGAAATTAAAAAATATTTTTTTTTATAAAGCATTTTATAATTATCTTAAATAACCAGTAAATCGTTACATTTTATGACATATGTTTAGATAAAAGGTAGAAAAAATGGTCTTTAATTATAAAAACCAATATTTTTCTTTAATTTGCAAATTTTAACATTTTTTAAGTAATTTTTTAAAAAAGTATATAAACTTTAAGCAAAACATCTAATGCTAAAGACATCTAACATTAATTTCATCATAAATCTAAGAATTATATTTCTTTTTCTATAAAATTTGAAATTCAACTCTCAAATTTATTAATTCTTTTAAAATGTTTAATAGAAAATAATATATCCTTATATAAAAACATTAAAAGCTAAATGTGTTTTAACCTTATTTTTTTCTAAAAAACAGTTTTAATGACTGAATTATAAAATCAAAAACTAAAATATTAATATAATGTATTCTTTTTATAAAAAATATCTAATTCTATTACAAATCTATTTCTATTATCTTTACCAATCAACATACTTTTTAGTCAAAAAAACTTAAATTTCATTCATTTTCTAAGCACTTAGTGTACCTTCGAGACATCTATCATTCTCTAAAATTCAAATAATTTGTAGAAAACCAATTTAATAAGCTCTACCAGAACTTTTATTACAATTTTTTCCTTATTTCTGTATTTTGAAGTAAATATGCATTTTTTTTTCCAATGTTTTTTATGTTTTTCTGACATTTTTTCATAGTCTATGATTTCTAAAGGATTATCAGAGTTTCCAAAGCCACATAAAGGCATTTTAAAAAATAAAAATGAACCAAGAACAAATATTAACTTTTTCTCTGATGCTACTGCTAGAAATACTTTAGAAAATTCACAAACTCATTGTCATACAGCATCATATATAAATCATGATCAAGCGGTTTCATCACCACGATTAAAATGGGATGAAGCCAATTTATACTTAACAGAACAAGAGAAAACATCCACTATGAAAATAACAGAGCCAAAGACTCCATATACACGTCAATATGACCCATCACCAAGTTTTGATGAAGAGATGATGGATAGTGATCAAGAAACTCTAAATAAACATAATAATAATGACATACCAGCCTTTAATCTTGGTGAACCGCAGCAGAAAACACCTGTTCTTTTAAAACAAGTAGTTGTTAAAGAAGAAAAGTCAGATAATGGTAGCAAAACCAAGCAAACGCCTGAAGGTTCAAAATTGTATTTTTATGTAAATTTGTCAAATTTAACTCCTCTATAGATGAACAACAGCGTCGGATTTTTGAACTGATGCGCAAAAAACACTATGAAAAAATGGGAACAGCAGTTTTTTCACACGAAATAGAGCCTGATTATGATGAAAGTGATAATGAACTTGAAGATACGTGTATACAAATAAATGGTCAAACATCGTATTAAATTAAAAACATATTGTAACATTTCCGGAAAATACAAAGTGTTTCCTTTTTAAAATTTTATATAATCATACTAAACATGGTCATATTTTATATTTTTTAATATCGCATAATTTTGTATATATTAAGATAATATTATACTCCAAAATAGATAACTAGTGAAAAATCTGTCCTAAATGATGCATCTCTAAGAGGGTTTTTACAATCTTTTCATCTTTTTCTTTTATAATTTTATTTGTCATTAACTCGCCAACCATTTCTATAAGAATATCCCGTGTTTTTGAAGATGAAATGTCATCTTTATCATCAGATGATGTCTTAGGTTGCATCTCATGAGTTTCAGGGGCCTCAGAGGATGTCTCATGAGTTTCAAGTGTCTCATCGGGCGTTTCATCTTTTGACATGAGACGAAGAGAATTCTATTATTGTTAAAATGAAAGAATCTAACTCCTTAAACTATATACCAACAAAGCTTCAAGACACTTGGTTGCTTCCATCTTTTTAAATGTTAGCTCAGCGCTATTAATATCATCTTTAATCAATAATTCGTATATTTTTATATTGGGCATGATCAACACACGAATTACTTCCTTCCCCATAGTAGCAAGGCCAATAATTGCACCATAATGAGTTGTAAATGGCTTTTTGTTATCCAAAAATGCCTTTAGAAGTGTTCGTGTAATTCTTGGCTTCAATGTATGATATACATCACCAAACCGCTGACAAATTAACCCAAGTAAAGAGGCAGAAAGATCTCGAAGAGCATAATGATCTTGAGATGCAGCATTTTCACCTAATCTTTTTGCCACCAAACATGTTAAAATCGATGGAATAATTTGATGAAGCTATTACATTAAGAAACTTATTTAAAACAAAAAAATACACTAACATAAGGCTCAATAAACAAATTAGGATTATCAAATAGCGCCCAAGTAACTTGCATCATCATATTAAGTATAAAAAGATTTTTCAAATTATGTGTAATTTTTTCTGCTACAAGAGAGACAAAATATGGTAGTAATTGATGTAGTCCAGAATCTAATCTCAAACTAGCCAAAGCTGCTAGACGAAGACGTTCATTATTTTCATCTAGAATAGCAGCATTAATCCGCTCAAAATATAATCGCAATTCTTTCGATATTACATGTTTTACCAAATGTTTAACCTCTACACCAGTTGAAGGGCCTGACAATGTCCAGGAATTGTTGTTTATAACCTGGAAACCTTTTTTACTTGACACTGAAGTATCAGAGACCGAGGGATTCTGTGGAATAGCAGGTTGTACTCCTTCAATCGCCAACCAATGAACTTTTAATATTATTTATATATTACTATGGTATTATTTTAGATCTAACCTGAATATGAAATATCTCGTGGAACTTTTGGAAGAGGTGCATGAATCACCTTATCAAATTCAACATCATCGTCTTCCAAATAATACAAAGGTGGTTGGCCTTGCTCCAAAAGAGATTCGCCAAACCGAACAGGGCGAAAAGCATGATACCCATACAAAGGCTACCAGATAAAACAATCAATACTTATCTTAATATTAAAAGTTTTCATACCTCAACATTTAAAACACGAAGTGCATGGCTAATATCAGAAACTGTTAAAATAGTACGTTTAGCATGCCGCATAAACTTCATCGCTTCCTGAAGAAATCCAGATCAGCACTAATCCACACAAATTATAGAAAACGCATCATAGAGCAAGGATTAAAAATATTCGAATAAAGATTTCATAAAAAAATAACAAAATAAATATTATAGCACTAAAATTTTGCCGTTTCTAATTAATACCTGAATAACTTCATGAATACGATATTCAATATCTAATGCAAGCACTTTTGCAACACTATCATCAAGCTGACTAATACCAATTGATTCTGCAACATCTTTTACAGTATCAGGTGGCCACACTGATGCAACCATAGATAAAAAAAGAAATAATATAGACGTAATTAACAAAAAAGAAACCTAATACACAAAATAAATATAAAAGCAGAGTATTCAAAGAATATCAACAATCAAAAGAAAATAAGTTTGCAGTGGAATAAAAAACCTTCAGAAAGCCAGAAAAAAACACAAAAAAAGCCACAGAACAGAAATATACTAAAAATATTTGAATTAAAACCAAAAAAACACAAAAGATACAACAGCAGTAAAACTTACACTATTTAAACAATGTTAATAATAAAATTTACAAGCTGATGTTAAAATCAATATAAATTAAGTCTAAAAATGTTAAAAATACAAGAAAAACACAGAAATATTATTTATACTTAAATATATATGTTTATATTTAAACAAATAATATATTATTTGCAATTTTGCATTGTTCTTTTTTCTTTATTTTTAATTTGTTCAACGTTTAAAGCTTAAACTACCGTAACAAACATCACAAAAAAATAAAATCTTTTTAAAAACTATTTGTAGATTTATAGTCCTTTTTTTGAGAAATGAAGTGTCTAAAATCAACAAAATACCTATGTTTTAATGGTAATTACTTTTTTTTTCCAAAAAAACGGCTTCAAATCATATATTTAACATTTTCTACAGGAATCCTTGATAGAACATATTTGTTAAGAAATGGAATACCAGGAGTATTTATACGGTCTGAAGTACTTTAAATGCCTATATAAGTTAATTTATTGTTTTTAGAGGCATTGAAACCCAAACAATTTCTGAAAAAGACTCATTAAAAGTTCTCGCTGAACAACGACTAAGAAGACCCAATTCGCCACATTTAAGCATCTATCAACCACAACTGACATGGTATATGTCTGCATTTAATAGAATCACTGGATGTCTTGTCTCTGGTGGTCCTTCTTCTGTTTTTTTAATGATATCCGTTTAAAATTTATAGGACTATATGTTTTTGCTATCAGCTATCTTGCATCTCCAGTTTTTGGATGGCATTTGGATTCTGCTTCTATTGCATCTATGTTTCATACTTGGCCAACGCAAGCAAAAGTATTAACAAAATTTGTTTTTGCTTTCCCGTTTACATATCATTCTTTTAATGGACTACGACATCTTTATTGGGATACTGGTAGAGGTCTGTATATGTTAATATCTCAAATTATACATTAAATAATATGGTTAAGGATTAACACTTAAAGGCGTCTATATGACAGGATATATAGTTATGGGTTTATCTACTATTTCTGCACTAACATTGGCTTTAATATAACTAAAAGGTACCTGAAGTAACATAATAATTTATTTTAAAACAAAAATCGTATGTTAAATGTTTACATTTTTAAAATCAAGAATTATGCATTTAAAGTAACTCTCCATTGCTTAACACATGCATCAGCTCCTGTTGATAATACTTGATTGCTGGAAAGCCACACAACACTAGAAACGCCACCAAGATGAGCATTTTTCGCTGCAACGTGTTTATCGGGAGTAAATACTGAATAAATGTAAAGATGTGTATCAAGTGATGCTGAGCATATATGTGTACTAGTTGGATTCCAAGAAATAGATGTGATTTTGCCCACATGAAATCCCCATAGATTTGTTATGATTTGTTTTGTCTTTGCATCATAAAGAATGATTTTGCCCGACCCATCACCTGCAGCTAAATATTGTCCATTTGGCGAATATGCTAAGCTTGTAACTGCGAAACGATTCAATGTTATTTTATTTGTTCCTGTAATTTTTTTTTGATTTGGATTAAACTCAAAAAAGTAAATATTACCATTCTAACAAATAAACCATTAAACATTAAATATTGCACGATTCCTACCTCAGCACCAATAGAAAATTCATAATTCGTTTTATTCCTGTCAACAGAACTAGGCTGGAATGATGTCTCATTTAATATAATTCTTTTATTATTTTCAAAAACCTGTATATTTGAAACCGTAACAATAATTTTAAAATAATCTTTTTCCAGAATATAAGTAATGCCTTTAGGTAGACTTCCTGTTTCTATTGGATCGCCTCTTTTTATCTGTTAGTTTATGATTTAAATAAAAAGGGATGCAAAAACTCATAAATCAAAAGTTTTGTATCTAATGTTCGCAAAGTATCATCCATTCCAATAGAAAACATTTTATCATGACAAGGGTGAATCTGAATTACTTGATTTGTATGGGTTGATCCATCTTTTAAAGATTTTGCAAATCCCGTAGATACATCCCAACCACATACAAGCCCATCATACGAAGCCGTAAAAAAGGTAGAACCGTCTTCTGACAAACCACCTGTTGTGATAGATTTTTGGTGTCCTTGAACAACTCTTGTAGGTTTCTTTTGTGATCTAGATAAATAATTCAAATCTCCACTAAATGATAAAGATAAAATTTTATTAGAAGGTGTCCACAGATTTCCAACCTGTTGATCCAAAACTGATACTGTTTCTGAAAATATCCATGTTCTAAGGCGAATTAAACCAAAAGTATACCAAATCATTAATTTTACTCTGTTACTCTCTGAGTTTCCACATCCCAAATTTTACAAGTATGATCAGCAGATGATGTAAGTAAATACCTGGAGTCTGGGCTCCATGATAAAGCAAAAATGCTTCCTTTATGTCCATCCTCACTAGAAAATTCTTTAATCATAATACCATCTTTTCCATCATAAATAATGATTTTTGAATCACCTCCAACTGTACAAAACAATGCACCATTTGGAGAAAAAGAAACATCATAAACATATTTCTTATGACTACGACTAATACTATGATATAAAAATGGAGGTCCATGATAAAATACGACCGATGTATCATCTGAAACTGTTACTGCCCTATACGGACGTTGATGTCGTATAGAAACAGCATTAGCAATTTCCGAATGCCCAGAAATCTATAAAAATCTGATCAGCCTTACCATCATAAAAGTAAAGATACAACTTCTCCGACTGAATTCCCCGTATCAAACGTAAACGCATGCCCAAATCTGTACAATATTTATAGTTATACAAAAAAATTCACTCTATACTATTTATACTACCTTTCTTGTCCATCACCCACTGCAATGATCCGTTTACTCTCCGAGTCCCATGTTAAATCATTAATACGTCCTGAAATAACTTTTTTTTCAAGCTTTAACACATTCTCTTCACCCACACAACTCCATACACGAACATTTCCCTGAGAATCCCCTGATGCCACATAATATCCTGATGGACTAAATTTTGCAACTGTTGTTTGCGCTAGATGCCCTCGATATTGAACAGTATCAACCGGATTATCAATACTTCTTAAATAAATAGACTTATTTGACTCAAAATAGTCAGTTTAACACATTGTAACACCAAACTTTATGTTACTGCATAAGCAATCTTCGTTCCATCAGGATGACTTGAAAGATGAACCGGACTTGCTCGAGTTGTTGAAGGCAATGGTGACCAAATAGAAACTATATGTAAAAATATACGTTTAGATCATATTATTTAAGATTAAAAACTCTTTAAATACCTTTTTCAATTAACATCAGCGTCAAACTTTTTTTTTAACGTCTTATTCACGTGCAAATTTGCCTAAGTTATGCCGTCGAATTAACTTAAGAAAAATCTATGAAGTATGGATGAAAACATAGTGAACAAAGAAGACAATATTTTGCAGAACAAAGCGCCAGAAAAAGCTGATACAGATAGCCTCGTTGAAAAAGACGATATTATAGACGTTTTGCATGTTTATCCATCGAATAACGACAGCAAAGATAGTTTTTTAAGAAATATTGATGTTAAAGAGTTTACACCTAGTTTAACTAGTTATAACCGCAAAAGATTATGGTCCTTTTTCCGTTCTTCAGGTATTTTTCTTTTTTGTTTTTTTTTTTTCTTTTGAAATTGTCATAAATAACCCGTTTAACTAAAAAATAGTAATTAATATGTTTCTCCCTTTTTTAAATGGTGTTTTCTTAGGATTTGGTGAGATTTTTGCACATGAGGTTGCAAGTAGATGGGGGTTTTTAACTCCTAGAGTATAATTTGCTACTCGTAATTTTGAATAAACTAACTAGTAATAGAGATCAAGACGTTTTAACATACTGTAAAATTGATGTATACCCTTCTTTTTCCTCTAAAAAGCATATTTTCGTAAAACACTCTTATAAGATGCTTCTGTGGAACATTTCTGTAAATAGTCTCTATAAAATACCTTAGTAAAATGTCTTTATGAAATATTTCCAAAAAACATCTCGATAGCATTTCAGATAAAGGATTTAGGATGCTTCATTCTGCTTTGCCTTATATTTCTCTTTTTTTCTTAACATATATGCTTCAAGTGTTTTATCAACTGGACGAAGATAATCGTTTTTATGTAATCCATTTGATTTCTTACTTTTGCTTTGGGCTACCTCTATAGCTTGGCGATGTGCATTTTTAACACCTTCTACTATAGTCGTAAAACTTGATTTAAATCCTTCGGAATTTGCAGAACCATCAGAAAGCTGTTCAAGTTTGACCTTGGGCCTAAGAGGAGGAAGATTTAAAGAGCGTCTAATTGCTGGACTACGAAGTACCATGCCTTGCCCCAATGAAAAGATGTTTGAAGTAATCCAGTAACAAAAAATAGCCTATTTGCCAATTTAGAATGATAACCATAATATATAATATATACCGATTGAAAATTCATAGTAAAAAGAGGTGTTAAAAGAATCATCGCACGAAAAAAATTCTTCATTTTTCTACTAGTATTAGCTGATGCACTAGACCCAACCTCAGAACCAAGCTGAATTATCGTAAATAACTTAATGTTTCAAATATGTACTACCTCTAAATTAATAAACATGAGAGATGAATTTAAAAAAGGAAGAATAAAATATGAGTCTTTAACAGTCAAATCACTAAACCATCCAAGTCCTCCATATTTTAGTTCAGGAACGGGTAATGCAGCCATATGAGAACATGCAAGATAAAAACTAATAAAAACTGGTATTTGTATGAATGGCATAGCAAGTGACTTTAAAGGGTTTACTTGATACTCTTTAAACAATTCTTGAATAGAACGAGTCCGTTTAGCTTGTTCAAGCATATCTCCTTCCAATTGCGCCTCTTTAAGTGCTTTCATATGTTCTTGAACCTGTGGATGAATAAGCGAAAGTGCACTTAAATTCCGAATCATTCCAATCAAAAGAGGCATCATAGAGAAACGTATTACGATCGTTAATGCAGCTATGCTTGCCCACCATGGAAGTCCAGTAAATACATGAATATATTCCAAACACTGTTGCAAAAATCCTACAGGAGTCCAATGACAAAATCCCATCGCTTTAAGATCACCAATCTTATGAAGAATTATTTCAGACGGTACTTCATTTTCCAATCCTATATTATCTGAAACCACATCTGTAGCTGTTTCAGAAAAATGAGATAAATTTGCAGTAGACTTAGTAGAAAAAAATAAAGTTGAAAAATGTTGTTTAGAAATAAAAAAATGCGGATAAAACACATATCTTCTATTATAAAACGCAGATCGAATCATATAGGCTTCATATTGATGATATTGAGGCAAATATCTTTTGCAAGATAAATAAAATGTGTTTGACTGTGCTTGTGTTGAAAATCTTCTAAAATTCATAAATTGATGAAAAGAAAAAGATAAAGTCCTATTATTCCAATAGTTAAAAATGCATCCAAATAAAAAATAGAAAAATCAACCAAGAAATTTCATAGGAAATATATTTTTTTTTTAAAGTCATCTTCGTTGCAATTGATATTAACGTTAAAAAAAAGTATGAACATCTATTATTTAATTAATGACTAATTTAAATACTGAAATATCAGAAATCCTTCCATTATTATCACCTGAAGTTTCATTTTCTTATGGCTATATTTATACTCTTCCTAAAAAACTAAAATGGCCATGGATAACACCTAAAAAACCAAGTTCAGTTTTTCTTTCAAGTCATTTTTTTTTTATTATACATGAAGATGCATTGGCATATGCCGTTGAAGTTTTAATCTTTTTTGCTTCAGATATAACTGTTTTTTATGTCACTAAAGCGGACTCTACTGGTTTTTTTAATAAAAATCAAGCACCATCACCTTTTAAACCTGCTACTTCTGCATTTTTATCTTATCTACTAAAAAGATTTTCAAAGAAAGACATACCATCACGAATTTCTCTTTTTGCTAGATCACAACCACAGTATATTTTTCCATCATCTTGTTCAAATCCTCACAAACATATATTAAATGATCGAGAATTAATTAGATGGTGGGCAAAAGTGTTGGATTGTACAAAAAAAAGCCATCAACCGAAAAAATACATTTTAATACCTGGAATAGATACCCGAGAAACACTTAGTTTTACTCCAAATTATACAAATACCAGTTTAAAATGGATTTGCGGTCACCCATATCAATCTGCAAATAAACCTGCAAGAGAAATTATCCCACATTTTCCAGATGATCCTAAAACTCGACTTCTTGATCAATTAGATATTGACGGACAAGGAGAAACAATAAATGTTGACCAGTTTTGGGAATTAATGGCATTTCGTCAAGAATGTACACTTGGTAGAATTGTCGGTTTCTTAAATATAGAATTTCCTCCAAGCAAAGACCAAGAAAATAAAAAAGATTCGAGTTTAAGCAAGGATTTAAATGAAGAATGTGGTGTTCAAATGAGTGAAAGGATTTATCGAATGCATTATGAAAAGTTATTGCGTTCTGATTTTGAGACACTAGAAAAAACAAAAGGAGCAACTCTTGATTGGATTCACAGTATAAATAATATTAAAAGCACCAACATTGTAACCAATTGGATGAAAACAGTTTCTGGTAGCAAAACTATTGAAAACAAAAAAAGAATTAATGCAGATGTTTTAGAACAATCAAAAACCATTAATATTCTTAACAAAAATTTAGTCCGTAAAAAAAGTAAAAAAAATAAGTGAATTTTTATTTATTCTATCCAAATTATATCCATTTACCTTTGGCGATTTTATCTGCTAAATATTCTGTCAAACATCTTCCATCATTTTCGCATATTAATTGAATCTCGGCTTTCATACCGGTGAATAACATTCTACATAATTCATTTCTCCAGCTAATATGGTCTTGAATCCATTCTTTTTGCAAAAGCTCGAATGCTTTTTTTACATCATGTTTACTCATTGGAATATACCCATTTTCTTGGGTTTTATCGAAATCATTTGAATGTACACCCACCCATTTGATTGATGGTATAGCCATTAAATGACTATTATGAGCTGTTGCATAGGAACCATATTTATATGTAGCTAAAATACCAATTCCATACGGATCATGATCTACTAAACATAATATGGGAGTCGATCGTTTATAAGGGTTTTGAGAAGATGAAATAGACTTTGATATCATATATAAAAATTCTCTTGTTGATATATCAGGGAATCCTTTTGCCTGAAAATGCATTTAGCTTTGTAATTCTGACTAAAATCAATATTATATACCGTAATAATAACCCCTTTTCCTGCTACAGGGTGATCATAAAGTTTACATATTGTTAATGTTTTGAAGGTTGACTAAAAATATTAATTTTTATTTTATATTCTATGTTTTTACCTCTTTTTCAACAACAAGAATCCAATCAGCTTCAATTTCTACACCTTCTATTTCAGTCTCTGAAGGTATTAATACCTGAAAAAATTAAAATTATAAAATATAAATTTCGATTTCCATACTTCTGAATCTTGCAGACAATTTATTTCATCAAGATTCTTTCTTTTTATCTTTATATATCCACATACAAGCCCTCTGGCAGTTGCTAACTATTAAATTACAAATTAATAATTAATTGAATTCAAACACTTAAATTTTACCACATTAAGTGCAGATCGTCTGATTTTAAAAGTGAATGCAATATCTTCTATAATATTGTCGACAATTTTCTGTTCTTTAAACAAATTTACATCACGATAGAAAATATTTCTTGACTTGTGAAAACGTTTGACATTCTAATATTTGAATAACTTACCTTTTTGTTACTGGTGTATTCGACACTAGAGCTTCATGAATTAAATCCAAAACTCGAACAAGAACAGCTATATTAACCTAATTAAAAATACATATAGAAATATTGAGAACTACCAAATTTCCAAGAACCCTTTTTTGTTCTATCTGGAAATCTAAAAAAACGTTCTTTGCCTATTGAATTTCTTTTGATCATATTGGTCTGTCTATCAAAAATACTACAAAAAAATAAATTTTTCAATAAAAACACCAATACCTATACCATTTATTATTTCTTGTTGAAAGTTTTAATAATAATGGTTTTCTATTATAAATACAAGAAATTAGTGTTTCTATAATTTTTTCAATACGCATGATAACCCATTCTCTAAAGATTTCAGTAATCCTGCTTTCTTTCAAAATTCTTATGCTTCAATTTTCATACCTTGTTCGAGGAACTGTGTCAATATATAATGTTTTTTTCTCCATATCAACACCAGCAAAATCTATATAGTGGATAATTTCTGATTCTGTAGACGATTCTTCAGAAAATACATTATATTTCTCTTCAGAGACATCAATTTCTGAATCCTGCATTATATAATTTCAATTTTCACAATAAAAGCCTTATATATGTAATTTTTTCTTTTAAAGCCAATTAATTGGTCTTATAATTAACTTTATATTATTCAATATCAACATATATTCAGTATTTTTCAATAAAAACACACTTATAATGTTTTATTTTCTGTTCTATAAAAAATTGGAAAATTAATCTTAAAAAAATGGAAGATTTTATCTTTATATTTTTTTCTATCGAGATATATGCAGTCACGTGACATATATCACTAGAATCTTTAACAAACTGAAAAAGATAAGTAGTTTTAGGGAAAAAGTATGAATTATTATAGGTATTTGTTATTAAACATTATATATATTGAATTAATTAAATGTATAAATTCTCAAATGATTTTCAAAAGTCTTCTATCTGTTGACATAGCAACTATCAATGTTACAATGTAATTATAATGAATATAAATTTTAAGCTTTCCTTATATTCTAGATAAGAACGAAAACAAAAATATATGAAAAAATTATATAAAATAAATAGAGTTTTTTATTTACCATGTTTGTCTATGTATGCATTTAGCTTTTTATGGAGGTATTCTGTAAATATATAAAAGACCATTATAGACAATATAAATATATATTGTAAATTTAAATAACAAAGAACTTGTTTTTTTTTTCTTAAATATGCAGAAAAATAAACAAAATTTGAAATAATATTAAAAAATTAAATTCTAAAACAGTATATTTAAATATTTTAGTTTTTTTTTATTATTTTTATTAACTCCAAGTATATAATACATCATTTTTATTAATAATAAATGTACATAAATATATTTTTTAATAAAATTTTTACTCGAAAACTAGATCATATATAAAACAGAAATCTATATATTTTTTATGTTTTTTATTTGTTTAACTCTTACAAATACAAGCATTTTATTCATTCATATGAATGGATATATGTAATTTTTTTAAAAAATAAATCTATTTATACATTTATATTATAGAAAAAATTATATATGAAATGAATACACAAGTATATTTCTATATTTAAAGTTATTTTGTATCTGATATATACATGATTACCTTAATATCAGTAACATAATTATTAAAATATCATTAAAATATTTAGAATGCTTTAATATATTTTTAAAACAATAATAATTCAAAAATATTTTCAATATGAAAAAACAAAATCTATTTTAAAAGGTAATTTTGATAATTTTCAATTTAAAAATTGTAATACAAAACAAAAATCAATAAAATACCTATTTTTTTACATAAACATTATTTTTTATAATTTCTATAAAACCCGTTAATAACTAAAATATATAAATGAATATCTATTATTAAATAATCCGACAAAATGTGATATAAAGATACATGCTCATGCATAATATTAAGTTAAAACTGTATGCAAACATAGCTTTTCGTAATTAGCATACAAAAAATACTTTTAGAACTCCTTTTTTAACCAACTTAAGATTCAGTGTATATATTCAAAATAACAATGACACTCTATTTGTTATCAAACGTTAATGTAATGTTGGCATCATCCGTATTCATTGCAACACTAGAATTATCTAGTTTTCTCTTTAATATATACAAAACTGTAGAATAAGTCAAAAACCTTTATTATCCAACGTTTCGTCTCGTTTTGTTGAACTTCCATTTGAAGAATCCCTATATTCAGTTGTTTCACACGTTCCATCACTAAAGCACCTTTTTGTCATCTCTACCATTTCATACGATCCATCACCAAAGGTACGCGATGTCTTTTTCGTAAATACCGAAACCACATGTTTTAATGATGCATCACTTGGATTTCCCTCCACCCCAAAACTCTCATCCTTACGTACAGGCATACATTCTGCCTCCATATCTTTCATTCGTTGGTCTTCAAACACTTCAAACATATCCCGTAACACCCCATCACTAAAAAATGGCACTGAACGCATAAACCAACAAGATGGACGGTTCCAATCACTCATATCCTTCATTCCCCTGTGAAAATATGCATGTTCAGGCCCTCCCCAGCGGAAAAAACCTGGCATCGTATACATCTCCCAGCTTGGCACCATCCAATCAAAAAAACCCGCGGGAAACCACATGGATCTCGTAAAAAAAGGATATGGAACCCTTTCAAATTCATTTCCAAGCCCTGCTGCTCCATTTTTACACACTTTTTCCCCTTTTTCTCCCGAACATGTCCGTGAATCATCCATCAAAATAAACGCCGAGTGTGTTGCCGACGGATGCACAAATGGAATCCCAAAAAAAGAGTTCAGAATCTGTGCAGTTTGCCTCCTCCAAAGTCCCTCAAGGTAAGATGACATTCTAAAGCTTCCTTCCTTAATATTTGGATTTTCTTCCATCTTTTAATAATATTACGTCGTTGAAATTGTGCACGCAGGCGTTGCCTTCGCAACACGTTTTTAAGATTTTCAACGATGACAACGTTGACAAACAGCACTTGATAGCGCTGCACGCGTGGATAAACAAATCGCAAATATTAAGTGAGGATTTGTGTATTTATGTCAAGAACTATGTGATGCAGACGATTCCCAGTGCTTAAATGAAAGATTTTGAACTTTTTAAGAGCTCGTTCGTGCGGATCAGTGCAAAAACGAGTGTCAGAGGGTTCGTACATTTTTCCGCCTTTGTGCGGGGTTTAACGCTGTATCAGGGAAAACAGAGAATAGAAAACATTTGTATATATCTTTCTGCATTTTTTCCGTGCTTTTTTCTACAAAGAAAAGCCTTTTAAGATCATTTTTTATTATTTCATAAAAAACCATATATCATCATTTCCACAGTCTAATTAGCCCTGGAAACATTTCAAGTGTACAGGAGAGCTAGGAGTTTTCAATTATATCATTCAACAGTCTTTTATTTCATTTTAATAATGAATACAGAGATTCAAAGAAGTGCTAGATTAAATGTACAGGAAAAAAATGCTATGGGAGAAAATACATTAAAAGGAAAGAAATATGAGGAAATATGGACTGAAACAGAAGAAGTTTCTAAAGGAAAAATATCATCGTTTTATGATACGAGTTCTGACTTTTATCAAGACATTTCACTGCTTTCTTTTGAATCAACATGTAAACCATCTATTACAGAAAAGGAATCCTCAAATGAATTTACTTATGAGCATAAAAGAATAGAAGACAAAACATTATTGAGTTTAAATAATAGTTTTTGCAGAAAAACAAAAACTAGCGATTCATCTTTTGATGTATCTTTTTTAGACCAACTATCCATTCTAAATGATTCAACAAATAATAAGACGGCTGTTGAAAACAATGAATCACAAGAAGATGATCTTTTTGAAGTGTTTAACCGTCCTGTTCAAGATTTTATTGAAAACAATATATTTAATGATAATTGTTCATATCTTCAACAGGACAATTTACTTTTAAATTCACAAAAAAGTAATGAATTCGAATCTTTAGAAGATGAAATAGTGATGCAACTCATTGACATGGGCTTTAATTATGAACAGGTGATTAAAGCAATGGAGATGACAGAAAAAAAAGACATAGATTCAATCATCTCACTACTTATGACACTAAATTTTTTAGATGATGAAAAAAAACAAAAAGGATCACAAAAAAACTATATAGTAAATAACAGGAAAGAATCATATCCAGTATCTGATTCACATTTATCTCCAAACCTTTTTGATAAAGCTAATACAATTTTTAATCAAGGAAAGTTGTATTTTCAAAAAACAATACAAAATTCTGGAACAAATTCAAATATTTATTCCAGTTTATTAAAAATGCCTAAATGGATGAAACACAAATCATCATTATCTAATCAGAAATTACCAGAAGAAAAAAGAAAATTCAATGAAACAACGCATAAAACGTCAGTTCAAAATATTGAAAATTATAACTTTTTAGATTTTTCATCTGATGAACCTGTTAAAATACCATCGTCTACTCAGCCCTTTGAATCATTTAAGGAAGACATTATAACACAAGAGCATCGAGATCATTTTGAAAATTTTGAATATAATTCAAAAAATTTTATTGAACACACTCATTCTGAACCTATTTGTAAAAATTTGTTCTTTCAAAATGTAAGTTTTTCATCAGATCCGAAACCAGAATATATTAAACAACCAGATCTGTTTACTTCATCATCATTAATTCATCAACTAAATATTAAAAGAGAACTTGCATCTGACGCTTTTAATAATGGTAATTATTCAAAAGCGTTAGAAATATATACTGAAGCTATTGAACACTTACCATCAGGACATGTTTTAAAAATATTATTTTTAGCTAATCGCTCACTTTGTTATTTGCGAATGGGGAATTCAGAAGCATGCTTATTGGATTGTAATAAAGCATTGAAATTTATTGCAGAAAAAAAAGATATTCAAGAAAATGTACTTTTTGGGAAAAATATAAATCATATATGGAAAAAGATAATTATTAGACGAGCACAAACTTTACAACAGCTCGAAAGATTTGAAGAAGCAAGATGTCAATGGGAAGAAATCATTAATGCAAATATAGGTTATTCAAAGGCTTTAGATGCTAAACATTATTGCGAAAGGGCGCTTAATTCCAATATTCTTATAGATATAAATCCGCTAGAAAACTTCGAAAATCAAACATCTAAAAACATAAGAGAAACATCTTGTAAGAATTTAGATAAAAAAGATACTTTATTTGTATCAACAGAAACCCGGGCCTTAAAAAAAACTCATATTAATACTTTAGACTCTGAAAATGAAAAGAAGGTATTTTTATATGATAAAGTTGAACAACATGTAAGTAAATGGGTTAATGGAAAAGAAAACAATTTAAGAGCTTTGATATCTACTCTTGATCAAGTATTATGGGCTAGCCTTGGTTGGGAAAGTATAAGTATGGCAAACTTACTTTCTACTTTACAAGTAAAAAAAGCGTATATTAAAGCCATATCAAAGATTCACCCAGACAAGGTAATTTTCTTATTTTTATACAATATATTATCTTAATTTCTCTTAAGCTACCAAGAAATACAAGTCTAGAACAAAAAATGATTGCTTCCTCTATTTTCAATTTTCTTAATCATGCATGGAACACGTTCAAAAAACAAAATAATATTTAGGACCATTTCTAAAGTAAAATATAAAACTTAGATACATTTTTTATTCATCTTTTTCTTTTTACAATTATATATTTTAATTTAGCAATGCTTCACCGATCGATAACGATAAGCGAATTTTAATAAAATGAGCATGAATGAATATAAAAATGGAACTATTTTGACTATTGCAATCTATAAACTAGGTTTAAGAAGGTCATTTTTGTCTATTATGAACAGCTTGTTTCTTTTTATGCCACTAACTTTAATTTTTCCTCAAAAATTCAAGTTTTTGACGCGTTATCTTTATTCTTGCATAAAAAACCAAAAAGACATAATAAAAGTAAATAATGATTTTCCAGAAGAAAATCAAAGTGAGATCATTCATTCAAATGGAAGTTTTTTACTTAATCATCTTCATACAATACAAAAAGCCTTTCAAATGAAACCTAAACTTTATAATAGTAGGCATAAGAATAAGTATAAAAAAAAATATATTCTTTCAACAAAAACTGATTTACCTTTTCTAACAAAAAACAATTACTTCTTTGTCTATGATTCACTATCTAATAAAAAACAGTGTCTTATAAAGTATCCATATGCTAAGAAACCATACTTACAGTCTTTTTCTGATGTAGATTTTTCTTTATATATCTTTTGTGAACCTTTTTTATTCAAAAAAGACATATTAGCTCTCAACATTAAAATTAATGAACTTTTAAAATTAATAAAGCATAATTCTTTTGATATTTCAATATTGCATTATACATCTGATAATGAAGTTAAAGAGCTTAAAGAAGTAAGAATTCTTTTAAGAAATACGGAAAAAAATTCTAAAAATCGTATCAAAACTTTAAAAGAAGTCAAAATTTCGCCTAAAAGCAATCAAAATATGAACAAAATTATAAAAATCTATGAATCAGTATCAATTAGTCAAAACAATTTTACATCTTTTTACAACAGTTTTAATTTCAATTTTCCAAATTCTGGAAAAAAAACATTTAAATACCAATTTATTTATCATTCACCTAAAAATTCACTCAAAACGTTTCCTATGATAGCTAATCACAGCAATTTCTCTCAAAGGAATACTTTTTCAAAATATAAACAAAGATCATACGAAAAACTACCGTCAAAAAGAAATACAAGCCATCCTTTATCAGACATTCAGAACTCATGTTCGAAATTCTTATCTACACCATTGTATAATCCTTCATTTAATATGACAAAGACATTTAAAGATAAGCAATTTGATATACATACTCATTTAAAGGAAAATGTATGTCCTACTGCTCAATCAAGTACACAAGGATTTGCTAAAGATAATATATCTATAAAAATAGCATCTGATACTTCAAATGCATTTGAAAATGAAGCAGCACACTTTACATTACCTGCTCATGAAAAAAAACTAATGTTTAAAGAACAACATAATCAAGAAGGTCAAATATTTGATAATCATGTTTCAATTGACATGATATTTTCCAATTCAAAAACAAACTCTACAAAAACACATGACAAGAAGAAATCACTCAAAGATATAAAACGTTCATCGGTTAATATTGTCGATCTAGATATAATGCTTCCACTACTCGAATCCTCAACCATTCCATCTCGAACTTCAAAATACAAACAACCCAAAATATTTTCACCTATAAAAATAAACAATATTTACGAGGACTCCTTACGGTTGTTAAAACAAATACACGACGATAATCGCCGTAGAGGTATTCCTCCTTGTCCTCCTCCCATACAAAAACGATGGGAATTTGTCGAATACTGATCCATTTTCATATGTTTTTTCATGTATTTTTATTTTCTTGTCTTTTTAAAACATTTTTTTATTTTTTACTGCAATTCCAATTATATTATATATTTTTCTATCGCCTTACTCGTCTTATCTCTAAATTACTTTAAATCATACTAACACATTATAAAAATGAGAAAAAAAGTTCTTTTGATGGGGAAAAGTGGATCAGGGAAATCAAGTATGCGAAGCATTATCTTTAACAACTATATTGCTAAAGATACACGGCGTTTGGGTGCAACAAGTGATTTAAGTGTAAAAATGAAGTTTTATTAAGAGATATATAGTTGATGTTGAGCACTCTCATGTGCGCTTTCTTGGAGATTTGGTGCTAAATCTATGGGATTGTGGCGGGTAAAAGCATTATGAAATACATATAACTCAATTTGACTTTTTTTCTGCTTAGACAAGACTCTTTTATGGAAAATTATCTTTCAGCGCAAAGAGACCATGTTTTCAGGAATGTAGAAGTGCTTATTTATGTTTTTGATGTTGAATCTCGTGAATTTGATATGGATTTACATACATATGAGTCTTGCCTTGAAGCAATTCGAGAAAACTCACCTAAGGCACGAGTTTTTTGTTTGATTCATAAAATGGATCTTGTTCAGGAGGAAATGAAAGACTACATCTATCAAGAACGCTCAAAAATACTATACAAAAGGTCAGAAAACCTTGAAACAATGATTCTTGCAACATCAATATGGGATGAAACATTATACAAAGTTTTCGGAAAAATAATAAAAAGGAGCATACTAAACAAATTTAGGCTTGGTCAAGTATTGTTTATACACTTGTTCCAAATGTTCCTACGCTTGAAAAACATTTAAAACAATTTGCTTTTCATGCAGAAGCTGATGAAGTGGTTTTATTCGAACGAACGACATTTCTTGTAATATCTCACACATCTCACTCAGAATTTAATCATCCTGATGTCCACCGCTTTGAAAAAATAAGCAATATCGTCAAGCAGTTTAAACTGAGTTGCAGGTAGATTTACCACTGTCTTTTACATTTATTAACTCGGCCAAAGCAAAATGCAATCTCAATTTACATCATTTGAGCTACGAACCCATGCTTTTTCTGCATTTATCGCCCCTTATGCTTGCGATACTTATATTCTTGTTGTTATCAGTGATCCGCTTGTACGTAAGTATTCAGTTCATCGTTTTTTCTTTTAATTTGTTATTGATCATTATAAACAGAATCTGCTGCACTCTTAATGAATATTGAAATGGCAAAAAACAGTTTTGAGAAAATTGACGCAGCCGATAAAAACCACATCAAGACCATTCATCCAACATAAAAAAACTGGAAACATAAATCAAAATCTCAATATATAAAAAACATCTTCTGATCACTTTCATTCTAGTTTTTTTCTAAATACATATTAGTTAGCATGTTTCTTCTAAAAAATACAACTAAATCTGCTTCATGCAGAGCAGTTTAGTGTATTTTAAAGCTTTCAAAAACATTCATTCAAAATCAAAAAATTCATAATAGCAGTTCAAAATATTGCCCCACCACTGTTTTAAATTAAATGGCTTATCAGATACCTAGAAACTGTCAGTTGCTGTATATTTTCTCTTCTAACATACCGTCGTCGCCATTTTGCGACCGTCATCTTTGTTTCAGTTCAACTATATCATCTTCAGGCTAACTGCTGGACTAATAACTAACAAGAAAATACAGAAAATACCTTTTCTTATTCATTCAATTTGCTATTTATGTATAAAAACAAAAAACATCTTCCACAATGGCAGATATTTTTTCGGTTACAACCGTCGGCTGACTTTTAAAGTTCATATTTAAACATCAACTTCTTTTTGGTAACATAAATTTTCTATTTAAAGCAGAATGCTGATCATACATAGTACATAAAACACAAAAAAATCTTTTAAGAACATTAAACTACAAAATATTTATATATTCACTGGATCTACCCTATCCCTAATTCTACTACATGGTTTGTAGGGTTGATTATATGAGAAGACATCGATGAACAACCTATCTCTATGTTCAATACAAAAAGAACACATGAAAAGGCTCAGACACCGCTGCCTATAGTACTGGGAGATGCATTACTTGTGCATCCATTGTCCTGGCTACGGCTGATAATTCGATTTTTTATAGGTACACGAGTGCCGGTGTGTTGCGGGACACTTGACGCGTCAAGTGCGTCAGTACGCGTTGATGACGCGTTTTCAATAGAAAGGCTTTGGGAGGGCGGATTTTTTGGAAAAGGAAGCTTAAGCAGAAGCACACTTAGCTGGAAAACACGTATGAAACGATTACTAGGGCTTATTGGGCCAAATGAAGGTATCACAAGTGAAGAACGTACATTTCAACGACGGGTTGCTCGACGTGCTTTTAAACGACGTAGAGCAGAGATGGAGAAAAAATTAGGGCTAGGTCTTAATAAAGCAAATGATGAAGAAAGTCAAGAATTAGAAATAAATACAGAAATTAAAGAAGTTTTAGAAGAAGAAGAAGATATAGAAGAGGTTTATGGAGGAAGTGTAACGGAACTTGGAGTAGAAGAACAATTAGAGATATTTTCAAGTCTTGAACATATGCAACTTCATCTTGAAGAAGCTTTTTTTCTGAGTTATGGACTTGGGGTGTTAAAAATTGATATTTCTAAGGAGATGGGAGTGAAAACGTCAATGGATTTATTATTGTTATTTTGTTCATTATCATCGGGACTGAATATGCAAGTTGAGTCACGGATTAAGCAGCCAGTTCATGCAGATAATCGGTTTCTGGTATCATATGTTGCATATCATCATTATCGGTCATTAGGATGGGTTGTTAGGCCAGGAGTTAAATTCGCAGTTGATTGGTGTATGTTTTTTGTCTTTTAAAAAAAAGGTAGAAGATTTTTTTAATACAACATAGTGTTATACAAACAAGGACCAATATTTTCACATTCGGAATTCACAATTGTGGTACTTCCGTCTTACTCAGATGAAGTAAGGAAAGAAAAAGAGTTATCATGGTATTGGCTGCACTGTATAAATAGAGTTGTTTCTCAGGTTAAAAAAGTAATAGATTATATATTATTAACGAACAGGTTAACTTTTTTTAGACAGTTGTGTTGTGTTATGTTGAAATCCCTCCCAAGGCAGTTTTTGAAGAAGCAGTTAAAACAAATAGAGTTGATGAAGTTTTGAAAAAATACAGAATTCAGGAAATCGGAGTGAAACGCTGGTTGCCATCTCGGAATAGAGCTTAAAGTGTTTATTTACAGTCTGATTGTTCTTAAGAGAATAAATCCTGAAACATGCTATTTTATTGCAAATTTTTTATAAAACACGTCCTAAACGATACTGTTCAACAATTTGGCATGGATCCTGGTCCTCTAACATTGACACACACACATAGTTGCTGTTTCCCAAAGGACACCGTCTTTGTGAAGTAGGAAATGGACAGGGACAGTTTTCAGGTCTATTAACACACTGTAGCGTATCGCTACAAAGATATTCATGATCCAAACAAGATACTTATAAGATTAGGCATTTAAAGTGAAAAGAATAAAGACCTACTGCTTTGAAATTTTTCTCTAAGCCAATCAGGATGAAATCCTTGATTATTTTTTTTTTCATCTTTTTGAAAAAAATTATCAAAAATTCGAAAATAGGCTATTGCAAAACCGAAAAAAAAAAATACCCACAAAAATTTTCTTTGAAATAGCATCATTTAATCAACATAATCTCTCTATTTAAAATAACAAAATAACGATTTTTTAAAAATATCTTTTTTCTAAGTATTACTCGATAACAAAAAATATCGATTTTACGTCAATTCAAAATGTAAAAATGAAGTATTTTCTACGGATACCAACATATTATTTTCAAAAAGTTTCAAGATCTTTTAATATATTTCATCCAGCTTTTTCAAATTCCCAAAAACGGTTTTTTCAAACATCCATTGATGATAAAGAACAGTTGAAAAATTATAAAGACTTGAGTACAGACGATTCTTTTAATTCTATCTTAGAGTTTTACAGTAATCTTTTTGATTTAAGTAAAGCAGAAGTTCCATCTTTTTTACCTCCAGATTTGCTATGGCAAGCACTAACACATAAGTCATATCAACATGGAAAGTTTCCATATAATGAAAAGTTGAGTTTTCAAGGTACTATTAAATAGAATGTAAATTATTTAGTTAACACAATGTAGGCTGTCAAGTTCTTAAATTCCATCTTGCTTTATATACAGTTTCATCATTTTCTATTTATGAAAACAAAGATATTCTTACATTAAAAAAAGTGTACGATTTTATTAGTCCTCAAACAATGGGTGTTTTGGCTTTACAATATGGTATTGATAAAGTATTACGCTGGAAACCTGCTTATGTATAAAAATACTCATTATTATTTTCTTCTTAACCTTATAAAGAATAATCATAAAGAAAGCGGATTATTAAAAATAGCATCAGAATCATTATGTGCTATTATAGGAGCTATATTTTTACATAAAGGAGGAGCTGTTACAAAAGAATTTATTGAAAAAAAGATTTTTTCACAAAAAACATTAAATGATATGTAATAATTATAAAATAAACAATTGGTTCCCAAAAAGCATTGACTTTAAACAAAATCCAAAAATCAACATATTTAATATCAAATGTACTCAAAACTTTAATGCAAACATAAGATATCTAATATATATTAGGTGTTTTAAAATGTATCTTTTTTATACATTTAAATTATACTACGCCGTATTCTTCGTCTTCGCGATGATCTTGCAAGTTGATCTACTTTTGTAATCATATCGCCTAAACACTTTTTGCTTGCAAGTTTGGGATCCATTGGTTCGCCCTCATATAAGCTTAAGTGAACTTCTTCTGCGAATTCTCTAAGCCGTAGACCTTGCTGAAGCTGATATCTAATACTTGTAATAGTTTCAGGAAGTAAATCAAATGGTATATTAAGTTGAACAAGAATATTCTAGTATTTATTAACAATTTAATAAAAAACTAAAATATTTCAAACTTTCAAAAGATTGGATGTTTCATTAGAACAAAGTTTATCTATTTTATGAAGTTGTAAACGATAATAAATTTTTTCTGCTTTAGACAATGATTTATGAGCATCTGGCATATCTTGTGGAGTAATTGGTTTTGTATGATGTTCATGTGATGCATCAGGAATATTTGATTTTAATCTTTCAATTTCTTGTTTTGCTTTCTCAAGTTGTATTTTAAGATTATAAATCTATATAATTAAAACAAAATGAAGAAAAATATTCATTACCTCTTCATGGGATGAAATTTGGTTATTGCCTTCATATATTTGCTTTGTAGAAAACTCTTGAGGAGTCATTTCCTTTTGTTTATCTAAAACCGATGGAACACTTTGTTGAGGACTTTAAAATATAAATATTTTATACATATTAAAAAAATTACCTTTGTGTATTTACTGGAATGTTTAAATCATGCAATGGTTCTTTTTTATCATAAACATTCATATTCTGAGGAAAACTGAAATGTTTTGTACTAAATAGCTTTAGTTTAATGAATATGATAAAAATTTAAAAACCTTTGAACTGGAGAAAATTGAGGAGAAAGATATGTTTTCCAACGAGTCATTTTTTCCTTCAATGATTCATCGTTTCCTATTTTTGGTGTAGATGGATAATATTTCTGAATACTTTGTGGCTTTATTTTTAATACTTCAATTAAATCATGACAAATAGTTTTTAAATCAGCAATTTCTAATCTAGCAGCATCAAGATCTTTTTCAACAAAAATAGCATGTTTTTTAGTTTCATCAAAAGATATTTTCAACGCATTTTCATTATTTTGATTTCTATTTTCTGATTTTAAAACAGAAAACTCATGAATTAATTTATCTAACATATGCCCTCTACGGTCATATTCACTTATTAGTTGTTTAAGAGAATTTTGGATATCAATAATATCCTCTTTATGTTTATTATGATCTTCATATGTACATTGAATCTAGCATTTTTAGAATGTTCTTAAATTATTTTATTTAAATACCTCAATATTTTGATTTTTCTGATTAGTATCAGTATTATCTAAATTTACACGTTTAAATTCTGCTTCTGTATATTTTTTTTCGTCAATATGTGATTTGTTTGAAGTATCAGATGGTAAGTCTTTATATGAAACACTTTTATTTGAAGGATGGTTATGTGTGTCAACAAATGAATTCTTAATAATAAGTTTGAGATATTTTAAAATAATATCATACATACCAAAATATGAGAATTATCACGACCTATTAAATTTGAAGAAACAGGTGTCTTTTCATTAGAAAAAAGTTCAGACTGATCTTTTACTTTTAAAGTAGAATTGTTTTCAACATCTATATAAAGGTTGGGGGCAGGCGTATCTAAAAATAATTTTTCCTTCATAAGATCTAATATACTTTCAGATTTCTTAGAAATATAACTTTTCTCATCAACTATATTTCCTAAAAGAGCAGTATTTTCATGGATTGTATTTATGTTTGGATTCGAAAACTGTTTATAATGGTTTGATTTATGTTGAGGTTTAATATTTTCCTTTTTATCTGGATATATTTGTTTCAATATTTCGCCTAGATACTCTTTAACTGTTTCAGAACTCCAAGAAAAACTGGAAGATGTTTCACTTTGATTGGGAGATTTTTTGGGTAAAGATTGAGAAGATACTTCTTGATAATCTTTTTTCGAAAAAAGAACCGAAGAAGAACTTGGATCAGTAGAATTTGAAACACCGGAAGATTCCTGGTTCTAAATGTAAGAAAATATAATAATTAATACCTTCTTACAAGTAATGACGGTTCCAAAAAAGATTGATCATTTTGCACCTTTGATACAGGGACCCTATTTAACGATTTTGGAGATGATAACTTCTTTTCATATAAATAAGAATCCATATGTTTATCAAAAGATGGAACTGTTTTAAGTTGGCCATTGGAAAACGACGCTGATCGTTGAACATGTGGTGAAAAATGTGTCTTCTACCAGTCAACTTTGGATTTTTTTATATAAACAAATCACCTCAAGCTTTCTGTCTGATTCTGGTGTCAAAAAAGTATGTGTTGTCTTCAATGCTGTCTCTTTTTTTATTGTTTTTGTTGACACTTGTGTATCATCCAATAACTTTGCTAATTGATGGATTTTTTTCATTTTTGGAGAATTATGTTGATCTGAAATAATTAAAAAAAAAGAAAACCCGTTTTTCTATCAATTACAATCCAAAAAAACATAATCTTGCACTGATATTTCTTCCATACTCGGATGATTTATTGAGTCCCGAGAATCTTGGATCCACCGGTATTTTGTTGATAAGGTATCATCCAAATAAGAATACTCTTTTTCCATGATATTCTTGCCAAAAACTGGCTTTTAAAATGTATTTTTACAGCTATTTGTTGTCTTGTTTGATGATGAGTTTTCTTGAGCGTCGTGATTATAACGTTACCATAACAACGTCAGACAACATGATTTTTGTCTGAATAATAAATTGATAAAAAAAGTATTAAAATACACTATTAAATAGAGTGAAAACATATTTTTAATATTTTTAGAATGACAGAAAGTATTTCAAGTGAGTTTTTTGAAAAAAATCTCGAAAAAACGGATCCAAACTGCTGGAGATTGGATGTAGAAGAAACAGGCCGACAACAATGGAAATATCTGAGCAAAGAAGAAGCAAAAAAAAGGCCCCAGACAGCATTGGAACTCTATAGTCTTGGAATAGATACAGTATGTGTTTTTTTTGAGTGTTTTTGAGTAGCAATTGAGGGTAAAAGGGAGCACCAGAGCTTCCATTAGCAAAAACGCCGATTGAATCAGCAAAAAATGGGTTTTTATTTTATCAGCGTCTGCAAACAGAGCATGGAAACTGGGCATGTGAGTATGGAGGGCCTATGTTCCTTCTTCCGGGTCTTGTTATTGCAATGTACATTACAAAAATACCATTTCCAGATGAAATGAGAATTGAGATAATTCGTTATTTAGCAAATCACGCAAATAGTGAAGACGGTGGATGGGGAATACATTCAGAAGGGAAATCAACTGTATTTGGGACTGCACTTAATTATGTAGTATTACGTATTCTTGGTCTTGGACCAGATCATCCCATTACTCTTAAAGCAAGAGAGAAATTAACACAGCTCGGTATGAATATTCTGTTTTTGCATAATGATAGAGATATAATTATGTCAGGCGGGGCCATTGGATGTCCTCAATGGGGAAAATTTTGGTTAGCAGTTTTAAACTGTTATGATTGGGAAGGTATAAATCCTATCTTACCAGAATTGTGGTACTCAATTTTATATTAATAAATTTTATTTTAAAAACATACAGGATGCTTCCAGAATGGATGCCAATTCATCCATCACGTTGGTGGGTTCATACAAGAGCAGTGTACCTTCCAATGGGATTTATTTATGGCGAAAAGTTTACAGCAGATCTTGATCCATTAATAGAGTCCTTGCGTGAAGAATTATATACACAACCTTATTCTTCAATTAATTTTTCAAAACATAAAAATACTGTGTCACCTGCAGATTCTTATATACAATGTACTTCATTTCTTCGTATTATTAATTCAATTATGTCATTTTATCACATGATTATTCGACCATTCTGGATTAAAAAATTAGCATCTAAGCACGCTTATGAATTGATTCAATATGAAAATAAAAATACAGATTTTCTTTGTATTGGTCCTGTTAATTTTAGTATTCATATTTTAGCAGTTTATTGGAAAGAAGGGCCAGAAAGTTATGCATTTAAACGTCATAAAGAAAGAATAGCAGATTTTCTTTGGATGTCTAAAGATGGAATGATGATGAATGGTACTAATGGTGTTCAACTTTGGGATACCTCTTTTTCTGTACAAGCTCTTGTAGAATCTGGACTAGCTGAAGAACCTGAATTTAGAAATTCAATGACTAAAGCATTAATTTTCCTTGATAAATGCCAAGTTATTCTTATTTTTATAAAAGAAAATATTAATATTAATAGATACAAAAAGACTGTGATGATCAGAAAAAATGTTATAGACATCGAAGAAAAGGCGCATGGCCATTTAGCACGAGGGAACAAGGATATACTGTTTCAGATTGTACAGCAGAAGGGCTAAAAGCGGTATTACTTTTACAAAATTTGAAGTAAAACTCTTAGATATATATATAATTCCTTAATCATTTTAATAGGTCATTTCCTAAACAAATACCAGTCAATAGATTAGAGGCTTCAGTAGACGTAATATTATCTTTGCAAAATGAAAATGGGGGCTTTGCTTCTTATGAATTAATACGGGGTCCATCATATTTAGAATATATTAATCCTTCAGAAGTTTTTGGAAATATTATGATAGAATATCCATATTCAGAATGCACAACATCTGTAGTAACTAGTTTATGTCACTTTAGATCAATATATCCTGATTACCGTGGATCAGAAATTAACAAAAGTGTTAAAAAAGCTATTCAGTTTATTAAAGCAAGTCAACTGCCTGATGGGAGTTGGTATGGAAGCTGGGCTATATGTTTCACTTATGCTACTATGTTTTCTTTAGAGAGTTTATCATGTGTTCAAGATTTCTATGAAAATAGTTTTCATTCTAGAAAAGCTTGCGATTTTTTACTTAGCAAACAAGAAAGTGATGGAGGATGGTCCGAGAGTTATAAAGTACTTTTATGAAAGTATTTATGCACTAAATTAATTTTTGTAGTCATGTACACAGGGTGTATGGATTAAACATCAGAACGGTAGCCAAGTGGTACAAACTGCATGGGCTTGTATTGGACTTATGTATGCAAATTACCCTGATGAAACGCCTATCAAGAGAGGCATTAAGGTAAAATCATGGTTAATCAATATTTTACTAAAAAAAAAGTTAATCATGTCAAGACAACAACGGAATGGTGAATGGAAACAAGAAGCAATTGAAGGTGTTTTTAATAAAAATTGGTATGTTTAACTTTTTTAAAAAAATATTCTTAATTTTTATTAGTATGATCAGGTTTAGACATGAATATTTATTCCATTCATCCTAATAACATATAGCTATCCAAACTATAAATTCTATTTTACCATTAAAGCACTGGGAATGTACTCAAAAAAATATGGCAATACTTTAAACTATTGATAAAATGCAATATCGTATTTCATTAACAAAATTCATAATGTTTTAATTACATATAGAACATTAATTATTATTTATTTCAACTTCCTTCATTCCTAATCGTCTAATACGTGGTTGATCTTTAGATAAGGGGAGTTTGGTTTTGCGGTCAAATACAACACCTACAAATTTTCTTTTAGGTTGAAGAGGGTCTCGATAAAATTGGACAAATCCAGGCTCTAAAGCATAAAGCGTATGATCCCTACCCATACCTACCTTTTGTTTCATCAACATATGCAAAAAAAAGAATTTTCATACATTTTCTCCTGGATAAAATTTGGTTCCTCTCTGTCGAACAATAATATTTCCTGCTTTCACCATTTCTTCTACAAAAAAATTAATTTTTTTAAAAAAAAGACACATCTCTCAAATACCACCGAATTTCTTAACTCCAAGTCTCTTTCCAGGAGAATCTCTATTGTTTTTTGTTGATCCAGCCGATCTTTTTGTTGCAGTTCGAATAATAAGCAGTGGTAAGGAGATTTTTTTTGCAAAAAAACTCCCTGATAATAAAGAACTTTTAATTCTTAGGAAACCAATATTCATATATGATTATATCTTTGATTTTATTAATTTTAACAAAAAAGTATTCACCATTTTTTTAGATGAACGATCGACTATTCACCTAAGAAAAACCGTATAATTTTATGGATCTAAATCAGACACAAAATAAGGAAGAAATAATAGAGCAAATGGTAGAAATAACCAATTGCTCTAAGGAAGAAGCAGTTCATTTATTACAACTAAATGAATGGAATTTAACAGTATTTTCTATAGTATTTAAATTTTAAAAACTAAAAAAAACAAGGAAACAATTGTAAATTATATAGAAAATTCCAAAAATACAGAAAAAAGTAAACGTGAGATACCGGTTTGTAATACTATAGAGACGTATATTTCTATTTGTCTTTTTTCTTTTAATTTATTATAAATAGAAAGAATCAGCGTAAATTTAAAACATTTAGTGATATTCACACAGAAGAATCAGATACTAATGATGAGGAACAAAAGAATTTTTATGCAGGTGGTGAAAAGTCGTACGCAGTTATTTTTTGATTTAGATTTATTTTTTTGATTTATTACAGTGGTATATATACTCAACACCCAAAGTCAGATAAAAATATTATTGAGCAAATTTTGAAAAAAGCATCTGAGTATGTATCTTTTTATATATATTTGCATCTTACTTTTGAATAGGAATACTTATAAGGAAAATGATAACCCTGAACCGTCGAATACCATGCCTAAATTTACAGGAACAGGTATTTCTTAAAAAAAATTATATATATGGGTAATACGTGTATTTTTAACCGTTTTAGGCTATATTCTTGGTAAAGAAGAAGAACCATCTTCTAAAGTCCAAAATCCTAAGGAATCAACGGCTTATACACCTCCTGCTAAAGTTACACGTGATTTAATATTTTGGAAAGAAGGATTTACAATTGATAATGGCCCTTTAATGAGATATGATGATCCTTCGAACACAGCAAACCTCCAGGCGATAAATTCTGGGTACTATTAATTACATATAACACATAATTTATAATTAGTAGACATGCACCATTGTCATTATTAAATGTACAAATAGGACAAGAAGTGGATTTAAGAGTTCAAAAAAAACTGGACAAGGAGTACCAGCCCCTTAAAAAATATACACCATTTTCTGGAGCAGGTCAAAGATTGGGAAGGTTAGACATTACTTTTAACATTTATATTTGTAACTTTTTCAAGTCCAACGCCAAAAGTTATTGTTTCTGGGTCAGAAAAAACACAAAAAAACACAAATGAAGACAAAAAAATTGTCTATCACCACACTATTGATGAAACGTTTCCTTTTACAACACTGCAAATTCGGTTCGGAGATGGATCAAAACATTCCGTAAAATTTAACTTGACACATACGGTTGGTGACATTTATGATTTTATGGACTTGTAAGAGCCTTAAAGCTGAAATATTTGTTTCTTATTTTCAAAGAAATAGGTCAAACAATGATTCGCGTGATTATATACTACAAACAACTTTTCCAAATAAAGAATATAGAGATAGATCAATAAACCTAAAAGACGCAGGACTGTTGAATGCAGTTCTTATCCAGAAGTATATATAAGTTATTTAAGATGTATTAAGTTAATGCATTTGATAATCGTTTGATATTTGCTTATATAGTTATAAATGTATACATTATCGCCACACTTAAAGCTCAAAATTTATTTGTTTAAAAACCATAGATCAAATGCCCTTCAGAAAGATCCAAATGAGACATTAGACATTATTTATCTAAGGCTACTTCGTTGATATCAATGTTAGTGTCCCCACACTTTTATTGCGGAAAATCTAATTTCTTCATATAACACAGTATCCTTTACACACTTATTTCTAACGAAACAATCTCCGATGTGCCCTGCTTTGTGGCATCCGTTTAGTGTCTCGTTTATATATACGATATGCTTCACGTAAATGATCAGGTGCTAATGGGCCCGTATGTCCCCATTGTTGCTGAATATCGCGTGCTATTGAGTATCAAGAATGTTTTTAAAAAAGAAAAGCCAATACCCTTTTCAATAATTTCACCAATAAAGACTTTAACAAACCCAGATATAACAATACAAATATTCGGTGTAATACTTTGATTCAACATAGAATTAACCATCTAATCATATTTATAACCAACATAAGATGAAAAAGATATAGAATACCCTTCTGAAACTTGATCTATCAAGATTTGCTCGACGGAAAATCTCATAACGCCGCATTTGATCTTCATTAAAACTATCTAATAAAATCCTGTAAAAACAAAAATAAGCCTTAAATATAGTAAAAGAATAAAATTATCACTTTAAACGCATTTTTTCTTCATCTTCAAGCTGTGTCCACTGAGTATTGCAAGATACAATAGATGTACCATAATCATTTGTTTCTTCTTCTTCTTCAACGCCAGAAAGCTGAAACTTCTTTTCCTGAGACATATTTAAAAAACCAGTTTTTTTGTCTATTAAATTATTCTTTTTACTGAAAAATAATACTTAAAAACTATTTTTTTGCAAATTTTGTTAATTTAGTTGTAATAAAATATCAATGGTATTCTGTAATATCAAAATTCGCTAGAAATAAACGTTGCCAGGCCAACTGAGCAACGTCAAAAATTTGAATCAGAAAAGAAAGAAAAGAAAGAGGGACAAAAAGAGGGATAAATGATTCAAAAAGTAATTAAAAATATAGAAAATTCAAGATTTTATATGGAGAATCCTTTTTTTTGTGTTTTTTTTCGAAGAAAATCAACAAAAATAGACAAACAAAAAGTACCATATAAATCACCACCAAATATGCTTCCATTGCCACTAGCTTTGAGGTATCTTCGTGCAGCAGAAGTAGGGTGGCCAGAGAAATCATCAACAATTGAACTACATCTTCGTGTAAAGCGGGAGAAACGGTCTATACCACTGAAAGGAAGTGTGAAACTTCCATTGCCAGCCAAGCCGCATCTCAGAATATGTGCAATTGCAGAAGGTGATGCTGCAGATGTAGCAAGAAAATCTGGAGCAACAATGGTTGGATCTAATGATATTATTGAAAAGGTAACTAATTTTTTAAAAAAATTAAACTAAAATCTGGTATATAGATTTTACAAGGTCAAGTAAAATTTGATATATGTATTGCACATATAGACTCTTTTCCTTTACTAGAAAAGATAGCAAAAGTACCAGGTGCAAAGCGTTGGATGCCTAGTGCTAAAAAGGGCACTGTGTGTTCTGAAATAGGTGATGTTATTAATATGACGGCGAATGGAGTACAATATAAAGAAAAAAATGGACTAATTCAAGTACCATTAGGAAGTGTACGTCAAAGTTATGTCTAGTCTAATATACTATTAAACCTTAATAGGCACGTTACTCGGATTTAGAAATACAATCTAATTTACGGTTATTTCTTGAACACATTGGGTTTTTCAACAAAAAAAAAATAAAAATAGACAGAAATGTTGCCAAAATAGTTATATCTTCAACTCATGGTATGGGTATTGTACTAGATCCTCTTTCGATTTAACATGATGGGATTGACTTTATTTTACATAATTGACGACATGCTTCCACTGATGCATCAAGATCTCTATATATTTGAAGAATTATTAATAGCTTTTCATCGTTTGGCGTATCTTTTTTATATTTATGAAGAGCAAGAGCTAAATGGTTGAATAATTCGTTTTGTACAACTTGAATTTTTTCTTTTCTTTCTTCTATGAATGGATGTTGTAATGAAACAAGCGAAAGGTGATATTTAAGGAAGATATAAGACCTAGACAATTCTTGCAAAACCGATATATCAATACTTCATCTATGTTAATTCATTGAATAATATAAAATAGATATATACTCGTTTTCATATTCTTTAATAATGAGTGATAAAAGACACTCCATATCTTCAATCATCATATTTATATTCAAAAGGTTCATAGAAAGTTCCTATCAAATATAAACAAACATTTAGTCTTATGTTTTATTACTTTTTTTACATAAATTTCGTTTTTTTTTTGCAACTCTTGATCTATACGTAAAATATTCAGTTGAATTGTATCATGTATTTTCTATATTATATGTAAGAGAGGATATTCTTAAACAATTGATATAATACTTTAACCTCATTTTTAAATTTTGTTAAATAAATAGATAAATCAATAATTTTGCTTTCATTTTCAAGAATACTGTCTGCAAGTTTGAAAAAATCATCATATTTTTCTCTAACAAATGTAACAATATCATTTTCAATTGTTTTTGACAATTTTTTAAGTTTAATTTGTAAATCTTCAAGTGTATGAAATTTATATACTTTTTTTAAAAATTCATCTACATCAAAATTTTCCTCTAAAAATACTTCATCATTTAGTTTTTCATACAAATCAAAAGACAAGAAATCTTTCAATATATTTTCTTTATCAAAGTTTTCAAATTCTTTTTGACTTGACATGAAATATAAAACTTATCGGCTTTATTGATTTTATAAATCTTAAAAAATGGAAAAATATAAAATAAAGAAATGCTGCTTATGCCTTGTATTTCAATAGAATATTTTTAACTTTTAATTATGAGTTCAAATTTACAAAATTATAATTTAACATTTTAGAAAAAATATTTAAACCAAAAAACTATAATATATTTAAGATTAATCTACTATATATTTGACATCAATAATAAGCATGCTTTATAGTATACCTTTAAAAAACTATGTTGAAAATTTATATTCTTTAAATACATATAGAAGAAACATCAGTTATATTGAAAGAAATCAGATCCGCTTTTTGTAGGACAGAAGCAACTTGATGGATAACATCTAATGGTACATCATGGACATTTTGTGAAAACTCTACTGTTTTAAGCCATTCTACAACATCCTCTTTTAAATAATGAAAATTTTTAACAATGTATTTAATTGCTTTATCATTATTTTGATAAAAATATGCAATTCCATCATTAATGGCATTTAAAAAATCGACAAGTACAGGTTTTTCAAAAATATGTGCATTCGCTGCAATCATGTAAGATGGCCAACTGAAGAAATAAATTAAAAAGATATAAAACAAAAAATTGAAATGCATACTGTGTAGATAGTTCACCAATCTTCCTTATTTCGCCGCTATTATAATATTTCTTACAAGAAAAATGCTCCCATATAAATGCTGCAATCTCATCTCTACAATAGATTAATAATAATAGAAAAAAATAAAACAGGAAAAATACGAATTTGCAGCTTCAATAAGTTTTTGAAACGTATTAAGCACCTTAAATACAAATGGTTTAACTATTTTTGATGTCTCTTATTTTGTGAGTGAATAAAGTATTATTTTAATAGATTTAATAAAAAACCTTGTTTCGCAAAAATATATGACATAATATGAGAACCACTTAAAATTAAATTAGTTGTTATCTCCAATAATAAAAGTACACAAAAACCTTCCTATATTAGAAATACCAACAACACTTCCATCCAAGTCTTCTTCAGTGTGATAAGAAGATTGTTTGCCTGTATTAATCGACCAACCTAGTTTTATCAATATGAAAATTATGAGATAAAATAAACTTACAAAGATGAGATTTAACATATGTCCCTACAATTTTGCATGAACCCTTACTACTTGAACATCCAACGACAAGTGCTTCAGTCAATCCTATAGAAATATCTGTACAATAAATTATATAAAATAAATAAAACAAAAGATATACCAAGTGCACCACTTTGAAGCTTCCGCATAACTTGGCCACTACCTCCTGAACATACAACGAATTTAGCATCGATTCCATAGTTAGCAAAAATTCCATTATTATGAGCAAAAAGTATAGCTAGTGACTTATCAGCTAATATTTAAAAATATAGGCAAATCAACGTGCAGAAAAATATTCTGGAACATAACCGATCTGAATACAAGTTTTAAGCTACATAATAACATCTACTATTCAACAAACCCGAATCAAATGTTTTCCCATTAGTGTTTTACACAAAAAATTAAAATCTTAATTAAAAATAAGCTTTTGAACGTTTGAAAAGAAATTTTATCAAACAATTGATAGAAATTTTTCTTTTTATATGATTTCCTATGTTGGAAACTTCTAGATCAAGCTCTATCTAAAAAAAGATCTTTTGCTGTTAAATCACTTTGTTCACTAAAAAAAGGCCGTTTAATAACTTTATCACACTAAAAAAATACAGAAAATCACAGAAAATCCCTTTTTTCCAAAAATTCCCTTTTTCCAGAATATAATTTAATCTTTTATTTGAAATAAAATAAACAGATAATTAAAAAGTAATACTGAATTTAAAATATTTGCATTATATCATAGAATATTGCTTAAAAACGTAAAATACAAACTTTTTAACTAATTATATACTTATCCAGTTACTATATATCTATATAAGTATCTTCTAAATCTACAAGCAACTTACCGGTTCTTTTTTTAATCTTTTAATTGTCGTCACTAAACTCATCGATACGGGTGAAACGTCAAGAAAAATATACTGATGACATCAACTGCTTTACGCCGTCTTTTTACTGAATATAAAGAGCTTATCTCTAATGCACCTCATGGCATTATGGCTGGTTATTATTTCTCCCAAAAAACCGTATTTTAAAACCTTTAAATAGGACCCACAGATGAAAACAATTTTTTTGAATGGGAATGTTTGCTAGAAGGCCCAGAAGGTACACCGTTTGAAGTAAGTTCTGTGCTTATATATATTTGCCATACTGTATTTAATAATTTGTTGCACAGGGTGGTTTGTTTCCAGCAACTTTAAAATTTCCAAAAGTGAGAAATATTGATAATAAATATTAGTAATTAATGGCTGAAGGATTACCCACTAAATCCACCTGTTATGAAGTTTACATGTGAAATGTTTCACCCAAATGTATATCCTGATGGAACTGTCTGTATTTCGATTTTGCATGCACCGGGTGATGATCCAAACATGTATGAATCTTCATCTGAACGGTGGTCACCTGTACAGAGTGTTGAAAAAATTCTTCTAAGTGTTATGTCGATGCTTGCAGGTAAACTTTTATTAGTGCTGACTAACTATCTTGACATTTTATTAATAAAGAGCCGAATGACGAAAGCGGTGCAAACATTGATGCCTGTGTACCACCCCTTAGTTATATAAATGTACCTAATTATAAAATAGAAGCTTTGGCGTACTAACCGAAACGAATATAATCGTATTGTTCGTCACAATGTTCGAAAGATTCTTGGACTTTAATAATATTCAGTTTTGTCAATAAATATTTTCCTTTATTGATCTACTGCCGTGTTTTTGTATTAGTTTGATAATTAGTAATATCAGTAAATTTATATTCTCAATTATAGTTCATCCAAAGAGTCTGTTGGATCCACTGGTACCATATCAGTTTGTGTAAGAAACCACATAACTACATTTTTCCGGCCATGAAATTCTGCATCTGATAATGGCGTTTTTTGTGCGTCATTTTGAATATGTAGATTTGCACCACCTTTAACGAGCTCAGAAACTATTTCCAAGTGCCCATTTACTGAAGCCCAATGAAGAGGAGTATTTCCTCGTTCATTCTGAATTGAAATATATTTATGTTTATCATTTGTTTCTGGAAGTTGAGAAAGTAAAAATTGAACAATGTCTGGGCCCTCAAATTAGAGCTTTTAAAGACAAATTATGCAAAATACTCAAGTGACCATTTGCTGAAGCCATATGAAGTGCTGTATTGCCATTCTCATCCTGTTGAAATAAATCAATCAATGACAATGGTAACTTCTGAATAGTTTTTAAATCTCCAAAGCGTGCAGCAAAAAAAAATGTTTCAGAAATATCATGTAGGTCCTGATTTTTGTTTATATATGTATCATCTGTTGAAAAAGCCATTTCATCTGTTTAAAATATGTTTTTAGTACTTTATCCTTTCTGAACAGAAGTCAGTCGAAAGCTGAAACGTTTAATCAAAAACTGAAAAACAATGATTACAAGAAAAATACAAAAAATATTTTTATATCTAATAAAAATATATATACATATGTCTACTATATTGAAAGATTCAGATTCATTTATAAATAAAAGCCTTATAAAATATAGATGTGAAATCAAAAGGTATTAAAAGAATATTAAACATAAAAAGTACTTGAAAAGCTCTGTATAAAACTTTTAGAGGAATATTATCTGATGATTGTATAAAAATGGTTTCTACGTATAATATTTAATAACTGCAATGAAACCTCATAATTTGGTTATTATATAAACTAATTTCCGATAAAATATCAATCTTCTAGGAGCCATTCTCTTTTCCGCTGTTCTTTCTTTTGCCGATTTTGCTTCTTATAGTTTGCAAGTTCTTTTTTTGTAAGTCTTTTTTGCTGTCTCTCTGCACGAAAGCTACGTCCATCATGTGCTGCAGCAGTTGCCTCAACATCAAAATAAAAAGATTGTTGCCGTAGTGCTCTTGCATCTTCAGTAAAGTTTTCTGGTATTTTATTCGGATCATTTTGCCATTTACCCGTTAGACGATTAAACCGAGCGGTAAAAACATACTCTTTGTAAGGATAAGAAGGATAAGATACATTTTTGGATTGTATATCCATTTTCATAGATGTTTCTGAAGAGTTATCTGGTATACGTGGATTTTTCCATGTAGTTTCATTTGTTTTTGAATTCCAAAAATAATACGTCTGTGTTTTTGGATCTAAAACTGCATTCCAGCCATCATCAGGGGAAATAGAGTCTTTTGTACTATTTAAAAAATCTGTATTTGACTTCTCAGATAAAAATGAAGGAGATCCAGAGGAATTTGGTGCTTCAACTGAAACGTATTCATTAATAATAGGATTTTGACTGTTTAAAGCAGGAAAAGTCTCAGGAATAGGTTCATCTGGAAGAGGAGGCGTTTCATCTGAACTATATGAACTAGATAAGCTCTCTGTTTCTGCTTTCTTCATTAATAGGCTTAAGTGCCTTTTTTTAAGTTAATGTGGTATCGTAGGTAAACCTCAAGATTAACTTTAAAAAAATGATTTAAGCTTAATTTAAAAAAAAAAAGGGTTTATTTGGTTTTTATAGACGATTTCAATTGATCTAAATAATATTAATAGGAAGAGAAGTTTGTTTTATGCTTATCCTGTTTTTTCTAGTAAAAAATTCATGAAAAATAACTGAGGAAAATAATATTGAAAAATGGCATCTGCAATTTATTTTTTGGACTTGAAAGGAAAGATATTGATTTCTCGTGATTATCGTGGAGATATTCCTGTGACATATGTTGAAAAATTTCTTTCTTTAATCTCTGAATCAGACGATACAGTACCAGCAACACCGTGTTTTACGTATGAAGGCATTCATGTAATTTATATATTTTAGAACGTAAATGGAGTGTCTTACAATTCTAGTATCTTTATATTCGGCATAGTAACTTATATATACTTACATTGACAAGAAAGAACTCGAATGCTGCAGAGTTATTGCTTTTTCTTCATAAAATTGTAGAAGTATATATTTATTAATATTAATGCAGATTTTTATTTATTTTTTAAGGTTTTTAGTGAATATTTCAAATCACTTGAAGAAGAATCTATACGGGATAATTTTGTTATTATTTATGAGCTTCTAGATGAAATGATGGATTTTGGTTATCCCCAGATAACAGAGACAAAAATTTTACAAGAGTATTTTTTTATTAATCATCTGAAAAAAGCTTAGAATTTCTAGGTATATTACACAAGAAAGTCATAAATTAGAAGTTATGACTTTGCCTTCTGTCGCTGTTACTAATCCTATTTCATGGCGCTCTCAAGGGATTAAATATCGGAAAAATGAAATATTCTTAGATGTTATAGAATCTTTAAATTTATTAGTAAGAAAAAATAAACTTTTATTAAGTTAATTATTTAAAGATAAATTCTAATGGAAATATTGTAAGAAATGAAATTATTGGTACTATTAAAATGAAATGTTATCTTTCTGGAATGCCAGAACTTTGTTTAGGCTTGAACGATAAAATTATGTTTGAAAATATAGGTAGAACAGTAAAAGGTAAAGCTGTTGAAATGGAGGATGTAAAATTTCATCAATGCGTGCAATTATCTAGATTTTATAATGATCGAACAATTTCATTTATTCCACCTGATGGAGAATTTGAATTAATGAATTATAGGATGAATACTCAGGTTAAATATAATAGATTGATGATTATTTCTAATTTTAACATAGGTAAAACCTCTTGTATGGATAGAATCTACGTTTGAAAACCATTCTGGGTCTCGAATAGAAATATCAGTTAAGGTCTATAATATTTATAGTTTTAAATTTCCTAATATTTAAAAATTTTAGGTAAAATCGCAATTTAAACGGAAATCATCTTCAAATAATGTTGAAATTATTGTTCCTGTTCCGGATGATGCCGATTCTCCACGTTTTTGTGCATCAATTGGAAATGTGCTTTATGCTCCTGAAAAATCTGCTATTATATGGAAAATTAAACAACTTCCAGGAGGTAGAGAGTATTTAATGAGGGCTGAATTAGGATTACCTAGCGTCAAAGGAAGTATGTATTTATAATAAAGCAAATTTAGATTAATTACTTGGTAGCTGAAATAAGTCCTAAAAAAAGGCCTATAAGTGTTAAATTTGAAATTCCATATTTTACCATTTCTGGAATTCAAGTTAGATATTTAAAAGTAAATATTATTATTGTTATTATTATTTTAATAAATATTTTTAGATTGTTGAACCAAAACTTCAATATACAGCATTACCTTGGGTTCGTTATATAACGCAAAATGGAGAAGTTAGTTTTCGACAATCATAGTTTATATAGTATAATTTTATATCATAATGGCCTTTATTTTCATTAAATATTAATATATTAACTAAAATACAAATGATTATATTCCAAAATATTGTAATTTTAAAATACTTAAATGGCTTAATTTTAATTCTAATTTATTTCTGTTTGATTTTATGAAAATCGTTTAAATAAATTTCAAATATTCCTTTAACAAATAATATTTTGATTAGATATGGAACTCTAAAGTCTTAAATTTATTAATTTTAAGTATTAATGTCAAATTTTTTAATCAAAATATAATTTGAAGTTAGTCTTTATAAATTGATTTTAAAAATAAAAATATAATATCTGAAATAATTAGATTTTTTGATTCTTATTAAGTATAAAATAATAAATATATATATGTTAATTTATCATTTTAAATAGATTAACTATTATATTTATTTTTATATAAAATAATCGCTTTTTTTAGATGATGTCATTGACCATTCTTTGGCATTTACCCAGTTTTTCCCTTCAATTTTAATCTTACCAATTTTAAGACTACGTCCATCTAGACACCTCACATGTAATTCATTTTTAGAACAAGTATATAAACCGGAGCATCCATAAACTCTTTCTTCCGTATCATTAATTATCTGTATATCGCTTAAAATGACTACTTTATTTGATGACTTGAATCGACATTGTAATTTCCCAAATATGCGATTTCTTAATTCAATTTCATCTGAAGTCCATTTATCCCACTTAATTATTTCATCATCTTTCTTTATTTTTCTTGCATATGAAGGTTCATAAATATTCCGTATGTTTTTATTAAAATTTAAATATTCCTGTTTTAAGAGTACTTCTATTAATAATTCAGCACTTATTTTAGAAAGTGTTTTAGATAAGGTTTGAAGAGTTTCTTTCTCTGCAATTTTGTACGGCTTTGATACACTTATAATTTTTCCCTGATCAAATTTATAAGGATGTAGTGTTTGAATTGTTACTCCTGTATATTTATCTCTATTTAATAAAGTATGGTGTAGTGGCGCAGGTCCTTTATGTCTTTAAAAATTAATTTGAAAAAAAAAAACAAAATTTATTATAACCTTGGAAGAAACGATGGATGAACATTTATTCCACCATATTTTATGTTTTCTAATAATAAAGAAGGTATTAAATGTCCAAATGAAACTGCAATTGCAAGATTAAACATTTCTTTATGATTACATATAATATCCTATATAAAATTAGATAAAAAAATATAGTTTGCAAAATGTAAATCTTATACACTAATTTTTTGCATATTTCCATTTTCTACCTCATGAATTTTAAGATTATATTCCATAGCTAATAATTTTACTGGTGCTATGAAAACTGAGTTTTTTAAAGCATCAAAAAAGAAAATTATAAACTACTTTTATACAAAATTTTATTCCTTCTTCCTATTTTTGAGTCAGATAATGTAACAACCTCTATTTTCTCCAATATTGCTTTGTTTGATTGGTATAATGAAATAAGAGATAAAAGCGAAAAAGTGCTAAAATAATCTGTTCCAAAGAATAATATACGAAGAGGATCTCTTCTGAAACATGTATTTTCTGTAAAATGTCTCTTTTGAATCCTTATTTTTGCACATTTTTTAGATAAGTCTAAAACAATATATCTCATTGAAAAAATATTCAATCTTAATTGAAATCTTTTATATAAAATTCTTTTTAATAAAAAAAGTTTTTAATATTTTTTTATAATATTTATTATATTAAACATATAACTTGTTTTTATCTATAATTTATCGCTTATTTTACATAGTATTGATAATAATTTTATAGTTTTTTACTAAAAAACATGGTTAAAGTAAATATTGTTAATCCTTCTTTTGAAAAATGACAAGTGTACGCTTTTCTTTATCGAATAAATGTCCTCTCTCTTATTTAGCTATTTTCAATCCTTCTCTTGGTCTTTCTGAAGGATCTTTGCATCATCAAATTCTTTTTTTTATGTCAGAAACACTTCTTTCATCTGATGATCAGCTACGTAATATCGGTTTAATACAAGGGATTTTGCAATTTTCAGAGTAATTTCTATAATTTATTATCTTTTTCTTAATATAAGTATAGGAATTTCAAAAAAAAAGTATTTAATGAATATATACAGTCAGAAAATTATGTAATTATCATTACACAAGTTGAAGATGGGTGGTATATTGTTGCAGTAAGTAATAAGGTATTTAGTATCTTTTAATGAATAAAGTCATTTTCTGTTGCCTTTTTAAAAACAAATCCTATTTTTTGCCCACCTTTTACTGTATTATTTCATTATTTATGTAACGGGTATGAACAATATAAGCTTATTTATGGATTATTTAGTCATACATTACAAATTAAGGGACGTGATGTTTTAGAAACACAGTTAAATGAGTGGTGGTCAAAATGGGTATGGAATTTAGATCTTACTCTTAATGATTTATCTGTTTTATATAATGGTAATATTATACATGAAATTAGTATACTGTATTGATGTAATTTAGCTATTGATATGAGTCTTACATCTCCTGATTTTTATTTAGAAGAAAAATTGATTAAAAGTATAAATGAATTAAAGGCAAATAATGATCGTATTCTTGATTTAATCATATCAACTGTTTTATTTCCTTTTCCTGATCATCATACTAAGCATAATAAAGGTTGTCTCTATGCAGGTGATGGTAGTATATCAAAAAACAATGTAAAAATTCTTTATAATTGGCTTAAATGTGAAATTAATGAATTTTTTATTAATAAAATGTACGAGGAAAATATGGTTCAAGAGTATTTTGAAAACAATACAAATCAGGATAAAAAAGTATATATAATTATTTTTCATTTATTTTATTAATCACTTTAGGGAAAAACCGTTTTTTTAACGTCAGATTCTTGTTTCAATTCATCAAATAATAATTATAAACCATTAGGATCATCTTGGATGCCTATAAATCTTTTCGCTTTACCATCAATATCAATTGATATGAGCAACTTTGTTTCATTTATGTCTGGAAATAAATCTTTAGAAAATCAATCAGCATATAACTATAATTCAAAAAATAATATGTTTAAGAATAATACTTTAGGATATTTTATTTATGGTCTTGTAGAAAAAAATGGTGCAGATTCTATCATTTCTGAGAAAAAACTTTATCTTGGAAATCAAATAAATGAAAATATAATAAATTCAACATTAAATGATGAAGGGAAAAATTTCAGTTTTAAAACATTAAGTTTAAATACTGAAATAGATTCTCAGTATATATCTATTTCTATATATTATTCATATCCTTTTATTTATATGATTCCACTTAGAAATCAAAATATTGATACAAAAAATTCAGAAAACATATTTATTAAAAATAATATATTTTATATAGACCTTCAATGTTCATTAGAACGAATGACTGCAGAACTTCAATCATATTTTATGGATTATTCTAGGAATTATCCTTCTTTTTTTTGGCATATAATATTCGACCCTAATACACGACAATTGTATAATAATATACCATTGTTAAATGATGATTATAAAAAGAATGAAAATATAGAAAAAAATCTTTCAACTAAAGAATTATTACATATACATTGCTATGTTTTAAAGATTTTTGATCAAATAATAAACACTGAAAAAGAAAATGAATTAGAAGAATATATTTTAAAAACATCATGGAATTTTTGGATTTGTTATTTGCATAGTGATGGGAAACATATAATACTTATTATGAAGAAAGATAAAAATAAAGAAAATCTTATTAATGATTCTTTTGAAAATGTTTTTCAAGAAGCAAAAAAATATGTATCAGAGTTATTATATACACCAAATATAAAAATATAAATAAAAAAATATTTTTAGTTTGCAAGAAAATTTCAAATTAAAACTTAAATAAAATGAAAAAGTATCCTCTAAATATAATATAATGAAAAATAATTTTTTTATATTAAAAAAATATTAACATGTTTAGCTAGTATCTTTTAAAAAACTTTTAAAAAAACTTTTAAAATACAAAATTGCTGATTATAAATTTATATTTAATATCTTTCATACAACAAACATATCTATAATAATAAATAATTATATATTAAAATTCTGTTAATTATTTTAAATTTTTTATAGTTTAAAACAAAAAAATATATTCATTCTAAAAATTATATTAAAAAACATAAAAAATTCTAAGTTTTTCAATTTCTAAGTATATGTTTTAGTTTAAATTCTAATCTTTTTCCGAATAAAATATTCAATAAAAATCCAAAAAACAATAAAAACATTAATCTATACTAAGAAGCATATTTCCATCAAATAAAACAAAATATTTCACTAAATATATAACAAATATAATATAAAATAATTATATAATTTATTACATAAATAATCTTACCAAACTCGTCAATAAGACCAATCCTTTTGCGTGAAAAATCTTTAAATCAACGCCAAAAAAAATCGAAATAGATAAATCATGAAAAATATTTAATGGAACTGATCTAATAAAAAATAAATTATTTATTTATGTGTTAATATATTCCTATGATATTCAGATGAATTCAAACCGAGTTTTTTATAGTATTTTTAATAGATTCCGCTTTAGAACAACGATTGATGTGAAACCGGTTTCATCAAGTTTTGAAATGATTTCACGATACAAACTCTCTGCATCAAAGGAAAATGATATGTTTCCTCAAGATAAAAAAGAAAATTATAGATTATTTCCAAAAAAAACATATTCTTGTTCGTTTTTGATAAGATTCATTGTTTATATTGGGTCTCTTACTTTATATATCTGGAATAAATTAAAAAAAATATTTTTCTGTCTATTTTTAGTAAGATTAAAATTACTTAAGAAGCTACGTGACTGTTCGGCATTACAATCTTCATTAAATACCTTGGTTTATTTATTTTTTTTACCTTATTTTTGGATCATAAACAGAAAAAGACTAACCAGACCATCATTTACTTCAGATTCATCTTGTGAAAGTAAGTCTCTATTGTTATCAAGTTATAATGCTTCTAAGTATATTTGAAACTAATATCATGGTATAGAATATTGCGATTTTAAACCAACATGTGAACCTATAGATATTCAATTATCAATACAATCACAAACTCAAAAACCAAAACGTTTTGTTTCTTTCTCCGATAAGAAATTAACATCTAGACCAGCACGTTTTATGTTATACAATAATAATACAGTTAACAAAGATAATATTAAATCGCCTACATCTTCTTTAATAACTTTGGATATGACTCAATTATCAAATTTTCCATGTCAATCTATACCTCGTCCTTTATTTCCAAAAACATTAATACCGAAAACGCTTATTTTGGATCTTGATGAAACGTTAATTCATTCTTTAGTAAAAGGAGGAAGGATTACTTCTGGTCATATGGTAGAAGTGATGCTAGGAAAACATGCTATTCTGTATTATGTACACAAACGTCCTTATTGTGATAGTTTTTTAAGAAAAGTAAATCAGTACTTTGTTTATATATTATTTACATTTGAAGGTTAGCAAATGGTACAATGTTGTTATTTTTACAGCATCAGTTCAAGAATATGCAGATCCTGTTATTGATTGGTTAGAACAGGACCGGAAACTCTTTAAAGCACGGTTTTATCGCCAACATTGTACTTTTCGCAACGGAGCGTATATTAAAGATTTATCAATTGTACAACCAGATCTTTCCAAAGTCATTATTATAGACAATTCTCCTGTTAGTTATTCTATGCATGAAAGTATATTTATCTGTACCATTTATATATTATTATAACTTTTTATTAGACAATGCTATTCCTATTCAAGCTTGGATCAGTGACCCTTCAGATAAAAATTTATTGCATCTCATTCCTTTTTTGCACGGATTACGATATGTACTTGATGTGCGGACTCTTTTGGGATTAAGAGCTGGCATGTTTTCTCTCAATTCATAACCATACCTTTTATTTTATACAATCATCTTTTATATATATTATCATAATATGATTCTTGGTTTTCATTTTCATATATACAAACTATTTCAGAAACTTGTATGTGGTACCATCATGGTTCAATTGTTGCATCTTCGATATATTCGTTTTGTCTTTTTATAAACAATATTTATTTCATAGAAATACCTCTTATCATATGTATATAGATCTTAACTTTTTTTAAAAAAACAAGAACAAATTTTTTTAATGGTAAACTTTTTAAAAGTATATTAGAAATATAAATACAGCTTTAATAACAAGCTGGAAAAAGTTATTTATAGATTTCATATTTAAATTTCCGCCAAAATGCAGCTTTTTTCTTGTAATACTTAATATATGTCTACTTGGCCATTAAGCACATCAGAAACACATATTTGCCTTTCTTACGGAAATCCTGGTGCAGCATTATATTTACCTAAAGATCAGAATTCAAAATGGATATTTGCCAAGAATCATAAAGGTTTTTAACATTTAAAATCAAATCTTTATAAAATATAATTAGATATTAGATATTCCATTGAAAGCATTAGGTCATAATATCGTAGAATATAATGAATTGCCGTTTTTTTCTGAAGAATTTTTGAATTTTCCATCAAGAACTTTACAAGTGATTATATTTGTATAACAATAGGAATTAAAATTAAACTATTAAGGAAAAATATTTAAAAACAAATTATTCAGATATATGGGTTCCAAGGGATCTATTAAGGCCATATATTAAAGAATCTGGAGAGATTATATCAACATATAATATGCATGATGCTCTTCGTGGAAATCTCCTTGCAGAATGTCAAGTTTGGGATCCGAAAAATAGAAATCTGTCACCAAAAATGCTCTGCTTTGTCTCTGGAGAGAATTCTACTGAAATATGTTTGTTTTTTATTTTATGATACTAAAACTATTGACATATTTTATAGCACTAGCAACTATAAAAAATTACAATACAACTGTTTATTGTAATAATAATACAGAAAAAAAACTGAAGATTCCGAGAGTTTCTGAAGTTACAAAGTCCATATTTTCTTCAAAAACGCCTATTAGACAAGTGTCTAATAGTTCTATCTACAATGGGAGTAAGAATTCTATTAACATTATTATTAAACCAATTTTTAGAATATATACTACTTAGAAACCATACATTCAGTGCCCTAATTGAGTTAATTTATCAGCCTTTGAAACGCATTTCTTTAAAGAATGCTTCTATTACTGCAGTTCCTTTAGTAATAATAGAAAATTATGATACAGAAAATTCTGAGCATTCTGATATTATTTTTGATTTTTCTAATAAAAACCAATTAGTAGTAATTAATAAAAAAGGGAATTGGAGTCTTTGGAATATTGAAGGGAGATATAGAACAATTGAAAAATCATCTTCAAATGTTTTAGAAGATATTGGACAAAATGATGGCTGGTGGAAAATGGATTGGGGATCTTCTTCTAAATCTATAATCGTTTCAGGACGCCGTAAAACAGGATTATTTGATCTTAGAGTAAGTCATTATTTAATTTAAATATTTTTATATATCTTTAGGATCCTTCAAAACAACATTTATTATATTCTCTTTCAAACTCAGATAATATTCTTGATTTTTGGAAAACATCACAAAATTTAAGTGATTTTTTTATCCTTACTACTTCAGAAGTATGTTGGTTGGACGAACGACAACCTGGAAAACCACTGTTATCATGGAAACATTATCGTAGTTATGATCCATCATTAAAAATTATTATAGATGAATATTTTGGGAGTACATTTTATAATGTTTTATATTAGCATTTTAATTTCAAAATTAGATTTTAATTTAATTCTTTATTCTAATATAAATCCGATCAAATCATGCTATCAGTTTTCATTAAAAGGCAATCTTCCTTTTTCATCAATTTTTCCCTATGAACTGCAAAATTCTCAAAACACATCTATAACGTCTATTATCTGTCCTTTAAATGAATCTACTAATAAATTCGAAAGTAATAATGAATCAAAAAACGATTCTCGATTTGTAAAACTTTATTCCTTAGGATCAGAAAAAAATATTGTATCACAAATATATTACTACGCAGACAATGATACCGAGTATACTTTTCATGATTATAGATTTTCACAATCTATTATTAAAAAAAGTTATAAATATATTAATAGCTCCTCAGAAAGTGATGATAATACAAAAAAAGAAATTGAAAAAAAAATGTTTTATGATAATGATTTTAGGCTAATTAATTTTTCTAAATTATATAATGAGCTCGTTGATGTAAATAATTTTATTTTTAGAGAAATCTTTTCAAAAAATCAAAATAAAGAAACAGATAAGATAATAGAAAATTATGAAATACTTACTTTGTATACACTAATTTTTTATTTCTTTTGATTTAATATATTTAGGAGAGATATTTATATACCATCAGAAAAAGCTAGTTTTGATGAAATTTTTTTAGATTTAAAAAATATATTTCAAACTTATACAGAAAAAGGATGGAAAATATATTCTCTTATTCCAAAATCACAAAAGCTGTTAGGATTTATTGATTTTGCTTCTGAATCAGATAGTTGGAATTTCAAAAATATATATGATACATTAATAAAACATTGGTCAAAAATAAGCAGTTCCAACAATTCTTCCGAACATGATGAAAGATATATTCATGAAATTTTTAAAAATATCTCAATAGAGCTCGGTATATCATCTATAGGACTAAAACCACCCAAATCATTTATGGAGTCAAAAAATGATTTATTAGATATTTCTTTGCTTAATAGTTCTTTTGAAATAGACAAAAACAATACAGAATTAGAAAATATATATCCTCTTCTTGATGAATGGGAAGTTGGTGTTAACCCAGATTTATACAAATTTCAAGCAATTGATAAAACAGTTGTTAACGACAATATAGCACTCTTTTATGAACAGACTTCTTCTGCACCTCCAAGACTTACATCAAAACCCCTAACAGTTGCAGATAAACCACCTCAAATGACAGATAACATAAATGACCATAAATTTTTATCTCAGCCAGTCAAAAAAATCAAAAGCAAGCGTAAAGCAGGCTTTTAAAATCCAATTATTTCAATATTGCAGAAAAACAACATTTTTAGCTACTAACTATTTAAAATCTAATATAAATATTATATTCAATATTATTCAAGTTTATGTCTTCTAAGCTCTTTTATAACATTCTAAAACATTTAGATAAAATAGGTACAACTTTAGCAATTCTTACAGCTAATGACTCTGGATTAACACCATTTTCACAAAGACTAACACATAAAGAAAGCGTATTTTTGTCTAAACCAGTATTTAACAGAAGTGAAATTTCATACAAAACTAATTTTTAATTAGATATAACAAAAAAAAAGATATTTTACTATCAATTGTTTTCTTTGCTGATTCTTTTTTCAACTCAGACATAAGTATAATACTTATTTTCAATAATTTTTCTTCATTTTTTTAAATATTTTCTGCTTATTTTTTTTCGAAATACTACCAAAGCTTAAGATTTAAATAATTATAATTTTAAGATTATAAGCAAATAAGTTATAAAAGAACCAAAATTTTATATTTTCTTTTATTTTTATGATATTTCAATATTTTTAAAAACTGGATCTTATAATTTAAATCTTCAAGGTTTGTTTAATTGTCTTTAATATTAATAAAAGAATTAAAAATTAACTTGCTTTTTTGCTAATAGGTTTTTATAACTGTTTTCTTAAAGCAATATTTTTAAAATTATAGTTTAAATCTAGAGAATTAAACATTTTATTCATGAGAAAAGTCGGATATGTATACAGTGAATATTACGAACAACTTGTAAGCACTTTTTACTGTTTAATTTTAAGTAACAAAAAAGTGCAACAAGCTGCCTTCTAATTTGGGCCGTTCTTCTTTTATTCATAGTCTTGTAAAAGCTTATGGATTATTTGATAAACTTATGTGAGATTAATATAAAAATACAACAAATGCTTATAAAAAAGAGTGGTTTCTCCAGAAAAAGCGAACTTTTCTTCATTATGTAGAATTCATAGTGACAAATATATATCATATCTTCTGAAAAATCAAACAAATAAAAATGATGTTTCCGAAAAATATGATCAAATCAATGATTATCAATCAGAAGAAATGAATTCAATTTTTGGTCTTGATTATGTTTATTCATCTGTTTAGTTTTTGTTTTCTAATTTAAATAGGACTGTCCTACTTTTCCAGAATTGTCTGAATATATTCAATTTTTAGCAGGTGCTTCAGAAATATCGGCAAAATTGTTAGCAAATGATGATTTTGATGTATTTGTTCATTGGGATGGTGGAAGGCATCATGCAAGAAGAAATAAAGCGTAAGAAGTATATATATATATTCTTATTAATTTACTCTAGAGCAGGATTTTGTTATATTAATGATGCTGTACTTGCTATAACAGAATTAAGGAAATATTATCAGAGAATAATGTATTTAGATTTTGATTTGCATGCTGGTGATGGTAATGCTTTTTTTGATAACTTTTCCTTTACAAAAAATACTAGGTGTTGAGTCTGCATTTTTACATTCTGAGAATGTCCTTACAATATCATTACATCGTTATGATCCAGGGTTTTTCCCAGGTGGATCAACTAGATTATAGAACTTTACATTAATTTTTAAAGGTACCGGATCATTTGATTTAGCTGGCAAAGGAAAAGGAAAATATTATGCATTAAACGTTCCTTTAAAAAGGGGATTAACGGATGAAAATTTTATACTTTTATTTGATAATATTATTCAACCTGCTTTTATAAATTTCAAACCTGATATTATTGTTGTTCAATGTGGATGCGATGGTACTTTAAAATTTAAAGTATTTCTTTAACATATCTAGGACTTTTTAAAGATACATATAAAGAATGGAATTTAACACCCCAAAGCTATGCATTTTGTTTGGAAAAAATATTAAAATGGAAAAAAAAGCTTCTAATACTTGGTGGAGGTTATTCTTTTTTTAAAAAATAAAAGAACTATAAAATTAATAAAGAATAGGGGGATATGAAAATACTGTTGTTTCAAGGTGCTATGTGTTTCTTACTAGTGTTATCTTGGGTATTGAAATATCAAATGATATTCCTGAACATGATTTTTTCGAGTTTTACGCTCCTGATTTTGAATTGTTATTGGATCATGGATATATAAAAGATGAAAATGTAAAAGAATACATTCAGAAAACCATAAAAACACTTCAATTGTATATTTATAATATAAATATGTAATTTAATATATTTTAAATTTATATCGATTTCTTAAATTATTTTATATTTTCTAATATTCATGGTTTCAATCAAAGACACGTTTGCTAAAGTATCAACGCGGTCTGCAGTTGTTGATTACCATGTTATTGCCTCTAGTATTCTTCAGCGACGTTTTGTTCAGGCAGTTTTTATAACTTATTTAATATCTTATATTATTTCAATGATCATTGATAATACGTTTAGTAAGTTATAATTTAAATATGATATTCCTAGTAATGGAATAGACATTTTAAGACCTATTTCTTGGATATATGTCGGTTTTAGGGCATTTATTTTTTTACTTTCAGTGTTTCCACTTTTTGTTCTAAAAAAAGCTAATCTTCATGGTAAAATATTTTAAAAATAACATTAGAATTTTAACATTTTTAAGTTGATTATCATACAAGATCATCATTTATTTCAGAGTTCTATCTCAGATTGTTTTCATTTAAAGCATTAAGATTGACGTTTATTTATCTTATTTCATCTTTATTTATAACTATGATAAATATGAATACAAAAAATGCAATATCTTTCAACCGTTTTATCATTTCTAATGAGTTACTATATATTCTTTTTTCTTTAAAAATGCAATTAAACATTTTAGAGTTTATACATATTCTCAACTAAATGAAAAAACAATATATTTTGTTTTTCATGGTTTATCTTTAGCAATCATAACATCTATAATCCACAGCTTGAATGATTGGGATAAAATGGAATTTTCTGTGTCTATTGTAAGTAACATCTAGAATACTTTAATATACAAAATAATATATTTACAGCAAATTCTTCCTATTCGTGTAAAATCAGAAATAGTTAGAATCATAATTCATTCTGGATTGAACTCTTTAATGTTTTCATTTTTTCATCCATTTCTATACTTATTTTTAAGACAACATATATGGTCTTTTACTTTGCAAATCTTTCGACTATTATTATATAAGTAAATAAATTATTTATTATTAAAGTTATATTAATTGGCTCAAAGATTGAATAAAATATCTCTTTCTTATTGGCCATTTTCTACAAAGCTTCTTTTCTTTTCTACATTTAATGCTTTTATCATGCTTCTACTTTGGAACTCTGTTCATTCTTTATTTAGGATATATTTATCTCATGTGGATGCATTTTAATATGTTCAGTGTATTCTGATATCTTTAGGGACCTATGTCTTATGGAAAATTAGCAAGTGAACGGTCACCTGATCCTAATGGAACTCTTTTAACTGGGTTAATAGCAGAATTTAAACCATTAACTCGAGTTTGATACAGATATAATACTTCTTATTTGTACTAAATACTTTAGATGATGGCATTTGAGGAACTTTATTATATATTACATCATGATTTTCATCGCTGTGAACAGATTTTTAATGATATTGATCGAAATCCTGCAATGTGGCAGCAAATCATAGAAATATGTCTTAAAATTATCAGTGATATTCCTCGAGCTCTTCAAAAACGGTATCAATTTTTAGAAAATAAATGTAATTATTTCTAAAATATGTTTTGATTACTTTTTTAACATCATTAAGCTTTATTTTCTCAACAAATCAATCCAGAATTTGCACACCAATTTTACAGTCAATTAAATACTAATACTGAATCAAAAAATACAGATTCAATACCTTCGCTAACAATTAAAAATCAAAATATCTTTTTAGACAAGCAAGTTCGGAAACGAACTCATATAGATAGTCTAAAACATCAAAATTATACAAATCAGTTCTTGCCACAATCTAATAAAAGTCCAAAGAAAAATGATAATAAAAATATTTCCAAATTTCAATTTAAAAATCTTATAACATTATATTCAACATTATTCTATAAATCATGGCTTGGGATACCATTTAGACAAACTTTACGAAGAAAATATCAAATTTTATTTCCAAATACTCGTTTACTAATTTTAGCTATATTTGGTAAATCTATTCTAATTTTATATATAAACAAAACTTATTTCTTTTAGATTTATGTCAGCTTGTTGCACGTTCTACTGATCAAGATTTGTTTGGTATGGTTCAGCGTGAAGTAGCATTAATTTTAGAATGTTTGCATGTAGCTCTTGAGGACCTAAAACAATTTGTCAAATCACCACAAACCTACTTTCCAGATACTATGTATTTTTCAGACAATAATGATTATTCCTTTGAAGAGCCTGTTGCACTTTTGAAAACTTTAGAATTTGGTATGTTAAATATTATTTCAAAATTCGGTCCTTATCTCTCTGGAATGCATCTTCAACCTGCTACTGCATTAAAATGCCAAACACTCATTGACTTTAATTTATCTAGTGACTAGTAACGATAAACATAGTCTATGAACATGTTTTTTTAAATTGATATATTTATATATTAAGTTTTTTCTTTGGAAAAAAGATCACGAAAACCTCTAGATAGTCTCATCCAAGCGCCATTCATGTCAAACTTTGGTCGTACATCTAGGTAAAATGACAACATATCACCTTTTTCTTTTCCAGAATAAAAATCAATAATATAATCAACTTCTTTACCACATCGATCAATTTTCCAATCATGTCGGTCAAAAGGTGGTTTATATCTATCATGAATTTTATTTAGTGCTTGGTCAACTGCATACCAAGAATATTCTTACCCCCAAAATCCAAGCCATCTTGCTTTAGGACTTAATTGAGACGACTTTCCTTCAAATTGGATAAGTTTAGGACCACCACAACTGCAAAAATTAACATTTATCAGCATCAATACATAAAAACAAACGATTCACTGCCCCAACCACTCTCCCACTTCAAAATTTCATGCCAAACACGTTCATTAACAGCGTTATGGATAGGAACAATAATTTGCATCTGTTCTGCTTGTGGATTCCAGTTCTTTCGACGCATCGCTTGAAAAAACATACGTTCTGATGGATAAATCCAATGTTCACCGTCTTTTCCATGTGCTTTAGGGATAGATGATCGTTCTCTTTGAGTAGACAACTTTTCAGCTTGATCTTTACAATAACTTGGTTGTTTTGAAGCGTTTGAAACCTCATCTTTTTCAATTATAGCATCTCTTGTGCATGGAGAATCATTAGAATCTGTTGAAAGAGTAGAAGATCCTTTCTTTTCCTTAAAATCAGCTTTTTTACAGGGCTGTTGGTTCTCGAACATGAAGTTAATTGTGCAACGACAAATTTTTTCTAAAATTTAAAAATGAAATAAAAGAAACAAAATTAACAAAATATGATACATCAAAGTTCTTCTAAGGCACCTGTTAATATTGCAGTAAAATATGTCTTTTTCCTATTAAAAAGTGACAGAAATAGGTGATTAAATATTGGGGAAAAAAAGAACCAGATTTAAATCTTCCAACAAACTCATCTTTGTCTGTTACATTGTCTTTATCAAAAATATGTACGTGGACAACAGTAGCATGCTCCAAATCCTTTACCCGTGATCGTTTTTGGCTGAATGGAACAGAAGATGAGTCAAAAAATTATAAAATAAAGAAATGCCTTTTAATTCTTCGTTCTTTAAGACATTCAAAAGAATGTAAAGATGGAACACTCGAAAAATTAAGTCAACAGTGTATTCATATTATTTCTAAGAACAGCGTTCCCACTGCAGCAGGTTTGGCATCTTCTGCATCAGGATATGCAGCTCTTGTCAAAGCGGTTTCACAGTTATTTAAGCTTGATCAGTCTCCTGAAGAGCTTTCTCGTATTGCTCGTCAGGGATCAGGATCAGCATGTCGATCTTTAATGGGAGGATTTGTTTTATGGAATATGGGAGTTATGGCAGATGGCTCGGATTCATTTTCGCAACAAATAGCACCTAAATCACATTGGGAGGACCTTTGTGTTCTTATTTTTGTAGTTTCTTCAACGAGAAAGAAAGTTTCTTCAACAGAAGGAATGAAAACTACTATCTTAACATCTGATTTATTTCAACATCGAATCAAACGCGTAAATTCATATATAAAGGAAATGGAGAATGCGATTAAACACAAAGATTTTGAGAAATTTGCTTATTTAACTATGAAAGACTCAAATCAGTTTCATGCAACGTGTTTTGATACTTTTCCTCCTATTTTTTACTTGAATGATATCTCTGTTGCTATAATTCAATTAATACATGAGATAAACCGTTTTGCAAAAAGAACAATCGCTGCTTATACATTCGATGCTGGCCCTAATGCAGTAGTTTATTTTCTTAAAGCAGATGAAGATCTATTACTTGGAACATTGCATGATTACTTGCATAATGTTGATGGTTGGTTATACCAATATAAGGGTATTAAACTCGACATTCATAGTAGTTACTTTTCTCTAATTCGTGAAAAAATAAACAAAGTTATTCTAACTGAGATTGGTGATGGGCCTATACAGACTTCTGAAAGTTTAATAGATTCTAATGGATATCCGATTTGTGATACAGAATAATGTATAGAACATTTATTTTAGAATCTTTGTTTTTTTATATTTTTATGAAAAAAATTTAATTTATAATTTAAACCAAAATCTTTAATTCATTTATAGGTCGTACTATAGGAAGAGTTCTAATACTATTTTTCATATTTTCTGGAAGATTTTCTATTGTATAGGAGAACATTTCTTCAAGACATTCCTTTACATCCTCCACCAAACATGTCATTTGTTTTTGAAGTAAATTAGCTTTCTCGTTTAATTTTTCTAATAAAAGGCCTTGAATAGTTTTTTCTGCATCCTTCCTGGCATCTTCAAGTCTATCAATCAGACGACTTATACTGTTTAAGAGATATTCTTCTTCCCATATACTTCCTTTTTGTTTATATGCTTTCTTTCTCTCTTCTCGTCTATTAGCCTTGTCTTTTTTTTCATTAATATTTGTAGTAGTTGTATACGTAGAATATCGGGTAAAAATAGATACGGATGTAGATGTATTAGTATCAGCCAAAGATATATTATCTGGGATATCTTCATTATCTTTTGAGTCAAAGTATGTTTCTAATATTTTTAATTAAATAATATTTTATATTTAAAACTTACGAGAATTTTGTTCTCTCTTTTTCCTAATAACTCTAACTCGTTCTACTTGTATTTTTAATTGGGAAGAAAGTTCATAAAATAATTCAGTAAGTTCAAAAAATCCCTCTAAAAGACCAGGGATAATAATGTCCTGTATTAGTTCACTAGAATTGTAATATTGGGCCTATTTATATTTAGCTTAATAATAATAGAAGCACTTTTACCAATTCATATGCTTTATTATAATCGAAACTTTTACACAATAAGCGCAGTCCTTCTTTTAAATTTTTTAAATAATAAATTTCAATATCAGCTGCATCACAAAACTTCCTCTTATCTTGCATTATGCAACTTAATGATTCTGCTAATTTATTCATATCATCACTAGAAATTTTAGATTTCATTGCAAGAGTTAATGCTTTTCTCCAAAGTCCAGCTTTTTTATACATAGCAATAGCATATTCATAATTATTTAAAATTTCATAAGCTAATATTTAATTAATTTTTTATATCTATAAATTAATAATACCTAATGCAGATTCTTTAAAATGATTGTTCTTCTCATGATATACAGCATAAAGTTCTAATATTTTCTAAAGATTTAATCACTCAATAAAATTAAATATAAGAACTTACATTATAACTAACAGGATCATCTTTAAATGCTTTCATAGCCTCTCTATAAAGATTATGAAGAACAACATAATCACATATTTCATTGAATACGTCATTGCCTAATTTAACTAAATATGTTAACGCTTTTTCATATTTCTCCAGATAATTATCAATAGTAAAACATCTACGATTAACTGTTTGTTTCTGAAGATCCTGAAGAAATGGAAGATATTCTTTGGGATCCTATTTATTTTGTTAAAAAGAACTATAAAAAATATAAATACAACTTTTTGTGAATTTTGTGCTATATAGAGAGCGAGCTGTAAATCATATAAACTTAGTGCATGGTTATATAGCATATTAACATCAGCTAAAATACAGATATATTTAATTGCTTTTTGAGCATTATTTAAATTAATATCTATTTCGAATTAAGCATTATTTAATAACGATTTTTAATCATACTTTTAAGATTAATAATTAATTTTAATGCAGAATCATAATCTGCTGGAATTTTACTTAAGTGTGCAGTTAGAATAGATTCCATGTATTTATCATCAGAATATATTTCTAAAGCTTTTAAAACATGATCACATATTGTATTAACTTTTGAAAAACTTGTATTTGTTACTTTTTTCTCAAATGCTATATTACTTTCTTTCTTTAGTTCTATATTATATAATGTTTCAGTTAAATTATCTTCCCTAATATCAAGTTACTAAAAAATTACATAAAAATTATAATAATACTTTAAAGTTGATAAAAATAAATTTAAATATTCACTACTATCGATCTGATTTATGAAGAGATGAACATTGTTCAAAAATTGTGAAGGATTATAATCATAAAGAATATTAGTGTCTATACGATGTGTTCTACAAGATAAAAATGCATGATTATATTTTTTTCTAAAATATAAATTGAATAAAACATTAAACAGTATAAATAACTTACAATTTAATTGATTCATATATTTCAGATAAAACTAAAATCCGAGGATATATCGTTTCAATATTACCTCTAGGCATTTGAAAAATCAAAGCAGTAATAGAAGGTATAATTGAAATAATTTTAGATCCTTTTTCTATGAAACGAACCTCAATATTTGTAACATTATCAGACGGTATAATAAAGTCTTTAAAAATTAATTTTGATAAAATTTGAATTAAAAAAAAAACAAACCATCGATTTTAGATGTTAATTTAACAAACTTTACTAGATGTGAAGTTGTTGTAAAAACCAAATATTCTTTAGAACAAATAAATGATGTACAATTTGTAGAAATTAGTTGATCATTTGCAAAAAGTTTACCACTATCACTTAAAAAAAAGATAATTTTCTGTAAAATATAAATAAGTAAAAAAAAATACACATTTACATACGTTTTCTAAATATAATGTACTTTTCATATAACAACATAACAAAGGTAAAGAAAACAACAATATATTGCTGATTTTATAATCTTTTTCTAGAGATAAATTGAAAACTTTTCCTTCAATAGATTCTGCTACAATAGATTTTTCATAAAGACCTAAATCAATTAAAGCAATTTTTGGCTCAAAACTAATGTTATTAAGTAATTTAACTTCTTTGTAAGAATTAAAAAGAAAAAAGAGAATATCTGATTTATTACAAACATCAAATAATATGCAAAATATATTGTCTTCCAAGTATAATATTTGTCGTGGATAATACGCATCATCAACTAATTCAGTTAAACTATATTTTATTTTAGATATTTTCGAATTCTTTAAATATAATTTGTTCATACTCTAATTTATTAGTAATTTCTGGGAAAGCAGCAGAATCAATATTTAAAGGCCAATGAATAATTTCGACTATATTTTCAGCTAATGACAAAATACAATTTGAATCTTTGCTAATAGATATTGATGTAGGTATTCTAGAAAGTTTAATATCACGAAATGATAGCGGAGGAGGAACATTTGCTATTTTAAATGGAGTTAATCGTAAATTATCTAAAATAAAATCAAATCTGTCGAATTCAAATCTATAGTTACCTCCATCTATTACTGCAACTGTTCCATAATCATAGGAAAGATTTAGAGGTGATGATATTATTATCCAAGTAAAATGATACAATAGTAAATTTCCTTAAAAGATTATTAAAACATAAAATGCATTAATTAATATAAACCGTCATTAATTAACGAAAGCATTAAAGGAATTTCTGGATGCCATTTAATAGATATACTTTTACTACTTTTAAATTTGATTTCATATTTTAAATGCCAATGATAATTACTCATGTACCAAAGTTGAATTTTATTTGAAACTAAAATAGAAAGTAAACTGGAATCGGAATTCCATTGAATGTCCAAAATTGGTTCTTCATTCGACAATAATAACTTTAAACTAAATTCACCGTGCCGAAGTCCATTTCTTTCGAAAAAGATTACATCTAACTCTTCAGGTTTCCTTTGAATAGATGCAATAACACTCCCAGATGGTTTCCAGGCCAAAAGACTTTCTAAATAATCAACGGGCTGACTAACACTATCCAATGCCCCATTTCTAGAAAATACGCGAATTATTCTTCTAGTTTCTACATCTATTCTAGACAATGATACAAAAGCTCCATCCTCTCTCCAACTTATTCTAGTTAATTTATCATCAAGATGACTCAAAAGACCTTTATCTATTTTTTCAGGAATGGTTGGATCACGAGGCGCTGTTTTTGATCTTTTTCCCTGGAACTGTGTCTCTGATCGTCCCCACCCGACTGAGACATGATTACTAATATTAATATCAGATTCTAAGAGAGGAATTTCCGAAATTGTTTCAAAATTCTGAGACATTAATAAAAATTTAGCATTCCCTAATAACGTTCATAAATAATTTGCAATAGAAAATTCATATAATACCTGTACATATTGCAAGAACAGTTTCATCAGGTGCCCATTTTGCTGCAACAATGCCACCATCTACTGATCCTATAATTTCTACTTGCTCCTTGCTTACAGAAGCATTATTATGTACCAAAATAATGTCTCCATTCTTCATAATTAAACAACATGCTCGTATTTCAGACAAAAATTGAAAATCTAATATTTCTGTCTCTAATAGGCTATATAAATCACAAAAAGCTTCTTTACAACAGATAAGAGATATATTTCCATTTTCCTATTAATGAAATTAATAAAAAATATTCTATTTTTTGCTAGAACTTGCATTTATTTCATAGATCAAAATGGATCCTGATGTTTCATTTATAGTATAAATAACTGCCGACTGAGAGCCTGGATCAAATGATATATTAGAAATATTTGCTTTTTTTTTGTCTTCATCACTTAAAATGATATTTTCTATCTTTAAAGTGGTTAAATTATACATTTTTTTAAGCAAATATTAACACATTTGTAAAAACGCCAATTTTTCGTTGAGATTAAAAAACCAGTGCTTATTCATTGCTAGAGTTAGAGTTAAAAAATAGAGAAAATATCAAAAGTGAATTTAGAAAAGAAGTTGTTTAAATATGTTTTTTTATGCAGCAAATTATTAAATTAGAACGTTAAATAAGTATTTTGTTATTTTTTATTAAAAAAGATCATTGTATATGTGAATTAGTAATAGAAAAAATCCTCAGAAAAAATTTAACACCTAAAAAAGTGCTTTTTATAAAAAATAAAGTATAGAAAACAGTTGAAACACTTTTATAGAGTTATTGATTAATTTAAATGAATATTATTAAATTAAAATGTTAACTTCAGTATATATAATAATGTTTAAAATTTATATAAAAAAGTAGTTTATAATTTTGAAAGATTTTTTTAAATATACTGTTTATTGTTTCATTTGTATACAAATTAATTACTACTAATTTTTTTAAAATAACATTAACATGTTAAATTTTATTTTCAAAATTCACTAGCAATATAAAAACAATACATAGATTTTTAAATCATAAAAAAACTCTAAAAAATGTTTTTTATTCATTTTTTTCATTAAAATACCGATTGATCATCCTTCACAGCCAATATTACACATTCGAAGCACTTTAAGATAATAAATTTAACAAAAATAAGTTAATAATAAAGATTTTGATACCCAAAGCACTATTTTATAATAAAATAGTTTGTACTTTGTATACATTTTTTTGATCTCTTTTTTTAAGGCCTACTACAAATTTTTGAACATAAAATGGGCAAAGTTCAAAGTAAATCAAATGGAGACGTGGTATTTCAAAATGAATCACAATTTCCTCTTCAAGTTTGTCACAATTATTGATAAAAAAGACTTATTTTATTAGTTTTCAAGTGCTTTAGTCAATCATTTGGATTCTAAAACAGATTCTGATACAGTTCGTGCAGCATCATTAGAAGAACATATTCAGGAAAGAGTTGCAGTAGAAATAGAGCGTTTGCATGCAAAAGAACGAGATATTTTAATAGAAGTTGAGAAGGAGTTAGCAAGGAAAAATGCACAATACGAAAAAGCACAAGAAAAATTAAATAGTTTTGAATTAAAAGATGAAATATCAAGTTTGGAAAAAAGTATAGAAGGAATGTTTCAAATAAAAAAATTGGACGATACATTATTGGAAAAGAAAAAAGAAGTTATTCAATGTCTGAAACAAAATGGTTTTTTATATAATTTTTATTTAATATAATAAATCTTTTTTAGAACAAAAACCGCTTAATTGTGATGAAGTTGCTAAGGCATTCAGAGACGAAGTATATAAGTTACAAAACGCTTATACTAGAAAGTATTAACCATAACGTTTACCAAAACACAAATCAGTAGTTCATCATTTACAAATATAGAAACATTAAGATAAAAATAGACACAATTTTATCTACATATATTACATATTTGTACAACAAATACAATAAAAATACAATAAAAATACAATACAGGTATAGCCAAATCGTGTCCATGTATCAAATAGCATTAGGTAATGCCACAGCAGAATATAAAGCAATATACGCTGTATCGTTCTCACCGCCACCATCTAATGTCTCTATTTTAGATTGAGGCACAACTGTAACATCGTCATCATTAAATTGGTACCAATCAGATGAATTGGGTATCTTAATCCATGCTTGATAATGTCCTGAATCAGCAGATACTAGAAAAAATAAATAAATGTCAAAAAAAATATAGTTTTACCTCCAGAATGTGTTAAAATTCCTATTAAATTATAAAGACCGGATACATTTGAGCCATCGTCAATAGACTTAGGATCAACAAGATTCCATAATTCTTTAATCATTTCGTTTAAAAGCTTTTCCAAATGATTATCGGTATTATTTTCTACTTGAATTTTTGCTTTCTTCCTAGCATTTTTCTCTTCTATGCTTTTATTTATATTACGCAGTACATCTCTTACTGGAACCAATTTAGATTTCAATTCATCCACGCATAATTCACATATATCTAATTCAAAGGGGAACTTTACTTTTCGTAAAATTTTTACTTTTTTGCGAATAGATAATTTCCAAAAAAATCTCACAAAATTAACCTGTATTAGTAAGATAAAGCAGAATTGGTAACACTCAATATTACTGTTAAATATTTCGGAAGTCTAGAAAGTCTAGAAGTTTTTGTAAATGTAGCTTCTCTATTTAAAACTTCTGAATGTTTACTAATTATCTCTTTTAAACCTTCCTTCAAACCATCAATCATATAATTGGTATTCATCCCGATATGACAATTTAACTTGAAAAAATCCTCTTTAGAAACAATAGGTGGCTCATCTTGAGTTTCGTTACATTTCATTTCATTAATAACTGTTCCTAACATATATTTTTCAACAAAAGATAAAGAATTATCATTTTTAGGCATATGTGTTCGTAGATTCTGAATCAATTGTGACCAACACTCTTCTGCATCTTGCTGTGAAAACCCGCCGTGGACACGATCTTTTTCTGCAAACTGAGGAAATACAAGTCTAAGACACTGGAAAAACATTAGACTTTTTTTCTAAAAAAAACATCAAGCATAGATTACTCCTAGAAATACATATGGAGAAAAACTTTTTTGTGTATTCATATTCCGGAAAACATCTGCAAGAGATTCTATCATAGCTCCTGATTTATCAAGTTTCCATGATTTATTTTGTAAAATTCTACAATACAATATTAAAAAAAATATCCTAGGAAAATCAACATACTTTTCCAGCTCATCTTGGAGCTCTGGCATGCATTTGAGCATTTGCAATGTCGAGTTCATATAACATGTGTTTCCCAGATTCGTGAGCCCAGAAGGCACCGAAAGCTACATAAACCATTACATTCAATATACATCCCATTTAAAAAACAAACCATCTTCACTAATTCAGATTCATTCATATCCTCCAAAAAGACTGGTTGTTCACATGGAGCTTCAGATGGCGTCTCTGCTGATCCAACCAACATAACTGTAGTATATGGCTTAATATTAAATTCTGAAAGAATGGATTCATCTTTGATCTTCTTCTTGCCTAATTACAAGTCAATTCCACCTAAATATTGCTCAAGATACAGACTCAATCCAAGAATCTATCCATGTTAAAATATTTTGATCAAAATACCTTAATATCATTCCAAAAGACATACCTTTTGTCTTTCACATGGAATACCTGTTCAAACATAAGAAAAATATCATAAAACTCTAAAAATACTACCGCTAAGACTATACAATCGTGATTTAAATACCAATACTGACTCTGATTCTTCAATTTCTAAATCAAACCGTTTACCTTGCCATTTTACACAAACTAACTTGATATTAGGTAAAATATTACCGTAGAAAACGATTTACTTGGAATTAACCCCATTTTCTTGAAATTTTAGTGCTTTTTATCCAATTCTTTGTGTACTCAGAAATCTGAGATTTTTTCTGATGTTGAAAGCTGCACATTCGCTGTAGAAAACATCTTCCGATTAACGTCTATCAACGTCTGAAAAATGGTAAATTTGTATATTTGAGTGATAATCTTCAAAATCTAAGGAAAATAGGCAAACAGCCTGCGTCTATACCTCCAATGCGTCCGGTCAACACTGACAGCTGCTCTTTGTATCCAGGATTTTGCGTCTCAGGTAGCAGAACGACATAATAAGCCTGAAATTGAAGCAAAGTATACATTGTCACTGAGTTTCAGGGTTTTTAGAGCATTAGAACATCGTTTGAGACGATTCTGAACCCATTGCTTATTTCCCGTAACGAAAACGAGCAGGTTTTGATTGAATCAAGCATCAATAGGTACATATGATTTTCTGTCGTTGACATTGCTCTACAAGCACAGCTGATGCAAGCAGTGTCCGTGTTAGTATCCGGATCAAGCAGGCGGACGATATAGAGCATATTCTTGCACATAAATTTACTCAGTTTTTGATGGGACGTGCAGAAGCTTTTGTTATTCTGCGTAGAAAGCCTGTTAAGGTATTTTTGTCTGTCGCCCCTGAAAACTCCAACCGTCTTTTTCTAGGGATATGGGATATCTTTTCTGATTACAAACAAACACACTGAAGCCATGTTGAAACATAAAATTGTTGATTTTATCATTCAGGTGGTCCTCGGCTTTAACTTGCCCTCTATTAATATATATAGTTTATGGAGGATGTGGATGCAGAAATTAATGAAATAAAACTATTTCTCAATGGACGTGCACGCTATGTTGCCGAGAACTATCTCCTTCAGGTACCCTTTCTTTTACTGTATATCTCTAACACACAAAGCTCGACTAGTCTTCAACTTTCACTAACTTTTGGCAACTCTGGCAATATTCAAACACAAATTATATCTATTCTACAAAACTAACAAAACATACTACTTCTATCTATATATATACATAGCAATATATACACCCCTACATATACTATGCCTTTTGCTCATCTATACCGCACATGCCGCCCATAGCTATTGTACTGTGCACTTGCATACCTGTATATCCTATGTATTTATATATCCATATATCCGTATATACCATACATACCATACATATCATACATACCATGTATGTCACACATTATATACTATGCATACTATATATGCCATATACACAATACTATACTGTACATACTATACTGTACATACTATACTATACATATTATACTATATATGGCAGGCATACACTATATATAGTAGGCATATATTGCTGATGTATATTGTATATTAGAGCGCCGCAAGAACTGCCTGTGCTCCACTAACTGTCACTGCACCTGGATCTGGCTCGAGTCCTGTATAGGTAACGATCCCGTCTTGAACGACAAGTGCATATCGATGTGTACGTATACCAAGCCCGTACGCTGTAAGATCAAGATCCCACCCAAGTGAACGGGAAAAGTTTGCATCCGTGTCTGTTAGAAAAAGCTGCGTGTATTAGAATGCCTGCAGACACATTTTATACATTAATTACAATCTTGTTTCTTGCATTATATGAATCGCCCCACGCTCTAACCGGGTCAGTATATACAGAAACAGCAGACCCATACGCCATTACAAAGGGGTCGTTGGTGGCAACAAGGGCAACAATGTCGACGCCCTTTTCCTTGAATTTGTCATAGAGCTCCAGGAACTCGGGCAGATGTTTTGAAGAGCACTGTCCGCGTCAGCTTACAGCCTGTATGCGTAGTGTATGCGCAATATATGCGCAATATATGCGCAATGTATGCAGTGCACCCACTATACTACACAATGCACTGTGCGTCCTACATGTACATGCTGCATACATGTATAGCACAGCACATAATACGAGCATACAACATACATCTGTATACTGCATACTGCATAGCATGCATTATGCACGCTGTATGCGTCCCACATACAACGCACACATATGTATAGCGTACAACGCATAGCATATATGCACAACAGTGCAGCATACACACTGTACACACTGTATATACAAGACACGCGCTGTGTACATATGCATAGCAGACAGTACACACTGTCTTCACTCTATGCACAATATATGCATGTGTATGCACGCCCTGCATGCATCCTACATATACATCCTATATATGCCTTATGCGTTGTATACACCGCCACATTACCAACGCTATATGCGTACACTATACTGCACACTGTACACACTGCACACTGTATGTACACTGCATACACTGCATGCACTCTACGCGCATATATGGCCCTATGCACGCTCTATACAGACTATATGCGCACTATATGCGCACTATATGCGCATTGTATGCGCTCCCTGCACTGCACCCGCCTACATACCACCGGTGTAAACGCTCCCGGCACCTACACAGTAAATGCATATATACAATACAGCACTCATATATACCGAAAATAGCACTACTTTCTTGTTTTTCCACGACACAGTCTCAACGGTCACCGGCTTCACCATCTCTTTAAAGCAGCAGTGGCTGCCGGTCCCTGAAGAAATCAGCATATTCAGGGCATTTAGGGCATATATGCGTGCATATGCACGCATATACATACACGGTATATGAGTTAACACGCCAGCGGGAAGAGAATCACTATAAGAGTTAACCAAAGCGCATATAATAAGAAAAAAGACCCTATTTTAAGCATTGGGCTTGTTGTATGCGCAGAAGAAAGATTTCTCAGATAAAACAAGCCGGTATACGGTCTTTGGAGAGGTGTTTTGTGTGGAATACGGGCTGTTGTCCGCAGAAATGTTGGGAGGGCAACGTGGCACACGATCCTTAACGCAGCGGACATTGAGCGGCGACCAACGATCACACGATAAAAAGAGACAAAGAAGAGTCAGAGTGGGTTAGAGGCATTGGAGGACGGGCGGAGAGGCGATGGCGTCGATGAAGGATTTTCAAGAACGGATTGCGGCTGCGCGGAAGGAAGCGGAGTCCCTTAAGACGCAGATTAAACACAAAAAAGACGAGTTGGCGGATACAAACCGTAAGCACAATTATCGTCCAAAAAGCACAGAAAGAGTGCATATATGCGGTGGAAGTGCATGTAGAGTTTGCACAGAGTGCACAGAGTGCAGATTGCAGTGTGCCATAGAGCATATATGATGCATATGCAGTGCAATACAGTGAAGGCGCTTATATTGCGTGTGTGGCGCATATAGCACGCATACACACGGTATGCTCTACAGAGTGTATAGAGGACGCATATAATGCGTGCAATGCGTATGCAGTGCATATACAATGCATACAGTGCGCATATAGCGCGCATATAGTGCACATATAGTGGGTGCTTGGACGCATATACTCGGTAAAACGGGCCCTAATGGCCATAATCTAGTAAAATTGATGTCGCAGACTCTGGACCCCATCCCACGGCTGTGTCTGAGGCCCCGGCGGACACTGAAGGGCCATTTGGCAAAGATCTATGCAATGCACTGGTCAACAGACGAAAAACACCTTGTGTCCGCCTCTCAGGACGGGAAACTGATTATTTGGGACGCATATACAACCAACAAAACGCATGCAATCCCTCTACGCTCATCATGGGTTATGACGTGTGCATATGCACCAAGCGGGAATCTCGTTGCATGTGGAGGGCTAGATAATATATGTACAATTTATGATATATCATCACGGGAAGGATTTGCAAAAATTGCACAAGAATTAGTAGCACATACGGGATATTTAAGCTGTTGCCGGTTTTTAAATGACGAGCAAATTCTTACATCAAGTGGAGATATGTCATGTATTTTATGGGATATATGTAGAGGCATAAAAATACAAGAATTTTTAGATCATTTGGGAGATGTGATGAGTTTAAGCATTCATCCATCTAATCCAAACATATTTGTGTCAGGGGCATGTGATGCATTTGCAAAAATATGGGATATTCGTACAGGAAAGTCAGTGCAAACGTTTTCAGGGCATGAATCGGATATCAATGCAGTGCAGTAGGTAATAAAGATGAAGAAAAGTCTGCTGATGGGACGGAGATATTTTCCAAACGGATATGCTTTTGGAACGGGATCGGATGATGCATCCTGTCGGTTATTTGATGTTCGGGCTGACCGAGAATTGAATTGTTATGCAGTAAGTTTGCAGAAAAATGAAGAGTATGGATGGGAAAATATAGGGCTAATGGTGGGATGTGTAGTCGAATAATATTATGTGTGGTATTACGTCGATTGCGTTTTCGATTTCAGGAAGACTTCTTTTTGCCGGATATGATGATTTTAATTGCAATGTTTGAAAACCCTTATGCAAGTGTTTATTATGATAAATGGTCTGATATGTTGAATCTGTAGGTATGGGATGTATTGCGTGGCGATTGTGTTGGGACCCTTCAGGGTCATGATAATCGTGTGAGTTGTGTAGGTGTGAGTGGTGATGGGAGAAGCGTTGCAACGTGTAGTTGGGATTCTTTGGTAAGGGCTAATTATGGATGGATTTTTTCCTCCATATGTTTTTTTTTTTTGCAATTAATTATACCCATAGCTAAAAATATGGGCATAATACGAATCGACTTCTCTTTTATCTATCAATATAGCGATCCTTAGAGTCAACGGTTCATGAATCTACGCATACGAACCCACTAACAATTTACTATCCTTTTAGTGTATCATTCTTGTACGGCACGTTTTTATTATTATTTAAATAACATCTATTTCGTATTTTTGTTATTATCACCATTCCATTTGAAATAACGATAAGCGATAATCGATCTTCCTGGTGATGATTCTTCGTGTATTTCTTTTTATATTGTGATTATCTTTAATATTTTTACCTTTATATCAGGCTGGGGCTAACCCTGTACTATAATACTATTTTTTTCTATTTTAAGAAAATTTATAAATGTATGTTGTTTTTATACTGATTTAATAGATTTAAAGTCTTATTTTCCGGCTGCTGCTGGGAGAAAAACTAAGATCATATTGTGTTTAGATAAGGTTGTTTCTTGTAAAACCCGACTTTTTATAAAGATTAATACAAAATTTAAAGATATTTTGTGTGATTCCTGCGTATTCAAGATATCTAGAAAGATGAAAAAATAAAAAAAAAGCTGAATTTGATAAGATCGTTTGAAAATACTACAAAATCCTTATTTCACCATGCAATTGCATAAGGAGTAATGTATATTAAATACGGAGAAACAATTTGTTTATCCATTTATCATCTTTTTTAAGTTTCAAAAATATGATCATTATAAGCAAAATTCACTTATACAAATGTAATAGTAGGCAAGATAAACATATTTTACCTAGGCTATTAATTCAACTTTTTTGTTATATTTCTTTAAACGCATTTTTTAAAATAGGCAATTTCTCTGAATTAATATTTTGAATTAATATAATTTTTGAAGACATTGAAACATGAAAATATATTTAATATTTAATCCAAAAAAACCTTCAAATTACATATTCATGTTAAGTAAAAACACTCTGGATTATTTAACTCTATCCACAATAATAACATATTGATAAAAAATTGAACAGATATCTTGTGTATTTTATACATTATGAGATTATAAATTTAGATAGTCTATCACTTTCTTACAAAGCTACTCTTTTTGCAGTAAAATTCCATAGCATTGTTAATAAATTATCACTTAATGTATATAAATCTAAATGAAATTCTCCTTCTTTTAAAATGTTAAAAAACGAAATAAACTGAAAAAAAAATAAACCTTCAACATCATTTTTAACATACATTTCTGGAGTTTTATTGTCATTCACCATTTGTACTACTTGTAAAAGATCGTCTTCTTCAAGTTTTTGTAATCCATCTGCTAATCGATCCATATCCACCTATAACAATTAATAAAAACGTCTGAATATTTATTAAACTCAACTGGTTTAGAAAATTTTCCTTTCTTTTTGTTCTTATCAACCCCATCAAATTTACGTTTATCTTTCTTCTTATCTTCCAAATCTACAGAATGTTCAGGAATAGGTCCTGATTCTGCCAATAAACGCTGCAGTGCAGGACGGGGATTAACAATTGTCTAAAACATTAGAAAAAAAAAAGAAAAATCATGAAAAATACTAGTATATGTTCATTTTCATATTTCGTTTGTTGAAAATTAAGATCATGCTTTATTGTTGTTTCACCCCCTCTTTCTGCATATGAAATTACAATATCCATTTCAAATTCTCCCCATCCATGCTCTTCAATTTTAAATGGTGGCTTTTTGAAGCCTAATTGAATTTAAAAACACATCATAAGTAATAAAAAATATACTTCTATTCGGATTTTGAAATGTAGGGTGAAGTTTGTATAGAACTTTATCAATAAACAATGCAGGAACCTCCTGCCCATCTTCAGAGATAGCAACAAGCTTTATAGACCATCTTCTCATCGGAAACCCTTCTCCTGCTGGTGGAACATCTTTCAAAACAGTCTTTCCAGATATTAATTTATTAAACACAAAAAATATGCAAAAATTATAGAAAAAAAATACCTGAACCGTAACAAGCTTAATTTTCCTCTTTACCTATATAATTCATCTCTATTAGCCTTTGTTAATAACATTAATATTCTGCTAAAAGTTCTCTAATTAAATTGGCAAAAAAATACCATTTAACAAAGGAAAAAAAGCAGAATTTTAAAAACAACTAACCTCAATCATACAATGTATTCTTTAATTAAATTAATGTCTTTTTATGCCCAAATAACCCTCTTATTAATAATATAAATCTTGCTGTGTTTTGCTGTTGTCGACAATAAGTCACAGTATACGTGTATCAAGTATAGTCTCAGGGAAAAAATATATAAAATATACTTTTTTAAATTTAAAGAGATTTTGATGGTCAGTGTATACAAACAATATGTTTTCAAATAAATATAAATGGATCTAAGTAATATTTTGACGAGAAAAAGTATACTTTTTTTCAGAACATAAATACCAAAATGAAAAAGAAATAACCAAATCTATCTTTTAAATATCTTCTTGTTCTCTTCCTGATATTCTATGAATTTCTCCTTAAAAAGATTTGCATCTAAAAAAGTTAATGTTTTAAATATTTATTCAAGGAAAACTATACTTTCGGGCGTTGCAAACCGAATTGCAAGAGTTTCTGCTGACGGCTCTCCATCACTCATATCAGCCATAACAGTCCAAACCCAGCTCCGATCGCTCCCAACATTTGACTTTAGAATCATCTCTGGAAGAACTTTTTTCTTAAGAAAAAAAATACACATTATAACAACATACTGTAATGGTTTGCACAGACTTTATAAGTCTTATCTCTCCGCATCAATAACCGTATTTTCCCTGTAACCATATGTTTAAGAAATCGAACATCACCTGTACCACGCTCTTTCCATTCTTTATCTTTATTAAATCGAAAAAGCTTAGCTCGCCTGTGGAAAGCAAATTTCAAAAACAAATTACCACAATTATAAACCCTTACATTTTAAACAAAACTTCCTCTTCTTCTTCATTTGTTTTTGGCTCAATTTTAGTCAAATTAACCACTGGTTCAAAATGCACATCTGACACTTCCTCCTTCTCATTTTTAATTCCTTTGAAAAAAAACACATTAAAATACTCTATACCTCTTCATTTGCAGATTTTGCCCCTTCTGATTCTTCTTTTCTTTCGTCATCTTTTTCACTTTTACATTTATCCGTTAAATGTTCATTTGTAGCTGTATTTAAAGATTTTGGCGCGCAAAAAGAAAACTCCTTTGTTTTGAGAGGTTCACTCTTCAATGATGGAAATTTTTGAGGCTCTTCTTGTCCCATTTACACGTATTTAAACACTTTTATAGAGCTTTAAAATTATCAAAATTTTTGACGTTCGTCAGACGCTGTACGAAAAGCACCGTAAGCCATCCAAAGAAAAATACATTATATATAATCCAATGGCTGTTTAATTTATATATATATTCTATATATTATATTGTATATGTCTCCTTGTATTCTTAAATACGTCTGTAGCCATGTATTCGAGTCTTTACTCCTCAATGATCAAAACAATATTACCATCAAAAAGTTTATAGTTTTTCAAGATTTTATGGGTTTTTAAGAAATTAGTAGACTACTTTAGACATTTAAAGTGTCTGTAAGGCAGCATTCCAAGCTAGACATCCACCCAGCCTCCTGCTTATGCCTTGGTTTTACTATTGCGAACCCAACCAGTATGGCAGAGATGAACAAAACAATGCCATACAACAATATACCGATCTTTTCTGCAGAGTAAAGATGCAGGCAGATGCAACAGCAGGATAGAATGGCCACTATCTGCACAAGATCATGTATATTGGTTCGCCAGAATACTAAAAAAAAACGATTAAAGACAATAATGGACCAGATAGAGATTTAAAAAGCAGAAAAAAGTGAAAAACAATATATATATACATAAATATTGGATAAAAAGTCCTCAGAAAGCTTTCTGGATACCAATAGTGTCTCTAAACACTTTTTTTTAAATATTTTATATTTTTTGACGTTGGTTAACGTTCAACGTAGACGTCCGACGGTGACAATCTTAACGTCATCTCTGGACGAGTCCTGGTAGCCGAGATGTTTTGTGCACGTAAGGAAGAGAAAAGAAGGCGTATTAGAGACTAATAAATAAAAGTATCAGGGGAATCGATTGACATAGCAGTAGCGTCAAAAAAAAGCGGTATTTTTTTGTTATTTTTATGAAAAACAAGGAAAAACTAATGAGGATCTGTGTACAGGAAATATTTTTGAAAAACGATTGATAGAGGCATATATTGAAGAAAATAAGGCAGATCCAGTGACAGGAGAGTCTTTGACGTTAGAGGATTTGCTAGAATTGAAAAGTAGTTTTTTTAGACGAGAGAATAACAAAAACTTATTTTTTAAAACAGCACCAAAAACGATTCGAGGACGGCCGCCTCAGGCAACATCTATACCATCTTTGTTGGCTATTTTTCAGAATGAATGGGATTCTTTGGCACTAGAAACGTATAATTTAAAGCAACAGTTAAATCAAGCACGACAAGAGTTAAGCACGGCGCTTTATCAGCACGATGCAGCTTGTCGAGTGATTGCACGTCTTTTAAAAGAGCGGGATGAAGCAAGGGAAGCATTGAAGACGATTAAGATTGCATCAGGGCCTTCAAACAATGCACCAGTTGACAGTGAACAAATGGATATGGATGTACAAACACTTCCTGAACATATAACTCAAAAGATTGATGAGACGCAAAAAGTGTAATTATATATATATACGTATACTATATTTATTTATTGTTTTATATAGATTGTCTTCGAATCGAAGAAAAAGAAAAGTTCCTACAGATTGGACTACTACAGAGCAAGTGCAACAATTCAAGTCTTCAAAAGTATTTGAGCCTTTCCAATCTAAGATAACTTCTATTGCTGTAGCACAACAGGGAACTATGATTTTAGTTGCAAGTAAGAATATAGTGAAAATATATCGTGATATGGATGAAAATCCTGCATATTCTTTAGAATGTGGTAAAGATGAGATCACATGTGGATTGTGGATGAATGAACTACCTATTATTGCAAGTTCAACCGGTTTTATTTATATTTATACATCGCTGGATGGAAATACTAAAAAGATATCTACTCATCAGAGCAAAGTAACTGCTATCGCTTTACATCCATCAGGTGGTCTACTTGCCTCTGTGACTGTTGATGGAGAATGGGCATTTCACGATCTTTATACTGAGCAAACTGTTTTAAAGAATCGTGAAAATACAGGCATGTTTTTTAAATACCATTTTACTTTTGATTCTTATTTTTGTCAGAATTTACCACTGCTCAATTTCATCCAGATGGCCATCTCTTTGGATCTGGAACAACTACTGGGCAAGTTAAAATATATAATGTTAAAACGGGTAAAAATGTCGCCAATTTTGATTCACACAAAGGTATCATTACTTCTCTTTTTTTCTCAGAAAACGGTTATTGGCTTTCTGTTGCATCTAGTCAAGACCCTCATGTACACATCTGGGACCTTCGAAATAATACTCAAACTCATTTTCTAGATGTTGCTGGATCCATTGTTTCACTTTGCTGGGATTATACTGGCCAGTTTCTTGCTGTCGGTACCACTCAGGCAACCGTTATATGGTATTACACAAAATCGTCTAAATCTTGGTCAAAAATACAAGAAATTATGCATCCTGCTTCTCATTTATTGTGGGGATCTTATGCTGCCTCACTTGTTACTGTAAATAACACACAACTAACTATTTATTCAACTTAAATTACAAATTTCCTTTATTTAAAAATATCTAAAGATTTAAAAATATTATTTTTTCTCTATTTTTTATTATATATACATATCTTTTGTGCGTACAACTTCGATATTTGCTTAACTACTTTTTTAACAGTAAAAGCAAATGTGCTTTGAAAAAGAAAAAGAATACATATTTTTACAGTTTTAGCACTTAAAATAAAGGTTTTTGTTTGTTTTTATATATGGAAATATCCGATATATCATCTTTTTCATGTATTCAAAACAACAGGCAAAAAACAAGACTTAGTGGTGATGTGTTTCATAATGAAGGTCTGATATGTAAGTAAATACATGATGTGCGTATTATACATGCTCAACAAAGCCTATTAGTGCCGCCACATCACTCTAGAATGACAACTCAGTCTTCTACACAAGGAGAGATTCCAGTAATTGATTTGACGATAGATACACCGTCTCAAAATGAACAACTCTCAGCTGAATTGCAACAAAATCATAGTTTATTTCATGGAAGAGCCATTGATGTGATTGATGTTGATAGTCTTCCAGACCGCCAATGTTCACAAAGACATTTAGAATATTTTCAACCTCTTTCTTTTGAATCATTTATAGATTTGGGTGATATGTTAGTTTTAGGGCATTCTTTATCACAGAGATCATCTGGAAATGCTGCAGACCATTTGGTTTATCCAAGAAGGATAACACGTCAAGCAGCGAATCAGATATATCAATGGGAAGACCAGATTATTCGAACAAATGATAGTTTTTTGCATGCACTAATGAACCGTATGACATCATCGAGTCGAAGACGAACAAATGCTTCTGTTCGTCGTTCAACAAGTTACCCTTATTATATTCGATCTCATCAGGACCTTATATCTTCATCTTTGGATTATGATCAATTGTTTGCAGAGACAGATAATGAGGTTGTATCAAGAAAAAATACATCATCTGCATCTGTTCAATATAAAAAGCCTCCTGAAGCTATGAAAGGGTTCACAAGGTCATTAAACAGGAATCAAAAACTTGTATGTCCAAATTGTATTCATGAATTAGGTATTTCTGATGACCCTGTAAAAAAAAGCATTTGGATAGGGAAATGTGGTCATGTTTATTGTGGTAGTTGTGCGTTTGTTTTTCGGTCAATGAAATCAAAAGGGCCTCATGCTGCTATTTGTGCAGTTGAACATTGTCATAAAATTATTACTGGGAATCACAATTTACGAGAAATTTATGTATAATATTTCACTAAACTTAAGAAATAGAGAATATAAATTTTGGATATTTTTATCCATGAATAATGATAGTTTATGAATTTATTTTTTAAGCTTCAGAATTTTATATGTTTCAATCGTTTAAATTATTATGTAATATGAAGTCCATTAAAAGTAAAAATAAAAGTAAATTTTAATTATATTAAATCATTTTTAATATTTACAAAGAACCGTTTTTAAACTATCTTTTTTTATATAATGTTTTTTCTTGTTTTGGCTGGATTGCAATTTTTTTTTATACATTTATTCAACAAAGAAAATTCATCAGTAATTATTATGGAGTAATTTCTTTGCTTAAATACGTTCAAACATTTGCAATTTTAGAAATTTTACATGCTGGTCTTGGTATATTCAGCTACAATAATATTGACATATTGACTTTTTTCTATAGGCATAACTTCATCATCTGTCATTATAACAACTATACAAGTTGCATCACGCCTTTTGCTCTGTTGGGGTATTGCAAATGCATATCCGGATATTGTATTAAAGAGTTCTGCATTTTTTTCTATGAGTTATGCTTGGAGTATCACAGAAATTGTTCGTTATAGTTATTATGCAAATAATTTTAAAGAAAATACATGTTTCTTATTGTTATGGCTTAGGTAATATCTTTTTCTGCATAGAAAGTATTTACAGTTTATTTTTAAGATATAATCTTTTCTTTATTTTATATCCTTTAGGAACGCTAAGTGAAATGTGGCTTATTTGGAAATTACTCCCATATATTAATGATACTCAACGGGTATATTCCCTAATTCTTAAAGCGATTCTTGTTATCTATATCCCAGGTATATATTATATTATTTTATTTAAAACTTAATAAATTTTTTTTTATTTTTAGGTTTTTGTGTTATGTATTCACATATGATTTTTCAAAGAAAGAAGTGGATGAAGTCATGGAAAACAAAAAAGGCAAAAGTACGCTTTTGCTTTAGTATTGCGCGAGTTTTTTCAGCAATTTTGAAACAAAAGGTTGTCGCTCAGAAAGAGGGAGCTGATTCGCATGCTCTAAAATGATTATTTTAAATATAATCGTAAATATAAAATAAAAACCTCGAATAATCAAGATTTCTGATGCAAGCCTTTCAAATTCTTCCACATCTTTTTCAAGATTTTTTTCTGTCATATAATGTTTATTATTTGACTATACACTTTAGTTAATATGATTTTATTTTTTGTCTACTAACGTCAAAGGAAAATTTATTCAAATCATACATTTCATTCCACGTAAATGCTTCTAACGCCTCTTTGACTCTGTCTATCCCTTCTTTTTTCTAATTAAAATATGTGCTATTATATTATTAATAAAAACCTTTAGATTGCTTTGTAGATTGACAAGCAAAGTCAACATATTCAAAATTCTCGTTTAAGCATGCATCTGAAAGAGCATTGTGATCGATTTGGTTGCTTGAAACTGTGTTCAAATCTTTTTCAGGCATTTTTACTGCTAATAAAACACCGTCCCACGAAGAATCGCATGCTTCAACAATTTGCCTAATTTTTTTTACTTGTCTTAATACATGTTCCTAATTAGCCAAATTAGATTTTTCTGTCAAAGATATTCTTCCTAATATCTACATAAAATGGCCTTTTTTCTGTTTCTCTAAATACAATTACAATAGCACCTAGTGCTTCCCTTACTGGAGCTGCTTCTTCTGATAAATAAGATTCAACCCATATGTCAATTTCTTCATCAGAAAACTCATCTACCCATATATCTACTGTAGCTTTATAATATTTTGTATCAAATTTCACTTGATGTATTATTCCTGCATGATTTATCTTATTTGATGAGATTTTTGGTAAAGATCCTGTTAATTCTAAAAAATACCCTTTTAAAACTCGAAAAAAAACTACAATAATAAAAAACCTTTAAGAAAAGTAAGTTTTCCTGATTTTGGAGTACCAAGAAGTAAAATTTTTTTAGAACTCATTTAAAAATAAAAAAAACTTTTTACTTATTACTATTTTTCATTTTTAGCATAAAAAAAAACAAAGAAAACAAGTAAAACCTCAGAATTACATTCTTATTAATAATAGAAGCTTTTCATATATTTTTTAGGCTTATTTTATGCCTGCAAATAGTTTATTTTGTCTATTTTCTGCTTTATACAGCAGGGTAAGTCGATGTGGGGTAGAGGGTTAAAAAAGATAGATATGTAAAGATTTAAAATTTATACAAAGATAAAACTTAAATATGATTCATAGATACTACAGGTATATAAAGGACCAGTCCAAAGAACCTACACTCTTATCTCTTTTGCTGTCCTCTAGCACGAGCGACAGTAGCTCTAGCACGAGCCATACCAATACCACGTCCACGAACAGATCTTGAACGAAACATTGGTGCATTTCTATACTTTTTTAAGTAATTTAATTGAAAAATAAATGGGACTTCAGCACCTTAACATGTCTGGTACAATAAAGAAGCGAACATGCGATCCACGAATATATGCCTGATCTAGATGTGAAACTCGGCCATCTCTTGCAGTAACTGTAATATCTTTAAGTTGTATGTTCATATTATCCTCAGCTAAAGCAAGAATCAGCTTCGATAGAGTTTTTTAAATGATCTTGAAACCTTCAAGCAATTTTCCTCGGTAAGTACTGCCATTACTCAATTCACAAGTAACAATATGTCCTTATTTAGAGTTAAAATATATAGAAATATAGAATTTATACCTGTTGCTTCGTGCAAAAGCTTTAGAGGAATGCCAATGCTGTTCATTTTATTTTCTTGACGTTGAACGCTGAGGGATAACGACGCAAAAAAAAACGATGAAAATAATATTGGCAATTAAAGGGTGGTAAAAGGGCTTTGTTTTTTTTATTTTATGATAGGAGTTTATATTTGGCTATTTTTTTAAGCATATAGTTTTTTTTAAAAAAAAAGGGTATTTTTAGCGCTTTGTTTAAGAATTTTTTAGCAAATAAGTATGAGTTGTAATAATGGTTGTGGATGTGTTAGAAAACAGGAAGAAGAGCATCCGTCGGAGCCTCTGGATATATGTGGACGATGCAAGAGTACAAAACCTGCTTTTTTTATAAAATCAGAAGCCTTTTGTAGGCAAGAAATCGGTTTTTTGAAATAAAATCTAATTTGACATTAGTCAATGTTTTTCAACGTATTTAATACGCAAATTTCATAAAACAATGGACACATTTCTTAAAAGTAAGGATATTCTTAAAAAAAGTAAAGCTTTAGTTGCTGTTTCTGGAGGCACATCTCTTGCACTTGTAAAACTTCTTTCACAAGAGCAACACTCGTTCGCATTTAAGGAATATTTTAGTGTTTTTAATTTTATTCATATAGAAGAGGAGGGTTTAATAACGAGGACATCAAATTTATCATATATTCAAGAAAAAATAAATGAAATGTTCCCCGAATCTTCTTTTTTTTCAATTAATTTGAGAAACTATATACTTAATTCTGCTGATAATGTTAAATTGTTTTGGGATAAAGAGTCAGACGCGGTATTAGCTTCTCAGATATCTGGAAAATCTATTCATTCTATAGATGATCTTCTATTATCTTCGTTATCTCCAACATCTCGTATAGATATTTTGAAATGTTTACGCAATAATATTATTTATGATTTTGCAGAAAAAGGTGAATATAGTGTTATTATATTGGGCGACACAACTACTTCAATAGCGTCAAAAATCATTTCAGAAACAGCAAAAGGTCGAGGATACTCTATACCATGGGAAACACGTGGAAAAATAAAATATTCTGATAGTATAATTCTTTAAAAAGTTTTACTTATTCTAATTCTATTTTTAAGATATATGGTTATTGCGACCGATGAAAGACATTATAAAACAAGAAGCACACTTTTTTTTGCAAATTAATGGAATTGAAATTGAGATAAAAAAATTTGATCACAAAATTACTACAATAGATGAATTAGCTGACCAATATTTTGATAATCTTGAGAAATCTAATCCAAACTTTGTATTTACTGTTGTTAAAACAGCTACGAAACTTCAGATTCCAGAGATAGAAAAAACAAAAGATCAAAACTCAAATTTTTGTTTTATATGTCAAATGCCTAAAGAAAACAATATTAAGGACTGGATTAAAAAAATAACAATAGACAGAATTGATACAAAAAATGTTTCTAATATTAATACAGACTATAATTGTCATGATTATAACAATAAAACAGAAGATATATGCTATGGATGCCTATCTATGTTAAAAGGGTTAAAAAGTCATATTGTTTTTCCATATACTAAATTGAGAAATATTAATGAAATAAGAAACCCCAAAAACGAAGTTTTAAATAAATATCTTATAGAATAATGCTTACGATAGTTAACCTTCAAAAAAGTTTGTTAAAAAAGTATTATAACAATTAAACAGACGATAATTGTTTAATGTAATAATAAAAATGAGTCGTATATAAAAATTAATGCAATACAAAAATGTATAGATAGAAATTTCATGATTTTTGCGCATAATGAATGGATATTTTTCTCTTTAAGAATAAATATTTATGTGTGTTTGGATCCCTAGTTATAGTATTAGTATTTAGAAAACATAAAGTAGTATTTATACAAGTGTTAATATCATTTTTTCACGTTCTTTTAGTGTTTTTTCAAGGAGAATGTAATTGCGAATATTACATTTATAACAAGCAAATAACATATCTCCAATAATAGGAATAACTCCCATCTATAAATTTAACATATAATTTTAATTAAAAAATGAAGGAACCCTTACGGTAAAAGCAATAATAATATTTGCATACATTTGAATAACTGTTTTATACGACAAATTGACACTCATGCAAAGACGTACAAGTCGTATTGATAAATATAGATTGATTATATCTCCAATCACTGGTATTATTCCAATTACAGTAGACCACCCAAAGCGTGTCTCACAACAAAAAAAAACTATTGCATAATCCAACCGATATGCTGATTTTCTTATCTAGTTTTTTATTAAATTATTGTTTATTTTTTAACAAAATTGCCTTCTTCATAATTTTAAATTCTTTATTAGATAATCCTGGAAAATTTATTTCAGATTTCTTTTTAGTCATCTCCTGGATACATAAATAACATGTAACCCTTAAAAATGCAAAAAACTAACAAGATATTCTTTAATTTCTTTATCATATGGATCCCATTGTTGAAAAACACTATTTTTATTTTTAAAAAAAATCTAGAAAAATACATAAAATATACGCATCAAAATCCATTGATCTAAATAAATACTAACGTATAATTAGCTATTTTATCTTATATATATTTATTTACTTTGATTACAACTGCCATATTTCAATACCGTTGACTATGTTCTGTTGCGTACACTCAAATTAATGAAATATCAAATATTTAATAAGATAAGGAAAATATTGTCTTTAAAGCAGAATAATAAGACTATAATATTGATTTTACAATGGTATCTCTTGCAAATGCAAGTTTTAAGGATGTTTTAGATGATTTATCCGTCCGATTTATTGTAAATTTACCAGAAGAAGAACTTATTTCAGTAGCACGGATATGTTTTCAAATTGAACAAGCACATTGGTACTATGAAGACTTTATTAGAGAGTTAAATCCTCTATTACCGTCTATGCATCTAAGAACATTTTGTTTGGCTTTATTTGGGCATTGTCCATTATTATGGAAGTGGAAGAAAGATCAAGAAAAAGCGTACAATGATTTCTTAAAATATAAAATAAGAGTTCCAGTTCGAGGGGCGATTATGTTAAATGATGTGTGTGAAGAGGTAGAAGAATAATGGTTTTAAAAAGATCGTTTATTTATTGCATGGCAGTGTGTTCTTGTTAAAGGATGGAGAAATTCGTCAGGATGGGGGTTTCCAAAAGGAAAAATAAATAAAGGAGAGCCTGATGAGGATTGTGCAATTAGAGAAGTATTCAGGTTTATTAAAAAAAGCAGGAAGTAATTGGTTAGGTGTATGAAGAAACGGGGTTTGATATTTCAGGACTTTTACGACCGAAAGATTACATAGAAATTACTCTTCGTGAACAAAATATACGACTTTATATTATTACAAATGTTCCTAAAGATACCAATTTTGAAACACGCACTCGTAAAGAGATTAGTGTAAATATTATATATAAACAGATCAGTGAATTGAAATAATTTAATTAGAAAATAAAATGGCACAAACTAGCTAATCTTCCAACATACTTTGTGTCTAAGAAAAAGAATGATTACAAGGATAATCAAGAATCTATGCAGAAATATTATTTGGTAGCACCATTTTTGGAGTAATATACCTCAACTTATAGAAAATTGTTATTAATAAATTTAAGACCTTTGTTAAAATGGATTCGTAAAAAAAGGAAATTTTGTTTGAACTCTGTTGAAGCAGCAGAAGAGTTGATTGCCCCCAATCTTGATGTGAATCAAAATGTTCTCAAAAAGAATTCAGAAACGTTTAAGGCTCTTCTTGGAATACCTTATTCACATATAGATACATCTTTCGATATACCATCTGATTTTGAACCCTCAATTAAAGAGAGATTTACTTTTATAAATGATAATAGAAATACCTCTGATGATGAACAATATAATATAAAATATAATAAAAATAATCTGCCAACTGCGTTAAATAAGGAATTGGAAGAAGAAAGAATTAAGGGTGCTGAACGAATTCTAGAATTATTACGATCTAATATTAGCTCAAATGTAAATAATGAAAATGAAAATATTTCATCTAATCAAATAAATAATACTAATTCTTTTAAATATGAAGTAGAAAAAAACGAAAGTTATTCATTATTACATTCAAAAGCTTCATATTCTCCTGAAAATGTAACGATATGTACGCAAGTTTCTTCAAATACATTAGACGGGAATACTGTTTTAGACCATAATGACAAAAATACTTTCAATGAAGATGCCTTATTATTAATGTTATTAGGAAAACAAAAAAAGTATGATTTGGACAAAAAGAGTTTGTCACAAGAAAAGAATTTGGACATAGAGAACAATAAAATAATGACAGTCAAATTGATAAACACACATGAACATTCAAAACATTCTTATAAATCGATAGAATCAAAAAGTTGTAAAAATTTATCGTCGCAATTATTAACTTCACATTCATCTTTTGTTACACGCACTGGTGGCACAGCTATTGAAGAATTGGATGCTCAACTGCTTCTTTATTTGGAAAATGTTGTCATGAAAGTAAAAATGGAAAACTGAATTCGTATAAGACAACATTCATGTTTATTGTCAGTTTTATTTATCTGTATATATATGTTCATTGTTTATATTTTGTGAATTAGGAAAAGAAGTGACATTTTGTCGATGAAAAGGACTCCAAATACCTCTTACGCTTGTATTCATACTGAAGACCGGCCATTTAACTTTTTTTAATTTCGCACCACTTGAATTTTTCAATAATTCTGCTTTTTTTAGAATCTGTAGAGGATCCAGATTTCGCACACAAATAACTTTTTCTCTTCCATTTACTGTATATCATTCTTCAGCTTTTCCGTTTGAAATGATGCTACTACTCACTATATATACCTCTTAAAATTGGATGTTTTCCTGGTCTCCGTGAAACAACCATTTCAATATAAGGATGGTCTTGAGCAAACTTTGCAAACATATGTCGAAGAAAAAGACTAACATAAGATTACTTAGGAGATACATTTCATATATTTTTTAACATACTTCATTCCTCGAGAACTTCCGGCCCAGTTACAATAACAAAATTGAATTTTTTTACACTTTAAAAAATTAAAGAAAAATATATAATAAAACTCATAATTACCTGGAAAATATAGGCACCAATACCATTTCTATTTGAAGATATAGATTGAATCACTCGGACCGGCATTTCTTTTTTTCGATTTTTTTAGATTAAAAAATCTCGAGATCGTTAATATTAAATCATCTACAACAATATCTTAAAAAGACTTTTAATTGGCAACAGAGTGCTTAAAAAGCAGGTGAATTGCATGAATATGAACATATTTTATCTAATTTTAGTTACAGAATGACAGATAAGCTTCCTCCACCTTTGTTAGCACTTTTTCAAGCACGTCCGCCTTTGAGATATCTTCCTCCATGTGATATTGCACCATCTTTACGGAGGACTCCAAGGATCTCTGGAATTGCTCGATATGTGCCTTTACTGGCAGATTATGACAAAGACTATCAGCCTACAGAGTCATGGCTGGAGAAACGTGAGCGTCGTCGTGAAGAAAAGAAAAAAATACAAGAAGAAGTTATTCGTAAGGGCCTTGCAGCATGTATAGTTTAAGAATGGTATGGGGAGATTCTGATTGGCTTAGATCGCCCTAGACAAGATCCAAATATCAAGGGAGATCCGTACAAAACACTTTTTGTATCTCGATTAAGCTATAAAGTGACAGAACAAGACTTGATGCGTGAATTTGGTCGATATGGTGCAATTGAGAGAGTATGTTTTAACAAATGTATCTATTCATTTAATCTGTTAGATCCGCCTAGTAACAAATGTGAAAAATAATAAACCTATGGGGTATGCGTTTATTGTATATGAACGGGAAAGAGATATGAAAGGTTTATACAAACAATTGGTGGTTCTATATATGACTAATGGTTATAGCTGCTTACCGGGAAATGGATGGTGTGCGTATCAAAGATCGCCGAACAATAGTTGATGTTGAGAGAGGCAGAACGGTAAATGGATGGAAGCCTAGGCGTCTAGGTGGAGGATTAGGAGGCAGGGGGTATACAAAAGGAGCATTGATCCGTCCTTCAGCATACAGTGATCGTGGAGGACGAGATGATAGATATCGAGGTAGCGGATATCGTGGTTCAAGCTATAAAGATCATCCTGGAGGAGTTCATGGAAGTTTTAGGTCATCATTAAGTGATAGAGGTGGGTCTAGTGACAGGCATAGAGGATCAAGGTCTGGTATTGGGTATAAGAGTTCTGATAAAGATTTGTTTAAAAGTGGGCGCCAAGAATCTTTATCCGGACAGAGTGGCCCGCATTATTCAGATGTTCCTACAGGAACGCCCACTGGACCTTCTGGACAGGGTTCAAGTGCATCTCGTTATAAGAGTCATGAAAGTACGGATGCTAAATACGGAAGTAATACGGATTACTTATCTAGTGGGCATCATGATCGTAAAGAATCAGATAAGCATAGTAAATCGGATCATAAGTATGAACATAGTGCTCGTGATGATAGAAGACGAGACCATGAGGGTTATGGTCGAGAAAAAGACAAAGATCGTTCTCCTAAAAGAAGGAGATATTGATTTTTTAGAAAGACTTTCTATTATAAGCAGAATTCGGTTTATCAATGTTTCTATTAATGTAATATACATGTATAGAATATCTGATCTTGATAATAAATTATTTTAATTTGGTTTTCTAAATATGCTACAATTACACACACTACATATATATAGACACCAAAATCATTTAATTTTTAAAGTTCACTGACATGATCTTCCATAAGCTTTACTTCATTATTAAAAGATGACCAATATCCTTTAAGTCTAATTTTGAATTCCGAAGTTATTATCCCAAATATTTTAAGAAGTTTTGTTTGCCGATTATCTAAAACATCACCTTTTTTACAAATGGTGTATTCATTAAATAAAGTAATCTGTCCATTTTTTAAAAGTGTTGGCATGCCCAAATTTCTAAGAATAGGTTCTAATGTATGAGGTAAGGGAGTGTCACTCTCTTCTGGAATTTGTCCTCCTCTGGAATAAACAGTGCCAGAGGGCACAATAAAAGTAAGAGGAGATATAAATCCAGAACGAGCAAAATCCATTCGACTGAATTTTGAAAAAAAATCAACCACTGTTGGTACGGATTCAGAAGTAAACAATACACCTACATTCCCGTGAAGTAGCTGCTAAACATTTAAAAGCTATTTTTTTAAAAAAAAGCTACCTTTGCAAGTTCATTTAAATTTTCTCGGTATTCTTCATCTTTTGTAATTCCCAATGATTTTGCTATTATCCTCAAACGTCCTACAAAAAATCTAATACTATGTTGGTTCCATTTGTTCAAATTCTTCTTAACTAACCTACTACATTTCCACTCTCTTCGGACTTCTTTAAAATGAACATTTTTCATATTTTCAACAGAAAAAACCCATATCTATAATCTTAGAATAAATAAAAAATATTCATTTGAATCATTTACATATTCATATTTGTCAATACAATTTCTTATATCTTCAAATAACTTTTTCTTGTGTTCTTGACCTTTTTTATCCGTTCTTGTTAGAGAAACTGAAAAAAATTAAGAATAGTTTATTAAATAAGATAAAAACTACTTATTTTTGATTTTTTTGACTTAGGCATTCTTCATTAAATATATTAAATATTCTTAATTTTGTATTTATGAAATATTTGACGTTGATCTGATGTTAATAAGCGTTTCGATAATATCTTAGCAAATAACGAGCGTAAGTTCAATTAAAATATGAAAAAAATATAAAAAAATTATTTTTAATGAGTAAAAAGACATAGAATAAAGCTTTCATAATATAAATATAATTATGATTGACTATATGGAATATATTTTGCGTTTATTTTACGAAAATACGGGATGGAATACTGACAATTTGTATTCATTTCTTTGTCAGAGCTCAAGAAGTATGTTTTTTTAAAAATACATATAAATTGACAGCTATTTTAAGATATTCTTGATTTTCATGTTCCTAAGGGTCTCAGATTAAATGTTGCATCGTCTCCAAGTAATAATTTTGCTTTATCTTATCGTTTATCTTTATCTCCTGTTTTAAATGGATCTATTGCATATTTAGTAACATCTTGCTGTCTTGATGGTCCGAGAAATAGCCATACTATTTCTATGAACAGAATGGCTGAAGTTTATCATCAGGTACAAGAGTTTAGTGGACAAAAAAAGACTTGGAATCAAATATATCCTTCAAAACAAAGAGGTATGGATTATTTGTTAGGAATAAAAGGCTATAATACTGTAGATTTTTTGTTTTATGGTCGAATGTATCTTCCAGAGTTGTTATTAGAAGGTCTTTATGCTAAAAAGTTATCACCTACAAAACAGTTTATTTTATTGTGTTTCAATGATCCTAAAAAAAATGATGGAAGTACTGTGAGTTTAAGATTCTATAAAAAAATTATTTTTTCTTCTAATTTTTGAAGTTAGCTGCCCAATTCCAGCACAATGTTGGAAAATGGTCAACAGAATATACATTCAATACGAATGAAGCAATGTTTGGGTTTAGAGGGCTATGGAATTTTGGGGAAGTCCCAAGAAAAATGTCAATAGATGGGAAACAGCATGAAGAGTTAACATCAATGTCTAATAATGGTCAGCTTAGTATAGGTACAGAATTATATTATGGAATACTTCATAAAACAGGAGGATGTAAGGATATATGAATAATTTATTATAATGTATGGCTTATAAATAAACAGTATCTACTGCACTTCGATTTACTACACTTCCTTCATATTTAAAAAATCCTCTCACAATGACCTTAGCTTTAAATCCTGTCATGGGCCATGTGTCTGCTGCTTATTCAATCAAAGCAACAGATGATTGTTCATTATCTAGTAGATTTAATTTTAATATGTTTTCATATGAAAGTAGTCTAGATATAGGTTTTGAGTTATGGAGACGTTCTCAACTTTCAGAATTATCACTTCCTGAAATTTCTCCGAATCTTTTTGTACCTTTCTATCCAAGGACTAATATTATTAAATTATCTACAGGATCAAAAAAAAATGTTAGAGTTTTATGGGAATGGCGTTATAAAAGTTTTCTTTGTAGTTTTGGTGCAATTTTTGATTTTAATTCATCTTTATCTCTTTTGAAATTTTTTGGTTTAGAATTCCAATATTTTTCATAAATTACCTTTTTCTAGATTGTTAAAGATTTATCATTTATTATATAACAGCATCTAATATTATTTGAAAATATAGGTTTTGCCAATTATTTAATTTTTTAATTGGCTTGATGAATATATTATTATTTCATATATTATTTCATATATTGAAATGCTCTAAATAAAAGTGTTAATATTTATTCCTAAATATAATAGTTTATATCTTTAAATATTTTTTCGAAAAAGAAACATAATATGTAGATAAATTACTTAGTGTTAAATGAATTGAATATGTTTTTTATATTTGAAAATTTGCTTTTTTCTGGATAAATAATTTTAATAAAAAAATTTACTTTAATGGAAAATTATAATGTATAACTATTAATTTTTAAATGATTTAAATATTAAAATCAAAGTTTATATTAATTCATTGCTTTTAAAACCTAAGTTTATACTTTTTCGATAGAAACATTGATTTCCCAAATATTTTCAGTTTCATTATTGTTTATCATTTTCCCAAATTCCTGATATAAAACATTGTTTATAAATTCTTGAATTTCAAAATTCATACTTTCATTGCTTTTAGTTGTTATGTTAAAATTTGCTATATAAAATGAGAAATATGGTTGCCAAATATTTGCTAATTTTATTGAATGAATTAGTGTTCCTTTTTCAAGCTAATATAAAATAAGTTATTTAATATTAAAATTTTATTTTAATTACCTTGCTTATACAATTATGAACATTATCACTGGGAAACGACAGTATTAATATTCTACCCAATTTTTTAATGACAATATATTCTAAAATGCATGTCGGTATTTGGAATAATAATGATATGTATTTATCAAAAGTATTTATTGTAGAAAGTGAAGTTATGGTCATAAAAAAAAAAATGAATAAAGGTAAAAGTGATTTTAAATAAAAAGGATTTAAAAATGTATAAAGCATTTTCGACGACGGAAATATACCTATCTCTTTTATTATTATTATTATGTCACAATAAAAAAAATAAATTACCTTTGGCTAATTGATAATGGTTATTAAATTGAACAATTGAAATAATAGTAATAATAATAGAAATTATAATAATTACGGGAGAAAAACTCCATAAAACTTGCCTATATAGTATTAAAAACTTTTTTTGTGTATAAAATTTCATAAATTTACATGGATTTTGATTCTTTTAAAACATCAGTGTTAGAAAATGGACCCAAGAGACTTGTTTCTATGATTTTTTTAAAAGAATTCATACTCATATATAATAAAAATACTGCTATTGAAAATTTTCCAAGAACTTCAACTCTTTTTAAACTATAATAAAATTAATTTTATTAAACAATGTTTTATACAAACCCAAAAGGATATTTTACTGTATTTGCATACCAAATTTCAAAATTACTGTAAATATCCAAAAAAAATGTAAATAACATACTAATAGCATCATACATAATAATAGATCCTAATGTTGTTGAAGAAACTGGTGCATATTTGAAATTCCATATTAAACATGCAATTATAAAGTGAAAAAAACCAAAGAATAAGCAAATTTTCTGATTTTTTGACATACTTTTTAAAAGATCAGTAATAGTTGGTAAAAATAATGAAGTAGGTTGGAAAGGTAATATTTCATGAGAAACAGAAAATGAATAAGGTAATCTAGATTTATATTCATGTTCTAAATGATCATTCTGATGTAAGTAAGTTTCTAAAATTTTATATTTTAGATTATTATTACCGAATTATGTCTACACTTGTTTTCAAGATCATGTGTATATTTTTCTTTAGAACTCGTATTAAACCCAAAGAATTGCGATAAATGTGCTTGTATGGCAGAAATATGACTATTATGATGATTATTGTTATATGGTTTCTTGTTATTAATGGTAAAATAATTGTTATTGTTCATCTTTTAGTGAAAAATGTAGATAGAAATAATAAAGTGTTAAATCTTTTTGTTCTTGAATATAAATATATTAAACGTTAAAAGGAATAAATACATTCTAGACAAATATAAAAACTTTAAAATTTAAATCATTATTTTCATGATTAGTCAATTTAATTAATATTGTATTTTTAAATTTAAAAGATGATTTTAAATGAAAAATGATATTTTAAATTCATAAATCCAAAACATAGTAAATATACATAATAAATATAAATTTTGTTTTTTTTAATGCTTCATAGCCTTCTTTTAGCTTTCTTTTTTGGTAATTTGTCTTTAAACGGTTGTTTCATTTTTTCAACAGAAAATTCAAACATGTCATTTGTACTTTTTGCATCATTTGACTTTTTATATTTTTTTTTACCCCCATAACCATATTTTTCATCTTTTTTTTGCCGTTTAGCCGTCTTTTGTTTTTGAGAAGTATTTGCCTTTTCTAATGCAACATCAAAATCGTCATCTATTGTAAGTTCTTCGTTTCCTCTTTTTTCTAAAAGAGAAAAAATAATCAGCCAAAAGAAATAAAATAGTCGAAAAAATACTTCTTTTTAGATTTTTTATTTTATCCAGTGCCTCTTTTTTCTCTTGTTGGCGTTTTTGAATTTTAGCTATTTGAACCATTTTCCCTATTTTTTTTAACTCACGTTGTTTCTTGGATGATTCTATTGCTTTTTTTTCAGTTTCTTTTTGAACCAGTTTATCTTTAATCTGCCATAGATTTAATTAATTATTAAATAGCCAAAAATGTAACCTTTTGCATGTGTTCATCTGATTTCAACATTTCCGCAAAATAATCTAAAGGACGAGAAAAAGGTGCTCCTTCACTAAGAATGGCATGACGTCCCCAAGTAGCTGCTTCAATTCCTTGTTTATAAAATGCCAATTCCCTTGCAAAATCATCGTGAATATCTTTGATCTCTATAGGTTTTTTTGAGGTCACTATCTGATGATCGGTAAATCGTGTTTTTGGTATCTCAATTGATGAAAGTGCTGCATTCAATGCTTCCTTATTATTTATTGTGAGTTTTTGGTAAATTGGTGCATCTAAATCTTCAAGAGATTCTATTTCAGATAATAAAATTTCTTTCGAAGACTCTCCACCTGATAAATCTTTTTCTGATAATATTTCTTGATCTTCATTATCTTCTGAAATTTCTTCTTCCTTTTCTTTATTTATAAAAGATGTTTTAAGAAAATTTGATCTTTTTTCATTTAATTCGTTTTTTTTTGCTTTAAATGGGGGGATTAATGGGGTTTTTTTTTTAAAGCTCATAAAATATTGATTAGAGTCTAAATAATCACTATATTTCTTTGGAAAGTGTGTTCTTTCTCTCCAAAGAAGCTCTTAATAAATATAGATCTTTTTATTTTAAAAAATTGACGTTCGCTTCTCTGCTTTTTTAATTTTAACGTTCTTAAATATAATTGATAAAAAATACGCAGATTTTACATAAAAATAAGAATTAAAAAGAAAAAATATTAAATGAGTACAGAAGAATGTAAAAAACTGGATAATGAAGTTTCTCCAGAAGAATCAGATAAATTATCTACTGTGGTTAAAACAATGTCTACTATAGAGAATGAACTACATTCTAAAGATTCAATTGATGCTGCTTATGATATTGTGTCAACAGTAAAGTTTCTTTATGATTTTCATTATAAATATCTTACAGATTAAGGTAGATTCACTTTTAGAACAGTTAGTGAGTGTGAAAGATTAATATTTAATATATTAATTAAGTTAGAGCCACAAATTTGAGAATCTTTCAACTGAAATTCTTGAAAAAAGTAAAAGATTGATATATATTTAAGTAATAATGATGAATAGTGGATAAAATGACAAAGCAGCTGGATGCGTTAGAGACATCATTAAACGAGATGATGGCAGAAAACCATTCAACAAAAATGGGCAAAGAGATAGATGAATTTTGAGATAGAAGAACTAAATTATAAAAGAATGTAACGCGTGTTTGCAGCTATTTGAATAGTGATATATAAAGACAGAACAGATATGTTAACATATTTTTGACGTGCACTAATTAAAGTTCATCTGAAAAATGTTTCTTTTTAATTTGGAAAACAGATAATATGTTTTTTCGTATTTGGGCATCGTCATATCTAGTTATGTGTGAATTAGAAATCATATGTTTAAAAAAATATACTTTGAGCGTTCAAGTTTTTTTTGAAGGAGTTTTTCAAGCCGTTGATATTCCGTTTCAACAAAATTAGGAGACGTTGTAATTTTTTCTGCTACTTTTATGTAGTAAGATGCATATCTATTTATTAATACCACAAAGGAATATGTTATATCGTCTTACTTGTTATTTGATTTTTTAGCCAAGCTTTTTAGTTCTGAAATAACTTCTTTTATATTGGAAGAACTTATTGTGTTGACAACGGAATCAAATTCATGTATACGTCCTGCCTAATTCTCTAAGCATATATTTTGCAATTATATAATAAATACTTTATTACTAAGACCGCCTCCACGAATCCGCATAGTTCCCGTATTAGCGTTAATAAAAGAAATGATATCATCTTCTGTATTTTCTCCATTATATTCTATTCCCGTCTTTTCAGAAGTTCCTTTAGAAAAGACTATAGATATAAGAATTGCGAAATAAAAATATATAGTAAAAAACATTTAATAGTAGGATAACCTTCAATACCATGTTCTTTAGCAATGTCACGGTAAGCATCTGCATTGATTTTTGCAATCACAACATGTTTATCAGGCAAAAAGCATTGATAAATCTTAAAAAAATAAGAACACTTTTTTTAAAGGAAGAACAAACTTTAGTATAAATAGGTTCTAGTGCTTTGCAATGTCCGCACCTGTGCATTGAGTTAGACATCAAGTAAAAAATGCATAAATTAACCAAGGCGCATAAAACTCCACAAGAACTAAGAATTTAGTTTTATATTAAATATATTTTTGAAATACCATCTTTCTTTGGATCCATGACAATTTTACGAAAATTATTTGGGGTTAATTCAAGAGCACCCTGTTTTGTTGTCTTTTTATTCAATTTAACTCCAGACTTATTTTCAATGAATTTTGTTAATGAATCAATATCTCTTCCGTCTTTATAGGGATTGCCAACTTTAGAATTGGATTCAAACCACTGGATCCATAAATACACATTCAATTTAAGAAAAAACGCACCATGAGCGTAGGATATCCCTTTACTCCAAATTTAGACCCAAATTCATGGTATTTATCGGCATCAATTCGAGCAATAATTATATTTTCTAAAAAACGTTAAAAAAGCTTTTGAAACTCAAAAAAAGTACTTCCATGACACAATTCTCCTACTTCATCATAAACTGGTGCCAAATTTTTGCAATGACCACACCTGAATTCTATAAATATACAAAAAATATTAGGCTTTTAAAGATACCATGGTGCATAAAATTTAACAAGTGCTGGTTTTTTACCTCCAACAGTTTTTTCAAATGTTTCTGGTGTTAATTCTAAGACGTTTGCTCGTATAAGAGCTGCTGTGCTAATGATTGATATCCAAAAAATAAATTTCATGGTTTTTTAGAAGTTTAAAGGGTTTTGGTTGTTGATATTAAATATATGTACCTAACCCTATTTTTAAAGGTTAATCGTAAACGTCAAGAAATATCTTAAAAATAAGAGTCTTAAGGTCTATGTTTTTTAGGAAAAAAACAAGTTTTTAAAGAGTATAAATTTGTCTTTTTTTATTTCTTTATGACATTATTTAGCACGTTTTTTCCTGGAGAAAAAAGCTTGAAATTGAGTGAAATCAGCATTGAAGAATTAATAGAACATATATTCTAGTTTTGCAAAAATATTTGTAATTATTATATATTTTGAGTTTTTTGTAGTATTTCTGTTGTTTTTTTATGATTTTTGACTGGTATATTAGAGCATCTAGGTGATTTGATTCATATTATTAGTTGTAAACGGTTACAAGTGTATATATTTAAAAATCAGTGTTTAGAGGGCAATTATGCTTTTGGAAGAGGTTACAGAAGGGCAGTTGGCAGAAGAAGACTTGGGTGTTGACTTGGCTTCTGATTCTACAGATTTTTGTTCGGATGATGAGTCAATTTTAGATGAATCACTATTAGAACGTCTTGAGGCGTTGAAGGATATAATCCCTGCTGTTTTCCGGGCACGGGTTTCTCAGAAAATATCGTCTGTATTTTCTGCTATTCGTTCTGTTTTATTTTTTGGAGGAAAGACACTTTGGATTGTAATGACAAGTGTTTTATTACTTGGGACTCCTTTGGTCCTTGCTATTGAAGAGGAAGAAAGAATGATAGCATATGATAAAGAGTTTAAAATGCAACAGAAAGCTCATGAGGTAAATTAATATGGAATGAATATTTTTATTAAATGTTGTTTTAGGTTCTTGCACCTGGCACAACTAGTGCAGCTTTTGCAGTACCAGCATCTCATCGACCTGGAGCTTCTTCAAATTAAATATTAAGCTTAAGATATTTAAAGTTCATTTTGAATAAGACTATCATAATCAATGATGTTTTAAAATGTTTATATATTTAAAATGGTTAAATATAATATATAATATAAGAAACACCATGCATTTTTATTTATATAACATACATGAATTTGCATTGTTCAGTGCTGGTATTCTTTTTCTTTAAATTCGTGTATCATCATGAAATTTTCCGCCTGTTTTAAAGTATTATTAAAATTCTCCCATATTTCGTTTGTTTTCCCTGAATCGTCTAACTCCCTTATTATACTGTCTATCTTTTTGGTACGCTCTGAAGTATTTACATTTAAAAGAGTTTTTTTAAAGGATATATCGATTTTTTTACTTTTTTTTAATATTCTTTTTAAATCTTGATTTATATTGAAATGCCAATGCCAAAAACGATGAGCAATTTTTGCTCGTAAATAACAAAATCTTCCAAGATACCATAATTCTTCATTAAAATTGTTCATTTCGTCTTCTAATAGTTTTTCTTCATTTTCATAAATTTTTAGTGTTCTTGGATCATATTTTGGACCATGAAATTGGACCCAGAAGGCAGAAATTCTATACATATAAGAAGGTGTATATTTTCCTTATTTTTACCTTCCAGATATATTACATGCATCACAAAAAAAACGTGATTCGCATGTCCCTGTTTTTAATATAGGTCTAGAAGATAATGCATTGATAAATGGAAGCTTCCATGCAGACGAAGATAAAACAGAATCTCTTAATGAGCTAATTTTTTTTTCTAAATACTTTAGAGAAAAAATAAATTGATCTGATTCTTCTATAAAATCAGGATTCAAAAGTTTGTGAATTTTATGTTGAATAAAAACTTTAAAATGTGACGAAATTCCTTGGTAACTAAACATTGTAAATTCAACAGGCATTTCGAAATACGGTTGCCCAATAGGCTCGCTATCATCTACTATAAAATCATCCAATGTAACCGATTCATGATCTCCTTGAATTATTTCATTGTCAGAAAATGATGAACTAGAATGATAAGATAAAAAAGTTTGTGGTGGATCGATTATTTCTAAGTCATCTGAATTATTCTCTAAAGTTTTTTTTGTAATTTTATTTTTCTTAAGTTTCTGCAATTGTTCTTGAAATATTGTTCTTTTTATATTTCGTTTAGAACCTCTTGTTCGTTCTTCTATAATATCTTTTTTATTTAAATCATTAATTTCATTTTCTATTTCTAATTGAGAATCATTTTCACTGTTACTAGTTGAAGAAATGAACTTTCGTCTCTTTGTTTTTGGAATAATAAGTGAAAGCTCAAAATCATTTTTAGAATTTCTTAATGAATCCGATTGAGAAGTACATGTTGTATTATTTTCTTTTGTATTTTTACCCAACGACTTAGTTTTTAAAAAATTAGAAATTTCCATAGAATAATTTTCTATAGTATTTTTGCTATTTAATGTTTGATACATATTACCCTCTGAAACATCCTTCACACATTTATTATAAAAACAGTTAACGTCTGTAGAATTTTTTAAATAATCTTTATGGAATTTTGAGTTATGTAAAGTATTTGATAGATCTTGATAATCTTCTTTAGTATTTTGATTTGAACTATCTTCTTTATTAAATTCATCTCGTTTTATAGATTCGAATACATTTTCAGGGTTTTCAAGTTCATAAATTCTAAATAAATTTTTATTTTTAAAATTTAGATCTTTATTTTTTAAAAATGTTGATTGATTTTGCTGGAATTTAATAAAAGATGATGAATTGACTTTAAATTTTTTATTCTCTATATCATCTTCGTCCGAATTAATGATAAAAAGTGTTTTTCTTTCTTTACAAAATGGTAATATAGATTGATTTTTTTCGCGTTTTTTTTTTGATAAATATTTTGATGTTTTCTTTTTTCTAAAGTTATATGATTTTTTTTTATCTTTTATAATATTGAAAGCATTAATATGGTCCATATATAAATCTTCGTTTATTTTAAATATTAAGAAATCTGTTTTGGTTTTTTCGTTTATTCTTTTTAAAAAGATTAAGAATTGAGTACAATATTGAATAATAAATATATTTCAAAATTATGAAAAAGTACTAGAATATTATATTTAATGCAAATACTAGTAATTTATTTTATATATTTAAATATTTTAGAGAAAATTATAAGTTCATAAATAGTTAATGGTTTTTATTATTTTACCTTAAATTTAAATAAATTCAAAAAAAGATAGTGTGATTTTTTAGAATGAATATTATTTAGATGAACTAGCTGAACTCAATGTTAGTTTTTCTAATTCTTTTATTATATTTAATGGAGCTTTTGATTTAAGATCTTCGAATAATTTTAAATTTTTATATTTTAAAGCTTCACTTCCTGCTGATATCCAATCACCTGCTTTTGCCCATAATTCAGCACGAAAAGTTGGTGTTATTTCAGAACATTTAGGGATAAAATTGGCTGCCATTTTTTTATTTCCTGCAGCAAGACATTCTGATACAAACGGCTATTATAATAAGATTAGTAAGTATTATAAGAATATACAGGAGCTACTTCATATCCAATAGGAGACTTTTTGGACTTATTAGCCCAATCCTCTAACTGTGTCCAATCTCTAATGGCAACTAATGCACGTAATTTAAGCCACCAAAATCTTTTGATGGGTATTTTGAAGTCTGATTTTATTTTTAAAGCAGCTGTCATCTGATTTATTTTTATTAGTTTAAAAACGGTTTCATTAATCGATAAGCCGATAAATAGTTCATGAAATTCTTTCTCATATGTTTGTTGCAATTCAAGTAATGTAATATGTTCTTCAAGGTTCTTTAATTGTTAAAATTTGAAGAATGTTTTATATATTTATTACTTTTATTTCAAATGAAAAATCTTTATATTCTTTATAAAGTCCTACTGATAATTTTAATTTTTCTATTTTAAGATCTATATTCTATAATGTTTTATTAATTAATTAGAGAAAAATATAAATACTTACAGATGTTCTAAGACTTTCAAGAAGAATTACATTAGCACCATCAGATCTACGATCATCTTGGTAATAGAAGTCTTTTAAAAGCTCGGAATCATGCTCTTTTGCATATGTTTCTAATATAGAAACTGCTACTGCTTTGTCTCGAATAATTTGGAAAAAATGAGCGAGCGGAAGTTTATCCTTCAAATATAATATAACATATAATACTATAATTTATTAATATATACATATATATTATCTAATGATACCAAGATCTACATCTCCACTTTCTATTGCTTTAATCAAAGCTGTTTCATTTTCCCTAATACTAAGTAAAAGATGTATTTTATTACTTGCCTTTAATGTATAATCAAGAAGCTTATAAATATTAGAAATAAGCAAGAAAAAATATAAAATTAAAATACTTTAACAGCAAGCTTCTGTTTTCCTTCGTCGCATGCAGTTCTAGCTATTTCTTCAAAAGATACGCCTTTTTTTAAAATAAGTTTCTCAATTATTACTCTATAAATAGTTTCTTCATCGTCAACAGAATGTTTTATCTTATATGCATTAAAAGCTTAAAAATATAAAAAGAGAAATTACTTTCATGCAAGCCCAATGAGTATATATTTTATCAGATGGTAATCGTAAATATTCACATATTTTTAAAGCAAGGAAATGTTTTTGGCGAGTTATAAGACGTTCTATTAAGCCTTCTGGTGTTAAATGAAAATATCTTTATAATATATTAAAAAAGAAAAAAAAGTATAATGAAATATACTCTTTAAAAGTCAATGGTATCCCAACATCATAAAAACGCATTGAGTTCAAAACTCTTAATATTTCACACATTTCTACAAATTCTTCTGGATTATAAAAATTAAGATAGCTTTTTCCAAATGATGCTGCCTAAAATATTTAATTATAGATTTTAATATATTTATTCTTTACTTTTAATAATCGTTTTTGCCAAAAAGGGTCAAATTCATAGCCAGCTGCTTTTATACATTGGTCTACCGCTTCTGCTAAATATGGTTTAATAGATTGTATGTTTTCATCTATTTTTGACGATTCTTGATCAAAATATTGAATAGATTTTAATAAAATAGCACCATATGAATTTTCTTCTGTTTTATATACATTTTTAAGATCGTCTATTTATTAGAAGTTATAGATAAGAATGTAGAAAAAAAAAAACCTGGAACTTTCTGTAGGAATTCACATTTATCACTAGTAATTATACGAACGCCATCTATTTCAGAAATTAATAAAGCTGGGCCATTATATGGAAAACTTTAATAATTAAAGAACAAATTAAAAATTAGTAGTAAAAATACCTTAAAAATCCCCCAAATGGGCCTATCATGAGAATTATAGTATTGTAAAGTATGATAACAGAATCGTTTCCGCACCATCCCATTTTTAAAGGTTTTTCATGTTCAGTAAGAGTAAACTCGGACATACTTCTTTGGAAACCTGTTGATATAACCCATATTTTATTTTGAAATGTGTGTAATGCAAGAAATTGACCATTTGGTGATACACTCATATCCAGAAAAGGACCTTGTTGTAAGCATTGGTCCGTATTTTCAGCTTCATCTATAATATATATAGTTGACTTAGTTGATACAAGAACTTCTACATGAAGATTGGAAGAAAATTGAGGAGCAATAATTGTCCAGCTATGTATTATATCTTCGAATTCTGGACTACAGAGTACTCTGGGACGTGGTTCGTCATAAGAATTAACAGCAATGAATGTATTGTTTTCTAATAAAGCTACAAATCCAGTACCCCAAAATTGACAATTTATAACTAGATGTTCATTTATTTCCTAATTTATATATATATAAAGTATATAAAAGAATGAAATTACTTTTCCAAGTGAAAACTGTGTAAATTCACCCTGAATATTATAATTTCTGACTATTCCGTCTTCTGTAACAACTATTAATCTTTCTGAATCTGACCATCCTAATCCTCTAATTTTTCCTATATCCCACTATATTATTTAATAAAGATATTTTAAGCTTGAAAAAACTTACATGTATTTCACGAATAAATGCTCCATATGAATTATAAATTCGAATGTTTGATTTTGTATTATCAGGCCCCAAATATTTGTGAATAACTCTATCATCCCTAACTAATGCTAAAAAATGTTAAATAGTTAAAAAACACAACTTTTACTTTAACCTATAGCACCTCCGTATAAAGCACCTGCTGATATATATCCAGAAAGCTCAACACCTTTCCACAACATTATAGAAAGTTCAATCTAGAGAAAATAAAATGTAAATCTTTATTTCTATTTAAAAATACCTTTTGATAGAATTTTTCTTTAGATAATTGTACCCATCCTAATAAGTTATTGAATATTTAATCTTGTATTGACTAAATACTGACCTTCTGTGGGTTGTTTCATTTCATAAGTAGTTTTTGTATGTTTGCTGTTTTAATAAACTTTAATAATGAAGAATTAAAATATATAGAATAAGTAGATTTAAATATGTTTATTCAATAATAAAGAACTGTAAATCTGTAAAACATATGAAAATAAAGATAATAGAAGAAAAATGAATATTTTTTCTAAAAATTACGTAAAAAAAAAGAATTATTAGGATTGACTGGTATAATGTAATATTATGTAAAAATAGAAGTGTTATTTAATTTTTTATAGAAAAAAGGAAATTTAAAAATGTATTTTAAATAAATTTGAATATTTTTTCTTTGTTTTTATTATCATTAATACTTTATACAGGCAACTAAAGTAAACGTTTTATATTTAAATAGACACATATATATATATAATATAAATATTTACAAAATAATATTTTTAAATACAAAATTATTTTTAAGATTATTAAAAAAATCTATATTTTACTGATTAATGATTACGGATAAGATTTAAAAAAGCAATATTTTATAAAAATATTGTAATAAAAACGAAGAAAATAAAGAGAAATAAACTAAAGAGAAAGTATTAAACACTTCTATATTTTATGAATCATAGTTTAATTTTTTTATGATTTTTAGGTTGAATTGGAAAATTTTGTATTAATATTTTATATGGAGATATAGTATTTATGAATTATAGCAAATAAATTACGAAAAACGAATAAAAGAAGGATTATTTATATGGATTCTGATGTTTCTTTTTGTTTTGAAGAATCTTCAAATGCGAATGTAGTAAATAATTCTGAAAAAGATTCTCTTTCTTTCAATATATTAAAAACAAGAACGGATCTTATTACAGTTAATATTAATAAAGGGAATGATGACACTGCAAGTCATACATCTTATAAGTTGAATTCTGAACGATGGGATGCATTGCGTACGAATGTTTCATTACCTGAGCAGAAGTCAAAGTTTAAGGATAAAAAGTTAAATAAGTTGTTTTTTTTATCAAAAAGTGCAAAAAATTGTTCAAAAAATATTACTGAAAATAAGGATTCCAATTCTAGTTTTCAAAAAAATGGAAAAAAACATACTGGAATATCGATACGATTAGAAAATAGTGATTCCTTACGTTCTTTCATATGTTTAAAATATATTAAAGTAACTGCTTATTATTGTTATTTTAAATTTAATTTTTTAGGTGAAAACTAATAATAAGTTTGAATATAATTCCAATAAGCTTTTTCTTGCTCAGGAGCTTTATAAATCATCGTTATTTAAAGATTTAAATCAGAAAAAATCTTATTATTTTTCTGAATCACAATCTTCAGAAGTGCCTGTAGGAGTTCCATTTCATAAATCAGGTGCTATTTGGGCTATGAAGTTTAGTCGAGATGGAAAGTATTTAGCTACAGGTGGTCAAGATACTATTTTAAGAGTTTGGATGGTTATTGGGGCACATAATTCCAATACTAATGTGGACAAGAAAGTAAATAATGATAATGAAAATTCTTCAGCTTACGGGAAAATTACTGCACCCGTGTTTTTTCCTGATCCTATTCATGAATATGTGGGTCATAAGTCAGATGTTCTGGATTTAAGTTGGAGTAAAAACAATTTTCTTTTATCATCCTCTATGGATAAAACAGTTCGTTTATGGCATGTTTCTCGAAAAGAATGTCTTTGTTGTTTTGAACATAACGATTTTGTAACATCAATTGCCTTTCATCCTCTAGATGATAGATATTTTCTTTCTGGATCTTTAGACTGTAAGTTACGTTTTTGGAATATAAAAGATAAAACTATACTGTTTTGGAATGAGTTACCAGAATTAATTACTGCTGTTGCATTTTCTCCTGATGGTCGTATGGCTATAGCAGGAAGTTTTAATGGATTATGTATATTTTACGAAACAAAGGGTTTAAGATATCATACTCAAATTCATGTTAAAAGTTCTCGAGGGAAAAATTCAAAAGGAAGTAAAATTACGGGAATTGAGACATTTAGTACTATGCCTAATAGTAATGATGATGTTAAGCTATTAATTACTAGTAATGACTCTCGTATTCGGATTTATAATATGCGTGATAAAAGTCTAGAAATTAAACTTAAAGGTAGTCAAAATACATGTAGTCAGATTCATGCTACATTTAGTGATGATGCTAAATATGTTATATCTGGTAGTGAAGATGGACGAGTATATATATGGAAGTTAGATACAGATTTTATTTTAAAAAAAAATCAAATAAGTTTAAAACATTTTCAAGGTGAGACTTCTTTTTAATATGTTACTATATGTTAATTAAAAAGTTGATTCTAATATTGTTACTGTTGCTATATTTGCACCCATGAAAAGTAAAGACTTATTAGCTGCTTCTGGTGATTTGATTTACAATGCATGTTTAGATTTAAAACGTTCATTTTCTTATAATAGTTCTACGTCTCCTATTATATCGAACTTTCAATTTGAAAATCTTTTTTTAGAAGCTTCTAAAGGAAATAATCAAGATAATATTAATAAGAATTCTGGACATGATCATGGAGATATTATTATATGTGCTGATTATACTGGAAAAATAAAAGTGTTTAGGTATAACTGTGCATCTACATATCAGGAAATAGATACAATAAGTGAGATGTCTTCTATAAAGAAGCATAATTTTTTTAAATTGTTTAAGAAAAATTAAACTCTGTAAATAATAATTGGATTTATTTTAATCTGCATAGTATAAGAATATTTAAGTTCGAATATCAGACCACTAATGTTTTGTATCTTAAAGATTTTTAGTTGAGCGTTTTAAATAATAAATTTAGGTATCTACAATAGATTGCATCTTAAAAAGCACATGTATTTTGGATGAAATATTATTTATTAATTTATTTTTTGCTTGGTTTTTGTTTTATGCATGTAATCATTAGTTATTTTTGTTATGTGGTTCCATTTATTTCTGAATCTAGTATGTTTTTCAATAAATTTGATATCGTACTAAGATTTATATAATTTATTTAATTTTAAAATATGAAAAATTATATTAATATCTTTTTTTTAAATAACTGAAGTAAAAACAAAAATTCGAATAATGATAATAGATAATTTTAGAAATTAGTCAGAGTATTGCTTACTGTAATTCATGTTATACATATACACAGACATATACAAATATTAGTTTTCTAATATAATTATAAAAATGCTAAATATTAAGGTACCTATTTTCAAAAAAAGTTTAGTTTGAGAATGAATTATTTTAAATTATATGTATGATTGATAAATAATAAGGATATATAATTAATATAAAAATATTTATATTTTATAGAAGATGGTTTTTGTATTTTAATAATTTTCAGAAAGCCAAAATGACTTAGATATTAGTAATATAATTTATGTAAAGGTAGTTTACTAACCAAAGTATTATTTGCTGTAGCTAACATCATTTTCCTTGGATTAAATGTTACAACTTTAGCTGGACCAATATTACCAGAATTTAAAATTTCAATAGGAGTTAATGATTTGCTTCTATTAGTTTGTTTAGTATCCCATATAACTAAATTCTTATCTCCAGAAGCTATATATTTTAACAATAGATTATGAAATGAAATATTATATTACCACCAATAACATAACGTGCATCTGGTGTAAAGCATACATCACCTGATGTTATAGATTTAGGATCACCATTAACAGGTATTTGTCCCGTTAAACGAGATTGTAATTCTCCTGTAAATGCATCTAAAAGATAATGGCATTCACCGCGTGTACCAATTAATATTAATTTTCCATCATTTGAAAATTCCATTTTGATCCAGTCAGGCATTCTAGGGGGATATGAAATTTTTGAAAGAAATCCATCATCATTAAGAGTAAATGTTGAAAATGGTTCTTTATCATAATTACGTAAATCATAAAGTAAAATAGAAGATAGTGAATTTGATGCTACAGCAAATATGATTCCAGTAGGATCAAATACCGTGAGGCAAGGAGAAGAAATATTGAGTAACCCCTAAAAAGCATAAACAAAAGAATAAATTTAAAAAATGCGTACATGACATGTAGAAGAACGTAAATCCCATAATCTTACAGAATTATCAAGACCAGATGATATAAAATGGTCATCAAGAGGCGACATATCTAAAGAAACAACTCTTTTCTTATGTCCACGAAAATATCGAATATATACATTATCATGTAATGATAAATATCTTAATGTGTCTATTATAAAATAAACATTGCCTTTCTTTCAAGAAAAACATTTATACCATCATCTTTAGTAGAAGAATAAATTACATTTGTAGAACGGTGTGTAAATCGTGCAAGATCTACTCCATATTTTTTGCTATATAAAGTTTTTTTATGCCTAATTTTTTAATACAAAAATATCAGAAAAAGAGTATATACTTGCCCAGAACACAATCATATAGTTGCAATGATTCATCTTCACCTGATGTGATCAACCATTCGCCAGTATCGTCAAAATCTAAACATGTTATAGCCGTTCCTTCTTGATGATTTTTAAACCCTTTTGAAGGTCTAAGAGATGTAAGAACTTGTTCAGAAATAACAACTGTTCCCATTTTCTAGTATTTTATTTTAAAAAAATTGCAAAAATATAGTTTTCTGTTTTTCTTGAATAAATTTCAAATATTGGCTTTTCAGTGTTTTAAATTGTAAAAAATATTAAAATCTTATAATTTTTAATGAAAACAAATAACTTAAAATGTAACACTTTTTGAATGAAAAATTGTATTTTATAAAAACTAAAAATTTTTATTGTAAAAATTATCTTTATTAAATAGAAATTTTAATATAGTTTCGAATAGAAATAGTTCTGGATAGAATAAATACAAATTGCAATTTTATATTTTATAATATCTAATTTATAATATTTATTTTGTTTGTTTTTTGTAAGTTTAATTTATTAATATTTTAATGATTTAGTTATTAAGAGACACAAAAATATACAAAAAATATTTATAAAAAATAGACAAAATCTTATTTTCTTTATAAATGAGGTGTATTTTTATTTTTTGTTTTACTCGGAAGCTAGAACTAGTTCTATTTAATAGATAAAACGTTATTTTTAATATATTATAAAAAGAAAATCACTAAATACATACTCAATGCCGAATTAAATGAATTACAGTTAAATTTCCCTAAGAATCATGTTTTATTGTTTATATTTTATCTTTTATTTATTTTATAGTGCTTGAAGTAAAGATTATTTTTATGTACTATTTGTGTTAAAATATCCAATTATAGTTATGGTAGATAAATAGGATTCATACTTTTATCTAATATCTTTTAAAAATATATACTTTAAAATTATTAGTATTTCTTAACAAAGATCGACTTTTAAACTTAAGAAACTAAAGATTAAAAACTAAAATTTTAAAAAGTTTTTATAATATAATTAACATAAATAATATAAATGCCGGGTAAGAATATTTATGCTTATAAGGGTTATTTTATTTATATTTTTAGTTAAAGCATTTGAAACATACACTTCTGAACATAAACTTTTTAATTATCAGCCATTAAGTGTTTTAAAAGATTGCCGCATTGGTATTGAGGCAAATTACTATTTAAAACAACTAGTGGAACGCCTTCCTGTTAAAGATCCTATGATTTATGCAACTTCTTCTATGCCTGTTGGGTTGAAAACGCAAATATTACGTGATCTTAGTATTTTGAAGCAAAATAAGATTGAGCCGTTTTTTGTTTTTGATGGATTAGATTTGATAAATAAGAATAAGAAAGTATGGAATGATGATTATTCTAAAATACGTGCGGAAGCATGGAAAAATTATGATCAAGGGAAACTTCAACAAGCATCGAATGATTTTAATTTATCGGGTAAAATTACTTTTTATTTTATATGTGTTGAAAATGCTAAACATAAGAAAGCTAATATTCAAATGTCATCTTTGTCTAAGGTATTAATTGATATTCTTTTGGAGAAAAAAATAGAATTTTTAATTGCGCCTTATTTATCATGGGCTCAACTAGCTTATATGTTAGGAAATAATCAATATAATATTAATGCGATTTTTGGATCAGTTAATATACTTTCATTTAACGTTGATCGTTTAATTATTGAGTTTAATTTTGATTATTCTATTTTTTCTTGGTTAGATAAACAGACAATTCTTTCGAGTTTAGGCGGTATAACTAATGACCAATTATTGGATATTTTTATACTCTTGGGATCTGATTTTTGTCCTACATTTCCTCCTCTTGAAATGATTTCTCAAATAAATGGAGATGTTTTTAAATTCTTACAAGATACGATTAAAATATTTAAATCTGGTATCAATACTATTTTAAACTATCATCATACATTTGTAGCAAAACATATTGATTATTTAGATATTTTTTTCAAAGCTATTTGTATAATTAAATATCATATAGTTCTTACGGAAAATGGAAAATTATTGCCACTTAATGAATCAGATGCCCCAAATGATATTCATGAATTTATTGGTACAAGACTTCCAGAGGAAATATATTTTTATCTTTCAAGGGGAATAGTTGGTCCTCATGTTATAAATATACTTACATCAGGCATGTTAATAGAAAATACTCCATTAGATAATAGAGATAGTCAAGAGTATAGAGATTTTTTAAAAGATATTTTCCCAATACAGACTCAATCTTTAAATCTTCTTACTCAACCTCTTCATCGATTTTATCAAGCAAAGAATGTGGTGAGTTTATTTAATATTGTTTTTTAAAAGTTATAATATTTAGTCTGCTTATTATTGGTTTGATCCTGAACATGAGCATAAAATGTTCCATAAAATAACACCAAGTATTTATGAATCAGTAAAGACATGGATGGTTAAAGAGGACTTTGTTAATCAAATAAAAATGACTATACCTGTGAGTTTTTTTTAAAAAAAAAAATTATTGCTAATTTTCAAGGAAAATAAAGTCAATTTTCTAAGTTTTTTTAAATCTCTTTCTGATACTAAAGTATCTAAAGATTCATTTTCTTTAAAAACAGATGACAATGTAGTATTTGCTTTTTTTCTTTATACTAATTTTTTTAGATAATGCAAAGTCATGAACAAATATTATCTAGTATTTATGGTAGATTTTTTCAATTGAGATCATTTATAAATCCAGATCACTCTCTTTCACCATGGGGTTTAGCATTATTAGACTCATTAAAAATATGTCATGAGGATCAACAAAGTTCTATCGTTTTGATATTTGAATTATTGCGATTACGTGTTTTTAAACAAGATAATTTTTCCATTTCGTATTCAGGAGAATCATCTAAAGGGACAGGTAAATAGTATTGTTATAATTTAGATTATATTGATTTGTTATTAGAAGAGGAAAAGTCATTTACAACATTAATATCACGTGTAGCATGTTTATCGGTTTTACATCAAAAGGATGTACCATGGGCCGGTCCTTTGAGTCAAGGATTACTTGTTTTTAATTTTTTTATAAAAATACTTTCTCAAACAATAAGAAATTTAATAGAAATGGTAACTGTTTCTTTATTTATGAATAGAGATGCAAATAGAGAACGGGATGATTGGTTAGAATTTGCTAAACAGTAAATAGGAATCTTGAGATTATATTTATTTAACTGATGTTTAAAAGGCTCCCATTTAATAATGAATATGATATTACAATGGGTCTTGTAATTAAAACATATTTAGAAAAAATCATTGTATCCGAAAATCCTACAAATGAAGAATCTAAAAAAAATGCTATTGATTATCTAAAATCTACTTTTGTAAGTGCCGAAAATATTGAAAGAGATATTATGAAATTTAGATATTTATGGAATTCTGTAAGTTTAATTAACACTCAAGTAAATTTAATTTAACTTTTATCCAAGATTGTCTATGGTATTAAAGTAGCTAACATATTAGGTGTAGTTGATAAATTAGAATCTGATAAATTCTTGAGAGCAAACAAGTGGTTACAAGAAAGGATATAAAGATATTTTTATAAATAATATTTTGTAAGACATAGATGTATAGACTTTTGAAGTTGAGAATCAAAAATGATATATACAAACATGCAATACAGCGCTTATTAAATTATAATTTAAGAGCCCGTTATTATTGTTCACCAAACATTCATGCTTCATTCTTAGTTAGTGCTTCGTTCTCTACACCACCATCGATGTCCAGGCCATGCTCTGGATTGACATTGTTTACTACAGTATTTTGTTCTTCTAATCAATTTATAAGCCGTAATAAATTGTATGAATTGTTAAAATACCTGCATCTTCTGCATTTTGCAAATTGTCTATTAAATGTTTCCCATCTTCCGCAATCTATGTATGCACATTGACGAATACCGCCTTTAGACTCGTCCTTTCGGCATGTATTTCTCATAATAACGCCTGCCCAATACTGAATTTCTGTTGGATGAATACGTAATGTAAACCGTTCGACTAATGAAAACACATTTATTGGTATTGCCTTATTGTCATTTGCGTTCCCAGCACGATAATATCGAAGTTCTGGAATATCATGTGAATTCTGAAAATAAGATCTAAGTTGAGGATATTTAGATATATACGCCAATAATTGTAAACAAAAAACAACATTATCTTCATTTTTGAAAAAAAAATGTCGGGAATCCAGAGATGTGGGTTGTGATGGTGTTTGTGACGATGGAGGTGCAGTAAATTCGTGATTTTCATGTATAACATTCGACAAGTGCATCTCGTTTTCATTGTGCTGTTCTATTGTGTTTGAAAAAGCCCCATTCTCAATAGAATGGAACGAATATTCGTGTGATAAAAGTGTTGACTGTTCTTCTATTGCTTCTGAAGTTTGGTCATGACTGTCTACTGTTGTTTCAAGAGTAACTGATACTGAGCCCCTTTCTGAAATTTCAGGTTCAAAACTTAGAACTGAGTCTTGGAGGATTTGAAATTCTACTGATGGATGCTGCAATGGCTGCAATCTCATACGGTTCGTTGACCCAACATCATCTGAATTTGTATCATCCGAATCTCCCCCAAGAATCCCTGACTGCTGCCTTATATTTTCTATCACTATCCTCTGTCGTCTCTCTCTCTGCCATTCATTGTTCTGCTCTTCTCTCTCTGTTTCAATTTCTATTCCCGAAACATGGATATCTTCTGATGAAAACCCTCCTTCTATTCCTATACTGCCTCCTACTACCAACTCTCCAGCGTTTATTTCTTCTTGACTACCTCCTGTATTTATCCCTAAAGGCGCTTCTAGCGCTTCAAATGCTCCCTCTACAAATAAATCATCCGGAACCCCTTCTGTTCCTGTTGTTGCTGAAACTTGTAGTTGCCGCCCAATACCTCCTCTGCTCGATCCTTCTCGTCCAGGGGCTTCTCTCACAAGATCAACTCGGTGTAAAAACCCATCAAGAACCGTTGCAATCACTGGAACCATATCTGCTTCAACTACTCGTGTACGAATCTTTTCTGACCCTCGAATACCAATATTAACTACACACTGAAATGCAAGCTGCCATTTCCATGCTTCTAGACGCCCTGATTTCCGTCCTTCCTGAAGAATACGTATAAGACGCTCTAGGCCTTCATCTTCTGCTAATATTTCTCGTATACGTGATGATGTTGATGTTAAAAATGAAAGATGTGATAATGAATTAACAAGAGGTAATGTTGCAGTACAATCAAGTGCTCGTCTATCATATAAAGCAGATGTAATGGCTACCGCAGCGCGGTTTTGAGATGGAGAACAAAAGTTGGATTCTCGCATGCGGTTGAGGTGGCGTTGTCCCGATGGAAGTTTAAGTAGGAGGAAGAATAGTTGATGAAATAATAAATGTATAAAAAGTGGTTTTGAGTAGATGATGAGTTTTTTTGCTTTTTTTTGAAGAGCTGAGTGTTTCCTGTAAGAAGTGTAAGAGAAAAAGAAGAAATAGAAATAAAAAAGATGAAAAAAAGAAAAGGAATAGAAGTGAAGTAATAAGAGAGTGTTTATCCAGAAAAGAGTGTTTCCAGAAGAGGTGTTTTTAAGTATTTTTGTGTTATATTTGTGAAATGAGTGTATAAAGACAAGAATGTTGGTAAAAAAAGATAATTCTCTATGTTTTGAATATGTGAAAAGGCAGTTTGAATGTTTGAAAAGCTGTAAATTAGTCATATCTAATATTTAGAAAGTTAGATATAAGTTAAAAGAGCATTTAAAAAGAAAGATGTTAGATTGAAATAATTGAAATTAAATATAGATAGTAAAAGGTGTTGGGTCGTTATAGTCGAAAAGAGTATGATGTGTTTTGTGAATAGAGTTTATTTTGAAAAATAGATATGAATGGAGTTATAAAGATGGTAAAAAAAATGATACTTGTGGTGAAAAATGAAAGTTTATGAAGAGGTATTCAAACAATTTGTTGGAAGTATTGAGTACTTTAAATTCGAGGAAGACATGGAGAGATTGAGCTTTTTTTTAGTATAGTGTATAAAGCTCTTTCGAGAGATCCAAACTATAGAGATTAGAATAATAATTGAGATAAAATGTTGTTGGACTTGTGTATTTTTAACTATTCCGGTTCTAATCCAGATAGTCCATGCTCCCATTTTGTTTCCCATTAGCACGTCAGTAAAAAGACGATCACCTATTACAAGAACATGAGAAGGAGAAGTGACATCTGTGTTTGCTTTTAAGTATTCTATAACTTCAGAGAAACACATAGGTTTCTAAAGGATCTTAAAGAGAAACACAATTATATGGGAAAATACTTTCTTTTTATGCCGTAACACAGGGATTTTCAACCTTTCTTCAAGAATGTTTGCCTATAAATTTAAATTTTTAGAAGAATTAAAGATTTAGTAACAAAACCTCGTGAAAATATGGTCCATCAGATATTCCTGATGAATTGCTTACAATTAAGAGTTTATTCCCCTTGAATTCTTTTCTCAATTGTTCCCATTTTTCCTTTTAATTTTGAATAAAATATTTTAAAATGATAAAAGAACTTACTTTATATGCATCATAAAGTTCAAGTTTCTTTGGAATACTTATGCAATTATCTTTATCAATAACAATTGCACGAATATCAACATCTAAGTGAAAATGTGGTGATTTTATGCTATTTTTGAGTGAACTTGAAAGATGATCAGGAATATCTGCAAAAGTTCCTACTGTTATGTGAGGAATCAATAAAGAAGGACGAAATAATGCACAAATAGATGGAAGAATAGCTCCTATATTCATATAAATTCTATTTTTTGTTAACATATACATTTCTATTGAAAAAATTATCATACTTATTTTTACATATGTAGAGAATCTAATTATCGTAAAAAACCTTAAAAATTAAAATAATATCATTACATTTATTATTATATTTATTACTATTTCCTAGTATCTTACGTATTCCTATCCATAAATATTTTATGAGCTCAATTTTGTAAGTTTTTTAATTAATAGATGAAAACTAAGAAAATTGTTTTATTTTTATATATCTTGATGATCAATTTAATATTAATTTATAAATAAATTCTTATTTAAAGGCAATAAGATAAACTGATTTTTAAAAAATTTGGAAAAGAAATAATATTTTTCAGATTATTTCTATATATGTAACAATTTTATGATATCTTAAAAATTATACTAATAGATGATATTAATATATATCCTATTGATAAAATGGATATGATATCTATTTCAATTTGATTAATTGATATTAGTAATTCGTTAAAAATAGAATATCAGGTGAATAGGTCATGATATTATGGTGTTAGTTTAATATTGGTATATTTGGTTAAAAATGTAGCTAATCTATATTAAAATGGTTATTACGGTAAATTTCTGTTATCCAAGCATTTGAAATCATTCTTTTATGCCATTATAATAAATATATTGTTATTGGTATATTTTGACTCTTACATATGAAAATTATGTTTTTCATATATAAATATCTTTTCAAATAATCTACTTATTTTTATTAGTCTTTAAAAATATATTATTACTATCTTTGTCTTGTATTTAAAATGATATTGTTATAGGACAAATAAATATTAGTGTTTTGCGTTTCTAATGAAAACATATATTAGGATATTATTGCTATGTTAATATCAATAAATATGTTAGATCTTTTTTTCTAAATGTTTCCCTTTTAAAGATTGATTATGGAATATTTCCTTTTTATATATGGACTATAATGTAATTAGATATTAAATATTCTTCTTTATTAAAATAAACGATAAATGAGTTAAAATTATAAACCGATACTAAGTATTGTTCATTTTTTGTTTTTGTTATATATATAACATTGGTTATTTTCAATTGCTTATGAAATTTTAAATTTATAACTCTGTTAACATTTTTATTTTTTATAGTTTAGATATTTTACAATTGAATAATAATTTTTTAATTTAAATGATTTTTATTTAAATAAGTTTTTACAAATAATATATCAAGATTTCTATATATGAAAAATATTATTTTTACTGATTTTTTCAATATTTAATGGTTATTTATATTATGGTTTGACTTGTATTTATTTAAAGATGCATTTTAAAACTCTTATATTGGAAAAATTGATAATTACAATAAATGGTTTTTGGGTATATTATATTAATGGTTATTATCATTATTATTATTTTATAATTTATTTTTAGTAATATGAATTTTTCTATGAATAATGATATATGATTTTTTTTACAAAAAAGAAATATTTATAAATTTGTAGCTTTATAAAAAGTAAATTATATATATAACATTCATTCTAAAATATTTTTTAAGTACATAATGCATTGTTATTTTTGAATATTATAATTTTATGTTTTTGGAAAAAAAATTAATTTAAATCTTTTTTAATGTTATTTTATAGAATTTGATAATGTAATGAAAAGATGGATATAATATTTTGAATATTTATTATCTTTAAAAAATGTTTTTACTTTTGCTAATTTTTAAAATAATAAAATTTACTTTATATAAAAAGCTTTAACAATAATTATTTAATCTATTTTGCTTATTACAATTGAATATTAAAATGGTTAAGAATTATATGAAAACAGATAAATTATTAAAAATAAAGGATAAATTTGATATTTTTGATAAAGAGCGGTCTGGAAAAATTAAAATAGAAGATTTACCTTTTGTTATAAAAGCACTTGATATTGAAATTGATCAAGAAGAATTAAATGAAATGAAAAAAACATTAGATAATAAGGATTCGGGATGGATTGAATATACAAGATTTGAGAAGATAATGGCATTAAAAATAGAAGACAAAAATATAAGTTTTGACGTTATAAAAGTAACACATGTTTTGAATTATTTGTAATAACAGATATTTAAGGCGTTTTCTTTATTTGATAAAGATTCTAAAGGAAAAATAACACTAGATGATCTCAAACGTGTTGCTAATGATATAGGAGAAAAATTGTCAGATGATGAGCTAATAGAAATGATTAACGAAGCTTCTTCTTCCGGATATGTAGGTATTATTGAATTTGAAAATATTATGAAAAGAGCTGGAGTATTTTGATTTTTTTAAAAAGAAAATACGTTTAGGTTAATGATATGCTTGAATGATTTTTTTTTTGATTTTTCTATTGCGCAATCCACTAGGATTCATGTTTATGATTCATTTAATTGCAAATTCCATACTGTAGTAATAGTTTCAATTTTGTCAACAAAGTCACGAACTAATTTATTTTTTAGTTGATGTTCTGAATTTTCATATTTATCTTTTGAAGAAAGAATGCTTCTATGATATTTTAAATGTTTAATAATTGTTTTAAAAATTCTATTAGAAATAAATGTTTCAGAAAAATAATTGCAATCTTTAACAGGACAAAACCATAATTTTGAATTTTGAGAAGGTTGGGTTGGAGGAAGTGGTATGATTTGTAGCATTGGCTTGCCTCTCCCGGGTCGAATTAAACTGGATTCAAGTAATATTTTTGTAAACTTATTAAATGAAGAATCATTTGATGTAGCAGAGTTATCAAATTTAAATGGTTGTAAATCTGCTTCAACTTCGGTGTTAAGATAATTTTTCTCTTGATTACTTTTATTAAAATCAGAATAAGTAATTATATTTTTCTTTTCTGAAACGGGAGATTTGTCAATTAACACACTTAAATTTTCTGATATTATTTTATGATTAGGTTTATTTATAGTATCTTCACATAATCTACCGATAATATTTATTTATTATTATTTTAAATAGATAGATACTTACAATTCATGTTTTAAATTTGTATTAGATAAAAATTCATTCATTGTATTCTGTTTAGGATTATTATTATATGCTTCTTTTTCATTTTTTGGAAAATCTGCATGTTTTTTTAATAAATTTAAATTTAATTTGTTTCTTTTATTATTGAAAGTGGTATTTATATTAAATGGTGATTTATAAGAATCATGAGAAATTGTTTCTTTTAAACATTCAGTATTCTTTTTAAAATTTGTTGATATGTTGTTAAGTTTTTGTAAATCTAATTTAGTATCAGACGATTTATAGATTATATCTAATGGATCTAAGATCTCATCTTTTATAATTGTTTCAAAATCTGAAGGAGTATTATAATTTTTAGATTTGTGAATTTCATTTTCAATATATTTTTTCTTGTTTAATTTTTTTTTATTTTTAAAACATGAATCTTCTAGAAAATTTGAAGCATTTGATTTTAATATGTTGTACTTTGAAGTTTTTAATTGTTTATTCATAGATAATTTCAATTTAGGATTCTTTAAGAAATTCAGTTTAAACTTTAAATGATTAGATATGTTTTATAATTAATAATTTTATACTATTAACATATTTTCTAAATCCTTATAAATCTCAGTATGTTTTTGTATAGCTAAATTAGCAAAATATTCAATATTTTGAAGAATAAATTTTAGCGTGGCTCTATATGAAATTTTAAAATTTTTTGTTATCTTAAATATGTTAATGATTGAATAAAAATGATTATCAATATTTACATTATCTATAAATATTTTTAAATTGTACTTTTTAGCATATTTCTGTGAGTCAATAAGTTCGGAAATAAGTTGATCTAAAACTAATTAAATGTAATAAATACAATTTTTTAATATACCTGTAATTTTATATAGAAATTCTTTTTTAGATGTCAAATCTGTTTTATAAGTTACGTTATTATTTATGCTTAATTCTGCTGAGGAGTTATTTAAGTCTAATATAGTTCTTTTGTTAGGTATATTTTTTATTGATTCTGTATTATGGTATATTTTGTTTTTCTTCTCATAAAGTTTTTGAGAATCTTCATTTTTAAAAAACATAGAATCCGTTTCTTTAAGACAAATATCAATTCCCTGTAAAAATTGTTTGTTATTTATTTATAATATTTATGTTCATATGTGTATACTTTACTTATATCAATAAGTTGCTTAAATAAAATACTTTTTTCCCATTTTTTAGATATTTTAATAAAATCAATTAAACCTTCTGCATGGTCTTTTATTTTTTCTCTCATATCGTTTACTGAATTTAAATCATTTCCAAGAAAAATAGCAGCTGTTTCAATATCAAGATCCTCAGGTTTAAAAGGAATATACATTAAAGCTTTCTTTAAGTCATTATATAATTTTCTTCCTTCTGCATTTGCACGAGGAAATGGATATGTTAGTATTCTATTTTGTGATTTTTTGAATAAGAATTCAACATTGAAAAAATCATGCTGTAATTGAAAAGAATCGTCTAATTTCTGCTTATTATTTATTATACTAAAACATATTATTATATTTAAGAGAGGAATAAATTAATAGTTTTAACATATACCTTTCATCCGTAAAGCTATTAGTGAGTTTTAATGTATTAACAGCTTCATTACGTAGAATTTCTACTTTTTTTTTATTTAACTCTGCAATCTTAAATGAATCCTGTAAATTTGATTAAAACAAGAAGGAAAATGGGTAATAATTTACATTACATAATTGCTTAAGATCTTTAAAAAAGAGTGACGTTTGCCAGTTTAATAAAACATCATCCAACATCATAAAAAATAAAAATTTAGAATATTTAATCATTTTATTTTTAACCACTAACTCTTTTTCACCTAACACATGTGAAATCTATAAAGAATATTAATAAAGAAAAAAACAAAGTTTAAACCTACTTGTTCTAAATATTCAGGAAATGTAAATATGCAATCTTCTGTTTCACTTTTTCGAATAGATCTTAAATATACTATTTAAATTAGAAAAAAACATTTGGTATGTTTTGTACAATAAAGATTTGCTTTTTCTATAACTATATCAAATGTTTCTTTGTATTCATCGCTAACATTTCGAATGGCATATAGTGCACGTTGTCCAACAACCCATATCAATAATGAATTGCTAGGAAGTTGTTCAATCTTGTAAAGATAGACATTTCTAAGTTTAATGAAAACTGTTTTTCGTGAAGTGTGTGCAAAACGTACTAAACTATCATTAATTTTCTTTATATTTAAAATCTTTAAAATACTCTGCGTTTCTTCATTCATATGAATAAAGCCTGTTATAACAAAAGGCCCACGCTCTATTACGTCAAATATATCTTCTGGAGGATCTTCATTTCCTTTTTTTAATCTTGGGAGAATTTGCTGTGTAACATATACATAGTTTAGTTCACATTGTGGTAAATCATGAATAGTTCCAGGTTTAAGTGGCTTAAATGTTTGATCTTCTCTCATAATATACACTCTCTAGCATATTCAAATAGATTAAATAGTATTTTTGTAGAGATTTATTTTTCTAAGTGCCATATTGTAATTGAAATAATTAATGAAAGAAAATATATTTGAAAATATATATATTGGAAGAACTAACTAAAAGATAAAAATTTACACTGAAATTCGCTTTTTATGAATTAAAACAAAAAATAGTAATACTTTTCTATATAGTTTCATTAATAATGTAAAAACATGTATTTTAAATTTTAAAGGAAAGGGTTTAATTGATATATAAAATATATTAAAAAATAATCAAGCTAGAACAATTCTCAAAAAGTTTAATATTATTATATATTTTTATGAATTCCCAATGTCAATATTTTTGCATAAACTTAGAAAATAATATTATAGTTTTAAAATATTTTGTATATATGAACTTTTCGTATTTTTTTAGATACATTTGTATAACGGTTTTCTTCAATTTTATAAAAATTTTACAAATTCTATAAAAATTTTACATAAAAAAGACGTTTTTAGTCTTCTCACAAATATATGATAAGCTAAGTTTTTTGTAAAAATTTTTATAAAAATAATAAAACGATCGTGTTAATCGCTAATATTTAGTTGGTGTCTGATAGATCTTGTTTTTTTTATATAGAAATTTCTTTTAACAAATTTTATTAAAAAGAAGTAAATAAATAAATAAGTTTTATTTCTAAATAAATATTTGCTCTGATTATATAGTTCTGTTGACATTTATGAGTTTAATCTCAATAAATAGTATTAATATTAAAAATGCAAATAATATCGATGACTTTTTATTAGTTATTTTGAAATAATTAGTTTAATAATATATCATAATAAAACTTTTTAATTATCTTGTATTTGTACTTTTAATTTAACTTTTATAATTTTAAGTTTTTGAATTATAAAATGTAAAAAAAATAAACCATGATTAAAAAAATTATAATTTATAAATAAAAAATGCCTTATGTATATATTTAATAAGAAAAAATACTATATTTTGGTAATTGACGTATTCATCTTGAAGTATATGTTTCTTTAATGATATTTTGATAGTAAAAAATAAACTCAAATATTATTCAGAATACCAAATGCTTTAATAAAAAAACAAAAGCATTTGTTTTTTTTTTTTAAAAAGAAACAATAGATTATACAAGACATTGAAGTTACTAAAAAATATAAGAATATAAATAAAAAATAACTCTCTTTAAATGATAATATAAAATTAATATTATCATTAATATTATCGTAATTCCCAATAAAGTGACTTTTTCAAAAATATGAAAAATTTGATTTTTAAATAATCAGGTATTTGTTTTCTTTAACCTTTTTTCAATTTATAAATACTGTTTAATATTTTAAAAATATAATTATAAATAAAACCTAATTATATTCTCTGACTTAAGTATATAAAAACAACTTTGCATTTTTAAACGCATGAAGCCATCATTCCATGAATAACATTTGCTAGTTGTTGGTTTTCTATAGACAATTAGAAATTATTTAAAGATTTTAAAAATATGCCTAAAGCAGCTGCAACACGTTCTTTATCTCTTAGCTGTTTGTTCACCTGTTTTTCACTCTGATGTGTATCTTTTTTAATTTTTACATTGATACGAAACCTTGGAGGTAAACAACGTTCAAGACGAACACGAACACATAAACCAATAAGTGTAGCCATTGAACAATGAGGAATAGTTGGTGTTAATTCCACTGTCAAGTATATTATTTTATTCGTTTCATCGTCTTGTAAATATATATCATCTAAATTAACTACTGCAAGTTGTTCAAGTGTTAAAGGATGCTCTGGATCTGTAATATTTGCTAAAAGACCTGATAATGTAAGATACTATAATTGTTTTATAAAAAGACATACTATATATCTCTTGTTTATCTATAGCTTCTATTTGAAAGTTATTTTCTTTTTTATCATCTTTTATTTCGTCAAAAAAATCAATCCATTCTTTTAAAGATTTTTCGTTTTTTTCATAAATAATTGGGTTTTCATTTATAAGAGTTGTTCTGCTCATAATTTTTTCTCAATATTATTTTTTTGATATTTTTGAATTAAATTTTTACTTTTTCTCTTGAAATACGTATCGCTGTTGATTTTTTATAAAAAAAGTTTAACTTAGAGGATATGTTTTTATAATTTTCTATTTATATTGACTTGATTTTTTATGGTTATGATAAAATTATCATTTAGATTTTTTTAAAAAATAGAGATATTATATTTAAAAAAAAAAAATACTTAATATTTTCAAAAAACATTTTTGTATTATTTATTATGAATATAATATATTATTTTGTATTGTTTATATCTTTTTTTCTTTGTATATTTTTATTTTATTTAAATTATAAATTTTGTAGACAATTTTTTACATATGATCAATAAATAAATATATATATAATCTATTTATTTATGTATAAATATATTTTAATTTTTTTTTCTTCTAAACTAAATTATTTTTTTTAAATTTAATATTTTCAATATTTATTTGATTTTTTTGTTTTATAAATATTTTGTAAATTTGATAATTTTAAAATTTTTTATTCAAATTTAGATATTTATATGCAAAATATCATGTTGAATGTTTTAAGTGTGGTAATATTTTTCATTACTTTTTTCATATATATTTCTTTTTTTAGAAATATTGCACTTAAGAAAAATCTGTTTTATATAAATTCATTTTTTGTAATAATTCAATGTATTGATTATCAAAAAATATAAACTTTTTAATATAGACAATATATTTTTTAAAATAAATCATTTTAAGTTTATATTATTTTAAATGATTTTTTTAAAAAAAAAAAGTTTATATATATTTGTTTCAAATAAAATTATATTAGGAATATTAAGTTTTTTTTATCTAAATTTCTATAAAAAATAAATTTTAAGCTATTGATTTTTTCAACATGATTTCAATTTTAAATATTAAAAATATTTTTCAAAAAAAAGTATTTCTGGTATTGGTGAAACTTTTGCCATATTTTTACTATTTTAATTTATTTTTTGATTTTTTATGCTAATAAATATGGTTTAATTTGACAAGCGATAAACGGAGTAACTGCGTCAAATCGGGTGCCTCCATTTCATTCTTAAAAAAAGATTTTTATTAAAAATTAAGATTACTTGAATATAAACGTATTGAGATAGTATTAACAGGAAAGACAGTGAGAGATCATTATGTCTTCCCGAAAGAAAGTTCTTTTAAAGGTTATTTTTAAGTTAAATTTAAAAAAATATATTGATTGGATTTAGGTAATTATTTTGGGAGATAGTGGGTAAGATTTTAATAATTTTAAACATTTCTAAGCTCTAAGCGCTGGAAAAACATCACTTTTAAATCAATATGTCAACAAGAAGTTTAGCAATCAGTATAAAGCAACTATTGGCGCTGATTTTCTTACAAAAGAAGTTACAGTTGATGACCGTGTTGTAACTATGCAGGTTAGTAAATATTAGAAACGTGAACATAATTTTGAGCCGTTTAAGTTATGGGATACTGCTGGTCAAGAGCGTTTTCAGTCTTTAGGAGTTGCTTTTTATCGAGGTGCAGATTGTTGTGTTCTCGTCTTTGACGTGACCAATTCAAAGTCTTTTGAAACTCTTGATTCATGGAGAGACGAGTTTTTTATACAAGCAAGCCCTCGTGATCCTGAAAATTTTCCGTTTGTTTGTCTTGGTAACAAAATTGATGTTGAGGAAAGTAAGCGAACGGTATATTATTTAAACGAATTCAAAAGGATATTAATTAATGGGAAATAGGTTCCTCAAGCACGCGCCCGTACTTATTGTGAATCAAAAGGGAATACTGAATATTTTGAAACAAGTGCAAAAGAATGTATAAATGTAGATCAAGCATTTGAGCATATTGCAAAAACTGTTCTTTCCTTGGAATGCGAGAATGATTATACAGGAGAATTTCTAGATCCTATTCAAATTAACCTTGATTCTGAAAAGCCTGGCTGCTCATGTTAATAAATTTATAACTAATTTACTAATTCTAGTTTTTTTTATAAGCCTATTTTTAATAAACATGTTTTTTCAGTTCTAGGGTTTATCTTTGTTTGCTTTTTATTAATATACAATATTATATAAACTTATTAGGGTTTTAATTCATTAGTTTTATCCAATGAATGAAATTAATATTTAATGTCTAATTCAATGTAATTAAATTTAGACAATTTAAATATACAATATGTATATTAGAACATTAAAAAGTGAATTATCAAAATCTATTTTTTAATTCTCTTAGTTTTGCCATAACTTTGATAGAATCTGATTCTCCTGTTGCTTTTTGAATTTCAATTGACTATGAATTAATGAAATGTAAATATAAAATATATTAACGTACATCAACCATCATAAAAGGATTATAAGTTTTTTCATCATCGATAGTGAACTTCCCACATGTAATTTTATTATTGTCTACAAATTCCGAAACTTTAGATAATTTATCGGAATTAAATATACTTTTGGCAAATCTTATGTTAGATTTTGTATATTCGTGGCCAGGCTTTTTTTAAAAATTTAAGTTTAAATTCCAAAAAATTAAAACTTACATAAATTTTTGTATCTCCAGGAAGAGATGAAAGAATTTTATTTAGATTCCGGTGCATTTCTTCAGCGTTTCCTAATTATAAGTACATAAATGGTTATTTTTTTAATATACCTTCAAAAAATTTGCCACAACCGCCATTAAAAAGTGTGTCACCAGTAAATACTGCTCTCTCTTCTTTATCTTCCACAAAATAACATATAGAATCTCTCTACAATTATAAATTTAATTCTTGTAATAAACTTTTATACTGTATGACAAGGCGTATGAAGACTTTTAACTATAATTTCTCCAATTTTGAATATTTCTCCATCCTTAAGAAAATAATTAACACCTTCTGCGTTACTTCCACCGTAGACTTTTATATCTTTGTATTTTTTAAGCTATATTTAAAATTTTAAACATATTCTTATATGTAAAATTTAATTACCATTTTTTTATTTCCACCTGCATGATCACTAAAAAAGTTAGAAGATACATATATATTCCTTTAAAAAATAACTAATGGTGATGTGTTGTTATGATAGATGAAAGATGTATTTTTTCATTTTTTTCAAGTTTTTCTAAATGTGGGAATATCCTAAGAATATTATTTAAATAATTTTTCAAAGAAAAAATCATATACGCTTCTGGATCAGCTGGATCTACAATTGCTGCTTCTTATACATGTTATATATTTTTTTCTAAGAGTAATATTCACCTTGTGTATTATTACATATAATAATATAACTATAATTATCGGTTTTCAGAATTTCAAGTGGAATAATCTTCATATTTCGCTTATGCAATCGAAAACTGATGAGTTTATAAGTTGGAAATGTTAATATACATTTTTTATAAAAAGTTAAAAATTGTTTCATAAAAAAACGAGATACAGATAAAAGATAATATATAATGATTAATAATAAAAGTACTTAACAAATATATAATGGGTAATAAATATATGATTTTTTATTTTTTATCTTGTAAGAGATGATTTAGTATGATCTGTGGATAATTTAGTTTGACAAAGGTTTAGGTTTCATAGAGCGTTCATTCCATCCAAGTCGAGTAGCAAGACCAGTAAACCAGTCAGAACTCTGTTTTGACCGATGAACAATTGGAAAAGGAAATCTTGATGCTGAAATGGTTACGTAATCTCCTTCTAAAATTAAAATATAAGTAATTTATCATAAAAATATAAATATAATAGGAAACAAACGCTTTATTTCTACTCTATTTCTTCCGTCAAAGCTAACCCACTATGAAATATTACTTTTTTGATAATAAATATATTTTGAATATTTACCGCAGTGCTTCTAGCATTGTATGGAACTGCAACATGTAAAATCATAGAATCATGAACTAATAAAGGTCTAAATGATAATGTATGTGGACCTACTTTAAATTATATGTTTGTTCTATAAAAAATTAATGTATTACATATCGGGCTTATAAGTATTGCTGGTATATCAGGATGACAAAGAGATCCTCCAGCGGAAAGCTATTCTGAATTAAGCTTCCTCTGATTTGTTATAATAACTTACTGAATATGCAGTAGAACCTGTAGGTGTAGAAATACAAATTCCATCTGCCTGTACAGAAGTAAGATGTTTATAATCACCTATATTATTAGATATATAGACATTAAAATTATTAAATTAAATACCGTAAAGTTCTAGTGAACTTAAAAATGCATTTGGGCCACGATCCTAAAATTGTAAAATATAATTTAAAATAAATAAATGTTTTACCACAACAAGATCGTTCAATATTAAAAATGATTCTTTAGGTTCATGAGTTACGCTCATTCCATTTTTTTTATTTTCTAGTATAGATTGATCTAAATTCTTTATTTCGTCAACAAGTTGTCCATTATTAACTTTAACACGCATTATTGTGCATTTAAATCTCATTCGTAAACTAACAATAACACCATGATTAAATATATTATCTAATGTATTATCAAACATCGAAAAATCAAACATTCTTTAAACATTATTGCTTTGTAAAGTTTGTTTTTATATTTACGTTAAAAATCCTAATGAACCAAGAGAAAAAGAAATAACAGGAGGAACTATTCTTTGAAATAACCAACTACTAAATAATACAGTTCCATCTCCACCGAGCTAAAAAATTAGTATAGTTTTAAAATTGTTAATTCTTTATTTACTGTAATTATAAAATCAAATAATGATGCATGTTTTCTACATAGTTCAAAAGTCCAATATTTTAAATAGTTTTTAAAAGATATATTTGACTTTATAATGCCTTCTGAGTCAAAATCATTATAATCTTTAAAGGTAGAATTAACATAACTATAAAAGAATATCAATTCATATTTGTAATTATATAGTTTATCATACACTGAATATTTTTTTTCAAAATTGGACTGATATGATAAAAGCCAAACTACTAATTTACGAGTTAATAAAATAAGAGATTTGTCATGAGTTTTAGTAATAATAAGGATATTTCTTATTTCAAGCATAATTCGTGTATCACCTGATATAAAATAAAAATTTATTAACAAAAAAGAAATATCTAATACCCAAACTTTTCTTTTAAAAAATTAAAATACAATATTACTTTATTCAAAAAAAAACTTACTGAAAGCTTTCTCATATTGAACACCATATCAGAAAGCATTTTTTTATTGACCATTTTTGGCAATACTGCCTTAGAGTCTTTGACTTGTTTTTTTAAAGATATTTCCATTAAATGGCATCTTGAGTAATTATTATTCTCATGTTCTTGTTTTTCAAGATAATGAAGAAAATATGATTTATCTTTATGTTTACATGATCTTAGTGTTTCCATGGATTTCTCATTGAGAGAATAACTTCGTTTGATTAAATTGTTGTTTTCTGGAATCTGATCTTCTTTATTATTATCTTTTATCAAAATCTTTTCAAAATTTCCATTATTTTTAATTATTATTGAACTTGTTATGGAATCATTTCTTTTTTGTTCTTGATCATTATTCATTTTATGTTTTTCTTTTTAGATATTCATTAATATTCATTTATAAATTTTCTAAAAATCTATTTTTTCTTTAATTTTGTAAATCATTTTTTCTGATATATACTTATTCGTAATATCAAAAAAATTAATAGGTTTTAATAACATATTAAAAGCATATGAAATACTTGTAATAAGACAATTATGAATCATTTTGTTCATATTGTTCCTTGGAGATCATGTTCAGAGTTCAATGAAGTTCGTGATTGGTTTTTTGGCCCATCTAAAAGTCAAGAAACATTGATCAAAGGGCTTTCAAGAGTTTGATTATTTATTATGAATTAAATAGTGAATATTGAATAATTATAGGTGAGTGCATGGCAAGTTCGTGGTAGAGTGCCTCATGCAGTTGAAGCAACGGCGAATTTAACGTGTGTTTTGGTTCAAGAAGAGCGTGGCACATGTGATCCTCTTGGATTACGTTTATCCTATGCAATGGCTCTTACAAGGTTTTTGAATTCTTTGTTTTTATTTTATTTATTTATTGGATATTCAGATTTGTTAATGGGTTCTTAGATCCTGAACAACAAGGTCAATATGCCATAACGATGCAAACTCTTGCACGAAATATCGATCTTCCTTTGTCTTTTGTCGAAATCCGCCATGCAGCTACACATGAGCAACTTCCATCTCTAGTATTATTGCGCTCTATGGCAATTCGTGCATTAGAATGGTTATTAGATAAATATTGGTCTAAATCTTCCGGAAACACAATAGATCTAAGTGGAAAACCAAAAGAAAAGAGAATTGAAGAAATTCTTAGAAATTGGGAAGCATTTCAGGAAAAAAATTTTAACAACTCACTGGAAAACAAAGTTAAGGATTTCGACAGTAAAGATATATCTATAATGATTAAAGAATGTATTATTTTGTGTAGTAGTTTTGGTGGAATTGAGATAACAACAAATCAGCTTTTAAAAAAAATAATAGCATTACCTAAAGACATGAGGTTATTTTTGTTTTATGAAATTTACTTGGCAATATATAATTATAAATAGTAAGGAAGACTTTTTTAGCAAAACATATGAAATTTGGTTGCCATTTATTAGAAAAGTATCTTCATCTATGTGTAATTTAGTACAATTCTTTTTTTCACAAATTATTTTAAAATTAGGCGCTTCTGATGCAAAAAATAGTATGTTTTATATGTTTTTTTTTTTAAAAAAAATAATGTTGTTAGATTACGTCATGGATTCTTTGCCAATTTTTTCTCTTTCAACATTAAAAAAAACAAAAAAAAAAGAAGAGGATATGGTTTTGTTTGACATTTTATTATTGTGGCTTCAAACCATTTTGAATCAAAAACGCTTAAGCAATGATTCCATAAAACCTTTTTTCCCAGAATTATCAATACATAAAGTGATTCAAGCTTGTATACAACAAACGGATTGCTAGTACTGATTTTTCTATATGTTTAAACCAATACTTACTTGTCTAGTACTGCTCAATTGTTACAAAATATTATATCATTTGACGAAAATCTTTCAAAATCTTATGAATCCCTTATTTCTTTGCGTATTAATACCAATTCTCAAGTAAATTCTTTGCCGATGAAACGTCCTTTGGAACAAATTGGAAATGAAATTGATCTGTTTAGAAAGCGCCTTCAAAAATCACTTATACATTATTCTAATTCTGATCAATCTACTCAAGAAAATAATGATTCTACTCAAGAAAATAATGATTCTACTCAAGAAAATAATGATTTTGCTTTAGTTCTTGGAAATGGCCGATGGAGAAAATTTCAGGGAACATTTACTCCTTTGCCAATAGGCATGCCTTAACTTCTTTTTGTTTTAATCTTTTGTTCATTACCTATTTTTAAACTAATATCTAATAAAAACTATTTAAGCTCTTTTTAAAAGTTTCTAAAAATTTGTTTAAATGATACTAGTTCTTGTCAATATTTTTAATAGATTTCTATTCTTTAATAATGTACATTTTTTGGGTTTTTATGTATTTTCTAAGGAAAAGAAAATACTATTATTCAATGATTAATTAGTTTCACTGGTAATACGATGCAACGACTTGAATTTGATGAAGTTTTACCATTAGAAAAACGTATATTTTATCCAGTTATTTCAACACTCTGATCAGTAATAGGAATAAGACTATACCCGTCTGAAAACGTTCTTGACGAGACTCTTCACGAAATACTTGAAGAAACATTTGAAGAAAACGTTTCTTGTCGTCCAGTTAAAATATCAAAAGTGTTGAGTGATAACTCGATTAAAACATCATCTGGAGTACCTGTTGATGCATTATCTCTATCATCTCCTTGTGTATCTTGTAATCAACAAATTATCCAGGAGTTACCGCATAAAAAACCTGTAATTGTACGTCCGCAAGAATCACTTTGTATGTGCATTATTTTTCCATTCATCTGGCTAATTTTGCAAAGTACTGGCCCGGTTACGTGCTTTTTTTCCATTAGAACAATCTCAGCCTGTACAAGAACAGCAGGAAGAGTCAGAGTCATCAAAGCAATTATAGCTTTTGGTTTATATTAAAACAAAGACACGTGTAATGCCACGAGTAAAAACTATTGATCTTTATTTTTCAAAGTCACAACAGCTTTTAGAAGTAGCTTCTCAGACGGTAGGTTTAGTTATATTAATGTAGCACAACGGACTGTTATAAAATATACAATGAAATACTATAAGATGATGCAATATGTTTTTTAGTGTTTACCAGTATTTCCTAGTATTGTTTTGGAGCTACATTACTACTATATTTGTGTTATAATTTTTCTAACAAAAGCAGACACGGATTAGCACGAGATATCGTGCCTCAGACAAGGCACAATTGTCTATAAAAACATATGACCCTGTATCAGGTATTTGTATTCGATTTCGGACAGACCGTGCTGTTGATGTTGCACGACTAATGGCTGCCGCTTGTACACTCGGCCATACAATGGCTAATACAATAGAACCACAGGTGAAAATTGATCAAGTACAAGTGGTTCAAACACAGCAGGCAACGGAACAAGGACAAGGAAAAAAACACAAGAAGCGCCGATAAGCGTTTAGAAAAACATGTATGACGTAAATAATGGGTATTTATGTACAACAGGCTCTTTGTATACAATAAGTATTATGTATACAAAAGTTATTCGTGTATAACAATAAGTGCTTTCTAATTTCTATCGGATATCTCTATTTTTCATTTTCTATTCTTAATCCTTTATTCTTGTGGTTATATAGGAGTGTTATGTCGATGTCGATAAGCGATAAGTAATAATCGATAAGTAAATGTTATAGCATGGTAAATAAAGATGTCGTGCACTCTAACTAAAACTCTTCATCAAGAGAAAAAGTATGTGCATCGATTGGATCATAGTCATGTTTTTTAATACTGGCCATGATACCGGATTTCTGGTAATCCGAAACACGCTTTTCAAAGAAATTGGTTTTTCCCTGCAGTGAAATGTTTTCCATGAAATCAAATGGATTGGTTGCATTGTAATATTTGTTATTCCCAAGGGCAACCAAAAGCCGATCGGCTACAAACTGTCCCTTGTTAAAAATGGCCGAGTATTATCCCGATGCAACAACATACCTCGATGTATTGCTTCATAAGCCCGGCATTGATCCCCAGAAGAGGACAGGGCAGTGAGGACGTTAAAAAGTCTTGCTCGATGCTGACTGCCTCGACAATAATGGCCTGGATTGTCTCCTTACTGGGACGTTTGCGAAGATGGCTAAAAAGCAAGCAAGCAAAATCTGTATGAAGCCCTTCGTCACGCGAAATCAGCTCGTTTGAGAACGTCAGACCAGGCATCAGGCCCCGTTTCTTAAGCCAGAAAATCGATGCAAAGGATCCACTGAAGAAAATACCCTCTACAGCGGCAAACGCCACCAGCCGCTCTGCAAAGGTCGATCGTTCATCTGCGATCCACCGAAGCGCCCAGTCTGCTTTTAACTTGATGCTTGGGACTTGTTTCCGTTAGTTTTGCACCTCTGATCCCTGCTCACTCACTCGTCTCAATTGCATCAAAGAGAAACGCCATCTGCACCGGATCCCGGATATACGTCTCAATCAGCAGCGAGTACGTCTCCGAGTGAATGTTTTCCATCATGATCTGGAACCCGTAGAAGCACCGTGCCTCTGGCACCTGCACCTCATTGCTGAACCGCTCCAACAGATTCTCGTTCACAATCCCATCTGATGCCGCAAAAAACGCAAGCACATGTGAAATAAAGAATCGTTCGTCCTCATTCAGCTTCCTGTCCCAGTCATGCAGGTCCTTTGACAGATCAATCTCTTCTGCTGTCCAGAACGACGCCTCTGCTTTCTTATACATCTGCCAAATCTATTTTGATCAGTTTTCTCCCTTCTTTTCCGCCGTTTTTCCGCGTACCTCGTGATATTTGATTGGGAAAAGCACAAATCGCTTCCGATTTTCCATCAGCAGCGGCTCTTCCTCCCGTTCACTGTCTTTCTCCTCAACTTCTTTCTTTGCTTGTTTCTTCATGTCAATTAGTGCTTCTTTCGCCCTTCTTGCTGCACAAAGCTCGTCCAAACCCAATCCCCCGTTGGCCGACTCTATTTTCTACGTGTTTTAGCCTGCTTCTGCCCGTTTCTCCCCTCTTGTTCCGCTTACCTTGCACATCGCTTGCTCGTACATGTTTGCTCGTTTGGCTGTCGTCGCGTCGGCGCGTCGCCTTATATTTACGCGGCGCACGTGACTCGCGTGGCTCCCGCCGCCGTTCCCCTGCCACCCGTCTCCATGCCACCTGTTGCTTAGGCATCGTGCTATGGAGACAATACCCGGGCAACTGTTTCCCTGGCGATACCCCTAACCCTAACCCTAGAATGAGCACACCGGGTGACAGGGCGACACATTAATTTGTCCACGAGGTGAATGCCTTCCCAAACATGCAATCCTAACGCTAACCCTAACCCTAAGCTCGTCAGGCGGAGCCAGGGAGCCGCACAGCGCACATCCCGTCTTCCGGGGTTGGTGTAGGTAGTAGGTAGGGTTTACGGAAACAGGAGTGCTTGGCGCCGCTCGAGACATCAGCTTGGGTTACTCCGGGCCGCTCCTTGTGCATTAGTCCTGTGTGTCAGGAGTGTCAGGGTTGTGTCAGGGTTGTGTTAGGGTTAGGGTTGGTAGTAAAAGAAGGGTTAGGTCTAGGGTTAGGGGTGCCTGTTTGGGAGGTAGGGGCGGTGCCTTGCTGCAACGGGCGCACCATATGTTGGCTGCCTCTGGGGGAAGCACGCCGCATCGATACCAGGGTTGGGCTGACTCTTGGGTTAGGGTTAGAGATACTATGTTGTGTTAGGGTTAGGGTTACTATATTAGGAAACATTAGGGTAGGCTACCTAAAAGGGAAGCTCGGGGGTCTCGTCTAGCGTCTGTCAGTGTTCTGTCAGTGTTAAGTACCCCTTCCGGCAACTCCTTCCGGCAACTCGCCTGGTTAGGGTTAGGGTACAGTATCCTAAATTAGGGTTAGGGCTGGGCGGGCAAGCAGCGTAACCCCGCCGCCTCGGGAGAGCACGGGCATGGAGGGAGCGACGGCGCAGCGCATCAGAACGGTGCTTGGAGTACTGAGAGCATTGGAGTGGTCACGTGCATGGCACGGCGCGCGCGCATCGGCCGAATACGGCGCACGTGTTGCGCGCGCAGTTGCCGCGCAGGTGTGGAGAGAGGAGCGGCAGCGGCTCCGGCTACCGACTGCTGCCGAGGCTGAGGCTGCCTGGCACGGGCTGCGTGCACTGCGTGCACAGGGCCTCCCCGTGTGTCGGCTGCCTACGCGCGACACTGCGCTCCGGCTCACCGTGTGTCTCGTTGAGGCGTACGGCTTCTTCAAGCTCGGAGAGGTGCTTGGCCGCCGGCATCTGGTGGGATACAGGGTGTAAGCGCATTGCCGGGCAACGGGTGCCAGGGGGACGGTTGGCAGGGGAGCGGTTGGTGTGGAGACGGTTGACAGGACAACAGTTTATTGAGGCGCTGGGTATCAGTGTGCCGCGGGCGCCGCGCCGGCTGAGACGGGGTCTCTGGCGGGCGGTGCGCGCCTGAGGCGCCGCTTGGCTCTCTTAGAGACAGCAGGAAGTAGGCGAAGCATCCAGGAAGGGACGTCGGAGCCAGAACGCAACATGACATGGACAATGCTGCAGAGGTTAGCAGAGAAGAAAGAGAGAGGAGAGTGCCTTCGGAGATACTCAGTGTCAGCGGCAGAGAAATAAGTGATGGCACGGCCAGGCCGGCCAGCACGGCCGGTACGGCCGATACGGTGGATATAACTATGTGCGGAAAGAGGAAGGTCGTAGTTGATGACGAGTTCGACGCCCTTGAAGTCGATACCGCGGGACAAGATGTCAGTGCAGATAAGGAGGAAGAGCTCGCCTTGACGGAAGCGGTGGAGGAGGGAGTCACGCTGTGCCAGTGTGCGGTTGCCATGGAAGACATCGATGGGGAGAGAGTCGGACCTGAGGAGGCTGTATAGGTCGTTGGCGCGCTGGACAGACTGGACAAAGACGAGGGCGGGGAGGGGGAGGCCACTGTGGATAAGCTGTTTGAGGGCGACGAGTTTGCCCTCTTCAGAGCCGACATGGACCAGTTGTTGGTGGACAGTGTCGACAGCAGTGTCTCTGTGGAGGGTTAGAGAGAGAGAGAAGGGAAGAGGAGAGTGGAAGAGTGAAAGAGGGAGAAAGGGAGAAAGGGAGAAAGGGGGAAAGGGGCACGTGCTTTTTCCAGACGATGACTCGGACGGGGCGGACCATGAAGGAGTGGGAGAGGGTTTCGACGCTGGAGGGTATTGTAGCGGAAAACAGGGATTTTTTTACGTCAGAAGCAATGTCAGAAGCAAAAAATGAGATAAGCTTGGAAGTGTGTTGAAGGAACTCGTGATCGAAGAGCCGGTCGCCTTCATCAAGGACAAGGTGACGCACACTGGGGTAGCTGAGTGAGAGAACAAGATATGAAGAAGTCTACCTGCTGTAATTTAAATTTTTTTCAAGAATAGCCCTCAATGCCATCAGGGGAGTAGAGATTAGAATGTCGTATTTAGAGCCATTGATGTTGGAGATTGTGGATCTCTGGAGATGGCAAATCCTGAATTTTTTTCCATGAGTAAGCCGTTTGATTTCCCGGTAAATCTGATGATCAGTGAAGAGCAGGAGAGAGCCAGAGATACCTGCTTGGAGAGTTCGTTTACCGGGGTGACTATGAGGGCACGGAACCCATGATCAGAGTGTTTTTTGAGATCGGCTAGCATAGGTATAATGAATGCCAGTGTTTTGCCGGAGCCGGTAGGGGAACAGACGAACAGGTCTCTCCCGGCAGCAGAGATGGGGATGGCTTGTATCTGAACGGGAGTAGGTGTTTCAAAGCCGTATTTTTCCAAATTTTTCAGGAGAAAGCTAGGAAACTGAAGCTGTTTGCTCATTGCAGAAAAAGTCATGATTGGGTCGGGGACATCGTCTCCAGAAACACGTATGCGGAATAGACGCTGAAAATTTTTGATTTCTTCTTCTGTAGGCGCTGATGATGTAATTTTTTCCTCGGATTCTACATTTATGGTACTTTCTTTCTGATCTGCTTGATGGCAATGTTGATTTTTTTCCAAAAAAGAGTATAAACACAATGTACCTTCCTTTCTTTTTGATTCTTGTGTTTTTCTTTTCTTAAGATTAGTTCCTCCAGTTAAAATTGAAAAAGCATCCATATGTCCCAAATCAATAGGTTACATCGTTAGTTTGTAAAAATCTGAAATACATATATATATTATAATATTTATTCATTATGTTACAGGATATTCTAGCTCTTTCTACAGCTAATGAATGATGATTCTTAGTATCAAATAAGATAATGATGGTATTAAATGATTTTTATAGTACATAAATAGAAAGACATGTTAATTATTAAATTTCGGTACTAATGTATGTTTTTTAGAAAAAAAAGTTCTGGTTTTCAAGAGAGCCAGTAGAAATATAAAATCTTTTTCGTCTCGGTTGTTTTAAATATATTTTGCTATATATCTGTTATGTTTTATAAAAATAATATCAAAATAATAACAAAATATATATTATGTGTGTTATAAAAGTCAAGCTTAGTCCTTCCCCATATTTAAAGCCTGTGTTAGTGTTTAAGATTGCATAAAAGATATTTTAATTAGAAATATAAATAAACAAATATAGATTTTTGGTAAAAAGTTGGTAAATTGTTGTTAATATAGCCTAGTCATCCATTGACCCATCACGAGGACGATATTGAACACCACGGTGATTAAGCTGTTCAACTATTTCTTCTGGTAGTTGGCCTTGTACACGAACAGCGTATATGCCGCCTACGAATCGATTAATACGCTGCCATTTTGCTACCCAAGACTCTGTAGGTTGCATTACAGCAAGAATTCCTTCATAAATAGGAGACGTGCATTCCTGTACTAGATCTTCTGATGCAGAAATCTGAAGAAGTGATTCACAGTTAGGACATCCTTAAAATTAATTAAAAACATGGTTAAGAGCAGAAAAAAAAACCTTCTGATAGAAAATGTTTGTAAGGAAGAACAATACCACATAAAAGACATGCACGAAGGTTTTTTCTTTCTGCAGGAATTGTAGATGTTAATATTGCCATTTATTCCTGTTGAAATTTTTACGATGAAGTATTAATATTAAATTGTTGTTAAATGATTAATGTCAAAATCTTTTTTAATTTGTCTTATACTTAATTATAAAAACACGTATATTTCTTATAGTTTATTTAAAATGTTCTTATTTATTATTTAAATATAAACAAATGTCTATGATTTTTTCATCAGTATTTAATATATAATTTATTTTAATACGTTGTATGTTTTAATATTCTATTTATTCACTTTAATATTTATATAAAATAAACAAGATTTTCTCTATGATCTTTTGTTTTTATATGTTTTTATATTAATATGTTTATTTTTTAAAGTATTTTGTTTGCGCTTATTTTATTTTATCTATATTTTAAAATATTTTTTAAACTTTTTAAAAATGAATAAACAATACTGTTTTTACAATAAGATTTTTTACCATTTTTATTGTATTAATGATATTTTAAAAGATTTAATTCAGTTGTTATAAATATTGAAAATATAAATTGAAAAGAATTCCAATTTCTACTTTGTTTTCATTTTTTATTGACTTATAGGCATATCTATTTTAAACAATCAAATATATTTTTTATATGTTTAAATTTCTTTTTTAAAAATATTTTCAAATTTAATATTTTAAAAGCGAAATAGAATATTCAATAATTAATCTATTTTTATTTGAAATATTATTTATACAACATTTAGACTGTATATATTCATAAAGTGTTTAATATTTATAATAAATAGTTTTTATTGACTTTTGAAATCTTAATATTTTTAAAAATATTTTATTAAACTAATCCAAATCGATATATTTTTTCCAATAAATGATATTAAAAACCACTCGAAGCATTTATACTTGTTTAAGTTAATACTTGTTTCTGCATAATTTAATTTCTTTATATAATTATTTTAAAACTATTTATTTTTTGAAAAAAGAACTTTAATGGTCTCTTTTAGTTTTATTTGTTTTATTATCTTTTAATACAGTTAACTATTTAACCACTGTAAAAAATCAGCGTTGCTAAAGCAACCTCGTTACTTCAGCAACGCTTATTCTTTACTGCAAAAACTTCAAATTCCAAAATCAATGCATTTTAAAGTAAATATTAGTCTTTTTAATATGGAAATCTAACTAAGTTTTAGTCCATTACACAAGTTCCTCCGGCTAAGGAGTTTTTAGATATTGTTTTATCTAAAACCCAAAGAAAAACACCGACAGTTGTTCGTCCAGGATTCAAAATATCTCGTATTCGGTTAGTATAAACAGATCAAAAGAAAAACAGTATATCTTATGAATATTTAAAGGAGCTTTTATATGAAAAAAGTTACATTCACAAAAGACACATTAACAGAAAAGCTTCAAGCTATTATTGATGAATTTCCCCGGTTGAATGATCTTCATCCATTTTATAGTGATTTGTTGAATATTTTGTATGATAAGGATCATTTTAAGATTGCTTTATCACATATTGCAACAGCAAAACAACTTATTGAGACAGTAGCACGTGATTATATTCGTCTACTTAAGTATGGAGATAGTTTGTATGATCAAATTATTTTGAAAATTTATTTTTAATATTTTTAAGATATCGTTGTAAACAATTAAAAAGAGCTGCTCTTGGACGGTATGCAGTAATTAAAAAAATAATTTAGCTTAAGGATATAGCATGGCAACAATTATACGTCGCCAGAGTCAAGTTTTAACATATTTGGAACAAGTTCGCCAACATCTTGCACGACTGCCTTCTATTGAACCTAATACTCGAACTTTGCTTATTTGTGGTTTGCCAAATGTTGGAAAATCCTCTTTTATGAACAAAATAACGCGTGCGGATGTTGAAGAAGCTCCATATCCTTTTACAACAAAATCTCTTTTTGTTGGACATATGGACTATAAGTATTTAAGATGGTATAATTTGTACTTTAATTTGTTTTGACAGTATTCTAAAACTATCAGGCAAGTTATTGATACTCCCGGTATTTTAGATCATCCATTAGAAGATATGAATACCATAGAAATGCAAAGTATTACTGCATTAGCTCATCTTAGAGCATGTATTTTATATTTTATGGACTTAAGTGAACACTGTGGATATCCTATTGAATCTCAAGTAAAACTATTTCATAGTCTAAAACCGCTTTTTTCTAACAAAACTACCGTTCTTGTTATTAATAAAATAGACATTATGCATCCTGATCATCTTGATGAGAAAAACAAAGCATTAATCCAAACAATTTTGGATGACAAAAATGTACAAATGGTTCAGACTAGTTGTGTAACAGAAGATGGTGTAATGAATGTAAGAAATATGGTATTTAATACCGATAATATATCTTATATATTTCTTATTTTAAACTAGTGTTGTGATAAACTACTTGAATCTAGGATAGAAGTAAAACTTAAGGATAAAAAAAGTGATAACATTTTGAATAGAATTCATCTTGCAAAACCTGTAGTGAGAGATGCTATTGAAAGATTACCACTTATACCAGAGGCTGCAAAAAATAAAAAACCATACGATTGGAATAATCCTGATAGAAGAAAATTGGAAAAAGATTTAGAAATGGAACAAGGTGGTCCTGGTGTATATAATATTAATCTTAAAAGTAAAAAATCAAATAATTTTATTTCTTATTAATTATACTAGAAAATTACATACTTGAAAATCCTGAATGGAAGTCTGATATCATGCCTGAATTTCTTAATGGGAAAAATGTATATGATTTTGTTGATCCTGATATTGAAGCCAAACTTGCTGAATTAGAAGCCGAAGAAGAAAAGCTTGAACAAGAAGGTTTTTACAATTCCGATAGTGAAGTTGTACGTTATGATGTTTCTGTTACTTTGTTAATATGTTTTAGGATGATGAGGAAGATATTAAAATATTAGAAAAAGCTAAATTTCTTAAAGAAAGAAATGATTCTATAAGACGGAAAGCTAATTCTAAAAAAGCATTAAGAAATAGAGCTATCCTTCCCCGTACTATGGGTTTAAAAACTATTTCTGAAATGAATGAACATTTAACATCAATTGGATTAAATACATCTTCTATATGTGAACGTTTAAAATCACAATCAAAAACTACTTCAGACTCTAAACAGCTGGGTGAAGATGCTAATATGAAAGATGTTAAAAAATCATATTCTCGAGCCCCGGTTAAGAACCGTAATTCTGGTATTACAGACCCTGTAGCAAGATCAAGAGCAGAAAAACTGGCAAAGCTTTATCAACGTAAACTAAAAAGTCTTTCTATGGTATCAGAGAGCGACAGACGAATTATTAATAGGAAACCAAGGCATCTTTATTCAGGAAAACGTAAATCAGGAAAAACAGATAGACGTTAACATCTAGTTATTTTTGTAATATAAACTGAAATTCAAAAAAATATTTAAAGTCAGAATAAATTAGTATCAAAAACATCTAAACTATTTTATAAAAATATAAATTTATAAACTGTCAAAAATAATAACCTAATTATGCCCAATTTTAATTTAAATTGTTCTATATAGTATCTTTTTTTCCAGAAACTATAGTTATGATTCAGAGGTCCTAACTAATAAATGTTAGTGCTTATTTATTTTAATAGTAATACTTTTTAAAATCATTTAATAGATTCGATAAAGTCTAAAAAAAATAAGAAAAACTGCTAAATATGGAATTATAGAACCTCATAGGCTTCTTTATAAAAAGAACACTGAGCTTCTATGAGATCTTTTAATTGATTAATCTAGAAATTGTTATTATTTATAGGTTGAAAATTAAGATATTACTAATTCAGGTGTCTCTAAAGTATTTTTCATAATTTGTGTTGCCTCTTCAACTGCAGTAACAAAAACATCTTCTGCGTGCTCAATATCACTCTGCATTTGTTCCTGTTTTTCAGGCTTCGATCCTTTTGCAGATGATTTGAGTGAATCAAGAGATAAACGTGATGAATTTACGTTTTTCCTGGCTTTTGTTGAATAATGAAAAACTGTATGCAAATTTGAAATAAGACATTCGTTAAACCTCGTTACAATCTGCTGATCCTGTTTCAAACGAGCATTACCAACTATTCACTATTAAATAACAAGAAAAGAGCACATAATGTTTATTCTACTTTTATCTTGAGCTTCTGCATAAGAAAACAATAGTTCTTTTAGTGAACTTGGGCTATCCAATAAATCACAACTTGCCAATGCAGCCCTAGAAAGTGCATGATTCAGTGTCTTTGGGTGACTTTTAGTTGTTGGTTTCATGATCGCTGCCTGTATTTCATTTGCTGATTGAACTGAAGCTAAATTTTGAACTTTTTCTTGAATAGTTTTCGAGATCTCACTAACCGTCTCCCTCTGCAAAAACATATATAAATATAGTTTTATAAAAAGTATTCTTTTACCAAGTTTGTTGGATAATCATATGTTTCTGTCTTATACGTTGAACTACAAATTAATCAACTACCCCTTAACTAACAAAGACATACGTCACTGTCAAAAGCTTGTTATGGACTGCTTTAAGATTATCAACTGAAACCTCAAGTTGTAGATATTCATCCGGTAATTCAGTCTATTATAAATAATCAAAACTGAGCCATTATACACAATAAAACATATATCCTACCGCATCTTCTGCTGTTCCAACTGTTTGTCGCACAAACTGTGCTGTCCGCTATACAACTCATCAGCTTACTTTTACCAAATGATCTATATTGATTTTTCTAATAATTTACCTTTGTAAAAGGCGAAATTGCGACTGAAAGTTTTCTATTAATACTAGAAGGATTAAAATTCTTAAAAGTCTCCATTAAAAATTGAAATAAATAGAAAAACTTAGTATTTTTTGATTTTTTTCTTAAGATAAATTATTTTATCGTTAATAAAACGAATTTTATGCCGATAAAATTTAAAATGTACAAATAACTTCCGATAACGTTAAAAAAATAAAAATACTGAGAAAAAATGTTTTTATTGCCAATTTCAAAAAAAAGAAGGAAACGCTATAGAATATCAGCGGATCATTCTTAGTATGTATATTGACTTTGATTAAAAAAAAAAAACGAGTATTTTTTAGCCCAGAAACAGGGTTTTTGAATGGAAAAATAAGTTCGCCAAAAAAGCTACTTTCTACGAGAAAACGGCAGATCGAAGCAACATATACAATACTGCATCTTTCTCTTCTTCGTGGGGATTTTTTACGTGCACGGTATGCCTTTTCTATTTTGATTCGCTGCCGTGAAGTTCATTTGTATGATATCTGGGATCTTGGGCTTGAGATTCTTAGACATTTTGAATTTGACCAGCAAGAGACGTATCTTAAGCATCTGATAGTTTTCTACCAAGCATCTACGTATTCTAGTTCGTTAAAAGATGACACTTTTTCTGTTTGTGCTTTAAAAACAGCTCTTATATCTAATTAGATGTAGACTCAGGAATTTCTTAGGGCTCTTGTCCTTTTGTATATAGAAAAAAGAGAGTTTCAGAAACTTCTAGATATGCTAGAAGAGTAAGTTTGGATGTTATTAATGAAAAAGACTGAATTACTAAGTTACTTGTTATCTGCACCATACAGTGAAAATGCTGTCTTTTATCAATATGCAGGAATGGCTGCATTAGAGCTAAGCCGGATAACGACTGTTTCAGGAGAAAGCAAGCAGTTTCATGAAAAAGCTGAATATATGTTTCAAAAAGCTAAAGAAAAAGGCGGGACTATGCTTTATATAGATTATCTTAATACGTCTTCGAGCGAAGAAAGCACAGAATCGGAAGACTAAATGATCTACAAGTCCCAGTACTCATGAAATAATCATACATAAATATCTTTTATGAAATATAGATGTTTTAGTTTTAAATCAATAATATTTATTTACACCAATGGGCTAATAACCATGTCTTATTTGTATTACCACATAAATCTTTGAAGATTTCCTGGATCAGATTCCCAAAAAAATGGCTTGTATAAAAATATATCCATCGTAATATAATTAATACACAAAAATAAAAATGCTTCTATATACAGCTTTAGTTTATGTGTACTTTGGATACTAGATCTCCACAAGAGATATGGTATTATAAAATATCGAAATTCGAGCAATGATACAAACCCTAAAACCAAAGTAGTAGCAACTACAAATGATAAAACATAAGAAACTTTTTGATATAGTATCAATTTGTTTAAAATGGCCCACATGCTAGTATAGTAGAATGGGACTGCTATATATTTCGCAGCTGAATGTGCCTTGATAGTTCTTCTCCAGATATAAAATGTATAGTGTCTATTATCTGATATAAGAAACGGATGTTCTTTTCTATTTCTTTTAGAAAAATATTTTTATGATTTCTTGATATACGTATTAAAATGTACAATCAATCCTATTGCAATCAAGATTCCACATGTACGAAGCCATGCCAATCTGCTTCCTAACGAGTATTTAAAGAAATATAGAATAGAATTTTTGGTCAGTAAGTGAGGAGATCCCCAAAATGCTGTAAAGATTGAAAAATAAAATAATTGTAATAAATGTATATCAATCTTATGATTTGTTTTATCACCTTCTGATATTAATAACATATTATCTATTGATAAATCAGTACCTAAAACAATTCCCTTATTATAAATAACAAATATTCCGAACAAAGTTATTACAATTATATATGGCCATATCATTTTTATTATATCCATATATTGCTTTATCAAAAGCTGAAATAAAAATTTGATAAAACGAAAATAATCTTAGAAATTTAGATTTTTTAACGATAAATTTATCTTTACCAAAAAAACATGCACTGCGTGCAGGTGGATCCCAAACAGTAAATTCTGTATCTATGATCTTCGGTTTAAATATTTGTGGAGGAAAAATTGAGAGACTGATTAAAAATAAAACCCAAATAACATTCGTTTGTCTAATTGCCAATGAAAGAAAAGAAATCTATTTTCATAAGAAATAATACATATCGTATACAAAAATAAGACCATTGCACTTGTTTTATGTTGTTTTCTAAGTGTTAAATATAATGACAAAAAAACAAGCAATGTAGATAATATATCTGTATAATATAACGTTGAATAGAAATACAAAAGTGGAAATTGCGTTAACAAAATAGCTTCTGTTATCTTCATCGTTTGATCTTGTCGAAGATAAAAAATTACTCCTGAGAAACATACTGCCAAAAAAGTTGCTGTAATAACATTCAAAGTCCTAAGAGATACTAAATTACATTCCCCAATTATCCATTTTGTTGCTCTAAGTATCACCAAATGTATCCAGTACCTGGAATTCCTCAATTAACCTTTATTTATTCTTCTAAAACAACTTACATCCCAGGTGGCGTAGTAATTTTGTCATCCCATGCAAAATACTCCCCTTTACAATATTTTTGCATTTGATTTAGATGAAAAATCTCATCCTACATATGTTAGTATGCACAATATAATGATCAACGCTCAAAATAGCTTAATATAGCCTAAAACCCACCATATAGGGCTTTGGCACATGCTTTTGAACAATAAGAGCATGCTGATAACGAATTGTTTCTATAAAAATAACCAAATTTTCTAAAAAAATCATATATAATATATTGTAGCGTATAATATAAGATTATGTAGTTTATAAAATACGTAGCACGACTTAAGATAAAAAAACGAAGATAAAGATAAAAAAAGGCACTTAAATTCTAAAAAAAAAAGCGTATTTATTATTATTTTAGAAAGTATTTATATGAGTATTTAATGAAAAAATGGGTCTTTTAGTTTATGGAGTACCGCTTTCATGGGATGAGACAATAAAGCAAGCAGATTATATACGAAGTCAGGCAGTCGAGGTATCTGGATATATTTTTATTGTGTTTCTAGGCTTATAAGTTCATTACAGCAGTTTATTTATTTATGGAAAAACACAAAAAAACAAAAACATCAGTTACTTTGGGGAGATGAGGTGTTTAAGATAATATTTAGAATTAAAGGTTAATATAAAAAAAGGTAGAATATATGTTAATTGCATATGACCATAAGAAGAAGATCGCGTCATTATCACTCCAGCAAGAAAATGTTCTTAAAAGTACACAAAATCTTAAAAAAAAATACGAGAATTTAAAAATACAGGATAAATCAGAAATGTAAAATATGTTTTTATATTTTAAAATTAAATTGATATTTTTTATCAGGACTTGCAATGATTTCCCATCTTTTCACTATGAATATGCAAGTTACATGATTGAAGGGATCCCAGGTAACCCTTATGGTGAAGACATTGAAACATTGCTTCTTGTTGAAGAAAATATGAAAAAGAGGTAAAAGGCGTTTAAGAAATAAGAAAATTTATTTATTTTGCATAGGAGATTTATTATTAAAAAATACATTAAATCTAACGAGATTCCATTAACACTTACGTCCTTTCCGAGATTGGGTGCACCGGGAGTATTTACGGATCCATATTATCCTCCAAGAGGACATGTGTCTCGCAGTTTGTTCTTACCAGACGAAGTTATTAGTTCTCATGTACGGTTTCCTACATTGACAAAACATATCCGATTACGTAGAGGTAGAAAAGTTATTATCAATGTTCCTATATTCATTGATGAAAATACACCTTTACCTTTTATTGACGAAGCTATTTCTCTATCAGATACATTCCCCTTTAAATCTGTTGGATTATTGGATAATATTATACAACCGAATCATATATACATGGATAGTATGTGTTTTGGCATGGGGTGTTGTTGCCTACAAGTTACCTTTCAAACAGCAGATATCTCAGAAGCAAGGACATTGTATGATCAACTAATTCCTATGGGACCTATTATGCTATCACTATCGGCAGCATCACCAGCTTATAAAGGCTATTTGTCTGATCAAGATTGTCGTTGGAATGTTATATCACGCTCTGTTGATGATCGAACGAGTGAAGAAATGGGAGAAAAAGTAAGGTCATTATACATTTTGTGTATTTATTGATCTGATAGCCATTGAAAAAATCTAAATACATTATTCAAAAAAGTCGATACGATTCCGTTGATTGTTATATAGCCGATAATCTAAGGAATAATCCCAAGTATAATGATGTAAAATTTGTTATGAATGAAGAAGTAAGAAAAAAATTGATAGATAACGGTATAGTTTTTTTTTTAAAAAAACTATCTAATCAAAGTAGGAGTAGATGAACTTTTAGCGAACCATATTTCTCATCTTTTTATTCGGGATCCTTTAGTTATCTTTTCTGATTTACTTATTCAGGATAATAAAACAGAATCAGGACATTTCGAAGTAAATACTTATTTTTTTAATTTTTCTTATATTTTAGAATATTCAATCTACTAACTGGCATGCAATGCGATTTAAACCACCGCCTCCTGGAACTGATATTGGTTGGCGTGTAGAATTCCGTACTATGGAAGTTCAGCTTTCAGATTTCGAAAATGCAGCCTATTGTATCTTTATCAATCTTTTAACACGCGTGATATCACTTTATAATCTGAATTTATATATCCCAATATCTAAAGTAAAACACAGCCTATTTTTTTGTAAATAACCTTTTTCTTCAGGTAGATGAAAACATGGATCTTGCACATCATCGGACATCTGTATTGACTGAAAAATTCTGGTTTCGCAAAAATATTTTCTCTTTTGACTCATATTCTCCAAAGTAAGATTTTTCATTATAAAATAATATGAAAAATTAATTTTATTTAGAACTGTTGTCTTATGTAATGATGACACATTTGATGAGTATAAAAAAATGACAATTCACGAAATTATCAATGGCCAAAATAGTGGTCCTGATAAGTTTCCTGGACTTAGTCCATTGATCCGTAATTATTTAGATACCATTAATGTTTCTCAAGAAGTTAAACAAATTCTTGGAAAGTATTTGGAGCTCATAGAAAAAAGGGCTAGTGGTAGCTACTCGTTTATTCATATTCTCAATTTAATAACAATTTCAGGAGAATGGCAAACAACAGCATCCTGGATTCGTTCTTTTGTACGTAACCATCCGAACTACCAAAAAGATAGTGTAATAACACAAGAAATTAATTATGATCTTATCAGAGAAGCTGAAAAAATAACTAATGAATTTGGCAAAAATGAGGAATTAACTAAGCGATTTTTAGGTATAGCGTAATATTTTATTTATATCAATATATATAATTATATATAACTTAAATTGTATACAGTTATTATACAGATTACTCTAATCAATTCCTTTAGTTCCCCGAATTCAAGGCTATATTATTATTATCTCTCAGCATGCCCATCCTTTGCTTTGTCTCGATGTTTACATTTGTTCTAACTCTTTCATTTTCTTCACACGTTCTTTAAAGCTGCCTACATTCAGTTGCTCCTTGGCAAATAGTTCACTTACGCTTCATATTGGCATTTTTCATATTCTAGCTCATTAAGTCTCTGTTTTTTCACAGAAAAACTTACTGTGTCTCTCTTCATTGCACTTCCACGGTAAATACCAGTTATTCTCTCTACACTTTTGCCATTAAATCCAAAAACAAATCCTCATTAAACTCCTTACATAGTTTAACTCTTCCAGCACTGACATGCAACTAGTTTATCATTCAGAAACATGCAAATCTTCCCAATTCAACGCACCTATCTCTATATGCAAGACTAATAGGTCTTGCTGGCTTCTTTAATGGCTTTTTCTCCCTTTCTTTCTCCTCTAATTCTTCTTTTATTTGCTTGTCCATTTGTCTGATGTTCACCGTCAATCCTCCATTTTAGTGGCTAATGTCTCCTTGCTCAGCGTTGCCTAGAAACCGTTGCCTGGCAACATCTGCTACCTTATATTCTGATATTCAACGTTCAGAGCGGCTGACGGCCAGGTATTGATGTCTGAGCCAAAAATCTATAAAACAATATATAGTGGTATTCCAGTCTATGAATATGTTATAAATGGCGTTGCAGTGATGCGACGCTATTCAGATTCATATATTAACGCAACACAGATTCTTAAAGTAGCAGATTTTGATAAGCCTCAACGTACACGGATATTAGAACGAGAAGTGCAAAAAGGAGAGCACGAGAAGGTTCAGGGAGGATACGGGAAGTATCAAGGTAGGGATAAGTAGAAAGAAGGAGTAATTAACGGACCAGGGACTTGGATTCCTCTTTCTCGTGCGTTGGAGCTTGCTCAGCAGTATAAAGTTGAGCATTTGTTAAAACCCATTTTAGAATACCAACTTAATGAAAAGAGCCCGCCGTCGTTGTCTAAACAGAGTATTTCAGTGCCTAAAGGGATACCACAGTTAACACCTACATCAAGTAATTGGAAATGATGGTTAGCAGTGCTAATATATGTTAAGAACATTCACGTATAGTAAAACACACTATTCCTGGAGAAGAAGACTTTGGCTGTGTTTCAATGGATGATTCTGTATCAGTTGAGACACATAGTACACAAAGTCATTTAGAATCTGAAGCATCACCTATGAATTCCGAACTGGATGCAGCTATAGGAAGCAGAAAGAGAAAATATACCCAGCTTCTTCAGAATTTTCCAGACGACAAACGGCTTAATAAATATAGTGAAGCTTTACTTGATTTTTTTATGTCATCAAACCACCAAAGTTTACCGGATTTTCTTATTCATTGTCCAAGCGATTTTAATGCTAATGCGATTATTGACGAAGAGGGGCATACTGCGTTGCATTGGGCATGTGCAATGGGTCATTTACGTGTTGTCGAAGCACTTCTTGATGCAAGTGCTGACATATCTGCTGTTAACTTACAAGGGCAAACAGTGCTTATGAGATCTGTTTTATTTACTAATAATTATGATCTAAAATCATTTCCGCAACTAGTGCAAATTCTGCATCCTACAATACATTTATCCGATAAGTTTTTGCAAACCGTTTTTCATCATATTGCTTCAACAACAACATCGCGCTCAAAATTGTCAGCTGCCAAATATTATGCCGAAACAATATTGAATCATTTATCTGAAACTCAACCCGCAAACGAAATAGCACAGTTATTAGATGCAAGAGATTCTGAAGGGGATACAGCTTTAACTATATTTTCTAGGAATGGGGCTAGGAAATGTGTTCGTGTTTTAACCAATTTTCATGCTAATTTACATATTCCTAATAACCAAGGACGAACTGCTGAAGAATATATTATTGAATATGAACGCCAGCGCCAGAATTTGCCTCATCGACAAAATTCTTTATATATGAACGGACAATCTATAGATCATTATAACAAACATTATAACAAATCAATGTTTTCGATACCCAGCTCTTCCCGTTATGTTACTAAACAACCTGACCCATATTCGTCTGAAACAGCGATTAAAATTACTCAAAAAACTATTCCAGAAATTCAAGAAAAATTAAAGCTTTTAGCAAATACATATGATACTGAATTGAAAGATAAAGAATCTTATCATTCTCAAGCTCTTGAATTACTTGCTAATATGAATCGTGAAATTGAAGTTTCTAGAAAAGCTCTTAAAGAAATAATTGGCAGTGGCCCAGATGCAGCTGAAATACAAAAACAAGCAATAATAAATGCAAATGCAGAGATGGAAGTTGTATCTAAAAAATTAAAAATAGCAGTTGAAAGAAATCAATTAAGAGAATTGACTAGATTAGTCAAAGAAGAGTCATTAATTCAGCAACATTCACCTACATTATTTAAAGAAGATAAAAAAGAAAAAGAAAAATTAATTTATGAACTTCAGGAATTACAAAAGGAACGCCAAAAACTTATTGATACTATTGTAGAACTTTTTGCTACAGCAGGAGTTGGAGAAAGAATGAATGAATATCGAAGACTTATTGCTATGAGCTGTGGATTGAATGTTGATGATGTTGATAATGTTTTGGATGCTATTACGGAAGTATTGACAGGTAATCCAGATGATATGGCTGAAGAACAAGCAGAGTCTGTTGTTCTTGTTTAAATATGTGATATTAAAGAGGATTTTTGGAAACTATAATAGATTTTCATGATTTAATAATTTTAATAATAGAATGAATACTAATAATAAAATAATGTATTATTATATATTCGCTTAAGATTTATATTAAATTTTAAAAATATTTTTCATCTTATTTACCATTTACATATAATAATTATATATTCTAAAAATATATAAAACTTTTTATTTTTGTTTAATAAAAAAAGTTTGCATTTTATTAAAATATTAGAAATAGATTAATCAGGCTACTGTGTATTAAAAATTGAATTATTTTTGGTAAATATTTCATAATATCAATTTTTAACATTTCAACTTTATATAAAATTATAATTAATTTAATAAATTCAATCAATTTATAAATATTATTAGTAATTGAAATGTTTTAGAGTACTGAAAAATAAAACTATATATCACAATTTAAACAAATTATTTATATTTTATAGGATAAAATTTTAAATTTAAGATTTTTTTATAAGTTTATAAAATATTGAATAATTAATATATAATTTATTTATTAGAATAACAATTATATGTAATTTCTCTATTATTAATTTGTTTAAATATAAATTATCATTAGTTTATATTTTTTCTAAAAAAAGTAATATTATATATTTATTAATATATATAAATTAAAAAAATATATTTAAAATATAAATGAAGTATTTGCAAATACTTCGAATACTTGCAAAACAAATAAATTATCGAAACAGAAAATTTATGTTTATTTTTTTTATATTGATTTATGATGTACATTAATAGAATAAAATGAACATATTTAGAAAAAATTACAAATTATTTATTTGAGTTTATATTCCTTGTTTTGTTAAATACTTAGACTGAATACATCTAAATAAAAAATAAACTTTTAATTTTTTAAAAATAATGCATTAACTATTTTAAAATTATAAAATCAATTAAAAATTTTATGAAATTTATATTTTTTATAGTTAATATTTTTTTATGACCAATATGTTTTATAATTAATAAATTTCCATATATCAATCCATAGCCATTGATTTTTTTATTTCTGCAATTGCTTTACCGGGATTGAGACCTATTTATATTAAAAATTATATACATATATATTAAAGAAAACCTTTCGGACATGTTCTATAATACCACATTAGTATATATTATTTAATAAAAAAAAGTTACCTAGCACAATTCATAATTGTATGACAGCGATATAACGACATTGAATTCTGTAATTTCTCTTTGCGTTCTTGGGTTGCATCATCACGGGAATCAATAAGCCATCTATAAGCCTGCATTAATACCTAAAAAGATTTAAAATGCCGTTTAAATAAATAAAATGTTAACTTACAGCTGGCCCAAGATATTCTTCACTATTCCACCAATAACTAGGGCAACTTGTTGAACAACACGCACATAAAATACATTCATATAAACCATCAAGTTTTTTTCTGTTTTTTTGGGATTGAAGAATCTCTTTCTCAGGAAATTCTTTATGTTGAAGATAAGGTTGAATTGATTTATATTGTTTATAAAAATGAGTTAGATCAGGTACAAGATCTATAAATATGAGAAAAATATAAAAAGAAAAAGAAACAATACCCTTAACTACATATGTATGTGGTAGAGGATATATTTTAACTTCTTTAGAATTGATAGGAATTCTAGATAAACATGCAAGTGTATTAATACCGTTAATATTCATAGCACATGAGCCGCAAATTCCTTCACGGCAAGATCTTCTAAAAGTAAGTGTTGCATCTTGCTCATTTTTTATTTTAATAATAGCATCTAAAACCATAGGACCAGTAGTATTTAAATCAATTTCGTATTTTTGCATTGTTGGCTTTATAGAAGGCGTTTCTGGACTCTTTAAAAAATATTATTTCATCAAAAGCTTATTATGAAAATATAAAATACCCATCTATAGATAGAAAATACTTTTATATTAGGTTTATCAGATTTTGATGATATTTCTGATGATGCCACTGACTATTGATTTGATTCAGAATCTAAAACTGATGTTTGAGAAAATTATAAAAGTACTTACCATACTCATTCTAGGAATACATGAAGTTCTTAAATTTCGAACATATTTCTATTTTTAATAAGTAAATTATAGTTGATAAATTATAAATTTACTGCGTGAAACCCTACAAAATGAACAGAAAAGCTGTTCCAACAATATGAAAACTTCATTCCTACAGTTTTATTAAATACAGAACCTCAAATATTCCTGGTATTCTTAATATTTTTGACACGTATTTTTGATAGAACGTTACGTTGTCGAAAGTTAGACAAATATTAAACTTGCTTAGTAATAGAGAAAAATTAAAAAAAAAAGATATATTACTTTTAACAGAGAATTTTTTCCATAGTATTTTTATTGTATAAATAAGTCTATTTATCTAATGTTGCACTTCTTTTTATTAATTGTTAATTATATGTATATATCTTTTTATTAAATGTTAAATTTCCAAAATAAAAACTATAAATTTAGTTTTTTTGCATACATATGTATTATCTGAGTCTTTAGAATACAAAAACTTGATCAGTCAATTTGGAAATTAAACGAGGTGTATCATATCCAAGAAAAGCTATTTCTTTCTTCATAGCAACTATCATCGGAGGAGGGCCTAATGTCTAATAAGTAAAAGTATAATTCGAGAAGTTATAAATATACCACATAATAATAATTTTATATCCGGTGCAGGAGCAGGACAATGTTCTTTAATTATATCTTTAGTAATATAACCAACACCACCAGTCCAATAAGGAGGGGGATTATTAAGAACATAATATATCTTAAAATTGGAATATTTTTTTGCTAACATATCAAATTCATCTTTCAAAAGAATATCTTCTTCAGCAACATTAGCAAATATAAGAGATATTTTTGTTTTGTCTTTAGGATTTTTTAGAATAGCTCGAATTATTTGAAGCATTGGTGTAATTCCAGTGCCACCTGCAATCATTCCAAATTCTCGAACAAGACCCGGATAATACGACATTTGTCCTTTAGGACCCTTAACATGTATTGTTTGTCCAATTTTCATTTCCCCGATATATTTAGAGACTTTTCCAGTAGGATATGACTAGGAAAAGTATAAAAAAGAAATTCGTTTAACATAGTTTATACTTTAATAAGAAGATCAAAATATCCTCGATCATCATCGGATGAACACGGAGTATATGGACGTGAAACTTGTTTATCATCAACTGTTACAGATACTGTAATATGCTATAGATATTTTTCATCAAAATAATGAAAATTTTTTATTTATAAATCTAACCTGTCCAATGGGTAAACCTAATATATCATTTTTTTTGTAAAGAGCAAACCGGTATCTAATAATTCATTAATCTAAATAAAAATCCTTTTAAACTCTACATAGCTGAATTATAATTAATAACAGTTTTCTCAATTAATTCAAACTCTTGAAATTTATCTGAACGAAGTGATATACATGGCTCTATACATAAAATTGTTAAATTATTTTCAAGATATCAAAATAAAATTTACTTCCACGATAAATCTTATAAAGACTTAATATAAATGCTAATATTATTCCATGAACTAAATATTTTTTATTAATTATAATAATTCCCACAATAATTAAACCAACTGGTACCTTGTTAGAACGTAAAAATTTTACAGATTATGGATTCAAACCTGGAATATAAATCCCATGTAAAGGTGTATTAAGAAGATTTTGTTTCCGAGTCATTTAATGGTTTAGAGATTTTTTTAATTAGATGTGTTTACGAGTTATACAATCTTCGATCATAAGCTTTAGATGAATGTTTAAATCTAAAAATATATTTAAACATTATTAAAGCAAATGTTTTACATATAAGTACTAGTTTTTTAACAAATATAAAAAATATATTTCTACATTCATACAAACTTTTTATAAAGAACATATTTTAAATTGTTTATAGTGCTAAAGAACTAAAAGAAAAAGAATATGAATATTTAAAAAATATTTACATCAATTTATTATTATATAAATAGTATATGTGTATTGTATAAGAAGATAAATAAGAGATTGTAACTAGTAATAATAGTAAGATATAATATATATATAGTTTTACATAACTTGTATATATAAATCATATATACATAACTTATGTATTTAATAAACCATTTCAGGTATTTTTTAAATATTATTTTTAAATTTTTCCATTTAGTATTTCTTAGTTTGTCATATAAAATATTATCTATTTTTATTTAAACAGAACAATTTTATGTATTTAAACAAAAACAAATAATAAATAGCAATTTTAAATAATTATTGTTTTTTAATTAATTACTTTTTTTATACTTTTTAATTTTTTATATTTTGTATATTTAATAGTTACTGTTATTAAAATATAATAAGCGTTTATTCTTTATTTATCAATACGGTTTGATTTGAATCATATATATTTTGTTAAAATGGGTTTTTGCATTTTCTGTCTTAAATATAGTCGCAAAATTGAGTAATATAATTATATATAAAATATAAAATATGATAGAACTTGATGAAAAAACACAAAATATCCTTCTTGATTGGACAATACGTAAATTATCTGTTTATAAAGATTCTATAGGAGATACAGTATCAAAGGAGAATAAATATACTGAAAAAGATTATGAAATATCAGAAAATATACGCAAAGTTCTTATTTATTCAAAACCAGATGAACTCGTTATATGTTTTAAAGAAGGAAGAAAGTATGTATTTAGTTAAAATTCCTGAAAATGAATAACTTATTTTGATAAGATCTATCTTGTTATGTTATTTTTTGTATATTTTTGTTAACATCAAAAATTCTTCTCTATCACATCACATTCAGATATCTTTATTTCAAACATTAAGTACATGGTTTTCTCGTTGTATCCAGGCTGTGGAACATTTTCCTTTAATAAAAGATGAGTTGTTAGGCATTTTCACAGATTCTGTTTGGAAAAAAATGTATGATTTTATTTGGGAAAGATGGGAAATAAATAATGTAATGCAAAATATTTTGCGAGAACTTTTTACAAAAATGCTTTCTCTTCAAAAAAACACTTTATCATGCGATCATTTAGAGAAATCACTAAACGAAATTCTTTATAAAGCGTTAAATGAAAATACATCTGTAAAAGCTTCAACATACGTAATTGATATATTAGTGAAATTTCTGGGAATAAATTCTATTTTAGCGATTGAACCCGATTTTTTTACTATACGAGTATTATTTCTTAAGGATATTACATTAGCTCCTTCTCTTTCGAGAATGCTAGTTAATTTTTTGGTAATTTTAAAGCATGATTTAAATCGTCATTTTCAGAAAGTATATAGAAAGTATTGAAACTGAAAATTAGCTAATTGTGTTAAGAATTCGAATGAAATTTGGGTAGAATATTGGTTTCCACATATTGTAGAATGTTTTTGCAAAAAAGATCATACTCTTGAACAAAATATTACTAAATGGTTTCTTCCAGGGATTTTAGGGCAATCTATAGAATGTTATAAGATCGTTATTGAGAAGCTCAAAGATAATAAACAGTTAAATTCTGATCAATATTTATGTCTTTTAATAGCTATTCTAAAAGTTGGTAATAATTCAAACGTTTTACAAGAATTTGGTAAGTAGTTTTATAATTTTACATGTTTTTGTTCCAATTTTTAAAATAGATAATCAAAGTTTGAGAACTCTTGGTCTTTTTCAAAACACTATTCCAAATCTTTTAAATAGTTTATCAATGTCACATCGTCTATCTATTTTATCTTTGATTGTAGAAAATTCTAAGTTTTCTGCACCGATTTCTTTTGATTATCTTAATCTTATAATGATTAATCTTCCAAAATTAATTGTTGATTCTGATGCAAATTCTCGGAATTCTATTCTTGATATTGTTAACAAAATTCTTCTAAGGCTTTCTACTTCTTCATATACTTTTTCAAAAAAATTAAAGAAAATAAGCAAAATTGAAGCATCTAATGAATTAAAATTTGTAGATATTTTAACTAATATTGAAAATTTTATATTATGGTTATACGATTTTGTAAAAAATGAAATGTTGCCTGGCTTATCTTATACGCGAGTAGTTATTGCATTAAATATTGTTAGAAGTTTAATAGATACAGGAATTGATCCAAATATATCTTTAAATTTTGAAAAAAAAAACAAAATGAACTTTCATTTTCCTTTGAAAATATTTGATGCTACAATGGTTAGGATTCTTGCTGATCAGTTTGTAAATGCATATGAAGAACCACAAAAACTAGCTATGCAGTTATTATGTATGTCTCCATTTCCTATTGACGGATTGGCACAACAAGAAGAACTTACAATATTTTTTAATAGATCTTTAGAGCTTATTAAAAGTAATCGTGCAATAAATGCTAAAGGAGGAGCTAAAGCATTACATTTTATTTTTGAAAAGATAATAGTTAAGCACCATGGGATTATAAAAACAGAAGGCTTGGTTTCAAATATCAATGTTCTTGATAATCCTATTAAAATGGTGCAAGCATTAATTGATGAACTTGATAATGCTATTCATATAGGATCTAAAGATTTATTATTAGGTGCTAATTCATTTCCACTGCATGGAATTTTACTTACTTTACAGTAAGTTTTGAGATATTTTATTATGAAAAATTAATATTTAGATATATTCTTAGTAGTGTTCATTTAAATATGAAATTGTATATTGAAACAAAAAATTATTGGATGACCGTGTATGATAAATTAATAGATTTTTGTGAAAATATATGGAAAATTGTTAATCCAATTTTATCCGATGATTCATGTCAAATTTTACTTCCTGAAAATATTATAAACATAAATATATCTGAAAATAATAGAAATGATGAATGCTTACAAATAAATAATTCAGCTCCTTCAAATCATATTACACAAATAATACTAACTTATTCATGGAGAGCTATAAAAGAAGTAAGGTAATATAAAAATATGTTTGTTAGCATTCTTGATATCAGTAGTGCACTTTTAGCTATTATTTTATCACGTCCATTAGATGAAACAAATCAATTTCTAGAAATTATATATGAACAGTATATTCATGGAGGAAAATTATTTAAAGAATGGTTAATAGACATTCGACATCCTGGAGCAATTTCTACAATTTATCCAAATTTTATTACAGTATGCTCTGCTCTTTTTGCATCTTTTGAAAAGAAATTAAATTTACTTCCAGAAACATGGCTTCAAGTTATAATAATATAGGATTAACGTTAAGTACTAATAAAATTAGGAAATCATATTTTTTTTGAAAAAAAAAACATCATTTATTACTAAGAGTGATGGATTACCTTATTGTATTACTGGTATATTGGCATCTGAAATAAATCATACACATCCATTATTATTAAAAACAATTGAAGAACTTATGGTTATAGCAGAATTTGATAATAAAAAAAACCATATTAATATACCTCAAATTTATGCATTTAATACTTTAAGAACTATTTTTCTTGAAACTAGATTGTCAAATATCTCTACTAAATTTATTGAAAGAGGTTTTATTTTAAGTATTAACGGTTTTAAATCTAATATGTAATATCTTGATTCTTTCTAAGACATAATTATTGATATATTTATAGTTGGTCTGTTCGGAATTCTAGTATGATGTTATTTAATGCACTTTTAACACGTGCACTTGGAAGTCGAAAACATAGACAAGATTATTGCCCAACTACTAAAACAATGTCAACTAGGACTTTTTTTAATAAGCATCCCAAGCTAAAAGATTATCTTCTACAACAATTAAAAGATGACATTTCTCAGTTTGATAAATATAATGTTTCTTACCTTTTAAAAATATTTTTTAACTTATATTATTAGACTAATATTGTTTATATTGGATTGAATTCGATTTTAACTTTAATATCATATTTTGAAGTTGCTATAGATTACCCAGATAATAGATGGACAGGTATGGATGAGTTTATACCACTTTTGGATTATTGTTCTAGAAGTCATATTTGGAAGGTTAAAATATATTTTAACTTAATTTTAACTAATTATTAAGGTACGTGAAGTTTCTGCAAAAGCTATACCAACTATTATATCACCTTATATTCGTATAGCTGTTATTATTAATACTATAAACTGTTGTAATGCAAATATTCAAAATACATTACATGGAAATTTATTAAAAATTAAATATTTAATACAGAGTTGGACTAGTCATTTAAATAGTAAAAATATGTATCATGTTAAAGAGTTAAAAGGTTATTTTTTGAATTTTTATATATAATATTTTTAATCATTTTTAGCTTTTTATACAAATGTAGCAAATGCTTTAATTAAAAAATTTGATACTATTGTTTATAATAATCCGTGTGCTATTACTAAAAATCTTGTTTTAGAAATAATTTTTACTTATTTTATAAAACATAATTGGATAAAAGAAAATGTAAATACAAAATTTGAGGGTATTTGATATTTTAATTAAAATGATTAAAATTAATTAAATTATAGAATTAGCATTTAAAAAAGAAACAACAGAACTTTGTTGTATGACGATAAGATTTTGTATGGATTTTCTTAAATCGGAAAAATCTAATCAAAAAATAATTGGACAAGATCTTCTTTTAAAACAAGTTTCTGTAATACTTTTATATGGATTAGAAAAGTTTTTTCAAAAAATTGAAAAAGATATTAAATATGAGACGATTGTAATAGAACTATTAGAAAATCCTAGTCATGATGTTAAATTAACTATATTAAATTATTTAGAACATACTACGAAAACGTAAAAAGTAATTGATTTGTTTTTAATATTGCTTAAGTATTTAGGACACTTATTTCTTCTATTATAATCAATAAAGTTTTCACAATTATTTCTAAAGATAAGTCAATAACTCTTAAAAAAAAAGCAATTTTATCTTTATTTAATATACTTAATATTTTACCTTTTTCATCTTTAAATATGAACGATTTGAAGGCCATTGTGTTAGAAACTATGATTCTTTTAGAAGATCCATATAATATGTATCTCAAAGATGTTATTCTTTTACTAATATCTGTTTTATTATATAAGGTAGTATTTCAAAAAATATTTTTAGATAAGAAAATTTACATATTATAAGTTATGGTATACTGAATCTAAAGAAGTTTATTGGGAACAGTTTAGTATATGGATTAAGTATCTCGATTTGAATTCCAACGAAGATAAAGTACGTATAATATACTATTATTAAAACTTATTAATCAATAAATAGGATTTTACTAAAAGAATGTCTGTAATGCAATCTTTAATATGTTTTTCAGGGCATCTTATTTTAAATAATATTTTTAATTATTTTCCTCAGCAATTAGAAAATATTTTACCACTTTATTTTATTTTATTAAAACTTTTAAAAGATGATGACCGAATAATAAGAGATCTTGCATCTGAAGTTGTTTCTCGAATCATTTCAGAAAAAACTATATTTTCTTCTGTTTATTCATCAGAACTTCTTCTTAATAATTTGTCTATTGTTTATAAGTCTTCATTTTTATTTAAAGAAAAATTGCTTAATTTGCTTATTGATTTTGAAAATATTACAGAGTTCCAAACAAAGATGTTGTCTTGTACTCAAAAAACTAATAACTTATTTATTCATGAAAAGATGAATTTATGGAAAGATAATACAAGAGATAACTACGAAATGATTAAAATATTAACTTTACTAGATGATGATGATGGATATATAGTTAATAAGTTAACATTGTGGGCTAATTCCTTCTCAAAAATACTTTTACAAATTATTGCTGAAAAAGGATATGACGGCCATTTAGGCTGGACATCTAATGAGGATGTGTATAATATAATATCGAAATTGATGTATATTATAGAATATTTAGAATCGGCATCCAATAAAGAAAATGTATCATATCTAGAATTAAGAAATTTAATTAAGAAAATAATTATAGAAGCCGAACGCAATAATATTCATAAACATTTATTTAATTCAAAAATATATTTAAAACAGAAGTTATGTGGAACTTAGACAAATAATATAATAAGTAGCATTTATAATTAATTACAAATAAAATTTATGTTTACATTCTAAATAGAATTAACTTAAATAATTTATAAATAATATATACCTTTCAAGAGGTGTTAATCCAAGTAGTCTCATACCATTATTAAGAACTTTTTTACATGCAAGATAAAGAGATAATCTAGCTGTTGCAATATTTTCAGGTTGATTCATGACCCAAAGTATATCATAACAACCACTAATAATATGTGTAAGTTTAAAAAGATAAGTAATAATAGTACTAGGTTCTAATGTTCTTATCGTAGTATTTATAACATCAGGATATTTAGCTAGTACTCGAATCAAATCTATTGCATTAGATTCTGTTAAACAATTAAGCTCTGCTTTTTTTATGTTTTCTATAGAAATATTTGAATGTCTTATTATAGATGCCAACCTGGAATGAGCATACTGTAAGTAAGGACCTGTATCACCTTCAAATGATAATATGCGAGACCATAGAAAAGAATAATTATTTATACTATAAGGTTTTAGAAAAATAAAAGAATATTTAAAAAAAATACCGTTTAGATGACATGTCCTGTATCAAAATAGCAGAAATTCCAACAATATCTGAAACAAATTTCGGATTTTCTATTTGAATATATTTTTTTTGATTTTTTTTCATTATTTCATGCATATTTTCTTGAGCTGTTTCAAGAATACTATCTAGAAAAACAGCTGTACCTTTTCGAGTGCTCATTCCTAAAACCAGCCCATAACTAATATGTGAGCATGACTTAGCCCATGGTAAATCAAGAAGTTCCAGAATTTTGAAAAGTTGAGCTAAATGTAATTCTTGTTGCGACGAAACAACATAAATCATTTTGTCGAACTTATAATGCTCATATCGTTGAATGGCTTCTCCAATGTCTCTTGTAAGATATAGAGTTGTTCCATCACTTTTTTTAAGCATTGCATTTCCAAGTTTTTTCGAGAATTTTGATAGATCAATTAATATAGCACCTTTATCTTCTTTTAAAAGATTTTTTTTTTTAAGAACTCTCATCACATCTTCGATATTTTGTTGAGAAACTTTTGATTCGCCGCCATATTCATCATAATGAATATTCAAGCGACTATATGTAGTTTTGTACTTTTCAATACTAAAATCTCGGAAACGTTTCCATAATTTAAGAAAATTTTCATTACCTTGAATTTGTTAGAAAGTTACTATTTTTAATAATAATATACCTTCTTCCATTTTTTTAAAATATTCTCGAGCCTTTTCATTTACATTATCAGCTTCCGGGTTATCTTTTTGTGAAGCAATTGTATTTATTTTTACATAAACATCATAAAGATGCTGAATAGGATCCCTTTCAAGTTCTTCCTCACTACCATATAGCTCAAAACCTATTGCTAAAAGGCCTATCATAAAATTAATAAAAAAAAATAAAAAATTTGACATACTCACCAAACTGTTTTCCCCAATCACCTAAATAATTAAATCTAATGACTTCCCATGAACAAAGCTCATGTATATTTGATACAAACGAACCAATAATGGTACTTCGTAAATGACCCGCATGAAATGGTTTTGCAATATTGGGACTTCCGAATTCAACTAGTATTTTCTTTCCTTTACCAGAATCATTAGATCCATATTTATGATCGTCTCTATAAATGTAAGAAATGACCAAATCTGTAAGTAGTTCCGGTGAAAAAAAGAATTGAATAAAAGAACCTTGATTTTTCGCACGAACAATTGTTTGAGGAAACTTAAAATCTTTTTAAAATCTTTTTAACACACACAAGCATTATGGGTACCTTTTGTGCCCATTTCTCAGCCAAAATATCAGGTTTTTCCTGTAAACGCAATCTAGCAACTGGTAACATTAGATCTCCATTTTCTAACTTAGAAACTTGTTCAAGCATAGGAAGAAGTATTTTTACTGAAATAGATGTAATCTTTGAAAGATGATATGAAATATATGTTCGAAAAATATCTATTGGATTTTTAAAAGGATCAGTTCCCTCTAAAGACAAAATATCTTCAGAAATCCCTATTTCTTTCAGGTTTTTTGACAGATCATCAAAAGTATCAATATTTTTCATATTTCTACTATAAAAACTTTTAAAAACGGTGTTTTTCTGCCTATTTATTCTATAAAATCTTGTTATTATAGCTCTCAACAAACAAGTTGTTCTTAGCATCCGTTTATCAGAGGTTTAAATAGAAGGTTACCGTAGCAACTCCAAACATCATGATTTTTAGATAACAAAAATATAGAGATAACAATAGATATTTAGAAATAAAATGACAACGTTTTCAGAATCAGTTTTACTATATATTATTAGAAGAAGAGAGTTTTATAATAGTCCTAAAAAACAGCAAAAAAAGAGCTTTTGGGACGTTTTTTTTAAGGATTCTTTTTGTCAAGTTATTTGGAAAATACGAAGAATTTATAAAGCTATTTATCGAATTATCAGTAGAAAAACGTCTATTTGTAGGATTTTAGATCTTTTTTTGTATTTGGATGAACATACTTTGGTGAAATATGCAGGGAAAAAAAGAAAAAACTTAAATCCTGGAGAAAACGAGAAATTAGGAAATTTAGTCTGGGATATTTGTAAATTCTTGATATTTGTTCTATATTTAACATTTTTAGATATTGAATTGTCTTTGTCTCTAGCAGTATATAGTGAATGGAAAGATTTGTTATACCGAGCAGGATATTTAGATTCTTTTGAAGAAGCTAACTTTATTGATGCCGTTACAATATCTATTTTATTGAAGAAAAAAATAAAGTATAATTATAAGAAAACAGACCCATCTAAACATAGTTTATGTCTTCGTTATTCAATTATGTGCATTTTTTGTATTCAAAAAGAGAAAAAAATTATAATGCAAAAGTGCAATACACAGGTCCAATATCATCAAAACCAAGAAATATTTCATGAGGTAATTATTAACCTTATGTGCTTATACTGTTTTAATAATTATAGATATGGGACGCAATTATTGTTCCCGTAAGAGTACCGCAAAACAGCAAAAGAAATTGGGTGATGGTTTTAATACTTAATTTATAAAAATAATACTAAGTATTGTAGATAGGTTTTCAAGGAGATGACCCTAGTACAGATTTTAGGTCTATGGGTGAATAAGTTTTGTTACTGGATCGGCTATATTTATTTTTATATAGGTTTTTTTGGATTAGAAATGCTACATTACTTTGTGTTAACACGAAATGATCATACAAGAATTATGGTATCCGAATCCCGATCGAACCAGAACAATATTGATCTTCCTTGGTATTCCTTTGCACTCGCTGCTATAAATATTTTGGCATATATTGTTGAATTGATGAATCAAAGCAAACTTGAGAAAATCTTTGTTCAATACTACAATCACGGAATAACCATAGACGAAATAGTGAAGCAGCTATTCTGTATGTTTTCATACACATTTTTTAGATACTGATCTTTAGGCTATACATTTATTTCTTTTCATCATTTTTGGAAACTTCAAGTCTTGGCAAAAAAAGTTCAAACCGTCCTTGATTTTGAACGCTGCTTAAAACACTTTAAGAAAAAAACTACTAATAACATCGAGCAAGGTGATGGCGTCATTGGATTCGACTGTCTTATATGATTTATTCTATTCAACTATTTTTACATCTTTCTATATTAATATGCATTCCAATCTCATACATCTTCTCTATTCTAGTTACTGTATCACTCTATTTTGAAGAAAACCTCTTCTTTCCTATATCAAACGGGACATATCTGACATTGTAAGCTTCTCCATGCACTACTTTTCTATACCTGTATTTAATCATATGTTTAATCTGCCTACGCATAGTAAATGCAAAAAGGATACAAAAATACATCAACAGAATCGGCCACTATCAATAATTAACCAATTTATCTCGTTTTTTCATTTTATTCATACAAAAACCGGAATATCAAAAAATGAAATCCAACTACACACAAATGCAATAATTATTGCCCGTGTTGCTGAATACCAAAATTTAAACTCCGGAAGCCTATATTCCCCATTTAATTAATACATCAATTTCCTCAAGATATGTTTGTTATAAGCATTAATAATAATATACCTTCGAATAAATGGCCGGAACTCTTCATCTTGTCGAATTGGTAGTCGTACTTCTGTATCATCATTTTCTTGAAGATCTTGTTCCAATGAAAGATCAAGTTTTGGGGTAAGAAACGCAAGAAATAGATTCAAAAGATAAATCCCAAGTGCATAGCATACTGTATTTATCAATTAATATATTTTTTTTCTACTGCTGTACTGCTGTTCCTTGTTTGCTTACCGATATACCATCCCTGAACTACAAGTATCCGCACCATAAATAAAACAAGTAGTGCAAGTGAGCTTAGCCATCTCCGAGCCTTGTAAGGTGTAGACTGGTCTAAAAAGGCTTGATATTGCTGTTTTTGTGAGCAGCAAAAAATAATAAGGCAACAAACCTGAGCAAATCTGTTTTTCTTGGTACTGAAGATATTGACCAGTGTTTCTGGCGGCATCAGATCATCTGTATCCATTATTTATGCGGTATATGTGTGGTATATGCGTATTGTATGCGTGTTGTATGTGTGCTGTATGCACTGGATTTTTCAAAGGGCTTCGAGTGTATCGAAGTGTGCTCGATATATCGTCAACCACCACAATGACAGTGCTGAGGCGGTGTCTCTGAAGACCCATGCAAAATACACTGTTTATGCCTGAAACAAGTGTCGTTTGTTTCTTAATAATGTATTTGTTCTTTTGACGCGTTTTGCACTGTGTTTTGTGTTTTTTCACGTCCCTCCCACTTATACACTGTCTTATACTCCCAATATATACTTTGCCATAATGCGTTTCACCCGTAATATACGACAATATGTGTTTTACTAGTTTTGCTGTATATATGCTGCATGCATACAGAGAAAAACACAAGTTTGGCCCAATGATTTAAAAGACCATGTATATGCGTCTTAAAACACTCTATCCAGGCATATATGCGCTTTAAACTCGCTGTATACGCGAAAAAAAATCGTAATTCGTGTATATCTTTATACTTGTGCAGTATATATGCGTCGGTTAAGTTACGTTTCGGTACCGAATATATGGCAATTTCGATAGTATTCGAAACGGATTCAAAGCCTATTTAATAGCGTACTGTGCATAGACTCCGGAAAAGAGCCGCATATACCTCGCTAAACCCCCATCAAATCCTTCTCTGCCCACATATATTCTATCTTTCTTATATGTCTTCTCTCCAGGGCTTTACAAAGCCTGCAACAGCCCGTTTATGGCACGAAATTTCCGCACACAACTGCGTTCTTGGTCGCCTAGCAACGGTCTTGGCGCGTTTGCTTATGGGCAAACATAAGCCAATTTATCATCCGGCGGGTATATATAATGCTATATATACAGCACTTTATATGTAATATATATGTAACATGAATAGCGGATGTTGGTGATTATGTTGTTGTTACACATTGTGGATTATTACGGTTGGATGAGAATAAGTTGAATCGTGTATATATGAGACATACAGGGCGACCGGGAGGATTAAAGAAGTGGACGATGCGGGAGTGGATGGAGCGTAAAGGTGGAAGTGCAGTGATACGGCACGCAGTAGCAGGAATGTTACCGAAAAACAGGCTCCGTGAGCGGCGTCTTGAGCGGCTTAAGTGTTTTGAAGGAGCGGTACATCCATACCGCAAAAATATACAGCGACTGTGGGAAACAAGTGGGCAATGGACATCTGTTTTTCATGAGTAATCTGGTCCTTTGCTGGCTTTTGGCCTGTGAATATACCTTTCCTATGTACATTGCAACGCCTTTTGCCGCTTGCAGTCTCGGTTACCATGGAAACATATACTGCAGAGCAGTCTATTCGTCTGCAGATGCTTTAGAACTTGTCTTTGACCAGTCTCTGCAGTGTATTTGAGGTCTTCTTCCAAGGCTCTTGCCTGATTCTATGTTTCCATGTGTGTGCAGGGTCCTGTTGGCCACTGTTTTAGAGGTATCGCGTGTTTTTGTGTACTTTCATGTACTTTTGTTTACTCCTGTATTTTTTGCAGCACGTAGATTCTCTGCATAATTACAGGGTCTTTGTCCTTTAAACTGTGCCTATTTGATGCTTCTGGTTTGCTCGTTGATGTATTTGATATTTATGATCTAGTGTAAATCGTACTAGACAGAGAGTCGTTTGTATTTTTGTGTTCCAAAGATCCCGAGATAACCCTTTGTGCTTCCAGCAGGTTTTGTCTCTATTGCCCCATCAAGTGCTCGCAGATCGGTTGTACTGTTCGATTTCTCTAGGATCTGCATGTATGACTGCCGTAACGGATTTGCCTGACGCTTTGACTTTGCCTCTGCCCGTTTTCGGTCTGGCCGTACTACAATTACCGGCACAGGCGATGTTGCCAGGCAATATCTGTTTTTGTTAATTCTTTTGCATTTTTCTGATTTTTTTACTTGGATATTGATCCTGGCAATAGACTCTGGATTCCCAGCCCCTTCCCTCGAGTTCCAATTACGACTGAATCCGGCTGGTAAATCTGGATCTGTGCACATAAGTCCCCTTACGAATATATGCCCTTTCTGTCTCTTACCCGGTGCAGCAGTGTTGTCGTTACTTTCCCCACTGCAAACTCAACCATCACTGAAATCTACAATCACTTTGTTAGTTTCTGCAGACAATGTGTTTTTTTTTTTGTTTCTCAACACATTTACGGCTTTTTTGTTGCTTTTTAGAGCCTTTCTACTGTTTCTTGGTGTTTCACAGCTTTTCATTGCTTTTTGCTGTTTTTTCAGCTTTTTTGTTACTTTTTTACATTATATATTATTTTTCTGTATTTCTAATATCCTTTTACAGTTTTTTTGTTGCTTTATTCCTTTACACTTCACCACTTTTCTGTTTTTACTACTTTTTATAGCCTTTTTGCTGTTTTCACTGTTTCTTTTACTTTCTTGTTTTTTTTATTGCTTTTTATGGCTCTTGAGTGCTCTTTTATTGCTTTTATATAGTTCTCTATACAGCTTTTTGCTGTTTTCTTACAGTTTTTTACAGTTTTTTAACAGATTTTCACTGTTTTTTTGCTTTTTAGAGAACCTCCACATAAGCCTTATTCTATCTCATTGTTCCACAGCTCTGCTCACATACCGCTTTTGATTCTTCATTTTTCCGTAAAATACGCTCGAGTACTTTCTCTGCGTCTTTCCGGTACTTTTTCTGCTGTACTGATAGCCCTGCTGCCATCCGTGACCCTTTATATCTCATTAGCCTTTTCCCATTGTCTTCTTTTACCTTACCTGGGTCAACAACCCGTAGTGCAATAATTTCGTCTCCGTCTTCAACAAGCACCTCAATAAGCCAATCTAAAGCCGATTCTGAGTATTCATTCTGGTCAATTCCGCAAAGAAATGTCCTAGATCTCCCGCTGTAGCTGTAGGCACGGTGTGTCATCCGCAGTGCCAGGCTGAAGTCGCGTGCATCACGGTTATCAAACGTGTCAAATGACACACGTTGTACAAATACTGGTGTATCAGTATCATCTGCTGTTTCATCTGCTATTGTTTCAGCTTTTTGAGCTTTTGTTTGTGCTATTTGTGCAGCATTTTCTGTTGCAGCAGTATTCGGTATTGCACAGGCTGACATACGGTGCTTGTTCTGCGGCGCTGCTTATGTAGAGGACACCCGCGTGTTTGGTTGTTATGACTATAGTTGCGAGGTGACTGTTGCTGAGCGACGGTTGCCTGGAAACCTTATGCAGTATTTTGTATGATGTTAAGTGTATATGCTGAGTTAGGGTTTATAGCTAGTTATATAGTTATATTTAGAGCTGTGTTTATAGTTATACTTACAAATCATGAGTGTAAGCTACGTTTATGCGTATAAATTGCGCTGATATTTATAAATTATGTGTACATATTTATAGTTATATAGTTATAGCGTGTATAGGTTTTGATATGTTCTTCCACGGCTTATGCAGTTAGTTTATGTATTTAGTTTATTTATTTATCTTTCTATACAATTTATGCGTTTCATAACAGCTTTTAAGAGAGATTGCAGATATCTGGTGTTCTGTACAGCTCATAGTTGTCTTTAAAGTGTATCAGTGTACGCAGAGTTGACTGGTCTGCGGATTTTGGAAACATGTACGTATGTTACCATGGTGACTAAGTATTGTAGCATATATTGGATAGTATGTAAAGAGACGCATGTATTATTCCAATGCATATATTTCTATGTTTTCTATGCATTTATGTGTGATATGCACTGCATGAACTATATATATTATATAGATTTCATTATATACATATCTATGTTATATACATATTATATGTATTATATGTACAATATATATATTGCGTGCACATTATATATTGTATTTACTGAAAAGAATAAGAAAATTACATCTTGATGTCTTGTTAGTGTGTATTTCTGCAGTATATTTTTATGAACACTGAATTCCATGGATAGTGTATATCTGTGTATATATAGCAGATAAACACCTTTATACATGTATAAAGACAGAAAAGCAGCACGCAGAAGACATGTCTTAGACCATGTTCAGGGACGACTGCTGTTTCCATATACATCTACTGTATAATCTGTGTGCACATATATGTATATATATACATACATATATATATATACATATCTAAATATACATAAAAAGCATATGAAGGCATTTATTTGTGTGCTATTTATACATATATATTATTTATATCTATGCAGTATCTCTGTGCTTCCATAGATACACAACAAAGAATTGTAGAAACAATACATGTTTCTACGTACAGGAGGTGCTACATATCTCTCGTCGTAAATTATAGCTCAACATCAAGATGACAGTCTAGGTATATCGCTCTTGTATGTTGCAAGTGTATCCTATAAATCACATACAATTATATAATAAGTTATTTATTAAATAAGTGCCCGAAGTGTTATTGGAGTATCTATAAATATACACATTAAGCTACTTATTATTTTATACTAATCTGTAGTACTCTAGTAACCTATAATAGTGTTTATATTATATACAAATATATTGTAGTGTAAAATACTGTATATACATGCTAAGCTCTAGAAAAACTGAAAAGATTATGTGTCTATGTACAAAAGCCACGTTCTATACTATGCTGTTGATATATTCACATACCCTATGTTTAAAATGCATAGTGCAGGATATACAGATAATAGATCTAATATACATGAAAATATAAATGATAATATGCATCACAATATACATTAATATATATCTTACAATAACGCTAAAATACACATCACAGTGTATATTACAATATAAATTATAATATACGTTATAATATAAACTATAATACAGACTATAATACAAACTATAATATACACTATAATATACAGAGTGGCATCCCTTTTAAACTGATTTTAATACACATCTTAAGATGGTTAAGTACTCATAAGGAGATAGCAGTACACATATGTGCCCGAATATACTTTAGTGTCCTGTTTATCTCTATATATTAATGCGTGTCCGGAGACTGTAGTGTAGCATTCCTTTTTAGTGCGGAAACACAAAAGATATAAAGATATAGAAATGCCATTATTCATCAATACATATTCAACACATATTACATATATTTATGAAAATTTAATATATTTAATGTAAATTTAATATATTATATACACATTCACTGTATGTATTAAATATATATTTTGTATTTTATTTGCATTTAAAACTATTGGTCGTATTTATAAACACATGTGTCCTTAAACGAGACTCGTACAATATGTTACGAGCGGATAGAATATAATAGCATAGAATTACAATACAATACAATTGCAATAATTACCATACAAATTAAAATATAATTAACATATAATTAGCATACAATTAGAACATAATTTTCATATAATTAAAAGAATACAAAGAATACAGAAAAATAGCACAAAACAATATTTACACAGATCAATATTTATAGAGCGGTTATACAGCAGCATTTACACAGGCATTGAAACAAAGCATATAGCTTGTGTATAGGTGTGTAGTGGATATACAGCGGATTTTAGACACATATAATAAGTGTTTGAATACATTAGCGAGTGTTTAGCTTATCAACGGGTGTTTGGCGCGTGTTTAAGTGCAAAGTGCATATAGCAAGTTTTTGAGTATAAAGCAAATTTACAGTATATATAGCGTGTATTTGGACGCATATAACCCGTGATCAGGCGCATATAGCGTGTATTGCGTGTATATAGTCACTGTTTTGGCTGTATAGTACGAGTTTGGTATATACAGTGCACGTTTGAGTATATACACTACATATTCGGGTGTATACAGTGTATATTTAAGTCATATTTTAAGTGTTTGTGTAAAGTTGAATACATAAACATGCCGTGGTTATTTGAATCGTGGTATATGGATGTTCCAATTGTAACACGGCTTTTTATTACAGGAGCAGTTGCAACAAGTGTCGCAGTGGTAGGAAATATGGTGAAAATGCAATAGCTAATGGAAGCAGCAATGCAATTGGGTGACGCCGTTTCAGCTATTTTTTTCATGGCACTCAGTTATTATTCGTAAACAGGTGAATCAGAAAATATAATAAGGTGTTATTGAAGGATTGCAGTATTGGCGCCTTGTAACAACATTTCTATATTTTGGAAATCTGAGCTTTGATTTTCTTTTTCATATATTTTTTATGTAAGTTTAACAAGAGGGTTGTAGGGGGAATAGTAGGGCTGACAAGAGGTATATAGTGCACGGTATTGTAGGATGCTTGAAGAAACGTCGTTTCGGGGACGTTCATGGGAGTTTGCATGTCTTTTGTTATATGCAACAACATCGTTACTAGTAAGTTAAAAATAGTAGGAGAAAGGTGCTGAAAAAGGGTAGATTCTGTCTCCACTAGTATCTCTTACGTTTCTAGCATCACCGCTCTCGTTTTGCTTGATATATCTTTGGTCACGTAGAAATCCATCGGTTCGTTTGTCTTTTCTTGGGTTGTTTGTTTTTAATGCGCCATATTTACCGTGGATTTTGTTATGGTTTTCATTTATTCTTCATAACACTATCCCCAAGGGGGATCTTCTTGGTATGTTTGTTGGCCATATTTATTATTATCTTAAGGATGTGATGCCAACAATTTCTTCATAAACGTTTTTATATGGCAGAACATGGTATATTATATAAAAACAAGTGTCTAGGTACAGGTAAGTCTCGTGAATATTTAGGGGCACTTTCAAGGTATAATAAATATCTAAAGGGTGCTATATATCCAAGACACAATTTAAATTTTATATAAATTTTACATATATGCTATAAATGTAGCAAATGCTTTATTAATGTTTTGCCAAAGCACTATTGCTGTTTCACCACTGCTTTACCAGGTTTTCCGTTAATTTTTACTTTTTTATTAGTTTGTTGATTTTATCAGCTTATTGGTTCTCCTAGTACTACTAGTATGCTGGTAAAATAGCAATATAATAGGTATTTTTCCACTAATGTTGTACGGAAAATATTAATGTAACAAGTTTTAAACAATATTTATGATGGTTTATTACTATTAAGAAAGGTAATTACTTTTAGCTGATTAATAGTACACTATTTAAATTTTTTTGCACCACGATTATTTTTCAGCTTCTTCAGCCTTTATATAACCATGAAATTTTACTGTTTTTAATATCTTGTTTTTACGTCTTTCAAACACATTTTTGATTTGGGTTAATCAACCGTTACTTTTGATTTAATTCAATATTGATTTTGTTGCTGGATTATTCTTCTCCTAATACAGCTGCACAAAGAGATGCCAATGCCCCCAGATCTGTCTCATGGCTTACTGATAGCGGTCGATAAGATGTTTCTGGTTGGTTTTCAAGTAAATGGTCCATTGTACAGTTAAGTGGTCCATTATCTAGCAAAGTGGGCATTATCCCTTGTGTATTTTCTATATTTTTCACTGGATACCGGGTAAATGGATCAATTAATACTGTAGGCGATGCCGCCGTTCCATCTTCATACAAAGGCATGTTCGAATATGTTACAGGAGTATCCAATGGAGGCATTGGCAACGTCTGCATGTAAAACCTGGACAGTGGATTAAAGTCATACAATGGATGATTTGTAAATTCTGGCAAATAATTATCAATTTCAGGTGGTGTCGGCTGTGCTTCAAACATCGGTATCATCGTATGCATTGGTTGCATTGTCTCTGCTTTGTCTTGCGTGATCTTATTACGGCGTTTATAAGGGCCACGTTTGATGCCTTTTTGCCGTTTCTTTCGTTTTGAATTTATGCATGAATCAAATAAATTATGTTTAATACAGCGACTACATGGACGTGCCTCGTCACACTTCTTATTTGACTTCTGACAATTTACTACCTCTAATCAGCAGCGGCAGATACACCTATACCACTTACCACAAGCATTTCTTACTTGAGATCGCTTTTTTTTTTCTGGTGATTGTTTTGATTCAAGATTCTCTTGAGGTTGTTTTTTGTCAAAAAAGGGTGCTATATTTGGCTCGTTCTGCATTGAATCTCCAATTAGAAACATAAGCAATGCTGATGTCTGGTCCTGGCAGTTGTTGTTCATATTTTGTTGTAATAATGATTCTGGAATATGTTGAGGAAATCCTTGCGATAATGATGGTCCCATGTTCAACGCTTCTGGCTGACCTTGAGCAGCTTCATATCTAGCAGTTGGGTCATGGATTCTCATTAAAAATTAATGAGACATCTAAACAATTCTAGTAAATCTGTTTTTTTTTAATTTTTTAAATTTTGATCGTTTTTTCACTTAAACCGAGTCAGAAAAGACGGGTTTTCACAAGGGAAAATAGGGATATAAAAAAATACATAAAAGTAAGAAGATAAGAAGATATATTGCTAAGTAATAGGAGGGAAAGCTAAATGTGTGATGGTAAACAGTAATAGGATTTAAGAAGAGATAAATAGGGTGTTTTGAGTGTATAATGTATGAATAAATGTCAATCGGAGTAATATTCATCAGAATCAATTATTGTGATGCAAAAGTCAAGCTTAGCAGTGTTAAAATAATGTAAAGAAAGGAGAAGGAATACTTTGTATCGCAAAAGTCCACCTATAAAGTGAATTAGTTATATATATAGCAAAGAAATATAAGAAAGCTACCTATGCCTGAAAATCCTTTGCAGAACTGGTTTCCCTCTTGTGATTTATCGGTCACGAATTCCAAGTTTGCGCCAAACTCTTTATATTTTTCAGTCAACCATTCTAAAAGAGAGATAGATGATGCTATTTCCATTTCGTTTTCTAATATTCTATTAAAAAATGTAATTTTTCTTGTAACGGGCTAAATACTAGTTTCTTTATCAATAAAAAGTTCTCTATTTTTTTCACTTTGTTCTTTTGTAAGATGTACGATGACAGTATCTAGAATATTAAATATAATACTATAATGCTGAAATGTTTAAGTATTACCTCCTCGAGAGTCGTAAAGGGACCAACGAATAACATCAAGGTTTTCCCAGACTGTTATTTAGTTTTTTTTTTTTAGAAAAAAAGAAAACAAACCAATAATTGTTTCCACTGCACCCAATTCGAGGCTTTTCAATGTATCTTCTACGCCATCTAATTAGGATTAATTTTATCAATGTGATGTATTTTTTGGATATTTACAACAATATTTTCCAGTATCTTGTGATACTTCATCGAAATATTTTTGAATAAGTCTTTTCTCTTGAATAAATTTAACATTAGAAAGAATATCAGAAACAAGTTCAATCGCTTGATTAAATCCATTTTCTCCCCCGTATGAAATATCAACAATTTTAACAATTTTTGAAGTTAATCGTGCATCAAGCATATCTTCTAAATAAGTATTCTAATCCGTATAACTATAAAAAATACGAACCAGACATGCTTAATTCAGTTTTAAAATCTTCAGATTAGTTTTAAACAGATGTTTTTAGAGCAATATACCTGCAGACCCTGCTAATATTAATCCTGCTACATTAACTTTATCATTTGTAATAAAAAGCTGTACTGCCATTTCTGCTACTTTCCTTACTAGCATTTACATTAAACACTTTATTAAAAAATACTGTTAACAACCATAATTATGACGTTTTTCTTCACGTAAACGAGCAAAACGCAAAGCAGACTGTCCTCCCCGACCTTTATATTTAGTTTTTTACATATATATAAAATATTAACAATATACCATGTTTTTTTGGAAGATCTACTGTAAATTTATACAAAACTTCACGTGTATTTCCACTAAGAGTTCCAAAAAGTGATCCATTGCCATCCATAACAATAAATCCAAATTTTTGATCACTTTCAAGCAGCTCTGAAAGCGCTTCTGTATGAAATTTATTATCACAGAGATACAACGATGTATTAATAGGTTTAAACGGTTCAAAATCAATACTTAATTTTTTTTCTTTTCCATCATCTGTAATAATTTCACCACAATATATGACAAGACCATTAGGTGGAACTTTATTGTACAGTTTAAGCTTTTCACGGGTAGAAGTGATTGCACCAAGTACAGATAACCGGTTAACGCGTGATTTGATATTTGATGCTGTACCATATTCATCTGATATTAATAAGTGATTTTTGGCATTTTTTTCTAGGAAAAAGACCTCCAAGCATCTTGCTTACACGAGATACTTGATCCTTGGGTGCTTTTTGTAGCAATAAGTCTCTGACTGACTGGAAAAAAAAAAAAGATAAAAAACTTACGGATAATTAAAGAAATCATAGAAGTCCCGTTACTACACATGCAATTAGTATTTTTGCAGTAGAAAATTAATCAAAAAACCCTCTTGCTGATTCCAAGCTTTTAATAAGTTTTCTGACCTTCCATAACTCTACATTTTTCTCTGCATCACTTGATCCAGAGCTCATTTTATATGTTTTTTATTAAAAAATTAATTTAAAAAAGTGTAATAAATTTTTTAGATACAATTTTTCTAATGTATCTTAGAATTTTGAAATATTTTTGTATTTTTTTAAGATTTTTTGTAGATTTTCAAAGCCAATGAATACATCGAGTATTAGTAATTTTTAATGTAAAAAATATTTTTATATACTAAAAGTTATACATGTAAATTTGAAATAAAGTTGGTTTGATGTATTTGGACTATGAGAAAGCGAATGTTGTTTTTATGTATTAAAAATTAAAAATTTGAATAATTTTTTTTGTTTTATTTGTTTTTCATGTTTAATTTTTCTTGATTTAAAAATAATTAATGAGTAGCACAACATTTTGTTTTGGCAATATACTTTTTACAAAAATACAAATATTCTTTATATAAAAATAACATTTTTTTTTGAAAAATGTGTATTTTTATGTAAAATTAAAAAATAAAAATTTCCATAAATTAATGTAAATATTAATATAAATGTTATTTTTATTATGGAAAAAAATGTATCTTGTATTTTGTCATTTTTATGTGAAATATATATTTTTATATTAATTTGGGCAAAAAATTGATCTAAGGAACAGCTATTTATTTATATTTTTAGAAAATGAACACTTTTAAATGAAACATAATCTTATTCAATACAATAATTTGAAAACAATAGGAAAAAAAAATCCTATTATATACAACATTCATTCTATTTTCTATTTCTTTAAAAACAAAAATATTTTAAGTTTATCGATTAGCTAATGATAAGATGATATGGTCTAAAAAGCTTATTATAAAAATTAAAAATAACAATATATATAACCATTAATAACCCAAATACTCATGAATTTTTTCTAACTATGCCATCTTTGTTAAAAATAATATTCTTTATAAAGTTATGTTAATTTTTCCAATAGTTACTGTTCTCATTAAAATAATGTTTTTCTAGAAAAACACATAATCCAAATTCTTGCTATTCTTTAAGTCAAAATATATATTAGGGTTGACAATAATATGATTATCTTCCGTATTTTTGATATTCCCATTCTCTATTATCAAGTGGACAAACTTGACGAGTTTTAAGCCAGCGTGAAATACAATGAAAATGAAATGCATGCTTAACAAAGTTAACACATATTTCTAAGTATTATGTATCTACATTACAGATACCCCATGCAACAGTACACGCTTCTGTCGTCGGAGCCACTTGATTTGCTTGACATTCGATACCTAAACAAGTTAATGGTAAAAAATTACATTAATTCCTGGTTTTCCAGTCCAAGCAGCATTTATCTTACAGAAATCCATAATATGATTGCGGCAAATTGCACAATTGTCAACAACAATGTCCCATGCCCAAAGTGCTACTGCATTCCACTAAAAAATTTAAACTAGAAACAATAATTGACTAAAAATACTCTTTTCACTTCAAAACGTGGCTTTAACGTCTCTAAAGAAGAGGACTTGGGATGTTCTTCAGCATCTGTCTTTGCCGAGCAAGAAGCATATGTTGTTGCTGGAATTGAAGGAATTTCCGAGAGAACAGTATTTGAATCTATATCCATTCCCATAGAATCATCTGTTTCATATATTTTGTCAGTGGATGAGCAATTCATAATGATTTTATTATAGATTAATATGTATTTAATTAATTGTCTTTAAAAATCTAAAAAAAAGTTAAAAATATCAGAAAAAAAAGAGTGCATTCTTTATATATTCAGTATATCCATAAATATAATTAAGATAAGAATAATTAAATCTTTTTAGAGAGTTTAGAAGCCTTTTAAGAGAATCAATTATTTTTTCAAAATCGTAACGTTATATTCCCGTTTACTTGAAAACCGTATTGTTTAACAACACGAAAAAACCTAATATCTTTAAAGGTCTTTAGATGATAAATTTTTAAGTAAGGATTTTTATTTAACATATTATCATATTCCTCTTACTTTCTTATAAATAGAACTGTTTTTGAATAAGAAAAAATAGTTACAAATTAAGATCAAATAAAGAATAAAAATAGATGGTTTGCAGATTAAAAAAGCTAAAGGAATTTACTAAAAAGAATATATAAAAGTTTTACCTTTTTATGTGTTAAAGAGTATGAATTTCTTTATTTAAATGACTTTTTTATCAAAAATAAGAAAAATTGTTCTTTTAACAGATATATTTGAAAATTGTGAAATTAATAGATACTTTATTGAAACATCAGATGAGAACACAAGCACAGAGCTTTAATACCCGAAAGGCACTAAAGAATGAGAGTAATGAGCGTCTAACTCCAAGCAAAAAGAAAGATAATGCAAATTCCCGGTCATTGGGTGTAGAATTGCCTGCTGGCTCAGTACCTCACTTTGATGCAAAAAATGATAAAATGACACCTCGTAAATTGTCATCTACGTCTTGTAAGCAGCTGGATCACTACGCGGGCCCCACGTTTCATCATTCTCCAGCAGCATCTAATCTTCCTATTCCGACATTTTTATCTAAAGTTAATGATACACCACAACATCTGTCTATCTCACATTCTGAGCAACCGAAACTATACAATAAGCAGCCAGCACCAAGGGCCTTGTCATCTAGTCCAATGCATAAGTTGTTTGAGTCGCCTGATTCACCTATTATGTCTGAAATTCATTCAGACATACTGCAACATAAAAAAGTAGCACAAAATACTTCTTTTTACGGTGATTTTACACACTTAGCACACGAATCTCATTTTTCGTCACCAGAATTGGTATCTCAGGCAGATATCAAAGAAAAAAAGCAGAGACATATACCATTAAAACATGAAACGACTATTCTATCAGGTTTTGATAATATGTTTTGCTAGAAAATACACTGATTTCTAGAAATAGAAGTAGATAAAAAGAAGAAGACTAAACAAAGTGTGACTTTGCTAACACATTCTTCAGACTTAGTTGATACACAACAAAAATTAAGAAACAATGACCAAAAATATTTTTCAAAGAAAAAAAAAAACTGGTCTAAATACGATCTATATATTGACGACAACATTAGTGAAAAAGAGGATTTAAAAAATAAACTATTAAGTCTACTTCTGCCTTCCTCATCTATATCAAATAAATCATCGACGACAAATTTTCCAAAATCAAAAACATAATTCATTTTAAATGTAGATAATATATATTAGATTACTGGAAAGTTGTATACCAGCTGTATATGAGTATCGTTTGAGTGGGTTTTAAAGACATTTTTATAAAAAATGAGTTCTTTCAAAAGAAACTTTAAATAGATTACTATTATATCGATAGAAGACTGACACTTGTTTTAACAAATATATTAAATGTCATTTTATAGTTAGGTTTTTGAAAAAAAAAAATCACCACATTTCGGCTGTTCCTTTTATATGGAGTAAATTGTCTGATTCTACCCATAAGATATACTGAGTACCACTGAGCTTTTTTAATCTTCGTCCACAGAATTTGTAAGTAGAGTTTGCATAAAGTGGCCTCTGTATTGTATAATAAAAACTTTTTAAATTTAAATGTGAAGATGTATGTTGTCTTAGTAATTTGAGAAGTAAAATAACGCTTAAAGATCCTTGAACTACAAAGTTTTCGTACTTTTCTTCTTTTAAATATGAATAATCGTAATGAATTTTGTGAGCGTTAAATGTTAGTGCCGAGTATCGAAAAAGAAGAATTTGTGAAGGCGTAATAGAAATTGAAAATTCAGGTATCCAGGCTTTAATTATATTAGTCAATGTGGGTGTTTTTAAACCATGGCTACCCACTTTTTTTTTGTTTTTGTAACACTTTTTTTCCATCCTTTTCTTCCAATTGGTAAACAATGCATGTCCTTTCTCTTAAATGTATTTCTTTTATTTGTTCTTTATCATCCAATGGAGCTATTTCCTTGTTTGTCCATATAGCAATAGCATTATTTTTATAATATTCATTGTCAATTTTTTCAACAGTTTCAGTACAAAAAGCAGGATATCCCATACGTAAAGGCCATAAAGTATCTTTTTTCATATATTCAAGTGATCCTTTTGCCCATAAACGTCTAACCCACTCTACTGATGGAGTATACACCATATCTCCTCCATCTTTTGCTAGACGTTCTTCTGGTTCACATCTTGAAAAATAGAGATAATTGTAGCCCAATGGAAGTATACTGCCTCGTTTAAATCTTGAAATATCTGGAGAGCTTTTAAAATACGGTGACAAAGCCTGATCAAGTTGCCAGCTTGTTGTTGGTGATAAAAAATCAGAAATATATGTTGTTTTTGTATTAGAAAACTTATCTACAGTTCTTCTACAAGTGCTTGTTCTTCTACTAAAGTCTTTTATTATAGAATATTCAGTATTTTTGCTTATTTTATGGAAATTTTGTATTAATACCATTGCAAAAGATTTCTTGAGGTATCAGCACGTGATTTTAAATACGCGTTTAAATTAAGTTGAAATGCATCTGTTTTATATTTAAAAGTATGAATAACTTGACGTGTTATTTAAAGAATACATTTATAAACATTTCCAAAGATTAACATGTTTAAAAAAATCTTTTTTAAATTATAAATAATAATGAAAACTGTTTTATCATTTTTTCATATATGCAGATTATTTTTTTGTATAGTTAATTGGATACTGTATTTTCTTTCAAAATGCTTGTTTCTTGTATTTCAATGCTTTTTCCCTGTATTTCTGTTCCCTTTAAAATGTTTGCATCTTTAATTGCAAGTGCAACTTTAGGTGTTATTGATGTATTTTTTTTAAGCGCAGTTAGCGACTGTTTGGTCGTTTTTGTTGACTTTACAGAAACGGGTAATACTTCTAGACTTTCAATAGGCTTTGTATCTATATCTCGAACTATTTTTACCGAAGCGGTGTCAGATTTGTTTATAATTGTAGGAGTTTCATTAAAAGTAACCGACATTTTGTTTGAATTCACTAACGAAAGCATAGGTTTAGATAACTGTTTCTGTCTCTTATGAACACGAGACTTTAGAATATCAAAATAGCTCGTTCGGTCTTTTTCTGATGTACCCAGAAATAGTTCACCTGTTGTATCATCAATTGTCCAATCCCCTTCTTCCAAATCATCTGCTAATATGGCTAAAAATGATGCCCATGACTGCGCTACTACGCATTTGATATCTTGATCTCTTCCAAAAAGAATTACTTGGCCCCATCTTCCTGTAGGCCCAGGTGCAAGATCGACAGCAATATTGTTCCCTTCAAAATCTTTCCCTAGAGGAATCCATTTAGGATGTGCATAAACTGGGCGCACTGCACCCTCTGGACATGAACCTTGTCGTTTCAATAACCTATTACATCGAGAAAACGGATTAGACGTTTTGATTCTAGTCAAATCTGTTGCTACTTTCTTCCATAGACAATACTCTTCTAAAAGTTCCTCACAGTCCAGTAACGTGACCCCAAACACTATTCCAGTAGGTTTTCCTCCTCGTTCTTGGCCATCATGGATGAAAAATGATTCTCTCACATCTCGAGGAAGATGACACTCTAATTCATGCTCCAATTCATCTACATCTGCCACTGTTGCTCCATATGACAATTGATCATAAAGCTCTGGGTAGTGTGTCTGTGCCCATCGATCAATACGTCTCCATGAATCTGATACTGGTGGTGGAGGTAATAATCCATCTGTTCCATAATCTTGAAGCACAATGTCTGTTTGTTCATAGGCTGGTGGTGTCAATGTATATGTCATAGCAAATCTTAGCCCAGGCCAATGATTCATATTTGAATACGGCACTGCATGTGTATATGTTGAATCAAGGGATGTTGCTTGTATATTTGAATGCTGAGATAAATTGCCTGAAGTACAGAAGTGCTGATGTGATAAATGCACGTCCTTATCACTAATTGTAACAACAGACTGCAAACTGTCTGTTTTAAAAGAGTTATTCCGTTTATGAGACGCGTGATATGATAATTTAGATGATGATGGATCTGCATGCCGATTACTTGTTATTAATGAGTTCCAAAATGACGACAATGATGAAATGACCAGCATCTTTATTAATATTTGTTTTTATGAATATAAATTAGTCTTTTTTTTGAGATTTAAATCAAAAAAATGCTTAAAAACCTGATATTTTTTTAATTTTTATAGAAGCGCTAGTGCGCTTGTACGATAATTAAAATGAATAATGGTGACGCAAATAAAAAAGCAGAATAATATAAAAAGGAATGATATGTAAATGTTTGATTCAGAATAGACAGTTTGTAAGAAACGAGAATAGAATGAAAAAAATATAGAATGTTATATATTTTAAGATGTAGAAAAGTGTAGGTATAAAGAGTTTTTAAATAAGTTTTACATGCCGAGCAATGAGTAAAACAAGTATAATGTATCCAAGAATACACCAGAAAATCCCCCAGAACCAGCCTGTTTTATGTTCTCCAGGAACAGCAACTAAATGGATTAAAAAAGATGATTGAATAAAGTGGAAAGATACCATTCATACCAAAAAGGCCTGTAATGATATTTGCAGGCAAAAAGATTGTCCCAATAACAGTTATTTTGGAGAACATAGCACTGCTTCGGTCATTAGACTGAACGTAGCTGATTGACAATTGTGCTAAATAATTTGAATGTGATCGTGATAAGATTTTTTCGAATTGAATTAAATTCTGCGTCATGGTAATTAAGTGGTCTAGAGCCATAAGTCTAGAGTATACGGAAGAAAAAAAGTGACAATTACCTTGAATATCTCCAAGATATAACCCAATTTCACTTTTAGGAGCAACATTATAATTTTCTGTACATCTTTTAGCAAACATTTTTATCACATCTGCTTTCCCATAAAGAAGACGAAATAAACTTAAAACCTTTCGTCGACAGTTACCAATAGCCCGAAGCATTTCTCTTGATTCATGATCCCTAGTAATTAAAACAGCATCTTCAATTGCATCTGTTTCATGCTCAATAGAATGAATGCATGGACCAAATCTATCGGTAATGTCATCAATAAGTGCATAACAAATCCAATCAGAAGAAATTTCTACATAATCACGAAGTTGTCGAATTCTTCGCCGGACATTTGCTGGATGTACAATTGGGGAAAAATGAAAGGTTAGAAGACCCTCTCTGAAAACAACAATATAAATATTAACAGGTTCAAGATAATCTTCACTTTCCACATCCTGTTCAAATGATCTAAAACAAACGAAATAGTAAGAACGAAATAATTCAACTTTTTCACGAGTTTCTTGAACACGAATATCCTCTGCTGTTAAAGGATGAATCGAAAACACTTTTTGCAGCATTCTCATTTCTGCGTCAGTTGGACTTAAGCAATCTAACCACCATGTTCCTCGATCAGGCCCAAAAATGTCCTGAAAAGTCTCTCCTTCCAAAAGAATATCACCAATTTCACTAACATGAATAGTTTTTTCTGTATTTGAAGAGAAAAAACTAAATCTATCAGGCAATTCTATGCTATCCTGTTGATTTTTGAAATTAATTTTTTGTTGAGTATCTAACCCTGATGTACTAGATGTGGGATCATTCTTATATGAAATATTATCATAATTATCACTAAAGACATTATCGTCGATTTTCCCCAAATTCAGTGATAAATAATTTCTAGATGAAAAACCACCTCTTACAATTGATCCAGTACTATATTTTCGTGATTTGGAAAAAGTGTCTGTTTTTTTCAAGCATTGCATACTTACAAATCGATTAAGCTCATCAAAATCAATTCCTTTTACTACCCTGCATTCCTCTGTCATAGGAAAACAAACATCTTCTTCTACTTTTTCAGATTTTGCATCTGTTGAGTCAATATGCGAGTCTTCACATGATGTAATAGAAGTATTATCATCATCACTTCCTAAGTGTGTGTATGACTCCTGTGGCTGATCGTCTGTATATAAGATGCTTGAATATTTACATTTTTTAGAGCTTGGTACTGATGCTGAGGAAACGGGCAACTCTGTTGACGAAATATGAGATACTGGTACTTCTCCATGTCGCATGTTATCACTATGATGACCATACGACTCGATAGCCGAAAGAGAATGTGCATTTGACGAAATAATTGGAATTGGAGGAATTACATCTTTCATAGCAAAATTATATATATCATCCGTGTTTACACCCTCAATCAAGCACGCCCTGCTTGAGTTGATTCTATTATTGTCTGAAAAAATATGACTTGTTTCAGATTGGGAAGGCGATAATCGATGCCATGAAGCAGATCGACGGAGCGGCAGACTTGATTGTGAAAGATGATTCGAAAACTGTGGAGAATGCATTGAATCCTCTGTAAAGTTCAAATCAGATATATATTCTGCTCTATCCCTATGATCAAGAGGCATATCGGAGGAACAGCCAGTATATGACTCTGAGTCGTGTGCTGCCATTGTCGTCTACTAAAACAGGTGCTATTTTTATTTCTAGACGGCTTTTTTACACACGTTCCTTTATTTTTTCTAAAAAAAAGCACCAAACCCTTAAAAAAAGGCCTATCAAATGCCGACAATAAAGCCGTTTTTAACTTCTAAAGTTTGCTGATACTATTATTTGCAAAAGATCAGAGACTTAATAGACGTATACACTAATACTAACACAATAAATCTTATGGAGGCTTAATAGAACAAGGAGAGCTTCTTCCTGGACAAGATGTTGAAGGTTGAGGCCCGAGAAAAATTTCCTTTTTCTCCAATTTGAACTAGAAAAAATATCAATATACAAATATATAGTGCATCTGAACTGTTCTTACACGACTGTAGATGTTCTTTCTTTATAGAATGTCTTTGATCTATGTATTTCTTGCAAGAAATATTTTTTTGAGGTTTTGATTTTTTTTACATCCGTTCGTTATTCGCATGATGTCTTAAGCAGTCTGACGTCTAAATCTTCAAAAAATAGAGTAACTTAAGAAATAGTAATTAAGGTGAAAAAAAGTATACTTTTTGATCTAAATTAAGTCTATTATAGTTAAAAAAACAATTGTCTTTTTTTTGTTTGAAAATCAATATTAGAAAATAGAATTTTGGAAGATATTTTTGTTTCTTAAGATGAAAAAACTTAAGAAATTAATGTATGGATATATTGATTATGAAGGCCAAACAACCTCAGAGATTCTTGCCAATGTCATTGTTGTTGTTTTTTCGGTTGGATTTTTTTTGAAGTTGAAAAAGTTTCCAGATTAATGATGTATATAGATAATTGCGTATATTGTTGGATTTCTTCTGCAGAACCTGATAATTACTCTTTATATCTTTGTTATTGGGATTTTAGTATCGCTTCTAGTAAAAAATTATTATAAACAAGTCAATTTTCTGACTAATTTGCAAGATTATTATTCCACCCTGGTCGATTTATAACACGCATCCTATTAAATGGTACCAGCCATTGAAATCTCAAAAAAAAGCGTGAAAATCTCCCTATAACTATATCTGACAGTATTGTTTATGAGGTAAACTTTAACAAAAATTTATTAGACGGCATTGATGTACATATATGATTGATAATTTATAAATATTATAGCGACCGTCTTTGTTTTATTATTGGAAATATGTGCTTAATCATAAAAACATATCTTATGTAAAGACAACAAACATTGGTAAATACCATGATTTTTTAAAAAAGGGATTATTCATATATCAATAAATAATGTTTATTTACATTTTCCCGATTGTATAAAGAACTCCAGAGAAAAACCCTTTAGAAAGTCAATTGCACATATAATATAAATATTCCTTACCTATTATGATAGCAGATATTGTTAGAAAAGTTGTCGGAGTTTTGAAAAAGACCAAGCCAAAAATAGAGACTGGTAGCTAAAATAGTTAAACATTTCATAGGTTTAAATTTAATTTGTACCTTATTTAGTGCACCAATCATACTAAAGAATTAGGTTAGAATTTATGGAGTAAAATATATTAAAAATACCTATAAGTTGTTGATGATGTTGCCCTAATACACCATAAAGAAGTATAAGCTATTCCTGCAGAAAAAACTCCCGATAGTAGTATTGCAACAACGGGTTCAAAAATTTTCCCATAACTAATATGGAAGTTAATTTTTAATGTCAATATAGAATTTTAAAATACGTATTACGTAAAATATTTTCTTTACTCCAGTCATCTATTATCAAAGTGCAGATAATTAGAAATGGAATTCCTAACAAATCGTTGTAAAACATTGCTAAGAGATATTTCAGGAAAACAGAAACATTATAAAAAAACTATACCATCAAAATCCGTAAAATGACCTGATTTAATTCTTTTTCGTGTTCCTAAAACATACGCTGAGCTACAGAAACAGTTTGTGATCATCCAAATATATCCAGAGGATATTAATTGGCTATTTTTTTGAGAGGCTGATTTATTTATCCATAAAGATGATAGTAAAAAATATAAATCTTCCCATGCTACAATAAGAGAAGATAAAACCATCATGAAAAAGGATAATAAAATGAGCTTGGAGACTGTGCCACCCATCAAAAATACTTCTCCATATGCCTTGGAATGTAAGTTATAGGTCAACCGAATTTAGTAGTAACAGTTAAAATGATTGTTAAATTTTTAAAAATGGTGTAAATTGGAATTGAAAGAAACTGGAGCCTATTTTTAATTAGCTTTCTAAAAAAATACTTTAATGCATTTATTGCACATATACAAGGTACTGACGCTTTACTGCTTGTATAAATCATACTAACAAGTAAGAATGATATAGGGAACCCTTAATATGGTTTAAAACAAGTTTTAAATAGATATGTATATACATTGTCTTGCTACTGAAAAACTGAATTTCGATAAAGAAATAATCTTAAAAATGCTACAAGTCTGAAGAATCGCTATGGATATTAACAACTATAAAACGACTTAGTTATTACAATATATGGCATAATATATATTGTTTTTGAATTAAACGTACCTGTATTGCCAATATGAAAAAATTAAGATTAAATCCATATTTTATAATAACATATTTGTTTATAATTGTCATCTAAAAAGGGTCATTTTTTGTTAAAACGAATGAAAAAAAAACAAGAATTGAAACTATACAGTAACTTAAAACCGATAATACACGAGAACTATATGTTTTTATAAGCTTTTTTCAAAAAATTCTCTGTTTTACCAAGAAATTTTCTTAAAAATATCATTTTTTAACATTTTTTAACGTCGTAACACCTGTTTAACTTATTAATTAATAGTTAATTAACGTTTGAAAGCATGTTATTTTTAAAATAAAAAATGTTCATTTTTTTTAAAAAAATATTTAAAATAAGAATTTTTTTTCTTTAAAAATTACTAAAATATTTCTATGAATATTCAATATATCTTATTTTATTACTTAGAAATAAAATAAGTTTAGAGTATTTAATAAATCTTTTTATATAAATATGCTTATATTTATACATTTTTGTTTAATTTATAGACTTATAGTTTTTAGATTGTTACTTAACGGTCCTCAGTTAATTTCATGAAATGCTTTTTTTTAAAAGAATTTTGTAAAAAAAGATAATGAAAAGCCTAAATTCTATTAATATTAGTTTCTACATAAATAGAAAGGCTTTATTTACTAGATTTCTTTTTCAGCGGCGTTTTTTGACTAATATTGAAGGAATACGAACATTTGACGTAGTAGTAATTGGTGGTGGCCATGCAGGTTGTGAAGCTGCATGTGCTGTTGCTAGAAGTGGATTAAATACAGTTATTTTGACACAAAGTATTAATAAAATTGGTTTTTTTTCCTTTTGAAATCTTTATTTCTTCTAATATTTCAAATAGGTGAAACATCATGCAACCCAGCATTTGGAGGCATTGGTAAAGGAATTTTGGTTCGAGAAATTGATGCTTTAGATGGTCTTTGTGGTCGCATTTCTGGTCTGTATTTCTATGGAGAAGTTTGCATTTTAATATATAAAGATCTTTCTGGTATTCAATTTAAAGTACTTAATCGATCAAAAGGACCAGCAGTTTGGGTTTGTAATTCTCTATATGTATTTAAATTTGTTTATTTTCAAGGGTCCTAGGGTTCAAATTGATCGTCAGCTTTATAAAAAATATATGCAAGAAGCATTGATTGCTTATAAAAATTTGATATTGTTGGAAGGAACTGCAGTAGATATTTTAGTTGATCCATTTTCTGAACATGAGGATATTCATTCTATGAGCAAATTTCGTGTTTCAGGTGTTGTTATTGGTTATTACATGTTATTTTATGGATTAATTTTAATAATAATTAGATTCAGGTGAAAAGATATTAACTAATCATGTCATTATAACTACTGGAACATTTTTAAATGGAGAAGTGCATATTGGTAGGTTTTTCTAACATTTTTTCTCTTATTTAACATGTTTAGGTTCAAAAACATTTCCATCAGGGAGGATTGGAGAGCCTGCAACTTTTCGTATTAGTGATTTTTTAAAAAAAAAAGGATTTCATTTAGGACGCTTGAAAACAGGGACTCCACCAAGACTTGACAAAAGAACTATTAATTACAAGCATTTAACTCCTCAATTAGGTGATGAGCCACCTGTTCCTTTTAGCTATTTGCATTCTTCGGATATTGTTAAAAACTATATTTTATGTTATTCTACTTATACTACTGAAGAAACTCACAAAATTGTAAAGGATAATTTACAAACATCAATTCATGTGCAAAATGATGTTAAAGGACCAAGATATTGTCCTTCGATAGAATTAAAAGTTATACGTTTTCCTTCTCGTAATCATCATATATGGTTAGAACCAGAAGGCATAGATAGTCATATAATTTATCCAAATGGGATAAGTGTTAGTCTTCCTGAAGAGATTCAACTTAAAATGTTAAAAAGTATTCCTGGACTTGAGAATGTGACAATGTTAAGACCAGGTTATGGGGTCGAATATGATTATGTAGATCCTAGAGAGCTTTATCCAACTCTTGAAACAAAACGTATTAAAGGATTATGGCTTGCAGGACAAATAAATGGAACAACAGGATATGAAGAAGCAGCTTCTCAGGTATTTAAAGCAAAAAAGAAGATAAAAAATATTTCTAAATATATTATAGGGCTTGTTAGCAGGTATTAATGCAAGTTTGTCTGGAAGAAATCTCCCTCAAATTACTATTTCTCGAAGTTCAGCATATATAGGTGTGCTTGTTGATGATCTTGTAAATAAGGGTGTAGAAGAACCTTACAGGATCTTCACGTCACGAAGTGAATATAGACTTAGTGTTAGGTCAGATAATGCAGATCTTAGATTAACTGATCTTGGTCAAAAATGGGGTATAATTTCTAAAAATAGATGGGAGCAATTTATGAAAGATCGTAAACTTTTAACAGATGCTAAAGCTGCATTAGAAGGGCTAGTTTTATCCCCTCATGAATGGAAATCTCATAATATATATGTTAATGCTGATGGAATTAAAAGAAGGTAGAAATTAATATTAAAATTACTTTTTTTAAATTTAATTAGTGCAATGCAACTTTTATCTTATCCAAACATTACAGTAGACACTTTTCTTGATTTTATACCAATGTTGCATGACTTGCCTCCTAATCTTCGTTCTCGCTTAAATATAGAAAGTATTTTTCTATTATTTTTTCATTAATTAAAAATTTAGGTATTTATTCTGAATATGTAACTCGACAAGAATCTGCAAACCGATTCCTTCTTTTAAAAGACGAAGAATACATTTTTCCTCCTGATATAAATTATAATACGTATCATATATTATTCATTAAATAATGGTCTTATTGTTTTTAGATTAAAAAGCTTATCATCGGAAGAGAAAGAATTATTGAATTTTATACGTCCACAGTCTCTTGCACAGGCCAAAAGAATTCAAGGTATTACGCCATCAACTCAATTAGTACTTTTAAAGTATCTTATGCAAAATAAAAAAAGAGATAAAAAACATGAATCATACGATACTTTATGAAAATTACAATTTAAAGTTAATATACATCAGTTAGAATTAATGCATTTTTCATTTATATCACTGGTATCATCCAAAAAAAATATTGTACATATTTGACTTAAATAATACATCCATATACAGTTAAAATAGTTTTAACATCACTTGGCATTGTGTTAATAATCTGAAAAAACTAAACAAGATTAAAAATATTATATGAGAATTCAGATTATACTTTTCCCCCATTTATCGAATTTCCTTTTACTAATTCTTCTACAAGAAATGCTTTTGGATCTTTAATGGATATACATGGATCTTGTTTAACTTTTATAGAAAATGCTAAAGGAGAAAAACTTGTTTGAAAACTAATATCTTCCAGATCTATTTCGATCACCTCGTCGTTTTTTACGATTTCAAATGATAATTCAAGAAGTTTTAGAATAGCCATTAATGTAGAGGACCTTTTTCGTTAAAAACAAATATAAAGTATTATTCTATATTACCAGAGTGAAGAGTTTTTTGTTTCTTGCAATACAATACTTCTGCAAAGCATTTTAGTCATACCAATAGCACATACTTTACGATCTATAGGTGCTTTAACCTTTTGTACCTCGGGTAAACAAAACATCATAAATATTTGTTCAAATAATCTAAATATGTTACTACACTTTAAAAATAATTTCATTTTCAAACCCTTGCTGTATATTATTAATAATATTTACAAGATAATCTGGACCACATTTATCAATTGCAGATAAAAAGAAAATCAATTGAATAAAACATTGAACAAATTTATCAGTCCTAGACTGATTAAGTCGTGTTAAAAGGAGCAAAAATATCTGTTTAGTATAAGGCTCTATGGCAGTCCTAAATGCAATTTAATGAAAACAATACAAATGTATCTTATAGTTTACGTTGGAAGATGAAAAAAAATAGTTTCTAAAAGTTGAAATCCATAGTGATCATCAAGTCGAGATGAATTTAATTTTTGAAAAATTCCAAGAATTTGCTCTAAATAATTACTATTTATAACAAAAGTTGGACTCTGAAATATAATAGCTTGTAAAAAACGAACTAAAGCTGGAATATTTCCTTTTTTAAATATTAGAACATTAAAAAATACAATTAAATCTTACCTTTAAAATCCCAAAGTGATGCCGACAAAATAGGCGGAACAAGCAATTTATATGTATCGGGTAAATCCGAATTATGATATTCAAGAAGTTGTGCTAATATTTGAAATATATATGGAATAAATTCTAACACAATAATAAGAAAAAGTTAAAAAACTATTTAAAATACCTGTTACATCATTTTGAAGAACTAGTTGAAATGATGGAAATAATCGATTTTCTAAATGCAATAAAATTTCCCTTGAATGAGAAGCTACATATCTAAAAAGCTCTAGTTTAAATTATAAGAATATATTAAAAACAATACTTTATTAAGGCTGCCAATGACTCAAAAACATAATGGTTAAATTTCGGATTAGAAGGATTTTTACTTATTTCTACAATGATATTTAGTAAATAAGAAGATACTATGTCTAACAATGGAACTATTCCATCCTTAGTAGTAGCAATAACTCTCATTATGCCTTAAAATTAGAAAAAGTTATTAAAAACATGAAATACCAACATTTCATTAAAAAATCATTTTCAGACAATTTTTCTGGTGTTGATGCTTTTTCGATTAGTTTAAAAAGATTTTCTAGCAATTCTTTAGAAAGTATAATTATGTCCATTTTTTCAATAAGAACGTTGTCCTTCTTATTAAGATTTAAAATAGCCTCAATTGTAATTGCTGCATATGTATATACTGCATAATTTGGAAAACTAAGATGATTTACAAGTAATGGAAGACATCCTAGAATTTGATTTTTTTGCAACTAATTTTAATAAATATACTTTAAAAGATATAGTAGCTAGAAAAAATACTTGATTTCTAAAAATATAAATAAATTTTATAAGAACCATTCTTAACATAGCATGAATTTCCTCGAAAGAAATACTAAGATCTTGGATAATGTTTTGAGAAAAAAAATCAGCAATATTCACTATTGAACAAATAGATGTTGCACCCAACTTATATATTATTAAAAAAAAGACAATATTTGCGCATTACCTTATTTACAGTGCCTTTTATTGCAATTGAAAAAAAAAGATATATAGCTGTATTTTTTGCTTGCCAGTTTTTCTTTTTATCTTTTTGAAATTCCTAAAATAATTAAAAAAAATATATTAACATTTTTCCTACAATTAAATAATGATTTATGTAATTTGAAACAATAGGAACAACATCAGATTCAAATTGTTCTATTAACCCTCGAACTAAATTAGTTATAGCCTTTCTTCTTGTATTAACATCAAGCTCTTCAAGATCTCGTCTAATAAATTCTACTGGATCATCCTCAAAAAGTTCTTTATCAAATTCTGTAAAACAGATTATTATATATATATATATATATTACTTAAGAATTTCCAAACCTTGAGAAGAAATGTTAGGCAAAATTATATTTTCAATAAGTTGTTGAAGAACATCCTGTGATCTAAAAAGATAAGAATATCTATGTATTTTCAGTACAGACGTTAAGAATGCCAAGATTTTTTCTGCAAGCTAATACGGATTAAACTAATTTCAATAAAGAAAAGCTAATCTACAATATCATTTTTTTTCTCAAAACTTATATTGGCTAATAAGTTCCATGATGTATTTACGAAATCTGGTAACATTGAAAACGCATCTTCATAGCGCTGTGTATATAATTCTATGATTTCACAAATATTAGATTTGACTTTTTCCAATGGACCTTCCGTATCATGCTCCTAAAGATAAATATAAAATATAAAATAGTGATATCTTTATCCAACCTTGAAAACCAACAATGGATTTGTGTAATTTAAATATTTATGCAACAAACCCATACATTGTTCTATATTATCTTCAAAAAAAGGCGGTAAATCTTGACAATTAAGATCGTAAAATAATTCTGTACATAAAACCATATTTCTAAAAAGGAGATGCAATGCTTCTTTATTTTCGGAATTCTGCATAATTAACTCGTCCAATCTCTAATAATCCTGTTAACCACTATGCAATTTGAAAAAGATGTTTACCTGAAAAAGATTCATATACGGAACACAAATTTTCTCAAGAACATATATGATTTCACTATATAAAGCATCACTTCGAAACTGTGATCTCCATCTTTTAAAAATAGAATGTGCTGTTTGCAGTATTCCCATATTAACAACCATATCTGTGGATGATAGATGAAACACAAGATCCTAAAGCAATCAATACAAGAGAATAATTTTTTAAAAAAATAACATCAATAAGCGTGCTCCAAGACGCTGGAAAATCCCTTTCTGCAATGATGCTAATACATTCTCCGAGTTGTAATTGCAAAATAGAAGGAATAGATATCATCAATGAAACTATTTCTTTTTTGATTACGACCCGGTCTTTTTCCGATATCTTTACATTCCCTTCTTCATCCTACGCTATTTTAGATGTATTTCATGCAGAAAAAACACCTTGCATTCCAGTTTTTCCGTATAAAGTTCTTGAAAAGAAGAGCAGCCGCTTGACGCGTCGGTACATCCGTTTCATTCGATGCTATGATTTTCAACAAAGATCCCACAAACCCCTCTTTCGATTCTTCAATCTGCAAAGCCTGTTCTGCTAATCCTGTCTCAGATCCTTTCTTTTTTCTGCTTTTTTCTTCCTCACCTTGTTTTGCAGATATCGGGTTAAAACTTTCACGAAGAATCCCAATAATATGTGAGAATGAATCTATTACTATCATCTGAGACTCTTTGGACTATTTCTATCCTCTTTTCTCCTTCTTTTTTCACAAAAAACTCTTGATCTATACGGCCTACTTTTTTTTGACGTTGATGCGTTCCCCGTCAACGCGCTTTTATCTTCACGAGCACCCTTAATTACTGACCCTAATAGCTGTTTATCGATTATTCCTATTAACTATACAGATTAACTCATAAATATGCACCTAAATGCATGAATGAACGTATGAATGCTGAAGCCCGTCCTTTATTTTCAGGAAAAGGCTCTAGATTATTCAGTACATTTCGAAATTTGGGTCGACCAAAGAAATCATTACTTAATGTGCCAGAAAGTCCATTAAGTATATATTCTTTACATGATATTGGTGTTTTAGTTTACACATTGAGATCTAGCCACATCCGTGAAGAAGTTATTCAAGCAGCAGAGTGTTTGAGCCAAGCTCTGGGGCAAATTGTTGTAATTAATGCAGCGGAAATATGGATGGCTGGGAAAGCTCTTATATCGGGGGAAAATGATCTAGAAATGCGCCGGTCAGGGTTTTTATTGATGGCAGCGTGTATTAAAGCACAGGCAGAGCTGAGTGCAGTAGATCGGTATATGTTTTACCAGGATATTCGGCAACACCATGTGAATGAAGATTTTGCTATGTGTTTGGACATTATGGGTGTATTGACGAATGATGGGCGGGACATTACTGCAATGGAGTCTGATATTATGCGTTTATTATCTTCATGGCTTTATTTGTGTTTTAAAAATGCAGAAAACAATCGCTCGAAAAAATACCCTTTATCTTCTCCTTTGTATGGCGATTTGTCTTATGAGCAGCTTCTTGGGACTTTATTTTGCTTAGTAAGGAATATTGTTAAGTTTCATTATTCAGTGTTTGAAGAAACCGATATGGTTATGTTAATTAATGATGTAATTTGGATTGGCAAAAAAACAACCCATAAAGATGATATTAAGGATGTTATTCAATTTTTAGATATTGTTGTCCGTTTTGGATGTATTCCTATTCCTGCTTTGGCTAATTGTATTGAAATTCTTTGCAGTACTAATATTGGTGTTTTAGAATTTTCGAATATTTCTTGGAATATCATGAAAAATTTATTGAAAAGTCATATAGCACATAATGTAGTTTTGTCTCTGAAAAAGTTTCTTGAAACGAAAAGTAAATTACATGTAAACGTTATTGTAGGTGCTGCACGGTTTTTGTCTTGGATTTTAACTACGGATGAACAAAATATACTCCCTTCAATTCCTCAAGGAATGATTATGGAAACATACAAATCAGCGCTTTCTTTAAATATCCCTCTGGTTGATCTTGAAATTTTAAAAGCTATAAGAGATTTTATTAGTTGTAAAGATGCTTTAATACAAATAAAATACGATGATTGGGATTTGCCACTTGAAATATTATCTTCTTGCTCAAAATATTTGCAGTACTCTACTACTCAAACGAAACTTTTAGAGACATGTGATTATGAGCTTAGTAATGATATATATACATCATTGTTTCAGGTTACAAATCAAATTCTTCATTTGTTACAAAATTCTTATAATAACTCTTGTTATTCTGGTCCAAAGAGGAAATTAATTCACTATTTTTCTCAAATACATGCTTATTTACCAGAATCAACGTGTATGCTTTTATTAGACTATTATTCTATTCATCATTTGTGCAATCAGGATTGTGAGAAATGGTTAGACAATTCTATATTTATTGGGCATTCATTTTTTAAGTCATCATGTCATACAACAAAAATTAAAATAAAAGCGCTTAATCTTATAAAAAATGTTGCAGCTGTAGAAAATTCTTCTTTACCTTATAAGCTTGTGAATGATGTTTTGTTACCGCTTTTTGAAAATCTTTTCGAGGAACAAGATCAAGTTGTTATTTTAGAATGTATTAAAATATTAGTAGAAATAGCATGTGATGGAAGTGATTCTTTTTTTAATGAAACAGTTAAAATTCTAGAAAAGTGTTCACTTCTTACTTTTCATCAGATAGAGAAGCTTAACTTTCTTTCTTTACAGAATTCTAGAGACAATTTTTTTACGTTAGTATCAGGTGAAAATATAATTTTTAAAGATGAAAAAGAGATGGTAGCATTAGCCTCTACTAAAGGACTGATTACTCTTCTTCTTTACTATTTGCGTATAGGAGATAATGCGAAATTTATTCAATTATATAAAATAATTCTGTCTATCGTATCAAATCTCGAAGGTAATTCTGATGCTAGAATAGCAGCTTTGCAAATATTAGTACGAGTTCGTGCTGATAGTTCTCATTTTATTTATTTAGCATCAAATATTGGTAATTTACCTTTGGCACATGATTTTAAGCGAAATGAAAAACTCAAGTCTTCTGATTCATCTGAAATATTTGATAAAGAATTATCACTTGAGCAAAAAGCAGATTTAAATACAGAAAAGTCTTTTCAAAAAGATTCTACAAATGATAATATTAAACTAAATAAACGCACATATCATGTTTTATGGACTATACCTGAGAAGTTACATGTTGAGATCTTACCTATTCATGAATTCGTTACTTGTTTAAGGTCATATAGTATTGATAAATTAGCATTTGAGAATGTGCTAGAACATAATTGTGAAATTGATCAAATTTTACCGATATCTGCATGGTTGAAAGTTATACTAAATATTTTAAAAAATGAAAAAGATTGGGAAATTTATTTATATGTTCTGGTCCATATTAGTGCTCAATTAAGAAATAAACATTTGTTTTGCGGCTCTGTTCATGAAATTAGGGAATTAAGAACATTGATAGTTGACCAATTATTTAATAATGTTTTAGCTCCAGTGGTTTTACCAGATAATTTGCGAAAAACAGATGTTATGGTTGCTTTAATTGACATACTTACTGTTTTGATTTCTTATCATAGTAAATATACAAAAAATGAGGAAGATGAGATTGTAGCTTCTTTTCAAATGGGTTTGCAAAAATGGTCACATACTGCAAAATCATGTATTCATGCTCTTACTATTTGCTGTCATGAACTTCCTGTATCAATGAGTAAATTGCTATCTGGAATTTTAGTAAAACTTTCTCAACTAATAACGTCTTCAACTGTAAGTATTCACATACTTGAATTTTTATCATCTTTAGCAAAATTACCAAATGTTTATGCAAATTTTACAGAAGCTGATTTTCGGAGAGTTTTCGGTATTGCTTTACAGTATATTCAACATAGTAATGCATTTACAAAATCTCAACTTTCAGATCGTCTTGAGAATGCTAAAGATCTTGGTCAAACTAATATATCTAATATACAAATGTCTCAATATGTCCTGATTTTAGCATATAATATAATATCTATATGGTTTTTAGCTTTGAAGCTCTCAGAGAGACGAAAGTATGTTGCATGGATTATTAGGGGACTTTTACTTGCTAATCCATTAAAAAATGGGTTAGATGAGCAAAGTCAAACTTGTTATGATATGCTTTTGAGGTTTTCTTATTCTAATGCAGATATTAAAGGTTGTTTAACTAATTATACACCTGATCCTTCTTCTGTTTCAAAAACATGGCTTTATGGAAATTCTTTTGTGACGATTGATACTGCAAATTCTTCTGATTTAATAGAATTGACAATACGGAAATCAGTAAGTTTATTTAGTCATTAGAATTCTGTTCCTTAAACTAATAGTCAGGCACCGTTCATTTTTCCTGTCAAGCAAGGGAGTTTATGAATAACGAAATTGGTACAGATAACTCAGACGCAATTCAGGATTTATTTGTTGAAGATTCTGAATTTCAAAAACTACCATTAAAACCATTTTCTTTAGAATCTTCTTTATTTCTTCCTAGCTACATTTTACTTCAATTATCAGTTTTTCCTGAGCTTTTGGAACAATCTAAACCATATCTTTTGGCAGATAATGAGTTTACTAAACGAACATTATCGGTTTTTGATCGAATACCTGTTGTTGATTTTCATAAAATTGGAGTCGTTTATGTTGCACCAGGACAAAGTACAGAATTGGAAATTCTTGCTAATACCTGTGGATCAAAAGAATATTTGAATTTTATAGAAGGCCTTGGTGATTTGACACGTTTAAAAGGAAATAAAACTATTTATACTGGTGGTTTGGATTCTGAAAATGATCACGATGGTGAATTTGCGTATTTTTGGAAGGATAAAATTACTCAAATTATTTATCATTGTTGTACATTAATGCCTACAAATTTAAAAACAGATCCAAATTGTACTTTAAAAAAGCGACATATTGGAAATGATTTTGTTAATATTATTTTTAATGACTCAGGATCTCCATATATTTTTGATACAATTCCTGGTCAATTCAATTTCATAAATATTGTTATATCACGGAATTCAAGATACAATTATGACATACTATCATGTAATGAGCCCTTATCCGATGTATATTTTTTGGTAGAATTGCAACATAAAACAGGAGTGTCAGAAATTATTTCTTTAAAGGAAACTATGATGATTTCTGCTAAAGCTCTTCCAATTTTTGTACGTAATCTTGCTTTGCATGTTAGTACTTTTTCGCAGATATATCATCAAATAGATTGTGAATATATAACGAATTGGAGAGAACGTCTTCGTCATATTCTTCGTGTTAAAACAAGATTGCAGTTATCAGATTCTACATTAGAACAATCGAATAGCTTATCTACAACTCATCAATGGACTTCAAATTCTAATGGTTTAAAATTATTAAATCTTGATAATGTAAATGATAATATAACTTATTTAGAAAAAGCACTTGACTTCACATTGTTTTCTTAAATCCTATATATTGGATATCTAGGCTTTATTTTTAATTTCATAATGCTATATTTTGCAAAGACCATGAAGTATAATTTATATTGTGTAACATAAATTATTTTTAAGGTGTATTAAATACATATATGCATCTTTTTACAATAGTAGTATATTTATATACAGTAATTGTAAATAAACATTAGCTTAAAATGTGACAATAAACTTGAAGAGTATAGAACTAATATAAATAAATGCCTAATTTTGAAAAATGCGTTTTCGTTAATTATTAAAAACCCCGATAAATATTTTATCAAAAACAACATTTAGTTTTAAACCAAATATTAAGTTTCTGCAACAGCTTCGTTATCCTGTACAAACTGATTATTAGAAAGAGTTATAAGCCGTTCAACTATTTAATATTTAGTTTTTTCGCTTAATATACAATAAGAGTTTACTATTTGAACTTAATGCTTTTCCATGAACATTTTTTTTTAGAAACTGAAGGTGAGGCTTTATTTCGGAAATAAGTTTATTACGCTGATCATCACATGCAACATCTAATGCTTTCTATGCAAAGTTAATAAAAAAGGATGTTTTTTTTTGAAATATGATACTTTGATAACATAATTGGCGTACTGGTCTTTAATCATTGGCAAGAGAAAAGACATTCTAAAATAATTGGTTTTTTTCTATAAATAACCTGATTGACTTACCCATTTTCGTTGCTTTCTATGATTTCATCAATTAATAACTTTTTTTCTTCATCTGTTCCATATGTTATACATTTTTCCACTACATTAGAAGCAAATTTATGCTTGGAAAATCGAAAAACATTTCCCTTTACTACAGATATAATTTTAGAACGATCTTCTGGTTCACCTTTTTCAATTATATGTTGTATACAATAATTTCCATATTGATCTCGAATCAAGTTTTGTGCGTATAAATGAAGTTCTTTTATAAGATCACGAGTTTGTGAACAATATTCAAGCATACGCTGTATTACTCTACAACCATATGGATGTGTAGCTAAAACATATATTTGACCCTGAAAAGTGTTTATAAGAAACTGTATATGTTCTATAGGCACTTTTTCAATAATTTTTTGAATGACATGATTGCCGTTTTGATTTTTAATACATTTTAATACATTACCATTTAATTCTTTTACTAAACTAATTTTTTGATCGATTTGAATGTATTCAAGTGCCTTTAAATATATATTAAATTCAAATACTAAAATAAAATATAAATACCTTTTGAACCACGCGACAGCCATATGTTTGTAAAGAAAGAGTTAAAACATGTCCTTTCATTTGTTCGAGTAAAAGTGTTTTTTGCATTTGATCACCGTGTTCCATAAATTTCTGAATAACATAATTTCCAAAAACATCTGTCATTAGTTGTAATGAGTTTGGGAAAATTTCCTGAAAAACGATTTCTTTATCTTCTGCACTTGCACCTTCCAAAGCTTGCTGAATAAAACGTGATCCGTGTTGATCTCCACTAAATTCTACAATATGTCCAAATATATCCTGGCAAGAAATTAGATAGTACAGAAATGACTACCTTAATTTACTTTTAATTTATATTTTTTATTTTTATTATTCCGAAATTCATCTAGCAATGGACTTCTTAATACCTGATATTTCTCATTTTGCCGTTTTATTTGACTAGGAAAGTTAGAGTTCAATGATATGGGCCTGGTATATGCTTGTGGAACAAATCTAATAAAACATTAGGAAAGAAATATAATTATAAAAGTGTAATCTACAAAGAACTTTTGTAACAATGCTGAGGACGATGAAGCATATCTTCTGTGTACTTAAAGTATTGTGCTTGTTTTTGATAGTATTTTTCTTTATTAATACCAGACTCATAATGTGCAATTAAAGGTGTTGGATTTTGCAAAATATGTTCTGTAGATATTGTAAAAGGCTGTATATTTATTTTGTTTTTCAACAAATCATTATTTTGAGCTGAATAGCATGGATACACAGATTTTTTTATAGTTTCATGATATTCGATTGGAATATTTTGATTTGAAAATGATTTTTTAAAGAAATTTTTCGAAGTATTTGTATATTCTATATACGGATTGATAATAGGATGAATTGCATTTTCTTTTTGATTTATAGTATAGACTTGATTATAATTTGCCGAATTGAGTATGTTATGTGTATGTCGAGTCGATGTGTAATCTTAATTTGATAAGTTAATAACCTTTTTTAAGAATACTTACAATTTTGTAAAATAGGTTTTTGTGAATCATAATTAACAGAATTTTCACCAATTTGATACGAATACATAAGATTGTCTTTTTGTACTTTATCGTGATTATGCTATTGATTTATTTAGATTTATCAAAAAAATACCTGTCAATTACAATATCAATATGTAGCTCTGAGAGCCCATTTAACGTTGCTTCTTTTGCTTTTTCATATCGTTTTCTTAGTAATACATTAACCTTCGGTGGTACATCCAATGTTTTTTCTTCAACTGCTGAAAATGATGCTTCTGGTCCTTGAATTTTTTCCATATTTTCAACTGACTGATGTATGATATAATCTCTACCCTGCACTGGAAACATCATTTGCCGTTCATACATTGCCTGAGGTTCCATTCCAACCGGCTGATTTACTGTACATGTTTGGTTTTCATTTTTTACTAGTTTTATTGTCTGTGCCATTGCTGCTGCTTGTGCAGATGCTGCTTGGTGATATTGCGCTTGCTGTAATGTTCCGAATGACCAAAATTGATTTAGCCCACCAACTGGATGAGTTGGGTGCATTATAGGTACTTGTATGTTTTGCCATGAGACAGAGCTTGTATCACACAAGTCCTTTTGAAAATTTTGGCGGTGCACGGTGTCTTGCGCATCTTTTTCATGAAGTTTTGACCCTTCTGATGCGTCCATAGCTGCTTGAAATGTTAATGTTAACCTGAATGCCTATGTTTTGGTTCAGAAAGGCTGATCAAAGCCTATAAAGAACTTGCAACTCGACAGGAAGCTTTAGTAGCAAGAATTCGTTTATTTAGACAGTGTGTACACTATTTTTGAAAGCTATATAAATTCTTGGCTTTGTGCCGTACTGCTAGCTACCTGTGCTGGCATTCAGTTTGTACACGTGTATATGTACAAAAGATTCTTTATTTCGGTGGTATCGTAGATGGCCGCCGAAACCAGAAGCTATATCTGTATAAAATTCATGAATCTGTGTCTTTTAATTATACAAAGTGCAACAATCACTTCTTTTTGGAGTCTAAACCGTCTAAATCCTACTTTTTAACCCCGAGATGCCGATATCATGTGAAGCTGGTGTCCGATGGATATACGTTTCCTTCGTAGCTCCATGTAAAAACTCAGCAAATTTGAGTCCAATTAAATCGATGAAGATATATATATAATAGATGTCAAATTGTTTATACTAGATGCCTGTATTTTCATTGTAAAGAAATCAATCCACTATCTAAATTTCAAGAAGATTAAAATATACGAACCTGTATCACGTGACTTGTGTGAATTGTACATGAAAATATCAGTTTGTATTACTATTTCCTGTACATTATATCTACTTCATTATTGCTTTTTATTATTTGGTGTATGCATGCTTTTTTAGTTATATATTTTCATTATATTGCTCTTTATTTTTTATGTTAGTGAATTTTAAATGCGTTTTTGCTGCCTTTAAAATAATTAAAACTATTATATACAATCATACGTTTTGCTTTATTCTTTTATCCTTGAATGTTGAGAGTTACGTATAAATTTGAATCCTTTTCTGTATTGTTCTTGTTTGTATAATATATATAATAATATATATTATTATATATATTATTATTTATAAGATGAAAAATATTTATTGAAAAATATTTATTGCAGCTAGTCCGAGAATAAAACATAACAATACGAAGTCAATTGATAAGAGCTCTACAGCATTTGCCATATATTTTGGCGCAAAGATCTTCCAAACCATAAGATGTCTACGCAAGATTGTTGTAAATAAAATACTGCATGTTGTCATCATAGAGTAGTATAAAATATATGTGAGAATAGTTCGAAAAAGATGATTAAGCATAATGCTGATATTGATTTTTTTTTTCCAAAAACTTAAGAGTGGTAAAGCTATGGTTGTAAAAATACTGGATCCAAATGTGTTTCCTAAAACTAGTGCTGGAGAAAGAGGATATACAATAGTTTTTGATGCTAAAAATGCAGAATCCCATTGAATAGATGACAAAGTTGCTTGGTGCCCAGTTGAAAAAAAATGAAGACGACCTAATAATGCAAATACAATGGTATTGATTTCAAAATTGTTTTCCGTTTGTAATAAATGTAAAAGTTCTAAGTATAAAAGGATTTGACAAAGAAGAAAACAAAAAGAAATTACTCCAAAAGGCTTTTGAAGCATTGTTAAAACAATAAACCAGTTAAGAACAAGAAAAAGATAATTTGATCCGTATATATTTTTAAACTTATGTGTATATGTTCCAAATAAACTGTTTTGCTTTAGAATAGCAAACAGTTTAAATTTCATGTTTCTCATTTTAATACTCAGAGATAAATAAATCCATATGACATGAGCTATGAACAGAGATGTAAACAAGATGATCTTTACTAGAAGAATTTTAAGATCTTTAATTCTTTCATTACTGAAATATTTTAATATATTATAATGCAATAACTCGGAATCAAGTATAGAATGTATTGCTATTAACAACAACTCCGTTTTAAATCCTGTGAATATCCAAAAAGAAATAGGATTTTTATGAGTTTCTAAGTTAGTAAAAAACCGAAATATAATTTGTGGAACAAGGACTAAAAAGAAAAAAACTAATGCTAATGAAAAACTGGATGAGACAGTTGTATTTTCTGAATCATAAAAAGTTGATTGACAGAAAGGCTGTTGCTCTTCTCTACATTGACGTATGGAAGATATTACTCTTGAAATAAAAAATAGTAACAATATATATATAATTGCCAATATGCGATTGTTTTTCCGATGTTTAGAAAAAGCTGCAAGGAAATTAAGAGTATAAATAGATGATATAGTAAATAAAATCATTTTGTCTTCCCATATAATAAAAGAATTTGATGATAATAAAATGCCATGTACAATAATAAAGATAATACTAATCTGTTTTTGAAATGATTTTTGAAATTGAATAAAAAATGTTTTTTTTAGAGAGGAGGCAAAATTTAAAATACTTCCAAGACATATACCAAATAATAGTGAATTTAAAGTGCTTAAAGGTAATAAACGTAATTTAGATAAAAATAAACATATTCCAGAGCTTAATATGCATTTCATGAGAGCATTTAATAGTTTGATTCTTTTTGTTAATAGGTATGCTGAATTTGTATAAAAAAAAAATTGACATAATAAAGTTCCAAATAGAATAATAATTCCCGCTATTATTGTCCAAATATCAAATTTTATCCAGATTTCTCGAAATTTATTAAGTATTGTATGTTGATATGCTATATATTCGAAGAAAACTCCTTTCCAAAATTCTTCATTGTTTTGAAAATTATTTTGAGAAAATTTGTATTCTATATTTTCTAAATTTAAATTCATTTCTTTTTCTTCAAATGCTTCTAAACCATATACATTTTTATAAGATTCAATATATCTTTTTATTTGGTACGTAGTTATTCTTGCTGCTTGTGAATAGTCTTTCCAGTTTAAATTTTTGTTATAAAAAAAAGCTTCCAGAATAGGACTACCTAAGTTATTATACGGAATAGGAATACCCATAAGAAGACAGAATGTTGGCACGAAGTCAAGTTGAGATATACTTGAAATATTTGAAGATAGTTTTGATACTGCTGGATTTTTATTATACATCCAAAAAGCAGATGTTATTTCATTCGAACTATCACCCCCATGATCTCCTTTTATATCCATACCATGATCTCCGAAAACAATTAAAAGCGTATCATTTTGGAGTTTGTCTATAATTTTTCTTATAGTGACATCCATTTCAACTAACTTTCTAGTGGTTTGGTTATGATTGGGCCCATATTTATGTCCAGAGTGATCAAGGCCGAGATAATGGGCAATAAGTATATCCCATTGTGTCCTTCCGGTATCACTAAGGAGCGGAAACAAATGTAAATTTATGTTGTTATCCACTGTATCAAGGTCCCATACGTTAAATGAATCAAACGGATATGTAATATTAGGTTCAAAGTATCCCGGATATAAAGAAACCCATGTATCATCTCCTAAAAATCCAATACGATAGCCTCGTGATTTCAATTGTGCTATAATATTGTCTTCTAAAATAGAAACACCTGCAAAATTGGATCCCGCATCAATGAACGTAGGTAATGTCCCTGTTGTCAGTGCTTTAAGGCGTTGCAAGGTAGTAGTTGGGGGATCAGCGATAAACGGTTTTAAAAATGCATGTTTAGGGTATTTGGTAGCTATTTCATGAAGAATGGTAAATGTATTGTGACAATAAAGTTTTGAGCCTGGAATTTCTTCCGTAAAATCATATCTCAATGCATCAATGACAATGATAATTGCTTTATTGAATGATGAAGGATACCAACAATCGTTTTTTGAAATCTCCTGACTTTTCAAAGTAATTGGATGAACATCACAATTTGATGTTAAATTTAAGGTAGATCTTCTAAGGAGGAAGCCTTGTGTAAAAATGTATAATCCTGAGAAATGCAGAAAAATAAACCATGCAAAAATAATCCAGAATAATAGTAGGTCCCGAATAAATGTTTTTTTATACTTACTAATAAGCACGTTTTTTTCCTGTTTTAGCATTTAATCAATGAAATATGGTTTGAAATCATCTTTTTATATAATATCTTTTACAAAATACATTATATTTTGATTTTAATCTTTTTTTGAAAAAAAGTATATTGTCATTATCAATGAAAGCTCGGTAGCGTTTTGGTTTGCTGAAAGTGCTAAAATATGGATTTATTAAAAAAATATATATTTGCTGTATAATAAACCGAATTGCATAAATAATACTTCATTTTTGAGCTTAAGTATTCTAAAATTATAGATTTTTGAAAAACATATTTCATAAAATATTTTAACTCATTCAGCAAAAGGATTAGATAAAATTTGTCTGTAATCTTATCTGTACTTTTTTGAAGGATGTTGATAAAAATTATAGTTAAAAAGAATACAACAATTACATAATCGCCAGTTACTTTTTTCACATTGAAAACAAATAGATATTAAATTTTCCCAGAAAATTAACAATTGTATGGTATAACGTAAGGGCAATATTAGTTAAAGGATTTGTCCACATGTTCATATTATAATTTATTTTATCAATAATATTTCCGGATATATATTTAACGGTTTTTAGAAAATAAGTTATTGTTATTTAACGCATCCATGTTATTTTTGCAACATGATCTGTTTTTTTTTTAGTAAGTCTTATAAATCCAAGATATCTTAATTCTTCTATACTTTGTATAAATACTGTTTGTAAATACTCTTCCGATTTATGTTTATCATTATCTTGTTTATTTTCAGAGCGTATAGATTGAACGAAAGCAGAAAACCAATCACTGATATTTATAAGAGGTCCTGATTCAAGAAAAAGTCTATAAGAAATACATATTTTAGGTTGACAAGAAATACATATTTTGGATTGAGATGTTTTTATATTGTCATTAGTGGCCTTTTGATCATCTTTACAGTCACATGAAAGATAATGGCTTGGTAGTGATAATGCGGTATCAATGGCTGCTCTTACGCGTGGATGAAATACCTAAACAGTAAGAAAAAAATTAATATAAAGAAAAAAGCATACATCGAGATAGGTCCTGCTATAATTAAAATAATAAAGTTCGTGTAAAGGTAGTGTTATAGGTGATATAAGATATTTTCTAAGAAATTATGAGATTATTTGAATTTAAAAATGCGGAAAATACATTAACGTTTCCCGTAAATATTGATGAAAATGTTCTCTAATATTACAAAACTTTGTTTCAATCACTTTAACATTGGTTTCTGATGCAATTCTAACTGAAGTCTCTGTAGATGTATAAGAATTTATTTCTACAGCATTAAGTTATACGACTAAATAAAAAGTATTTATTTACCACACGCTATAGAATGCATTGGATTATTGCATGTAGATGTTTCTACTATACTAGATATTTCTTTATAAAAGCTTTCAAGATTTGAAAAATGATTATGAATATTTTTGAAAGTTAATGTTTCTTGAATAAAATGCAAAAGAGTAATCATGTCCATTGTTCTAAAAAAAGTAAGTTATTTAAAAAGATTCTCATGAATACTTTATTGGGTCAAGCATTATATCTAAGTTTTCTTGTATATTATTTTCCAAAAGTCTTCCGTAAATCCATGTGAGTGTTTTTTTCCGTACTGAAGATGTATGTTTCTTGTAAATGCTATTCAAAAGCAAGATTGATGAATCAAGTCTTTTATTGTGCTCTTCTATATTCTGAATCATTGAGTTAATTAAATCTCGAAAATAATAATCATCGTTTAATAGTGATTCTACTGAATAAATATTATTCGTTTCAAGAAGAGACTCTGTATATCGTCGGATTGATGGTAAAGAACGTAAACACTCCAAATGATGATGAGAAATTAATTCAGAATGCGCTGAATCACAATAATTTACAATGCTAACTGGATTTGAATAAAAATGCGATAATATAACATACTATCGGTATAATCAGTCGTGAATCGGTATTAATTAAGTGATTTACTTTCATAGCTGATACAAAAGATTCAACTCCATACGAATGTTTTTGATGCATATTTAGCAGGGTATTATAAAGATGTGGACCGAAGCGTAATCGAGGGCGTTGAGATTCAACTAAAAGCTAAACCATTTGTAAGTTACAACCCCGTCCTAATATTTTTTTCAGAACCACCTTTTCTACCGCAATATCAAGTGTATCTTTGGAATGTTTTGTGTCGAAATATTGAATATCGAGTACTTTTAATGACTTTTTTTCAAGCATATCTTGGAACATATGCATAGATGTTGATACATTAATTAATAATAATAAAGGCACACGTTTATGTATCTTTCTTTCATATAATTAGTAACAAATCATTCTGTAATATTATTTACTTCAATACTGCAATAAAATGATTAATAAAATTTCCCATAAAACCTTCAATCTCTTGCAAAAAAAATACCATTTTAAACATGCCTAATTCCCATTTTATTAAATATCCTGTTTTTCTCATATAAAGCAAATCGAACTACTTACTTTGGTCTATAAGCTTGCAGGCGGTCGCTTCTTCATACCATTGTACTAGACATTCCGGGTCATAGTCACAGTACATGGAAAATGCGTCTTTTCGTAATTGTATTTTTGTTCTCCGTAGCGCCATTCTCTCTCCAAATCGTATGCATGTATCTATTATTTGTCTGAAACATATTTTTATGTCTGTTGTTTGGTGTCCATGAAGCCCTACAATAGGGCCGTGTATACAATCTTCTAGTAATTCCGTAATTCGTCTATATAATTCGAAATCTCCTGAAAATTGCGTGCCTACCCCCACACATATTCAGCTAACACCACAAAAAAATGCATATTGAGATTACCCAGGTGCATAATGGCTGTTGAAATCCTTTAACTGTTAGCAGGTTGCTGTATTAATATTATTGCTGTATAACATACTTGTTTTCATTCGACAGACATTCTTTTTGCATGATAAACTCCTGTAATGCATTCATCATTTCAGAATGCATCGTTTCACGAAGAACCTGCACATTAATCTTTGAAAATGCGTTAAACCCGTTTTTGTTCATACATTGGTTTCTTCTTTAAGTGCTTCCCACTCTGAACAGAAACATAAATAGCGATAATCTCTTGCTGTATTCGTTTCTCTGCCATGCATAAGGTTTAGAAACGGATGTATCTCGTTTTTTTTGCTGCTTTTCCGCTTATATTCCCGATTATATGCGCGGCTATTCCGTTTTATATGCGCTGTTTCTTCACTTTCTATATGCTCTTCTGTAATATCTTCTGGGTAAAGTATACTGCATGGCTGAACTCTTGTTAATATCCTTGCTATATAGCATAAAATTTACCTGCATAAACACATCATTATTCATTTTATATCCGTATATGTACTCTGACGCGTGTGGTGCTCCGCCACCGGGTGTACCGCTATTCTGGCAACGTATCACTCATACTGTTTGCTTCTTTTCTATAACTTAAACGAAGCATTTCACGCAGCCCATTGTTTTCTGTTTGCAGTGCCTCAATTACCGGATCTTCTGGTATGTTTGTTGCATATGCCTCTCGGATTAGTGCATTTATTCTATAAAGACCTGCTTGCAGATCCAAATATGACTTTTGCTGTTGCTGCTGCGTCTCTTCTTGTCGTGAAAGCTCTGCACGGTAGTGTTTGTGCAGCTGCAGTGTTCTGCTTGTTGTATCGTGCTACACTATCAGCTGTGCTTTGTTTTACTGTGTATTTACCATGAATGTGCGTATTTTTGTCATGATTTCACTAAGACCTTGTTCATAGGCGTCCAGAAGCTCGTTTAGTGCGTAGTTTTCTCGTTTCAGCGCCTGACACTCTGTCACCAGCTGCATATGTTCCCGTGTATGCTCTTTATCGCTAGAAAACAGTGCTTTGGTCGGAGATCGTATAACCGCTACGAACTCGTTCTGTGCAAATATTAAGTAAATGTGCCAAAATAGTGTCTCTATGCACTCAAAACTGTGTGTATTTGCCTGTATTCTGCATATATGCGTCCTAAAACCGGCATATATGCGTCTTAAATCGGCATATATATGCTCTACTGTGCATATCTGCACGCAGACGTACCTTGAGAATCTCAATCTGATGCTTTAGCACAGTTATGGTTTCTTGGTTTTGTGTTAACTGTGCTACTAGTGTCTCCACAAGCTTATTAACTCTTGTGATATCGTTTGGTGCAGGCAATTCGGCCATTTGCACGTAGCACAGGTGAGTGACTCGGCAAGTCCGATAGCCCGGTTTAGTAATGCATACAACCTGGTTTGGAAGAGATAGAAAGAGAATTTCAGCGCATATATTAAGCATTTTAGCGCATATATGTAAAAGGCTTTGCTATGTGCAATATAATACAGAGGTTTTTACATAATATTTCATTCACTTTGGTTTTTCCTTGGCATTTTTATTTTATATACTAAGCATCCTCGTTTGAATCGACAACAACATTATAAAATCGAAGTTCATAGGTGCCCTTTGTCGTAGAAACCACACGAAGCCAGTCGCGAAGCTGTACTATGTTAAATATTATGATTAGATAATACAATACTTGTTACCTGATGTTTCTTAAGAAACTTTTTTGTTAAATATTTAAGATATCGTCCGGAAAATGAACTATGTGTCACTACTGAGAGCTTCCCCTGGCCTTCTCGTGTAATAACGATGCTGTCACCTAGGCGACCCGTCTGTCCATCAACTTTGATGCGTTCGTGCAAAAATGCTTCAAATGCAGCAGGATCAAAAATCCGGTCGCCTGCTGGACCGGATGCATCTAAAGTGTATTTGCGTGTGGTCTGTTTGGTGCTTTTTTTCAGCTGAACAACTTTCCCTTTGCGCACCATTTTCTTCTACGAAGCCTTTGCGGTCCCCGTTTTTCCTCTTTTCCACTACGCTTTCTCTTGTGTCACGTGACATGACGCGTGTGCCGACGCGTGTTCAGAGCGCGTTTTGCACGTGTACTGCACTTGTACGCGGTACAGACATGCATTGTATGTATAGGATGTATGTTTGACGCGTTATTTTTGTTTTGTTTGTTATTTTTGTTTTTTTCTGCCCGCTCTGTGCACCATAATACTCACGATGCGAGTATTCATATATATATGTGTATGTTTTTGGCTCTGTGCGGGTGCACCAGATGATACACGGGCAACACACAGTGGCATAGGTGTTGACCGGGTTGCTTCACCGGTCGAGATATACACGTATGTCTCTCCAATGCACTGCAGCTCTGAGAATGCTTACTGTGCAGAGAAACACTTCGAACGGTGACACTGCTTACTACGATTGCGGACACCGTACACACGTTTACAAGGTGTGTTTCTTGTTTGGTGCCATTCTAATTTTGCCAGCATCTATACCCAAACATTTTCTTCGCGCACACAGGCTCATCCTGTACTGTCCGGTTCCATCGGGCTTAGAACTCTAAACAATCAAACACATACGGACATGGCTAACTTTGTTTCACAATCTTTGTTCTTTTTTGTTCTTTTTTTTATGTTTTTTTTCTTCTTTTTATTCATATAATACATTTATACATACACCATACATTGTCATAGTACATATATAATTACCTCGGCAACACTCACTCTCTTGGGTAAGCTTTTCGAGCTCGGTATATATACGATGTATATACGGTGTGTACACGATATTTATCGATATTTATAAGTAATTTTTCATTGTTTGCTGTTCATTGTCATTGCTCTGTTTTTTGCTTTTATATGCTTTCTTTTTGCTTTTCCTGCATTATTCTCCACTATTCTGCATAACCGCTCACCCACTGTGTCTCTACACAACCCAAAGTAATTTCCAATCGATGCTTTGTTGCTTAGCAACATCTCATCAAAAAGCTGCACTGTCTGGACGGAAGAGTAAGAAACATTGCGGCAAAATTGTGCAGATTTTTTGAGATTTTGCAGTGTAAATAGGGGAAAAGGAGTGCATATACTCCTAAAAACGCATTTTGGAGTGTATAAAAAGAATGGGATGTTGTTTCTCGTGCACATATGATCCAGAAACCTTGCGGTCAAGAGAAATTGAGGCGTATTTGCGGAGAGATGAAGACCGTATGTGATTTTTCGGGATATATGCGTTGATTTTGACAAGATATGTCTAGAAAATGCACAGGAAGTAAAAGTGTTGTTGCTTGGTAAGCACTGTTTTTGCGTGAATATGGGCCAAATAGAGGGTTATAGGCGCTGGTGAAAGTGGGAAGACGACGATTCTTAAGGTAAAGTGCCTCTGGTTTGGGGGTTTAGGGGCTTTTGTTTATATTTCTTAGCAAATGCGACTAATCCACATGTCGGGCTTTACACAGGAAGAAAGAGAATATTATCGTACAATTGTCTTTTCAAATATGCTTCAGTCGATGCGGCTGATTATTGAGGCAATGGAGGAGTTTGATATTTGTTTTGACCGACCGGAAAATGAAGTAGTGTGATGGTATCGATACTTAGGGTTAATATGGTATATAGCAATATTTGGACTTGCTACTACAAGACCGGGAGATTACAGACCGGGAGAATTTGCCTCCAGAGTATTATCGGCCGTTTATTTCACTGTGGGAAGATGCAGGAGTGACATGTGCAGTTAATCGTGGGAATGAATATGCATTGCACGATAATTGTTTCTAGTAAGGTGGAATGGTAGTTTTAGGATTGGATTAAGGAGTAGTTTTTTCGAAAATATTCATAGATTATTTGATCGGAAATATGTTCCTACGGATCAAGATATTTTACGGTGTCGGTTAAAAACGACGGGTATTACGGAGACGTGTTTCAAGGTGTCAGGATTGATGTATAGGTGTGTATATGTTGTTATTTTTGGGGGGACTGAATGGGACGAGGATGATTGATGTGGGCGGACAGCGGTCTGAGCGAAGAAAATGGATTCACTGTTTCGAAAATGTTACGGCAGTTTTATTTCTTGTGGCTATTTCGGGGTACGATCAATGTTTGACGGAAGACAATGGCGCCGTATGAGGGTTTTCTTGTTTTGCATGGATTTGACGTTAGTGTAGAATCAAATGCAGGAAGCATTGGTTTTGTTTGATTCGATTTGCAATTCTCAATGGTTTATTAATACGTCTATTATACTTTTTTTGAATAAAATCGACCTTTTTAAGGTTAAGCTTCACGTTTCTTTGATTTCAAATTACTTCCCGGACTTCAATAGTGGTAAGTTTCTTTTTTTTGATCTTTGTATATTCATTTTTAGATAACCAAAGTGATTATCGTGCTTCTTGTCTTTTTTTCCGGCAGAAATTCCTGAAACTTAATAGGAATCATCAAAAAACAATTGTACGTAGTGTTCTTTCCTTTTTTCCATCATTTAATCCATTGAGCAGTATACGCATTTTACAAATGCGACGGATACTACCCTTTTAAAGAATGTTATGGTTTCTGTTTCAGACATTATATTTAACCAAAATTTGCAAAACTTGATGCTTTAGCTGTTTAGGGTGATGATTTTGGGTTTTGTATGTTTTTGATCTATTTTTTGATATTATGGAAAGATTGGCGTTTTTACATTTTTTGGATGGATTTACATGATATTTATTTTTTTAATAAAAAGCATCTTTAATTGTAGCCTACGAATAATTATCTACAAATAATTAGATAATGGAAATCATATGAATTCCACATATCGTATCATTGTTTTCGATGGTGTTCACAGCGTTAGCAGCACAAATTGTTTCAATTATAATAGTAATTGTTTAACTTAAATATGACACATGTGTTCTTTACGCTTTAGTATTTTTAAAAAAATTGAAAAATGGATGGAAATCTGTTATTTAAAGAGAAAATATCTATTTTGAATCTGTTTTCGTGTTTTTTGGGTAGTTTTATGTTTATGTTTTCTTATGTTCTTTTTTTCAAGGGATCCTTATGTAAGTTGCTTTTAACTATTCATCGATTAAGAATCTACATTTTAACGTTACGTTAACGAATCATTTTATTTGGAGATAAAAATCTCCAAAAAATATCAGAATAAACATATATATAAACATATATAAAAGGGGCATTCAGTATATATGACTTCTAAAGCATCATCTCCTCTTTTTTTTCCTGAATCTTCATCTTCTATACAGCCTGCAGATGATGCACTTGAGTCGGGAAATACAACTCCTAAAGCATCTCTTCAATTCGGTAATTCTTGCTTTTTTTTTGATTATATTAAGGCTATATGCTTATATTCAACAAGGTGCTTCATCTCCATTGCTTTATACGTCATCTCCACATAAAAAAATGACACCACATCTATCTACTACTTACAGCCAGCAGTCAATAAAGAGTAGTTTTGGAAGTCAACTGTAAGCGTTTTTAGAATTTTATCTATTATTATTGATAAGAAAGATCACATTCAAGTACTCCTCGCATGATACGTCGTGGAGATATTCATCCTCGAAATATTTTATCAACTCCATTTCAACGGATTTCAGGTACACAGGCTAGCTATGCAACATCAGATACAAATACAATGAGTGTATTTGACCCTGTATCTGAAAATACATCTGAAACTGTCCGAGTTATATGGGGGACAAATGTTTCTATTCAAGAGAGCATGAATACATTTAAAACATTTCTTAAACAGTTTAGAAAGAAATATCGAATGGCATTTGATGGAAATACAGTAGTGGACGAAACTGGCGAAGATTTGGTATATGTTAACATGCTAAAACAAGTTATCTCGGTTGTTTTTTTGATCTTCTTACGTTGTATAGATGTATGACTTGGATTTAACTAATTTAAACATTGATGCACGCGATCTTGAATCTTATCCTCCAGCTAAAAAACTTACTTATCAATTGCAAGCGTATCCTCAGGAGATTATACCCATTATGGATCAAACAGTTAAAGAATATATTCTTGATACCTTGATAGATGATCATGCTACTGAAACAGAAATTTCAAAAGTAGAAAATAATATTTATAAAGTAAGACCCTTTGGTCTTTCTAAAACAATAAATATACGGGATTTGAATCCTAATGGTACGAATTTTTGATTGTTTGAGTATCACTAATGATCAAGATATTGATAAATTAGTGAGTATTAAGGGGTTGGTTATTCGTGCTACCCCTATTATTCCAGATATGAAGCAAGGTTTAAATTGTTTGCATGATTTTATTTTTGTTAAATATGTTTAGCATTTTTTCGATGTGATGTTTGTCATCATACGGTAATTGTTGAAATTGATAGAGGCAGAATATCTGAGCCGACTCGCTGTCCTCGTGAAGTTTGTTCTTCTGATAATTCTATGCAAATTGTACATAATAGATCAGAGTTTGCCGATAAACAAGTTATAAGACTTCAAGAAACACCTGGTGATAATGTATTTTTATTTAGGAAATGTTGTAAATTAATAAAAAATAGATGAGGTACCAGATGGACAGACTCCTCATTCTGTTTCTTTATGTGTTTATGATGAATTGGTGGACTTTGCAAAAGCAGGTGATAGGATAAAGGTGACTGGCATTTTTCGTTCTGTTCCTGTTCGTGTAAATTTACGTCAAAGAACTATTAAATCACTCTTCAAAACATATTTTGATGTTGTGCATATCCAGAAAATAGACAGTCGAAGAATTGGAATAGATCCTTCGATTCTTCAAACAGAAATTTCTGAATTTACTTCTACAAATCTTGAAGTTCGCAAATTTCTTGAAGAAGATGAAGCAAAAATAAAAGATTTGGCTAGGAATCCAGATTTATACTCAATTTTGACGAAATCTATAGGTAAAGTGTTAATAAAAATGCTTAATTAATTATGTATAGCACCTAGTATTTATGAAATGGATGATGTTAAAAAAGGAATATTACTTCAGCTTTTTGGCGGTTCAAATAAAGAATTTGTTAAAGGGGGGGCTCCACGGTTTAGAGGTGAAATTAATGTGTTGTTATGTGGAGATCCTTCTACTTCTAAGTCTCAACTTTTGCAAGTATTTAATATAAAAGTATTAAATCGATATTAACTCTTAAAGTACGTTCATAAAATTTCTCCTCGAGGAGTTTATACAAGTGGAAAAGGATGTTCTGCTGTTGGATTAACAGCTTATATTACCCGTGATCAAGACACAAAACAATTGGTCTTAGAAAGGTTTGTGGTAATAAATGTACTTATATTTTTGCTTAATAATCATAGTGGTGCTTTAGTTCTCTCTGATGGTGGTATATGTTGCATTGATGAATTCGATAAAATGTCAGATTCAACAAGATCTGTTTTGCATGAAGTTATGGAACAACAAACTATTTCTATTGCAAAAGCTGGAATAATTACTACCTTAAATGCTCGTACATCTATTTTGGCATCTGCAAATCCTATTGGTAGCAAATATAACCCAGATTTATCTGTTCCTCAAAATATTGATCTTCCTCCTACTTTACTAAGTCGTTTTGATTTAGTATATTTGATTTTGGACAAAATAGATGAATTTAATGACAGACGGCTAGCTCATCACCTTGTTAAAATGTATATGGAGAATCAAGTAGTTGAAAGTAAAACCTCTTTGATTGTATGTTGTTTGCTGTGGCTGCATTTTTTGATATTTTTTAGTCATTTGAGTTACTGACTTTGTACATTTCTTATGCTAAGCAAAATATTCAGCCAGTTTTAAATAAAGAAGCTGCAGATGAATTGGTTAGGGCTTACATTGAAATGAGAAAGCTTGGAGAGGATATTAAAGCATCGGAAAAACGGATTACAGCAACGACTCGGCAGTTGGAAAGTATGATTCGTTTAAGTGAGGCTCATGCAAAAATGAGGTAAATTATTTTACGGAATGCATTATTTTTTTAACTTTTTTGAAAGATTAAGTAATGAAGTTACTTTGCAAGATGTACAAGAGGCTACACGCCTTATGAAGTCTGCTATTAAAGATTATGCTACTGATGCATCTGGGAAAATAGACATGGATCTTATTTATACAGGAGAAGGTGTTGTACAGCGTCGTGCCAAAGGTGATCTAAAGCGGGAATTGTTGAAATTGTTGGAAGAAATGACAGTACATGGCATGTCTGTCAAGTTTGTTGATCTTTTTAAGAAATTCAGTGAGCAGAGTACTATAGATGTTAATTTAAATGAATTTAATGAAGCATTGCGATCTCTTGAGGCTGATGATTATATTCGGATTCTAGGCGAAGGTTCTAAGCGTATTTTACGTAGAGTTTTTTAGTAAAGACTAGCGCAAGGCTAGCTTTTTTGGATATAAGAATATTATAAAGTCAAAATTATGAAAAATAATGATTAAAAAGTACGAGATTTTTTTATTTTCTTGATATTTGCATTAAATGGGTTTTATAAAGAAAAGTAACTAAATTATACGATAAGGACAATAATATATGTATGACAACATTCACTGTTTTTTATCACTTCTGCATATTAGGTTTAAACCCTTTCAAAGTCCCAACTTGATTTAAAAAAAAATTGGTTCGATCGTTATCTTTTACTGCAGACGGCGGCAGGAACGACTTCTTCAGGATAGACAATATATAATTGATACCTGAGGTTGTTGTTCTATTTGATAATGGCATTTTTTACTTTTTTCTCGTCTTTTTTCCGTTTCTTTTGTACGTTTTTGGTGTTTCAGACTTTTGTCAAAGCTTCTGATGTATTAAATCTTAATGAAGAAACATTTAAAGAAACAATACAGGGTAATGGGCTTTTTCTCGTTGAGTTTTTTGCTCCATGGTTAGTTTTGTTTTTTGAGCTTTTTCTACTTTTGTTTTAAAATAGTCTAAAAAATATAGGTGTGGTCACTGCAAAGCCTTGGCACCTGAGTATGAAGTAGCTGCAACAGCATTAAAGGAAAAGGTATATATTTTCTCCTTTTTTCTTTTTATTTGATACAGCTTGTAGGGTATTACTTTGATTCAAGTAGATTGTACAGTGGAAACACGTCTTTGTGAAACGTACGGTGTTACAGGATATCCTACACTTAAGGTGAGTGCATGATATGATTAGTAGGGTAAATTTTGTTGGATAGTATATGTTTTAATGTATTTTTCTTTTTGCCATTGACCCTGCATGGCAGTATTTATTATTCTGGATAATCTTTAGTTTTCTAATTCTTTATAGGTCTTTAAAGATGGTAATCATGCGCCTTACGAAGGACCTCGAAAGGCAGCTTCTATTATTTCTTATATGATTAAGCAGACACTTCCTGTTGTGACTTCTGTGTCTCTAGAAAACTTTGAAGAATTTAAAACATCGGATGAAATAGTTGTTATGGCATTTTTGGATAGTCCAGATAATCCGCTGAATGACCTTTACTTTTCTTTAGCTTCTAAATATCATAATAAATATTCTTTTGGTATATCCTTAGATCCCGAAGTATTTAGAAAAGTTCAAGTAAATGCTCCGGCTGTTTATATGTTTAAAAAGGAGGATGATGTTTATGTTGTGTATCGGGGAGAATACGAATATGGTTTGTTAGAGGATTTCATTAACTCAGAAAGTCTTCCTTTGTTTGGCGAACTTCTTCCTGAAACATATGAAAAATACATTTCCAGTAAAATACCTATAGGTTGCATTTTTGTTTCTTCAGTGGAAGAAAGGAAGACGTTTGAAGCTACGCTTCTCCCGCTTGCTCTTAAATATAAGGGGAAAGTGAGTTTAGTCACAATTGATGCAACTTTATATGGTGGACATGCTGAAAACTTGAATTTGAAACAAACTTGGCCAGCATTTGCTATTCAAGAAACAAAATCAAACAAGAAGTTCCCATTTGATCAGACATTGGAGCTTCATATAGAAAATCTTGATAAGTTTTTGAATGATTATGTTTCTGGTCATCTTGTTCCTACTATTAAGTCAGAGCCGGTACCAGAAACACAAGAGGGCCCTGTATATGTAGTAGTAGCAAACAGCTTTAAAGATGTGGTTCTTGAGACACACAAAGATGTTCTTCTTGAATTTTATGCACCGTGGTATGTTTGATAAGTTAATGAAATGACCTACTAATAATAATGTTAAAGGTGTGGCCATTGTAAAAATTTGGCACCCAAATACGATGATTTAGGTCGTCTTTTTAACTCTAATTCAGAATTAAATAAAAATGTGATAATTGCTAAAATTGATGCTACAGGTTTTATTTGATAATTGTTTTTAACTAATTTTTACATTTTTAGCAAACGATCTTCCGGATAATTTGGAAATCAGAGGGTTTCCTACAATTATGCTTTTTACTGCTAATAATAAAGAAAACCCTATTGAATATAGTGGTCCTCGCACAGTTGAAAGTTTTATTGAGTTTATTCATCAAAGAGGCCATCATAAAGTCAATGCGATGCAATATTATCTTTCTAAACCGCCAACGCAGCAAGAGTCTGGTTCACCAGATACTGGGCCATTAGAACATGATGAGCTGTGATTGAATGGTTTAATTTTTACGAATTCATGTATATCTCTTTATATGTTATATGATATTCATGTATTTGATAAACTATATTTATGTATTTTTATATAATGTCTTTATAATGAAGCTAAATGATTTGTGTTTAATTTATAAAATGCCCTGTTTATGTGCAAAGGTTTTAGAGTATTATCTATGGTTTTTATATTGTTTATTCTAAATTCTTAAATGGTAATATTTCTAGATAATGAAAGACTAATTTGTATATGAATATATGTACTAATTTGAATCAAAAGTGATATATCTGTATCAAAGGAATATCAAAGGAGATATATAAATATTTATCATAAATTAATAAAATGTTTTGAGAAATGTTATTGAGAGATAAAAAAGTATTTTAATTATGCTTTTTCTGAAGATATATCTACTGATTCTTCTATAAATATATTGAGTCTATTTCTGTCATTTTCATAAAATTGATCAAAAGGATTTCCATTATATTCAAAAGAAGGAATACATGGTGATTTCCCAGAATCTAAATAACAAGGGGGCTGTTTAAAGTCGATATAAGATGATTTACTTAGCGAAGTTGGAGAGCTTTTAACACTATAATCCTTGCTATTTATACGCTCACTGTATGGCTGTGCCATGCTATTTTTATTTTTTTCTATTTTAGATGATGCCCAAAGAGAAGATAATGGTAAAGACATTACAACAAACGCTTGAGTCAATGAACTAAATCCGGTTATATCTACCCAGAAATCAATAATAATAAAGATTGCTAAAAGTGTTAAGAGTAAAGGGAAAAAAAGAAAAAAAAAGATACCAGGAATAATTAATGTTTGACAGCTTGTAATAAATATGATTTGCATTGGTCCAAAATCTTTGATACCCATTTTATGTCTACGGTAAATTGCGAAAAATAATTTTGAAACAAAAACTAAACATCCTAAACATACACTAAAAACAAATGAAATACGGGCGGCGGTATATGGCCAAGGTGCACCCCAAATACCACTGCTTCCAAAATGTGTTTGAGACAAAATCGCCATTGAATTTTGAATAGCAGCAATTACCCAAAATAGTATAACTACTGATATTATGACACAAGAAATTATTGTGAGCGGCATTCGTAACTTTCTGTGTGATGCGTAGATTACTCTAATTTGAATAAGAAGAGAAAGCTCAATAAATAAGATGATAAAAATAGGCATGCATGATGCAATAATTGAGACATAGAAATCATTATATGATAACAACTCGAATTCTCCGAGAAATTGAACACTATAGCTTGTCCATGTACCAGTTAAATAAGCACATTGAAGGCATCCTCGTATAAATACAGATATTAGTCCAGCCATGTTTAAAAAGAAAAGAAATGTTTTTGCTTTTTCACGTTTTGATGTTAATAGAAGAATAATTGCTAACAAAGCACTCATTGCACATTGTGCAGAAAATATCATGGATGTTTGTGCTCTAGAAAGAGAAAACATGTCAAAATCTGACAATAAAAATTTGACCTTCTCTCCATGAGAATTCTTAAGAATGACAGTCTGGTTTACTGTAGAAAGAGACATTGCATTCGTATGCTTCAGAGTACTCTTGATTTCTATATGTAAAAAAACGCTTTTTCTTTGTTGCTTTCATAATTGCTTTCTAGATGCTTAATTTTAACTCATTGTCAAAACACTTTTTATTTTTAGCAAAGTGAGGCTAGTTTCCTGCATGTTCTATTACAAGTGTACTTCGCCGCATAAGCTAGATTTAACAATACTTTAATTTTCAAAAGATTACGATTGTTTTTTTCACGCTAACCGGCTGTCCCGCTATTTTCCTTCGATATCTTCTTTATAGAGTATATCATACATAGGTGTTCTAATCGGCGCTGTTCAAATAATTCTAAGCCACCTTATGAGATACTTTTATCTTTGTATCACTTGATATTTTCATAGATTTTCATAGACTTAAACTCTTATTTTTCTTGCCCTTTATTGCCCTTTTTTTCTTATATATTTTTTATCTTGTGGTTGGTAATGTTAATTAAAATTTTATTTGAGACGAAGGATCTTCCTTCCTTTTATATTTTTTTGATAATGTGCGTACCAACATGGTATATCCTTGTTATATATATATATTTCTGTTTTTGTAGATATAAAATATCTTTTTGTAGTGCATATATTTCTGTTTTAGAGTATATATGCACTATGTTTATATATATTTTGTTGTATTTTTGTGTTTTATTGTTTAGAAAACTTAATTATATATATTTTAATACTAAATATATCTGCAGATTCTTAAGGATATCTTTTATAGATCTGTATTTCTGAGTCATGTTATAGAGAAATTTTTCATGTATATGTATTAAGATAATAATTAGATGTATTGAAGTTTCTTATATGCACTAATATATTATTTTTTATATCTAATATATTGTCTTTTATGTATATAGGTTTTCTATGTATATAGATTCTCTATATTTATGTATATACCTAGGTGCCTAGATTGTACGTGACGTACCGAGGTGTAAAATATACACATAGATATACTGAGGATACTTTATAAGGATGTTGTTTAAATGATTTGTTTTTAGAACCTTTTTTTTTCTATTTTTCTGTATCTTTTTATCTTTTCCTCCTGGGCCTGCAGCAGTTGTTCATATAACCGCTTCGTTGCTATCGATTTCTGGTAATTCTTGACGAGCGGAAATAGTTATTTAAAGGTAAAATACTGTCTGAATAGCATAATTCTTAATGAAAACAGGGTTTAACTTTCTTTTTCTTTACAAATCATTTTAATTATTTGTTTTTGTATTTAAATCTGTATTTTTTCTTGTCTATTTTCATTAAGTGCATCGTCTTTACAGCACTGGAGAATTAGACGCCAAAATACACGGATCTAGGATTACTAATGTCACAGCTTGATTCTGAAGCGTCTTCTGTACCTGCAGATGATAGTTCAGTTCCAGATTCGAGTTTAGTAGCACAAAATATTCCTCGTAGACGTACTCATCGACGATCGTCTGCAGTTTCATTGGATTGGAGTTCTATAGGGCTTGCTTCTGATTTGAATGGTGCACCACAGACTGATCCCCTAGTGAATACAGGGGATGTTTGTTCTGTGAGTGATAGTCTTGGTAAGCAAGGATTGGGTAACGATAAAGAGAAGGATAATGAGAGTCATTCTGCTGTGTTTTTGAATAGTAAAAATTCGACAAAGAAGCATCCAAAATTTCACAGTCGTTTTTTGGTAGAGTCTATTTCATCATTGGCACATTTATATTTTGGAGGATTATGTAAAAAGAAAGCATCTAAAAGCACAGTGCCTGTTGCACCAACTACAAAAGAATATGCCCCGTTGCAGGCTTCGTGTTCAATGGCTTGGGAGCCATTGATTGATTTGGATGCAGCTATTTTGACAGAAAAGAGTGATTCCACAGTTTTTGGAACACCAAGATGGCATCGACGTGCACGTAGTGTGTCTTCTGTATTTTCGTCATATACACGTGCTTCTGGAAATTCTCTTCATAGTTCTTGTTACCGTCATGGTTACCCTCTTAAGCGAAAAATGAGTGTGATCATTGAAGATACTGACATGACGTTAACTCAAATTCCTTCATCTTCGAGAAGTGTTTCTAGCGGTATATTAGAGAGCAAGAGAACTATTCTACGGTCTATAGGAGATAGTACAACGACGGACAATGATTTATCTGTCTCCCAAAAGGCTAATATTACTTCTGATAACTCAGTCCCTGATTTAGTGCAGGGTGATCTGCCTCAGGGAGACATGAGTGATGCTTTTCTTTTTATAGGCGATAGTAATACTTTAAAGCCACCTGATAATATTACAGGGAACGATGAACAAAGCTTTGTTAAAAATACAAAGATGAAATCTCGCTGGCGTCAATTACTGAAGCGTCTCTTGACTCGAAAAAATAGTTAATGATATTGCATCTATACTTTTTTATTTACATAATGATATTTTTGTTTTGATTAGGATAATTTTCTAATACTAATACGCTTTGGTCTATATGGGTATTTTTAATTTTTTGTATTGCTCTCATTGGTAACAGAAGTCTTTATGGCGTCTTATTGGAATTTTTAGAAACTATTTCTTTGTTTCTTTTGTCATCTTTAATGATTCTTGGTCACCACATTGACGCGTATCGCGTATTAGATCACGTGATTTATAACTACACGCGATCGAGTTTTTTTGAAGAGACAGACAATTTTAAAAATTATTTTTTTTTTTGAAAAATTGGTAAAAAGACGGGTAACAGGTGGTTTGAGATTTAGAAGAGGGGCTGCTTAAGTTTTGTTTTTAGTAAGTCTTTTTTCTGTTTTATTCTTTTAAATTTGACTAATATAAGTGTTTTAAACTTTGAATAAGATAAAAACATAGGCTAAAGCATGCACTTTCCCTCTGGCATACCTCAGAAAGCTATTTTATTGGAGTGCAAGGCTAAAAAAGATGTGTCTGCGGATTCTTTATTAAAAGATTGCATGTTAAATAGTTATGGAGTAACTGAGTCAGAAAAAACGGATAGTTTTTCGGGATTTGGGGCACTGAAGACACCAGAAGCTTCTCAATCTTCAGAGGATCAAGAGTCGAATCTTTTGGCATCTGCTCTTGATTCTCAGGTAGGGTTGCCTGAGGTGTCTCGTCAAAAACGACGACGACGAAGAACAGCACCACAAGAACTAGCAATATTAGAAGAAGAATATCTTAAGGATGAGAGACCAAACTTGTTGAATCGAGAGAGGATTGCTGCTAAAATCAATAGTATGTCTACAAGTGAAGATAAGATGGGCAGTCGTGAAATTCAGGTGTTTTCTATCATTTATAGGTTTCATATTTGTAATGTTTATTTTAGATTTGGTTTCAAAATAAACGTCAGGCAATGCGTCGTCAAACATCATGTTCCGTTCTGTCCAATGTTCATTTAGGGACTGTTTCTAGTTCGCAGGCGACAAAACAGTCTTGTCATCGGGAGGTTGATGTGCGTTTTCAGCAACACATAGAACATAGAATTTCGTCTTTTAAACGAATACCCAGTCTCCGTTTGTGGACAAACGAAGGAGGCAAAGCACAAGTAATGTTTAATATTTTGCGAGAAAACAAAAATACCTATGGAATATATAAAGATAATGATGGAAAACTTGAGGGCAAATATGCATCGTATTCTATGGGCAAGGAAAATGTGCCACCTGTATCTGAAAAAAATGAAAAAAGTGAGATGGGAGAAGATGAGATGGAAGAATGTGCACGAAGTTTGGTAGGGTTAGCACGGGGATGGTAGTATATACAGCTGAAAATGGCATTGTTGTGTTAATAGGTTTGAAAATAAGAGTAAAAGGGTGTTATTGGGGTGTACATAAGCGCAGTATGTGAAGGTTCATCTGATTTTTTTGACTAAAAAGGCTATATCGATGTGTTAATAATTTGTAATGCTTGTGTATGATAATGGCATAAAGCGTTTATATTTCATCTGTATTATGGGACCATGTATGTGCATTTTCAATTTGCTTAAGCACTTCTTCATATGTTTCCATGTATGTTTCTTTAGCTGTAGATAAGTCTTTGTTTTTTCCCCCAGGAATAATCATGATACAGCTTGTAGGTCTCTGTGTATTGGATGCTTCTCCAAGTGATTCTTTTGATGGAACAAAGACATATGGACATGAATAATCTTCACAAAGTACTGGAAGATGTGAAATTACATCGATAGGAGAAATATCACCAGCTAGTATGACTAATCTGTTTATCTTAGACAACAAGTAAGACTTTAGAGTGTAAAATACCCTTTTTCGCCCCGTTTTAAGGCTTTAACGACTTCTTTGACGCCACGTTGAATATGTTTCACTTGAGATGCTGTTGTGTATAAGACAAATGAAAAAATCCAGGCTAAATATAAACTTTCCTTTTCTAAGAGTTTTAAGGACTCTTTTTCTAAGTTTTTTAGGTGCTAATGGGTTTGCAATAGGCGAGAGTGAATCAATGTAATCATCTGAGTCTGTTTTTTTATGTTTTTTTTCAGAATTATCTACTTTTACTATAAAGAAATGAGGATTTCTTGAAATTTTTTTCTTATTTGAAGGATTAAATGTACCTTTTTTTTCATCTTTTTTTTCTTTCTTACTTTTTCCCATTTGCTATTTTTTGGTGTTTGAAAACTATATGTTACGGACAGACACTAAGTCGGAAAATAAGTGGAAAGTATACTTATATTAAATTCTTAAACAGTGGACTTTTTGAATGTGAATAGTGTATAAAACAGTGTTCTTTTATGTATAAATTTATGCTTTTTATATTTTACAATATATTCTTGTAAATTTCTACACCGTTGCTAGGGAGACCATTTGTTGTGTGTAAACTAATTGTAAAAACAAACTAGGTAAAAGTGTATCAAAAAATTAGATAAAAAGGTTTATTAATTGGGATATTGTTGTCCGATAACATTAATCTTTATTCAAACGAGGAAACATTTTTCGATTGGATAATTTCTTCAAGATGCAGAAACATTTGGTTTCGGGTGAAATGCTTGAGTTTTTGGAGAGTAAAAGATTCCTAGAAAAATTGTATTTAAGTCTGACTCAATAGATCGTATTTATCTAACAACTCTTGATGAAAATCCCAATGGAGAAATTCTTTCTCAATTTCATTTTTTTACAATTGATGATTCTCTTGTTTACAACCCATTTCATCATGATTTTGGACCATTAAATATCGGACATCTTTATCGTTTTTCATTAAAAATGCATGAAATGCTTTCCGTAAAATTATTTATGTTTTTTTAAGTTTAAATGTGATTGACTTGTACATAGGATCCTGTAATTCGAGAAAAACCATTTATCCTATATTCAAAAAATAATAATCGAAACAGAACATGTGCTGCATGTCTTATTGCTTGTTATATGGTATGTATAAAGAAGTGGTAAATTTTTATTTATTTTATGTCTAGGTGCTTATTCAAAATTGGCCACCACATCTTGCTTTAGCACCATTAACTGAAGCTGATCCGCCCTATATGCCTTTTCGAGATGCAGGATATGCACCTGCAGATTATGGAATTTCGATTCAGGACTGTGTATATGGTCTTTGGAAAGCTAAAGAAGCAAATATTTTAAATATAAAGAACCTTGATTTAGAAGAGTCGATTTCTCCTCTTAATATATTTTTTTGACATATATTAGATATGAAACATATGAACGAGTAGAATACGGTGACTTAAATTGGATTACACCTCATTTTATTGCGTTTGCAAGTCCTGTGCAGCCAGGTTATGGTTCCCATGGAAATAAGAAAAGTATCATTACTCCTACTTTTACTAGTGTTTTGGATTATTTCTCTAGTCATCGAGTTGGTTTGGTTATTCGACTAAATAAGCCTTTGTATGATAAAAAGCAGTTTGAAAATTTAGGGTTAGAACATGTTGATATGTTTTTTGAGGATGGAACGTGTCCTGATTTAGAAGTAGTACGTAAGTTTTGCGGTTTAGCTGAAGAAATGTTTGAAAAAGATCGTATGCATACTTAAATATAGAAAGTCTACTAATAGAAAGCAGTTGCTGTAGCAGTACATTGCAAGGCTGGTCTTGGTCGTACTGGGTGCTTAATAGGCGCTTATCTTATTTATAAATACTCTTTTACTGCAAATGAAGTGATTGCATATATGAGAACAATGAGACCAGGTAAAAATAAAAAAGCTGTAAGTCGTTTAGTAAGTGTATGCAAAGGAATGGTCGTAGGTCCACAACAGCACTGGCTTCATATTAATCAACATCATTTTAAAAAATGGTCATCGCAATCTCTTCCACGATGGACAAAAGCAACGAAATTTTCAACACCACCAAGAAGCCCCCTTAGTAATATTAAGAATAATACCGTCGAAAATACGCCCCTTCCTGTGCCTACACCCGGTCAACCACGTAAAAATATAAGTAGTCCAAAACGAACCCGTGTAATTAGTCTTGGAAGTGGTTTACGTGAGGCTTTAACAGAGGTGATAAAGCAAGAAATTCTTGAAATAGACAAAATTCCACAAAAAAATTGTGATGATGATGATGATGATATAATTGATTCTGTAAATTCTGTGGATTGTAAACATAAAGAAATTTTGAAACAAAATAATCCATTTATATCTGTATCTAAAAAGACGATAAATCATGTAGAAAAAAAGAGATCTGTTAGTGCGAGTAATACTGCTGTATTGAATACGATGGGTGTTGTAAATGGAAGAGTAATTAAGAATCGATCTTCAAGAGGAAGAGTGTAATATATTATAAATATCAACTTTGAAAATTCTATATTATTGCATTAGCCATTTCATTGAAAAGTATTGTTAATGATTTTCCTTTTTTAAGTTTATAAAACATGAGGTCGTATTAAATATAAAAATGACAATGTAATATTGTATCTTTTTAAATATTATGAGAGAATAATGATTGTTCCGAATATGCTTAGATTTCTGGATTAATGAATTTAAGATATATTTTTTTATTTTTTAATTGACCAAACCAATGTATTGGATCTTGTTTTCAATGAGATATCAATAAGTTATCTATTTCTTGAATATAAAATCAAAAATAAACACACTATGCCTTAAATTTTATTTCCCAATACGTTTCCGAAGTGCTCTCTGCCTATCCCTGCGTTTCTTAAACTTATGTTTATTCATTTTAAGTCGCCGTTTGCGTTTAACGCTTGTTGCTTGTTTTTCCACACAGGAGTCATTAAATGGTTTTGTAAAAAGAATATTTATATTTTCTATCGGTAAGAAATATGAAAATTTCTCATTTAAATGTTGTATTGGATGCATTGAAACTGGAACATTTAAAGATTGAAACTGTGGTACAATTTTTCCATGTGTTTTAAGTAAACTGTTTAGATAATGCGTTTTATTTGTATCTGTGAAAAATGATGTATGCAATTCGTCTTCAAAAATTTTGTGAGTGCTTGAATTTTTTTTATCCCAATCATTTTGAAGATTATGAAATAATGTCAATGGCCGATGCTGAGACCAAAAAAGAGATACTGCTAAATCTATATAAGAAATATGTATATGTATATTGTGCACCCGTTCATAATAACTCCCCTGGAATACTTCATTTGAGATCCATGGAAATTTGATTCTGTTGCATCCAAGATGCAAGGGTACACGCCACGATATTCCTTGTCGTGCATACCGTATATGCCGTGAAAGTTGGATCAAGCGGCTTTGCCGCATGCTTATCTCAAAGATATGCACTTAACTGTATATATATATTTATGTTTTGATTAGATGTGTCTTAGTTCTGGGCTTTTGCTCAATTAAGTTGCTACACTAAATTTGTCGTATTGTATTTAATTTTAAGCGTTTTGGATGATAATAACTCTTCCCTTCTTACTGTCCGTTAATTTTTCCGTTCTTCTGCATAATCATGCTATATCTTTGTATTAATTATATCACCAATGTATCGATTATATCTATATCAAATCTGCTCTTTTTGCGCACTTTGAACACTAATTTACGCGTCTATAGGCTTTTTTCTCCTATTTAAATACTTTTCTGTAGATATTTTTCCTTAAACTGCCGAATTATATGGATTTTATGTGTTCTTGTATTGTCTTATACGTGTATAATTCTATGTTCGTTTAAAAACTCTGCACACTTCTAACATGCGTTTTAAATCTATTTTTTTCTGATATAAGAGCACACTAATCTAACTGTATGCTAATTTAAATGTATTCTCTGATCCTTTTTAATATTTTTCTAGTTTTTCTTAATCTTTTATTAATTTCTTTTACTTTTCGTTTTTCTTGTGCACCGCACACTCTGTCGATGAATATACGGTTTACACTTGTCGACGGCAATTCTTAATTAACGATAAATTGGTGATATTTTGAAGGTTTAAGCACTTTTTATTGCAAATGACGACTGAACTTTGCCCGGTAATTCTTTTTAAAGCATAGATAAAGCATAGACAAGAAAGCATATGTTCGTTTATGGGTGACAATTTCTGTGTATACGCATGTATGTCAAGTGTACATAGAATAATGTATACGGTGTGGGATATGTGTTGTTTATGGTGTTGCTTTCTTAATTGTCTTTTTTCTGCCTCTTTCTATGTGTTTTTATGTTTTTTTTGCACCAATATTGACTTGCATAGGTATATGCGCCGTTTTTTGGAGTCATTGGATGTGCAGTAGCAATTATTTTTACAAGTTGGTCCCTTTTGTATTTTTGAAACATAAGCACAAGAAGTTCTGGCAAAAGTGTCTAGATCTTTTTTTATTGCTTTTCTGGTAGCTTTATTGTTATTTACTTACAATTTTTAGGTTTTGGTGCTGCTTATGGTACAGCTAAGTCAGGTGTGGGCATTGCTTCAATGGGCGTCTTTCACCCAGAACTTGTTGTTAAAAACACTATTCCTGGTAAGCTTAAATTTTATTGAAAATGCTGAACGAAACGCTGAAAAATGCAAAGCATTATGGAGGTGATGAGTGAAGGATAAAGTTAAGAGAAGCAGTGAATTAAGATTTAGGTGGAATAATAAAGGAACAATAAATTAAGAAAAAATAAAAGATTAGTTTTGAATTAAGTTTGACATTGAATTTAATATTGAAACGGGTTATAGACAAATTTATGGAAAGTGTTGAAAATGCATTGAAATATATTGAAATGTATTAAGAAAGTGCAAAAAAAGATAATGAAAATTTAGTGAAAATACTTTGTATATTATTGGAAATGTTATATAAAGCTCGATTTAGAATTAAGTTTTGAAGCTATATTCTGAACAAAAGTATAGAATAAAGCATCGGATATTAAGTGCTGGATTCTGAATAGAGCAATACATTTCCTGAGGTTTTATGGAATACAGGATTTTTAGTATGCAAGAAATAAGTCTAATGATCTATTAAATATTGGGGTAAACTTTGAAAGCAGCATTAAGTATTGAGTGTTTGGTATTAGTGTTTAGCGTTTATTGACTGTTTTGTTATTATTTTGAAGCTTTTTGGAGCTTAACGATAAGCAATTGCTTAATAATTGTTGTGTAATTGTCTTATGGATATTTTGTTTTATTAACGGTTTACTGCTGCTCTTTCATTCTTTACTGCTTCTTGTTGCTTATTACTCTTTTTTTGTTATTGTTTATGGGTTTATTGCTGTTGCATGTTTTTTCGTTTGTTTCTGGGCGTTTTGAGTGCAGAGCACTGTGATTGTTTAAAGATATTGATTAACATGCTTTTTTAGTGGTAATGGCAGGGATTATTGCAATTTATGGGCTAGTTGTTAGCGTGTTAATTTCGGGCGGTCGTAAGTATGGAATATTAAGTGGGTAGTGGTTTATATGGCAGTCAAGCAGCAGATTTCGCTTTATACAAGCTTTATTCAGCTTGGCGCGGGCCTTGCCGTTGGTTTGTCGGGTCTTGCAGCTGGTTTTGCAATTGGCATTGTTGGTGATGCGGGTGTTAGAGGCACAGCACAGCAGCCTCGACTTTATGTCGGAATGATTCTTATTCTTATTTTTAGCGGTTTGTGGAATAACGAAATAGCACTTTTATTGCGTCATAGTTAATTTGTGTAGAGGTGCTTGGTTTATATGGACTTATTGTTGCACTTTTACTTAACACACGGACTACCGATGCAGTTTGTGGTTAAGTTGGAGGGCTATCACAGTACATGCAGCATTCACAGTATTAATTTGGCTGCATTTGTTTGTACTAACTTCTGCTGACTGTATTTTTCAGCTGATACATAATGATTCTTGGTATAATGTGTCAGTAATATTAATTGCTTTGATCATCATTATGCATATTTTAGCTTTTAATACATTTTTAAAAAAAATAATTTTTAATTATGTATTTAGAATTTTATTCTCATTAATATTTAACTATTGTTTGATTTAGAGTATATTTTTTATATACTCTTCTTTTTTATGTTTCAATATAAATGTATATTTTAAGGATGACAATTTTGTTATGTATGACCAAGATTTAGCAAATAGTTTGCCCCCTGCAGTGTACCTCCATGTTCAAGTCCTGTGTTTTGGCCCGGAAGATATATTACATTTTTAGAATTTGCAAGAACTGCTGCAATTTCTTTGCTTGCTTCGATTCTTCGGATTGAAATTAGTCCATCTCCAGCACGTTGAAGTGCTTTTGACACGGTTTCAGCAGCTTCAGCCTCTCCTTCAGCACGAATAACTGAGGCCTGTCGTTCTTGTTCTGCCTAATTTTGGTTAAGTTAAGAAAGTATGCACTGTGAAAAATACTTTTTCGACTATAAATTTAGCACGCTCTGCGTCCTGTTGTGCAATTTGTTTTTGTTCAACTGCTTTTGTAAATTCTTGACCAAATGTCATATGTGTCTAGGATGTATTAAAGATGAAAAGTATATGGTGAAGCATACGATAGAGACATCCTCAAGCTGAATGCCAAATTCTGATGCACGTTTAACGAGATCCTCTCGAACTTTTGATGAAACAACTTCTCGTTGGGTAATTAGCTCTGCTGCATCGAACTGTGCAACGATTGATTTCAAAACTTCGTTTCCAATTGACGGAAGTACTCGTTCATCATAATCAAGACCTAAAGACTATAAATGTAAAAAGGTCGTAGAAAATTGCTTTTTGGTAACAAACTTGATAGATTTTTGGAAGCTTCGTTACATCTGGACGGTATAATACGCGCAGCGTTAATGAAACCATCTGCAAATCCTTGCTTCCTGTTGTCGTTGCAATATTTCGTGGCTGTTCATGATGGCTTAAAAAAGCTGGAAAAAACACAAGAAAAAAATACTTTTGTCCTCACATCATATATAATTGCACGCTGGAGCCACGGGATAAGAAAATGCGTGCCTTCTCCAATCACTTCTTTTTTAATCCCAACAAATCGATCAAAAAGAACAGCTGCTTCATCAGTATTTTCTATCCAAAAACTCTTCTTACCGCGATATCCTCCTCTCACATCATATATAGAAGCTTGTCCAACGGCTAGTGCAAAGCCAATTGGTATTGCTAGACGTGAAAGCTTATCAAGAATCTGTGCCATTATTATATGTAATTTAAGGACGTCCGTTTTTTACGTTACCGTTGTCACGTGATTGTCACGTGGTTTTGCTTTTTGAACTTGATTTTTTGATCTGTAATGAAGCGTGTTTTATAAAAACTGTTTTAATTATGGCGGGTGATGCAGGAAAGAAATATAGTAAGGAAGGTGTTTTTATGAAGTAGAAGCTCATTATTTTTAGTGGGATGGTGGGGTAATATGGGAGGGCCGGTTCAGAAAGGCATTATTACATATTCATTGTGAGTTGTGTTTTTGTGAGAAATAGTCTATAATGGAGACGTATAGATCGCCGCGTTCACAGCATCCTTTGGCAGGCATGCTTCATAGTGCAGTTTTTAATACATATCGTCGATGTTGCCAGCAGATTCTATATTTCGGTGTGCCTTTAATGGCTGGATATAGTATTTATGTGTGGGCAGTTAGAAGGTGTGAAAATACAGCAAGTTTGCTATTTTTCTTTATTTTAATGAACTTGTGACAGGAATGAGTATTTATATTCGAAAGCGGGTCAGGAAGAGCTTAAGGTGGGACTTTTGGGGCTGCTAGTATATTTAGTATACTTATATATAATTAGAGTCTGACCGAGTCTTAAAATGTCTTGTTACTAGTTTGTGTCAGTCCAGACGGTGGACACGATGGAAGAATAGCTTTGGATTTTTTAAATTTAAATCTAATTGTGTATTTGCTTTTTCATTTTGTTATATTTGTGGATATGTTTAGTTCTGGTTTAAATACGCCATTTTCAACACGGAATGTGTTTTTCTGGTTTATACTCGCGGCACTAATCATGCTGGGTACACGGATGCCACAACAGTCACCCCAAGCATTGTTGCATTTTATTGGCTCTGTTTCGCTATGATCGCATTGATTCATGCCTTCTATAGCAGGAATTAGCTGACCAAATAAATAATGTTGCATGATTGAAAAATTGTTGAGAACTTCTGCTTTATACATTTTAAGCATTCCTATGTTAACGTTTTTCCACTGTTTAACACTAGAAATGTCATCTAGCATCGGCGAATGCCAACGTAATGAAACTGTTTTGATCTACTCAAGTTAGATGTTATGGTGCATGAAATAGTGATTTTGTTCGTACTGAATTAATAAACCTAATATAATCTAAATACATGAAATCATTTGCAAATGCTTCTAATATATCATTGTCATGGATACTTCGTGGTCTGATATATTTGTGTCCTACCAGCTGTGCTGAACCAAAAAGAAAAGGTAGGAAATGGTAGTCATCGAGTCCCCAAGCGCCATGTGATCCAGCTGGTTCTAGCCAGTATAAAGTTTGAATGCGACGCATTACTAAGATGTATTGGTAAAATACTCGTATCACAAGTGCTTTTCCATCTGACACATGTAAGACGTTTGTTTTGTATAGACAAAACCTAGCAATAGCTGAGTACTTGTGTAAATTATTGAAATAAATACAGCCAAGAAAGAAAAAGCAGTTCATGCATGCTTCCATAGTCTATTCGCTGCCTATTTCCCCATGCACTAGTAAAGTATTTTGAAATTTCTGTAATGATGTTTTCAGGTAATGAAAGCCATCCATGTATTGCCTTGGTAGACTAAACTATAGTGATTATGCACAAATCAATATATGTTCATATATTCACTTTTTCCATATCATCATAGAATTCGCGAAAAGCATGATTTCCAAATCTTGATTGTGTGTTTTGTACAGGAGGGTGTTTATCAATTAATACGTTAATTTGGTCTAGCATCGAGAGAATATGCTCCACGTTCTATTATCTTAACAATATGTATATTTTTCCATAACTTACTTTAGAAATTTCACATGTCTCTGAAAGAGAGATGCCTTGTGCTTGATCGTTAAGCAAACATATAAAGTTAAAGATATTTTCGCATGTTTTAGATGTAAAAAATAGTTCTAAGTCTTGCTTTGTAAAGATTCGACGTTCAGGAATCTTGTATTCTTCGAGTATATTATTTTTTTCATTAGATTGAACTTGCATTTCTGCTGTGCCAGAGTAGATCAGATAAAATCGATTTTTTAAAGAATATATAGCAAAGTTAACGTGTTGATATATATATATAGAAGTGTATATAAATCGAAATGCTGTATCAATACAGTTTTATATCTGCATTAGCTATGTTCTAGATATGTTTTGGATTGCTGTGGACTGATTTATAGGCTTATCTGGATATTCTTAGGTATCTAGTTAATGTGTTGGTGTAATAGGTTGATGTATTAAATCAATATACTCATGAACTGAGATATATCTGCATCAGATTGATGAATGTCCTGATGTTTTAAAAATAATTATCTCCTTAAGAATAATATAAGCTATACTGTTAAATAGTTTATGTTTTTGTCCAAAGTAAAACTGTGGAATTATGAAGATGAATTGTATACGTTGATTATAAGCTTTACATATACATTAGTTGCATAATAATTAAGTTGAGTTTTGCTGTGCTTTCTAGACGTGTTAATGCGATGTTTTATTAGGGTTTTAAAGATAACGATGTGTGCGTTGTGGCTGCGTTTTTTTACCTTTTATCGTACTTGCATACGCGGATATTGCTTCTTGTGAGTTGAAAGTAGCAATATTAGATAAATTGGTGTTTGAGAAGTGTTTATATCACTCTGGGAGCTTGTATTTTCCTGCTGATCAGTTTTTGTGCGAGGTTATTTGAAGTATTTTTTGGAGATAAAATATGGAAGAGTATTCTGCAAAAAGATGTTAGGTCTTATGCAGCAACATGCTGATCTATCTGATAAGATGCTAAATATTTGCTTTTTGCAGGTTGGGTGACGCTTTTATCTGATTTGGGCGAAAAAGATGGTTATCTGAATGGTGTATTAACGTTGCATTATACGTTGAAAAAAGTCAAAACTCGGTACCCACTTTTAGTGATTTATACAAGTGTAATGTTGTCGTTTGTTCTGTGATTAATTTAAGAACATGGCAGAAGTGTACGTCTAACGCTTTGTCTATTTTGCAAAAATCGGGTATTAAAATTAAGTATGTGGATACGCTATATCCGGGAAAAGTTCAAGACTATGGAGCTGATACACGGAGATTTAATGAATGTTTTAACAAGCTGCGTGCTTTTTCGTTATTTGAGTATGAAAGAGTTGTTTTTATTGATTCGGATATGATTTTTATGAAGAATGCGGATGAATTATTTGATATTCATCTTGATAAAGGATGTATTGCATCTGCACATGCGTGTGTTTGCAATCCGCGTAAAAGGCCGCATTATCCTAAGAATTGGCAGGAAAATCTATTAAGGTTATTTTCTGCTAATGGTTGTTTTATAGGATTCCTTTAAATTGTGCTTATACTGCGCAACAGGAGATGCCTCTTGATTCACCTGTAGTTCCTTGTACATTCGGCATTCGGATGTTGAATTCTGGGCTTATTGTTTTGAATCCAAATCCTGATGAATTTATTTTAATTCTCGACCATGTCAAAAATAGTGATAAATATCCCGCAACTATGCTTAGTTTTGCTGAACAGAGTTTGTTGAGTTACATTTATGAAGAAAAATGGCAGCCTTTACCATATATATATAATGCTTTAAAAACACTACGCACTGTACATGACAAATTGTGGAATGATAAGGATGTTAAAATTGTACATTATATTCTCGATAAGCCTTGGTCTGAGGAAAATGATGGCTTAAATTCAAATGATCCGACACATGCTTGGTGGTGGTCAGTAGAAAAAGAAAGAAAGGCAGAGATGAATTCAATTGCACATTAATAATTTTTTGGATTATAATTAGATAATTGTATTTTTAAAAAATATCTTGAGTAGTGATCAAGATAATCGGTTTTTGCATGAAAAGAATGATTAATTTGTTTTAGTTTTTGTAAATATTTATTTTAAAAAAAAAAAACTTTTATAATATGATATTTTTGAATATTTTGGATATTTGTGATTAATAATTAAAAGAGTGTTAAAAATGATGTTTTATTTGTAAAATGTGTAAAAATGAATATTCGCATTTTAGTTTTGATTTTATTTAATATTTTCCAAGTTATTTTTCATTTAGGGTTTAATATGTATTTAGAACAATGTAAAAAAGTAATATTTGGATACATATGTCATTTTTAATGTATATATATATTTAAAAAAAATACTTGATTCATTATTTTTTTCGAAGAAATTATAAATCTTTTTAAGTGTTTTAACGAGTATATTAGACATGAAAAAGTTTTTTATTCAATACTTTTATTCAATACTAAATATCATATAAAATGTAAAACAATTACTAATTTTAAAAATAAAAAGTGTATCTTTAGTTTTAAAAAATAATTTATATTTATTAAAAGAGAAATTTATATTTTTCATAATTTTTTCAAGTACTTATTTTTTCAAGAATTTTAAAAATATGTATTTAATCCATTATTTATGTTTTATTAGCTAAATATTAAAGAAAATAATCTATTTATTTATTTAGCTTTATTATATAATTATATAATAAGATGTTATATTTTAATTTATCACGGATCTTGTTTAGGTGTTAATTATAAGATTATTTTAAATATAAAGCCTAGATAAAAAGTCTAGGATTGAGTTTTTTTTAAAAATACGCTTTTTTAATGTTTTTATAAAGTTTTTGTTTTTAATAAGTTTTAAAGTTATTAATATATTTATGTTATTATATATATTATTAAAATTTATGTAGAAGATATAATTAGAAAATATGATTTTTAGAAAAAAATAAATAAAATTATTACACTTTTTAGGATAAATTTAAAATAAAGAATCATTTATTTAAAATAATTTTTATCTTATATTACTATTTATATCAAGAAAATATTTGTTTTTTAGATTTTTTTATATCTATAAATTAAAAAGTATAAAATTAAATATTTATAAAAATTGTTTACAAATTTAAAATATGTTAAAACTATTTATTATGAATATATTCATTGCCTTAATTAACAATTTAAAGTATTTGCTATTAAAATAAAAGATTATTTCTTATATTTTTATTGCAATATTTATATGAAAAAATTTATTATATTTAAATCCATATAACATAACCTCTAAATTAAGACTATAAACAGCTATATTTTTGAATATAAAACTATAATGTTGAATGTGCAAATTGAAAGGATATTCAACACTCATAAAAATATAAATATGTTTTATAACTTGTCTAACTAATAAAACGCGTTTGACGCGATATACTTTAAATTATACATAAAACCTATTAATTTAGATATACTTAAAAAATATTTCATTTATGTCTTAAAAAATACACTTAAATATTTTAAAAATTGATCTTTATAATAGATATTTATAAAATTAATGATATTTAAAGAAATAAAAAAACACATACTATAGCTGGTTTAAAATAAACATTAATACAAATACAACTTTTTATGTATTATTATTAACTCGATATTTTTTTCATTTTTAGACGTATATATTTTAAAAATTTAAAATTTTTTAATAAAAATATTTAATTTAAGATATGTTTTCTAGGAAAATTACTGAAAAATGTATCAATACAATTCGAGTTTTGTCTGTAGATATTACTTCCAAAAGTAATTCAGGACATCCAGGCGCACCTATGGCTCTTGCACCTTGTGCGCACGTTTTATTTAATCAGCATATGATATTTGATCCAAACTACCCAGAATGGATAAACCGTGACCGATTTGTGCTATCAAATGGTCATGCATGTGTTTTGCAATATATTATATTACATTTATATGGCTATAAAGTTACTATGGATGACTTGAAACGTTTTCGTCAAATCGATTCGATAACACCAGGTCACCCGGAGGCATCCGTAACACCAGGGATTGAGGTTACGACAGGGCCTCTTGGACAAGGATTTGCAAATGCAGTTGGACTTGCTATAGCACAAACACACTTGGCAGCTGTTTTTAATCGGCCTGGATTTGATATAATCAATAATTATACATATTGTTTTTTTGGGGATGGATGTGCTATGGAAGGTATTTTTTATGAAGCAGCGTCATTGGCAGGCCATTTGAAACTTAAGAATTTAATATGTTTTTATGATTATAATGGTATATCTATTGATGGGGATATTGAATGTACATTTACAGATGATGTGGCGGAGAGATTTCGTTCATGTAATTGGCATGTTATTATAGTAGATGATGGGGACTCGGATATTGATTCAATCGAAAGGGCTATTGCTGAAGCAAAAATTGTAGACCGACCAACAATGATTCGACTTAGAACGACAATTGGATATGGGTCTAAACTTCAAGGAACGTGTAATGTGCATGGTGCGCCGTTGAAAGATGATGATGCAATGCTTGTTAAGCAAAAATTTGGATTTGATCCTAAAGAATCATTTGTTATTTCTCAAGACGTATATGAACATTGTCGTCAAGCTTCTTTTAAAGGGGCTAAGACGCGTGAAAAATGGCTAAAGTTATATGATGACTATACAAAACAATACCCATGTTTAGCGAAAGAATTTCAAAGGCGTGTAAATAAGCAATTTCCTGAAAATCTTAAGCAAGTTTTACCTATATACAAATCTACGGATCCACCTGTTGCAACTCGAAAGCTTTCTGAAACTGTTCTTACAAAGCTTTCAAGTCTTCTTCCAGAATTGATGGGTGGAAGTGCTGATTTAACAGCTTCTAACCTTACTCGGTGGCCTGATGCGGTAGATTTTCAGCATCCTTCTACGAAAATAGGAGATTATACAGGAAGATATATTCGATATGGAGTGAGGGAACATGCAATGATTGGAATTATGAATGGTCTTGCTGCATATGGAGGAATTATTCCTTATGGAGGCACGTTTTTGAATTTTGTTTTTTATGCAGCAGGAAGTCTTCGGCTTTCTAGTATTTCTCATTTACGAGTAATTATTGTCGCTACTCATGATTCTATTGGATTGGGTGAAGATGGTCCAACACATCAACCAATAGAAGCGGCTTCATGGTTAAGAGCACAACCTAATATGATGTTTTGGCGCCCTGCTGATGGTTAAATTATATTTATATTTGTTTTTTATTAACATGTATTAGGTAATGAGTGTTCTGCAGCATATTATGTTGCTATTACTTCTTTAAATATGCCATCAACTATTGCATTATCACGGCAGAATCTTCCACATCTTGAAAATACATCTATTGATGGTGCTTTGAAAGGTGGATATGTCTTACGGGAAAATAGTTCTGCAGACTTGACGATTGTATCGACTGGAAGTGAAGTATCTCTTTGTGTCGATGCTATCAAAGTTTTTGAAGAAAAATATAATCTTCGTGCTAGATTAGTTTCTATGCCTGTAAGAAAATTATTTTGTCTTGGTTCTATATTCATGCTAAATATAGTGTTTTGAAGTTTTTGATCAACAGGATTTTGATTATAAGTTAAGTGTACTTAAAGACGGTATCCCAGTTCTTGGTGTTGAAGTTTATTCTACATTGGGGTGGAAAAATTATTCTCATGAACAATTTGGTCTTGATACTTTTGGTGCTAGTGCTCCATACAAAGATTTGTATAAAAAAGTATGTTTTATGATTATTGATATATAGTTATTAATAAATGATTAGTATGGTTTTACGGTGGAAGAAATTGCATTAAAAGCTAAAGAAACGGTTGATTTTTGGAAAGATGTTAAACCTCTACGATCTCCTATACGACGAGCATTTTAATCCAATTTAAGAATTTTTATTTTTTATAATTTTTTTTGGATTTTATAATATTATATGTGATAAAATAGTGATAAAATATATTCTTTTAAAAAATAATTTATATTTGATTACATTATAATTTCTATTGTTGTATTGACATATATATATATATCGATTAAACGAGTATGAATAAATATTGCGAAAAATATAAGAAAATACAAATATGCTTTATTTTTAATAAATCTTTAAAATATAAAATGTTATTGAGAATAGATGCATTTTAAAAAATACGAGAAATTGAAATTACTATTCTTATAATTTATGACACAAATTTATAAAATTAACTTTTTCCATAATATTGTCTTGTATGCATTCATAAAAAGGCACTTGTCATGCTTCAAAATACATTTTAATTTATATTTTATTTATATATCCAAAATATTAATAGTACTTGATGAACTGTACGATATCATTATATAATGAACGAACGATTAATTTTTTTTATCAAAATAGATTGATAAAAAAACATAAACACATATTCATTTCCATTCAAACTAGCTTTCTCATAGAACATAGATTTATCTAAAATTTTTCAATATTTAAAAATACGTAAAAAGTTTAAATTTGAAATAATATTAAAAAATGTTCATTTAAAAAATTTATAGACATTTAAAACATTGCACATTTTGTAAATAAAAAACGCATATTTTTTGCGTGTATATTCCATAATAATGCATTTCGTCTATGATTTAATATATTATTAAAACGTGTTTAACAAAGTATCTATTGGACATGTGCAAAACGATAGATACGACAATCAACATTTTTATCTAGACACACTGAGTACAGCATGCGGTACAACATGCATTGTTTATACATAATACAATATAACATGAATTTGTTAAACTATTCAATTTGAATTTAACTTGATAATTGTGTGCCGACTTGTAAACTAATAACAGGCGTAGTATTTGGAATTAATAATACTACTTGTACTATTGAATAGTGGATATTTTTCTGTATATATATTATTTACGTTCGAGGTGGAGTATATACGTATATATAATACCTATAATACCTATTTATGGAATAGATGTAAATAGATGTAGAGATACATTTATTGTATTAGTATAAAATAATCAAGTATCGAAAGAGTAAAAGTATTTTTATATAGTTCGAATGGAATGTTTACTATACAAAATGTAGATGTATAGTGATAAAAAATTACATATCTATCTACTGGAATTAGTGAACAAAATACTTAATTTTTGTAATAAGAAAATTTTCTATATATATATCTGTATATGTATAATTCAACGTTTTATTACAAGTGCATAAATATTTATTCGAAAAACGCTATTTTAAAATGAACCGTCAAGAACGTCAGCATTCAGAAAAAAAAAATAAAAATTTAGATGCAAAAGACAAAATAGAAGAACTAACGGAAACCAAACCCAGTCTCCCAGACGGAGGCCTTGAAGCATGGCTGCAAGTGGTTAAAGCGCATTTGTTAATTACTATTGCATGGTAGGTTATGAGTGGAATGTATAGTAGCCAACAGGATAGGGGTATTGTTAATTCATATGGAGTATTTCAAACGTATTATAAATCAACATTGTTGAAAGATTCATCTATATCAAGCATTTCGTGGATTGGGACCGTACAGGGTTTTGGAATTATTCTTATAAGTCTTTTTATTAGTCCTGCGTATGATCGAGGATATGGGCGATCATTAATTATATCGGGATCTATTTTGATTATATTTGGGTTGTTGATGACGAGCATTGCAAACAAATACTATCAAATTTTTATCTATCAGAGTATTTGTATTGGAATTGGATCGGGGTGTGTCTTTATTCCAGCTTTAGGAACACTAGCCAAGTATTTTGACAAACGGATATCATTGGCAATGGGCATCGCAGCGGCAGGAGCAGGAATTGGTATGTAAGCGTACGAATATAATGAATTAGGTTGATTGGATTTAGGAGGGTTGGTTTTTCCTCTTCTTTTTCAAAACTTGATTAATCGAATTGGCTTTGGTTGGACAATGCGAGTATTTGCCTTGATTTCACTTGTTGTGCTTGTGATTGGTATTATTATTTCAGAGTTGTACAAGATTCCACATCAGCGGCCTCCTCCGTTTAATTTTTCTTCTTTAAGTGAATATACATTTATGATTTTTAATATATCGGTATTTTTTATTTTTACTGGTATTTATTTTCCGTATTTCTATATTCCGGTTTATGGAAAATCAGTTGGTTCATCTGATTTTTCGGCGTATTTTGTTTCTATTATAAATTTAGCATCTATTTTTGGTAGAATTATTCCTAGTTTTATTGCGGATCGAAAGGGACCACTGAATATGTTTATCGTGTCCTCGGTGGGTTTGGTTGTTTTAACGTATTTATGGATTGGGATTCGGACTATGGTTGGTCTTATTATTTTTTCAATTCTTTATGGATTCTTTGCAGGAGCAGCCATGTCTCTTCCTACAGCAGTCATTGCAAAATTATCGTCGAATTTGAGTTATCTCGGTACTCAAATGGCTGTTTCTTATGGATTTTCTGGTGTAGGGTTTCTAATTGGCACACCTATAGCAGGTGCCATTTTGACTCATTCGAATAATACATTTTTCTGGGCACAAATTTTTTCAGCAACGGTTATGTTGGTTGGTGTTTTAGGGCTCTTTTTGATTAAATTAAGCAAGTACTCTCGCAAACCTTCTTTCAAAATTCCAATGCCTTTGAATTTACGCTTTTATCATCAGCTTTGATTTATATCAGAAAATAATTTGATCACTTGTTGTAATGTATACTATTTAGAATCATAATACTTGATTGCCATTTTTTATCATGAATGCGTATTTTTTTTACTGACAAATTTTTAGCTTGTTTTATCGCAGAAAATTAATTTTGCATCTTTTGTATTTTTTCAAAAACATTTGTCAAAAACATTTGGTATATGTCTCTATTGTTTGTTTTGTCTTGATGAATCATTGAGTTTATGTATTTATTTTTTATATTTGTAAAAAGTGTTTAGGGAAATTGGGTGAGTGGAAGAGTAGGAATATGTAAGTAAAATAAAGATTAAAGGAAGTGTTTATGTTTGGTTTTTATATTCAATAATGTTACAAATAATTTTACTATTGTACGTATACTTGTACGTTTATCGATGATATATTATTATTTTATGGATTTATATAGTACTTTAATTTTTCCCGAATTTCAAAACTTGAAAAATATTTTAAAGTTAAGATTAAAGTTAAAATTAAAGTCAAGATGTTAAAGTTTTGATTAATATATTGGTATTAATTTTTATTTCTAAATCTTTTTTATTAGTTTACGTGATATGTCGTAAAGACTAAATTTCGATCAATGCATATGGAATCTGATTTTCGATGGTTTATAAATGTTTGTATATATGTTTATGTATATGACTTTGTAGGGGAGAAAGCTATTTTTGTATTATGTATAACATGCATTAAAGATGTTATATAGTTGTTTTACGTGATTATTTTGTATTATTTAGGGTTTTTATAGTTGTATTTTATTTGTACTATTCAAGCGTGTGTATTTGAATCTATTTGAGTAAAAGTGTTTTAGAATGGGACACGTATAATATAATGAAACTAAAGTGTTAGCATGGGACAGCATACTGGTATCTTGTATTTTTTATTCTTTTACTATTTTTAGTTGTTTATGTTTTTGGTCAGGGGTAAGTGAAGTGTGTGCAATTTTATCATTGACGGATCAAAATAAGAAAGGTAAAATTTGATATATTTGCGACATGTCGTAAAAATGTAAATATCTGGATAAATGTTTTAACAAGTGTTTTGACAAATATTTTGAATGTCTTAAGAGTATGGGTAAAGGTTGTTTTTCAAAATAGATTTGATTGAGGATGGACTGAAAGCGGGTTGAAGATGTTAAGAATAAGTTTAGGGTAGATTTTATAAATATCTAAAGTGTGTATAAAAAGTGGGTTTAAAGTTTGTCTAAAAAATTTATAAAAAATGCAAAAAAAAGTAACGGTGGGATTTAAAGACAGTTTGTGTTTTTATGTTTTTTTCTGAATTTTATCCTTTGGGTAGGAATTGATTTGTATTTGGGTTATCGTTGTTATATAGTGTATATTTTTTTTCTGTTCTTTTATCGTTATCCGTCCGTTTTCGTTTAATTCTGGGTTGGCTTTAGGTTAGCTTTGGTTGGTTTATTTTTATTCGTATTTGAGGAATATTTCGAGTGACTGGGTTTGCCTCTTGTTTTCGTGTTTTTAGTCTGTTTGCTGTGTTTGGCATGTGTATTTTTTTACCCTCTTGGTCAGCGTAGTATTTTTCTTGTGTTTGTTGATTTTTTTGCTGTTTTTGTGTATAAATATATTTTCGTTCGTTACGGTTTCACGTTGTGTGTCATTTTTTAGATACGGGTGGTATAGCTTTTATTATAGTTTGTCTAGGTGCTTGTGTTTTACTGTTTTTTATTCATAGTTTTTGTTGATCAAATGTTGATCAAGTGGGTGTTTGTTTTTAGTAGGCTTTTATTTATAATAAATTTAATGGGTTTTTGCTGGTTTTACCAGCTTTTAAAAGTTATTTGTTTTTATTTTTTTTACTTGTTTTGTTTTTTACTTGTTTTTGGTGTTTTATTTTCTTGTATTTTTTCTATTTTATTTCTACTGGTTTTGGGGGTTTCTTGCCTTTTATCTTTTTCCTCTTCTTGAGGGGGTCTTTGAGGGGTGCTGGCGGTGCCAGGGATGCCCTGTTTCTTTTTGCGTGTCCTGTCTTTTTTTCTCCTCTTTTGGGTGTTCCGTGGTTTCTCAAATTGTTTTTCTCGGCATGAACCCTGTATTCGGTCGTTTTTAGTGTCTTTTCTGCCGAACTTTTCCTCTTTCGGCTGTCCTATTCTTTTTTCGTTAGTTTCATGCGCCACCCGTGCTTTTCCGTCGACATTGTTATCTCTATTCGTCGATTTTTTCTATAACTGGTCAATATTTTTCCCCTTGCCCATCTCCTGTTTTAGTGTCTTAAGAAATATATTTTTTCTTCATCGCCCGTCTTTTTCAATATTTCATTTGTGCAATCATGAGAGTTGCACTTTTTGCACTTTCAGCGCAGGTTGGTTGCGCTTTGGCGGCCCTTTTAAACGACGCATATAGGCCAGATTTTGAAGAGGTGCGAGGTATGTTGTCTCTTTTTGCGCGCTTTTTTCTAGTTTTCTCTGTTTTGCTTGCTCACGGCTTTCTGTGGATTGAGCTATTTCTTGTATCTATGCGCTATTTTCTTGTATGGCCTGCATACAGGCGCATACATGCGCATGCAGGCGCATGCAAGTGCTTATTTTTGCGCGGAATGTCAGCTTGCATGCTTTTATTTCTCGGGGAGTTTTCGAGAAGTTTCCGAGAAGTATTTTCTATTTAAGGCCGCTTAGGGCCGCTTTTCTAGCGCTTTGTTGCTTGATTTGCATGCTTTGAGTGGTTTTGTCTGGGCAGTGTTTGAACAATGTCTGGGCATTCTGTGGTTGCTCGTTTTTTGCAGCCGCATAGGGCAGGGCTTGCCCAGCCCTGCCCTGCCTTGGCAGGGCTAGGGCTGCTGCCTGCAGGGGTGGCCTGAGTAGGCAGTGGGAATGCGCGTTTTTCTTTTAGCTAGGGCTAACGTGGCAGATCATGATGCTCTTTCGGCATCTCTCCACAACGGGAAACAGCTTGGGGCAGGACATTTGGGGGAGCCTCGGCGTTTGTATCGCCGCTCAGATGACGAATATGATGAACTGGATGCAAGGATGGACCATGAAGACGACTTGGAGCTTAGGATGCATTTGGATACGAGCTTTGACAAGGATGTTGCTTTTGATGCCGCAGGACTTGAGTCGGGCCACAGCTTGGCGCGGGCGGTGGCGCGGGCGGTTAAGCGGCGGGCTGCACAAGGAGCAGGAACAAATGATGAGGAAGAAGTGCGTCTCTTGGCTTTGATTGCAAAAGAAAACTATAAAAATACTGATCAATGCAAAGACAAAGTGGAAAAATATTGCAAAACGTTAACAGATGCAGGATTAAATCCAGAAAAGGTTCACGAAAAATTAAAAGATTTCTGTAATAACGGGAAACAAAATAAAAAATGTCAAGATTTACAAACCAAAGTTACGGGGAAATGCACATCTTTTCAACAAAAACTAAAAACTGCTTTAACAAATCCATCAGATGATAA